AGGATACAACCTTTTAACAAAATAATGGATGTGTATTTGAATTTTTTTGTGTCTTTGTTCCATCCCAGAGAACATTTTCTAAAATAGACACTCTTTGAAGCACCTGAATATTTAATTACTTGAAAATGACTTTAAGAAACAGAGTTGTTCCCTTCCTCCCCCTGTGAAAGTGATGGTTTGCTGACTCTTTTCTTTCTCTGTTTGCATGCTGCTCTACTCTTCCTACTCCTCAATGTCTCATTGAACTCAGGAGGAGGGTAAATCCAAGACAGGACATGCGTATTATATGTTTTCATTAGCTCTCATATATGCCTGAATAGTGAAACAATCGCTCTTTTCATGCCCATGGTTTCATTCAGTGGGTGGCGAGAGCACCACTATGATTGAGGATGAGGGAGCTGGGTGATTTTTTCCAAGGTGAGCACCTCATGGGAGATGACTGCTCGCTGCCATTAGTTTAAGTGCTGGAGTGTCAGTTAACTCGACACTGGCAGCAGGAATACTTAATGCCAGATGGAGGGAGCTGTCCTTGAAGTCGTAACAAGCAGGCGCAAAGAAACAAGCCTTTATTCAGTGTGAGAGAACACAGAAAAAACTGATAACTTAGCAAGGTTACCACAAAGTGTATGTTAAATCCCACATAGGAAAAGGAGGGATAAAGCAGATTGAAGAGGGTGAGAAGGGCAAAAGTCCAAAGTGGATAAAACACAGTTAAGATGTTGCTGACTGTAATTTTTGATTGCGTTCAGAATACGCAGGAATATAAGACAAAGCAGTGGTTGTCACGCTAAAAGGTCCAGCTGCTTAAGAGGTGTCAAATTATTGTACCTCAGCTGGATACATCTGTGTTGGAAGCCAGGGGGTGAGAAAAGAGCCAAACCATGCAGACTTTGGCACATTTGTCCTTTACCGCTGGCACGGATGAGCCACGCTGTGAGGCTTCAGGGCAACGATAGGCCCCCGGTGTTTAACTACCCAAAACTATGAGCTGCCACAAGAGCCCAACCATCAAAACTACCTCCTGGAAGGACAGTAAACATGACGACAAGTGCTTTTCCACATAGTGCAGACCCTGGTCTGAGGATCAAACAGTTCTGATGTGGGTCCAGCTAAAGGGGAGTCCATTCAGGCAGCAAGGCGGTGTGAGGCCCAGAAGTTTCAGTTTTCAAGATTGAATAAATAAGATCATATCGGCAGAAGTACCAGGTTTTTGGGGAATGTGTCCTGGCTGCAGTAGAAACAGAGCTGAGAGCTATTACTTAAAATAACTTGACACCAAAAGGACCAGTAAGGAAATTACATACACAGTCATGTTGATCTCTTAAAGCACCTCACACATAGGTCCCCTAAGAGATCTCTTGTTGTCGGCTTTTGTAAAAACCCACCCTCTTTTCTCTTTTGGTACCTAATTGAAAATCCAGCCTGATTCCTGCCAGTAATTGCAATAAAATGCTGAATGCACCCAGTTGCCGGTTTGCTCCTGGCCCGGCTCTCCTGCTTTCGAGGGCTGTTGAGTGTCTGTCGATTGTATATTCTCCATTCATTAGGTGGGATTAATACTGATCACTGATGCTCATAAATGATCAGTTCTTGTTTGAAATAGAGTCCTGTGAATTCAGAGGTCAGACCACCAGGAATGAGAGGAAACAGTGTGAAGGATAATGATGTATCACATCCAAAACATCACTGGTGGCCTCTGAGAAGTGTTTGGCTCTTCCATTTTGGTCTGGTACCAGTGCTCAGCCATATGGGCAGAAAAACTAAGCAAGGGCAGGTCTGTTGTGAGTTTGAGCCAAGTTAAGCACGGAAATGTTTCTTTCCTGCTGGCTCAAAAGTCTGGCTGTCACCTGTATAAGGTTGTCCTCTCCCTTAGTTGCAAGCTACCGGTTATAGATTTCAGCCATGTCTGGTCAGTGAAAAATAGACTTACCTGGGAATGAATCATGAGTGAAGTCAAATTGGTATTTCTTCAACCTTTTGGTGTGTCACTGTCTTTCAGTAAACATTTATTATTTTCATTTTGGTGGTTGTGTTTAGGATAAATCACATATGTCGTTTAATGGTTACAACGCTGGAATGTCATAAAAATAGTATTGAGCTTGAAGTACACACACACACACACAAGGTCCATGGTTTCAAGTGATAACCGTTACCTGCAGAGGCACAGAATTTCACTTGCTTGAACAGATGAAATTAGCCTTGATGTGTCCTGTCAGTGGATTAACTTTTTTTAGAAGATGGATGGCAGATATTAAGTTTTTCCCCCAATAATCCAACATGACATCCTATGGTTGCCTCCCTCAAGACTCCTGACTTTGTTGAAGGTCTTGATTCACTACTTGTAAGTTCAAACACAGTTGTGTTTGCCTGAAGTTGGACATGAGCGAGTGTGTTTCTGTTCTCAGTGGCCAAATAAAACGGGAAAAGCTCAAATCACAACAATAATGCAAATACACGAGTACTTACGATACAAACAAGCAGGTGGCCAAACAGGCGTCAGAGAGGAGTCTCATTTTTCCTTTTGACAGAAATGTCTACAACTCAACATTTTGTCCTTTAAGAACAGTTTGGACAGTCAACAGATGAAAAATATACAGTGAGTACTAGATGGCTGTCTCTTGGCCAGGACACACAAATCTCAGCTCCTGTGATATACACCGCTACAGCTGCCCGCATCCTAACCTTCTCTTTGCACAGGAAACTGCCCAGGACTTGATCTTAATTAGCTTGGCACTGAATAATAACATCCTAGAGGATTAGAGACTGTTGTGATAGATTAGTGAAGGAAAACGGGCCTTTTCTCCGTTTAGATGGTACAAAAATGCCATAGCAAAGTAAAAATTATAGTTTGACTTCAAATCTTTATCTCACCGAAGTAAAATTGACAGATAAGGTGACAGGAAAGTGATCATAAGTTTTGCAGAAAGTTCCCAAATTAAATTCGCATGTTTGAGTTTTGTTGTGTCAGTGGAATTGGATCAGACATTCCCTGGGTGGTAAAGGTTGAGTTTTCTTAAGCTACTTCTGTGGTTGGCTCAATTGGGATTTTGAAGCTCTCAAAATCCAACATAAACTCGGTGAAGGAGACTGCAACATTTTTCTAAGTGATCAGAAATCTACTTTTAGACCGTGGGTGATTCAATTTGTGTTCACTTGAGATATGCTGTCAGATTTGACTGTTTAGCTGTCAGTATAACTACATTTAGGCATTCATTGTCCCATGATGCTATTCTCGCCTTCTCCTGGCACTTGCTGTATTTGTAATGAAGATTGATTTTATGAAATGTTGTTGATTTTGATAGCTGGACTACCTTGGTTGGAGCACTTCCATTTCAAATGAACCCATTCTGAAAATTGGAATGTTGATGATTAAAGAGTGCACTTTGATCACTTTTCAGAGGCCATGACTGTTATGCTTTAAGACGCGCTCTCTATGATTCTTGGACTGAGCCTTATTTTCTGTGTAAATTACATACAAAGAGAGCTTAAGAGGTGTTTCTCAGGGGCTTGCATTTTTTGCCTACACTCAATTGGCAAATGCACTATGGAAAAGCTGAACTACACCTAAAGTGCTGTACTTTTATGTGGTTTGGAGCTGAGGTGAGGATCAATTGCTTGGTTTCTCTGGCAGCATCCCAGAGATCCAAAGAGTGGCAGGTCTGAAGGACAGGTGGAGACTCCCACAGTGCCACTGTAAACCACTGTCCTCATGGCAAGAGGGGAAGCTCACCACAGCGAGCAGACATGCCCATAAACTGCAAATGGGCAAGAGGTGGTCAAACACCATGTTTGTGCTCAAGGGTAGGGGTGCTGCTTGAATTTATTTTCAATACAAAATTATCTGCCAGTCTTCTGTACAGGTTATCACTTAATCTGCAAGAATTATGTTATTTCATTTATTTGCTCTATGCTAATATTGAACCTTCACTAAAACTCAGCCTCATATAGGATAAAGTGGGGTAAGATGAGCCATTTTTCATATTTCGGATCTCTACATCAAGGCAATCATAGTTTTGTGTCTAACTAGTGTATCTGCATACATTTCAAGATGTTGTGTATCCCCGCAAACCAACAGAATGAGTGTAAACATAACTGTCTTCATAATATAGCACGCCAAAAAAAGTGGTCTCCTATGGCCAACTTAACCTGTGTACGGGGTAAATTGACCATAGGAGCGGGGTAAGTTGAGCCGTATCCCTACTACACCTTATCCTCCACCCCAGCCCTCCCTCACCTTCTCTCTCCCTAAATAACAGTCACTTCTTCACATTCATGTCTATTTTTTATCTATTATACCCTATTCATTGGTACAATAATTTTTTATTATTATTATGGCATATAACTGCTAAAAAGCTTTTCTTTAAAAAGCCATTTTAACATGAGAATGTCTTTAAGTGATTCAGAACATTCACAGCTGTATTTTTTAAAGGAAAAATAACACATGTCAACAATCTGAACTGAAACTCTAATCCTCTCATCAGACTTCTTTACCCCAGAACTACTATGATGACTTTATTAGTCCTCTAAGTTAAAATGGTGGACTTTTATACTAGGTTTTTGACCTCATGAAGTAGCTCAAAGATACCTCAATTGATGTATAAAACATTTAAAATAATCTTTTTTGGTCTGAACACAATTCTAGTAAAACTTATGACAGACTAAATTCACTTTCAAGAGTGAAAAATGTTTTCTTTTTGGAAATAAATGTCTAACCCCTTCACCCATGTGCTTCCAACCGTCACAGACTCCATGAATTGATGCCCAGCTCCTAGATATTTGGTCACATTTTCAATTTCTTTTACCATTTCCAAGAAACGAGGTGGCTCAACTTACCCTTTGGCTCAACCTACCCCACTCTCCCCTAATGTCTCTTTTGGATAACATGGCTCATGCTGCCCTCTCCTGTTACAATGGCAGACCTGATATAAACAGCTCCTGCCAGTGTCACATTATGTAACATGAAAACCAATAGGTGATATTGTATATTTTATTTACTGCTTGAACTCATATCCATTTTAGTGCGAGCGACAGACTTTCTCGACAGGCTCTCGGTGAATGACTGAGTATAAACGCGCGTTCACAGCTAGAGCCGTTAAATCGCCATTGATGTCGCTCTCGTCTGTCTGTGCGACTGAATTAAATGGTTGAACATCGCATTTCTGTGCTCAATAAAAACGTTGAAATCCGTAATGATAATCAGCTCAGACGATATCATAGATACTCTCGACAAAAACCGTTATCTAAAAGACACAGCCTGCGGTTTCTTTGTGGCGGCGGCCTGCCAGCGTTCCATTCATAGCGAGCCAATCACATCGAAACTTACTGGAGTCCTCCGTCCAATGGCGGGGCTGTTTGTTGTTTGGCCCTGTTTCGACCGCGGACAGACAGAAGCAAGTGGACCGGTTTGAGCTAAGCTAATTCAGTGATATGTTAGCCAGTCATTTTAGACTTTTGCATCCATTCTGTTCAGGTAAAACGCGCGCATGTGTTTACAAAAAATAAAATCTACACGCTGGTGATTTTATGATCGGGCTAAGAAGTCAGGTAGAGTATTTGTTTGGGTTAACCGCTCCTGTCCCGCTAGCTGATTTGGCGGTAGGCGCCACTAGTGTTTGACAACAGCGCTTTTCAGTCACGTTCCCGTTGTTGTTGTTTTCGTTAGCTGCGAAGCGACCGCGCTAATTTTTCGTCAGGTGTATCAATAGAAAAGAAAGCAAAATTAAATAAAGTGAAACATGGCAGAATTTCTCGAAGATCCGTCAGTCCTCACAAAAGACAAGCTGAAGAATGAGCTCACAGCCAACAATGTGCCACTTCCCAGCGGAGAGCATAAGAAAGAAGTGTATGTGCAGCTGTATCTGAAGAACTTAACCATACTGAACAACAAGAAGAGTCCGCCTGCAGACACTTTCTCCAGCGATGAGGACCTACCTGCTCCCGTGGTTTCCAACAAAAGTCGCTCAGGAAGAGTAAGTCTGACTGTTTCTTTTGTGAATTTAAGTCTCTGGGCTACTGTGAAATATTAATGTGATCATCTGTGAGGGAAAATGAGTCTATACCACATTCTGACTGGTAACTTAAATGTTTATGCAGAAAGCAACAAAAAAGACAGACAAGCCTCGCTTGGAGGAAGTGGAGGTGACAGAACTCACAGATGAAGATCTGAAACAACAGCTGGCCAAGCATGGAGTAGACTCTGGACCCATAGTTGGTGAGAAAATACACAAACACATCTGACTTGTGTAGTAGCACTATAATAAATGCATCTCTGGGTTGACAATCTTATCCAGTGTAGTTAAAGTAATATTCCTTAACATTTTAATGTCAACAATATAAACTAACATGTGCCTTTAGCTTAAGAATATCTGCTTTGTTGTTCAGTCCATTTTATTTTGTGTCTTATTGTAAATCTGAAGTGTTGAATTTCATATTTCCATTTTTGTTCCTTTCTTCAGCCTCAACCCGTAAAGTGTATGAGAAGAAGCTTCAGAAGCTCCTGGACCAGCCCCCAACTGAACCTGAAACTCCTACAGATGTCACAACTCTCCCCAAGACAGATAGTAACCAGAATGGCAACACAAATTCTGACCAGTACAGTGACAAAGAAGATGGTGAGTGTTGACTACATTCCTGTTTGTTTGTTTTTTCTTTCCAAAGTTGCACATCACGTTGAGACAAACATGGCCTTATTATGTGTTATTTTTGAGAAATGTGTACTTTTCTTTTGAACTGCTTGCAAAAGATCACTTATGAAATTTTAAAGAAGTGCTAGTACAATTTCAGAGCTACACTGATGTTTTTGCATTGTCTTTGGTATTCAGAGGAGATTGCTGCCCCTGAGCCAGAGCCAGTTCCTGTGGTAGAGAAGCCTGTGAGGAGCAGGAGCAAAGCCCCAGTAACTGTCAGAACCAGCAGCCGACGACAGGTTAAGGTCGGGCACATTTTACTGTTCACAACTATTGAGATATGTGTATTTTTCTACTTTGTGTCAACATATTGTGTTCTCACATGGACAGGTTGTGGAGGAAGTCATTACTGAAGAAACCCCAAAGAAAGCCAGTGAGAGTGTTGTTGAAGATATCCTTGCCAATGAAATAAGCACACCAACAGGCATCAGGTAACAACTAATGATGGTTTATAGTTTATGCTCCATAGTAGTTTAGCGGTCGGTGACTGAAGCTCATGAAGGTTCTGTCTTTGACATCAGATGTTGAGATAATCATCATGAAATCTGGCCAGATGTTATGCACAGGGGAAAACCTACAGCGGCAGTTCAGATCACTTGAAAAGCTGCTGTTTACAGCTCCTGTTTACTAAGAGTTTGATTTCTTTGTTTACTCTGGCCAGTGCAACATGCAGGCGCCCCATCCGAGGTGCAGCTGGTCGTCCCCTGAAACCAAGCGACTACTGGTTGGATGAGTCCCGTGTGCAGCACACCATCCTCACGGAGAGCCGCTCTTACTCGGAGTCTTTGTCCAGAGTAGGAAGTACAGCCTCTTCAAGCAAAGCGCCGGCACGACGAGGCTTCCTGTCTGTAATGCTCAAGCTCCTGCTCCTTGTTGTGGTGGGTGGTTCTCTGTATTACGCCTATCAGAACCTGGATGCAGATCAGCTCAACACCCTCAAAGGTCTCTGTGACAGCGTCATCATCCCCCTTCGAGGCCTTGTAAACGACGCAGCCACCTACCTGGGCATCGGCGGCAGCGCTGCCACAGAGAACACTGGCGAGTAAAAGGCTCTCTGCAGTCTGTTGCCACCCCACCTCCCTGCAGCCTGCCACAGCACACCACAACTCAAGCAGTAAACTTGGCTCACTTCTGCTTTTTACCTACATGGTCGGACAAAGTATAAAGATTTAATTGGAACGATAAACTTTTTCTTCTCTGGGCTCAGGCGTCTCTCCCACCTGAAGAGGAAACAGTAGCGTCAGGATAACACTGTTTTGTGGCAGTCAGAAGAGACTCATTTTAATGTTGATTTTATTCTGTGCATTATTCGTGTCATTGTGTGTATTTAACCCATGTGTGTAGAAACAAGTGCAGAAAGGGAGGACCGTTATCCATGCATGGTTGTAGTTTATGAAGGTTAAACTGTAGTTTCTAACTCCGTGCCAGGTGTTTTTCAGACTGTGAAGTGCCTGGACACTGTTAGCAGGTAGAGCCCTCCCTTTTGAAGCACACGGCAGTGCTTCCACTAATACCAGAATGTCATCAAGTGTTTCTATACGCATTTAAACATTTGCTCCATAGCTGTAGTTAGAGTGAATCATCATTTCTCTGGTGCTCAGGTTCATTCAGTGCAGAATTTTTCATGTGGTCGAAGCCGGTAGGAGACACGTGGTTGTAAACAGGTGACATCACTGCATGAAGAAAAACCACCCCCACTTTGGGTTAAAAAACCTTTTCATTGGCCGATCACTGCTTCACTCATTCGAGGCCAATGCGTGGCTCTTTGACGACCAAAATGATCACTTCTGGTCACTCTATATTGTTATCATGATTTATATTGTTAGTGGGTTGAGAATTGAAAATTGACTGTACTTTTCAGTTATTTTACCAGAATCATCAATTTAATGGTAAACCTGTTTAACATGATCTATCATTAATTTAAAAGTCACTCCAGAAGAAGCTGGTACTACAGTGTTCAATCATTTATTATTGTTACAGCCCTGCCAGTGTGCCCATTTGAGTTTACATGCTTTGAGTTTTTGTGCTCTGTTGTGCTTTTGTTTTTTAATTAGATTTCTGATCCTTCAGTCCTATTTACAGGATTGGCTGATGCAGTGCACCCACATAGCCCACCTCACTGGCTCGATGTGTCCAGACGTGGCAGATCTGCAGAGAGCACAGGTTTAATGTTAATCTTTAAATAACAGTTGAAATTTATTTTTAAAACTTTAGACTATTTCTGCCTGTGAAAATTACCACAATTTAGACACTGTAGGTTACTCTGAAGATGGTCATTGATATGAAAAGCTAGATGTTAGCATTCACACGAGGTGATGTGGGGGGGTGGGAAGATTTCTTGGGCATATTTTGTTTCTATTTTGATATTTTTCTAAAGTGGTGTGTTCAACTTTTTATAGCACATATTAAAGTTATTTGAAAGCAATATGTGATACATGCAAATGATACTGTACTCTTAATCTGAACTTTTAACTGACTTAATACAAGTGATTCATCACCAGGCAGCTCTCCCACAATGGACAGAAATGACAGGGGTTATGTGGGTAAGGATTTTTAATCTGTTTATTTATGATAATGTAGGCAGTGTATCATAAAATAAACTTGGTTGTTGCCACATGTTCTGTTTCTTTGTCTTCACTATAAATCTGCATCACTCAAAGGGATATTCCGGCGCAAAATCAATGTAGGGTCAAACACACTATAACACAGAGTTAGACACCCTATCGAGAGATGAATGTTGCCAACCACCTGCTCTGCTAGTTATACCAACTTTATTAACGACAGCAGGATAGCAATATACAGCGGTCCCAGGAGCCACATGCTCAACCAAAACGCCACTCTATAGCCACAAATAAAGCTCAGAACAGCACCTAACTTCATCAACAGTACATATAGGGTCCCAGGCATAGTACTAGCCACCAAATATCTTTTTAGCTTTGCCTTCTTTCTTTAGCAAAGAGGCTAAACACAACTCACCTACTCTCTTCCAGCAGCCGCTTGTTTATATGGAGACCTCAGGCGAGTCCATTACCGCAGCGGGGTGACGCAGCACAAGGAAGAACATTTATGATAATTTCTTCATGGAAATGCAATCAGACCGAGACGCTAAGGCAGAAGAACTACTGTGTCTGCAGTGCAAAATGATTAATTTGGTGATTATTACTTCAAGGAAATGATAAAGAAATGATCATAAATGTTCTTCCCTGAGCTGCGTCACCCGGCTGTGGTAATAGACTCGCCTGAGATTGCTCAGGCTGCTGGAGGAGAGTAGGTGAGTTGTGTTTAGTCTCTTTGCTAAAAAAATTAGGCAAAGCTAAAAAGATATTTGGTGGCTAGTCCTATGGCTGCGACCCTATATGTACTGTTGATTAAGTTAGGTGCTGTTCAGAGCATTATTTGTGGCTATAGAGTGGCGTTTTGGTTGAGCGCGTGGCTCCTGGGACCGCTGTGTATTGCTATCCTGCGGTCGTTACTAAAGTTGGTATAACTAGAGAAACAAGCGGTCGGCAACATTCATCTCTCGACGGGGTGTCTAATTCGGTGTTTCGGTGTGTTTGACCCTAAATTAATTTTACGCCTGAATATCCCTTTATGGGCAGTACTAGTGTTTTAGCAGTTAAAGTGTTGAGCAAAATTGGGAAAAAATCAGTATGATTCAACAATAGTACCAAGCGAAAATCTACATTTTGTGCTAAGACTTCTTTGACCTCAAACTAATGTACTGACTTCTACAGGGGCTGCATATGGTACTTCTGCACAGACACCAATGATGTCTCAGTACTTTTGCCATTCCTGCTTTAACTCCTAACAACAGAGTATCATATTAAGAAAGTTATGAATAGACATGCATCCATACATTTTATTCATCATAATAATGAGAGCTTTCCAGTTGTATTTGCAAGATATTTTCTACTCTATCTTGAGTCACTGCCACCCCTGGCCACTTTTCTGGATCCACCCCTGGGAGGACTATGAACAAATGTAAACATTTTATACGTTTATGTCAATTTATCAGTGCACGATGTTTTCATAATCAAGGCATTCAAACAGAGCACTCAAGCGGGCTTCATCATCTCAGCTTTAAAGCAGAGGAATATCTTACAATGAGCTAACAGTGTGTGTGTTAAATGCCTGCTAGCTGTGATGCTGATGCTAGCTTCATAGCCATTGAACGAGGCGACTCGAATTTACCGGTAGCAGCTTCCCCAGACGGGGATTTCCTGTTAACACTAAGTAACCTACCATACGAGTACCAAAGAGAAAGTTACCTACCGGAACTGTTTGCACTTTTAGGTCCGTTTGCTGTATTTCCTGTGGAAAGTTACTTATTAAGCTACATCCATTCTCGTTTTTTGCCCTCGACAGTCGAGGCTGGCAGCTGCTGCTGAGTATGGTATTGAACACTTTAGTGTGGCTTGTATGTATACTGCTCTACATACTGTGGAAACAGTTAGCTTTTAAGGTCTCTGCCTTTATGAAGTGTATGCGAAGTTTTATATTTATACATTTAACGACCTAAAGTCGACACAGGAGTGACTATTGTAACACCTGCCCATCCCACTTCATGAATTTCTTGGTCCTGAATTGAGGCTGAAGTATTTCTTATCATATACAGTTTTTGGAAAGAGACCTATGAAGCAAATTTAAACATAAGTTTGCATCAAATTCATGATATGCATATGTTTGTGTGTGGGTTTGTTCTTGATTTAATCCCACTGAACTTGTGACTGTTAACCAAGTAATGACTAAAAAAAGCTACAATGAAGTTTAACTGATATCAACTGCAATAACTTTTCACAAGGTTATAAATAATATATGTGATATAATACTACTACTCTACTTTTCCAAATGTGGTATTTGGAGTATAGTAGTACCAACATGCACTGCCTCGGGGTATTTCCCAGGGATAGCCTTAAACAACTGGAGTGTCGAAATTGAGCATTGTGTCTCTTTTATGGTACTTGGTCCAGACAATCTAGATGTTGGGGGGTTTGCAGGTCACAGGTCACATTTCAAAGTTAGATGGTGAAGAAAGATAACTTAGAGATAAAGAGATGATGTAGGAGGACATAAAACTCTAACCTTATATAACAGGATCACACACTCAGGTTTGGGAGAGATGGACATCATTGGCAGTCCTCTTTTTTTATTTGCTCCCCTCATGAAGTGGACAGATCATAAGGAACACCCATCCATGAAACACACTCAGATACACCACCATCATCCATCCCATCTTTTATCATAATATACAAAAACCACTCATCAGATCATGTCAACAAAAACTGAAAACGTAAAAGCTTCCACAAATTAGAATTAGTGTAGGTGTATTGTGTGTTTGTAAAGTCCTATCTGGTCTCTATGTAGTTTTGATGTCTGACTTATTTGTCCTTTGCTCACCCCACTGTTTGTCCCTGCAGCATTTATGCGACAAGATTGTGCCTCCATCTGCTGGCCCAAAAGAGGACCTGCTCTTGCTTTTGAAACTCCACTTCAACAGTGCCCCCAAGATGCTCAAATCCACGGTTGTGTAAATCTTGTTTTGACTGTGTTATTCTGAGGAACCCAAAAACTATCCTCCTGTTATGTGTTTAACAGTTTTGTAGAGGTGTTTGGGGAAGTGTCTCTGATAGCTGGTCCAGTTTTAATCAGACTGAAAGTGCTACAGAGATACACAGTATTTACGTTTCAAAGAGAGCTGCAAGCCTTCAACCCGTATTTTAATTAATATTTTATTTGGTAATTCCAGAAATTTTGTAAACTATTAGAAATAACGAAGAAAACAAACTTTTTTTTTACATTCTATAAGCTGCTTATGCCGACATTTGACATTTTGACATGATGTGACTTGAATGGTCAAACAAAGGGTTTGCATCGTTAAAAATCTGTTAATTGACTTATCCCTGCATCTTAAATTTGCGTTGAGGGCATTAAAAAAATAATAATGAGAATTTAATCTCTTTCAGGATATGTGGAACCTTTTTCTCTTTTATTAATATTAATTATTATAATTATTTCAACAGGAAATGAGTGCAGTTGAAGGGGCATGCTGTACCAGCTGACTGAGGTGACCCTTGGAGTGCCACATTGGGACTTTGTAGGGATGGAAAGGCTTAGTTAATTAAACCCAGTCGACTGCAGCCTGAGAGAACAGCAGGAAGAGGAGCGAGCACACCGTGCAGAACAACAAAGGTGAGTCTCACTGTTTTGGCTGAGGAAGGACAAGAAATTTGCAATGAAAGTAACTGGAACATTAATACAAGAGGAGAACAGCTGTGATTTTTATAGTTATTTGGTAAATCAGAATATCTGGCATGATGCAAGTGTGTTCAGAAGAGAACTCTTATTTGGTGTACATTTATCTAACTATTTCTTTAAAAACTACACCTGATAATTTAGTGTGGTGTTTTATCTGCTTGTCATTCTTTCTGCAGTTCTTGTATTTTTCACCTCTCTTTGCAGAATTACATTTTTAGTTATCTCTTTATTACCTAAACGAATAAATACACGTGCTTTTTTCGTAGCAGCCTCCAGTTGGGCTCTGAACTGAGTAGACTCTGAGTGAAGTGAGACAGATGACACGGTATGAACTTATGATAAATTTATGAACTTGAGCTTAAATGCAGTTCAGTCTGGTTTTTTAGTTCTGCAGACAAAAAGAAAGACTGTTGTAAAATATTAACAGTATAGCTGTTTTACACATTTTGTTGACATGTATTATGCCAAATACATCTTTACTTTACGTCTCTCAGTCTTGTACAAACTTACAAGAGGTTGTAATTCCATGATGAGATGTTGGTTTCTTAATAACTCCTTGTATCAGTTTTTTTTATTTTGTGACTGTGCAAGCCAAACCACTTCGACAACTGTTCATGTTTAGAAGTTTGTCGTTTTGTCTTGGTAATCCCGTTTCTTACAGAGCTGATGAATGGAAAGTGTCCTGATTCTCTTTCAATGGGAGTGTAATCTCCTTCCCATAAGTCTGGTCGAGATACGGCTCTTATTTTCCAGGTTCACACTAATATTAACAGCACTAGGTCTTTTACATCCTGTGATACCAAATTTCATAAACGTCAGTCATATTTTTAGCAGTCATATGTTGCACGCATAACACACAATTGAGGACGCCATGTCGTTCCTCTTGTAGGTGCATGTCTGCAGAACAAAGTCAAAACACTTCCAATATGTACAATGAGTGAGAAATTCAGCATCATCTTGATCATGCATAATTCATCTGTGCCTGTTATTATCAGAGAGTTACATTATTATGGCAATGATATAGAACAGCACACAATGCTGCACTTGAAGTAAAACACTTATTCAACTGTATTTGATAGAAGTAATCTGATATTGTTCTCTAAATATATCCTATTAGATACAAGGTTAATGTTCCCCAGTACTTCAGATGTAGCAGATGGCGTTAAGGGATTAGAGTAACTCCCTTAGCAGTCTGCAGTCAGTCAAGTTCGGCATCCGCTTATAGTGCTCCATCCTCAATTTTGGGAGAGGGGAGGGAGAGAGGAGAGGAGGAGGAGGAGCCAGCAGCTTTCCTGCCTGGCCCTGAGTCACATGGGCTCTGTGCTACCGCTTCAGACCGTTACCTGCCTTGACTTTAGTTTCTGTGGGAGGTGTTGTGGATGCGGGGTGCACGCAGCTCTGTGAAAAAAACACCTTAGGTATCCCTTCAGATTGCCATGCTGATTACATGCTGGTATTTATACCTCACAGCTCGGAGCGTCGCCGAACACTGCAAGTATTATTGCTGTTTCTGTGCCTAGCTGGCTGTGTTTTCAAGGTGAACTTCAACAGGGCCAAGATCTGTCACTGTGTCGTCTCTCTGGTCTTTTAATAAATTCAGAAGTCAGAAGAGTGATGCTGCCATTAGTGCTGCTGATTGTCAGTCTAGTTTTGTAACCCTTCTTCACTCAAAATGTAACATGTTTAAATGTAAATGCATTATTTATGAAGTTGGAGCTCACAGTCTGCACTCTGGGTGCAGGACTGAGTCCCTTAGTACGTCGTCTTTGTCACCCAACAACAACTTGCCTGCCTCCTGACTTCTCTCTGTCTCTTTCCTCTCCTCAGCTCTGAAAATGGCCTCAATTCTCCATAAACTGATGACCCCACTGTTCAGTGGTCCCCCTGAGCCCCCCAGGAATAAAGTGACAGTGGTGGGTGTGGGCCAGGTTGGCATGGCTTGTGCTGTCAGCATCCTGCTTAGGGTAAGAGACCCGCAACGCTCAGATTATCACCCTGCCTGCTGGTGCCACAGAGCGGAGTAATACGGCATCCTGGTAGACTGACACGGGATTACTGATCTGTTTGTGTCTGATCTGACTTTTATCCCTTCAATGCACGTGTTAATGGTGGGGATAGGGTCAGAAAAACAGTTGATAATTATAACGTTGAAAACACTGTGCTGATTGTAGTCTATCAAATATGTATCAATATCAGTGAGCATATTTTTCAATATCAGCAGATTTGGAAACATTTTGGTAACGCTGTTTTTTACGGTACACTTATTAACAGGTAATTACCTAGTAACGACATGAAATTATCTGGTAATTACATGATAACTACTAAATCAGTACTGTCTAGCTACCAGGTAGGTAACCTTCCATCATCATACAAATTTGAAGCCGAATTGCTCTGGTATTTCCAGGATTTCCCCCGCTTCCTGGAACCACCACTTGCGCAGTAGCATTGTACGCATTCGGCGGGTGAGTCGCTGTGATAATGCTCGGCTAAAACAGCGTATCGCTACACAATATTCGCATGCCCATAGGCTGTATCAAGTGTCAATCATAGAAAATAAGAACCCCAAATAGCTTTTGAAAATGGAGCTGCACAGAAAAAAGAAAAACAGAAAAACGAGACAGTATTGACTTAGTAGTTATCATGTAATTACCAGATAATTTCATGTTGTTATTAGGTAATTACCTGTTAATTATCTGGTAATAAGTGTATCGTAAAAGAAAGCGTTACCAACATTTTTACTAAACAGATGATGGAAAAACAGCACTCTTAAGATTTGAAGGTATGGTGCAGAACTCAACACCTATAATGCTGAGCACAATTGTGATTTTTTAAAATACTCTCTTATTCGTTTCCTAAAGGATTTAATTGACTGAGCACCTTAGCACAATCATTTTGGAGCATTGTTAGCACAACCCTCAAAAAGACTTGTTCAACAACAGAAAAAACAACATTATATTGTTCACCTTAACAAAATCCAGCAAAATTTCCCCAAACCAAAACCTGCATCATTATTTAAATATCCTCCCAGTCACTGACCTCTCTATGAAATAACCTGTTAATGTTCAGGCCAGAGGCTTTTCTTCAACAGATGATCTCTGAACCCCCTCCTATTACAACTTTAACCTGTTTATGAACTTTCATTTGGCTGGTCATCTCAGCTGCCGGACAGGTTTGTTTGCTGATTGAGTGGACTGTAAGGGAGAGCAGTGGTGCTCTGACTGTCTCTGATGTGCGCAGGAGCTGGCTGATGAACTGGCCCTGGTGGATGTGATGGAAGACAAGCTGAAGGGAGAGATGATGGACCTGCAGCATGGAAGCCTCTTCCTCAAAACTCCCAAAATAGTGGCAGATAAAGGCAAGTTTATACCCCAGTCATGCCAATCCTAATATAGTGAGGTGTTTCCAGACTGCAATTTCCTGGGAAGCAGTGTTGGTACTTTGCTTTTGTTGCTTTTTCCACCGACTGGAATTGAAAGTCGTTTGGATTCTTGGCAGAAATTTGAGTCAGCAATAAGATGAATACACTTTCACAACCTCATCTTCATGAATATGAGACTCTTACTGCTTCTTCTCCCTTAGACTATTCTGTTACAGCAAATTCCCGCATTGTTGTGGTGACCGCTGGAGTCCGTCAGCAGGAAGGAGAGAGCAGACTGAACCTAGTCCAGAGGAACGTCAACATTTTCAGGCACATTGTCCCCCAGATTGTCCAATACAGCCCTGACTGCATCATCATTGTGGTTTCAAACCCAGGTACCACATGACACATTTCCTCACGCTTTTTCCCCATCCTCAGTGTTCACTTTATAACAACTACACTTTTTTAACAGTTGATGTACTGACCTATGTGACTTGGAAGCTCAGCGGCTTTCCCAAGCACCGCGTCATCGGCAGCGGCACTAACTTGGACTCGGCTCGCTTCCGTTTCCTGATGGCCGACAAACTGGGGATCCACGCCAGCAGCTTTAATGGCTGGATTCTAGGAGAGCATGGAGACACCAGCGGTGAGGTTTCCTCAGTTTCATAGCTGCTGTTTTCAAGCAAACAAAAGTCCACAACAATACCATTATGGAGCTCTGACCGCTAAATTCAACTAGATTCATTTCAGTCTATCTTCATCCCAACGATAAAGTAAAGCTGACCGTTTTTTACTTTAGTCAATGTTTGTTTCCACTGCAGCATGTCTCTGCTTCATCTTAGTCCAGCAATCCAGAATCCTTCACATCAATCAGTACAGGGCATAACTAGGGGGACAGGAAGTCAGACTCCATAAAAACATTAAAACACCTGATTGATTTTTAAGGTGAAATAAAGATTGCATTTTACTTAACCAGGCCAACAAACTTAAAGTTTGTAGAGTCATGCCTAGAAGGAGCAGTCCAGAGATTCAGAGATCACTGTGGAGGTAGAAAACCACTGATTCAGTATTTAACATGGGAAACTTTGGTGCTGAAAAAGTGGGTGGGTGGTGGGTGATGACAGATGAGGCAAGCCAAACAAGATTGGAGACGGACTGAACACAGATCTGGTGGTGGTCTGACGTACACTGAACCAAATATGTTGACATATTGGTGTCCTAGTGTGTGCCTCTTCTGCACAGAGTGATAGCATGGCAGAAGCAAAAGTGGCACAAGGTGTAGACAAAAGTGAAAGCTTCACGTAAACACTCACAGGGCTGTTCTGTCCTGCTGGTAACTTCCTGTTATTACCTCCTCTTCTGTTTCAGAGTTGCTTGTGTATAAAGAGCTTAAAAGAAACACATCACTCCTTAATGCTGCTTAAATTAATATGCAGACCTTGACTGTGTGAGGATTTAGTTAGAAAAAAGAAGGTTTATGGTTTCATCCTGTGTTTAGTGCCTGTGTGGAGTGGAACAAACGTGGCCGGGGTCAGCTTGCAGACATTAAACCCTGATATCGGCACTGACGTCGATGATGAGAACTGGAAGGAAACCCATAAGATGGTGGTGGACAGGTAGGCTACGTGACTTTGGCTGCCCCTGTTCTCTATTTTCTAATGAGTCGTGGTGAGTCATGAGTCAGTCTTCTATTCTGTTGTTTGATATCACTACATGTAATCCCGATGAACCTGTTCCCTACACCATCATGGGCTTCAGTTTTAGAGTTTAATGTTGGACAGAAACACAGATATGCTTTTTTAGTCATTACTTCAAATGACTAACTTGATTTGATCGGACAAGTCTTGACTTTTCCTAAACAAAGAAAACCAACAACAAAAACACAAGGGAAAAATGATACGATAATGACCTTTAGGCTTGTTTTCTTGAGTTTGAATTGTGAAGTGGGATGGATTATAAGTAGCTCATGCTAATTGTACTGAGCATATGAGCAGTATAGTGAATTCAGTGGCTCACACAACCAAAGTAACCGAATGGTGACAATGAAAGACTGAATGGTGACAGTCATAATGTCTTATTTTCTCTCTTTTTTTAACTCAAATTAACAAAAGAATCAGGCCACAAAGCTGCAGTTAGGAACTTTGGATTTTGTCGATTTCAGCGCCCCCTGTGGGCAAAGATTTACATCTAAAAACTTTATGTTTTATGCTTGTCCGTGTACATGTGAAGGTACTATTATTTGATTAAAAAAATCTAATCCTGCTTGAGTCAGCAATAAGGAAAATATACTTTCACAACCTCATCTTCATGAATATGAGACTCCTACCACAATAACCGAGACAATTAAATGTATGTTGGTGCTATCTGCGCTTTTGTAACACTCTTTATCTGATTTATTGTCATTTAGATAAAATAATTCATATTTTGCAATATAAAACAGTCTATGAACAAACCAGCTCGTCTCACATTGTGTCTCGTGTCTTTCAGTGCTTACGAGGTGATCAAACTGAAGGGTTACACCAACTGGGCCATCGGTCTGAGTGTAGCTGACCTGATAGAGAGCCTCATGAGGAACCTGAACAGGATTCATCCCGTTTCCACCATGGTGCAGGTAGGAACTGCTCACACAGACGTACACACGTCTAATTTTGAATTTTAGAAACAAACGTCGTCTTTTAAACCTGAGACTCTGAGAAAAGCATCTCACAAGCAGACATTAAGATTGTTGTTCCTGTACAGGGCATGTATGGAATCAGCGACGAGGTGTATCTGAGTCTGCCCTGTGTGCTGAATGGCGGAGGAGTTGCCAGCGTGGTTAACATGACCCTGACAGATGATGAGGTGGCTCAACTGCAGGCCAGTGCCAACACTCTGTGGGACATCCAGAAGGACTTGCAGAACGTCTAAGAGGACAACAGAGGGCACTGTTACTGCAACTTCCTGACTGCTCCTCATCCACAGTATCAACACTCTGCAGTCCCAGGACACCGACAGCTCCACCTTCCACACCTTTAACCTACCGCCCTCTTTAGATTCACAGGTGTTACACGGGATTAATCCCGTCAGATTTAGCTGTAGGTGTCACTCTGTACAGAGAACCAAGCCGACATCAACAGGGTGAAATGCTGCTCTGACTCATTCGTACTCAGCTGTGATGCAGTGTGGGCCACTCATCTTTCTCTGGTGTGTAATAAAGACAGCGTGTTGGTCCTTGAACAGGTTGTAGATGTGTGCTGTTACACTATTCCTGTAATACATTTGTTTGAATCTTCAATCAAAAATCATATAAACTGTAGGAATGTGGTGGGAGTTATTTCTTGTGTCTATGAATGAAATCCTGGTTTAAAAAAATAAGGTCATGCTTTGATCAGCTGCAACCACTAAACCCTGCACTGTTATTTCACAGCAGAACCAGAAGTCCTGTTAACTTTAAAACTCATGGTAACAAAAACAAATGTGGTGATAAACCCTTTTTAGTTTCTTTGAATGGGATCAATCTTATTCTTTAAAGTTGATCAAAACTGTCCTTATTTTTGCATATTCCCGAAAAACTATAAAACCGTAACATTGAGGATTTTCAGTGGTAGTATAACATCACAACCTAATTTTAGCACTTACCATTATAGTACTTCAAATATTTTATATTCAAAAAAACACCTACACCTATATTTGTACATGTGTATGAGTAGAAAGACACAACAATCACCTGAAATCATGTCTGGCAAAAGATTTGTTGTCCAAAAAACAAGAAATCAAATGCCCCCCTTTCTCTGGTCTGTGCTTTGGATGCGTAGGTGCATACCGTGAAAAAATGGTCCCACAGCAGGCCCTAATCGCCACCTCACCTCACCACCGCGGTCTTAGTTGTTGGAACAAATCTGAATGTCATTAAAAATATTTCTGTGACACGTCCCTGGCCAGGATATCCAGGCATTGCTGTAAAGGTTTGTGTGTTTTTTCCCCCTCTTGCGTTGGAAGGAGATTTCTCCCTCTCTTTCCCACAGCTATCATTTCTTTCTAGTTAATTGTTTAAAAAACAAACATTTTACACTAAAATTCAGGATTAAAACTTCCATATGTCATAAAGTTACCTTAATCTGACCCTTTCATGACAGGTTCACGCTGCCATTTCCTATTACTCCTACAGTGCTGCCTCTCTGACTCATCTTACAGCAGACAGAGTGATGATGAATCACTAAACACTGTCAATCACAGCGCGGTGTGACTGACTTAATTGTCGCTCCAAGCTGACACAGGCCTCTGTAACAGGCACCAAAGGTGTGACAGAAAATCCATTTACACACACTTGATTAGATCATTAAGAAGACGAACATGTAAACACATCAGTGCAGAAACTGGCATAAAGCGTTGCTTCAGCTTGAACAAGCAAAGCACAGAGACAAGATTAGGATTTAATTCATATTGCACATTTAATGAAATCCTTCAGAAAAATCAAACAGCGAGAAGCACACATTTGAAATGTAACAACAATGAAACAAAAGAAAATATGTGTACTTCTATGTTATATTCTGCTCTTGTTTGTCAAATTTTCTCCACCTGAGGAAGAGAAGAGATTTTAAATCTGATCATTCCTGGCAGAGTCGTAGTGTTAACTTTGAGGGTTTTACCTACTTTTACAGCTCGCTGCAGAAAATCCAGAAAAAATGATGACAAAGACAATCCAAGTCCATCCCTCTCCAGGTTGTCAGGCGCTAAAATATTTCAGCAATGACATGAAAAGGAAAAATAAAAATTGCGCAACCAGGAGAAAGAAAATATGACTTCATAAAACCAAATATCATGGTTGGATTTTGTATGAAATAGTCCGTCAATATCAGCCTGAAGGTTTTTTCAGCTCGATGTTTTAGACTCCGTCATTAATAGACAAAATCTCTCAAAGCTGAGACTGAGTATCCAGCGTAACAAACATCCCCTCTTTCCCCTCAGCTTCTCAAATTCAAGTTCAAATGAGCTTTACTGGCATAAAAATCAGAACAAAATTGCCAAAGCATAGACAGTATTACACACTGACCAATACACAATATACTTACGATTCAGCTCAGCTTATGAAATACACATTTGATGATACAATATTAACAATATAACAGAGTTTAGATCAGACAGCTCCTCTGTATTTAGGCTCTGATCGCTTCTCCCTTTTCTCTTTCTCTTTAACCAAAAGGTTTTTCAGGAAACTATTTAGGTGTTTCTCCATGAATCTACCTGCTCTAAATGGTACAATGGTTTGTACTCCTTTAACCCTTCACACTGTGAACACAACACTCACCTAAGTATAAAGTGTCACCCTTCTCTCTGGTGGTACGCTCCAACATAGAGTGGTGTCCCTCTGTAAAAGATCAACATTCACAGCTGATTTTCCTGATTTGACAGGGCAGCTCAAACAAAAAAAAAAGTTGTTTCTGTTGATTTAAATTTTCTCTTCAAATCTTACGTGCTCCTTTCAGGTACAACATGGCCTGTGGAGTCCAGTATCTGCGCTGTGAGATGATGAAAGAGATTAAAGTTTTTTTTGTTTTTACAATCTTCATTCTTAATGTATTTGTTGGATTGAATATAAGATTAAGAAAAGTTAATTTAACCAACCCGTGGTGCACCCCAACACTGAGCAACCAAAGTCACCACAAGCAATGTGATGATCGGAGACATTGTCGAGCTCTGTAATGACATTTAGAGTACGTCATATACTGATAACAATGGATAAGAATAAAAAGAAGTGAATAAGAAATAAACCTGAAACTCACCACTGCTAAATGTGTTCTCATTTAAAAGCAGCAAATATTGTTACTTCTATGAAGATATATTTTATTCTTAGTCAGTGATTTAATAAATCATCATTCATTAGTCCATCAGTTTACTTCAGTTTCTAACACTTTAATTTCCTTAAACTGTCATAAACAGTTAAATACAATATATTTGATTGACAATTCAGCAACAAACAGGGTTAAAAAATTAAGTTAAAGTCAAATTCATCACTCCGACTACTGACATGTTGATGAAAAAGATACTCAGAAAACAAACAGCGACCACAATTACAAAAAAAGAGTCAATTATAGTGAAAATACAAGCTTACCGTCAGTTGTGTATGTGGCACTCTTGTGCAGGCGGCTGCTCGTGTCTAAATGTTTGTTTTATGCTTCCTTCTCTCACATCATATATATATAAAAAAAAAACAAAGCAAACTTGCTCATTAAAGACGTTGCTGATGAGGGTGACAGGTAGCTTCATTACGTCTCCTGTTACATTCAAGTCGATCGGGTTGACAGGTGTTGGCAAATCTGCCTCTGCTCATTAATCACGGGTACGTACACCAGAAACTCCAGAGACAGGGTCACCGAGTGATGACATCACAGCAGAGATTTTTATGAATGAAGCCGAAGTGATGACAGCGGAGTGTCAATGAGTGTGTGGGTGAAGACATCTTCACAACGCCTCAGGCTGGGGAGTAAGAAACAGTTCAAGTACAGAGGCATGATGATGGTTTCCATAAACAGATGCACATGTCCACATTGGTATAAAATGTATATTTTGAGAAGATACATGCTCATACTTTCAGCTTAGTCAAGTTTGATTTGAACTTTTTTATAAATCAATGTTTGCCCAGTACTTTATTGTAGCGTTTGAATACTTATGATTGTCTATAACTTTTCTTCTATGCAAACAACCCAATTTAGACTTCAAACATTGTTGAAAAGCACAGCTTGACTACATGTGAGGAAAGCATGTCTCTCCACACTCTAAGTGCAATTTCAGGACTTGCTTGTGTAATTAGTTTCCCATTAAGTTGTGTTGACACAAAAGCAGGGTCTAGATTACAGTTATAGGAAGCCTAAACTTTACAGCCATACAAAGAAAGCCCCTCTCTGCTTAGATTGTAACTAAGAACCTGTTTGCTTTGAGGCATCAGCACTTACCCACCACACTAATGTGTTGCTTTACATGTATTTGTTCAGGTATACCTCCTCTCAGTTACACTGTGTTGATTCAAAAGCACAATTCAGACCCCTGTGGAAGCAGCCAGGGATTTGAACCTAAGATCTGGGTATTGTTAGACATCAGTGGTACCTATCCTGCTGAGGCAAAATCCATAGACTGAATATTATATGGATAATGTCAATTTGCTTTGTTATTTACTTTTTATGTTAATAAAATGTTGAACTAATCTCTAGTTTCTTTAGTTTTTAGTACAGATGCTTATATTTCACTGCAGGGAAAAATACAAAAACATTTTACAAAAAGACACACTTTATTGCAAGTATGCACATAGAAAAGTTACAGCAAAACATGTCAATAATGAGTATTTTAAACTTTTTTTTTCTCACAACAGTTGTTTTTCTTCTATCAAGGAAACATTTACCTCAACATCGTTTATTCTTTATTTACAAAATTTCAGTAACACTTCATCAAGGATGTCGGTGTATGTTCAGGCACATGGTCTAGAGGAGTGGCTGCTGTGAGGAGCTCTTCACTCTTTGTAGAGTCTAACCAGTGGTCCAGAGTTTTCTCTCCATAAATATCAGACTGGAATGATACAAAATGGGAGTCCTGCTTCCAGTTCTTACAATAAAATAAAATTTAAAAAATCTCTTGTTTACAAACATCATAATGTCAGTCAGATGTCAACAGATATGCAGAAAAAAAAAAAGCTTGGATTCACAGCTCTGGAGTGGTCATGAACAAAATATACAGTCCATGTTGGTAACTGGGATAAATACTGAAACTCTCCTCCTTTGAGTAAACAGCATGGTGTTATACCATCGTGTTGCTCTCACCAATTTTATCCGCCAGCTAAAAGAACACAGAGATAGATCCAGGATTAGTTCAAGAGAAATGAATGAAAATGTTTAAATTCATGTGGTATAATTTTGGTTTTTGCCACAGGTCTGTCAGTCAAACACATAACAAAATACAAAGTTGAAAAGATGTCTTATAAAAATGTGTTGTGACTCTATGTTTGACACCAAGTAAGCTAAATAGACTGTTTAATTAAATCAAGTTCTTGGGCTTCACTGTAAAATCAATGTACAAACTTATTAAACCTGCATTCTTTCTAATAGCCAGTAGGGGGCACACCCTATATCGCAAAAAATATAAACTATTTGTTTGGGGTGCAATCTTTCTTTTTGGGTAATAAGACATTTAGGGCTGTGTGTGTCCCAACTGTAAGCTGAGGGTTGATTTATTTCATTCATGGTTCAAAATGTTCATTTATAACGTCATAGAAGAGTAACTGAGCAGAGTTTGTGATGCACATGATATGATAGAGAGAACATTAAATCACAGATGATATCAGCGGTTAAAGATGCAAAGTGTTTTTTGTATGAATGAACCACAGCACAGTGCACATCATTTTAAAGAGCTCCTCCTTGGGGGCATAATCCTCTGAGAGCTGATCCTGGACACTGAGGATCTTCATAAACTCACAAAAGGTCTGACACAGAAAGCGGACTCTGAGTGAGGAACCCACATGAGTTCAGAACAACTGAGGCACTGTTTTAAAGTGACTCAACAGAAGGACTGTCAGCTCTCACATTTCAGTAACAGTCCTCCTATCAGTGTGTATTCAGGCTGACAAAATAATCCCAACTGCTAGCAATCTTGTGAGCTTTCAACCGATTTTTTTTGTTTGTTTCAAATGGACTGTTAGATCTGCTGAAAGATAGTTTATATACTGTCATCATGGTAGAGCCGTGCTTGAGAATCTTTAACACTTTTTAGTTTTTCTGTTTACCGTTATTAGAGCTTGTGCAACTTTCCCCTGGCTCCAGGGAATAGCTCGGTTTATTCTGAAGTTTGGTTGTTTGAGCTACTTGTCAACTGTTTGCTTATTAGCCTCAGGAGATACCTGCTAAATGAACTCCAACCTAAGCTTTCTTCAGTATTAGTGCACTGAAGGCAGAAAGACATGTAAATGTGCCAAAAATGATGCAGAAATGAATGGGTTTTCTGACAGCAAAGTAAAGAAAGGAATTATTGACACTGACACATTGGTGATTAAGTTGGAGTTTGTTGAATCAAGGTAAGTGGCGTGATATAGCTGTTAATATGTAATTTTCTTTGTTTTACTCATATATTGTTTAAATATCAATGTTTTTATAACTGACAACTGAGACGTGGGAAATGACTGCTGAGGAAAATACAAATGTCATATAAATGGAAGTGCAAGAATAAAGTCTAGTGGTGATGGTAAACAGCATGGATTTTCTTGTTGTTTTATACTTCATTTGCAGTAACAGTTCATAAAATACTAATACATTAAAAAAAACAATTGAGGACATTTAAATGAATATTTAAATTCTGTTTATCCTGACTTTTTATGTATTTTGTAACCTCTATGGTTTTCAAGATTGAGTGTTTAATACAGGCTGGGTTCTCTTTTCTTTGCAGCTTTTAATACCACAGTGCACTCAGGGAAAATTAATCAAATTTGTGTCCTTTTGGATCAGTAATCAATTGACTGTCCTGGTAAACTTACTGTACTGATGCCAGGTAGGCTGAGTAACCACCCCAGCACAGGAACCCTTCTGATAAAGCCCACTGCCACTGGGAAGAACCCCCTGTTAAATAAAACAGAGAGAGAGCAAATCAGTCACATTTATACAGATGAACAGTTTAGAAGAGAGGTTTTTATTTATTTTGTCAATATTCACTGACCTGAATAAGAGGAAGAAACCATAGACCTCCAGAACAACTCCAATAATCGGCCACCCGATTAGAACCACAAAAACCCCTCCCAGAAAGAAGCCGGTGGCTTTAAATTTGTGTCTCTGAAAGAAGAACCTGAAGGTTCGCTCCAGGCCGATGACGAAGGACAGACCTGACACAAAGAGAATCTGCAGGGAAAACCAATACGTATGAGGGAGCTATTCCTCTGTCACAAAATGTGGTCGGAGTGATTTTACTCACATTTCCAATGGCGAGGAGAGCTTTATCAAAAAACAGCACCATCCCAAAGAAAAGGAAAAACACACCGAAACCAGTGAGTCCCATCCCAATCTCTGCAGGGTTCAAGAAAACATGTTAGACAGGAAAATAAAAACAGGAACAGCAGATCCAGACAAATACCAGTATATAATAATGTAAGAGAAAGATGAAGATATAATATGATGAATGTTTTTTCACAGCTAAACATACTCTACTTCTGTTTTTCAGTTGACAAAAAAAATACAACTGCTTATGAAAACACAAACTGATATTGGTGATTTGTTATCAATGTGTTTCAACATTATTATCAACAGAAACTATAAAAAATAAAGCAAAACAAAAAGTGGAAGTCTTTAGACGAAAATGACTGAGTTGTTTCTCCTTTTTAAAACGCCGAGTGATGTCATCAAACTCTCAGCCAATCACATTGGAGCTGCTAACCTGATACATTCAGCTAAAGCGGGTTATCGACTCGTTACAAACACATAAAACGGCGAAGTGTTTATTTTTCAGCTCTTACTTTGTGAATCCGTGAGTGAAATCATTTTGGCAAAAGCTGTAGGGATCTCCAAAAACGCCCAAATGAGACTCAAAATCCGCTGCTGTTTGGGAAAACTGATGCTACAATAGCGGCAGCGACGATGGCGATAGCGGTCTGCTACGCCGCCACGTCTTCCGGAGCCACGCACGAACGTAGTCTACAAAGATCGTCTATTCAGGCAGATGGTTTCTGTCTCTTTCCATCTTGACCAATATTTTACTTTTTGCCCCCACTCTTAATGTGTATGTTCTATGGGCCCTATTGTGTGATAATAAATATCCACACAAACTTTATAACTATTTCCGTCAACATCCATGGTACACAGGCAGCGAGAGAATCAACCAATCCAATCAATCAATCAATCAATCAATCAATCAATCAATCAATCAAAGGGCAAAAGGCATACACTTAAGAAGGGCTTGATTTTGTGGAAAGAGGAGTGTGAGGAGTGAGGAAACGTCATTTTAAAACTCAGGATAAGGAAACACTGGAGGTTTAGGTTAAAATCTAAAAACAAAGTAAAATAGAAAGAAATTTAAGAAATAAAAGAAATGAAATAAAAACAGCTGTAAAAGATACTAAAATAAGAGCACCAGTAATCATTATTCTCTTTAACTACTTTTTTTGTTACTTTTTGTTTGTTTGTTTGTTTGTTTGTTTGTTTGTTTGTTTGTTTGTTTGTTTTACATGTGAGATAATCGAACAGAGTGAGACCTCTTCATTTTTATAAAAAACGATCTTTACATACATAGGACGTTGAAATACGTCAGGAGTGCGCAGGAATTACGCCGTTACCCATGCACCCAAACTTTACAGCAACCGTTTTCTACTAGATCCCCTAAAATGTGCACATTAATAGCAAATCACTACACAAACTTAATTTGTATCTTTAAAAATGCCAATACGAGAAATACACTGAGTGTCGTTTTTCGTTTTGGAGGGAACGGAACTACACCTCCCAAGAGGCTTTGCGTTGAGGAAGAGCGCAATCTCATATTTAGACGTGTTCAGGAGTTTGTGTGAAAGCAAAAAGACCTCATTCGGACCGTAAACTGCTGCTTATTTGCAAATATGTACGGTTTAGACTCTCTTGTATTCATCTGACACATCTCACACCGAGTTTGTCTCCGTTGTGAAGACAACATGGGGACAGCTTTTGCCATTGGTCTTGTTTTTATCGGATGCTGTAGTAATGTGGTGTCTCTGGAGCTGCTTGTAAGGTCAGTGCCAAACTTAGACTCTAATGAACCCATGTCGATTTCACCACACGAACATCTACACAGCTCAGATTTTAGTTTGCCTTCTTCAACTATTTATTTCCGTACAGTGTAGTTTACACAGATTGTTGTGTTAGATGTCATTAAAGATGCTCAGTTTAAAATTGATTTTAATGTCAGGCTAAACGACTGCTTACAACATCACTTGTACATTTAGGTCATATAGTTTATTTACAAAGTGCTCTAAAGCTCTAATCAGGCAGAGTTCAAATCAGGGGTGTCAAACTCAACCACCTCAAGGGCGATAATCTGGATTTAGGTCTAACATGAGGGCCAAACAGGGTCAACATTTAACGAAAACTGTCTACCTCCTTTTCAAAAACTATGGAACAAAAACAGCGGTGATTATAAATCATTTGAAAATTCAAACAAAAGATAAATTTGAAGACAATCTAAGATAGAAATTTTTATTTTATTTTAATTTTTTATTCTAATTTTATTTATTAGTTCAAAAGATCAGAGCATGATATTAAAATAGAAAAATAATGCTTTTAAAGAGGAACTACATGAGGAGAGTGTTGAAATCAGGTTTAAAAGGTCAAAATATGACTTAAAATTTAAAATTATAATCTAAAGTATAAAAATGAAACAAGTTTAAATACTGAGTTGAACAAAATCAAAGCGTGAAATAAAAATTTCAATCATATTTGACTTGTAATCTTGAAATGCAAAATTGAAAACATCAAATAAAACATCAAATATTTTTCCCTCACATTCTTGGCTATTTATCAAATCTTCCTTACTCTTTAATATCCCAGATTTTTGTGGCTTATTAAGGACATTTTAAATAATGGTGCTAAAGTTTACATTATTAAAGTGGAGGAAATCTGCAGACATCATGCAGGTGGGCCAATAATAATACAAATATGATATGATCTTGTGGGCCAGAAATAATTGTTCCACAGGCCAGATTTGGGCCCCGGGCCTCAAGTTTGACACCTGTGGTTTAGATGAGTGTTTGAGGTTGGATCCAATTAGTTTCCTAATTCATTATATCCGGCATTGATCCGGATATTTAACACGTTTACAACAACAGTGCAGAAATAAGGGGAAAGAGGTGCAATAGATTATTGATCAGCTGTGAAAGACAGGCTTGTTGAGTAGTAATATAACCATGAGGGAAATTGTCCCTGATAAATACATGTGAAAAAAAATGTTTGTCAACAACACCAACTCAACTCAACCTTGTTTGTAAAGCACTTTAAAACAACCACAGCTGAACAAAGTTCTGTACATAAATAGACAAAACAACGCAGACATAAAAAACAATCAAAAAACAATAAAGAATGGATAAAATAAAAGCAGATATTAAAAAGTAAAATGTAGTTTCAATGTTTTTAAAAACTAATTTAAAAACAGAAACAAATAACTAAAAACCAACCATAAAACACTAAAACAGGAGCCAAGTCTCATACAGGGTTGAAAGCCAATGAATAAAAATGGGTTTAGTCTTAAGCATTCCTCCAATTACCCATAAAATGTAAACAAAATGAAGCTTGACAAACCAGAAGACAGATTAAACAGCCGAAAACCTGCTGATACAACAACAGAGCCACAAAGGTGCATTTCTGTATAAACAGTGTGTCCGTTCCTACATCCAATGACAACCTAGTAATTCTAATTCCACTCAAGATGAAAAAATTATAGAATATGTTGTTCTAATAAAATAATTTAAGCTGAAAAAAGTTCTTTAAAAAGTGCTGCTTTTCTCCAATTTCATTTTATTAACACAATCGAGGATATATGCCTTTACCTTCTCCCCTCATCCATAAAGACATGTTCTCCATTTTCTTAAGTATGAAGTAATCAGTGTTTTGTGGTAACATAATTTAAATTGTACATCCTCATCTACACTCCCTGTGCTGTGAAAAGTTGCCATTTTGTCTGTTGTTGTTTCTGTGCTGCAGAGAGTTTCCAGGATGCGGCAACATCGTCACCTTCTCTCAGTTTTTGTTCATTGCCTTAGAAGGTTTCATTTTTGAAACAAACTTTGGGAGGAAGAAACCAGCGATCCCCATAAGGTAAAAAAAAAAAAACAGCTTGTTTTTAGAGGTTGTGAAGATTAAGCTCAAACTAAACTGCTGTGTCTCTTTAATTTCCAGTAACTATGTGATCATGGTGACCATGTTCTTCACTGTCAGTGTGATCAACAACTATGCACTGAACTTTAACATCGCCATGCCCTTACACATGATCTTCAGATCGGTAAGAAATGTTAACTTTTTGCTTTTGACCTCAATTTTAATCTATCACCTCCACTTCAGTTGCTGTTTTGTTTCTTTAAAGGGATCACTCATCGCCAACATGATCTTGGGAATAATCATCCTGAAGAAAAGGTAAACCTGCTTAAATCAACCATCATCAATCTGCCCTGGTATAAAAATGAATTATTTCAGGTTGCAGGTTACAACAATAATGACTTTATTACTTTTTTAACTAAAGCTACAAGTTCCAGAGTCGATAACCAGCTATGTTTTGATGCACAAAGGTTTATTGAAGACTTAGTTCACTCCACACAGCTGGGCGAGACCAAAGCTTAGGTGTCTCTTATGTAAATCACACTTAAAGACAGTACACCTGGACAATAGCCTGCTGTGCACTTTTTTCACATTTGTTTGTCTCCTATTCAAACCAGGTAATATGTTTTCCTTTCTGTCTGCAGGTACACAGCGAGTAAATACCTGTCGATAGCTTTAGTCTCAGCTGGTATCTTCATCTGCACTATCATGTCTGCCAAACAAGTGGTGAGTTGTCTGCTTTATCACAAAAAATTGCAGCACTCATTTTATTTGATTAGTGTACACCTGTGACAACACAATCCATAATAATGAGCTGTAAATGATTTACACATGCCCACTTTTTCCTTCTTAATTTACAGATTTAATCTTGACTTCTGTTTATTGTCTTAAATGTACCTGTCTCCTTTCTGCAGAATGTGGCCAATGAGGGAGCAGAGGAGCAAAGCTTTCATGCCCTCATGCACTGGCTTTTAGGTGAGTTTAAACTGCCACTCCACTGACACAGCTGTGGCTCAGCTGTCTAAAATATTTAGCAGTCTAAAATATTCAACGCTTGATTTGGAATAGAGAAAAAAAAGACACTTTTAATATAATTTTTATTATCATCTTGAATTAGAAATTCACTATATTAAGATCACACTCTTTGCTTGTGATAACTTCAACAATTGATGATTTAAGTCAAGCTAATAAACAAAGTTTAATAAACAAACCAAAACAACCAATCTTTGATTATCCTTAGAGTTACAATTAGCCTTCTGAAAACAGCGGAGAAGTCCAACACAAATGACAATTGAAGTCAACATGATGACAAATTACCCGTGTTTTTCTCATTTTGTTGATTTCTGTCTGTCCAGGTATTGCCATGTTGACCTTTGCCCTGCTGATGTCAGCAAGGATGGGTATTTTTCAGGAGACGCTGTACAAAAAGTATGGGAAACACTCCAAAGAAGCTCTCTTCTATAATGTAAGTTTTCTTTCTGCAAGGATAATAATACTGCAGCGGGATTCAAACTTCCTCCTTGGAAATAAAGTTTGACTCAGTTTGTCTCTCCTCTCTGTTTGTAGCACTGCCTGCCTCTGCCGGGCTTCCTGCTGCTCTCCACAAACATCTACAACCACGCTGTTTACTTCAGTCAGAGCAGTGAGTCTCACGGCTTCATTCACCTCAGAGACAGCTGTGCGTCCTTACTCATGTTCATTAATCTGTTCTGTTTTCAGCTCCTGTGGTTGTTCCTGTAGTTGGACACTCGGTGCCAATAATGTGGGTCTACTTGGTGGTCAACGTCATCACACAGTATCCTGTCAGAAAAAAGTCTTGAGCACTTATTTATTTATTGCTATAAATAAAAAAAGAAAGTTCTGGAGAATCTGAGGTAATACACTGAAGGGTAGATATTTTTTATTTGTCGCCAAGATATTTACAAGAATATCCATAAGCAAGAAACCCAGAAGAGATCGCATTGATTTAGCATTTAGCTCCCCTCCGATTGGTCCTGCTGACCGGGCCCATTATCCAATCCGCAGCTGTCCTGTAGAGTCACAACCACTCGCGTGCGCACACACACACACACTACCAAACATGGTCAAAGGCAGCACAGGTAGCCGCCCTGAGAGAAGCGACACAGCTGCAGCCGTAACAGTAATAGTAAATATAGTAATAGTAGCATAAGTAATTATATAATGTATAAACATACATAATTTATAAACATAAATAGGAGTTGATAAATAGCACTATTGATAACTTTGGGTGCATCACATCATAGTGAAGCAACAAAAGGCTTTTTAAAAACACTTAACTGATCAAATACTGCAGGATTTTTATTGTTTGTATTCTTATTTATTGTTCAGTTTTCTCATCTTACCCCGGTTTAATATGAAACTGTAACAAATACATTGTGTTTAAGGATTCACAAAAGTGCAGCTCTTCAAAGGACATAGACAGACAACCTAACCACAGATGTCCTAGTCTTGTAAATCTCCATTCATGTGTTCACATTCTTGTTACAGACCATGACCAGTTTTTTCTCAGGTATGTGTGTATCCGTGGCGTGTTCATTCTGACCACAGAGTGTGCCTCGCTCACCGTCACTCTGGTGGTGACTCTGAGGAAGTTCTTCAGCCTCATCTTCTCCATCCTTTACTTCCAAAACCCCTTCACCACCTGGCACTGGGTGGGCACGGCTGTGGTGTTCCTAGGTACCCTGCTGTACACGGAGGTGCTGAGCAGTGTGCACGCTGCTCTGCGAGGACCTGAAGTCAAGGAGAAGAAGACGGAATAAAGATGGAAACTTGAAAACGAAGATGTAACAGAGACTGTTAGTGGAGTAGAGAAAAATCAACCATGGTGCTGGGTTCAGATATTGTTTTTTGTCAACTTTCCTCCATTATTTCATAGTTTTTACATTTTTCACACTTACCTCCTTTCATACGAAACAGAACATTTTGAAGAATAAAGCTGGTGATATTCTATACTTTGAGTACTGCTAATAAATCCCAGACCAAAGACCAGGAATCTGTATGTATTGATCCATAAAATGATTCTTTTCTGCCCTGTCTGTTAGTCAACTTAAAGGATATTTGTTCCTAGTTTCTCCCAACTCTGCAGCTTTCTCATGGCACAGCAGAGCATATTTACTGTACACCAGAACAAATGTCATTCAGAAGAAAAACTTGTTTTGTTTTTCCCATAAACCCATGCTGTAAACCTCCGCAGCTAACTGTGATTGGCAGCTTGAGCAGTAGAAGGCAGACATTACCCTTCAGCATGAGGTGGAGACCAAAAACAGAGCTGAAAGAGAGTAAATATTGGACTGGGTTTTAGCAGGTGTAACCACAGACAAGCTAAACAATTGCTATGATGAATTGCTGTCCTGTTACCGCTGGATGTGTTAACCAGTAACCTGTGAGCTGACAGCTGTAAGACTCGTTCACAAACCCCTCCAAAACAAACGCAGATGCAATTTTTACTATCAGTAAAATGTTTAAGTCATTTTGAAAGAAAAAACTTTGGGCATTTGATGGTTTTTGAGACGAACTTTGAGACTATAAAACAAATAATTGGATGGGTTCCGGAAAAACATGTTTTTAGATCCTCTTGATTAAGCAATTACCAGATTGATCAATTATAGAAATAGTGAATTCCTGAGGTACTATAAGACTATGTCATTTTGGAACAAGTTTAAGATGTGGATGAACACCTATGGTTGCAAGCAGAATACTTTTTATAATCAACTCCGACTAAACTGTGTATTATGAGGGCACAGTTTTCTTTAAGTTGGTGACGCTTTGGCTACTTGCTGACTGTCTTCTTTTAATAATTTTACATGATTAAAAATACAAAGTATAAAAAAACCCGCAGAATATCACCAGCCATGTTCTTATCTCTGTGTCATTGTTAGTATCCAGAGACGTAAGATGATGTTTTTTGTCTACAGTGCTGTTTCAATATTTATTTCTTTATTATGACAGCTAGTTTACTTGAATGCTGACGTACTTAAAGTGGATTACACTGAACACACTGACGGGATGCTGAATGCAGGCTATGCATTTATGAGAGAGACAGTGTGATTACACAGAGGGATTATTAATGTGGTAGCTGTAACTGTTTTTCTTATGTGACAGATTGTATCAGGTGTACTCAACCAGTGGAAATCTGTACTGTTCAATAAACCTTCACACTCCCTGCGCACTGATGATAAATTATGTGCACAATGTCCTGAGGGATTAAAAGGTAATCAAGTAACACCCACATAAATTCAATGATAAAATCTACACCTATCACTCCTTTTTCATTCTATTTTCATTCATTAGTTTTTATTTGTCAACAGCACTGATAAGTTGATGTACACATTATTGCATCAAACATTGTTTCATGTTTTTTCTAAAGTGGACTTTTTTACCTAATGTAATTTTTCTTTTGAATTATATCAGTAGGTTTTGATGTTTAGTTTTTTTTTACATTTTTACAGAAATACTATGTTGACCCATTTTAAGGTGGAGGTGTTGGCTGAAGCTATGCTGGGTCTTACTGGGACTTTTTTTGTTGTTGTTGTTGTTAAAATACTGGGTTAATGTTCACAAGAAATAAAGTTATTCTCAGAAAAAGGGAAAGTATCATTTCCATCACTGATCTTATAAGGATTGGGGTTTAAAATGCCTCATTGCAGGCTTTTTCCCCCCAAATGGCAGGGAATTATGAAGAAACTACAATGCTTCAATTAACCAAGTTAATTTTGTGATATCAGATAGATAGATAGATAGACAGACTTTATTGATGCCAAACTGGGTAATTCTGATGTTACAGCAGCAAAAAAACACACAATAAAATTTAATATAAGAAGTATGTAAAGGCAGTATGTAAGTATGCAGACTAAAAATGCTAAATATATACAATAAATACAGACTAAATATACTAAACAAAGCACTAAGAAACTCAGATTGAGTTTTCTCTGTAGCTGCAAAGTAATTTATGTTTAACAATCTTTCTTTAAGCGTAGTTTTGTCAGTTTTATTGCATTATTTAAGCAAGAACACTATGTTCCTTCACTGTTTATTGTCTGGAAAACCTTAAAAGTCCAATCAGGAGAGGCTTTGTTGCGCATTAACCAATAGCAGCTGCCGTTGTAAGCACGCGGCGGGGGGAGTGGCAGATAGTTGCAGCAGCACAAGTTGATATCAGTGAGAGGTATTTAATCCACGCAGCGTGGAATAAAAGTACTCACAGTGTAAACACAGAGCCTGCTGAGGTTTGTGTCCACGGGAGTGTGGATGGGGGGAAACGGCCCGAGTCATTTCTCCCACGAGGAGGGGGACGATGGAGGAGTAACGTTTGTGAAGGGCATTCGGGTGAGTGGAAAAGATCCGACCGAGGGTTCAATTTTAAAAGTGGAGAAAGAAAACAGTCTGTAAAAGGAGCTGAATGTAAACACACAGTTCTTGCAGAGATTTTTAATTTTTTCATCACATGCATGAGTTTTGATATTTAATCTTCCTTCAGGACTCTATTTTATTCATCGCTCTGGGTCAAATGTGGAGTGAGTGTCTCCGCCCCATGTTTGTTTTCTGTCCACACAGTCGGTGGTCGAATTTGTGCTGAAGGTGGAAAACATTTAGAGAAATTAAGGTGCAATTCAGTTTTTATGACTTACATGAATCTACACTCAAAGACACTATTTTCAAAAGAAATATCAATATCATTAAAACAGCTTTAAATAAATGAATGAAACCTTTCAATCTTCTAGTGGTTATAGGAAATGTTTTTAAGTTTTCTTACACTGTCTCTGATGCCGCTCAAAGTTGACTTTTAAAAAGTGTCCCAAAATTGATTTAATTTAATCAAAGTTATTTTCAGTAACTTATGAACAAATAATCAATCAATCAATCAAATTTTATTTATACACAACTGTCTTCATCCCAAGACTACGGTGGCTGAGAACCGCCACTGCTGCAAAACAAAAAAAAAAAGAAGTCCCAACAGAAGTTACTGATGCAAAAAAAAAACAAAGTTACAGATGGAAATAAAAAAAAGAAACAGTGCAGATAAGAAAGCCACAACGGAAGCTAATTCCATTGTGGCTTTTTTTATTTGCATCCTTTTATTTTCGCAGTAAGTAACTTTTTTTTTTTTCTTTGCATCGGTAACTGTCATTGAGACTTCTTTTTTTTGTACTCTTTTATTTGCGGCAGTGGCGGTTCTCGGCCACTGTACAAGACGCTTTCCCAAAAAAAAGAGCAGGTCTAGACCGCGCTCATTGTTTGATGAATTATTATTATTAAGACCCAACCTAAGATGGGACAGATTTGACCCATCTCATCTAACATGATGTGGTAAGGAAAAAAACTTCCTTTAAACAGGCAGAAACCTTGAGCAGGACCAGACTCATGCTAGACAGCCACCAAGCCACTGCTGGGTAAGGGAGGAATACAGAGAGATAAGGGAGAGAGAGGAGTAGGTGAGAGGGCAGGGGGAGAGAAAGAGAACAAGATAAAGGGAAGGAGAGAGAGAATAGAGAACGAGGGTGAGAGAGACAGAGAGAGAGAGAGAGACGGGACAACAGCAACATCAAAACAACAGCAACAACATCAGCTCATGCAAAGTTGTGTTTGTAGAGTAAGTAATGACGAAACAAATGATGTAACATAATTCATGAAGATCTTAAAGACTGATTATCCATCAATTCGTCCTCTTCTTTCTTCCTTCCTTTTCCCCCTGCTCCATACAGTATCCTTCTTGTTGTTCCTTGTCACAAAGCTGTAGATGTTTAAGCTTTAAGGGTTTGTTGTTTATGTTTTAGAAACTTTAACCTGAGTTATTTTTTTCAGTTTTCAGTCTCTGTTTGCATTTTGTTGCTTTCACTGTGGGCAAGTATTGTTCCCACTCTCAGTGTGAATGTAGTGTTCAACCTGCTTGGAGGAACATGTCAGAGACAAACTGTGGTCTGTCAAACTTAAGGATTTATTAGTATTTTATCAGAGTGTGAGGACAGCTTTGGCGTTGAGTTCTTTAAAGCTTCAATTTGAACCTTTTCTCATTTCAGCTGTCGGACAAAGTCATCAACCGGATGAAGCAGTCGTCACAAGCCACCTGTCCCAATTTCTCACAGAAGGAAAGTCCTCCTCCACCTGTAACCCAAATCTCCACCCCTGTCCCCGCTCCCTCGGTTGAACACCTGATTCCTCTTCTGACACCTCTGCCTCTTCCACCAATCACTGCTCCCCCACCGCCTGAGGAAGCTCCTCCTGTTAAACTCATCCCTCCTCCACCAGTGAAGTTTCATTCCCTTCCTCCACCCACCTCTGAGGAGCCAGCAGACCTGTCTCCACCTGCAGAGCCACAAAGTCCCCCTGTTTCTGACCCTGTTGTCTCAGCACCACCTCCACCTCTATCTGTAACTACTCCACCAGTGGAGGCAATTGTTGAGCCTTCACCACCACCTCCTCCTCCCTCAGCCGTAGCAGAGCCAGTGATTTCTACTCCTGTTGAGCCAGAAACACCACCCGCCCCCATCAAAACAGAGCCCATTGTTGAAGCAGTTGTCATACCCCCACCTGTGGAGTCCATCCCTGTAGCTGCACCTACACCTCTGCCCTCTGAACTTGTAAAAGAAACTCCTCCAGCTTCCGTTGAACCTGTTGTTCTACCTCCACCTGTGGAGCCACCTCCAGCTCCTCTTGCACCACTTGAACCATTAGCTGCATCGCTGCCCTCTGAAGCAACGCCTACATCTGTAGTGGAATCTGTTGTAGTTCCCTCTGTTGAACCTGTTGTCCTTCCTCCACCTGTGGAGTCACTCCCAGCTGCTGTAACTCCACCTGAACCATTACCTGCATCTCTGCCCTCTGAACCAATACCTCCAACTGCTATTGAACCAGTTGTAGCTCCTTCTGTTGATGAACCTGTTGTTCTACCTCCATCTGTTGAACCAACTCTTGCACCACCTGAACCTTTAGCTGCATCTCTGCCCCCTGAACCAACACCTACCATCGCTATCGAACCTGTTGTCTTGCCTCCACCTGTGGAGTCACCCCCAGCTGCTGCAACTCCGACTGAATCATTAACTGCATCTCTGCCCTCTGAACTTGTGACTCCAGCACCTCCAACTGCCATTGATTTGGAAGCCGTGGCTCCCTCTGTTGAACCCATTGTCTTGCCTCCACCCTCGGAAACTCCCCCAGCCTCACCTGAAACTTTGGCTCCATCTCCACCCCTTGAAATTGAAACACCGCCATGTCCAACCAGTCCTGAATCTGCTGCAGCTGCTCCTTCTGTTGAACCAACACCACCTGTGGAAACAGTCCCACCTCCACTCGCTGTTGAATCCACACCAGTTGAACCAATAACTCCACCCGCTGTAGATCTAACTGAGGTTGAAGCTGTAGTTTTACCCCCACCGGAGGACATTAGCCCTGTGGAGCCTGTGGTGCTACTTGTTGCTGTCGAAGAAGTTCCTCTCTCTGTGACCCCAACTGTTGAAGCACCACCTCCACCTCCTCCTGCTCCTGAACCAGTGGCAGCACTGGACCCTGCTCCAGAGCTTTCTCCTCCACCCTGTCACTCTATGGAGCTGGCGATCATCCCTGCTGATGCCCCTGTAAGTGAGCCCCTCATGGAGCCTCTAGCACCACCTCCACCTGATGTAGCTCCACCTGCTGAGGAGCCCAAAGTGATCCTGTCTCTGCCACCTGTGATTGAGGATGAAGTACCTGTTGTGGCCATAGTTCCTCCACCTCCCGCAGGTAAACCTATTACAATGTTTTTAAATGCAGTTTAAAACAAATACAACATAATGTTCAGATGTGTTGTTGTTGTGTTTGGGTGTAGCTCCACCTGCATCTCCTGAAGAGCTGGAGGAGAAGTTGAGACTGTCGATTAAAGGAGACCTGCAGAAGACTTTGGAGGAGGAGATCAGCCTGAGGAGACAGGAGCTGCAGCGACAGTAAGGACAAAAACTCCCCATCAATCTATCAATCAATTAATCAAAATGTTCTTATATCTGAAGCTAAGGTTGACTCAAAGCTTCAAAGACCACATCTACAAGGTCTTCAATAAAGTTAGTTTTGTTTTGTAGAAATTATAAAATTAATGAGAAACTTTATTCCAGCTGGGGCTGCAAAGGTTTATTTACCCTCAGTCGTCTTTTCTCACATCACATACTGTATGAAAAGTTGGTCTAAGATTCACTTAATTCATGTTGTTCGTTCAAGTGTCTAACTCTGTTGGTTCAACTCTAATTCTAATGTTTAAAGGGCTAATCACAATTTAAAGGGATATTCTGGCGTAAAATTAAGTAAGGGTCAAACACACCGTAACACTGAGTTAGGACACCCTGTCAGGAGATGAATGTTGCTGACTGCTTGCTTCTCTAGTTATACCAACTTTAGTAACGACTGCAGATAGCAATACAGAGAGCCACGCGCTCAACCAAAATGCCACAAATAATGCTCAGAACAGCACCTAACTTCATCAACAGTACATATAGAGTCCCAGCCACAGAACTAGCCACCAAACATCTTTTTAGCTTTTCCTAATTTCTTTAACAAAGAGACTAAACACAACTCACCTACTTTCTTCCAGCAGCAGCCACTTGTTTGTAGAAAGATCTCAGACGAGTCCATTACTACAGCGGGGTGCCACAGCTCAAGGAAGAACATTTATGATCATTTCAAATGATCATAAATATTCTTTTTTGAGCTGCCTCACCCCGCAGCAGTCCATAATGGACTGGCCTGAGGTCTCACTACAAACAAGCAGCGGCTGCTGGAAGAGAGTAGGTGGTCGTTACTAAAGTTAGTATAACTGGAGAAGCAAGCTGTCGGCAACATTCATCTCTTGAGGGGGTGTCTAACTTGTGTTATGGTGTTTGACCCTAACATAATTTTATGCCTCAATATCCCCTTAATTCATGTTGTTTGCTTTAGTGTCTAATTCTGTTTGTTCAACTCTAACTCTAATGTTTTAAGGGTGAATCACAATTTTAGTATCAGAGGTTAAAACTGAGTTCTGGTGTTTTGTGGAAGGCTGGATGAGATGAGGGCTCACGCCACAGCAGAGGCCAAAACGGCGGCTCAGGCTCAAGTGGAGGAGCAGGTGAGAAAGGCGTTGGAGGCGGACAAACCTGGCTACCTGGAGAACCTGAAGGAGGCCATCATGAGGGAGCGCATGAATACTGAGGATCAGAGGCTCATGGTGCAGCTTTACGTAAGCGCAGCAAACATTGACGACCTGTACCTGTGTGTCGGGATCTCTCTTTTTTTTTCAACATAAAACTCTTCACTCCCCTTAATGTGCCTCTTTTCCTTCCCTTGCTCTCGCCTTGTTTCAGTGGATGGAGGTGAAGGTAAGATGGGAGAGAATTTATATCTGCATGACTCACTTTTCTCACTTTTCCTCCTGAACTAATCACTGTGAAAACAGCAGCTGCACAGATGTGCTTGACCTGAAAGAAAAAACAAAAAACAAGAAAGAAAAAAAGCAACTAATTTGTGGAGATTTGGTGTCAGGATCTGTACAGTACTTGACAATGAAATATAATATTGGCATGAAAATGAAATGGCTGGTCTTTGAGATGCAGTGAAGTGATGATTAATATATTAACCCTTTACAGGCTCATCAGCTTGAGGAGAGGGAGAAAGACTTGAAGAAACGAGATGCTCTCTACAAGGAACATATTGCAAAACTTGAAGCAAAGGTGAGCGACATTTCACTTACAGAGGGGTTTGCCTTGATTTAAAACTGTAGCAGTAGTATTTACTCTCCCAAATGTTTAAAGCTGTCACAATCTATGAAATAAAAAAATGGCATTTAATACTGTTGACAGTGTGAAATGGCTAACCCTTTAGTTATCTCAGTTTCCTCTCTTGAAGCACCATTTTCAGTATCAAAAAGCCCTTAAACTTACTGTCCAACTCCTCATAAGCACCAAAGGACAGGAAGTTGACAATGACTTTTATTCATGAGGGGCAGAGTGCACCAGCTGCTGGATGTATTCCCCAAGCATAGCTCTGTATTCAACTTAAAGCTTAAAGTTACAACCAGCTTAAAGTCAAGCTCTATGCACCAGCTAGACTTAGGTTCTATGTGGGTGTAACTTTAACATCTGGGAAGAAGCAAGCACACATCTGTAGAGTCAGACCAGTCAGTCCGGTCAAAACTATGCAAATAAAAAAAAGTAACGGTCACAAAACCTTTAAAAATATGCTGTTAGTGCCCTCTGTTAACAGAAGTGTGTAGAGCCAAGAGAGTCTGTAGTCTGTGGTTGGACTCAACTCAGAGAGTGAGCTCATTTTGAGGTTTCCTTTTGAAACCCTGCTGTAATAGATTCTGTCCCCTAGACTTCAGCATGTGTTAGTTAGAAACACATTGCTGTCCCTGCCCTACAAATGATGTATTCTCTCAGGTTTTATACAAATGAGGCTGTCAGCTCCAGGTTATTCATACTCTTCTCTTCTCCTGTAAAAGGGGATGTTATCTATGTTTGCCATCTTTATCTTATTTATCTTAGTTTATTTCGCACACAACCTTGTTACTTGACAATACTCACTGTTAAGCATAACCATGAACAGTCCTAATCAGGCCTGATGCATGGTTTGAGTTCAGGTTGTAGACTGTATATAGAATGGACGTTGTCTGCCTCCTCGCTGGGTGAAGCCACTTCGAGAACAGCACCCTCTGGTGACGGGCTGCAGTATAGGTCATAAATCCCGCCTCCTCCAGCAATCCTTATGGAGTTGTGGACAAACTTTAGAAATTAATTACACAGAATATAAATGTTTCTCCCCCCTGGTTGTGATGTTGACATGTAGTTACAGTAAGACTGGTTTGTGCTCAAAGTCCTCTTTTCTTCTGTGCATCTGTTTTTAAAAGTTATTATGGGGTTCATGTTTCCTATGATTGAAAGGGAAAAAAAAGAAAACTGTTTCTAAGAAACTGAAGACACATTGAATATCATTCAACTATTGACAGTTTGTGTCCGAATCCAGCTGTACTATCTTAATGTGTTTTTCAGTGCACTGAATTTTACAAAGTGTCGGCTGAGAGCTACCAGAAAGGCAAAGAGGAGACTCACAATCGTTTTAAGTAAGTTAAAAATCATCTGTGTTTATTTAGCTGTTATACTTATCTGCACATTTTCTTAGTAATATAATGCATAAGACAGGTTAGTTTGGATGTGGTCCTGGTAATAAATCAGCATCACATTTGCAGAATTTACCTTTTTTTTTTTTTTTCCTCTCAGGCGTTTCAGCATCCAGCCAGTGTGTGGAGACCTGCAGAGTCAGATTTTAAAATGCTACAAGGAGAACACAGGAAAGACTCTGTCCTGCTCCAACATCGCCTCAGCGTACATGCAGTGTGTGGACAACGCCAAGAAGGTGCGGTTTGATAAACATCAGATAATTAAAACATTTAATCTGTGTCTGGTGGTATTTTCATCGATGTCTGCCCTCTGTTTACAGAATAAATTGAGCCCTGGAGGTTAAAGCGGACCACTTGACGAGGACGTTGACGTCTCACAGCTTTATTGTTTCAGGAGAATCATCTACAGCCTTTACTGGAAAAGAAAGTGCCATATACTTTCACACGGGTCTGCTTTCAGCGTCACAAACACGGTGCTGTGTCTGTGACCTGTTTTCTGGGTCATTTTTAAACTAAATGTGCCACAACACTATCAGACGGATCGGAGCTCAAGTTTGTCAATGAGGCGAAGCGTAACGAATGCACAGAAGCTTAAGGTTGGTCATGAGTGATCGGTTGAACCACAGTAAAGTATGTTGGATGAGATATTTACCACACACTGAATGAGATGTGCTAATCATAATGTTTGTGTGCCTTAAAGTTGTTGAAGGTTCATTATCTGATTGCAAATGCATGAAGGAACACTATGAAAGACATGTACGTGTTTTAGATAATTGTGCTGTACATAAAGTGTTTCAGGATTTATTTCTGGTGCATGCAAATAAATAAATAAACAAACAAACAAACGTTGCTGTGAAGTGTTTGTGTGGGAGGTGGGGGGAACAGCAGTGGAAACTGATCCAAAAAAGTCTCTCTGACCACTAATTACATCGAAAAATTTGAATTATATTTTTTTATTATTCAACACATAAAATAAAGACTTTTTACATCAACAAATCTAAGATTTATGATCTTGATTTGTTTTTGAATTTAGTCTTTAAACCTGATTAATCCTACCATGTATAACTGATTTAAGTATAAGTATAGTTTGAGTTTTTCTTTCAATTCATTTACATTGAAACATAGAATAACGTGAGTTCAAATGTATTGGTGAACCTTCAGCAGCATGTTTTTAAAGCTTTTTGCAGCTTGAAAATACATCAGTCGTTTGCTGCAGTCCCCTGCTGGACACAGATTGAACATGCCACCACGGTGGTGTTGGTCTTTAGAAACAGAATGTTACAGGAACAAAATATGGAACAGAGAGACTGTCAATAAAAATGTCACCACTAGAGAGAGCTCCCACTGTTGTCACTGGCTGTTGTTTGCCTTTCCCATCTTCCAGCATCAAATGTGGAGGAACAAGCTGGGGCACCATCAGGGATTCTAGTTCCCGGGAAGGGACATCGTATTCAGCCCCACCATGTCCCTATCATTGTGAATATGACCCATTAAAAGCTGTTAAAAGCTAGAACTTTAGGTATTCAATAACAACAATAAGAGAAAACCAAGTATTCCCCACCCCTGTCAGAGAAATCTCTCTAGTATTTTTATCCTTAAACACTTTCCGTCTCCCTTTTTCTTTTAGCATTTTCTCTCACCCTCTCTTCTTCCCATGAACCAGCTAGTATCAGCTCTTACACCACTGAGCTGTCAGTGCTCTCTAGTTTGGGGGGAGATTATATTTCCTGATGCTTTACATGAATTCAAAAGCTTTTACTCACATTCAGGTGGGAAGAAGCCAGCACATCAGCACATGTCAGAGCCCTAACACAGCTATACTGCTATGAAGTGACAGTGCTAACCATCTCAGTATCATGCAGCTTTTCAATGCAGTATGCACACTTTAACATTCGACTTTATGCCATTATTTAGACTGTAACACAGTATGTTGCTAAATTTTGTGTCTTCTGTTTTGGAAAACCTCAGTGTAGCTAAATCGAGGACTTGCATGTCCTTGATCTAACATATGAAGAGAGTTGGTCTCATCTAATTTTAGGTACAGCATGTCCTGGTTCTATATGAAGAGGAAGTGAGTGTTTGCCTGTGCGTGTGTGTGTGTGCGGTTATGTGCATGCATGTACTTGTGTTTGTGCGGACATGTTGAGGGATATCTCTGTTTCCTGCAATTTACTTCCAGTAGATCAAATTAAAGGATTACATGCTGTACTCTGTTTTAGCACGCTGAGCTACCGTTGCTTCACCACTTTTTCTTCAGACCATTTCACAGCCTCACTCACTCGCTGCTGGAGAAAAGTTTTGAAAAAGTAAAACAGAAGTGAAGTTGTGGTCTGGACCGGACCTGACATCGAGTTCTCTCATTACCACAGAGGAAGCAGCAGCAACTCAAAGCCCACTGTTTATGTGCGGCTTTTCAAGTTTATGCTGAAAAGTGTTGCAAGCTCAACATAACGTAATTATATTAGAGCACACTTATGCAGATTTTTTTCAAGTCCAGCTGTGTTTGTATCTATATTTGATCTGCTTTTCTGGTCTAATGCCGCACAAACACATTCAGCAAAAAGCAAACAGGAGACATTTTCTTATTGTGCACTCAGCATCTCAGGAAACTCAGTATCATGTTTGTTGTTTGCGGCACATTCTCCTCTTCCACAAGGATTTCTGAATGGATCATTGACAGAGTCCTTGAACTGATCGATTATTTGTTGATTCCTCGTAACCAAAATTATAAACACAAACAGATTAAAACTTTTTTCTTATACAGCCAAGTAACCCACTGTATGATATTATCAGTAAACAACTATCACTATGAGAGGTAAAGTTGTAGTAAAAGCTGTTTTACGGTGAAGGCACGACACAACACATGAATATCTTGGAAAGCAGAATCTGGTTCATTGCTTGTTAGTTTCACTCATACAATGAACTTTCTCAGTGCTTCAGTGCAAACACAGAAATATATCAAAACAAGTCAAAACTGGTAAACATAGTACTCCCATTGTTGTGGCACTTAGATGGAATAAAATACGAGACAGACAGTAAATGATAAAACTAATAAATTATGTAAAATGTACAACCCTGATTCAAACTTATTTCATATTTGGTGTCGGTGTCACCTTTGAACACCGTTTGGACAAGGACAATAAAATACTGTAAAAGTTGAGCAATGCTGAAAAACACACCTGGAGATACATCTCCCAACTAATACATTACAGCAGGATAGAATCATGTATTAAAAGGCACTCAAAAAGAAGAGTCTCTTAGAAGTAAAGGTGAGAAGAGATTCACCACTCTGTGAGAGACCGGGTGAGGAAATTAATTTAACAATTTCTCAGTGATATTTCACAGCGTGAAACTGCAAAGTGTTCACAGATTGGATCATTTATAATTCATAATATCAACAAAATCTGGAGAAAATCTCTGTATAATAGTTGTGATTTTTGGTCCTTGAGGTTGTACTGCGTTAAAAACAGACATGACTCTTTAGTGGAAGTCATTGTATGTGCTCAAAATCACTCCATTAAAACATTGTCAAAGAGCACAGTTTGTTGCTGAATCAAAAAAATGAAGTTTAAAACTGGAAAACTTGGAAATCATGGACATCCTTCCCATAAGAGGGATGGTTGGGGATGCATACGTGTTCATAGCATGGTAAGTTTACTCATTAATGCTGAACGATAAACATAAGCTCTGAGCAGCAACTTATGCTGTAGCTGGAAAATGGCTTTCCATTGGTTTACTTTGCAAACCACATACTGCAGTGGGTAAAACAAATGGAAATGTTTGTTACTAGATGTTGCATTTCACATAGAAGAGTTGCAGCTGTAATCTTATCACCCACCCAGTGTTTCAGAAGCATTACTAAAACACTCCCATTACATTTAGATTAAAGTACATTATCTTACCAACATAACACATGGACACTTTAAATTTTTAAAACAAAGTATAAACTCTACTGCTGTCAGTTATTGACAGAATCACCTATTCTGTATAACTGCAGATCTGCAGAATACTACACAGAGTTTGTCGTTATGCAATCCTGTCCTCTCTCTGCTGGTGCTATAGTGATTGTTACCAAGGACGCATCTGAAACCTGACAAATGACTCGAGCCGCACTGTGACATAACACTGTTTATGTGCGTGTGTGTGTGTGTAAAGTGAGATATCTGATGGGAAATTACCCTGACAAGTCTTAAAGACACAGGTAAATTACACATCAGGTGAAAGAAAATCAACTTGTAATGGTTGGACACAAACAAAGCAAACATTAACACTTAATTTGCTACTTGATCTGATTTGTTTGTCTTTTGGTTTGGTATCAGCTTGTACAGCTATAAGATAGGAGACACAAAGATAGAAGTAAATGAATAATGGATCAACCTCTTATCTCTCTGCCAATGCTGTCCTGTGAACGCATGAAGAAAACAAATCTTTTGTTGTTTGTGAAATTTGTCTCTCTTGATAAAACACTACTGTGACAGCGCGCTGATGCTCGTTTTACTTGACACCTACCCCACAACAAGCACTAAAAATTACATTTCAGAAATGACCACTTTTGGCACTGATTGTCTTGCTCACTTTTGCAGCTCATAAACAAACACCAGTCTGTTTCGCAAACATGCTAAAAACTCCTTACGGGAGCTTTAATATGCCTATTTAAGATTTCACACCCATATATCTTTGGATTCAATTGAAAGCCAGTCAGCTTCACATGAAGACTGCAAACATGTATGAACATGTGTGTGAGGCCTACATTGGAGTGTGTAGACATACTTAGTGACAACACCCTTTGGTTTCTGAAGATGTCACCATATTGGAAATGCTCACTACCATAAAGAAGTCTTTACATACTTTAAATGTAGGTGAAGTAAAAAAAATCCATGTACAGCTTTTTGTGTAAAGACCTTTGGAGACCAGATCAGCCTTTAAATGGGCTGTTACCATGTTTACTGTCTTTATATAATATTGTGTAACAGGATTACCTTAACCTTGGAGCCAGCCTCAAGTAGAAACTGCAGCTTTTTGCACCTCACTATGAGTTTTATCTTCCCACTCTAGAGGTTGTCACTTGGTGTTCATGAAAATAAAAAAAAAAACGGTTGTGGTTGTGCAAAGTGATTTGTTTGGACCATCTCCAAGTCAATGCAATATTTTTTGGGATATTGTGGTTGTGTTGTGGTTTGGTAACCTCACCATGACATTAGGACACATCCCAAACCTTAGCCTGATACTTTTACAATTTGGTTTTTGCTTCGTTTTCACAAAGAAGCCATATTTGTTAATCTGAAGTTGTTGTTCGGTGGTTCCTAAAGAAGTCAAAAGAGCTCCAGCAACACCTGTCGTTCAGGAAAACAGCTTTATTTGACAGACGCGTTTCGGCTTGTGGCCTTCATCAGGGTCATGTTCGCAGGTTCCTGCCACATCTGAAAGAAGTCGAGCAAATTCACAGATAACAAGTTTTGGGACTGGTTTAGATCTTCATGTACACCTTAAAGACAGTACATGTTTTCTCATGACAAAAAAAAACTACTTTGTTGGTTTCTTTGACTCCTTTTTTTTTAATTTCCCAAACAGGTTCAAAAGTAAACATCCCTAAAAGCAGCCAAGCTAGTCCTGTGTAGCTCTCAGCTCAGCACTGAAACCGCCTCAATGTAGCTCTCTCTCTTTATCGAACAAACAGAGGCAGGAGAAGAGAAGTAGAGTAAAGAGAGAGGTATTTTTAGTCCCTCTGGATTCTTGTAGCTGAGTTTTGAGGATCAGGATGTTTTGTTCCTTGTGAAGACCAAAAATGTCAGAGTTTTCACAGGTGTTCGTGGCGCTTTTGAAGCTGTACGAGGATGATGGATGTTTGACAGCAGGATTAAAGTTCAGGCTTTGGCAAAGAAATGAAGAGTTTTCTTGAGGCTAAGAAGTTTAGGTGACTCAGCTCTCACAGCCACTTCCTTTGGCATCTCCAGGGCGGACGCATGAAAGGAGAAGAGGGAGCGACTCATCTTGTGGTCAGCTGACTCACAACGCAAGAACGGATACCGGGAAAGGAAGCACGTGCTGGGTGATGGCGTGTAAGCGTGTGTGTGTGTGTGTACTATGCCTTTGGTGTTTGACAGAGGCACAATTATTCCAATTCCCGTCACAGCAGAGGAATGCAGGCTGAGATTCCTGCTCTGTGAGTCGTGCCCTCTCACCTGCCATCACCATACGGATACTATTTCATCCTTCCTTTCCCCCTCAGCCGGGAATTTCCCATTTGTTAAGTTTTAACCCAGGGGAGAAGTTATAGTGTGTGTCGTACCATTCATAATGAGAGATTATAGGAAAAACAGAAGTTCCTGTATTCTTGATGCACAATTTATTTTGCTCATTTGGTGGAGGTGAAGAGTGAAACCAGCCCTAAACCATGGAAAACAAACTGAGCTGTAGATATGTGGTACTTCAGTAGAGTTTCAGAGCTGTCACGAACAAGAATGCAGGAAATCAATCAGGAGGATTATGTGGTCAAAGTGTAAATGGAGTAATCGCTTGTTTGCATTGGAGAGAGAGAGAGAGAGAGGATGCTTTGTCATGTGGGGTGTGTGTGTGTGTGTGTGATGGTAGTGGTGTTTGAGAAAGTGTGAGCTGCTACTGTGGATTTTATTTCCTGTTTGGTCACTAATCAATTCTGCCCCCTAAAAAAAAAAATAACACGTGTAACTGACTGCATTGTCATCAGTGCAGTGTTGACTCTGTCGTCGTTTACGAGTGTTTGTGTGTGTGTGGGAGTTCATGTTGACTCACAGTTACAATAAAGACTAGCAGAGTGGTGGAGGACTCCAAAGAGCAGAGAGTGAGAGAGAGAGAGAGGGAGAGCAAGAGAGAGAGAGAGAGAGAGAGAGAAAGGGGTGTGTGCTCTCCCTGGTATCTACATCTCATAACTCCTCTGCCACTCAGTGCATTCATTACCCACACAAACACACACACACATTCAAGGAGAAGACAACCCTGTGGACTGGAGTGCTTATAGCTAAGGTTTGAAACAATACTCCTCAGTCCTGAACGGCATGAGATCAGCTTTCAGTCCCGGCAGAAGTGAACAAAACGTCTTCAGAGAGAGAACAACTCATCATTTGGTAGGTGATGTCTGATCATCTGCAACAGGTAAGTGTTTTTGTCTTTATCACCGGGCTCATGATCTGTTCCTCTGGATTAGAGAAATCAAAGATTCTGCTTTTTTTAATATCCAATATATTAAATATTCCCAACTTGTGTTTAACTGTGTCATCGTCTTGGGTGTTAAGTAAAAGTGACGAAGCAGTTTCACTTTCAGTCTATGTACTCCAGACAGTCACTTGCAGCCAGATAGAGTGACAGATTTATATAATGTCTTGAAAGCGACAGTGAAGTCTTGTTTCACTTTTAATAGGAGTGCTAAAAAAAAGGAGAAGCATCTCGGCTTTGAAAACAAACAAGTTTGAGTTGATGCTTTAAGAAGCAAAATCTGTGATCTTCCCTGGAGGAGATCCAGCATGGACGTTTAGTCTCTGTGTTTCTATCAAAAGCACTGATCTGACGTCGATAACAGTATGACATATAGGTCTTTTGCAAAGAGACACTTAATCTCTGTCACTCTGTCTGTACCCACGGATGAGTGTGAAGGAACATGGTGAGTCTGAGATTGATTTCCAAGGCTCAACATTCTTCATTCAGCTAAATTATCTCGGGAATATGTCTCCTGATGGGATTCTCTCCTGCTGTCATTTTCTCTCCTCATGTTGCATAATGAGTGCCAGGTTACCACACCTGGAGGACCCCTGTGCTACACTGGTTGGGGCGCGTGTGTGTGTGTGTTCTGCTGAAGCCTCTCATTGTGTGCACAGTCACTGATCTCATGTAAGGTCCAGACTAATTAACAGCAGACTGGCAAGTCCCTCAAATCCCACAGTACATCATCCCCGACTTCAAATGCTGTGACACTCATTTCCATGTTTTGACAATTCAGCTTCTGTATTTTTTGAAGCTCTTGTCTTACATAACCATCACCGTGCTAGGACAGAAATATGGCTTTATTAATACAAGGGTGTCCTTCCGTGTTCTAGTTAGTTTCTGTTTCAAGTTGAAAGTCAAGGAAACACTTTTTTTCAGCGTTGTTGACTCAGCACACAAAGTGCTGAAATGTTTACATCATAAACAGTGTATGTAAAGGGGGTTAGATTGTCTTATCTCATGGTTGGTGTCCTGTAGTGTGTTTCCTACATTTGGCCAAATGCCCAGAGATTCACATGGACCCTCATCCTTACAGTGCCCTGCAGATTTATGTTATATAAGTGATGACGATTACCTGTCCACTCATCTAAAGCCACTTTGCTCAGACTAACATAAAGACTGAAGCTAAAGCCTATACTTGAAAGTGGACCTATCCACAGTAAGATAACCAATAATTATGTTACCCATTGGCACAAAGTTTCAGAACCTCAGGTTTGGCTCTTTGGCCATGACCACCTTAGTGTGTTGGAGGCAGAAGTGGTCATATTCAGTCAACGGCCGACTATAGAGGAGGTCAAGTTCTCTGGGTCAATTACCCAAGATAATGGGGACAGCTGTAAGTATCCACTCTGAAAGCTGCAGTTTTTTTTAATGCTTCAGTCCATGAAAAAAGCTTCCTTGGCTCTGCTGAAAGGTAACAGGATCCACCCATTTTAAAAACTTGCCTCAGTCACATCTTGTTGTTGTCAGACTCTAACAACAGCCACGGTGTGGGAGGGGCAATAGTGACATGTCCAACCTGCTTATGCGTCTATAAATATTCTTGCCCTTTCCACATCCTCTTTCTTTGAGCCACAGTTAAACATTCAGGGCAATAAGACTTAACACTGTTTTTAAAGAGTTAAATCAAAAGGTTGATATCTCTTGTATGAATTCCTAAAAACCAAAACCACTGCTGCAGCCAGGATACCAAGCTCAGCATGAGGACTCTAAACAGAGAGAAGTAGCTTCCTTGGCTCCATCAAAAGTTAATAACTCTGTGATGTTAATTCATGAGCTGATGCCAGGTTAGTTTTCCTTTTTCTTTCTAGTGTTACGTCTAGCAAATCTAAAAAGCTGCTGGACATGGTCCCTTACTCGGTTGGAGTAAGATGTCACAGTATTCAACAGGACACAATACAGTACAATATAATGCAATATGATAATGTGGTCATAATAAGACATGATATGATTCCAAAATTTTGAATCACTCTTTTAACTTCCATGAGTCATAATCTCTTCAAAGATGTTATTTAGAGTCTGAATTTTACACAAATAAGCAAGATTACCATTGAGGAGAGGTTCTCGAAACGTAGTAAAAGAGGTTTATTTCTACTTTTCAGTGAGAAATGTGCCTTTTTTGGAAGGAAAACCTTCTAAATTGGATGAAGTTAACCCGAGGCGTCGCTTACTTACATTTCCCTCACTTGCTGGTGTTAAAACAAATCAAACTATTCAGTTAATACTTCAGGTAACCTAATTTTTTTGTTCAGCTTTGCTTGAGTGAACAAGCCTCACTGTTAATGTCACGCTGAATACCTTTTATCAGAATCACTCCCTCTCTTTTTTCTCTTCTCTTCAGCTCTCATGGCCATGATTGCACATATTCATGGGGTTATACCTTCCGTCATTCAGCATAATTGCTTTGCTTGCCCTAGTTGTGAACTCACTTTGGCATGCAAAGGAGCATTCAGTCATGAACATGAAGCTGCAAGGAAAGACATCCAACCTTCAGAAAGAGCTCCAGCTAATAAAATGTTCAAGTCACGGATAAATCCTCTTCTTTCATGAAGCAAAAGTCTTGACTAACTTCAGCTGGCCATACTTGACTGACTCACTCTTCCTCTGAATTTTCTGCCTGATGACTAAACAAAACAATTGAAGAGATGAATGATAAACTGATGACTGCAGTTTCCAAGGATGCCTCATGGGGTCTCTCATTGTTGAACTTAGATATGAAGCTTCAACCATCAAACCAAGAGGAGGGTGAATATTACTTTCCTTTCTCCTAAATGATCCCAGGCTAGTTTATTCTTCTTCCTCTGTGAAAACATTTATTGTTATTTTTGTATTAGTGCATGAGATGTGGCCTACAACCCCAGTATAGAGGAAGGGTCCTAGGAGGTGTGATTACCAGCATGTTATATGATAAACTCTAACCCCCCTCAGCTCATGTTTGATTGAAACCATCTGGTACCAAAACCTGAGTCATGGCGTCTACAGCGAAAGCATCACCATAGAGCATGATTCCTTTATGTTGCATGTTTGGTGAACTTTCATGTTCAGTTGGTTCTTTAATTTTGATGATAATTTATCATTAAATGCTTTTTATCAACTTTGCTTTGCTAAGATTCCCCTGTAGTCACCTTGCCACAGCTGCTGCTTTGTTTTCCTACTTTTTTTAAATTCAGTTTGGAGTTAATTTAACCATAGATGTCTGAAACGTCATCATTTTGACCTTACAGACTAACCTGACTGGATTTCATCCTTTACAGTGTTCACTGATGCTACCATGACACAAGAAAGGGCAGCCCACTGTTTCTGCATCTATATAATTTCCCCCTTTATAGAGCCCTCTTCTCATGAAGAAACAGTTTTGACATTTTGGTTTTTGTAATGAATCACAAACCTGTTTAGATTAAGGGAAAACTAATTGCCATCTGGGGAGCTCCAGGTCTGAAAGCTTGCGGCGTTATTCATTTTTTTCTGGGAAACAACGGTTTTCATAAAATCAGGGAAAACATGGTACAGACAAAAAAGGGACTGTTTCAATGATTTCAAATCTTTTATGTCTTTTTGATTTTGAATTGTTTTAATCTCTTTTTTTTCATTTCCAATGTATTTCCTTGCATTTGTAAAGCACTTTGAATTGCCCTGTGTATGAATGGTGCTATACAAAGAAACGTGCCTTGCCTTTCTCCATTCAAGAGAAGCCACAACTAGCAGCTAACTAGTTTAGCTTGGCACAAATACAGCTAGTATAGCTCTGCAGCTAAAACAAATCTAATTTACTCCATCCTTACATCCCACTGAAAATCTGTTGATGTCTATTTTTGAATAAAAATGGCTGTTTGATTTAATTTTATATAATTGTGCATTAATTTCTATACACAGTAGATGGATTTTGTAATGTTCTGACTGCAGGGTGAGCCATCTACAGAATTTCTTTTGACAGTAAATAACAGGAAACCCTGCGAAGCCCAAACCACACAGATCTGAGCAAAGCGATGCAGAGTGTTTCGTATTCATGTATCTTTAAGTGTGACTTAACTTAACCACATATCTACTGTTTTGTTATCTGTGATGAGTTTGACATGAGTGGAGGGCCACCTTGGATTACCAAGAGACAAATCGAGAAGTTTCCTCCTTGCTTTTGCTGTTCCTCCAAAAATGTCCCTTTTAACTTCAAGAAGTTTTCTTCCATGACCGGGTCAGGCTCCAGATTTCAATGTGACCACCCCCTCTGCTGTTGGTTTTGCAGAACAAGACATGGTGCAGGGTGATACAAACTCAGGAAGGCCTCACTCCTCATTTCCAACAACTACTGATCTACACCTGAACATGATATGCAAAATGAAGCAGACAAGCCTGAATTTAAAAGTGTTTCTTCTGTATTCAATGTGTTGCCTGTTTTTCCTGTTATCTCAAATCTTGCAACTTGAGGACTGCACTCAGAATCTGATTTCACTTGGTGACATAGATGTTTGTGCTGAGTCTCTAGCACCATATGAAATCAGTGTCCTGGGAGGTGGACTGTCTGCATGTATGGACTCATGAATGAACTGGAATATGAGATGTTTCTGTGATGCCTCAAAGTAGGTCACTATTGTATATATTACTGCACACTGCTTCATTCACTAACTGGTCACAGATGCTGTCCTGTTTCTTTTTAAATCTTTCCCCCCTGCGTGCTTCCCAAAGACTTAAACATACATTTGATATAACTCGAATATAGTAGCAGATTCTGAACCACTTTGGTTCGTTTTGAAATGCATTTTGAATGTGCCTACCTAAATAACTTTTTTTTTAAAAATACTTACAAGATGATAGTTTAAAACTTGTCATACCACATCAGGTAAGGCTGTATGCAAAAGTATATAACTGTGTTGTATTTGAAATAAGTTGAATATGGTATTTCTCTGAAGTGGCTGAGTGAATTAAACCCGTCTTATTAAAAAAACACATTTTGTATTTCAGGTGCCAGCTGCTAATCACTCCTTAAAGACTCTTTTTGGTCTATAACCATACGGGTATACTCTTCAGCCCTGAACAGATTTTCTTTCTCACTTATTTTTGTATTACAAAATGTATTTTGAAATATAACAACATAAAGTAAGGGCAACTAACACCTGCTTCATTCAGTAAAAATAATAAAGCTAACTTGTTTTTGTGATAACATCCTTGTCTTTAGTTTTTCCAGCACTTTGCAGATGTAACAGCACCTCTCGCAAATGAAATAATAACACTCAAAGCTGTGCATTAGTGACGCAAACTGCTCCTTTACATCCCCTGGTTCCCTTGGTGACAGTAGCATGTACTTTTTAAACTGAAGGTGAGTACTTTATTTCTTCTGAGCACTCAAGGTTTCTACCTTCACCTGAGATCATTTGAAATGAAAGGATTGAGTTCGTCTGCCTCACAACAACTCTCAATGTTCTTGAAAATGCATTAAATACGAAATGTTTGAATTCTCGTCATTGTTACATAAAATAAATCAATAAATAAATGTAAAAATAAATTCAATTTAAGAGTGAAAAGGCTTCTTTTTCTTGTCTCAGTATATTTAGTTGCTGTTGTTAATAGAACTGCACATATTTAAATCTTTTAAAATAAATCTGACTCATATAAAGAAGTAAGATATAGTATAAACAACAAAAAGCCTCTGAGTGGATAGGGTTGAAGACCTTATACTCAAACACGGTTCCTGCTCTAAAACTGATTTCCATATGACACCACACTGCACATATTCTGGTCCACTGGGAGTGATTTAGCAGTGATGTCATGCTCCATATTTCACAAAGTGGACAGCTTTATTGATTATAGCGGTATGGATGGCTCCATCAAGGAGATGACGTGCTCATGAAGGACGAAGGTATAGGATCCTAGACGCTTATCATGACATATTTGACTGATGGTTGTGCCGTCCTATAGGGGACTTTCAGACGGACTCAGTATGAAATCTATTCTTGATCCTTTTATCAAGGTAAAGAGGAAATCAATAACATGGTTGTAAGGCTCTAAAGAACAGCTAAGAGTTTATGTGTTACTGTATGTGTATTAAATGTGTAAGGGTACTTTTACATTGATTCCTCAAGATAGCGATGAATAGTTTCTTTGTTGTATATCAAAATCAATATACAGGAGGGTGGTTGCATACAGACATTTTGATATCATATTTTTGGCAGCAATTGTCTGATTTACCATTTCTATTGATCAGTTAAATAATCAATCCTTTAATGGTTACATTACTGCCGTGTGCACTGTATGATAAGAAAATGTACAGCAGTGTTTGAAATATTTTACCTCTTATATGGCCTGTATTTGTTGACTTTTGTTGAACTAATGTGAGGCTCTTTATAAGGACTGTAATTTTCTAGTTATGATCTTGTGTAAAACAAACAGACAGGCAAGCATAACAAACTTCAATATACATTAAAGAATCACTAGAGCATAAGCCTTCCAACTGAGATGGAAGTTACGGTGGTCGAGAGCTGCCACTGCTGCAAATAAAAAAGAATGCAAAAAAAAAGTGGCGAAGCTACTTACTTAGTTACTTACTGCGAAAATGAAAGGATGCAAATAAAAAAAGCTGCAACTGAAGTGAGCTGCCAGGGACCAATATTAATGATGCACCGGCGTTTTACGATCTAGGCACAGAAGACAGTAGCGAGAAGACGAGCAAAGAAGTAAGTGGAAAGGTTATTGTTTAATTTCACTTTGTGTGCTATTCAATGTGTCATTTGTTAGGCCGTGTAGCACCAGAGTCGATATAAAGTTGAACTGGAGGATGCCGGTGTAGAGTTAGCGTCAGTTTCATTGTGGCTTTTTGTATTTGCATCCTTTTATTTTCCCTGTAAGAAACTTTTTTTTCCCCATCGCAACTTCTTTTTGGAAATCATTTTTTATCTGCACCGTATATATATTTTTTTATTTGCAGTGGGCTTCAGTTTATTTCATTGCATCGATAACTTTCGTTGTGTCTTATTTTTTTATTTTTTGCAGTGGCAGTTCTCGGCCACCGTATAAAGGTTATAATTTCTTGCAGTTTCTACAGGGAGCTTAGAGATGAAGTTTTTCCTCACAGCTACCTTCTTACTTGATCAAAGAATTGTTGTTTAATCATTACCTTATTATTGACCCTACTGTCTTCTGTGCTATACACGGTGCTCACTCGCCGTATATTCAAAGCTGTTACAATGAGCTGGTTTAGTATTTTCCGACCTTGATCAAACATGAACTACATTCAATTTTTTCAAGATCGCCTGGCCCCTCCCACCTTATGGGTATCCTAGCAGCGGAGCTCTGATCCCTCTCCTGATTGGTCAGTTTCCAAGAATCCGCCGTATTCAAACTTCCGCCGTGGTGTGTGTGAGTGTCTGTTGTTATCGGTCTTGTGCTTTCTTTGTACATATTGAGACAGTTTGCAAGCGTTTAGCTTCGTCATTGGGTCGGCAAACCTCGACTTCGTCTCAGTGGAACATATTTTTAAACAGAGCCGTTTAAAAATGGAAGAAAACGAAGAAGTAAGTAGTAAAATGGTGGAGAGCAAAAAACCGAAACTGCGCAGGATGTCATCGAGGACGTCTACGACCAGTGTCATCAGCGCTGCAGAACCTTCACCGCAAACACTCCGGAGAAACAACTCCAAAAAGTGAGTAAAAATCTTTCAAGGGTCGTTGTTTTCATCTTTAAACATTTTTAAGCTCTGCGGGGTCAAATTTGACGGTGTTTAAGCACGTTATGAGCTGACGTTACGTCCTACAGTAATGAATAGCACTGACTGTTTTAACCGGCGAATGATGCTTTCAAGTCCGGCTCGAAAAACACAGTTTCAGACGAACGAACCCGTTTTTTCAGATATCAATCGCAGTGTCAGGCAGATGGATATACCCTTGTATGTTTATTTTGTGTATTTTTTATTGTGAAAAGAAAATGAATAAAGTGGTTGAAACTATGCTGTGAAGTTTAGAGGGAAATGTCAGCGTCATTTTACTAGTGACCATACTTAAAATATTTACATATAAGTTGTTAGTTCATGTTAAAGTAGGAGTAAGTATTTGGGGTATTTCTACTTGCAGACTTATCAAATAAAGAAATTGATTTTTAGATGCTATTTGCTCTATGAAAACAAAGAAATGATGTGCCAATAACAAAAAAATGACAGCTTAAGAAACATGACCATATTTTCTTGATTTTGTGGCCAACAAGCGAAAACCCAATTATATTTAATGTATTTCAAACTATGACATGACTGTAGTAAGGTTCTGTTAATTGTGCCTTTGTTATATTTTTAACCTACACCCTGAAGTATTAGATTTGATAATTCTTTTATAAATAGTAGATGACATGAGACTCCAGACGAACAAATTTCCCTTTGGGGATCAATAAAGTTCTTGTTTTGTATATGCATTTAATGCTTTGGTTAATTTTCACAAACAAAAAAGTATACTGAATAAACATTTATAAGCATGTAAGCAGTCCCTTCAAAATAAAACAACACCTTCAGTTACAAAAAGAGGGGAACAAAGGAAAAGGTGTAACTAAAGACAAAATACAAATACATTTTCAGATTAAAATATAGCATTGATAACAAGATTCATATGATAAATAAAGTAGAGTAGAATAAAATGAATATACAGTCATCTAGCAGATCTAACAGTCACATTTGTTCATTGTTCATATGTTCATTAATGTAAATTTTAGCTTTTTTTAAATCATTGTTACAATAAGAGAGACATACCAGTTAGTTGTATTGGTATTGAATATCTGCAGCAACTAGTTATATAAGTTGGATAATCTATAAGCTTTTTTGGGGGGGGCTGTATCACATTTTAAGACTCTTGAACAGCAACAGTGTAAGTTTTTTTTTTTTTTTTTTTTTTAAGTCTATCAGTCACTTTGAAAAGGTGTATCTGCATGTTCAAACTTGTATTGTGCCTCTGTTTGCTCTCTTGGGCTTGGAAAATGTAAACTGTTTAACAACCTGCAGAGAGGGTTGAAAAAATTCCTAATGTTTGTGCTGGCTTTGACTGCAGCCCTCCAGAATGAAGTAAACTTAAAGGAATATTATGGGAAACATTTAACCTAAATTTATAAGCCTTCTTTTCAACTGCTGGTAAATATAAATGCTTGGCTTGAAACTTTGTTCACTTTCCACTCCCATGTTTCTGAAGGCAAAAGGGTAAATTAGGTTGCGAAGTGATGTGTTCAGCTGACCTTGGCCTTTCATGGACCATCATGGTATCATTCCTGAAGAATAACACATTGTACCTCTCTGTGGCTGCATTATATGTGGCTTTATGTGGCAGAAACAAGGAGCAGTCCAACTTCTCATATGGAATAAAATAGTTAGATCCTCCTGCCGTGATCCACAGTATTTGATTTATTGAACACAGCAGTGAGCAGAAAAAAACTGCATTAATATTTTATGATTAAGCTAAACAGTTTTTTTTTTTTTTAATAAAAATGATCATTCTACTTTTATTTTCTCCTGGATACACCAACAGTCATGAGCTTGAAAGAGCCAAGTGTTGAAATTCAATCTTCAATCATTTTTAAATACTGACTTGATGTTTTTAGTGACTGTTTTTGTTCAGTCACCAGTCAAAGAAATACCCTCAGCATGGTATTTGTTCAATTCATTGTACTGCATGATCCTATTTAATCATTGTTTGTCTCATTGCCTGCAGACCTCCATTGCAGAGAGGCAGCTCCTTCACCTTTCTTACTCCTGGGACCCCATGGGACTTCAGTCTAGTGAGTCCATCTTTGATAATGCAATGATATTGGAGTGCATTAAAGTCTCCAGCCATACATTGATTGGTTTTTGCATACATCACTATTAAATCAATCCATATCATTTTGAGCATTTTGTACTGTGACCGTTGGTTATGTGAGAGATGTTGCTGAATTTTTATTTTTTTCACTAACCACCATTTATTCTTGTGTTTCTGCAGAAGAGAAAGCGCAAAGAAAAGGACGACGACACAGTCAGTCTGTCTAGCTTTGACCTCAAGGTGAGAATCAGGGAAGCTTCCTGTTGATGCTGAATGTTTGTGCCGCACCCTCTGAAGTGAATTCCTCAGTAAAGACAGACATTAGCACAGTGTGTTATGAGCTAAAAAAATCTCACTGGATCTCGTAAAAGCACTAGTAACTTCCTTGCAAAATGGTGCTGGTATTTAGATTTCTACTTTGTCTTGTGTTGCAGAACTCATTGGTGATGGTACTGTTACACAATAGTCCTTAAAAGAAGTGACTGTAGTGACTATGCTGACCTGAATTTTAGTCACTGTCTGGATGCGGGAGTGAGGTGTTTTTGACGCACTTCCAGTACAATCCAATGTCCAATCCAAGGTTGTTGTTGGTTAAAATTTTGCCATTTATCGATTGAATGAAAAACAAGCAAAAAAAGACAGATACGTCCAACTTACTATGATGGTGTGGCTCGTGATGAGGGTCTTCCTGTTCCTCAGATCACTGCTTCACCTGTGTCCCTTTTGTAGCATTTACCTGCCCATTCACCTTGTGGTGATTGTGCAAGCAACAAAACAAAACCGGAAAAATGATATAGATAAAATGGCTCATACAGTGACACTGAAGACCATTAATTTCCTGTACTTCTAGGAACCCAGTAACAAGCGTGTTCGACCTCTGGCAAAAGTTTCATCCCTGGTGAACTTGATTTCCCCCTCAAAGAATGGAGCAGTACGACGCTTTGGTCAGACCATCCAGGTAGGAACAATTCACATTTACTTTGCTTAAAAATATCACATGTTGAACCTAAAACTAAATTTTTTTGTGATTTACTGAGAAAATATGTTTGTTTTTTTGTCTTAGTCGATGTCATTACGCAGTGACACCAAGTCACCGGGGATGTCCCTCAAAGGGAGCAGCAAGACAGCGGGTCCCACTCCCACTAAACGCAGAAACAGCACACTGTGGTCAGAGATGCTGGACGTCCAACAGAAGAGCACGTTCTCCACTAAAGAGATCAAGAGACAGGAGGTTTGGGCGTCTCATTGTTTTTAAAGTCTTAAATGCAGTAAACCACAGAGAGATGCAAAAGTAACTGATTACTGATTTGACTTGTGATTCTTCAGGCAATTTATGAGCTTTTCAGGGGAGAGCAGGATCTCATCGAAGATCTCCAACTTGCTCGAAAGGTACAGAAACTGAACTGAAACTTAACACATGAATTCAACATCAGTGAACTTGGATAAAGCCCTCACACTTCTGCCTTTTTTATGTGTAGGCGTACCATGATCCAATGTTGAAACTCTCCATCATGACAGAAGAGGAACTGGCTCACATATTTGGGGACCTTGATGCATACATCCCCTTGCATGAGGGTAAGTTACACTCAAAGATTTCTGAACTTTGAATGTTTTCACTGATTTCTGACAAGTGTCTTTTTTTTGACTTGCAGACTTATTGATGAAACTGACAGAAGGAACTGGCCCCGATGGAACAGTAGCTCAGATTGGACAGATAGTTATAGACTGGGTATGAATGAATACGTCTTTTTTGCTTTGCATTCATTATGTACACATAAATAACATCATGTATAAAGATCGTAATAACTACTTTTTCCTCTCAGCTGCCCGGTCTGAATGCTTACAAAGACTACTGCAGCAACCAGCTTGCTGCTAAAGCCCTGTTGGACCAGAAAAAGCAGGACAGACGGGTGCAAGATTTCCTGCAGCGCTGTCTAGAGTCGCCCTTCAGCAGGAAGCTGGACCTCTGGAGCTTCCTGGACATCCCTCGTTCACGGCTGGTGAAATACCCTCTGCTGCTGCGGGAGATCCTGAGACATACACCCCCCGATCATCCGGATGTAGCTTATCTGGAGAGAGCGGTATGTATTCACATTGTGCCTGTTATCACAAGGATGCAGCTTTTATTTCACCTATTGTACATTTTTTATTATGTTTACTGATCTTTCTCTGATTCACCAGATTACCATAATCCAGGACATTTTGTCTGATATCAACATAAGAAAAGGGGAGTCAGAGTGCCAGTATTATATCAACAAACTGGAGTATCTGGATGAAAAGCAGCGGGACCCTCTCATAGAAAACTGTAAAGTACTATTATGTCACGGAGAGCTGCGAAACAAGAGTGGATCGGTGAGAATGAACATAATTCTGCTTTATTTAATCTCTAAAATTTGAGTTTGTTTTGTGTTTAATTAGTTCTTTGATTCCCCCACAGAGGCTGCATGTATTTCTGTTCTCTGAGCTCCTGGTTCTGACCCGACCTGTGACCCGCAATGACAGAAGCTGCTTCCAGGTTTACAGGCAGCCAATTCCAGTCCGAGACTTGGCTTTGGAGGACCTGCAGGATGGAGAGATCCGCATGGGAGGGTCGTTCAGAGGGGCTTTCACCAATGGAGAGAAAAGTGGGTTGAATTGAGTTACACTTATTTATAGATGTAGCATCTCCAGTGACTCTAACATTTTACTAACTATAGGGACATTCATTTTGTCTGCATTTCACTGTAAATTCACACATATTTGGTCAGAGTAGGTTAGAGCAGTGGTTCTCAACTGGTCTCACTCTGGGACCCACACTTTCCCATGGTCCTTAAGTCGCGACACACTTTTACAGAATTCAAACCAAGCAAATTTATTTTTTATTAAAAAAACCTGTAAAGACTCTAATCTTTCACATAAATCCACTTGTTTGTTTTTTTTTTTGAGTAAAGTGCATGCCAGAGCACATGAGAATGACAACTACTGAAGTTGCTTGAACAAAAAATATCAAATTTCATATAAATATCACATTAAATATTTACTTTTTGACTAGCTGTTCTAAACCCATCCAGAACGTGTCCGCGACCCACTTTTAGGGCGGGACCCACCAGTTGAGAACCACTGGGTTAGCGTACAGTTGCCCGGGTTCCTGGTAGCACCAGAGTTTAAACCACAGATCATTCATTTCACATCAGGTAGATTTTGTTTCTATTCTTTGCTGCTTCGGTGGATCTGGTTGACCGTGTTTCTTTACTTTACAGCCAAGAACATTTTCCGCGTAAGCTCCATGGATCCATCTCATGGCCAGTCTCACACCCTGTATGTCAATGATGTCTACCACAAGCAGCAGTGGCTCAACTGCCTGCGCACCGCCATGGCCCAACATCAGGGGGCACCACCCAGAGCTCAGCAGGATGAAGCTGTCCGAGCCAAACGGCGATCCCCCATTATCTCACCGCCCATCAGTCACGAGGAGACTGATGAGAACTGTCCACCTGTCTCAGGGCCCAAACTCAGGCCTCAGACACTTTCCAAAACCAGACTGGACCAGAAGTTTCAAGGCTCTGTAAAGAGGAAGGAGACCGGAGTTTAGACGCTTAACTATGAGCTACAGGGTTTACTACAGGTTTTCCTGGAACATGTGTCCTGGTTGTTTACGTGTCTAGAGGTAGATTTTTCACCCAACCACTATTTGTGTGCTTTTTTTTGTCCTTGTAGCTGCACTGAAAGCTATTTTAATCATTTCCGTCCAAAATGCCCTTTTAATTTTAGTCTTTTAAAAAAGTGTAATTAGTTTACAAAACAATGTCATGTATCAGTGTTACTGAAATGTAAGTTTACAACAGATCAATGTGTGGAATCACAGTTTTATGAGTCTAAGTTTTCGAAGAACTTTTATCTTTTTTTTCTGTTAATATCAAAACATCTTTATTGTATGGACAAGATGTGTGCATCTGTGAGTTTGATATGTGTCAAGATAAGGGATCAAGAAACAAGAAAAATGTGTGATGGCCACAGCATGAAATGTCAAAATGCAAGCAGAACACAAGAACATGAGCCACAGAGACAATATAATGAAAGTATCAAGCTGATGAGAAAAGTTGTCCATTGGGAAAAAAATAAAATAGTTTGTACATTTCTGAAGAATCTCAAGTTCGTCTGACTTTTTTCATATTGTTGCGCAACACCAACGTCCACACAGTTTGTACTTTGACCCATCAGTCACTTCCTCTCTTGTTGACAGATCTGTGCAGCAGTGTGTTTCAACATTTGTCTGGCAAACAGGAGTAGAGGAAAGCTTGCTTCTTTCTCTACAGGGTATGAAATTAAACCTTCGTTCAGTTCAGTACTTTTTGGGACACATGTAGAGGCAGTTGACTGGAAAAGTTCTGGATTTAGTTTTTTTCTTTTGACATACTGCCTTGAAGCATCAACAAACCTTCCTTAAAACAGTATGTTACAACAGTGTCAATTGTAAGACACGATTATGAGAGTGAAGAAGAGTCTACTCAGAGATTTGTACGATAGTGCTTGTTTTATCTATTCCCAAAGCTAGATTTCCATGTAGGTAAACCACTGAAAATATCTTTATTACACCTGAGTTTTTCTTGGGTTCGGAGTCTGAAGAGAGATGAGCAATAATCCTTGTTTGCTGGCTTATTTATGCTGCAAAGTACATTACAGATCAGTTTGAACTCCATGGTTTCACAAACTGGTTTCAAAGTTTCACCAGGAAATACAAAATGAAACTGCACAAAGAGGAAGTAGGATGACTCAGTGCAGTAGTCGTCTTCCTGTGTGAGTAGCTCATAGTAGGCAGAGGGTGTCACATTATGTCTAACTCTTGTGTTATCTCTGTGAGACATGTTTGGGACTGGGCCAGATCTCAGAGCTTAACACAACAATCAGCATGTCAAGACCTTCCAATGTCGAGTCTACAGCATATTCCTGTTGACTTTAGAGGCCTGTGGCACAGCGTCAACCGTATAACCTCCTCTATCTATAGCTCTCAGAGGGTTTACAACACCAGCAGTTGCAGCCTCTGAAACTCGTTCTAAAAATATCTGCTGAAGTAAGAAACTGTTGAATGTTGGTTCCTCAGCTGCCATTGCCAAGTGATCATGTCCTCTTTCTGACTAAAAAAGCAACAGTTCATGGTGCACTGCCTGACAATCCTTTTTCCAGAGCACCCTGAACTCTTTCTTCTTGGTCAAATTAAGCTTGATGTTTCCCAGAAGAAATGTGTTTTGGTATTCTCCCCAACAAACTTGCCAATTTTTGTTAGGGAACAAGAGAGGAGAAAGCTTGTATGGTTTGTAAGTATGGCCACTAAAAATACTGAGAACTGAGAGAACTTGGAAATTTGGAGACCAAGTCAACAACTTTGGACTTTTTGTTGTGTTACTTCAGGATACCCTCATCCAGTGGTCAGTGGTCCAGTTCTGAAGTCAATTGTAGGAGTTTACAGCGGTGGACAGGGGTCTGTAGTGACTGAGTGCAGCTACACAACCACATACACAACACTCTGTGACGCACTTTTCTAACACCCTTCTCCCAGAACTTGTGTGAAATTTTTCAGCAACTCTGGCAGCTCTTTTGTTGGATCAGACCTTTGCTTCCCATACATACCAGGGAGCCCTGGCTGCCCAAGACTCTGTCTCCGGCTCTCTGTTATTTCCTTCCTTGGACCACATTTTGAGGGAACTGACCCACAAGAACACCTCCACAAGAGCTGCAGTCTTGGTGACATTATGGCCAAGTCATCTACCCATCACAGTTTGGTCCTTATCAAAATCACCCACATTCTTACTCCCCTATTTCACCATCAAAGGACGAATATTTACCTGCTGCCTAGTATATCCAACCCACTGACAGGTGCACTTGTATGAAGTTAATCCCTTCACCTGTCGATGGTTATTATGTTAAGGCTGGATGGTGTATCTCCTTTCTTAAAACAGCCGTGTTCATGACATTGAAGAAAATCAGTCATTTCTATCTATTTTAGACAGAGGCATGTTTTTTGCAGGTCGGACTGAATCAACACTTTTGTAATCGCGACATGGCTGTGCCTCATTTTCATATTTGACTGTGGATACAGACTGCTTTAATAATCTTCTGCTAGCATTTCTGACATTGTGTACTTTTTCTCAGCCTGAACAGCTCAATGAACTTTGTAACAATAAACACAATGTTTAATTACAAGTCAGGACACATCACTTAACTTCAATTCAAACAGTCCAGTGGTGGTCTATTTATTTACACTAATTTAGTAGAGGTAGAGCCATATGTAGTTTTTACAAATTTACATTCAATATAAATAGTGAAAGAATATATACAAATACATACAAACAAAATCCTGCTTATCAGACTATGTCATGGTCCCTTTAGGTTCGACAGTGTTTCACAAATTATACATTCAGACTTACTCATTCATGGCAACCATAACAACTTAATGTAAACTTGATTAAGCAATACTTTTAATTAATAACACTGATTAAAACTCCAGAGCTATTGAAAATGATCTCTAGTGTGGATTACTAAAGACTCTTTGTATCTGGCCTTTTAGACTTCTGCTGAAGTTGAAGGTAAGTTGTTCTCTGCTGGCAGTTGTGTGATTTTATTTGACTCCGTGTACTTTGACCTGGATGTTGTCTCATAGTGTCTTTCGATTAACCATTGCATCTGTTTAAAAACCTTTGATTTTGGCTACAAACTGATAATTACAGAATTTAGTTCTGACCCGACACTGTAGTGGCTGCATAAAAGCTACTACAGAGTCGAAGAGTAAGCTGTATATTGGACGAGAGACTTGCATAGTTTTGCTTGAAAAGATTATCAGGTAAGATCAGCTGATAAAAATGGCAACTTAAAAGCTGAGATTGCACATTTCACAACACAATCGCTACAAACAGCCATCAAAGCAATTTTGTTTCCATTCACTGTGCCGGATAACTTCTTATTAAACAGGTGTAGCTTTGTTGAACTTTAAAATTCAAACTTGAGTAAGTCTCCATTCACCTTCTGTGTCAGAGGATATTTTCTGAGTTCCTGATGCAACGTTTGCAGACATTTCTCTGGATTCAACCTCCCCAGCTGCACCTTAACTTTCAAAAATAAAGTCACCAGATTACAACAACAGGAGGCGGTGCGTAAGAAAGAAAACGTATGATACGATTGGGCAAGTCCAGCTTTGGAACAGCACCACTTGCTCTCGTTCCAAGTGACTCTCTGAAAGCCACTCTGCTGATCTGCTGCAGACTGAGGGGGGTATCTGGGGAAGAGAAATGAAAAGAGACAACAGTTTATCTGTGTTCTTGTCTATAGATAAACTATACAGAGGTATTATTTGATGTATACTTAAGAGAAACAAACATACTCTCATAGAACTCCAAGCAGAGATACGAGGGAGATCCCTGGCTGGTGTAGTGGATTGGTTTTTTGTTCAGGTTATCCCTGGCGTATACATTCCCCCCATACTCCACGAGTAGCTCAATTAAGTCCACGTTCTTTGTTTTGGCTGCGTGGTGAAGTGCTGTCTCATGGATTTTGGCAGCATTCACATTTGCCCCTTTGACAAAAAGGGATAAAACTATCATTAGGAAAAAAGCATTGAAAAAGAAACAGCACCAACCTGTACATCTTTAACATTTTATCATCCTCATCCTTGTGTTACAGCACTTGTTTTGTGCGAATGTGACACTGAATTAAACACTTTTTTTCTCTTTCTATCAAGTGATAGATAAGGCAAACACAACACGTGTTTTCATAGAGTGCAGCACAGCAAGGAGATAAGTCAATGCCATGTCATGTTGATAACTCAACTGTCAATTATTTACTTGGAGGCGATGACACATTACTATCTTCTGGTCATGTGTAAAGTATAAATGAGGGGTAGAGATCCTCTGTGTAACTTTACTCACTTGAATGTCAACTTCTTGTAGTCAAGCGTAACTTATCTTTACTATTTTTGCCCTTTTATTCCATGAGAGTACTGTAAAATTAGATGAGACATCAGAGTTTGCCTTGACAATAACTTTGTTACTTTTGTCACTGAACATCTGAAATGTTGTCTTCCCTAAAGAAAACCTGAAATTGTCTTTGGTCATTTAGAAAATGAATCAAAAAATGTCTAAAAAATGGGCAGCATTAAAAAAAGAAACTATCAAATTAAACTGGTAGATTACCCACAAAACTACTGTGGTGATCATCTTATAAGACGTCATAGAAGATGAATACACAATTACCTGCATTGAGGAGAACTTTAGCACAGTTGTAATGTTGCCTTGCACACGCTACATGAAGCGGCGTGCCATAGTGGCAGTCATGGGCCTCCATGAAAGCTCCTTGGTCAATCATGAGCTGAACACAGTCTGAATTACCTGTCGTGAGAAAGACAGGCCAAGTTTTGTTTGTCAAGAACAGTTTTCAAACTAAGATTGAACAGCTTTACAAAAGTACAGGGCTTTTGTATTTCACATTTGTCTGAGACAAACAGGATGAGCAGGTAGGATGTATTGTCAGGGAAGGACTTGATTTAAGAACTGAACAGTTGAGGTGAGATCTCAATGGTGTACATACAATGATGCAATCTCAGTTTCTGAAAGGTAGCAGCCCAACATATGCTTTAAACATGATTCAAAGTTCTCATAGATAATCAGCTCCTCAAAGTGAATAGACCAACGGCACCAAGCCAGCAGGACCAGTATTTCAGGAAAACTGAACCAGATTTTCACAGGCAAATATTAATGACACAGAAAAGTCCTGTGCAGGTACTTGCAAGGTAGCTAATGAAACTCTGCTCTCTGAGCTCTGTGTCACTTAAAGTTAAAAACAGATCATGATTCTGGATGTCAGGAAATACTTTATTAATACACCGTTTGTTGGTTAAGTTAATATTGGCCTTTTTTTACTTTACAGGAGAGAAACTTTCCAAAAGATAATCACAACTACATTGATTTGATAACTGTTATGAACTCATTTTAATAGTTGCACTACATGTCAGAGTATGTGATCATGAAGATTTTTTTTTTTCATTTCATGTCACTTGAATGCTCAATGGCTGCAAAACAAATTCCCAGAAGTAGAAACATTTACACAGAGCACCAGAGCTGTTTGTCAGGTTCAATAGATTTTGGCTGCAGTTTTACTTCTGGGCTTTCTCCTAATTCAACACGTCTGCTTTCAGATCAATACTGCAATCATTTGAGTGTATTCAACTGCCTCAGTAGGCAAAACCATGGCTGTTTCCCCTCTTAATGGTACTAGTGTTTTTATTTCACGGCTAAAACTTGAAAGGATTTCCAGTAATATTTAAAAAATCTAACACCAATACTGCATAGTCATCTCAATATTCACTATGTACTTAATACTGTTGGCCAAACTTTTCTAACTGACTACAAAAAAAGTCAAAGTAGTCATCTGAAAACTGTTTATCCAGCACTTTTTGGATCTTGTTAACAACAGTGTGTAATCAGGCTCAGCAGTGCAGGACAGATGAAACAAAGTCATCATGATGGATGAAGACATGGCTTGAATCACATTCTTGTGAGATGTTGTAGGTACTGAAATAAAACACACCTCCCATGCAAGCTTCGTGAAGGGGTGAGAAGGTAAAGAGTGGAGGATTTACTGCAGCGCCATACTCCAACAGCAGCTTCACACACTCCAGACTACCTGCTGCACAGGCGTCACACAGAGGTGTGCTGCCATCGATGTTACGAGCATCCACCTGGGGGGCGCAAAGGCCAAAATAAAGAACAGTTTAAAAAAGCACTACCCAATAATACAATGATATATAAAGTCATCAACTTCTTGTCAGGTGTTTCTTTGCAGCATACCGTCATGACACCATCTCACCTGTGCACCAGCATCCAGAAGCAGTCTGACACATTGGGTCTGTCCTTGTATACATGCCTCATGCAGGGGGGTGATGGAGTCGACGGCTACAATGTTAACCGCTGCTCCTCCCTCAATCAGTTGCTGCAGCTGGAGGGCCCTGCCCTGCGCTGCAGCTTCATGCACTGCTGACCGGTCTGTCCAGAATCCAAGACCATGAGCTAAAAATAAGCAAGAACAAACACTTCTGGGTCAGTCCATTCATGATTGTTGTGGAGAAATAGAGAACTCTTCCTTCGAGCTCATTATGTCTATGTTTATTTTTTCTGTTTTTAAAGATGAAATAGTGGAACTTTTTGTCTTTGGTTCTTTTCTTCTGTTTGTAGGAGAATAAAAAACAGAGGCCCTAAAATGGTTGGAAGGGTTTATAGTAGGCCAAGAAAAAAACTGTTATATTTAAGTTAATAAATGTCATAATCATCCAAAAAGTAATAACATCACAGTGGTGAAATCGCAGTATTCATGTCCTGAACGGACATAGAGCCCGCAAAACAACTTGGCTTGGCTTCTATAACAACTTTTCTACAAATTCTGTTATATGTCAGGTTATAATTAAGGCCTGAAAATTTACATAACTAAAAATTTGATTTTGGCTTTATACATAAAACCCTGTTTTTTACATTAAAAAAATTGTATAACTAGGGGTACCCAGTAAGTACTGAGATAATTATGCTTCTGTTAGACACAGCAATGTTGCCTGAAACAGTCACAACAGTCTTTCAGGTTTCAGCCTGTAGGAAGTGAGTCATATCTTACTACTGATGTTTGCTTAATGTGGATATACGTCAAGTGGACCTGCTCTTTTAAGTGTCTTGACATAAATTTATGAATTAATGCTACACATATGGTTTGATTGATTGCTTTAAGGATGAGTTTGACATCATAATTAGTAATACCAACATATTCCAACCAAGCACGACATCAAAACCTGGGCAAAGAGAATTCAAGATTAGTTATTTGTCATGTGCATGTTAAACAAGGTCAACAATGCAATGAAATGCCCTGGATGAGAGGACCGCTCGACTCAAAGGAGTACAGATTAAACACACAACAAGTACTGAAGGAATAAGGCTACAAAAAATATGAAAGACAAATATAAGTAAAAAAGAAATATAAGGTGAGAGAAATATTTACAAGTGAAAAGAGATATTTACAAAGTGAACTAGCGATGCAGTAGGTTCTGAGTATGCGAATGTATGAAATGGTGGCATAAATGAGGTATGAAAATTGCCATATTACACATGATAAATAATGGTGTACGAATTGCTGTATTGCACATGACAATGACAGAAAATCACAGACAATGGCTGCAAAATTCTACTTCCAGGATGCATCTAGACTTTCAGTTTTTGTTGACAATATCACACAGTTGATTTTATGTTATAATGTACGTTTGCTTATAATAATTACTGAGCGAATCCTCGTTCATTTGCAGTAGCTCAATCTGATAGTAGGTCAACTATCAGACTGGTTTCATTGGTACAGTCTGTGACCTGTAATGTTACACAACTCGCATGTAGGTACTTGCTGGCCTCACTAACGAGCTTAAAGGTAGAATCGTGCTCTCACACTAACTTCAACAACCCTGTTTAGAAACCATGCTAGCTAATTTTGACCTAGCTATAATGTTACTTCTATGCCAGCAATTCAACATGATACGAAGGCAAATGAAAGACGGTCGTTTTTAGCTCTCTGTCCTTCCCAATAATTCATTTAGCAAGACTGGTCAGTTTTAATAAATTGTTGCATTGGGTTACTGTTGGTGACCAACTGTAAGCTACTTACCGATTTCTCCGTACAAGGACGGCCTGGCACGAGTGATCTCCATTTCATGATACCGTATTTTTCCTGTATAAACCGCGAAGATTCAGCCAAACACGCTGGTCATTTTGAGGAAAAATATTAGAGATCGAAAGGTCTGCATGACTTGAAGAAACACGCTGGGTAGCGGGGGAGCACAGAGCAGTGAAGGCGACTGAGATTCAGATCAGTAAACAATGGCTTGGAATTCTGGGATATGTAGTTGATGGATCAACGAAACTGTAGGACATCATGGTTCAATCAAGCATTTAAAATGGGACATCAGCTGTGGTTTTAGTGTGCAAATGCAAAGTTATAACTCAGATTATATGATCATTTTATGTGACTTTCTGCCCCATTAGCGCCCGTTTCTAGAGGCTCAAATCGGTGGAAGTGGATGGCGTTTAGCTAGCTAGCTAACTAGCTGCTTGTGTCTGAAAGGGATGAAAATAACCCCTTATCATCAATTGTTAAACCAGTTATGAGTAAAATGCATTTCCTTTCTCAGCATGATAGAAAAGCATGTAAAAATTGTCAAAGTTTCCAGGCAAGAAACTAGACTACCAAATCTTAGTTTGACTACCAAACTAAGATTTGGTAGTCAGCTATTGATAATCACTAGGATTCAGTTGCAGTCTAAGACATGAAAAATCTTCCTGTCATTTGACTGGCCAATACTCCACAAAACATTCATGCTGCATCTAATTATGTTTGTTGAAGTCTCAGGTGGTACAGAAAATCCTGGAGTTCCCCTTGGTAAAACATATAGTTGGGCAGGTGCATGCAGTTTTTTTGGTCCAACAGCTCTCAGGTGTATGGACTAGATGTTTAGAGTCATAAAAATGTAAAATTTAACATACAGTGGTTGAGTTTATTTAATTACCTGCAAACTCAAAACGCATCAGCAATGAATCAGTCAGACAGGTTACCCACTGTAGAATAAAACTTGATGAGTTTTGATTGATGCCACTACCTCTGGACATGTTGCATTGGAAGTGACAGCCAAACCAAACCTGCATTATGGTATGAGCCTGTTTAACTAGTTTCCCAACTTCTTCATTAGCTATACCTCAGACAATACTTCCAACTCTATTAAACCTCCTGTATCCTCCTTGTATCTTTTAGATCCATAAATTATCAAGAAGATCAGCCTTTCTAGACATACATTAGACAGTAGTAGACAGATGTGTGAACATGAACGGCAGATATCCTTGAAAGTATAGTCATAGTACAATTTATTTGAGATACAGCCATGCCTCGATTAGGCAGACTACTGTCCTTATCCCAGTTCACATGCACTGGGCAAGAATCCCATTTTTGACTGAAGCATGTCTGACTCTGCTATGGTTGGTGGCATGCCCCATTTTCAGCTCGTTACTACTTCCAGGTTGACATTTTATGTATCAAAACAGCCAGCAAGGTGTGTTAGTGAGAGGATAGGGGGACTTTTTTAGCTCTGTGTCATGTGTCATAAAAGTTATGTCTTTTGGGGTATTTTTTCGACTTGCCAAGGTTGTGTTGACTTCCTGACTTCCTAGCAACGCGTCTATGCTGTTTAACCACTGGCTCAGAGCCTGGCCTGCAAACACTGGGGCATGTGCAGAAAAGTTAGGCCAGTGTCAGTTCAATCAAACTGTAGGCCTATACATGACAGAGAAAATTGATATTACCAATATTGCCATATTGGTAATATTGATTAAACCTTACTTTTGGACAGCCTTCCAGAGGCAGGCTGTCAGCCTCCTTGCGAATGGCTACAGTGTGCTTGCCTGTCAGTCAAGACAGCCATGACTCTGATTGACCAGATCTTGTGGCTTTGATTACTTTGACATAAAATCTTACAAAAAATTAAATCCCTGTCTAGGGGGTGCCATGGGAGCCCTGTGCTATCCAGACCAAAGTCATACTTGGAACCAAACAGTACATGTTAATAATTTTGCTCCAAAATTAGGCCTTTTGGCTTAGTGTGTACCAAGTTTCTAGTACTTCTGCAGTTGGCCTCAAGTGGGCATGCAAGGAACTGCACTTTTTAGTACTTTTAAATTGGCTTAATCTCTCAAGACTGGAGTTTGCAGCTGGCTTTTCACAGAACAGATTGGTAGATGATAGTCATAAGTACATTGGAATTAGTTTATAACAACCCGAATATAAAAACTGTTTTGTTTTTGTCAACGTACATTGAGCCTTTTATATCAGCATTCCACAGAGGTTGCCATCTTGCACCACTGTGTTTTGACAATTGCACAAAATGGATGAACTACCGATAGCCATATGCATCTCTGAATTTAGTAAGTGAGGCATGAAAAGCAGTGGTTGAAAGAAGGAGAAGAGGGTGTTAGCACCAAAAAAATGTATATAGACAGTTTTGATGGTAATACTTGACAAATGTAGGACTTTTCATGCATCACTCTTTTTGTCCTTGAAGGCCATCACTGCTTCACCAATGGTTGCCCTGGGAGTTTTCATCCTGTTTCTGCACACTCTACCTTTAAAGACTGAGTTTAAGTTAAGATGTGCTATTTTATCATAATGTTTCTGGCATATGTCAAATTTTGTCTAATATTGGGGAAACCTCAATTGTACATCTTTTCAAAGGATTTTTTAAAAATGTTTTTGCACACACAGCCTTATACTAATGAACAGCCATGCATTATTAAGTACTACAAACCCCGTAAGCTCTGAATATAGGTGGATACATTAATTTATTGTAAAAAGTCTATTATGGTTAAACAAAATATTTGTAATAATGTAAAAGTGATAATACTCTACAGAGCTGGATAGCTATCCTTTGATTTGACATTATTCAAGGTCAGCCTTGGAAATAATTATCATGGGGAAACCAACCAAAACCAACAGAGTGAGTGTAAACATAACTGTCTTGATAATATAGCATGCCAAAAAAGTGGTCTTCTAAGTTGACCACAGGAACGGGGTAAGTTGAACTGTATCCCTACTTACCCTACAATTTAATAAACCTTATGACAGACTAAATTTACTGTCAAGAATGAAAAATGTTTTTTTTTTTTTTTTTTTTTGGGAAATAAATGTCTAACCCCTTCACCCATGTGATTCTAACCTTAACAGACTCCATGAATTGAGGCCCATCTCCTAAATATTTGGTCACATGATCAATTTCTTTGACCATTTCCAAGAAACAGGGAGTGGCTGAACCTACCCTTTGGCTCAACTTACCCCAATCTCCCCTACTAAAAACTCTGTCACTTCTGAATATACACTCACCGGCCACTTTATTAGGTACACCTGTCCAACTGCTCGTTAACACTTAATTTCTAATCAGCCAATCACATGGCGGCAACTTAGTGCATTTAGGCATGTAGACATGGTCAAGACAGTCTCCTGCAGTTCAAACCGAGCATCAGTATGGGGAAGAAAGGTGATTTGAGTGACTTTGAACGTGGCATGGTTGTTGGTGCCAGAAGGGCTGGTCTGAGTATTTCAGAAACTGCTGATCTACTGGGATTTTCACGCACAACCATCTCTAGGGTTTACAGAGAATGGTCCGAAAAAGAAAAAATATCCAGTGAGCGGCAGTTCTGTGGGCGGAAATGCCTTGTTGATGCCAGAGGTCAGAGGAGAATGGCCAGACTGGTTCGAGCTGATAGAAAGGCAACAGTGACTCAAATAACCACCCGTTACAACCAAGGTAGGCAGAAGAGCATCTCTGAACGCACAGTACGTCGAACTTTGAGGCAGATGGGCTACAGCAGCAGAAGACCACGCCGGGTGCCACTCCTTTCAGCTAAGAACAGGAAACTGAGGCTACAATTTGCACAAGCTCATTGAAATTGGACAATAGAAGATTGGAAAAACGTTGCCTGGTCTGATGAGTCTCGATTTCTGCTGCGACATTCGGATGGTAGGGTCAGAATTTGGCGTCAACAACATGAAAGCATGGATCCATCCTGCCTTGTATCAACGGTTCAGGCTGGTGGTGGTGGTGTCATGGTGTGGGGAATATTTTCTTGGCACTCTTTGGGCCCCTTGGTACCAATTGAGCATCGTTGCAATGCCACAGCCTACCTGAGTATTGTTGCTGACCATGTCCATGCCTTTATGACCACAATGTACCCAACTTCTGATGGCTACTTTCAGCAGGATAATGCGCCATGTCATAAAGCTGGAATCATCTCAGACTGGTTTCTTGAACATGACAATGAGTTCACTGTACTCAAATGGCCTCCACAGTCACCAGATCTCAATCCAATAGAGCATCTTTGGGATGTGGTGGAACGGGAGATTCGCATCATGGATGTGCAGCCGACAAATCTGCGGCAACTGTGTGATGCCATCATGTCAATATGGACCAAGCTCTCTGAGGAATGCTTCCAGCACCTTGTTGAATCTATGCCACGAAGAATTGAGGCAGTTCTGAAGGCAAAAGGGGGTCCAACCCGTTACTAGCATGGTGTACCTAATAAAGTGGCCGGTGAGTGTAAATGGATACATTAATTCCCTGTAAAAAGTCTATTTTGGTAAAACAAAATAATTTTCATAATGTAAAAGTGGTAACACTCTACAGAGTTGGATAGATGTCCTTTGAGTTGACATTATTCAAGGTCAACCTTAGAAATAATTGTCATGGGGACATAACCCCTCATACTGCTGGTGAGCACTTCTATCCATAAAAAATAGGAGTGACATTATGGTGCTTAACATATGCGAAACAAACTTCTTTTTAAAAGCAGCAGAAATAATAGAGCCCAAGTTTCATGGTGGGATGAAATGTGTTCAGTTCAAGTCTTATCTCACCGGAAATAAGCTCATGCTCCTAACTTCTTCAATCTTTTACGTCGCTGTAAACCAAACTCCAGTGATTACATGAATATGCCCCATAACCCGCTGAAATCATATCGAGTGTAGTCACATATAGGGGTTTAGTCACACAGGTTTGTCGATGCCAGGTCGTTTGGGTTTAGCAATCATTAATGTTTTTAGTAGAAGAGGGGGGAAAACTGTACATGCTCGGGCGCAGCAGAGCCTCAACGACGCACGCCACAGTTTGGTTTAGACTTTCAAGATGGATGCTTCCCCCTCGATAGGTTTCTGTTTCTTTTTTGGAGAAGGCTTACACGGGTTTAACTAACCTCCACATGACGGCTGAAGACATTTCTCATCGAAAAGGACTTAAAATACATCTACAATACAAAAACGTGGATTTAAGTGGATGTTTTTCTTCCTACGCGTTTGGACGGTCGGTTAGTTTTTAACTTCCTGGTTGTCGTATGACTATGTTGAAACAGCGGCCACATATCGAGTTACTTTGAACGGCGTATTGAAAACAGTATTCGGGGGGTTTCAAGATAACCGTGGACATGTTTAATAGACGAGACAGCAGTTTCCAACGAAGGACAAAAAGAGAAAGACTGATTTCATAAGTGGTCCGCAATGGAAAGTGGAAATGGTGATGCCTCGAGCAAAGGTGATGAGCTTTTTTTTATACTCCCTCGTGTGACTTTCACTTTAAAACCAACAAGAAATAAGTCAGTGAAGTGTTTTTTTTAGCACTGAACTAAGGTAATGGACCCTTTGTATGGTAAAAAACGACGAAGGAAAGTCTGACTTGGTGTCGTCTCATGGTACAAAGAGTCCCCGTCTTGTGAAATAAGTCGGAAACTTTTCCGAGTAGAGAGTGAAAACCCAATCTGTCGTATTTCCGTCATGTCACTTGTTTGTCGCGTCAATTTTTATATTTTCTTTCACTTTTAGGTTTTTTGGTTCCCGTACCAGAATCTTCTGACGCATTTCAGAGCGATATTTTGGCTCCGCTTAAAAGTGCGTATTTGTATGAGGAATCCAGACAGTGCTTTGAATACAACTCAGCTTTTTTGGTGAAGAATCCAGCACTTGAAGAAAAGGTCTGTCCAAAACAAGTCATTTCTCATTCCACCACCTTATAGAAATCAGTATAAATTTACACTACTTGATTAAACATGAAAAAGTTCACATACATTGAACATTTTTGTTAACAAATAGAGCTAATGTAAAAAAAAAGTTCCTCCTGTGAAACCAATATGTGGCATTTTTCTAAATATCATTTATTTACATCAGTATAATGCCTTCCGAGCGAAGAGGGGGGCAGCAGGATATTCAGAGGAGGATCTGAAGGAGTCCTTCGGGTTTTTGCTCTTTGATGAGGCCAACAAGGTAAAGACATAAAGCACAGAAAGATTTAAGGACTTACACAATCACAAAAAGTTTGATTGGCTAAAGTTGGTTATCGTATCTGTTAAAAGGCGAACAGTCTTGGAGAAACTGGTGTGCTAACTGGAAACAGCACATGCACAACTCTTGGAGATCCTGCAAATGGTAAGATTACCTTTATGTTATGATGCATGCAGCTCAGCCATGAATAGATGAGACTATGAGTCTTACTGGTTACTTCAAGAAAAAAAAACAACTATTTTTTTAAACTGTTTTCTGCATTTGTTCTAATAGTTCATCTTAAGTTATTACCTTAATGCCCATCTGTGCAGCTTGTCCAGAATATGCTATACAGGTCCAGCAAAGGCAAAGTACATGCTGAGTGCCTGGTGCCTCTCTGCCCTTGAAAGTGAAAGCAGCTTGAACTTATAAATGCATATAAATGAAAGTGGAAGACTAACTGGAAGAAGCTTACAGTGTCTGTGAAACAGAAACTTACAGAAACTGAAACTATAGGTCAGAGCAGTTTGAGGCAGAGGGTATATAAATTAGAATTTGTTCTACTGCTTTATGAAATGATTCTCATGTCAGCAACATTAGTTTATTCCTTTATAGCTTCAAATTTAAAACATTGACTCTCAAAATGCCTGTCATACTTTTATCCGCTGGCTGTGATAAGTTATCAGGCGTGTACATCAAAGTCCTCTTCATGGAGCTGCTTTTCTGTGAATATATACAGTATAGGAAACCACATTAGAGTGACACGTGAACACAAGAGCTTAGTCACATGTTATACATGTTTCAGTGTTTCACAGGGTTTGTTTTTATCTGTTTCAGTTCAAGTGAGAATCACTACTAATGTATTAAGTGGCTGGGACATTTACACGTAGATAAAGTTTGACATCTAAAAGAGAAAAAAAAACATGGCATTGACGCTCATTTATTTAAAAAGTTGGGAGGGGAAAAAAGTGTGTTGTAAATAAATCAGTTTGAACTTGTATCAAAATACAGTCATTTTTAATGTAAATTTTTTGACTGCATTTCTTTGGCTAAAAGAGACTTTTATTGATGCTGCTGGCAATTTTGCCTGTATGTCGAAACTTTATTGACTCTGGCAGCAGGCTGCAGACAAGGGAGTATAAAGAAGCTACCAAAACCTGCAAAACCAGTTAGTGTCTCTTTGTACTGAGTCTTACAATCAGATTTCCAACTTGTTATTTTCCTTTAAAGCAGGAGAATTTGTCAAAAAGTCACCCTTTTTCAGGTATTATTTTCCTCATTAAAAAAATGCACCACGTTTTACTTACAGGACAGCAAATTTGCCCTTCAGTGAGCAGGTGAAAAAAACCCCACCCATATCATTGAGTCATTATTTATCACACTCCTTTCTCAAAGCTTAACAGATCCTGACTCACTCTTAAGGCCGGATAGATAGTTATTATTCAGTTTCCAGGAAATAATTAATAGAGATTGAACGAATTGTGCAAAGCCTACAATATGCAATCACTGACTTATTAAAAAATGGGAAAATAGAGTATATTCTTGATTTCAAGTCCAATAATCAGCCAGTTAAAACATGGGTATTTTTCACTAATAATACTCTGTACAAATGTCAGCTATATTCTGATACCACAAGTAAAGTGATTTCAATCAGAAATTTGAATGTACAGAGCAAAACGTGTCAATGCTATTGTCCATGAGAAGACTTTTTATATCTCATGTTCTCAACGGCAATGTATACGGCAGGTTTATGGTTGTGTTATGACTTTTGACTGCACTGGGTGAGGTTTGTCAGCTATTTCGGGTGTGGTGTGTCCTTGACACATTCATTCTTCAAGGTGGGGCTTTACTGCAGAGGGAATGTCAGGTAACTGAGAAGTGACCTTAAAGTGAAGAGTTTAACACCAAAGTTGTTTATGAGGTCCTGAATTTGTAATAAACAACATTCTCTGTGTTTTTGTACGTAAAATACATTAATTTCAAGTCATCTGTACTTACTCAGGTATCTATGTATCCATGTACTCTGACTGTTTGGATCTTAACCGGTGGTATCATGGGAAGTCTGGATACATTGCCATCATCAGGTTGACAAAGGTATTAAAAAGAGAGATTGTGCAATATTTCCCTGTGGTGTGAAGTAACTGTGTAGTAACTTCATTCACATTAAACAATTATGTGTAAGCCAGAGAAATTGTTCTCTGTCATTAACAGGGGAGAGTTAAAAAGGTTTCAGAAAACTACACCCAGAATTTCACTGTGCCTACTGTGGGATTTGACTGTCACATGTCGGAGCAGTTACCATCAGTATCTGACAAAACCAGCTCCTTCCTGGCATTTGAAAGAACCCAGGTAAGACCCAGACGTATATGTGCAAATGACTGTTATACAACAAAGTTGATCCCACTGACACCCAATGTTTAATATTGCTACAAATGCACAGAAACTGTTTATGCATAAATTATTTAAACCAGAAGGTCACATATCACCTTAAGTAAGCACCAGCTTTCAAGGTCGTAGTGCTATCTTACCTATTTCTAGGTGTATCCTTGTGTGTTGTTGAGCATCTTAATGGAGGAGCTCATGTATAGAATAAAAACTGTCCCAGACAGCAGGTAGCTCAAGTGTGTGCTGTTTTGATTTTACAGTATTACATGTACGAGTTGCTGGATGATGGAAGCAACAAGACGTCTCAAACTCCCAGTGCTGCCTGCCCTTATGCCATTGTATCATTTTCATATACGGACTCCAAAGCAGCACGTGCAGCACCACAAGAGAACCAGTACTGTATGGACAAGGACACATGGTTTGTTTTATATGTCACACTGTAAACTCAACCAAATATTATTTGCGTTGATATTAAAGACAAAGTTATCATTTGTTTTCTGATTTCTCTTTTCAGGGAGAAGAAAAAACTGGGTGAGTTAAATTTCAGTCATTTCAGACTTAGTTAGGCTTCTCCATGTGTTAATTGCTATAAAATGTTAACTAATTTATACTTCTATGAAGTAGTGCAAGCTTTAAAAGCCCCTGCACTAAAAAAAAACGTATCGCAATGTAAACTAATCTTAACCAAGTGTCAGTTTAAATGAAAGAAATGATTTCCCAGAGCTTGTGTGTGACCAGATTTATTGAATAGACTGTCACTGTCCGACTTCTCCCCCCATCAGTTTGTCATTACTTTTCATGGATTGGTCAGCTTCAAATTGTTGACCAGTTCTATGATGTAAGGCTAAGGTCTACATCAGGACGCTTGATCCCTGCAAAGCTGTAAGTTAAGTTCAGTGTGCACATAGAAAATACCAATTGTTAAATGATTTTTGATTTTATAACCAATTTTCTCTGTATTATCTTTTAATGTAAGGCCACCGGTGGTGAAAGTTGACAAAGCTATCTCCATGTTGGAACTGACGCGGCTGCTGCCTCGAGCTGTTTTTGAAACCTGCCTCTCTGGTGAAGGTGTGTTGTTAAATAGTTTTAAATTACATTGTAGGGTGCTGGATTTTCAACAAATTCTCTGGATTCATTGGCGACGTTGATGATTTTGTCCCTTTTTATCGTCCCTCAGTTTCTCAGGATGGCTTGTGGTACAGTCTGTGTGAGTTTATTCCTGCTGAGGCTGAAGAAACCAACTCACTTGCTCTGCTTTTGTGTGAGGTCAAGGAGAAAGATGTTGTAAGTGTCTGTTAATCATCAACAATTTGTAGAGCATAGGATTCATTCTGTTTTGTTCATCATGAAGTAAATTGGACTAATAGTACTGTAAATTTCTAGGTTTTATAACACGTTTACTTCACAAATATGTTTTTCTCAGCGTATTTTGCTTATCATCTAGCAACCTACAAGTGTCCCCTAAAAACATGCTCTTATTCACACAGGCTCTTACTCTTCAGCTGAATGATGGTGGTTTTCTTTTCTTGGTGCACTCTTCCCATTTCCTCACTTATGATGGTAAGATATGAAAATAAGAAGTACCTGCTACTGTCAGTTTTAAGGCAAACTCGCTTGACTCCCCTTTATTAATGACTCTAATTCAACTTCTTGTTAACCAAATATGTTATTTTTTTACTCCTCAGATACTGGGTCCAGTGCGCCAGAGGTTTTGCAAGGAGTGTTTGTGTTTCCTGACTCACGGGCCATACAACGAGGTGATTGAAATAAAATTTACAAGTCCTGCTCAGTATGACTTCATATATCAGCTTGTTTGGAATTAATGCCATTTTTGTATGTACAAATTGAGAAAAAAATGGATGCAGATATTAAATTAGAATTCTTTCTTAATTTATCTCAGACACAAAACTTGGACTCAGAAAGCCGGCCATATCACCTGAAATTCTCCGGGTTCTACCTGTCCTAAGTTATGCAGAGGGTGAAGCTGAGAAAACACCCATTGATCCTAGTGAGGACCTGAGTGAAGTTTTGGCAAAGCACATGCAGAGTTATGCAGCACTGATAAATCCTGGGTTGGATATAATTCCCTCTAGGGAGGTCAGCATCTTTGCTGATCAGTATGATGTTCCAGAAGCCCATAAGCATCTCTACACATCCCCAGAGTGGACTTCTAAGGCATGGCAGAGCTTGAAGTCATACTTGAGCAATCCAGTATCTTTTCAGTTGCCTCTGGTGAAGGCCTCTGAGATTCTGATGGCTGGACAAGAAAACCGAATGGAAGACCTTGATGATGATGTTTATATCTGTTTGTCATCCCCAGAGGAGGCATCAGCCAGTGCTGCTGACACTTTGTCTGAGGACCGTTCTGCAAGCCAGACATCCTCTGTAAATTTGGAGGCTTCTGTGAACACTTTGGTAGCTGGTGTTGATGCACCACTTGATTTGAGAAGTGTTTCTCAAAAGGTTGTACAGGACGATTTGCCAGCTGGAGTTTCTGACAAAGACACTGAAAAAGCTGAACTGACTCTCATGACAAAAATTGATGTTACGAGGAAAAACATTAATCCTTTTCCTGCTGCATCAGATGAACTTCCAGCAGAACTTATTGTCAGCATCACTTCAGCAGAGCGAACTGATAAAAGTATGGTCGATGTTGAGTCTGCAACCAAGCAAAATGACTCAAAGATTTCAGATTTTTCAAAAGCCAAATCACATACGATCAGCATGAATCCATCAAATGATGAGACTGTCAAACACAGTTTGGATTCCTCTGAGGTCAACAGTCTCAAAAAAACAAAACGCAGGAAGGTACGAAGGGGTCATTACAGACGCCGTAAAAAGGTATCTAATGCTTGTGCTCGGATACACAGTTTGCCGACTGTACAAATACCTGTGGCGGACAACAACCCAAAGAGTCAGGAGGATAACCCAACCAAGGGATTGGAGGAGCACCAACCATTGAGTAATCCTTCCATTGCTGATTGGAGGAAAGGAAAGAGGCGGAAGCGGATATTTGGAAAACTATCACCAAGAAATAAAAAATTGAGATCTCGCACTGTTGGCCCAGTATTGTCAGAGGAGAAAAAAACAGACTCTGAACAGCAGCGGTTGGAAAGCACAGTGTTAATGGAACTTGAGGCTTTTCCTCTGAGAAGGAAAACAGAGCGCTGGGACTTGAAGCCTGTTTTGAGTGAATGTGGAAGAATCTTGGTTCCTCATGGGTCTGTAGATGTTGCTGATAAGATTAAGTCTTTACAGGATGAGCTTCAATCTACAAAAAATAACAAATCCCATGAAACAATGTCAGTCGTTACTTCTGTAGAAGCTCAAGACACTGTTGAAACGGATCAAAAGTCGAACAGTGTCCCAGAGGAAGCAGTGGACAAAGCAGAGAACACGACAGTCACAGGTGGAGGAGGCTCCCATGAAAATGCTCCTGTCGGTCATGTTTCTCCTGAACACAGCACTTTTGGACTGTTAGATGGTACCAGTAACTCATGGAATATGAACCCAGAGAGTAGTGAGCACTCTCCAAAGACTAATGTCACAGACATTTCTCCCTCTCTGGGGATTAAAGAAAAGCAAAGTGATAACCCTTCTCAAGGAAAGGGCTCCACAAAGGGTGAATTTCTTCTAAGCAAACTGAAATCAGTCTTATTACGAGGAAAGAGAAAAATTGATCTGCTTGGATCAGAGGACATGACTAAAGGTACCATACAAGCCACTGAGCCGTGCCTGAAGATGAGCAAAGATGATTCAGAAACTGGTGTACTGAAGAGTAATGATGCAATTACCAGGGTTGAAGACTCTGATTTGGGGCTCAAGACAGTCTCGAGGATGTTCTCAGTTGATCCTCTTTTTGCATATGCTTTGGGCCTTACCCCTAAAGAGATACCAAACATGGTACAAAAAACTGATAGTTTAGGTGATCAAGACTCATCTCAGACACAAGAACAAACCATGTTTGACAAACATCAAATCATTCAAAGGCCACCATCCATTTTTCCAAGAAGGGGAAGGATAAAAACACTCAAAAAGCATCAAGATGTCTCTGCAGAAAATGTCAAGAAGAAATGTAAGTCATGTTTCAAATTTCTAAAATTCAACTTTTTCTTTGAGAACTTGCAGCAGTCTTGTAGGCTAACAGAGGGCACCTTTTCCTTGGCTCTGTCTCCTCTGAAACTGTCCTCAGCAGACTGCATTGCTTTCCTTTTGCCTGCTTTGCTGTTTGCTATTGGCTATTGAGCTTTACTTGGTCATTGCTCTTGCTTGTCATGTTTTTGTTTATGCCAGTCTTATGAATCGGCACTAGGAATGGGCTTTTTAAGAAAGTCCCTTGATCGATTAATCATATAAATTAATGATCTATCATCAATTTGATCGTTTCTTTGTGCGAATGGTAGAAAATACTCAAAACACGTGTTTTTCCTCATTGAAATCCCCCCATCTCCCCAACTGTTGTTCAGGACTACGTGCCACATGCTCACTTGCGCTTCCTACCTGCCCGGCTACTGTAATAACCAATGTTTTTCTCATTCATGAAACGCTAAAATTGGGGAAATTTCCTGGGACAACTTTAGCTGGGGCTAAAACAGGGAAATCGGGGGACGTCTGGTCACCCTACAGTTCTTACTTGCTGGCAAGGAGCTTATGGTAGTTTAAGACTGGGAGCACTGCACTTGGAGGATTCGTTAACCTCAGTCGAATGTATGTCGTTTAAGTGGTACATCATTGGGGTTGTTGTCGTGTTGTACTTGTTCACAGCATTGCAGTGTTGCAGCAAACCTTATTGTTCCACTCGAAATGGTCCCACACCACACTTCATCTTGCTCTTTTCACGTTTTTTTTACTTCTACAGAAGCCCGCTGATGCAGTATCACTCCCCTTGTAAAATGTCAAAATCCTTCTGTGCGGTGATAGTCAGCATTGCGTCAACAGAGACACACATACTGACTGAACAAACAGGGTATCCCTTCCTATCAGCAGAAGTTGATCTTTGCTTGAAAGCAGCTGGAGGATGGATGCACACTGTCATCCCTTTTTTAATAACGTTAGATCAATAGAAATTTTGCGTGATCGACATAATTCTCAACGATCAAATAATTGATCTTGGATTTATTGTGCCCATTCCCAATCTGCACCATTGTATTATTGCTTTAATCAATGCATCCCTTTGTTTATGTTGGTGACATGGTTCAAATGGTAATACATTGGTATATTTCAGATGCTTTATATGTGCTACTTTCCATTTTCATGCAGTTTCTCTTTTTCTCTTCTGTTTTGTCTTCACAGGGTGGTTGCATTTTCAAACCCCAGCTTGTTATGCAAGTGAAAAACACAATAAAAAAGAGTGTACTAGGGGTTATTCTGTCAGGAAGACTGTTAAGGAAAAATTGAACAGTACAATCCCATCTACAGATGCTTTGACCTTACTTGCTGACTTGGCTCTCAGTGCCAATCATGACCAGGTTCCAACACAACCAGACCCAGCACTTGGGAGACAACCTGAGACGAGTTTGAAGAAGTGTGACCTTACAAAAGATGTTACCAGTGTTGATCAAGAGTCAGTTCTTCATGCTCTTCTCAGACAGCCTGCTGTTAGACCCATTCAGCCAGCCAAGAGTCCTTCTCCAAGCCATCTTGTGGGAGACCATGAATTGGTTGATTTGGTAACTAAAGAACATGCATACTCATTGCCCCCGTCTTCCTCTCTACCGTTGGGTTTGCCAGGTACACTCTCACAGGTATCCCCTGTAAGTGATTCTACTGGACTGCTACACCATCAAAAAACAATGTGCAAGGGTGACAATGGAACTTTGCACCCCTCTATTGTTCAGCAAGATGAAGGCGAACCATACCGTGGGACTCCAGAGTACCTGAAAAAACACACAACGCACAGAAAAAAATTCAGACACTCCCGTACCTTTGCCGCCAAGGACAAATCCGTCCAAGTCACAAAACAATGGAAAGAAATCTATGACTTTGATCTTGACAGCAAGTTTGCTAGTGACTCAAAGGATAAAGCCATCATCCGAGCCTTGCATGGGTAAATACATTGTGTTTCTTAGTTTTCAACAATGAAGTAGAAAAAATATTTCAGTGTGTAAACATTTACAGTGATAAAATGGAGGGGCTTATTTTGCGTATTTCTTATCTTCACTAGGCCATGGGATCATTCTGTGCAGGACACCAATGAAGAAGTGCGGCTCATTGTCCACATGTGGATAGGCCTGTTCTACAGCCGGTCAACAGCCAGGTTCTTTCATATTGACCCAGACTCAGTATTCCCATCCTCAGAAGAGGGTGATTCTTTGCAGATGTCCAGTGCAGTGGTATCAGGCCCAGAGCAGTCTGAGCTCAAGGCCAATTCAGATGCACCTTTCCCAGGTGCAGCCGACACTTCAGACCCTTTGACTTCGAAAGCATTGGACCTCAGCAAAAAAGATGACCCGGCCTTGGACCAGGGGTCTTTGGTTTTGGACCTGTCCCTGAAAAATTCCAGTGCAGAGGTTGTCACTTTGGACCGACAAGTTAACAAAGTAGAGACTAATGTGTCTTGTGAAGGGAAAGAAGAAGGCAGAAACACAATGAGCACCCAGGCATCCAACAGACTACATGAGGTGAGCCCATTTCAGGTGGGGTTTAAATGTCACTTTTACTTAAAAGACAGTCCCATTCATTTAAAATGTTATGAGAATTTTTAGATTACGTCACAATTCACCAGGTTTGTGGACTGTCCTTGTGTCTACTTAGAAAGGCGTGATAGCCTGGTAAACAAGTAATTGTGTATGAGGCCCTGTTCACCTAGGAGCAAACAGTGTGTGACAGTTTATAATGAATGCACCTGCATGTAAGGCCATAACAATCTTGCCTCAATTTGCTTTTTATAATGTTGACATTGTATATTGCTAGTTGTATCTGTCACTTTTGTACTTTTGATTTACAGCATCTATAATTCGAATTACTTGTTCACCTCAAGCTGCAATGTCCTCTGAAAATCAAGGCGACGTTTTTTTTTTTTTAAAAACAATAATGAGCTAATTTACCAACGGACTAATGCTCATGGTTTTATTGTATGTCGTTTTATAATGTGTAATCAATCATTCTGTTTTCCTTGTCTTTTTACAGGTTTATAAAGAGCTTGCCCTGTCAACAAAAATGACCAATGGCGTGAATGACTTCACAATCACCCATAAAGATGAGGAGACTTGCATCCCTTTGCATCAAGCTGGCCAGTTTGAACACACCCATGGGCCATCTTTGAAGGACGTAATACTAAATCCTATTCAAAAAACAAATAAAGGTGTATCCATTCTGCCAGAAAACTGCCAGACAACAGGAAATGCTGACATATTACAAGGATGCTGCAAAGAAAATAGAGATATGAAACATTGTACAGGAAGTTCAAAGGATACAGAGATCAATTTAGTTCTGTCCAAATCGGTCATGGATGACAATAACCAAGAAGCAGACTCTGTGGTTCACACAATTCAGCTTGATGAAACTGAAACCAAAGATGGGGAAAACCTGGAAGTAAAGAAGAAGCCACACCAAGGAGATGGTCAAGAACTTAATCCAAAACCTTTACAGGAAGGAGATGATACAACAATCAAACAATCAGGTGAAGTTGGTAGTGAAAATCTTGATGAAAAAGAGGAGCAGTCATCCAGTGAGGAACTCACAACAGTCTCACATGACGAGGCTGTAAGTGTGAATGAAGACGTAAATCATTGTACATCTAATGAAAGTAAAGAGATGGAAGATGAAGACAGACTCGATGAGAAAGACAGTTGTGTTTCAGCTGTGGATGCAAAGAGTGATGTAAGCCATCAACCATTACATGGAAGGAGGAGTGATGGTCCTAGCTCAGTGGAAAAGGATTGCATTGGAGTGTATGACTGCCAAACAAACTCAGATGAGCATCCACCTCATGAGGACAAGAAAGAAGCCTGTCATGATTTGCACCTAGTAGACAAATGTGTAGATGCCAGCGAACATACCATTACAGGAAATGTTCCTCACAGTCCACTAAAACTGGAGGCTGGGGGAGAGGAGTCTGTTCCCCAGACAAATGAAGGCATTGAATCCGGAAACAATAAAGTAATGACAAGTTCTGATGTGGGGAGTGATGAGCATGAAGATTTGCATACAAAACAAATTGAAGGAGAGCAGACGTCTGATAACCAAACTCTAAAAGAACCAATAATCTCTCAGCCACATTCGCCATTGAGTGAGCCACTTGAGTCTAAAACTGAAGTTATGGAAACTAAAGAAACAGAACTTGGTGGTGACGAAATCAACGAGGGATTAGAAGAGAGTCACAATCGAATCATAATTCCATTCATTGGAGTAGACATCTCCAGAGAGGATATCCTACTACCACAAGACTCAGATTCACAGGACACTGTTGAAAAATTTGCTCAAAGTCAAACAGAAAAAACATCTATTTCTAAAACAACCCACCCCAACCCGGTTCAGCTCACTGAGGTATCCAGTGCAGTTCAGCCATCCTGTAAAAAAGCAGAACTGTTTTCAAGCAAAGCATCCCTTCTGGATGTCCCTGAAATCAACCAGTTATGGGCCTCAGGCAGTGAGTCAGATGAGCGATGTCCTACTCCAACCATGGATGAAAAACCATATGGGTCCTCAACTTGTTCCAGCCCACATAGTGTTACTTCTACCTTTACTGGTGGCAAAAGCAGCAAAAATACAACCCAGAAATGCCTTGGCAGGAGTTCTAAGCAAGAACCTTGTGAGAAGTCTGCAGTTAATGGTGATCTCGATAGCCATCGTAGTCTTCCCCCTGATCTCGAAATAAGAACTTTAAGAGTTCTTCAAAGTATTGACAAGTTCCTCTCAAAATCCAGTCCCACTGACAAATCCAGCCTGATCAAAACAGCCAACATGAAACAAAAGCCCCAAACCTTGAACTCAAAGAGTAAATACAACCCGAATTGCTTCGTTCAAAGCCAGTGCTCACAAGACTTGAAGGACCATAAAACCAACGTAAAGTCAGCAGCGGTGTCAGCTCCTACTCCACAGGACCCGTCTATAGAGTCATCAGGAAACTTTCATATATTGCCTTTTAAGAGTAAAATAGAGGAAGTCCTCGGGGTTGGCTTGCAGCTTAAGCAAACGCACCCATCAGTTCATCAGCATTATTATGAAAGAACAGAAAAATCACAGAAGACTACCTCTAGACAAGAAAATTGTCATACCCACCAGTCCTCTCCTTCCACTGAGTATTTGAGAATCATCAACCCAAATAATGACCAAGTTAGACACACAACATCACAGGCGAACTTAAGTTACGATCTACACCCATCCAGTCAGCGTCCTGTTATGGCAGTCAGGCCATCAAAGAGTGATGAGAGTCAGGCAGACAGTCTCTCAAAAGACAGGCAAAATGAAAACCTTGAGCTGTCAAATAAACTGACAAAAACTCTTTCAGTCAGCTCCACACTGAAGACAATGCCCTTGGAGATAAAGATGCAGTGTTTTGAGAGACACTCTGAGGCACTAAATGACAACACACAAGAGACATCTATGCATCTTTCAAGGAGCAGATGGTCATCTCATGTAAGTGACAGCAGGTCAAATAAGGCTAAATTTGCACATCAAGATCCTTTGTATCAGCATGAAGGGAGGGACAGTTCAAAACTCAGCAAAACTTCTGCATTCCTCCCAGTGCAGAGTTCTGGATCAAACAGTTCATCTCAACTTGTTGAAGGAAAACAGTGTTTGACATATAGTCCTGTAGAGAAGGCTGGACAAATTGCTAGAGAGAGTCTTGAGATTGATCCTAGAAACTGCTCGGAAGTGTCAACTTCACTTGTGGATTACAAAGATGATGACAACGCAGATGATGACCTCTACCTGGGACCTGACAGCTCACTCTCGTGCACAGTCTACAACACCAGTCGGAAGAGATCGTACTCCTTTCTGGAGCAAGTTTCTCGAAGGTGCATACAAGATGACCGCACTGAGGCGTCAATGGAACAGGAGTGCCTTATCTTTTCAGAGAAGATGAAACAGCTCTTGAAAAGGAGTAAAATGGGGTCTGTTCACAAAATGGATGCACATGGAAAATCAAATACGTCTTTCTCCAGTCCTGTGTTGGTACGCTTTTCGGATCTAGAGGAGCGGGAAGAATTAAAGGATCACTTGGATGAACTGTCAATCTTTGGACAAAAAATCAAGGTCGACATGTCTGATCGGAAAGATCTTGTGAATACCACAGAGAAGACGCTGCATTCTGAAAAATCATCCCAAGGAACATCAGTTGAACATGCAGGAATTTCTGCTGTGACTGCTGAGTATGCTGAGCTGTATGAGGCAGCGATGGACGATGTTTGTGCGATCAGGGATGCCCCATCTAGACCCAAGCACCTCAGAATGGATAGAGGTTACCTGAAGGCAGAACCAAGTAACTATTTTGATTTCTGTGATCAAATGAAAAGAGAGATGGATGAGAGTTTTCGCAGTACTCTGAATTCAGTAGTGAAAAAATCCTGTAAGACTAAGTACAGATTCTACATACTGGAGACGTCAGACAACCCCTTCTTTGAGGAAACCAAGGTAAGACAAGTTTCCATAAACCTCAGAATACAGTATTTGTTTTGTCCTTTTTTGATCCATTCAGTTGATTCAAGCATAATCCTACGTTTTTAATATTGAAGATTACACATACTTTGACGTTCAAGCTTTACCTTTTTTGTGTGTTTTTTTTTTGTATTATTTTTTTTAATGTAAACGGTAGTATTGGCTCTGATTTCACCTGTCAGTAGCTGCTATTTCAATGTTTTGAGTTTTTCGGATTTATCTTCAGACTCATTACTCAGAATAAAATGAGGTGCTCAGTTGTTATGCAAAATCCAAATGCACAAATTTCAATTTTTTGTTTCCTGATCCAAACATTTTCTCAGCCTAAAGCAAAAATGGGAAATTAACTCTCTCTCAATATTCTATTGGTCTTTTTTTTTTAAAACAGTACAACTTTAAAACTCTAATGGGGAGATTTTTGAGGTTTATAAATAGGCTGAAATACACAATGACGCCTTTTTTATGTTATCTAAAAGCACAAAAGATCATTGGCAACATTATTGATGATTTTTATGTTGTAATTATTGGTGAATTAAGCCTGTGCAAGGGAGTTAGATGTCCGCTGAGCAGCTACAGAGACAGTCTGTTCTACAATTTTCAATATAAAATATTCATAGTAAACTATATAATAACAGTTAATTTTTCGGGGGATTAAAATAAATAAACAACCAACCTAATAAATATATTTTAAAAGCATTCACTGATGATATGGATGATCAGATATGAAATCATCTGGCTTAGAGGTAAATATTTTACAGAACTAACGCTCTAATAAACACGCTTTTCCTTGGATGAGGAGAAACGTTTTGCTGCCCATTTGGTTGCATAATCAAGAAATGCATTTTGAGAGGAAAATATTTTAAAATATTGTTAGGAGGGTCCTATTGTAACATTTTATCATTTGCAGTACCATCATGAAATATTAATGTGAAACCACCCTAAAGGCTTGATTTGTCTTTGATTTTCTAAAGGCACTGTTGGGAGCAGAGGGCCACACTGCCGTACAGCCATCAGAGTTTTTCCTCAGTGATGGTGGTCCTTCATCTCTACTCATTATTCTCAGGAATGAAGACATTGCAGAGCACATTTGTGAGGTAATTTTCCAGCAGAAAAAAGGTAGCAACAGGATTTAAAAAGTCATTTTGAAATATGGAGAATTACAACTGATAACTGGCTTGCTCTGTGTTGTCCTAGGTCCCACATTTGCTGGAGTTGAAGAAGTCCCCCGCTGTGCAGTTTGCTGGGATTGACGAGCCAGATGATGTTGTAAATCTCACCCATCAGGAGCTCTTCACAAGAGGCGGTTTAATCATGTTTGACAAGGCACTGCTGGAGCCACTCAGCCTTTGTATGTCCACTTTTTACAAAAAAAAAAGCTTTTTTGTTTTTTAACTTGCCATGTCAGTAACTTTTTATTTTTCATTGCTTAATTCATGACTCATGAAGTTTTTATTAATTTCAAGGTGACATGACAAAAATGTCAGAAATCTTGCAAGAGCTGAGCAAAACGGGGAAGTGGAAGTGGATGTTGCACTACAGAGACAGCCGTCGGTTAAAAGAAAATGCAAGGTTTGGATCGTCTTTGGAAATCAAAGCCAAATCATTTTTTTCTTTCAACAAACCAGGCTGTCAAACCAGGTGTCCTAAAGCCTGTTTCTTTACGTTTCTCTGCACAAAACATAAAAGTTGAAGTAAACCAAAGAGAACATATCAGTTTCAATGCTATTTAAGAAAATACTTGCCAATAGTAATGCTGCTAGTAAATTAACTACTGCATCTCTGACTTCTGTGCATGTATCTTCTCTTATCCTTTTTGGATTCCTTATACTTTTTTACCCGAGTGACTGCAGTCATTATTTTAAAGACTGTTGTTGATTGTCCATACATACTGTGGAAAAGTCTCTGTTAAACTCTTACCTCAACAATATGTTTTGTCCTATCATGCCCAGGCTGAGTGCGGTGGCAAAAAAGAAGAAGCAGTTCCTACTCTGGGGGCAAGAATCAGGGATGTTGGAGGTGTTGCCTTACCATGAGTGCGACCTCATGTCCAGAGATGACCCTGATTACCTTACTTGTTTGGTCCGCTTGCAGGTTCAGAATATAACAGCGCGTTACACTGTTTTTATAACTGGTGAGACACTACTACACAAATACACCCAACAGTAGCTTCACATCCATTACTTAATATCGTAGTAGTTTGAATTTTTGATTTACATTAGGCATTTAAACATGACATCTGTTCCCGTATCAATGCATTTAAACTGATACTATTTCCATAAGAACACTTTTCTGTGTCCTTCACCATTGTGTAGAAGAATAACACCAATTCTCCTCATATGGAAATACATTTACACAAATATATGCTGGAAGATTTCCAGCTGTATCACTGGGGTTTTGTATTTTAATTCACCTCCCAAATCAGTCCTGGATAGATGAGTTTTTTGGTTGGACATCCATAAATTGTTGCATTGTGACCAGGATAGCTTGTAAATATTTATTTATGAAGGTAAAAAAGATGAAAATGTTTTTATCTTTCTTACAGATTCAGCGTCAGACAGCGCTTTTGAAAGAAATGGAATAATAACGACGAGTCTCAGCTCTTTCCTGCTCTGCTCTCCGAGTGAAACATTTTCAGTCTGAGTTGACTAAGACAGATGGATGGACTAAAACTGCGAGTTCAATAACTCAGAAATCAAAAACTGAGTGGTGTGAGGAGAAACCAGAATCTGCCACCAGTGTATCATCAAACAAACCTCATTGATATTACTTTTTTTTGGAAGTACATAACTTAAGCTTTCTTTCTTTTATTGGTCAATTATTGACAAATGGTTTTACATTTTTTTGTTCATGTTTATTTGTACACTAAGTTATGTCTCAGTTCACAGATAGTGTCACTAATGCCAGTATGCAGGCATTTGTACTGTTTATACTGTTCGCCTTTTGTATTGTATTTTTATAGAGACTATTGTAAACTTGTTAAGCAATTTTTACAGATATGTATATTTTGTAGTTCTGCATACAATTGACTTGATCCATGTGCAGCACAATCTTTTTTTTTTCTGGTTGAATAACGTATGTTGTCAAAAGGCTATTAACAAAGATTTGTTTCGGCTTTTGTAGTTTAAAATTATTTTCGCTTGGTTTCCAAGCCTTGCAACAAATAAAGTTCTCTTCAAATAACGTATTTAAGTATATTACTGTTCTATGTAATATGTTGCTGACTGAGAATAAAGACTCTTTCATTGTTTTTGCTTTGAAAGAAACTCCAACCCGACTAATGAATCTGCACTTTGATCCTGAGTTTGTGTTTTCACTTATGTCATATGCCAAAACATGACCTACTGGCTCAGCTTAAAATAAAGGAAAAGCATCATCGAAATCTTGACTCAACTATGGATGTAAAAATTTTGTTGAAAACTTTCCCTCATGTCATTTAAAAATATTAAAAAAAAAAAAAGTGTTGGCAATTTTCTTTCTGGGCAATCCATATTGCATTTTGTTAACTTCTTGTTTTTAATGCAGCCTTGCCTCCAGGAAATCAAAGTGAAAAGATAATTATTGAAATTTAGTTTTGAATTTGAGATTTAAATCTATAGTTAAGTCAATTTTAAGTCCATTATCATATATGGTTTCTACTTGGTGTGACCAGGAGAGGGCCTTACTGAGTGACAAAAACATCTTAAATGGGAGTGTCCTGGAGAAAGATGGCACAAAATATAAATCAGTAAGTATTATAAAATGTGATATTGTAATCTAGATAGACGAAAAAATAATAATAATGTAAAATATAATTTACCATAAAATTAACTCATGTCAATCACGTCAAAAAAAAAAAAAAAAAACGAAAACGCAGAAGCTTCGTAAAAGAAGGACTGTCAAATTGGATAACATGGTGTTTGTAATGCTATAGCTGGTCGTTAGTACTTATTATTGTAGCTATAATGGAAGAGAGGAATAAACTTTGTAGTTAAAAGGTGGACTCGTTGACGAAGCGCTCTTGAACAACAGAAAATTCATAATTTCCTTAGGTTTATGAATTGTTTCCATAGACTGTATACAGAATATAGATTATACACTATAGGCAGTCGATGCTTGTTTCTTAAATTAATACATTTTAGTTATTTTCTTATTCGGTTATAAGTCAGCTCCTCTGACAGACTGCGCATGATCAGCCGTTGATGATCCTCCTGAACACAGTACAGTTTGTAGGCAAGCGCTGACTGCTGCGCATGCGTTGTTTAGACTTTGGGGATGGGTCTATCGATGGAATCAAGATGGCGACTCGGGCGAAAGCGCCAATATATTTACTGAAGTAGATGTCCAAAATTCGCCGCTGTAGCGGTTTTTTTCAAGCCCCGCTGGGGTTCCGTGAACCATGAAGCCCTGGAACATGTTTTGGAAAAGGAACTGACCGGAATAATACCGTAACTAAGTCAGCGAGATGTGCGAGAGCTATGCCCGCTCGCTGCTGCGTGTTTCGGTGGCGCAGATCTGCCAAGCTCTGGGCTGGGATGCGGTTCAGCTCACTGCATGCGATCTGTTGTCGGATGTACTGCATCGATATATTCAGCAGCTGGCCAGGGCGTGCCATCGGTACTCTGAACTCTGTGAGTGCTTCTTTCATTGCCCCGATTACTTTTTTAACCCACAAAAGTGAAGTAGTCGATCACGTTGTTGTTGACTGGCTCTGCAGCTGGCGCCCCCTAGCAAAGGTTGATATGTCAAAAAGTACAGTAGCAGCACAGCTAACTAGCTCCCATGTATGGTCATTGTTGCATCAAAGGGTTTCCTTGACTGTGTGTACTACAGTGAAGATAATCATCCTTATGCAATAAAAAGGAGGCCTGTATTATGTGTAGACTCTGTTAAGTAGACCTAATCAATCAGGACCATGTCTTGTATTTCAAGCTCTATCATCAATATGCAGTCCAAACTTTTGACTCAGCTTTTATCAGCTCTGACAGCATGCTGCAGTGAGGTATAATATCTTAATTTGATGTTGCGTTTCAGATGGAAGAACAGATCCAGTCCTGGATGATGTGAGCCAAGCTTTCAGACTGCTGGGAGTGAGTCTGAGTGAACTGGAGGACTATGTCCACAACTTGGAGCCTGTGCCCTTCACCCACCAAACACCACTCTTTCCTGTCAGCAAAAACAATGTGCTGCAGTTCCCTCAGGCTGGAGCTCGAGATGCAGAGGAAAGGAAGGATTATATTCCAGAATACATGCCACCGCTGGTCTCTTTACAAGAAGGTCAGTTCATAGAAAGATGTGTAATAATCTCTGAGTGTTTATGATGAGGGCTGCTCAGTAATTTGAAATGTAGTAGACATTCAGGCCAAGAACAGGATCCATTTTTGTGAAGACTACTGATTTATTTATAAACGTGTAAATTAACATTATAGAAGTGGAATATGGAGCTACTGGAGTGCCGCAGAGAGTCACTGTTGAAACCACCTCAAGATTCAAATCATTTTTTGTCACAAAAATTGATCCAGGCTATATTAAAGTTTTTTGTTGTTGTTGTTTGTTGATGTTTTCCCCAGTCCATCAGTAGAATGATCATGATCATTAGAAGAACACACAGGAGAACATATTAACAATATCAACCAAGCTCTAAAATTGATATTCAAGTAGAGGCAGAGTTATATTACAGTGCACCTTTTATTAACAAGTTAGTCAGGCTACACAGTGTGTAAGTCTTTCTCTCTGGGCCGTAATATATGTGAAATGGACAAGGGTTGTGTCAGAGATATTCGTTTGAAGATGCTAAATTTCTTTTTCTCTACCTGCTGTCTCCAGAAGAGGAGGAAGAGGAGGTCCTTGCTGACATGGGCACCTCAGCTGAAGCCATGCAGGTGGCACTGGAAGAAGATGAGGAGGACATGGATGAGGATGAGACTGTCAACGATGAGAACCACCCACTGAAGAGGCACCTGGACAGTCCAGATGCAGCTATGGGCATGATGCCTACCTCCAAGAGACCACGCATGTACCCCGGCCTCAGCCCAGAATGGGGGGTTGAGCCAAGGGAGCCCCTCACCTCCCTCAACCCTCAGCGTGTCCCCCCAGGCATGCTGCCCACTCATGACAGCATCGACCCCTTGTCCCCTGAAACACCCTCTGGAGCCCTGCCTTCATTCAGACCTCAGCCAGTTGTACCAAAACACTCTGATCAAAAGGGTCTCACCACTCCAGGAAGAAAACCTAAAGTTTCTTCACCTGGAAGACAACGGACTAAGTCCCCTAAAGGTGTCCTCCCTGTTCCGGTGGGTGGTAGTCCCATCAGCTCTCCAAAACCACCTAAGGAGAGAAAGAAATCCCCAGGTCGGACAAAGAGCCCGAAAAGTCCCAAGAGCCCCAAGATGGGTTCAGCCAAAGCATCCCAACCCCAGAGCAAGACAGACAGTGTGCATAAGCTGCCTCTTTCTGCTCTGAGTGAGAGGATGGGCAAAGAGAACATCCATATGCGACTAAATATTGAAGAGAGCCACCTAGCTGAGGGTCCTTTTAAGAAATTAGAGCCTGATAATACAGCCATTGATGACTCCATTGATGCTGTGATTGCCAGAGCGTGTGCAGAGCGTGAGCCGGATCCTTTTGCGTTCTCCTCAGGCTCTGATTCAGATAGTAATGGATTCTCCAGCCCCAGGAGGCTGACCATCATGGAACCGTCTACGCCTAAAGCCCTGATTGGGGCCAGTAACTCTTTAAAGGACACGTCAACACCACTTCACCTACAGGGGCACCCAGGCTTAGGAAATTGGACTATGGATGATTCAATCAATGAGGTGATCCGAAAGGTCAACCAAGGCGGTCCATCTGCAGCCCAGCCAAGTCAGGGAGACTTTGTGTCCTCAGGTTCTGCCTCTCCCCCCACTCCTGAACCTCTGCTCAAGGTCTTTGAAGAGAAGAACAAGATTGTTTCATCGGTGGATGTAAAGAAAAAGCTGAAGAAGGAGCTCAAAACTAAAATGAAGAAGAAGGAGAAAGACAAGCCAAAAGACAAGGAGCGGGAGAAAGACAAGAGCAAATTGAAAGAGAAGAATAAAGAGAAAAACAGGGACAAGAACAAGGAGTTTTCTAAGGATGCTAAGATGCCCTGGAAGGATTTTGGCAAGATGGATGAAGAGCTCTTCCTTCCGCGAGACTTTACTTTGCCCGAGGGCTCCATCAAGATAAAATCCAGAGATGGAGATGGACCTAAAAAGGAGAAGGAGAAACATAAAGACAAAAAGAAAGATAAAGAAAAGAGTAAAAAGGACAAAGACAAGCGGGACAAGGGTAAGGACAGGGGCAAAGAGGACAGGCAGAAACAATCTGCATTAGCCCCCTTTGCTCTTGGGGAACTCCAACCACTGTTTAGCCCCTCTGCCTGCCTGCGAATTCCCTCTATGCTTCCTCCTTTGGCCCCGATCCTCCAGGACAAGGATGTAAAGAGCAAGGAGAAGGACAAGAAAAAGGACAAGAAGGAGAAGAAGAAAAAGAAAGACAAAGAAAAAGATAAAGAGCGAGAAAAGGCCAAAGAAAAGGAGAGGGAGAAAGAGGAGAAGAGGAAAGAGAAGGAGAAGGAGAAAGAAAAACGGGAAAAGGAGAAAGAAAAAGAGAAAGAGAGGATTAGATTAGAGAAGGTAACTTATATTGTTGAATATATTTTGTCTAATTTTAGAGAGTTACTGTTTCTAACCTTGTCCTTCTTGAATCATCAGGTGAAAGAAACTCCAGCGACTCTGCCGTCTCCAGTCATTCCCAGACTGACGCTCAGGGTGGGAGCTGGCCAAGACAAAATGTAAGCATTCAGATGCTTTCAACAGAGATAATCGTCATTCTTTACCGCTAATTGTCTCAAAAGTCAAAGCTCTACCATCTTTGCAGAAATAATTATTTGCTAGAATTAGGAATGACCAGAAGTAAACAAGAACTTTCCAGCTCCCTGTTTTTCATTCATGTTCCAGACAGGCTGCAAGTACACTGTGTTGTTGTGTTTGTGTTGACTCTCTCTCTATCCTTGTCACTTATCAGTGTTATCAGCAAGGTGGTCCCAAACTCCGAGCCCAAAACGCCAGCGCCGAAAACCCCAGCTGCCAAGTCCGGACCTGGGAATCGCCCTCGAACACCTCCGCCGCCTCCGATACTCTCCCCAGTGGTGCCCTCCCTGCCTCTGCCGGCCTCTCCTCTTCCACCAGCTCCTGCTCCTTCATCGTTGCTCTCCTCTGCTACCATGATGTCTCCTGCAGCATCCTTCAAAACGCCAGTCCGCAGCGTCGTTACCGAGACCGTCAGTAACTATGTAGTGAGTGTCGACTCACCACTTTTATATATTTAAAGAATATGCATGTTTTAAAAGTATATTGTTTATACGTTGTGTCCAAATATATAGTATTTGATTCCCCTTTCTTGTTCTGTGTTGTTGACATCATAGCTGTCACGATATTTGTTCACTAAGAGGGTTTTTAATGCCTTCTGTGTCTCTTCAAAGATTCGAGATGAATGGGGAAACAAGATCTGGATTTGTCCTGGATGCAACAAACCTGATGATGGCAGTCTCATGATAGGATGTGATGACTGTGATGATTGGTATCATTGGTAAGAGACTTTCTTTTTTTTTGTTTCTGGCCTTTTTGTACCATTTTGTTTGTTTTCATTTTGACTTTAGTTTTGCATAGTTGGTGGCTAAGTTCCAGTTGTTACTGTCAATTAAAGCCATAGTTCAGTGTCCTGTTTTTGTGCCTTTTGGAGAAAAGTTGGGTTTGAATGGCACAAAAAATGAATGGTTTGGGTAATACCTTGGTTTTTGGTTTCACTGTTTTTAAGCTGGCAGTGTCACTGTATAGGGACAGAATAAAAGCAGCTTCAGGCATATTTGTTTTTCATTTTGAGGAATACAACACTGATACTTCATTGGCCGTTGTAGGTCAGCTGATGACTGGTCAGGAGAAATTTAATGAAAGTCTGTGATCAACCGTTACGACTGTAAAAGACTCAAGTGTGCATATTTGCCAAGTCAATAGGGAAAATTGAAGAGTGTAGCATCTGTCCTGCTAACTCTGCTACTTTATTTTGATTCATTACAGTGTTAAGCTTTCGTTGTTTCAGCTGCCTCTGCTGATTGATATGCTCAGATAATAACACATGCATTTCAGTTTAAGTGTAACAGGAAAGGTAGTTTGTTTTTTCAGAGCAAATGAATAAATCAATAAAAGGAAAGGGAGGGAATTTTATTCTACTCTGTACACCTTTACAAGATGTTTCTTAGTCAACAAAATCAACAAGTTTGTGATTTGTAGGCCAAAAACACGTTAAGATACCATACATGTCCTACTCTCTTGTTTAGCAAAGAAGCTTTCCCTCTTTGCTGTTTGTGTTTCTGTTGGGGTTTCTTGTTTTTTAGTTTTGTATAGTGATAGTCCCAGCAGAACAATAAAGTTTTATTTTTGAATTCTTTTTAAAAATATATGTGGTCCAGAAGGTAGGGAAACACACTTCTCCCCTACATATTTTGCACATGAATTTTAGAGTTTGTCAGGGCTTTTTTATTAAGAAAATCAGATGTTTGTGACATATGAAGTGTTTGAAATGTTTACTTGTGGAAGCTACTGCATTGTATAAAAAAACTGGACAGTGACGATGCACGCTTTTTCACGCAATACAACTCTTCTCAGCATTTAAAAAAAGTTATTTGTGACCTAGCAAGGAGCGTGGGTGGCAGCATCAGGCATGAAATTTGATGTTTTTGCTCTCAAAGAAATTGTTTATCCAGCTAAACAATATTGGCGAGGTAGGCGAGAGAAGGCTTAGCAGGGCTTTTCTTCTCTAGTCTGTGACCAGTTCAGTAGTCACATTCACCCTAACTTTCTTCTTACGCTGTATCTAGAAACATACTTTTAGATACTCTACAATGTCACACATTTTTTTGCAAAAGTTTTATGGGGGGAAAGCGTCATGTTTGCGTTGACTAGAGAGGCCTTGGACGAGTGTTAGTCTTCATCAGGCTCTGGCAGTCTAAGATAGGGGTGAGTCAAGCCAGCGCATTGTAATTCCAGTGTTGTGAAAAATGTGTTGGATTGAAACCCTCATCAGAGGTAAGTGAATCCATATATTTACTTCTACCAGCTGGGGTAGACGTCAGTATACCAAACTAGATTCAAAACTACAGATTTAGCAAAAATTTCACACATTCCCTGAAGGTTCAGAAAGCTACTTCCTCCAAACACATTAAAAAAGACTGTGTGACTACTCGTAGAGGAGAGTGTAGAACTTGACCGAAACATTACTTTCATTAGCCTTTAATACTCAGGTAATGATGACAGTTGGTGCTATTTTCATTAATTTGGTCTGAAAGTGTTCTTCAGACTGTTTGTATTATAAGAGTGGCTTCAGTTACTGTATACCTAAAGGTTTTACATCTTAACTGGCTTATTATGAATCGCTTTACTTTTGTTGTCAAGCAGAAATGACGATAGAAGATGTAGCAGGCAGCAAAGATTCACAAACAGCTGATTCCAGCTCTAACCAATGCTAACAGGGAGTAGCTATGATGCTGCTAAACCATAGACTGTATAAACTATGGACAACTTGGTTCCGCCTTCTGCCACAATATAGATTTGAAGCTGAAAAGCTCTTGGTAATTTTGTGTTTTTTCTCCACTTCTTGAAACCAACATTTTGCAGTAGTGTACGCACTCCGCCACTTGCGTAGTAGCATTGTACACATTCGGCGGGAGAGTCGCTGTGATGACGTTCAGCTCAAACAGTGTATCCCCTTGTGAGCAAAGCAATCTTGTACGCCCATGGGCTGTATCAAGTGTCAATCATAGAAAACATGAACCCCCTAATAACTTTTAAAAATGGAGCTGTGCAGAAAAAAAGAGGACCTGAGCACAGACCAAGCTTACAATAACTACATGTCAACATCGCAAGCATGGGGGAGAACATTTTATATTCTGTGTAATAAATTTCTAAAGTTTGTCCACAGCTCTCTTACTCTCTCTCTCGGGGTGGCTTGACCTAGGGAGGAGCAGACACTGTCCATTCTATATACAGTCTATGTGCCAGACACAGAGGGTGAAGACATTGAGGAACAGGATAAAGAGGAGGGTTGTCTGCATCAACTGCCTCAATGTTATCGGACTATTATTTTCTTTCTGTGTGAGATTATCTGTGAAAAATGGTTGACTAGGATTCATCAGTTTTAGTATAACGCTCTCCTACAGTGCTGCATGCACCTTGGTCGAGTTTTTTACTGTTGTGTTCAATCAGACTGACTGCTGGATATGAGAAAAGTGAGTCATGAACGAGTCAAAGGTCAACCAGGTAGTTGTTCATTTGTTTACAGAGCTTTGACCTGATCAGGTCAACCAATCAGGTCCAGTGTAGAACTTCTCAATAAACTGTGCTGCATGTCAAAGGTTATACAAATGGCAAACAGTGATTCAGTTTTTATGAAGGACATGTTACCAGTTTATTTAATAGTTATTGAATCCAGACTTACGAGTTGCATGGAAAAAAATACTAAAACATCTTCATTCTTAAAATCTTGTCACTGACCTGGACTTTCCTCCTCTCTTGTCTATTCAGGCCTTGTGTTGGAATCCTCACAGCCCCTCCCGAGGATCAGTCGTGGTTCTGTGTTAAATGTTCCAGCAAGAAGAAGGACAAAAAACACAAGAAAAGGAAACACAAACCGCATTGAGACTATGCAAAAAGCACATACCTTGGACTCTATATATTTTTTGGACTTAAAGCCATCACTGAACACTTGTGGCACTGCTGTAAAATGAAAAGTTTAAAACTGTGGCTGATGCTAACCTGATGATTTTTCTAATGACATCAGCCAAGATGATTTGTGAGTTGGAAAGAAGAAAAAAAAAAAGGCTTTAACCAGCACATAACCAGCCTTAGCTCTCACGTGGGGCTCTGTGGTTTCCCCCTTTCACCTGTAAACTGTTTGCTTATTTTTGTCGTCTGGTGGTTTCAGATCACAATTATATTTGTATGAACTGACCATGACAACATGTCAAAGCTTGACAAAGCAGATCCAGAGAACAACCAACATCCACCCAACATCCACTGTCTTTATTTCTGTCCCTTTTGTTCGCCACCAGAGGAACGACCTCACGTTTTTTGCAGTATCATGGAAATGTCATGTAAATAATGATGATGGCGTCAGGTGTGTATAAATGTGTCAATATCAACTTCCAAGCCAAGTGCATTTTGTTCTTAGGACTCTGACATAAATCCATTTCAGATATTGGTTTTTAACTCAAATGATTTTCTGTAATTTCTGTATATTTTTTAAATTTAAAGTTTGTATTTTAATTTTTTCTTCATATGGATTTTTCCTGGAGTTATACTGTAGCTGTGCTTGTAATGTGATTCATTTTGCTGATATTTCAATATTAAAGATGAACAGTCTGTGTACGCACAGACTTTAAGATGTAAATCTCATTACCATCAGAACTGTATCTACATTTTCTTTATTGAATTGTAAATCTGAACAAACGTTTGTTCACCCCAGCCTCCTTGTCCCCCATTTTCTGCCTTTTTGCATGAAGTACAGATTAGAATACTATTACAAAACCAGTTGCAGATGTTGACGTCTCTTCTTGCACACAAACATTATTCAAGTACAGAAACCCCCTTTTTGCAGCAGTCTGTGTGATGCATTATCCTAGACTGAGAGAGAAATGTGGGAGAGCTCAACTGTGGGGTGTGTAGGACTGATTTTTTTGTCTAAAAATGTCTCCTATCTGCAATGGAGTTGTTTTTGCTTTTCCTTCGCTGGCCACATGGGGTCATTATTCATGCACAAACACTGTGGTATACCGCACATGACTGAAAATGTATAGACACTCAGAAGGGTCAGGAAAAAAAAACATCTTTAGGAGTGTAACAGGTGCGTCTTTGTTGATGCCTGTAGAATCTTTATTATGTAAAGTATGCCTTTGAGTTAAAGGTGCTGCAGAAATGCCATGTTCAATGAAAAAAACTATAAGTGACAGCAAAAATGATTTACAGCCCATCAGGAGCTATTTGGATTTTTCTTAGAGAAGAATGCACCATAAAACTATTCAGTGTACCTCCCTAGCTGACAGCCGACCATCCTCTTTAATAATGCAGGTTCTTACATGCCTGCTCTACCTTAGTTTTGCTACTCACAACAAGAACACAACTGTGGTATTTATAGTCGAGGGTTTTATTCCCAGTCAATACATTGAACTCTGACATATCTGGATGTTTATTTGATTCTTTTCAGTCAGAAGACTGCTGGCTTTCTGCAGAGGTCTAGTTGGTTTATATTCCAGCATATCAAACGTCTATTTTGGTGCAAAACCATTGAAAGATTCATAACCAGTAGCAGTGCTTTAAAATCAATCCTTTGGCGGGGTGTGCTGTGCAGAGCAGCAGCGTTCTGAATGAATCAGAGCCATTAAAGTTTACCCTACTTGTGGTCAAAGTATTGATCAGTTTCACTCAGTCTTGTGCTATCAAAATATTTTGGGGTGGTAGTAGTCCGATTGCTGTTAAATGTAGGTCTGCATACAAGACTGCACCAGCGTCTCCACAAAAACGGATTTTAGTTTACTCCAAGTGTGTGTTGATACCATGTAATGCAGGCACACCCGCTCACTGACCTGTCTAGTGTCTATATTTGGTGAGTAAAGTCACAGAGACTTATTCAGTAGTGTGCTCCATTAGATTTATATCATCGATTTAAGCTAGGGAGCCCACCTGACTCATTCACTTTCTCGAGTCCTAAAATATTCCTTCTCCTTATTCAACTATCTTATTCTCTCTTTTGAGAGTCTAGTCCGTAGATGGCCCTGATGGAAATCTACTTTGTCTTCCGATAACACTAAATCGAAGGGGAAGTGGAAAAAATGATGTGTGACCTCCGTAAAAGGGGAAGTAAAATGACTTCTGCCCATGCAAAACAAGCTGACATTTCACTGTGGTGTAGCTCTTTATCATACGAAATGCAGTCGCTCATGCATGTCTACTTTGGATGGACAGAATTAGACAGGGAGAGTCTGTTAAATCAGAAAGAAAGCACCATGGTGAAATATTCATTTTCAAGTATATGTTAGATTTTAGACAATGTTATAGTGAAGAAAAAGAGGAGATTTAGTGTGTATTAAAATGTCACGGTGGTCATAGACAGGAGTATCCCCAGCTGAGCAGAGTGTAATGTGCGAACTCCACTCATGGGCCTCTCTCGCTGTGTCAGTCGCTCTTCAATCACACATGCTGGTGTCAGGTCACGTACAGTCAAAGCTTGCTGCTAGCATCTGTTGGATCATAAATTTTCCCACCCGGTGACGGTAAAGAGGGAGCTGGCACACTGGCAAGAAAAAGGATTATGTCTTCATCTCTTATTAGGTAAAAATATTCTCACCTTACCCTGATCCATCAAACTCCACACTTAAGGGCTATATGATACTGTTGTTGCTTTATCAAATGTGCTGATGATCCGTAAGTGTTTTTTAAAAAGATAACTTGACACACAGATATTTTAAAAGGATTTGTCCCTAAAGACATTCTTCACATGTTTCTTTTGTCCACTATATCAATCTAACTTCTTCAATGTCATATCTTTACTACACACCAAAGAGCACAATGTGCACCGAGCTGGAACAGTTTCAGGTTTCACCCACAAAAACACAGACAGTATCTGTTTGTGCTATCAGTCCCACGGGAGCTCACAAGGGTTAAAAAAGAGAAAGCTGGTGGTTGCTTTCACTCATCATGAGAACACCTGCAGTGCTGTTATTTGACTGATTACAAGACACACTTGAAAGAACACGAAGACAAACTCATACTACTTTCTCTTTTAGTGTGAACGTGAACAAGACTGCGTTTCTCTCCACAACCTAAAGCTTTAACAAGTCCACATCACAGGGCATATTTTGTTCTGTTTTAAAATTGTGATTTCATCTCTGGAATATCTTTTTCACATGAACTCTCCAGTGCAAAGCAGTAATATGTAGCCCCATATTATCGTACTGAGCATTTTTTGCACTCTGACATGTTGGTAGATCAGAGCAGGAAGAGAGACCTTCGCTTACTCAGTGCTCTGCATGGCGCCTGTGGCACTGGCAGTCATACTAAGCAGCAACACACCATAAAGAACTGGATTTCAACATCAGTGTTTAAAATATTCATGTCAGAAGTGAGAGCGGGGCTGAAATGAAGAGGATTTTGTGCAACGAACAGAGGAAGTAGGGCCCCGCTCTTCTTAGCTATGATACCCACACACACTGACACGACCCTGTTTCAGACGACTTTCCTGCTTAATGTCACATCACTTTAACAGGAAGCAACACCTATGGGAGAATGAGACCCAGATATAAACCCTCCTGGGCTTTGTGCGAATAATATCGTGATAAGATTCTTTAAAATTTAAATTGGGTTGCATAAGGATGGGAAAATATGCTTCAAGTGTTTGACATGAGAGAGCGTGTTTTATATTGTTCAGCAGACTAAAAAATTTACTTTGTCATTTTCCCCAACTGCACAGCCAGGAGACAGGCAAATGAGCTTTGTTCAATGCAAATTCACACACACAAGATGTGTCTTTTATGGCACTAGGTAGTCCAGCCTGTGTACTGGGTTCAATATCGCACCGTCATTAGATGATAAGGTTTCCAGGAATTTGATTTTAAAGTGGACAACAATGGTCCTCTCTGGGTCACTATGTAGAATTACATTATACATAGAAATACATTAGTGCATTTGCTTTGTGCTCCTAAGTACCTGAAAAGGCCCCTGTGTTGTCCTGTAACAGTCTGTGAAAGTAACCTATTTTCACTGCAGGTACTTCAGCTTAAATAAACTACAGTTGACAATAAACAATATGGGTTATGTAAAAATCTGTTCTTTTTTAACACGACTGAAAATGTATTTTCCTCATATCCCAGCAGGTTAAATTAAGCCCAGTTCCTTCTGATATGAGGTTGTCAGAGAAATTTCTGTTTCATTATGAATCGGCTGACTGAAGGCCAGTGACATCCCCGAAGGCTAAATGGAGACAGTTAAATTATTTGTCCATTGTATGTGCAGGTGCACAATTATAAGCAGAGAGGTGAGTGTTTTAAGTAGTTATAATATCCTTATTTTTATAACACCGGATTACAAGAAGCAAACCTTTCTTCAGCCTTTATGTGGAGCAGTTCCCTGATTCCAGTACATGCCAACATGCACAGAAGCTTGCCACTGAACCAGGACTTGTGGACAAGATTTTGTATTAACTGTGTCATTTCCCCTAATTTTTCCCAATCTGCCAGTAGGAATAAATCATTCATGTTCGATTTCCTGAAGTTTCCCTAATATGGGTGTCAATTAGTGCAAGAGGGCTACTGTGGCCACGGCTTTACAGCCTACAAACTGGGCTGCTGCAGGCAACACAATGCATTAGCGCACGATGAGCTGTCAGAGGAGATTATTTCAGCCACGCCAGTCAGCGAAGGGGGTGGGCGCCGCTCTGCTGCACTAAACTGAGGAGAAAGAGTGGGCGGGAGACAAGAGAAAGGGAGAGAAACACATAGAGGAAAGAGGGAAAGAGAAGAAAGTGTCCATTACACCGGTTGGATTTTTCCAGAGCACCGATGTTGGAACATTCTTCTGAGCTGGCTCTGGTGCAGAGTTTGTATGCCAACAGCATGCGCTGTCCCCCCTCTGCGGCCGGGATATCTGTCAGGAATGAGGACCTGCCTATGAGGTACGTTGAGGTTGGCCCCTCATTCAAATCTGGGCTGGCTTTTGTGGAGCAGCCCGTGTTTGGACTGCTTCTTTGTCTGGGCTGAATATTTTGATAGAATGTATTGTTTCCAGTTGAGGCGTTCTCACATGCTGTGACTGTGTGAGTGTGGGCAGGGTGGTGTTCCTCTGCTTGTCCCCATAGGTTTTAATTTTCCAGGAACCCATGAAATATCTCTTTAAAATGAATGAATATGGATGTTTAAATCATTCACATATTCACTCAACAAAAAGGATTCAATCAAGAGGTGGTTGATTTGGTTCAAATTGTTCTGAAATACAAAAATCAATTCCTTATAGGGTTCTGGTGTCAATTTATTTACCTCACTCCTCTTGCTAAGTCCCAGGAGGGCTAAGATGCTGGCATGAACTGCAAATAAAGCAAAGATGAATGTGTCAGTAATGCAGGTGTTGACCACTGAGAAATGCAGGCCACTGAAAAATACAACATGTGATGAGATATCTCCCAAAAACCCTCCCCGGCCTAACTGAAAACAGCAACAACAAGAGATATGAGAAATCTTGAAAAGAACAGGGTGAAACATTCAGATCTACCACAGAATTTGCATTGATTTAAAGGAAGTGCACCCTGATAAGACAGTGGTATCGTGTTAGCTCAGTACATCTTGACACAGTAGAAGTTCTCTCCATTTTGAGAGCTCTTTAGTTGGTCGCCATTCTGCAAATGCTTTCACAAAAAGCTGGGCTATGAAGAAGTGCACCACCAAGTTCAAAGCGACACATTCAAAAAGAAGGGATGCGTCTCACTTGGGTTTGAAGCTGGCCTATTTTTACACTGTGCTGTTTTGTCACGAAGAGGGTGCAAATTCAAACTACTGGATGATGAGGATGAGCGAGAATGATTCAAGTTCCACTACATTCAAGAGAAAACATTTGATGTAAACAACAAAAGCATGGTACATGGGGAGGATTATGATAGGATTACAGTAGTGATAATCTCAGATTAAGAATAGGAGGCTAGTATTAGAAGGTGCCAGCAACTAGACATCAGCCTCTGGAATTCAATCCAAAAAAATCTCTTCGAAATGCAAAGGAGAGGCAGTGCCAAATGGTAAAAATAAACTAAAACTGTGCTGTGCGAATTGCGCATACCCACAAGGAAAAGAAAAGAATCCTGCTTCTTTTATGTCAAATATATTCAATAAGATCCCCTGAGATCTAATTGAGTCAAAGGAAATATGTGGATGCCATGGATGGGATGACATTATTGTGTTTTTCCCTCATCCTAATGAAACCTGATTCTCCAGAGAGGTTTAGACTAGTTTTTTATAGCAGCCCCTCCAGCTTAATGCTAATGCATGTTGCAAAGTGGGCTCGTCTGCATGTATGGCAAAATAGGTCGCATATGACATTATGCATACAAGCCTCTTTTAGGCACTGTTTACTGGAGCATACTCTACACCGGAGCCAAGTTTAAATTGCCATGGATACAAGGATTAGGTTGGATCTCATGAATAGGATGTTTCTTAACCCTGCTATGAATAATATTTTTGGATTTTGCAGCTGCTGGAGAAACAATAAATTGGTTTGATAATTAGGCCCTTCGCTGTGGCACACACACACACACACACACACACACACACACACACACACACACACACACACACACTCATTAAGTGTAGAGGCCTCGCCCTCCAAGTCCAGCCCAACAAAAGAAGATAGGCTCCCCCTCCCCCAGGGAAACGACAGCCCGGCACAAAGAGGAACATGACCTGTGACCCTGGGGGAAAGCAACACAGCAAGAATAACTGCTATATAATCGTCTCAATTTGGACTGGGAGAGATTTACAGACCCATCAACCTAACCGTAACAATCTGTTAATAGTCTTAATTATGGACCCAATCAGTTTATAAAACGGTCTAATACAGGCTCCTGAGAGACGACAGAAAGAGGAGCAGCAAAATTAGCCTCGATGGTAATGATATGAGAGGTATCTTTGGACATTTTAAATTTCCTTTTCATACTTTGTCATTCAGTTAATACTGAAAACATTCAATACAAACGAGGAAAAACCTCAAACATATGAATGAAAAAGGAGCAGAAAGAAGAACTCTTATAGTCTGCCCCTCTTTCATAATGAAAATGAACAAGAGCTGCAGGCCAACATGCCTTTTTACAGTTCAATACTTCAAAAACAACCCACAAATTGAACAGAAAAGACCACGTTAATTCACATTTTTTCACAACACAAACATACCATGACTTAGATTAACACATTTCATGGATAAAATTTGATTTAGATTCTTAAGTTTCTTTCTCCACAATCACATTCCTCTCACTATAACACTGTAAATATCTCTACCATTGGTGCTTCTAAACTGTAAACTCATCCCCTGACTCACTCCTCTTCAAATTAGGGCCTGATCTTGCTTTATCCTGCAAAATAATCTGTAATTTTGAGCTCATGAATTCACAGCAGATAAACCTTATGAACAACAGGACCGATAAAGTGTCCACTAGGACACCACGTGCCTGTCCCTGTGGAGATATTACGGTAATTTTACATGTAGCGGGGTAGCAGGAGCAGCAGCAGGAGCAGGAGCAGCATGGTTTTAGACTTTTGTTGAAGGAGAAGCCACGCCTCTAGTTTGCTGCAGCTCCGTGTATGTGTATGTGTGTGTGCCGCCGTGCCGTGTGACAGCGGCTCGCCTCATTTTACTTCAGACGGGGACCAGAGAGGGAAATCAAGAGGAAGAAATAAGGCGGATATTGGTGCCCTCTCTCTCTCTCTCATGCAGTTTTGAAGTAGACGCCCCCTCCCTGCACCTGTTCTGCTCCGTCTTGTGGTCGGAGTTGAGCCTCTTGCGAGTGAGCGGACGTCGCCTTTCATTGTTAGATAGCTCGACGTTGTTTTGAGCATGACTTCGACGTACAACCTGGATTTCCACCCTCTAACCGAAAGTCGGTTATTGACTTCAGGCGACACAATGTAAGTAAACAAACTAGAGGTTAGGCTTTTGCGTGCGTGTTAAATTTACATTTGTTACATTTTTTAACAAAGACAAACAACACAGTTCAGCGAGTTGGGAGTAAGCTAACGCTAGCTTAACTGGCAACTGGGATGCTAACGTTGCTAATCATGACGGTACGCTTACCTGGAGTTTGAGTAGTTTGTTTAACTTAGAGAAAACAAGACACGTTACTGAACATCAAAGTCTGTTAAATACACAATCTCCAGGGTGGAAGACTGAGCACACACCCTGTTTGCTAACACTTCTCACTCAAACCGACTAAGTAAATTCAGGTGACGGTGTCGGATATAAGGCGCGCTACATTAGTCAAGTGACATGTGCTTCCGGAGAGATCACACGGCTCGGTATCAGCGAAAAGGGGGAAAAACACCATCGATAGTTCTCAGAAACCGCTCTTGTTTGTGTGAATTCACATGTACGAAGCGCTGATCCGGGAGTCTGGAGTTGGTTAAATCCTGCACAACTTTACGTTGACTTCAAACGGCTTTAAACGGTCAGTCACCAACCGACGGGTTTACGTGGGTACGTTGAGTAATAACGGGTAACCACGTTAACTTTTAGTTTTCACGTACTGTGTTTTAATGCCAAAGGGGTTTGTTTTGAGATTTATTTCGTGAACAGTTTTAATAACCAGCACACAGCGGGCTATCGGCTCGACTGGACTCCCTGACCCTCCCTGGCTCTCTCCCTGCTAGCGGCTAATATCGTTAGCCTCAGCTGTGGTGTCCTCGTCCATGTTGAGTGGAAGGCTTCTTGCTTAACGGCAGAAAAAAACACGTGGTTTGCTACATTATTGAGCCATTAATGGAAACCTTGTGACAGGACATGTAAACAAGGAGGGGGGGAACATTCGCCAAGCACAGAAAGTGCATATTACGGCCGTGCCTCGATCGAGCAAGTCTGACAAAAACATCCCCTAGCACCGCTGCTTGCTCATGTGTTTTAGCATTTTAAAAAACAGTTTCAGATTAAGTGAATTATTTTTAAAATCGTTTTAAATCCAAGTCTAGCATTTAGAAAAAATGACACCTTTATTTTCCAGCAAACTGTCAATAACTCAAGGAAATAGTACATTCTTAATCCTTCTTCCACTTCAAGTTTACCTCTTTTAGTAGTTTTGTCATGAAGACCGGGTAGGTGTGGTTGGTTTGGTTCACTGCAGGGACAGTATTTCCCACTCATTACCGCTATTTTCACCACTAGTGTATTGTGAAACTATTGATTAACAAGGAGGAAACATTTAAATTAACCGTACTTCAAAAACTGAAATGCTGATTTAAAATAGTAAGTCATGAAATAATAAGATTTGAGGCATATTTTATCTCAAAAATTTGTCTATATTAGGGCCTGATCAATATGGATTTTTTGGGGCCGATACCGATTGTTGGGTGGGGGGGGTCTGATTATCGATTAATCGGCCGTATTTTACTTTTTTTTTTTTATGAAGTTTTAAAATTTTGTTAATTTAAGTAATATATCTACATATTCACTTATAACAAATTATTAACAAATGGCTGCTTTTGAGCCTTTCAAACACTTCTTCAAAGAATTAAAGGGAGAAAACTCATTTTAAGTCCTTTTTATTGCTAAAACAACTGTACTCAGTTACTCGGTAATGTTCCACGTAATTATCATGAATCAACCCCCCACCCCCGATCGGTGCCTCCGCGTCTTAACTCACGTTACACATTTCCGGTCCGGTCTCATCCAGAGACATGCAGCTGCCTCAGTAAGAGAAGTAGCTCGATCACGTAATGTGTACTGTTGTTTATTCTACCGTCATTGGTACGGCTAACAATGTAGCAAGGCTAATAGTAGATGGCTATCTCTAACTTTAGCTTGCATATTACATGGTGCTTCACCGTTAACTCTGTGTGAAACTTGTTGACTTATTGTCTACTTTACAAACTGGTTTATTTACCGTTGAGGCGGACCACTCTCCTCTGTGCGTCCCTGAGCTACCTGCTTCAGATCCGTCACTCTGCTGTGCTGTGAGGTAGTTAGTGGATGAAGATTGTCATGAGGTCGCTGCGTCATCTACAGGATAAGTCGGGGAACTTTTCAAATGGCGGAACATTTTCGAAGTGAAAATGGATCTTATTCTCCGTATTTTATTGCTGAAAATATCGACGAAAATTGGTGAGTTTTGGCCGATTACCGATTAGTCTCAAACGTCTTAAATTGGCCGATTTAATCGGCTCGCCGATTAATCGGTTGGGTCCTAGTCTATATATAAGTGTCTGTGGGTAATACTGTTCTATTCGGCAATCTCAACAGTAGTAATAAAGTAGAATGATTGGTTGTGGCACTAGCTTTCACCTAGGCCTGGGCAATATGTGAAAAAGTTTATCAAAATATATATATCACAATATAAAAAATTAGATTTAACAGTGCTCACTGGTGGCACGTTTTTTGCAATACAATAAGCAACTGCATCTGCGAGGTTTTTGTGTCTCTTTGACGTTTTGTCGTAAGGCGTTGCGCTAGAGAAAGCGGACTGAACGGTCGGCTGTTTCAGCTGCCCAGATGTAATTTGCAGTGCATATTACTTTGTTTCATGTCCGACCTCAAAAAAACAAAATACCTCCACAACACTGATGTTTTCGTGCCATTGTTGTCGACAATGTCTGTCGGGGGTAGCACTCATTTTCTTGTTTTGGCACATGATTGGTTCAGAGCGAAGCGAACCTCGAGCAACTCCCTTTTTCACTGGCTTTTTGTATAGTCTACTAAGACATGGCAGAATGCTGACTATTGAAAAGGATTTTGACCATGTTTTATATTGATATTGAGGGGAAATTTAATTTTCGATATATATCGTTATCGTTTTATCGCACAGCCCTACTTTCATCTTAAGCCCAAATTCATCAGTGCTTTTGTAATAATGAGCAATGTGTCCAAATAACATTTACATTTTATTAATTTTACATTATTATTGGATTGTGTTTAAAGCACATCTTAGCTGTGTTACTTAGGGACCAGTTGGTTGGTGGTTTTCTGTTCCCAGCTGTATTTGATTGATTTATCCCTCTTGATTGTTGACACTAAGAGTGACTATCAGGGCTTAAGTGTGATCCATTGGCAGCTCATCCAGCCATAGTGCAATGTCAGTAAGCTGAGCGTCACAGTGATCCCTTTTGTTGTGGCCGGTGAGCTGTTGATCTGTATAGTGTTGTATCTTGGCACAGGGTCTTAAGAGCTGCACGAGCCAGCTGTTTGTATTTCTCACCTCTCTGTGAGGGTGGCAACAACGGTGGTATAGCATGAGTTGCCAGTGCAGCCAGATGTTGAAACCCAAGAGAGTAAGGGGGCTCTGATCTGGCCTGTCACCTGTTTTTGGGCTCCTGCTGCTAACTTGGCACAGTGTGAATTACAAGACTGACTGTCCCGGAGCTGCATGCACGGCCTTTAGAGAACACTCATAACCATGTCCTGTATGTGCAGTAATGTGATTGAAGGTTGAGCAAATTCCACTGCAAGCTTTGCAAACATAACATATTGTCAGGCAGAGTTGCATAAGACACATGCACTAACTGTATCTATGATGTAGTCAGTACTGTATGACTGCTGAGTTACTGACACAGTCCACACTCTAGGAATTTAAAAGCGGCAAATAAGCAGTGGTATGTCTGCGTTTCTTATTCTGACAAAAATCATCAATCTGTATAATGGTTAAAGCTAATGCACTGTCCAGCACAGCATACATGTGACCTAGAAGCCAGCAACTACAGCCCACATCAAGTGCAATCAGCCATTTGGTTGAAAAAGCCCTTCTCGAGTGGACAAGTCAAGAGTAGCAGTAATGGACTGAATTGAGAGGATGTGACAATAGGAGGACCTCTCTTTTTGAATTGATGCCTTTCTGAAGCAGAAAGCTTCTTTTAATCATAGAGGCTGTTTCAGAAATTCTAATTATACAGGATTTTGAGTGACAATTTCATGCTGTCGTTCGTATGTTATCCTCAAAAAAAAAAGGGGAGCAATACTGTGACAATACGCTTCGCAGGTTTCTCACTTTCTGAGAACAAACCCTCCATATCTAATTATCATTATTGTAAAAGACAATGTTTGAAAAGCGGTGAGAATCGTTATTTACAGGATTTTAAAAAATATTTGATGGACCTGCAAGCAATTGGATATATTATAACTGAAGATAATTAGATTCAAGACAGGCAGATTACAACATATTTACCATTTCAGACATTTGAAGATGAAAAAATGATCTTCAGTTCATTAAATGTGAAGTAGTTGTTGCTTTTCTTATGCAGCAGAATGCAGAGCTTTTCAGTTCGGGGCTTGTTCAACAGGAAGCAATTGGAGTCTGTCACCTCAGGGTGTTAGAAAAAATGTTGTGCATTGTTAACATTTTTGTAGATTTTAATGGGCTAAAGCACACATTTATAAGAATGATCACAGATAAAAACAATTGATGTCAGCCCTATAAATAAGTGCCCATAATGTGGGATTTGATTAACAAAGAAGAGATTTCTGACACACAACAGCAAAATTAAAATATCCTGTGTTTAATAAGGCAGTGGTGGGATGTATTAGTGAAAGCTGTTCTCTCTAACGCAGGTTTAGATAATGGATGACTTAGTAAGCCAGGGAAGTAAGCACACTCTGTCAAAGTAATCAAGTGTAATTGCTGCTTTCAGTGCGCTGTTTGTCTCTTCATTTAAGATGCAGCAGTAAGGCGGCTGCCTGTTCTGGTGAGCTCCACCTGAAGATTTAAATTCATGCTCAGTCTGACACTGCAGCAGGCATTAGATGAATTTATTCACTTGGATGTTTCTCTGTTCCTTCACACGGGCTTTACTTTAGCAACGTCATCCATAACCGCCAGGGACTCTTGGTGTGATTATGGAGCTAATGGGGCGGGCCTTGTCATCAGATGCTGGCCGTCTGTTAACATGCAGCCTATTCAGAGGCTGATTGAACACGTCTGTCTTCATCAGGGGAGATACAACAATGAAATCAGGCCATATTGAGCTGAATTGGAGTTAATTCCAAAGGGGGAATATTTTAATAACTTCTCGTCAGAACCATAATATGCTGATTAGGGTCTAAACGCTGTGTGGAAATCATGTAACACAAGTCTCCTGCTTGGCTCCTGGTCTTGAGCGCCATTCCTCCTCAGCCGCCTTATTCGTTTCAACCTGGGCATAGAGCAAGCGAATCCTACTCAGTGGTCTCCCAGCAAATGTTTTGTAAATCTTCCTGCTGATTTCCGTGACGGCTTTTGAAGTTAAAACTTAAAGCCTGTCACAAAGATATTTTTAAACCAAGCTTATGAAACGTTATTCAACTTGTCATGGAATATTCAGTGTCTTTTGTTGTAGGGGAGAAAAAAAGGAGCTAGAGCAAGAGAGAGCCTTTATGCCGCACTTGACAGCTGTCAAAGATATTACTCAGGCATTAGAGGCATTCTGTGTTCTATTGAATCAGCTTATAGGGCCATTGGTTTCCTGAAAGAAAAAGTAACTTGTGATTTTTTTTTCTGAAGGTTTTATGAGCAAACAGCTGTTGTAGCTGACTGATTTTCCTCTCTCTTCAGAGACATCACAAGTGTCCATGTGAACTTTGACTTTGTTTTAATCCCCTATAAAGGATGACAGCAGTCAGCTGTGGGTTGCCAAAACAGCCCAAGGCAAAAGAGTTCAAGTATATTACTGAAAACTGGGCGAGTTTCATCATCGGGCTGTGTTGCCCCAACAAGACTTGTTTGATCATTATAATAATTAGCAGAACAAATCAAAGTATTAAGTGGCAATTGGCTGAATAAACTAGGTGGAAATGGCAGATGATGTAGGTATTTTTAAAACTCAGTAATCACTGAGTTTTTCTTAATATAATATCCGCCTTTTGTTTTTAAATAAGGAGCAAGTCTCCCTCCATGAAGGCAGCCATCTTGCAATGCCATGTTCCTACAGTGGGAAAGAACAGACAAACCGGTAGAGACCCTAAGGCTGTTTGTATTTGCTTAGAAGCTGCCGAAAAAGCTATGTCTAAAAGAGCATGGCTGATGTGCAAAAAGAACGTGCTGTGTTGATAGGAGTTTTTGATCGTAATAAAAAATGAAAGATCATATTTGTCACGCATCACAGCAGCCTTTTGTCCTCAAATGCCTCCATTTCTGGAGGAGCTTCACCAATGAGCAGAGGGGCAATTTCTTCAGAATCCAACTGCTAGTCGTCCCCAAATGTTTCCCCTTTTCACACTTTACAATTAAAGTGTAAAGCCTAAACAGAACCCTAATAGTCATGAAAGAACGTGAAGCAGTGAGGCTGCTTACCATCAGCAGCAGTGACAAAATAAAATCATGTGCCATGTGGTGTTGCTATGACCCCTGATGGTTTAGGGATGACTAATGTCCAAATGCACAATGCTGAGCTTTCAAAAATGCATTACTAGGCAAATTGGCCAGCTTTCTATTATGGGCACAGCAAAGGTGTCACTGGCATACTTGCGCGGTCAGGGCTCACCAACAGGACGCACACATGCATTAGATAAATCACCTGTTTTTTTATGGGTGGTGCAGCGGAAAGCATGCAACTGTCACTGCTCTGGCTCTGAATGACTTGTCAGCTGCTTCAGGGCGTCTTAGAGCATGAGGAGCTGCCACATTGCACGGCTGTTTGTGGAAGCTCTGCGAAAGACTTCATCGCTACAGTCAGGGAGCACTCTGCTGGCTGCTGGAAGGAAGGAGAGCTGTGACAGAATTAGAAACAACATTTCTGAGTCTATCTTTAAATCATTTAAAGCAAGATGAAAAATGTGCTTACGCTGATATAAAGAGAGAGGAAATAATGTCCTTTTGTTGGTATGAATAACTGATAAGTCATCACTGAAACTATCATTTTAATACTGCTCGTTTACTGGACAAATTGTGAGCAGATTTTAGTCTAACTTCTCCAAAAATTGTTATTGTGAAACTCGTCGACTGTGTTGTTAAGGATGTATGTCAGCAGCTTTCAGTTGACGTAAAGCCACAGCTATGTTCATATAACATTACTCTGCTTCATGGCTTGGCACTTGTCAAGTGATAGATAATACTTTATGTCAGCAGGTGTAACTTTATAAACTGGTATGGATACAGATGCTCATATTAAGCTGTCATGTTGATGTATCTTCTTAGTAGACCTGTAAAGGAATCATCCGACATTTTGGGTCACGATTTCATAGAGAATTTGATGAAAATCTTGGTTTCTTTTTAAGCTGTGTGACCATCTTACTTAGAGCACAGATGGATGACTTTTACCAACTTTGGACTCAGAGACCATCTACTCCCCAGTTTCCAGTCTTAATAAAAAGTCAAGGCTTCACATGTACTTCAACCATTTGGCCAGATCCATAAGCAGCATTAGTTTGTTTCTAAAAATATGTATTTTCACATTGATCAGGAATCTACAGCAATTTCAACTTGAAATTAGGGCTGAGCGATATAGGGAAAAGTTTATCATGATATATATTTTTCATATCAGTCGATATCGATATATATCATGATATAAAAAATTAAATTTAACAATGCTTTTTGGTGTCGGCTCCATGTTTTACAGTGCTGCTACTCTGAGTTGTTTGCTACTTGGTTCTAATTCAGCACATGATTGGTTCAGCGCACAGCGGACATGGAGCAACTCCCCATTTCATTGGCTATTCGTATAGTCTACCAAAACATGGCAGAATGTCAACTATAGAAAAGCATATTGACCATGTTTTATACAGATATCAAGGGAAATCAATTTTTGATATATATCGTTATTGTTTTATCGCCCAGCCCTATTTGAAATGCTGCTTTAATTTTGGCATCGTTTTACATTCTGTTTCAACTAGTGTACCGTAGTCATCATCTACTGTACAGTGTATACTGTGTAGGTATAAGGCAGCCCATTCAGTGATTAGATTTTATCGCTTCAATTTCTGCAACATAAGTGAAATTTTTTCAGTAATAACACTTTGTTTGGTAGCAGTGGCTACAGAGGCTGACTAATAAGTATCGATGTTCCACACTCTGTCAGCTGTCTTGAGCTTTAGAGACAATGCACAGCTGCAGGGTGTCTTAAGCATTCAATGACTATTAGACGCTTTCAAAAGAGTTTATCTCGTCCCTGTTATCTGGTTTGAACACTCTGACAAAATTCCAGTTTTTAAATGTCGTCTGCTGCTTTTCATGGCCAGATTTCATCAAAGAGTCCTCAGCAAAATGGCGTCAGGAGTGCCACAGGCGAAACTGGATAAATGGTGTCACCCACCAGTGATGTGGCCTTAGCAGACATAGCCTTCGATGTGTTGCAAAGCATCACTCTGACTTGGCCCATTGTGCTGTAGAGGAACGGTGAATAGTGTTCTCCAGCAGGGGGGAACAATATGTGATTGTTCCCCTGCTGTGGTGAAGAAGCTGTAGGTTACTCTCTGTACCATCGCCAATGCGCCTAAGGAAGAGATGCAGTGCAAAATCTCTGTCTGGTAACCAGGGATTTTTGGAGGTTTACAGCTCTGCTCTGCTGTTTTCATTTGGCTGTCGGAGCTAGCAGGAGAGGGGTACTCACCCTTCACTTGGTGGAGAGACATTTTTGTTTCACTGGAGCGCTTCTTTCTTTTTCATTTTTCTTTCTGGGCCTGTTTATAAATTATTACTTAAATGTATTGACAACCTCCTGGAAAAGAAAACCACTCTTTCTGCGGCGTGGAGCTGGATTTTAGGAGAAGAAACTGAAGTGTAATTTATTAGCATGTCATTTAAGTCCCTCAAGGAGTTTGGTGTTTCCGCAGAGCGACTGGGCTCAATTTGTAAGAGATGGATGGCTCGGGTCCAAAGGTTTGTGTGTAATTCTGAATTTTTTTTCAGTCTATATTTTAAAATGCTCTTTCCATCACAATTGCATGACAAACTAATAGTCTACAATAAGTTGTGTTTCAGTCATGTGTTGTGTTTGTGGTCAGTGGCATATCTTGATCTCTTTTCTGCTACCATTTGTGCATTGGGGGGTGATACTATTTTTCTGAATGGAATTTCTCCCATCCCACTCTGTGAATGGCTGAGTCCACTTCTTCATTCCTGGTTTCTAGCACCTCAAGTCCCTGTCAGGAGGTGTTTGGGTGCCTGATTTTGTGTGAGTGAGACAGAGGTGCTGGAGTCCTAGGTACACTGGTGGGTATTGATTCTCTGTCCCCGAGGCTCGTCTCAGAAGAAAATGTCACGATTTAGTATTTCACCCTCCTCAATCGTTGCTCCTCTAACCAGACCACCCACTTTGTTGCTTGAAGTTTTTTTCCCCGTTTGGAATTCCAAGCAGTGAATTGTAAACAAAATAATGTTGTAGCATCTACTTCAGAGCACAAATGTGTGGCACCACACTAGAAAGAATTCCTGCTTCAGAATCATTTAGTTGCTTGGTAGACATTTTGATATTTGAAACTAAATGGAGCACACTGTTTCCTTTTGACGTTTACCACTGCGAAGTCCATGTAATTGAACATTATTTGGCATTATCGCAGAATGTTTTATTGTACCTCACACATTCTACCTGTGCTTTGCCAGTAAAATAAGAACGACTCTTGGGGTAGGCCAATTTGTTTAGCTACAAGATGTTTTAGTTACTGTCAAAACTAACTAATGTGCACTATCTATTATGAAGCATGTGTTCTTTAAAAAAAGCTTTGTTTCTCACTGCTATACAGTGTTTTTGTGGTTCACTACAAACCCAAGCACAACAGTCACTAAACTAGATAGGGTATGGCCCTGCGACTATCAGACCCATGGTCAATGTTATCGTCAAGAATTTGGAACATCACAGTACAGAAAATATTTGGCTTGTTGCCCAAACAGTCTTCAGCTTTTTTTAATTGTAAATAAATATTTTAAGTATTACACATGATCGTTAAAATGCTTATCAGAAAGGCAATCGGTTCAAAAAGTGAACAGAAACTAAACAGAACCTGTTTTACGTCTTAAAAAATGTTATCTTTCACTGACTGTAGCTGTTTCCTACTTTGAAACGCTAATAACCCCCCCGACCCTTTTGAGAGCAGAACTGGTTTTGCGTGTCTTGTAACTTCTTTATTTAATTAACTCAGTTACACACTCAGCTGTTTGCACCCTCTAACAGACAAATGTCACTAAGCATAGAGGTTTTCAAATTCACCAGAACCACTTTTACACAGTTGTTACCATCAGGAGGTCCTCTGATCACACCCTTTTTATAGTTCAAGTTAAATACACATTTGCTGCCTCATTCTAGACATATAAAAAACTCTAATCTGTGCATTTTATTTTCTGTTTACTACATTGGTTTCTTCAGGGCTAGAGAAGCTCTTGTGTGAACGTGTTGGACCCTATGTGATGCTACAGCGTTTATAAGCTCAGGAGTGATCTTGTTATCCCTAGTACAAACTAAAAATAGTAATGTGAGGATTTCTTTCTTTTCTTTTTTTCTTAGCAACAGCAACGGCAGCAAGATGAACGGATCACTGGAGCATCTGGACCAGCCAGACCCAGACTCCATCAAGATGTTTGTGGGGCAGATCCCACGCTCCTGGTCGGAAACAGAACTTAAAGAGCTTTTTGAGCCCTTTGGAGCCGTGCACCAGATTAACATCCTTCGTGATCGCACCCAGAATCCCCCTCAAAGCAAAGGTAAGTCCACAGAAGCTGATGAACACTGGACATGCTTCATGTTAGTCATGTCAGACACAAGACAAATCCAGACAATCACATATACCAGTCTGCAGAATCCTGTTATTACATTAACCATCACATTTCAGCACAGCCCCCCTGAGGCATCACAGTGTTACTTGAGTGTGCACAAAATGCAGCTGTTTGTCCTCACAGATGAAATGATTCATTCTTTTGTAACAGGGTTTAATTGCCTTTTTTTACACAACCCCCGTCTAATGGAGTTACTTTTTGGTTTATTTTGCAATACTGGCTTAAAAGCAGCATTGTGTAAAGGAAATACAACTCAACTGCCATTTTCCATTAAGACATTTATCGACATGCTCAACGTAGAAATGGTGCTCAAGTTTACTGATTAAGTTTAGGCTGCAATTAGAGGAGACAGTAAAGTGGGAGCCCGCTGTCTGCAGAGAGCTGCAAAGTGCCGCTGAAAGTGCTCAGCCTCCCGTAACTAACTGCAGGTGAATAAAGTAAACGACTTTTTCCCTGATGCTACTGTCCAGGTTTAACAACATCACCCAAATTTCAATTCCCTTGATGGTTGGATGGCTCCCTGTGGTTAAAGGCGCTAATCCACTCAAGGTTTTAAATGTTTTAGGACACAGTGTGATGCTGGAGTTTATGACTGAATACAAAACTGTCGTGGGCTACCAGTGGTTTATTGGTCACCTAAAGCTGGACAAAGCTGTTACAGGCTAGTCGGCTGGGCTGCGGCCAAATGTCACCTGTAGTTCACAGAATGTGTGACTGATAAGAAGCAGTGCTGCTGATGGTCAGTATAATGACCCGTGGAGAGGATCTGAGAGAGTGTTTTCATTATCACTCTTGTGAAAATGTGATTCTACCCATTTATGGTTTCATTTGATTTGGTTTGGTTAATATGCACTTTATTATAAGAAAGTTATATAGAGAAAATAAATCACAGCTGCAGATGAGGTAGTAACCCACGGAAGGCTCATTTTAAGACCTCACCAGGAGAGAGAAACTGAAATAGTTATTTAATAAAATGTCAATTCATAAAGATAGATTTTACATAAAGCTTTTTTGTGAGCATTAAAAACATGAAATAGAGCAAGGGAACACACACTGTATATCGACATCATAGCACACATAACATAAGAGCGGGATAATTCAGTTTTGACAATTTACCAAGAACCATCTCTGACAGTTCAGCACATCAGAGTCTAGTTTTGTATCTCGACAAAGATTTTTCAAGAGGCGGAAAGTACAGCCAGTCCTCCTCACATATTACCTCTCCTGCTGGAGGGAGAGAGAGGCCAGAAACATTGTTGCCTCTGAAACAAGGACATGTTGACATGTTGTCCCATATTTTGTTATGTTGGCAGTAAAATTTAAAAAACTGGGATTTCTTAATTGCATCCAATCGAATCAAGTATGGCGCATGTTGTTTGTATTGTGCGTTTGTGTTGATATGTACATTTGTGTCAACAGAACCTCGATGTTCAAAAGTTCTTTAAGATATTTACTTTGGAATAAAATAGAATAAAGGAGAATATCTATTTTTTCAGTGTTTTCCCTCTTCACCAAAAATGAACCAAGACTCCTTAAACCAAACCAAACTTTTTTTTGTTTCATTTTTTGTACTGTTGCCATCTCACAAGAAAACAATGATTTTCCTGTGATGATTCATGGAGTTTAATTTTCTCTAAAAAAATAATTGTCACAGCTCTCCTGGTTAGTAGAAGCTTGGTCTTCAGGAAGTACGCCAAAAGCCAACAGTCACTTCTGAGATTCTGATCTTACCATGGTTCTCAGTCCTTTCCACTGTTGGTCAAAGAGCCTTTTTTCCTTTAGCTCTAATGAGAACACCTCCTGTCACCAGGACAGACCTCGATCCTCTTAGTCTTTTCAAATAGAGACACCCACATCAAACGATACCCAGCACAGGGTCTGTTTGAAGGTATACCAGAAAGTCTCGAGGGTGCTTCTTATGCAGGCTTCTTCATATGAATGTATACAGCCTACACCGTGCATTTCTCTGTTTGAGGCTGGCGGGTTCAAAGCCCCCCTTTTAAAGACGAACCCTCCCCTATTCTGTGTGGAGTGTCAGCTGTGATAGCCTATTGACATGTTAATGCAATGTTAATGTATTCTGATAGATAATCTGGCCTGATCACAGCAGTCTTTGGCTCACCAAGCCTGTGTGAGGTGAATTTGGTGCCACAGCATTCATCAATCCTTCTCCCCCAGTATTTCTACTCTTGCTTGGTTAAATGGGAGCAGTGTTTTTTTTTTTTTAAAGCACGGTGGCCTGATGAAATCTGCCTTATTTTCTCTTTGACTGACTGGTAATATGTATCAGTACGCTCCTTTCTTTTGTTGTCAAGCTGCTTGTTGCTTGATTTGTCAGTGGAGGTGATGTAATCCCATTCCAATTTGGTTGTTTATATTGCAAGGGATCCGTTGAGGAGCCATTGGATTTGCTGTTTTTTTTTTTTTTTTTAGGTCACATCTACTGCAGGTCATAAAAAAATCATCTGATAACTATCACGCCTCTCTGGATGGTTTATTTAGCCCCAGTAAATCGGAGGCAGGGCTAAGCAGCAGAGAAAGGGAGCTCAGCTGGTTGTGAGAGAGAAGAGAGCAGCTCGATGCATATTAGACTTCAACAGCCCTCCCCGCGGCCTGGGAGCTCCAGTAACAGCATAATACACACTATGTAGGTCAGAGACGCTGCAGTGCTCCACTTCCCCAGCCCAGTGAAACTGACAGGCTGGAACGCCACTGGCGGTCTGCTGGGACGGAAGGATGAGAGGCTTTTTTTTTTTTCCTCCTCTTCCTCTGCTCTTCTTTTCTTCGTCCCCCTCCCCCACCACCTCCCTCCTCCCATGATTCCATTTCCTTGCTCCCACTTGTGCTCCCTCTTGTGTCTTTGTGCTGGTTTCATACGTCCTGTACGTATTGTTCTGTGTGATTTGGATTCTTATGTAATACGGCACGTCTCTGATGTGTTGATGTGTTGGTACAGTGCCCTGGCATGCCTGGGCTCTGTTGACCTGCGGACAGTGCATCACTGCCTTCTGACAGCTATCCAACCCTGTGGTCATCTCTGTCACACAACAGCCCTTAACTATCTTATTACTCTGGTGTCCTCGCTGCAAGCCCCTACAGAAGCTGTGTGCACCACCGCGCTAAGAATATCCAGTCACATGTTTCTATTACCATATGCAAAGAACTTACCCTCATCCATTTAGCTTCTTTCCTGCTCTGCAGCAGTTGCTGGATTACATTAACTGTCTGTATGCTCTGCGTTTTTAATGCTGTTTTTGTCTCCTTTCCCCCCCACCCATTCTTTGTTCCTGTTTTTCCTCTCACTGCAGGATGCTGTTTTGTAACTTTTTATACAAGAAAAGCTGCACTGGAGGCCCAGAATGCACTGCACAACATAAAGACCTTAAGTGGGGTGAGTAAGCGCAGTATGGGCTTCTTTTAGCAGCTTGAGCCCCCTCTACATCCCTGATGCAGACTGTGAGCTGTGTGCCGGCCAGTAATGAGCTCTCGCCTCACTGAACTGCACGTCTGGCCTGAAAAATATCTCGGCCCACACTATACACCAACACTACACTGAGCGCTGCCCTGAACCTGCACACACTGAATTGATGACCACCTGACCCTTCACGCATACATGCAGGCGTCAGGTACATTGCGTTTGACCAGGCAGCAGGTTACGCCCTAAAACACAGGACCCTATTTTCAAAAAGTGGAGCAGGCTGTCAGTGCCTGTCTTCATGAATCACTGATGCACATCTACATTTTATTTCCAAAACTTGGATGACTGAAAGAAGTTTGTTCAAGACATTGTAGCCTGCAGTCTTAATCCTTTACCTGATTTATCTCGAGAGATTAAAGCCCAGCCAGCTGGAATAAATTCAATTGCTTGTTAAACCTCTACAAATCTTCCAACCTATATGGTGCTCTAAATTACCCCTTCTTCCAATCAATTAAATCTATACCCAACAACTCCCCCCATCAATAAAATCAATAGTCCAGTCCATTGGAAAAGGAGCTGTTGTCAGTGAGGTTACAGGTAAATATTGAACCAGGTTGATAAATGAGTGTATCAGGCTGTAACTCTCTTCAGCCGAGGACTATCCATCAAGGCAGACATTTCAAATAACGTGTGGTCTAACAGCTCAGCTATCGAATCCCGGAGCTCCAGTCATACTGTTACTGGCATTGACTGCAGGTGACTGAGTTCTGTTTGCGTGACAGTAGAAAAAGCTTGTTTCCCCGTTCCAGTTTTCTCTCCCTTCTGCGCCTCGCTCTCCTCGGTCAGCAACGCCAGCCAGTGCCCATACTGAGCGGGCCATCTGTCTGCTTGTCTTTAGTGCTTGTCAAAAACAAAACCCACCACTTTTCATAAGTACAAACTGCTCAGGCGTTTTCACGGGCTTCATTTATTTCCCTTTCACAGAGCATGGCAGGTAAATATACTTGAAAAATACACTGAAACGCATTAAACTGATCCCAAAGAAAACGTTCTGTATCCATTTTCCAAACACAGAAAGAAAAAATATATCATGTTCTGAGATCTAGCTCTGCATCTGATGTGATATTCAACACGAAGTTAAAGAAATGTATTACCTTAGACAAAGCCAACATGGACTGACATTTGAGAGACAGAGCTGGCGTGCTTGTTACCTGCTACATAAAATTGGACTAAAGAAGATGAGCAGTGTTGACAGGGAGAATCGATGGATTCAACCACAAGCTAAAAAATAAAAAGAAGTGAAATGGGGTGCCAGAGAGTTTGATCCTTGCCCATCAGCTCATAGACACTTCCTTCTGTTCTGGCTGTGGTGAGCGTTGATTGTTTCAGCGTGAGAGAACTAAACAAGGAGTGGAGAGAGTGTTGAAGGTGGTGTTTGTGGGACTGATGTGAGACTCCTGCTATAAGAGATAACAACGAGCACTTCTCTACTTAAAAATCCAAACTTATGTCAATAACTTGTGCATTTTTTTTCTTTCTAGATGCATCATCCTATCCAGATGAAACCCGCTGACAGTGAGAAAACAAGTGGTAAGTGGTTTTATGTGAAGTCTAGAGCGATGGGGATAAAAAGATGATGCTTGTGTTGAAAAATATAAGTGGACAAGATTTAGATATGACAAATGGGGTGTGAGATTTACAAAGGAGTGGGTTCAGGGTCTGTTTAGTGCAAAAGAACAGTCTGAGAGGGACTTGTTCCAGGGAATGCACAGCAATACACAATTTTCTCTATAGAGTCAGAGGTTAGGAGGATTAAGGGCTTTAAAAAGCAGCAAGGGGAGAGAGGAATAGAGCAGGTATAGAGGATCTAGAGGACAGCACCAATAGGTGATACAGTCATCTGTCTAGAGAAGCTGACACTCGTCAAACAAAGCTGCTAGTTGCAGAGATTTGTGCAGGAGACCGGAAACTCAAGGAGAGGCACAAAATATAGCAGTAAGAAAAAGAGTGTCGCGATTTAACCTGATTTTTTTTGCAGCTGAATAATTGTTTTAAGGTCAATTGAATAGTTGTTCTCTTCTCATCCATGTGCAGCTGTAGAGGACAGAAAACTCTTCATCGGAATGGTTTCGAAGAAATATGGCGAGAACGAGATCCGAATGATGTTCTCATCTTTCGGACAGATCGAAGAGTGCCGAATCCTCCGGGGACCAGATGGTCAGAGCAGAGGTAGGTGTGCTCTCAGCGCAAGCAGAGCGTTCTTGGCCTCACAGCCTGCCGCCTTCAGCATAGCCCGAGTACATATTCTCATAGAGTATTCATACAGGCCCCTCCTTACTTCTTCACATAAACCCCTCCCTCCCTCCTAAATCAAGTGCTATTCACCTCGAGTAGCACCCATTCCATCCCCATAGTCTTTCCACCGTCACTGGTACGCTCAGCCTCCACATCTCACAGTGAAGGGCCACCTCACTCGCTGTCCGGCACAATGGACCGTCGCCTTGGCAACCGTTGGCTGCTGGTGTTTCGTGGGCTCAGCTGGCAGGCGGCTTGGCTCAGCTCAGCTCCTCCTTTACCGCCTCCTTCATCACACTCAACAAAGGCTGGAATTAGCCTGTCGTTGCATCTCCCACATACCTCTCTGCTGCATAAAGCCTCAGACAGCAGGCAGCACGAGGCTCTCATGTTGATGTATGTGATTAAACCTTATAGCAGAGATTGTCGCGCCCGAAATTCTGCTCTTTCAAGTAAAGATAAGCGACGTAGCCGCAATTTGAGAACCACCACAGCTCATTTATTCTAGCAGATCAAAGTCTTTCAGGGTCTATTTATGTGTGCATTGTATGTGTTTATAATCACATTGACTGTTTCACCACGTAGTCGAGCCTCTGGGTGGCAATTTAATCCGTTGATCACTGTGCTCATGTGACATGTGTTACTGTTCTCCTTGTTGTGTTCTTTCTCTGTGTGCTAACCAGTGAGGGTGGTTCTGTGTGCTTGGGAGTTGCCATTTTCTGTACTGTAATGTGTTTTTTTGGGGTTCATAACGAGTTGTCCAAACCTTTTGTCTTGTTTTGTTTCTTCTTGTCCCTCCCTCCCCCCCTTTCCCTTCTCCTATTGTTCCCCCCCTACAGGCTGTGCGTTTGTCACATTTGCTACCAGGGCAATGGCACAGAATGCAATCAAAACCATGCATCACTCTCAGACTATGGAGGTACTGTACCCCTTAGCACCTATTTCTCATTTTTCCCCTTCCCCTCTCATACATTCTGCTGCCCCCTTGTGTTGGAAAGAGAGAAGAACCTGCCTTAGCAGATGGCATCCATTCATCAAAGAGCATGAGCCATTTCCAAAACCACTCTTGCCAATTACAAAATTACATTATTGCCTGCAAAATAATTGAATAAACTTGAAATATGGCCTTTCATAAAGCTACCGAGTCAGGAGATAACAGGACACGAGGAATTGCTGTCATCTCATATTTTGGGCTGAACTAAATAAATCTCTGTCTCGATGATGATGATCATATGTTGTAGCTAAGTCGCTCCCTTCTGCCATTATCGATCTATATTCTTGACCACAAGAACAAGAGTCTACTGGATCAAATTTAGGTTAATGATGAATTAACCTAGACTGGAGCGGCAAGCTTCCCTGAGAGAGTTCTACAAAAACTGGGTCCATGTCATTGTGTAGCTGGTGGTGTCTTAGTGGAAGTGGAGCAGCGGTAATTTGACAGCTAGCAGGTCAGAGGCTCCCTAGTGAAGCATCAGACCAAGTCTAATTAGCAGCCCAACCAAACATAACACTCGTCGTACCAGAACGCAGGCCCCAGCACTGGTGCTTCCTATTTACCCTGCCGTCACAACCTCCAAAACCCCTCAGCTGCCAAGGGAGGTGCTGCTGGTGCAGAAGCCATTTTCCCTGTCCAGCCTGGTCCCTGTCTGGCTCTCAACTCTCAAGAGATATTTGCACCGCATGCCTCATGTTCACGCGTCTGTCTGAACAGTATGTGACTGTTTGTGAGATTGTGTGTGTGTGTGTGTGTGTATGAGGCATTGCATTTTTTCTTGTTGATGTCTGCTGACATATCTCCATTTGAATGTCACGTTTTAAGTGTTGTCTCCATCTTCTGTCTGCTTGTCTGTGGACTCCATTCGGCTCCTCAGAGTGCTAAACAAATTCACTGTCTGCAGCATTATCCTGTGCCCCTCTCTGGAATGTGGCCTGGCTCAGCTATGCATGGCAGTTGTCCTCTGTGTTAGCTTTGATATGAATGCAACAGGAACAAAGAACAAATGTCTTGAGGCATAGATGATACCCCTCTTTCAAAAAAAATTCCTAGCAATGGCTTTGTCCTTGAAGTGGCAGATAAACTTGGAAACGTTGTCTGGGTTTGCATTGTCCTGACGTCTCTGACCTCTCCTCCGCTCCAGGGCTGTTCCTCACCTTTGGTGGTGAAGTTTGCAGACACACAGAGAGATAAGGAGCAGCGGCGCTTGCAGCAGCAGCTAGTACAGCAGATTCAGCAGCTCAATAGCGCCTCCACTTGGGGAAACCTGGCTGGCCTTGGGACTCTCACACCGCAGTACCTGGCAGTAAGTGTTTCTCAAACACGTCGATCCGCTGGTTTGCTTTAGTACTTATTTATTATCATAAGGTTCAGCCTCTGCAAACTGTGTGGAGAATTGGTTTTGGCCTTGGGAAGCATCCAAGTCCCTGTACAAACAGACCAACTAGTCTTAATACAAACATTAAATGTTGTAGAAGCAGGTTTTGCTCTCTTTGTTAAATGAGGCCAGTGATGGCTATAGATGGGAAAGCAGCTGCCATTTAATTTATACAATATACAGCTTTTTAGCACTCAAAAGTATGAAAGGGGAATGGAAGCTCTGATTAAAATATCAATAGAATGAACCTGCTGCAGTACAGATGGTTTTAAAAGGTGTTTCATAAATTCAAACAAAGTTTGATGATAATTTGATAGAGCAGGATGTTTAAGTTTAACTATAAACCAGTTCTCTGAGCTGCCAACAAGAACATGTAGTGTTAGGGGCTCTGGCTTTGGGACACCGGCATGTGACGTGCACATGCTGCTCTGATTATGAGCCAACAAGCAAAGGACTTAGAATAAGGATACAGAGTCTGTTGGTAAATGTTTCTGAGCAAAGTAGGTTACAGTAGCATCATGTTGAGGTTTGAATGTTGTAAACGCAAAGAAAAAGAAGGAATATTTCATTTGGTGACATCTCGATGAACCTGTCCTTATGCAGAATTCACTCTGCCTCATCAATGCGCCCCTGGCTAGAGCCTGGTTTATAGTTAAGCACTGACTCTACGCTACAGCTCCGCCATAATGGCCTATGCCATTAAAACCGTGTAAGCTCAGATCATAATGAAATTGGCCCTTTTTTTTAACCCGTCCTTGCGTTTTGGTGTAACTATGAATAATGAATTCTCTTAACTGTCTTTGGTTTAAGCAAACAGCAAAAGAAATAGAACGTCTGTACTTGACCAAACATCCTGTGCTGTATGACAACTTTATCTTAGAATAAAAATGAGGTCACCATGGTTTGCTTCTTGCCCAGGAAAACAAAGACATTGTCTTAAACAGCCAGATCAAAAAAAGTGAAATTTAAATATTTGATCTTGATTCCAGAAACTTCTAGAGGAATTTGGCATGATACATTTTTAAATGATGAGATTGTAGTATACTACCTAGATTAGACATTAGGTTAGATAAAAGGAAATTAAGAATTGACAAAGTTTGTTCTATACAATACAATATACACAACATAAATAGAAAAATAGTTGTGAAATCAGACTCTCAGCTCAAGAATTGTAAAGGTGTGTGTGTCCTAATTCTAATCCATTTCTCTTCTTGTTCCCAACAGCTGCTCCAGCAGGCCACATCTACCAGTAACCAGGGCAGTTTCAACGGTATTCAGAGGCTAGGAGGTGAGATCTTCCCTTCACATGTTGAGACCAATGTTCACAGCTCACCCTGTATAAATGAACAAGCCGGCGCTTTTCATGTTAACAAACCTTGTGACTCAGTGCACGCCTACGTGGTTTTTACTGCAGTAAACCACATTGCTCCTGGAGATCAGTGAAGCTGTAATAGTTGGCCGTTATTCTCGGTCTTTTCAGGCTACTGGAGGGCAAACACACGGCACATGACTATGACTTCATAAAATGAAAGAGACCTGTGAAAACAGATCAATGTTGATTTTAAGAACGAGCAGACTCCATAACTACAGTGAGGCTGGTTTTGTGTATTGAAGTGTAATTTCTAGGCGTGTACCACATTGTCTGCATCATTTAACACATACCTCTTAGTACCGTGACCATCTGCATAGATATAAGTTTGAACAAGAAAAAGATGGCGCTTCAAGGGATGAATATAATGAAAGTTGTTTTTTAAGCATGTACCGGATGTGACATTGATTGCGAGAATACCACATAGAAACCAGGAGGTGTGTTATAGGCGAGCGTGTGTAGTCCTGAAAAAACACTTTACCTTGAACTTTGAAGGTGTTTTCTGTCCAAGTTTGTCTCTTCTTGTTGTAAGTCATTGATAATCACCTCTGTCTCTGTTCTTCCTGCAGGTGTGAATCCCCTACAGCTGCAGAACTTGGCCACATTAGCTGCTGCTGCGGCTGCAGCTCAGAGTTCTGGCAGCCCGACCTCCACCAGCGCTCTCTCTACAAACAGTGCAGCCCTGGGAGCCTTGGCCAGTCCTGGTAATTAAAAAAACAGCATGATCCACATTTTTAGGATGTGAATGTACTTCACATGGAGTATGAAACATCGAGGAAGTTGCTCAGGTTGTCAATGATCACAGTTCTGATGACTTTTTGAGGTTATCTTTAAGTAGAACTCAAATGGAAGTCAGAGCTTAAATGAGTGTACATACATTCTCCCAGCTAGTCCTCCTGCTGCTGTGATGGTACTAACTGCTTAAAACTCCCTCACTCGCTATCTGCATAACAGCCCTCAGCCATTCCTCATTTATTTTATGGGAGTTAATCACCCTCATATAAAATTTTATGAGAGCCCCCATTTCCCTTTAATCTGTGTAAATATACATTGGCTCCGTCTGCCTGATTTTAGCATATTGCTGCTGCGGTAATGACCTCTTCTCGTTAGGAGACAGATTTTTAACTGCCCCCTCTCTGCTGTGTCATCCTCTCATAACCATAACAATTTGTGGTTAAGGTGCCAGGCACTTAGATAGATATAGGACATTTTATATAAAAAGAAAGCCCCCTCTGTGGTAACCCATATGCTCTTTTTTTTTTCCCTTGTGCTCCTGAACAGCCGGTTCAACAGCAGGGTCTAGTGCGGGTGCTGCCATGAACACCTTGGCATCTCTGGGCACTCTGCAGGGTCTCACAGGAACCTCTGTGGGCCTCAACCTCAACGCTCTCACCAGCAGCGTCAGTGGTAAGGGCGTCCTTTTCAATTGACCAGCATAAGCTAAACTTGTTAGCTTGTGTCATTTACTTAACACTTTTTAAGATGTATTCATGCATCAACATATTTGTCACTGAGGTTTGACTTTGCAATTGTTAAACTGGAATTCATGATGTCCTGGACTTCATTGTTCAATCCTTTGTTTTAAGGAAGATTATAAGAAACTCGTAGCATTATAGAACATCACTTACTTTGAACACGACACAGGGCTCGACAGTGCGACCAGTGCGAATTGTAAAATGTAGTTAAGGGCACATGTGCGCATAAAAAAAATACTGCGGTGAAGTTAGTTTTAGGTTGGATATTCGATGGACATTCACGGCGGATCTACCTGTGTCTTCTCACTCTTCATAACCGGTAATAGCAACAGCAGCAGCATCCTGGCTGTCAGGGTGTTGAATAAGGGACCATCAATAAATTAGTGGTTGAGGTTCTCAAAGAAAGGCTGTTTTCCTTTAATAGCTTCCATGTCATGTGACCAATTGACCTAAAATTGGTTTCAAATAATAATACTTATATCGACCAATAAAACACACCTCTTTATTTCCCTAATTTGTCCTCATACATTTTTTGTGTTAAATTTAAAGGCAAATTTTAAACATTTTCTTCAATAGCTTCCATGTCATGTGACCAAAAGACCTAAAATTAATTTCAAATAATAATACTTATGTCAACCAATAAGACACACATTATTTGATCAATTTTCACCCTGAAGTTCTTCATGTGCTTCTTACCTTTTCGATTGAGGAGCAGATGCGCTCCTTGTGAGAAAAGTTAGTGTCAAGCCCTGTGACATAATTTTATTTTAACAACTCTTGGGAGGTTTGAATAAAAACGATTCCTCATTTTTGTAAAAGTAGAGTATTTGTACTAGATTGCATAATATAGCTTAGTGCACTTAACACTGAGGTGGCAAACAAAAGGCTGCTTTTAAAAGTGTGATTTTCTCCCCCCCTGGTGGTCTTAAATATGAACTGCAGCTTTAAATTGACTGGGCACACAACCCATGAATAAATCTCAATCTCTTTCTGTGCCATAGGGATGGGGGGTATGAATGGAGGTTTAGGAGCCTCCATGGCCAATGGATCAGCAGCCAGCTCCATGGATGCTCTGACCCAGGCCTACTCAGGTATGCAGCAGTACACAGCCTCTGCCCTGCCCTCCCTCTATGGCCAGTCTCTCCTGCAGCAGAGCATTGCTGGCAGTCAGAAGGAAGGTGAGAAGTTCCCCAGCACACAAAAACACACCTTTGCATCACATCTTCAAATTTATCTTGTTTTTTATTCTTGTATTTTTTCGCCTCATTTCATCCCAGCTTTCTTTGTTGTTCATAGAAAAACATACTACATTTGTCTAACTTGAGTTTATGATTTTCTTACCAAATGGAGTAGGGCCAGAGGGCGCCAACCTGTTCATCTACCACCTGCCCCAGGAGTTTGGGGACCAGGATCTTCTGCAGATGTTTATGCCTTTTGGAAATGTGGTCTCTGCCAAAGTCTTCATCGACAAACAGACCAATCTGAGCAAGTGCTTCGGTAAGTGTGTTAGCGCTTTCAGTCTTTTTACGCCTTCTGCTGTGTAGTTAACACAGATGCCCTAGTGAGACCCTGGCCTCTATTTGATATTGAACAGAACTAACTGCGAGCAACACAACAGGAAAAACACAATTACCGTATTTTTCGGACTATAAGGCACACTTAAAATCCTTAAATTTTCTCAAAAATTGACAGTGCGCCTTAAAATCCAGCGCACCTTATGTATGATTACTTGTTGTGCTTACTGATCGATTTTATGTGGTACAATGCGCTCAAAAATCTGTCAGTGTTTAAGTACGACTTCAGGAAGTAACAAAGCCGCTCCGCTCAATGGATATTCAGAGCATTACGGTAACTGTCGTCTGAACAGCCAAGTACCAGTAACAGCAACGAGACTGTCTCAGATAATGACGAGTTGGATCTGGGCATGCTTGATGCCGAAACTGCACAGCTGTTTAACTCAGACACTGAAGATGAAGAATTTGATGGATTTGTGGAAGAGGAATTAATCAATAAGTGAGCGTATTTTTCTGTACCGGTATTTGTTATTAGAACAAATTAAATAAGTTTGATTTACTGGACTGTGTCGTTTTGCTTAATGCGCCTTGCAATCTGGTGCGTCTTATGTGTGAACATAGACACGTTAATTTGTAGTGCGCCTTATAATCCGGTAAGCCTTATGGCCTATAAAATACGGTATTTCCGTGAAACATAAAATAGGCAACCAAAATTCTCCAAACTCTTCTTAGTTTACAAAGAAACACTTAATAGTCTTTTTTAAAGAAATCAATTATTCTAAGGGATATTATTTTGTGGAAAATTGTCTTTTTTTCTAGTTTCAGTCAGTATTTATTGTAGTTGCTTTTCTTCCTATAAAGTAACCAGAAAAATCTGTTGTCCCTTCTTGTGTCCTTGAAGTAAATGGTTATGTGACTCTAATGTCAGTCTGGGCAGCTCCTCCTACAAGAAACACTAAAATAGATATCAGCTCGCAGTGGTGTGAAGGGGTCTATTTTTTCTGTTTGATTGCTACATAAGAAAATAGTTCACCTTCCACTGTTTGTCTGGTTTTCCAAATTTTACATATGAACCATTGTTGCACATGAAACTGTAATATGGAAGGTATCTTGATTCGTTTCGTAAACCTTGAGAGAGAACGAGGGGTTATTTTATTGACTGAGTATCCTCCTCGTTTCAGGGTTCGTCAGCTACGACAATCCTGTGTCTGCCCAAGCTGCCATCCAGGCCATGAATGGGTTTCAGATCGGAATGAAGAGGCTGAAGGTTCAGCTGAAGCGCTCCAAGAATGACAGCAAACCCTACTGATCCTAGCCCTGGGGCCTCCCCCCTCCCCAGCTCTAATGCTAGCACTGCTAGGGTAAGTTCACCCTCCAGCCAAGGTCAACACAGCAGAGACTCAGGTGGGGGGGCAGGGGGAAAGGAGCCCACAACAGGAGGGAGCCTTCCTGAAAAAGACAAAAAAGTGGTTGCAATGATCTTTTTCCACATTTTTGCTGTATTTCATTCCTGCGGTTTTCTCATGTAATTTGAGTCGGATTAAATATTTTAATGTATATGATTATTTATGACTATCACTGGAGTCAGTGTTCGCTGGAGGTATTTCGTGTCACTGTTTGGTAGTGGAGAGCATCAGGTGTGTTTCCATACCATTTCATTGCCTTCAGGTCAAGTGAGGAAGGTTGACTAAGGATCATCTGTTGTGTTGAAGGGCTGCAGCCAGGCCGGGTCGACCCTGAGCCCTGAGCTTCAACCTGCATTTGGCTTCTTCCATGTCGTCTGTCTCGTTCGTTTCCCATCCTTCAATGTGAAAATCTTTTGCACTCTTAAATCTTTCGACCTTTGCTCCCCCTCCATCTCACCCCTCACTGACTCCCACTCGATCTCTTTGTCATTACGTAAGCCATGTCCAGCTAGGCTACCTCTCTCTCTTTTTCTCTGTTAACAACCTCTTCAAGTCCATTCCATCCATCCTCCAAGTCTCCCATAAAGGGACTGGTTCTAGATGGATCTCTCTGGGTGCCAAGTACAACGTTTTTGCATGTCGGAGTCTCTGCCATATGTCCTGGTGGCGTCACTTTCCTTAAATCTGTGTATCGTTTTTGTGTGTCGGGAAGAGAGAAAGGGGGGGAAATGTTTATCACGCTGTCCTTACTGTATGTGGTGATTTGTTTTTGTTGTTTTTTGTGCCTCATGGCTAAACGATTCTTGTGCTGTGCCCCTAACTTTCTCTTCTCTCCTCTTTGTCTTCTCTCTCTCTGTGTCTCTCTCTCTCTGTCTCTTCCTTTCACGTTTTTGTTCCTTTTTAGAACAAATCTCCATGCCTGTTTGCTCATCATTAGCCTAGCATGTCTTCATGATGTTGAAAGCCAAGCCAAACTCCTGGCCTCATCATCCCACCATTGTCTGTGATGTCTCTCTAAGCTCGCCTGACCAATACCTGGCCACCCACTGACCCTTGACCTTAGCTCAACCTGATTTTTCTGCATGTATATTTTCTTTTGTGTTTTTTTGTTTTTTTCTTCTGTATAGAAATGTGACAGGTGGGAGAGAGGTCAAGCAAATCAATGTGAAAACTTACCTGCGTTGAATTCATTTAAGAGACCTTTTTGGTTTTTTTTTGTTTTTTTTTGCGAATGTTTTAAAAACCTGTGGGATTTCTTATTTTTAACTAAGCTTCATTTTTTATGTTGCTTTCTTTTTACCTCTCTCAGTAAAGTTCACTTGAAAGTTGAATACAGGGATCGGCACACAGCTGTGCTATTTGGTGCCATTAGCAATATGGTGGCTTCTTAAGAAGAAAAAAAAAAAAACTAGACCACTTTCCAACACTTTTGAAAGTCTGACCAGTAAAAGCCCTCTCTCAGTGCTCTGTAATGATCTCTACATTTTGCGGGCAGTGTGAAGATTTACACCAAGGCTATTTAAAAACATATTTTCTTTTCATTTAGGAAAATATCCAGTGTATTAACTTTTTTTGAACTATTGATGGCACAATAAAAGGTACATTTGCTCTGTTGAGAGGAATGACTACCTACATGAGTCAACTTTTTTAGAACTGATTCACAAATAGACAATCTGTGGTTTAAATGCACACTTAGATTACCTATATTTTATACCATTGAATCTATAGAATTTAACTAACAGAACCCAGGCAAAACTTTGGGTTTTTTGTAGATTATGTTGTAATGTCATCTGTGTGTTTGGGGGGGAGGGGTCTTCAGTGTACTGCATTTTTAAAGAGGACTAAAATTCAGTTTGATCAATGTGACCGCATTTCTAGTCAACTAAAAACACACTTTAAGTCCAAAATTTCCTCAGCATTAATTGTAATTTAAAGTTCTTGTTTGAAAAAAAAAAAAACGTACATTTTCTTATACGGTCACAGTGTGTAGACTTTTATTTCCTGTGTTAAAGAAAATTTAGTGTTCAATTCCACGGTACGTCTCGTAGACTTTCTGTGAATTTCTCATTAATTATTTCATTAATGGATGTTTCACTTTGGTTAGGTTTGGATGCCTCATGTTGAAAGATGACGACTTACAATGTCTGTTAATCATACAGATGCCAGACAATGTCTCTTTGTTTTATTTTGCTGTTAAAAGTGCCCATGTGTCAAACTCAGTGTTTTTTTTTCTTTTGAATTCACATGAGATAGTTTCCTGTAATGTTAACCTAGTTTTCTCTACACACACAGACACACACACACACTCACAGTACACAACAGCACACTTTTTGTGATTACAAATGTGGGAGCCCCTGAAGAAGAGATCTTGGACACACGACACACAGTCTGTGGGTCTCTGCACATTTTATAGACACACTCACGATGCTTTTTTTTATGTTTCGCTGATTGTTCTTTTTAAGTGACTTCCAATTTCATGTTTCAGTCGTACACGATGCACAGCACATTGATACTACTAAAATCACCACAACAGTGTTGGTTTACAAATACATTCCATTTTTCAGCACAAAGTTTACACTTTTTTTTAACGGGGTGGTATTTTGTCTGTTTGTACTACAAAATAAAAACCACTTCACCCCCCCTCACCCCTAAAAACTGCATACCTGATGGCGCTAAAGAGTTGTCAACTCAGGGGCTTTTTTGTGTGTGAAACTCGACACTCACACGGGATTATGACACAATGCACAATTGTCACCATTTGACCTTTTCTGTTTGGATCTGTTTTTTTTTTTTTTCTTCTTCTTCTTTTTCTCAAAATACATATAAATATTCCAAAAAAATGAAAAGAATAAAAAACAAAAAAGGTACCAAATTTGAAACAGTGCTGGAGGAAAGTTGTGGTTTTGTAAGAGAAACGTTAAGCACAATTGTGGGAGCTAATCACTTTTGCAGAATGTTGTGTGTGATTTCTAATCCCAAAACTTGCAAGGTACCACTGATTTCACTTTGTAATACGGGCATGTGCTTTTTACAGTGTGTTTTTTCTATCCAAATGCAATACAATATTCAAAGTGCCATATATACGTCTAGAAACTGCCTACACATCCTTATTAGGCCTTGGTTTAGAGATTGCTGCAGTTAGCCTTTTTTTGTCTATTTATGCCAGTGTCATGAAAGCTCTTGTCACCTGCTCATGTCCCCCCTTCTTCCCCTCCCACTTTGTGTGTTGACTTTTTGGTAAATGTGTATTGTGATGTACTCAATTTGAACAATTGTTTAAATAAATTGTAGATAAACAATAAACTTCCCTATACATTTGAAGGTTAAACCTCTTTCTTAGTGTGAACACGTGACCCGTAACACTTCGCTATACAAACCGATGGTTGATCTGACGTGTTTGGGAAATTTACTCAAAAGTTGCGAAGACGCTCAAGTACAGAGAGACGGCTTGGGCGCCATGTTCGTAAGATCGTTTAAAAAAAACTGTCTAAACACTGAAATGAGTGTTGATCTGGGAGGATGTGTATGGTGAAGTGTTACTGTGAATGAAAGAAAAAAAAAAAGCACAATGTACAGTCCACAGTGGTCCCAACAGGAACTTGACTCACTTCAGGGGCTTCCATCACAAATCCTGTTCAAGCTCTAACAATCACTTTCTCTGTTCTGTGTTTTTCATATTCTTGAAGTGCTATTTTTTGACTGTGTGGTAGCTTTGCATCTCTATAGATATTGTCTTGATCCAAAACAAAAGTGAGGAGAGGAAAAAAAAATCTCGTGTTATTTTCTTGTCTGATAATCGGTAGGACTTTGTTCATGTTCCACCAATAATTTAATTGATGTTTTCCTTGTCTTGAAAGCCAAAGTGGGTGCATCTTGATGTGATCTGTATTTTACATACAGTAGTTATTTTCTTCTGTTCAGGCAATATTTTTTTGAAACTGGGTGGGCTTTGAAAAAGGAAAAAAAAAAGAAAAAAAAAAAACAGGCTTTCCAATTTCTACAACTGGTTGTTCATATGTATTTTGTACCAGTGGAGCTTTTTATATTGGAAATTAAAGAAAAAAAATCTATATTGGAAAAAAATTGTCTGGCCTCTCAATGTGGCCTCGCCATGACCAGGTCTTGAGTTTGGCCTCTTGGTGGTGTCAAGCAATTTTTTTTTGGTTGTTGTTTTTTGTTTGTGTCTCGAAAAGATGCCTGATTTTGATTTCTCTACATGTTCCTCACTTTGTTGATCAGTTTCTTTTTCGGGGAGGGGGGTTGGGATCCTCTAAAATCGTGGTAAGTTTCATGTTAGTATTTGTGCTGTCCACAACATAGTTTAATGGTCATCAGGATTTCAACAACTTGTGTGGATAATTGTCTTAGTTAAGAGTTAACTCTCTGTTTAGTTTGAGCCTTGCTTTTTACCTGTGTAAACTTTTTTTGTTCCTTTTTTTCCCCCATAGCGGAGTGTGAAGCTGAAAGACTCTATGTTCTTTTTTGGTCAATGTTTGTTCATGTGTGGTGTGTTTCTTTGCCTCTGTCTCCAAATTAAACCATATCCCCTAATATGGACTGTGTGTGTCTTTGTGCGTCGTGCTTGTCCAGTGTTGTAAAGACATTTTACAAACCACCCCTCCCTCCCCCTTGTGTGTCATGTCTCGCTAACTCGTTCTTTTTTCGTTTTTTTGTTGTGCTTCTCTTTGCTTCTTTCGGATGTCTAACAGATATGGGTTTATTTCTCTCTCCCTGCTGTCTGTCTGAGTTTCAGTTTAGATTGAAACTTAACCTTTAAATCTGGTCTCATTTATTACGTTAAGCTTCATCTTCAGGTTGATTATTGGGCTGGTCTAACCTTTTATGGCACATCATGATGATCAAAAAACTACAATTTCTCACTTAGAAGTCCTTAATCATACCAGAATTGGTAAATCTGGATTAACTTGAATATTCAACTCCAACTTTGAATTGCTTGATGGACACATTTAATTTAAAACAGCATACCATGTGTTGAAACTGAAAAATGGTTTGTTAATATAGAGACAGAGACAACAAAATAAAAAGTTTAAAGATAAAAAACTTTTAAATCACCTGGAAAAACATTTTGCACTAATAAGGTTTCTTTACCACAGGTTGGTAAGATGACTGATTATGAAAATTGGTATTTGAGTCCCTCAGATGTAAAGAGGTTTGCCACTCTATGAGAACTTTAGTGAGAAAAAGGCTCAGTAAGTCCAGAATAATACGATTTTGGGTGTTATATCATCTGCTGTCCATGGTTTCATGGAAATATAAAGAGAATCTGAAGAGATCTCTATAAAAAAAAAAAAGGCAAAAAAAATAAAGCTTTGTTTCTTTGGGCGCTCAGGCTGCACAGCTATAAAAATGGACATAAGTGCATTTGAAACAGTTTTTGTGAACGTAGTTTGTTGCCTCATCCACAAATGCAGGTTAAGGATGTCAATGAGTAACTTTTATAGGAACAAGATCCAGGATTGCCGGCAACTTCTCCAAATGGACCGAAACTGAGAGGAAAAGTGTCAAATACGGTCTGAAAAATTCGTATTTGACATTTTTACTGCAAACCATTGACACTACACAATGCACTATAAAGAGAGGGGCTACCCAACTTGTTATCAACACACAGTTAATAAGAAAAACCCGCTCCCGTGATGGCAAAGGGTTGCATATAGGGAAACATGCTGCTATATACAGATATTGCCTCTTTTAGGGAATAACTCTCATATTAAGAAGATGATGCCAAACCACATTCAGCACATTTAATAACAGTGCAGCTCTGTAGTCTGAGAGTTTGGGTGCGAAACACTCCAAATTAAAGCTTGGTTGATCTTTTATTCCAAATTTAAGCAGGGTCTCATGAATTTTGGTAATATGTCTTATCTAAAGGCAGTCAGAGTCTTTTAGGAGCTGATCTGTACCCTGCAACATGAGACTAATTTTGATAGCACAGGATAGGAGTTTCATTCATATTTTGAAGCTGAGAAAGTAATGAAAAGTTTTCTACTCGAGCTCTAGAAAATTATGCACAGATATGTATTTTTTCTTATAGATAATAGATGAGCGATTAATGAAATATTGATAAAGCAAATATGCAAGACTTTTGCTCTGCTGGCAATTCCAAAGGACCTGATCATTTAACCGAGACCTGGTGACACTAATGTTTCTGGTCATTCACCATACCACATTTCCTATGTAGAAGAGTTTAACAAAAATAATAATACATTTTACTAATAAAGCGCTTTCATTAAAACTCATGCAATATACACATAATACATACCTTTCTCTTCCTACATATATATTTAATGAAACTTATATTCAGGCTTGATGTCTACCAGTGATAATGGAGGGTGGAATATGTTCTGCTTTTAGAAATAAGTGCAGGGCTACTAATAAAAGCCACCGATTACAGCAAACAACTTCATACAAGTCCAGTTTTCTGTCTAGACCACGCTTTGAGTTTTACATGATAGTGTCTCTCTAGGGTCTTTCATGAACTATGATCAAGCTGCATTATTTCATATATCTATATTATCAATTTGAAAAGAAAAATCACCTAAATTACAGAAAGATCATTATATACTGTAGTGTACTTTCTATCATTATAAGAAGGTTATAAAGCCCTTTCTTCACCCCAAGAAGTTAGATTTTTCCATCAGTCATCAAGCACGTTGCCAAAAATCTAGTTTATTTTCCTTATCAATTTTCCATTTATCGTCCTCTCATTTTGGAATGAATGGAAAGACAGATTAACCTACATAGCTTTCCTCACTAGGTCACCGCATACCAGAACATGAAACAGCACGTAGTAATTTACATCATACAGTGTGTAACTAATGTTTTTCATATGTTTCACCTCTGCCTCCAACCAGGACATGTAAAATGAAGTATACCAGAGAACTGCAAAACATCGTTTCAGTCCACTTTGGCCATAAATCCTGGTCAAGTGTGGAAACTTTAAGACTCCAGACACTATGGGTAATCATAAATTGTGGAAACTAAAAAGCAAATCCTCAGACTTTAAAAGCAACCAAGTTTTTTTTTTAAGTAGGCCTACTGTACAGTGGCCAAGAACTGCCACTGCTGCAAATAAAAAAAGAATGAAAAAGAAAGAAGTCACAACGGAAATTACTGATGCAAAAAAAGAAACCGAAGCCGGCTGCAAATAAAAAAAGAAATGGTGCAGATAATAAAAAAAAAAAAAGCTGCAACAGAAGTTAACAAAGCAAAAAAAAGGAGCAATAGAAAAAACAAAAGTTACTTACTGCAAAAATTAAAGGCTGCAAACAAAAAAGCCACAATGGAAGTGAGCTGCCAGGGATCAGTAATGATGATGCATTGGTGTTTTACAATCTGCGTAGAAGACGACGACGAGGAGACGAGCAACGACGTAAGTGGAAAGGTGTCATTTGATTATTGTTTTAACCAAATGACACATTAAAAAGCCACAAAGCAAAATCAAACAAAAACCGTCCCACTTAATTCTTTGCTCGTCTTCTCGCTGTCGTCTTCTGCGCCTAGACCGTAAAACACTGGTGCATCATCATTACTGGTCCTCGGCAGCTCACTTCTGTTGTGGCTTTTTTTAATTTCTGGTTGAGTCTGACTGTTTCAGTGGCAAAGAATGACATGTAAGTCAGTTTCTAAGATTTATTCTTAAATTTGAAAAAAAAAAAAAAACTCGATTTTTAACAACAAAAATCAATCTAAAAATTGTAAAATAAAAAATCACGATACTTATGTGAATCGATTTTTTCTCCCACCAGTAGTAATCATCTTGTGGGGGGAAAAAAATTGTCAAAACTAAAAAGCAAATTCTCAGACTTTAAAAGCAACGAAGTTTGTTTTAAGTAGGTATTTAAGTATAACTTAAGTATTACAATTGACTGATTTGTGAAAACTACACTCTCCTTAAAACCTATACACATTTTATCTTAGTTTCTAACTTTCAAAAATAGGGTTGGAATTTCCAAGCAGCATGTGAACGCAGCATCAATCTCTTAGTTTGACACTTGTTGCTCTGCCTCAGAAGCGCCACCACAGGCTTACAATAGCTCGCTTTAATTAAATTCGACACATTCGTATATACCAAAAAATTACACCAAAACTTAAACAAGTTACTTCATGACAGAAATGTCCAAAAATAGTGAGACTTTACAGTATTTCCTCGTCACAATGACAGTGGGAACTTCGTCCAATCGGCTTCCTATGCGGCATCTCCTCCCACAACGTCCCCCTCTCTGGACAGTATGGCCGCCGCCGTCTTGTAGCTGTTTGTATTAGCAGTTGTGAATATTGTGAGCTAAACTTCTTAAAAAAATGTCGGCAGTATTATTTTTGAGAAAGTCACTGAGCAGACTTCCTCCAAGTGTGGCTCGGCAGGTTGTCAGCAGTTGTTATCACACAGAGAGAGGTGTTTACGGGTACCGACCCAAACAGACGGAGAGTCAGTCCGAGTTACAGAAGGAGCGCATCGCTGCACTGAACCAAGGTCAGTATGAGTTACTACACTGCACAAACAAGTTTACTACGCACTTAAGAGTGCACTCTTTAGTGTTTATTGAGATTATTCAGTCTGTTTTACATCAGTGTGAAGTGTGCTTGAAGTTTCTATTTGACTCATGGTTGATGTGGAGGGAGATTTGGTCGAAGTTTCACAGCGTGGCTGACATTACTGGTTTAAGGCAGCTCGTCCTGACTACTGCTTTTTTCTTTGGTCAGATCATGGTCTCGCTCGTCTGGTGGAGGCTTACAGAGCACATGGACACAAGTCTGCTAAAATTAACCCATTACTACCTCAAAAGCCTGTTGCTGACAGTGTCCCTGAGATAGAAACGCTGACTGGAGCCATCAGAGGACAGCTCAACACTACAGGTAGGTAGCAGCTGTGGATGAAAACAACCTGTAAACATGCACCACAAAATGATCAAGCCTGCTTCTTTTCACTATTCTTATTTGAAATAAAACATATGCAAAAGTAGTTTATTCTGCTACAAATATGACATGCACTGTTGGTATATTGACTTTTTGTTTGTTTTGTACATTTTGCATGTATGTATATAAAACTGAAAATAAAAGAAAAAAAAAAAACGAAAAAAAATGTACATACCATGCTGCATTAATGATACCTGTCTGGATGTGTAAGATACGTATACTGTATATTAGGCATCTCCATAACATAATGGAAGCAGTTTTTGAACTGAGCACATAACAGGCGGGACTGTCCCTCCTCTCTCCAGAACAGAAGATGTGGCAGCAATGCTCTACAGTAAAAATATCAAATTCTGGTTTGTTAGACCACAGGACAGTCTTGGCTTCACCTCATTCCATTTTGAATGGACCAAAAGACATCATCTCCATAAATGGCGTGCACTTAAACCGCTAGGCCAGTGGTGTTCCCAAGTTCCTAAGTCTCTAAATCTTATTCTGATTTTATGCACTTTAGAGAGTGAAATCCTCCTAAAACTTAGCAGAACTCTTTGCTCTTGAATTCTCTCATCTTTATGGTGTGATGGTGTCTCTGGAGTGCCCTTTTTACACCCAGTCATGTGACCTACCTGTTGCAAATTAACCCTATCAGTGGGAGATGTTCCTTGAGTTGTTGTTTTAACAGTACTCAGCTTTTCAAGTGTTGTGTCTTCCCCGTCTGAAACATTTGCTGCCATCACATTGAAATTTTGCATACCTTCTGCAGAAAACACTGACCTTTTTCAATTTCAATATTTGACATGTAATCGTGGCTCTATTTTTAATTAAGAATTTGATTAAGATGATTTGAAAGAGCTAACAGAGGAGGCCCCTACACGCCTATTCAAATATTAAATCAAAATCCTGCACCAACAATAACACATAAGCAATAACAATGGATTTATATTGTATTTAATAATCCGACAGTCACCTTGACATTTGCATTTGCAGTCATTAGGAGCAAGATTGAAGATCATTGATGTTAAAAGTAGAGAAGACCTCACACACATCCTCGCTCTCTTTCTCCTGCAGGTCTGCAGCACTTTGGAAAAGCAGAGGCTTCAGTAGATGAAGTTCAGGCCTACTTGACAGAAACATACTGTGGATGCCTGTCAGTGGAGACCAGCCATCTGAGCAGCCTGGAGGAGAGGGAGTGGTTTGCTGACCGCTTCGAAGAACTCAAGAAGAAGAGTTTCTCCACAGAGGAGAGGAGGCAGCTGGCCAAGATCATGCTGGAGTCTCAGGTCAGCCTGAATAATAATAAGAAGAGACAGTCATTATTTATTGTGCTAATAATGGCGGGTTTTTAAACATCTGTTTGTTTATTATTCTTCTCCATCAAATTTAAGGAATTTGACCACTTCCTGGCCACCAAGTTTGCAACTGTGAAACGTTACGGAGGTGAAGGAGCAGAGAGCATGATGGGATTCTTCTACGAGCTTTTCTATCAGCTAGCGCACAGCGGGGTCACTGACATTGTCATCGGGATGCCACACAGAGGTCGACTCAACCTCCTGACAGGCCTGCTGAAGTTCCCTCCAGAGGTTAATCAGCAGATCACACAAGATACTTTCTAAGAATCACAGCATAATAGTTATAATAATGATTAATTTGTTTGTACTCCACCTTTAAAAATCACAAAGTGCTTTTCAAAGACAGCAATACAAACAAGAGAATAAAATTATCAACAAGAGTCAACAGAAGTTCAAAGTGTCGGCTCACACTAAACAATGCTTTTCTTCATCAATCTTCCTCCATAGCTCATGTTCAGAAAGATGCGGGGCCTCAGTGAGTTCCCTGATACCTCGCCTGCCATCGGGGACGTCCTTTCCCACCTCACCTCCTCAGTGGAGTTGGATTTCGGAGCTGCACGTCCTCTCCATGTGACCATGCTGCCCAACCCGTCCCACCTGGAGGCCATCAACCCAGTGGCTCAGGGTAAAGCTCGAGCCAGGCAGCAGCTGAGGAGAGAGGGAGACTATTCACCTGAAGAGAGCGCACGGCCGGGAGATCAAGTCGTCTGTTTGCAGGTACAGGTTCACAGCAAGTAGTACAACAAAGAAGTCCAAACATGATTATTGATCATTCAGGACTTTATTTTGCTTATAAATCATTTTCACAAAAAATTATTTCACCCACTAAAGGAGCTGTTGATATAATTTATTCCTGTCAGTGTGATATCAAGGCCCAAAATTCTGTTCTCATATCAACTCTAACCTACACAACTATCTTTTTTCGTGACTTTAAGCTCCTTCCTTTCAGACACAGAGAGTGTGAGAGTTATTCTGGTCCGTCATTCACACTGACACTTTTTTTCACTTCCGCTATCAATGTCCCCTTTGGTGTCTTCACTATCACCACATTGCAATTAAAGGCCTACAGGACTTTGTGGTAGACAGCACTGTCCTATTATTGTTCAGCAGCTCTCAATAGAAATCAAACACCCTCAAGCCAAGAGCAGATGTTCAGAGCACAGAGCGGTAATAAAGGAGGTCCTGATCTGCCTACTTCAAGTCAGTGAACCGTCAAAATGACTTTGTTTTCAGGTGACATAGTTTCAAAGTGTTTACTTTGAGGATGTCATGCTTGTTCTTGACAGGACCATAATTCTCAAATATGATGTAAACCTAGTGCCTGGTTCCCTCATGCATGTGGAAACAAGGGAAATAGTGCACTTAAAGGGATATTCCGGCGTAAAATTAAGTTAGGGTCAAACACACCATAACACAGAGTTAGACACCCCTCGAGAGATGAATGTTGCCGGCTGCTTGATTCTCTAGTTATACCAACTTTAGTAACGACCATACAATGGCAATACAGAGCAGTCTATGGAGCCGTGCGCAAACCTCAAACAAAACGCCACTCTACAGCCACAAATAATGCTCAGAACAGCACCTAACTTCATCAACAGTACATATAGGGTCCCAGCCACAGAACTAGCGACCAAACATCTTTTCAACTTTGCCTGATTTCTTGAACAAAGAGACTAAACACAACTCACCCACTCTCGTCCAGCAGCACCTTGTTTGTAAGGAGATCTCAGGCCAGTCCATTACCGCAGCAGGGTGACGCAGCTCAAGAAAGAACATTTATGATCATTTCTTTATCATTTCACCATATTAATCATTTTGCCCTGCAGACGTGGTAGTTCTTCTGCCCTAGCGTCTCAGTCTGATTGCATTTCCATAAAGAAATGGTCTAGTGGAAGAGAGTGGGTGAGTTGTGTTTAGTCTCTTTGCTAAAGAAATCAGGCAAAGTTCAAAAGATGTTTGGTGGCTAGTACTATGTCTAGGACCCTTTATGTACTGTTGATGAAGTTAGGTGCTGTTCTGAGCATTATTTGTGACTATAGAGTGGCGTTTTGGTTGAGGTTTGTTTATGGCTCCTCAGACCGCTGTGTATTGCTATCGTGCGGTCGTTACTAAAGTTGGTATAACTAGAGAAGCAAGCGGTCGACAACATTAATCTCTCAACAGGGTGTCTAACTCTGTGTTACGGTGTGTTTGACCCTAACTTAATTTTATGCCAGAATATCCCTTTAACATGAGAATGAAGCATTACTACTTTGAAAAAAGAGGAATGATGACAGCTTACAAACCCTTTCAGTTTTAGTACAGCTAACTGTTTTTGAATAATTTTTTAGCATATTCATTCACCCAGTTTGCTTAGCTAACATTCTCAAAAACAAATATAAAAACAAGTATATTGGGGACAGCATTGGCTTAAGCAGACAGTATATGCTGCCAAATGCCACACAGAGGTCTTCAAATGATAAACACTTTGATGTAGTAGGTCAGCCAGTAGAAGGTCCAGTCATAATTACTTATGTCAGAAATCCAGTGGTATAAAACCAGAAGTTAAATGAAACCTCCTAATCAAGTCATAATTGTAGCATGTAAACGCACAGACTTTGTCCCCAAAGCTGTAGACCTCCACCATATGTCATTTGAAGCCTTCTTTACTCATGATCCAGAGCTCACACTCTGCAGGAGGTGAAGACGATAAACCCCTCTTGGCCCTCTTCCTGTAAAAAAGCTGATAAACAAGTCTTTATCAACCGTTTTGGAAACTTCAGCACAGTCTCTCCCTCTCCTCTCCAGGTCCACGGTGACGGCTCTTTCACTGGCCAAGGGATTGTTCCTGAAACTTTGACCATTTCAAACCTCCCTCACTACAGGGTGGGTGGAAGTATCCACCTCATTGTGAACAACCAAGTGGGATACACGACTCCATCAGAGAGAGGGAGATCGTCTCTGTACTGCAGCGATGTCGGTCAGTCAAACATGTGAATAACATCTCAGTGGATGAATAGTACGATATAAACAGTATCCCAGAGCAGGTGAAGTGCGTCCTTCTGTTACTAAAAAATGACGCTGGTGTGTGTTGTAGGTAAGATGGTGAACTGTGCTGTGATCCATGTAAACGGTGATGATGCAGAGGAGGTGCTGCGGGCCACTCGCCTGGCCGTAGATTACCAGCGGCACTTCAGAAAAGATGTCATCCTGGATCTGATCTGCTACCGCCAGTGGGGCCACAACGAGCTGGATGAGCCTTTCTTCACTAACCCAGCCATGTACAAGATCATCCGGTCAGTTTGGTGCACACAGTTAACTCTATCACTGCATATTTTCACCATCTTCTACCATGTTATGTGTTTAAAGTACTTTGTGTTGTAGTTATGAAACAGAAAACGTCACTTTGCTGCTCTTTAGATCCCGTAAGAGTGTCCCTGACTCCTACTCAGACCAGCTGATCTCAGAGGGGCTGATGACCGATGCAGAGCGAGGCGAAATCAAATCCAAGTACTATGGCATGCTTAACGACAAGCTGTCCAACATGACCCTGTACAGCCCTCCACCCACCAACTTGCAGGGCCGCTGGGGGGACTTGGTGGAACCGCAGTCCAGAGTCACTACCTGGGACACAGGTGTTCCTGTTCCCCTCCTGCAGTTCGTTGGAGCAAAGTCTGTGGACATCCCTGAAGAAATCCAGCTGCACAGCCACTTGGGGAAGACGCATGTGCAGGTACAGCCAAACTCCTGCCTGTTTCTCATAGATCTTCTCATGCTGAAGTGGCTGCAGCTACATGATGATGTTTTTCATCCTCTGTGAACCTCAGGCACGTTTGCAGAAGCTAGAAGAGGGGACCAAGCTGGACTGGTCAACAGCAGAAGCTTTGGCTTTTGGTTCTCTCCTCGCTCAAGGTCAGTGTTGACACAAAACACATCAGACCACAATTGAAGGTGGGGTAGGCAGGATCTGAGGAAGTGCCAGTTTTTGGGAGAAATCTTGTATGTAAACCCAACCCTTCTCAACCAGTTTTCCCCTCAGCTCCTCCTCTCCCCTCCTTCTCTGCTCCAGCAAGCCCCGCCCACAAACAGACGCTCCTGCTCACTCGCATCGTTTCAATTAAATTCAGATTTAATGCAGTTAGATACTTTAGATGATTACAAACAGGGCCCAGTCAACGTGAAAGTAAAAAGCATTGGTGCTACTGTAGATGCCAACAGACTAGCAGCAAACACAATGTTTGCAGGACTTCTGCAACTAGGATAAATTGACATACTCCAGGACCCGAGGTAAACAGTTTAGCGGCGCTACAACACGCAGCAGGTCCCGTTTGACAAGAAACACTTCTGTTACAGACACTTGGCGTGCTTTGTTGAAGCAGATTACCTGTTCAACAGAAAGGTCACAGGGTCTGTAAGATCGCAAAGCGTCCCCCATTGACCCGGCTTTTCAGCTCTTGTCCAGTCTACCTCAGTTTTTAGCGCCGGTTATTTTACCAGTCTCCAGTGTTTACTTCGTTTTCTTGGTTGTGTTGGCAGTCGTGGCCAAAGGAGGATTCAGACAATTTTCTGTACTTTCTGGTTGGTTTCTACTGTCTGATATTGTAGCATGCTAACTTTGTTTGGGCTTGTGAACGTTATTCATGGAGCGTGCCTCACAACATGAGGGAGCAGCATCCATCTGACAACCAATCAGGTCGGGGCGGTGGAGAACGGCTTTATTTACAGTCAGAATGAGCGGCCTGCTCAAAAATGTTAAAATGTTGACTACACAGACATAAGAGAACACAGTGATGTTGTAATATTCCCAAATGTCATCAATAACTAATAGCCATTGACAGTTATTAAAAACTTTTTTGTATACACACCACAAAAAAAAGATGCTTCTTTAACGGAATCCCTGCCTACCGCACCTTTAAGAGGGATGGGATTTAATTTCTATCCAAAAAAGGGTTTCTATACACTCTTTGTTTTGTTGTTGCAGGTTTTGATATCAGAATCAGCGGACAGGATGTTGGGAGAGGTACATTCAGTCAACGACACGCAATGGTTGTGTGTCAAGACACCAACGACATGTACATCCCTCTGAATCACATCAGCCCTGAGCAGACGGGCTTCCTGGAGGTGAAATCCCCATGAACCAGATAAGATCCCATTTTGTCTGAAGAATGACTCATTATGAAATGTAGGGTGGAGTACTTGATGTGTTTTGTGTGTTCAGGTGTGTAACAGCCCACTGTCTGAGGAGGCGGTACTTGGTTTTGAGTATGGCATGAGTATTGCTCAGCCAAAGCTGCTGCCCATCTGGGAGGCTCAGTTTGGAGATTTCTTCAACGGAGCACAGATCATCTTCGATACCTTCATTTCTGGAGGTAAACCTCTGAACACTCACCCTCATTGTGTAAGATTTTTTGTGAGTCCTCATGCGTCAAAGTAAAACTACTCCATCTTCAGGTGAGGCTAAGTGGCTGCTGCAGTGTGGGATGGTGATCCTGCTGCCTCACGGCTACGATGGAGCCGGACCTGAACACTCTTCCTGTCGTATGGAGCGCTTCCTGCAGGTCTGTGGGACTCTAATGTTTCATCAATGTCAGACCCATTTCAGTAGGCTTCTAAGGTTGACATCCAGGCCTCTGAAAAATCCAACAAAATAAACACTACTGCCCAAATATGTCATTTAAAAAAGAGTGAATACACATGAACCAACTTTTACGCTGCATTACTTTGTGCTTTATTTTAAGCACAGTATCAATATTTTGTTTTTTCGAAACAGTGATTGTCAGTACTGGTCTGTATCAACAACCCTCATCTATACTCAGATGATGGTGAAGCACCATTCGACTGTCATAAATAGTTAGTTGATGTTGTGAAAGACAAGTCTACATGTATCCTGTCATTTGAGGTGCAATAACCACTTTCAGTTTATTGGCTGTTGTTTAATGATACACCAAAACTCCTTTTAAAAGTTTTCATGGAGGTTTAATGTTTTACAGCGGACAGTGTCAGAGGGTAAGCTTTAAAATTACAAGGTGTTTTACAACTTAAAATCATGAAAAGACTTATCGCTGAAAAATGCAGACCAGCACCAGCGCTCCTTGACCCTCAGATGATCCCTGGCAAAATGATTACCTAAAATACTTGTAACAAAACTACATCTTCACAGTGAAATCATATTTAGATAAAATACTACTATCTGATTTCTAATCTACCAACCATCAAATGAAGCAAAACAGGTTGTGATACAGGTATAGCAGAATAGGTACAGGCAGAGCAACACAATGCTCTGCTGAGGATATTAACATGCTACTGATAATAATGTAGATAAAATCACTACAATAATGTGAGAGGTAATTCTTATTTCCTATCTGTCTTAAATAACTAAGATCTCACAGACAGTGTGAGTCTTAAATTGTTATATAGTCAGTATAATGCCTACTATATAAGGGTTTCTACCATAGACTGTATATATTATGGACAACTTGGTTCCGCCTTCTGCCAGTAAACAGATTTTAAGCCGAAAAGCTCTCGGTATTTCTGCGATTTTTCTCCGTTTCCTGAAACCAACATTGCGCAGCACCGTTGTACACATTCAGCAGGAGAGTCACTGTGATGACGCTCAGCTCAAACAGCGTATATCTTCGTACGCCCGTAGGCTGTATCAGGTGTCAATCATAGAAAACATGAACCTCCTCATAACGTTTAAAAACTGAGCTGTACAGAAAAAAGAGGACTTGAGCACAAACCAGTCTTACAGTAACTACATGTCAACATCGCAAGCAGGGGGGAGAAAAATGTATATTCTTTGTAATAAATTTCTAAAGTTTGTCCACAGCTATATAAGGATTGCTGGCGGAGGCAGGATTTATGACCTATACTGCAGCCCGTCACCAGAGGGTGCTGTAGTCATAGTAGCTTCACCTAGTGAGGAGGCAGATGGCGTCCATTCTATATACAGTCTATGGTTTTTACACATTATGAATGAGTTAATATGATGAAAGATTTATTATAACCTGTAGTTCAGACACAAAAAATAGTCTTGACTGTTGTGCTGCACAAACATATTTTGAATTGTTCCAAAAGAAGAGCACAGACCACTTTCCAGTTGTCAGATTTTATTCCTATTATCTTGAATTTTTTAAGTTAACGCTGATGCTCCCTGTCATGCTGCCTCTAACCTCTATTGTCTCTGATCTTGGACATGTTTTTTCCTCAGATGTGTGACAGTAAAGTGGAAGGTGTGGACACTGACACTGTGAACATGGCTTTGGTCAATCCCACCACACCTGCTCAGTACTTCCACCTGCTCAGAAGACAAATGATCCGGAACTTCCGCAAACCTCTCATTGTGGTCGGACCCAAGACTCTGCTCAGATTTTCTGTAAGCACGTGTGTCATGATGAATTCTACTTTTGCGAACTGAAACCTTTAAGCAGGATGAACAGTTCTAACAGATTTGTTGCACTTCAAAGATATTTAGATAGTGTAAGATGGTGCTTTTGAGATATTCACATTAGCTGAGTCATGTTTGTTCTCTTTCAGGGTGCAGTTTCCAGCTTGGCTGAACTGGCTCCAGGGACCTCTTTCAAACCAGTGATAGGTGACACTTCAGTCTCAGCTGGAAGGTAGAAATCTCACTATAACACAACATTTAGCTGTTGCAGTTTACACAGTATAGAAAGATTAGAGACTTCTCTAATGGTGTTCTGTACAGAGATGATTCTCAATGTGGATAAAAGGTTTAAAAGGTATAAACTGCTCTTGGTCTATTTTTGCAAAACTTAACATTTTGAATTAGTTTTGTTTAAAGTAATTGTTAAAAAAAACCTCCTAAAATTGTGGAAATAATTTAAAAGCTCTCTCTTTTTCATTCCATGCAGTGTCCAGAGGGTGGTGCTGTGTTCAGGGAAGCATTATTACGCCCTGCTGAAACAGAGGGAGACATCAGCAGCCAATCAAAACACTGCACTCATCCGCGTGGAGGAGCTGTGTCCGTTCCCTCTGGAGGCTCTGCAGCAGGAGCTTTCAAAATACCCCAACGCCAAAGGTACGTGTGAACCTCCCCCTCACCAAAAAAAACACAAAAATAAAACACACATATTCACTTTACTGTTTGTAGATACGCTGAATGTATCACACCAAGGGTCCAAGTCATTTAATTTTGTTGAGGCATTTCGGATTAATCATTGTTTACTCAAGTGTGTTTCTTTAACACACGTCTTCAGAGACAGATCCTTCCAACCATGTGTGTCGTGCTGAAAAACAATCACAAAAGCAGCTGCAGATGTGAGTCATCGTGAGTTCAGTGCTTTTCAGCAGCATGCAGCAGCCTCAATAGAAGTTTGACAGTCACCTCTTTGAGTCGTGATGCCTGAAGACAGCCTTGACATCCTAAAAAACCAAAAGTTAACACGAGCTCATTAGTTCTTCTTTAACACATACATCTGTAGAATGAGACGCACTGATTGGAAATATCTGCAGGCGCCTTCTGAAGTATACAGTGGGAACAAAGCGGGTGTCAATCCACACTTAATTTGTGATTGCGTCATTTTGTTACATAAAATTTGTGAAATATGAAACCACTGGCAACGGTGTCGACATCTATCTTTTCGTTTGGTTCAACTGTTTGGTTTCTGATTCTTAGAATGTAACAGACAACTGAGGAAGGAAAAGTTCAACAAAGAGATCAGTGGCAACCATGAACAAATAGGGTGAGGAGGTTAGGTTTGGTGAGAGACACAATGAAAGGGTTAGGGTTAGGTTAGTGATACAATGTTAGGGTTAGGGTTAGGGGGTTAGGTTTAGTGAGAGATACAATGTTAGGGTTAGGAGTTAGGGTTAGGGTTAGGTTAGCGATACAATGATATGATAAAGGGGTTAGCGTTAGGGTTAGGTTTGGTTAAAGATACAATGATAGGGTTAGGGTTAGGTTAGAGTTACAATGACAGGGTTAGGGGTTTTCGTCTATGAAACAGATTCTCTTTAAAAGCCTTTAAGGATTAAGAAAAAGAAATGTTTTAGTGTTTTTCATAAGTGAAAATCGTAGGGAATAATCAGATCAACTGTAGCTGTATTCCTGTAAGTGGATACAGCCATAACAACTATTTTTACAGGAATCCAAACCAAACAAATCAAGACACAAAACACAACAGACCCTTTTCACTGTTTTAAAAAGTGAGAATAACAACACAAACAACCAAACCTCGGTTGCACCACAGTCATAGATTCACTGCAGTGGTAGGTAGGTAGGTAGGTTGAGTAACCCACCTCTGGACGTCCGGTTGTCGTAGGTGAGGAGGAGAAGTTTTGTTCTCATGCTGATAGTTTCAGTAATATGCATGGAGCAAAGGTCATGGTGATGTATGGAGGTTTCTACTTCTCAAACAAAACCTGAAAGTTCAGTTCTCACTTCAGTCTTGGGATTCATTGTTCCCCCCTCCTCCAGAAACACTGTCACGTGAACCCAGTTTCAGTTTCATCCAGAGCTTCTCCTTTGTGTTTAAATCACTCAAAAGTATTAAAAGAGAAAGTGACTTTTGTGTGGATTCACCTCAAACAAAACAGTGAATTGTCCCTTTTTCATGATGCATCAGTCACGAGTTTCAATAACTTCTTCCACAGAGTTTGTTTGGAGCCAGGAGGAACCTCAGAACATGGGTCCCTGGTCATTTGTAGCTCCCAGGTTTGAGCAGCAGCTGGCTTGTAAGGTATGTCGTGTTTCTCCGAATGCGGTGTAAAGACGAACAGCTTTGAGAGCAAAAGACGACTTCGTCAAAACTCAACTTGTCGCCTTTGTCACCCTCAGCTCCGGTTAGTGAGCAGACCTGCTCTGCCAGCCCCTGCTGTCGGCATTGGAACCCTCCATCACCAGCAACAAGAGGCCATCCTCACTGCTACCTTCTCCTAACACTAATCAATACTGGAATCAGTCACAACCAGGACAAACATATCAGTGAAACGCTGACTGGATCTGCAGCAGGCCTCTCAATACTATCACCTTATGTCCTGCTGCAGAAACGAAGAAAACCCAAGTGCTACAGAGAATAGTTTTGATGGTTTCATTTACATTTATTTACGTAGTCAGGTTGAATCTTGTCTGCACCTATCTTTCTTTTACTGGGTCTGTTGTCTTTCTCTGTATACAAAGCAACACTGCTTTAAAAAACCCTCCTCATTCTGTCCTAATCTAAATTGCCGCCTATGGGACAATGTTTACAATGTGATTGCGGTGATGAAGCACTTGAGATTTAAATAGCTGCTCCATACAGTCTGCTTGAATTGTTAATTTCCATCCAGCTCTTAACAGAAAACATCATCATAAACTGAAGGAAGGTTTTGTGCATTATCCTCCCAAGGTTTATGTGGGAGTAGGTGAGTGACCAGGTAGCTCACCCGGGAGAGGACGTGTCATGTACGAATAAGGAGACCTCACTACAAGGGCTCAGGTTTCAGGGCCCTGAAGAATAATCGTATAAACGAACGGGAGTACTTGTAACTGGATTTCTGAACTAACAAAGAGAGTTGTTACCATTTTGATGTTGAATCTTTATCCAAGCTTGAATTAGACGTATTTGGACATTTCATGGTACAAATTTAGCTTTAGCATGACTTCATTATTATCATTATTTATTCATGGTTTAAGATGAGGATGATTTTAAAATGACAACACTAAAGGGCTAATGTATATAAAGCTAATTACAATACACAAAAAAATATTTTCAAATAAATCTATTTTCAATTTTATGTGTCATGTTTATCTTTTCTTTTTAACAAATTGGTCGAGCCGGCAGGGGATAAACTACTATTCACTACTTTCATGTGAGTATAAAAGTGTTGAATAGTAAATTTTGTATAGTTGAGAGAGTGTTTAATATCCTTTTCTGTAGTTTTTTATGCTGCTGTGGTAAGAGTCACACTAACCAGAAAAAATGTTTTTTTCACTAAATTGGTTTATGATAAATGTTAAAGAATCAAGGATAGTGGTGGATTAACCCACAACTCTTTTACTGCTTTACTTTTATAGTCTATTATTCTACATAACATTACGTTCATATTGAGCTCATGTAAGGATAAGACTAAAATTACAACTGATGCAGTGATGTGGCCCACAGCTAAGCAGACCATCAATGAAAAGAGCGATGACTTCCACAGTTACTTAGCATGTCCCTCACCCCTGCTACAAACCGTAGGTGTTAAACAAGACAGTGAAAAGCACATTGCAGAAACAATCTCCTCAAAGGTCTAAATTATTCACAGAAATGTACATTAGATATAAAGAATAAAACATGTTTTTTTTTTTTTTTTTTATCAAGGTCGGAGAGCTACCTCCACAGACGAGACGGGATCAGTGGAGACATCAAAAAGTTCCCTACAGGAGCTTTAAGTGTTTCTGGTCTGTGAGCATTAGTGTGATGTATCAGTCACACATTGATGCCACAGAGAGATTAAAATGATATATTCAAGGGTCAGGTAAGATTATTTCATCTTTGGTTCCACATTTTGTTTAAAATTTATTTTTGTTAATTAACTTTGGTTTAGTTGTCCATGCAGGCCTGATATTGATCAGTGGTGTAAGGTCAAAGTAATACAAACATTATTGGACTTTTACCTCATTGTTTTAAGAGTTGTAAGTAAGCAACACCTTTTAAAAAGAGGTGAATAAAATGAGACTATGGTAATAATGTCTGAGACCAGCGACTAATCTCACTTGATGCCTAGTGTTGGTATCTGATTCTTGATCTTGTCCAAACAAAAATAATGTCACCAAACAGAATCACATATTAAGACTCCATCTACTTGGATAGTATACTCTTAAGTCTGGCTTCACACTTTTACATTCCTGTATTTAGACTCAGGCAGACCGGTCCAGTCATCTCTTATAAATGGTAACTTTGTGACTCCTAAAACATCTGAAACAACCAGTATTCCTGCAGACAGAAACAAGATTGATATCTAACTCAGAGCCAAACAAACCAACCCAACCAAAACAGGACTGGATGAGATTACCTCAGCTTTCAGGAAATTCACTGATGAAAATAGCAGCATTTAGGTCAGCGCAAAAACTATTTTCAGAGGGCGTTTCCTGTTAGGAGAGAGTGTACCCCTTAAGTTCGAGGAAATGGTCTGCTGTGTTCTTCAAAAGATGTTCAAGCATTGTTACAGTACAAATCAGATGTCTGAAACAAAACAGTTTATTAAGTTATTTTTCCACTGGAAACAACTGCAGATTTTTGCTGCAAATTCCTTTTAACCTCAGATTCCCATCCAGGATTGGGAATTGAGGTCTTTTGGATGAGTTGTCAGCCCATCTATATACTGGATCTATGAATATTGTTTTTTTTCCCCACAAACACTTAAAGTCTTGTAACGTGTTTATTACCACTAAAAAGTTAGTCAAAGAAAAGATTTTTTTCCCCCTTTATGCTGACATACAGTATTACCGCAGCCAGCTGGACTTAAATTGAACATCTGCTAAAAAGTAGGACTTTGAAGTATGTTTTAGTTAAAGGAAATTGATCATGTGACCAAATATTCAGGAGATGTGCATCAATTCATGGAGTCTGTGTAGGTTAGAAGCACATGGGTGAAGGGGTTAGACATTTATTTCCAAAAACAAACATTTTTCACTCTTGAAAGTTAATTTATTCTGTCCTAAGTTTTATTAGAATTGTGTTCAGACCAAAAAAGATCATTTTAAATTTATTTTATACATCAATTGTGGTATCTATGAGCTTCAACATGAGGTAAAAAACCTAGCATGAAAGTCCACCATTTTATCTTAGAGGACTGATAAAGTCATTATAGTAGTTCAGGGGTAAGTTGAGTCAGTGACTCAACTGAGAAAGTAAAGAAGTCTGATGAGAGGATCAGAGTTTCAGTTCAGATTGTTGAAATGTGTTACTGTTTCTTTTCACAAATACAGCTGTGAATGTTCTGAATCACTTAAAGACATTCTCATGTTAAAATGGCTTTTTACAAAACAGCTTTTTATCAGTTATATGAATTAATGATAATAAAAAAGAATTATTGTACCAGTTGAATGGCGTATAGTAGATAAAAATACACATGAACGTAAAGAAGTGACTGTTATTTAGGGAGAGAGAAGGTGTGGTCAACGTACCCCATACACATTTATATTACCAAGACAGTTATGTTTACACTCATTCTGTTGGTTTGCAGGGATGCACGACATCCTGAAATATATGCAGATACACTAGTTAGAGACAAAAATATGATTGACTTGATGTAGTGATCAGAAATATGAAAAATGTCTCATCTTACCCCACTCTCCCCTACTGTGCATGGGTGCCTTTTTCCACCCAGCTACGCCCCTTTCCTTAAATTACACCTCCTCCAATGAGACCATCTGACTTAGTTTTCATGAGAACTAATTTCACCAGAACTAGACTCTGACTTCTGATCGTTCCGGAGGAGTTTGCACCGGGTTAGAGTGATTTGGTGCAATGCGAACACTTAAATGCTTCATTGTGCACGCTGCTGTCAGATAGATAGGCGGGAGCAGCGAACCTCCCACTCCTCCTATTGCTATAACAACCAGAGGGAGGGCGGTGTGACTCCACGCCACAGCAGCAGCAGCACGGCTCGGATGCAAGTACCAGGTGTCATCCTCCTGCAAGTAGCTGCTCGACTTGAGCTCACCGTTTCACCGAGACTGAAACTGGTCTGGGAAAACCAGTGAGCAGGAAGAGGAAGAAGAGGGGGAGGAGGGAGAGAGAGAGACAGAGAGAGAGAGAGAGAGACTGTGTTTCCCCTGTCACAGTGATCTGAACAGTGGGGAAGCTCAGACTCGGGATCCGCTACGTCAAAGAGATTAGTGAAATAACCTCTCAGGGTAGGACAGACAGACAGACATACCTCCCCTCCTCCTGGCTGCATGTACGGGACTGAGGAAGACACATAGAGATCCGGGAAAACCCTTGACGAGAATAGAGAAGTACACTACTTTTCTCTTCTTTTTTTTGTTTTTGTTTTTTTTTTTGTCTGGCTGAAAAGATCCTCCCGGTCGGTGGCTCATCTTCTCTTGTCCTCCCCCCCACCTCCCCGGTGCGAAATGGCGAAAGAAAACGGCGATGGGTCTTGGAAAAAGCATGTCGATGATATCAAGATGATATTTGACTTCAAGGAAGTCCTTGGGACGTGAGTAACAAGACAATACAGCCTCACAGGCGACAACAAACTTTGTGTGAGCAGTCAGTGAACAATGACACATTGTGGCTGGTTTAACGGAAATGGAGAGCAGACTGACAGCTGTTGAATATTCACAGAGAGACACGCAGGGCCTCTGAGAGGAGATGGGATGTAAATAAAACACGATTATTATCAGAGAGAGAGAGAGTGTGTGTGAAAAATCCTACAGGCATCGTTTTAACACTTCATTCACAAACTACTGCAACCAACCAGCCTGTTTGTTAATCTCCTCATAGATCACATCGTGTAGTCTTCAGAGAGCTTTTGTGCAGGCACTCATTTATTGTGGTCGTTTTTGTTCCACAACTGAGACAAAGACAGCAGGGCCTATTTGCATACACAAATGATAAAATGAGCTCTCAAATGAAGACACCATCTGTGATCTGACTTTGTGTTCTTGCGCTCAGTCTCTCCCCTTCCCTCAACAGAGAAACAGATTTGAGCTGAGAAACATTATGTCTGGGTTTACTTACTGTTTGTACAGTTTTACAGGGGGGCTGATCTGCAGCTCGGTTTCATGTGTTTTGTTGGGTGTACTTAAGGGACCACTATAAGTTATTCTCCTGCTCTTGGATCACAGAGCAGACGAATTCCAGAGTTTATTTTGGTCCTGCTGTTAGTGCTGCTTGACTTCACATCTTTTTCTACTTTGAATAAGTTACGCAGCAAAAAAAAAAAAAAAAAAAAAAAAAGAGTTCTCCTGATAAAGGAGGCCCGGTCACAGCCAATCTCCTGAACGACTTCTTGGTGCACAGATTGGACATTTAGGAGAGCATGGTTGTTATTTTCTGCTGCTTTTTTATCCCCTGGAGACGTTTGCGTTCTCACTACAAGAAATCTAATGTGATGATGTTTGGATTGTTTGGAGAGTCGAGGTTTTCCTCAGACGAGCCTTCCATTGTCGCTTACACTCATCTCGATTCTCCATACATTTCGCCACTTCGTTGCTACTCTGAGCTCCTGCATCCTTCTTGATTTTGTCCATGTATGATAGTGTAGGACGTCCTCTTGACCGATGCCCATGTGTTGGTTCCCACAGCACCAATTTGCTGGCTGGCAGTTCCCGATGCCTTTGGTAGTGTCCTGCTAGTCTCATTCTCCTTACAGCAATCTTCTCGCTCACCCTTGGTATTCTGTTGGTTACACGTGCGTTCTTGCTGATGTTAAGCACTGCATGCAACATCCTGGTGTAGCACCCATCTAGGGATTTCTCCAGGGTTGGCTTCAGGGTCCAGCATTCACTGCCATAGAGGAGAACGGACTCTACTGTCTCGTAGAGGAAGCTGAGTTTAATTTGGCAGGGGAGGTTGGAGAAGTGTGATAGTTGTTTGGTTTTTGTAGAGGTAGAGCGGTCGTCCAATAACCGGAAGGTTGGAGAAGTGTGATAGTTATTCGGTGGTCCAATAACCGGAAGGTTGGCGGTTCAATTCCCTTTCCTGAGTCTGTCCATTGTGTCCTTGGGCAAGACACTTAACCCACCTTGCTCCCAGTGTGTGTCCTCCACTGGTGTATGATTGTTTGTGTAGAGACTGTAGGCGCAAACCAGCAGCCATGTTTCTGTCCTTCAGGGCAACTGTGACTACTAAGGTAGTTTACCACCACCGAGGTGTGACTGTGTGAGCGAATGAATGATGTATCCAATGTAAAGCGCTTTGAGGGTCTCTGATAAAGCCCTATATGAAATCTGATGCATTAATTTTGTTAAAAAATGTGCTGTCAAACATGGATGTAGACACCCTTTGGTTTGCACGTGTTTATTCCACCCCATTATGTAATAACTTCATCGTCTCTTCTCGGTTGACTTTGTCATCCTCTCGTTTAGTGGGACGGTGCAGCTCAGCATGATCCCGGACCTGTTTTTTCTTTCTAAGGAGCATCATCATAAAAGTGTCTCACAGATTGATGATTCATAAAGCTCCCTCAACACTTCAGCTGTTGCTCTAAACAGTCAGACGCTCCTACCTGGAGGCAGCTCTGATTTCCCCAAGGCCTTCATTTATGTGCGAAGAGCCTTTGAATAACACCAGTGAATCATAGTGATTTACCGTCCACACAATGGCAAGGTTGGAGGAACACACACATGTATCCCTCGCCCACATCTTTGGGCCCAGTGTGTCACTGTCTTGGCCCTTCTGCTACACGTTGTACAGCGTGTACTCGCCCTGATTGATTTTGAGTAAGTCCCATTTACAAGTTCCTGTGTGTGTTATTCAGGGAGTGCCTTGATGCTCCACAGCGGGGTTCAAAACAGGCCACCTGGGACAGAAAAGCCCAGCAGCCTTGCAGCTTTACTTAAGGATTAAAAATGGACGAGGAAAGACTGTTGGTTGGAAAGGGAGACGTAGATTATCCTCCTCTTCCTTTTTTTTTTCCTGTTGCTGCTCCACCTTTCAACTGTAGGTTCCATGTCTTGTTTCCCAATTCGGGATCATCCCTTAGATAGTTTGTTGTGCCAAATGGGAGTCGGTCATTTCAGCAGTTACAACAAGTCAGTACAATGTTGAGGTGGTACTTCAGTTTAATGTTATTCTTAAGTTTAATTTTACCACAATAGCGAGGGGAACGGTGCCAGAGCAGTAGAAACTTTTCAGACACAGTATTTGACAAACCTCCCAAGTTTAAGGAGCAGCAATCAAAACATTTCGAGAAGAGGTTCGTTCTTGTCATTTGTGGTTATTCACTGTGAGGTGAAGCAATGTTTCTCAAGGACCAGGGTGCCGCTTTTAACAACATGGAACCGCATGAGAGGGTGCAGAGGCAGCCAAGGCTACACAGACAAACTAAAGACTATGATGAGCGCTCCATGTGTACCCGCTTAACTACTTCACCAACAGCAAGAGAATCTGCAAAATTAGAGAAACAGCACAAACTTGTCAGAAAAAAACACATCCTGTTTTAAAAATGGTTTAAAAGTACTTTGTAGTACATTTGTTTTTGCATTTTTGCTGAATTTTAACTGTCGGACTTTGAAGTGTTAGTGTATTTATATACTGTATTGTACCTAAAGACCTCAGCGATCACACCTGTTTGATCAGATGATTTTCCAAAGTTAAGTTTTTCATCTAAAAGTTATAGAGACACCAATATTCATCTCCCTGGATCACAAGGATATGCCAATTTAAAAAAGCCGCACTCATGAAGATCGAAGCACAAAAAGAAAAGATCCAATAATACCATGAGGCCAGGCTGTGTGAGTTCGTGTTCGCGCCTGTGCGAAAAGTTATGACTGATAAGATATTGATGGAGGTTCTGGAGGAGGACGCCTGCAGCAGTGACCATAATTCTTTGGCCACACTTCCTCCCTGTGTTTTCTTTAGGTTAGCTGTTGTTAGCTAATGAGATCTTCACCACTGAAGCCCGAAGTCCTCCTGCCTCACTGGCTCTTGCCTCGCGGCTAATTTCAGACCCTTAAGCTGTTGATACTCTGTGGAAGCAAATTAAGTAACCTGACCACACAAGCACCTTTACAGATCCCAGAAGAGACAGCATTGTAAATACACAAGGCAGGGAGAGTTGTTACTCACAGTGTGGGTTATTGTCATACACAGTTTATGGTTCACCTCGACATCAGAACCAGCTTGACTTAGAAGGATATGACAATCTGATAATTAATTAGCCATTTCTAGGGTAACTACCCCTGAGAGTGTTTTTAACCTCATTTTATTTCTGTATAATTAACTTCATGTTGCACCAGTCAAAAACTCTGTCATGAAATGAAACATAGCACCAAAGTAAACCCATCATGACTTTAAGATATCAGCCATAGAAAACAGAATTTCTGAATCATAATGTACATGAGTCACACAATGGTCAAAATTTTACAAGCTATGGCTCAGTATCGCTGTTGGTTTGTTATTTATCACTAGCAGTGTGTATGTTTGAGCCAAGATTAGCTCATCAGTGTTTTTTTTTGGCAATAAATAGTAAGAAACAGCAGCAGAGAAATTCCAAAGATAATTCTGAAATCCTACTGACAATGGGAAATGTACTTGTAACTTTTAGAACATACGTTCTGACGGTACAGGGCTCATCGTTGCAGTTCCCTCTCCCTTTTTTGTTTTGTTAACTAACGTTGAACTTACTGCTCAAATCGTAAAATATAAATATATCTTGGGTCATAAAAATCTTTCCCTACTGGAGGTGTATCATTGGTTGATCTGTGAAAATCTCTTAGTATTGGGAACAGTTCTTCTAGTAATTATGATCTCAAATGTACTTAAAAAAGCAAAATTGCAAGCAAACAGCCCACTGTCTAGTTTTCTTTTAGACCTAATTTCAACCGTCTAGATTCTGTTTATTTTTTACTCAACAATATTTTTATTAGTTTCATACAGATTAATACAGAACATCTCTTGAAAGAGCACAAGATACAAAGGAAACATTAATCACAAACACCCCCTTTCCCTCAAAACCTTGTCTACTGCTGGGTATTCCTATTACTGTGCTTAAATAAGGAATCCTGGAGCTAAAACAAAAAAAAAAAGAAACAAGTAAGTGCTGGAATTCAGGTTTTGTAGATCTTGAAACATATAAGACGTTGAGAAATAAAAGGTAAAAAGAAAATAAGTTAAATGAACTACTGTACGTTAAGAGAAATACATATGTAGACAAGTCGCTGAAAACTGAAAAAGTCCAGAAAAGAGATAAGAATTTAAACTGTATGATCAAAAAACATCACAGATATTTCAAAAAGAAAACAGCTAGAATAGGAGAGTGGATTCTGTATATTTTTAGATGGAATTCAGGCGTTGCACTATAACTCATTATTAGATAACTATTTATTTTAAAAAACAACTGTGAGTTACATAACTGATCTCCAAGTACTTAACCAAAATAATTATGATAGCCGTTGAGCAAAAAATGGTCAGTGGGCTGTTAAACCTCGGTTAGCCAGCAAGTCTAAACTTGGTTTAAATCTAGACGTCTAAAAAACTTTCATTTTTAGACCCGTGGCAGCCTGATTTTAGACCATTCGTTAAGGCTACATTTAGACGTCTATTAGACCTCTTTTAGACCAAAATGGCATCATCCGTCTGTCAACAATTTTACACTCAACCCTCTTTTTTCCCTGTTTTTGGCCCAGCAGCCCCTTAAAGATGTTTAGCTCTTAATCTGCCACATGCAGATGCTAATTGTTCCACTGTGTTCATCAGCTTGTGTTTGATGCTCCACAGAAAGTGTACTGTGAGTTTGATACAGTTATAGAAAGTCTAACAACAATACTTTCTATTTGCATCCTTGTCAGGTATCACTGTCAGATAATACTCTACTTAAGATGTCCTCCGCTAGTCCCCACTCACAGTCCAAACACAGCTTAGCTTCAGCTGACTCATCCAGGTCATTTTTTGGTCAGCCATCGCCGTTTTTTTTGTTAACTAAAAAGAAAAATATCCATTTTTAAATTGCATGTATAATGAATGAACTGCCCTCTTTCACAGATACTAATGTAAAGCTTCAAATTAGATCCTGCCTCAATGCATTGATCATTTCCTCAAACACAGTCTGTGTGTATTGACGAGTTGGGTCCTTGATGCAGTAAAAATGGCAGCTAGGCAACGAGGATGATGGGAGTCCTTAGCTGCTCCCTCCGAGGAGACACGACCAGTTCCTACCACTGCCCTCCTGCTATGAAATAATTTGTCACCAACCATTACAACGCCGAGTTATATAAAGTACTAGTTGTATGTTTAATGTGTAGTCATTTTCTTATCTCCATCTGTATTCTTGCCCCCCTCGCTGTCGTGAATGCCTACAGAGGCAGAGTGCCGGGTCCCCGCTGCACTTACAAAGCTGAAGTGCAGCAGTCTGCCTTGTATCAGAGCACAGGAGGCAGTAATCACCCTCATTAAAATAATTCGGCTGCTTTCTGACAGGCTTCTCAGTGGATCTTGACAGGTTTCTACCAAGCTTTTACCTCCAGAGTCTAAATTTTCTATTGTTGGTGTTGTAAGAGTGGCATTAGCTCTCATCAGCATGTAACTGACCATCTTTTATGCATTTTGATCAGCAGTGTGTTGATAACAAAGTGCAAATTCCTGGAAAGTAGCCGCGGGTCTTGTGCGCTGTTGGGTAATTGTTTCCTGCGTCGGATTCTGTGACTGCTTTGTTTGATTTTGTTCGTATTATTTTGGAGGGTTTTAATCTGCAAGATCAGAGCAAAGCTGAAAAGACAGACAACCATTGTCGGCTAATCGTCACCACAACAGAAATTTTGACAATGTTATTAAAGAAACTCCATCAATCCAACCATCACAAACGCTCTACGTTTAGATCCATTAATGTAACATTGGAATGCAGCTGATACTGAAATCAGCAGACGTTGGGCTTCTCCTCTTGGTTGACATTAGTGTTACTGTATGAGAGTAACTTTATGTTGGGTTTCACTGGGTTTTGGGGGTTTCTCTCTCCTCTCCTGAACTCTAAATGTTAAGTGAGAATGGTTATCTCGAAATGTCAGCCTGGCGGCCTGTTCAGGTGTTCCCTGTATCTCACTGAATGACAGCTGGGATAGGCCCCAGTACTGGATGGATAGGTCTGTATTTGTCAGTATACTGGTCGCTAGAAAGTCAATGATAACTCGTTTAATTCTGATGAAAGTCAAGAGAAGGTTGTGAATGTTTGTATCATTGCTTTAAAAAAGACTTAAATGGGTATTCCGATCACTACCAGCTGTCTGCCAGTTATTTATTTAACTTTTAATTTCAGTTTTAGATCAGCTGATGAGAGGAGAAAAACTCCATATTAATCTGCCCAGCTGGGGTGTCCTGATATAGCTTTTTAAGTACAGTACAATACCGATATTGTAGCCTTCAGTATTGGCTGATACAAACTCATGCATGACAAGTTTTGCACTCTGCTTCAACATCTCTCGGACTTGAATGAAAAAACACTGCCACACGCCGACATCACTCCTACTCCTTGCTTTTTTGTTGGTACCTTAGTAAACACTGTTGTTGTGATCATGTGGGCTCTGCATGCTGGATCCAGGCGCTGCTAGATAGAGGTGCTGGAACAAAGTCTGAAATGGACTGCTTGTATCTGAGTGCTTTCATTGGAGATTTTAGATGCAGGCTGATATAATCCAATATTAGTTTTTGTTGATATTGGACCCATATAAAATTTGGTCCACTTTGATCAAAACAGACCATATGTATCATTATCACTCACTGTATTTGTATCAGCATTTAGGCGACAATTTAGTGTATTCTTACATTATTGTTATCCTACCTTTTATTTAACAGAGAAATCTGAATATTTACTTCATCAATTACCGTAAAGATCTTTCTTTGATATGGGTGAATAAAAGTGACTTTATTCAGACAGTTTAGTGAAAACTGATCATAGTAAGAGGTCAGCAAATGTCAAGTTAACAAAGTCACTGAGTTAACCAGTCTGTGCTTAAAGGGATATTCCGGCGTAAAATGAATTTAGGGTCAATCACACTATAACAACGAGTTAGACACCCCCTCAAGAGATGAATGTTGCAGAATCATTACTTTATCATTTCCTTGAAGTAATAGTCATCATATTAATTGTTTTGCTCTGCAGACGCAGTAGTTCTTCTGCCTTAGCATCTCGGTTTGATTGCATTTCCATGAAGAAATTATCATAAATGTTCTTCCTTGAACTGCGTCACCCCACTGCAGTCCATAATGGACTGGCCTGAGGTCTCGCTACAAACAAGCGGCTGTTGATGAAGTTAGGTGCTGTTCTGAGCATTATTTGTGGCTATAGAGTGGCGGTTTGGTTGAGGTTTGTTGGAATATCCCTTTAAGCCTAAATTTTAAATGGCTGATTAGCTCAATAACAAACTAAGCTAACAGAATCCCTGCTAATAAGGTAGTCACAGGTATGGCTAATACCTTTAGAACATGAGTTAAACAGCAAATAAAGTTAGTTTAATTTCTTTCTTCACATACTGTGAACATTATTTTTCTGCAACAGTGATCCCACCATCTGTCCTGTGTCTGCTTGGAGCTGTTATTGCCCCTGCTGATAGGTGACTTTGAACACTGTGGGTTACCTTGACTGTATCTCTCCCTGGATTATCAAGTCTCCTCTTTTCCAGCCCATATGTTGCGTAACGGGCCGATGTAATGCATCTCACACGGGATGACTCACTGTGATTACTCAGCAAACTTTGATAACTGCGCCACCTGTAAATGTCAATAAGCCAACATCAGCTGTGAGACCCTCACCTCCGCCTACGCCATAGGGAAAAAAAAAAATCCACCATTAGCAGTGTCCTGTATGTCATAATCTCTTTGAGTTTGCAGCCGGAGAAAGTTATCTCTGATGGCTTTGCTCTGCATCTGCAGCATCAGCCACAGCTTTTGCAGAGAGAGCAGCCCACATTCACATCTCACATTAGTCAGCCCGTTTGGCTTCCCCGCCCTGTAAGTGTAGTGGTGTTGTGTGACTCCAGATTGTCACACACACACACACACACACACACACACACACACACACACACACACACACACACACACACACACACACACACACACACACACACACACACACACACACACACAAGCACACAGCTCATACTGTCATCCAAGAACTGTGAAGAGGGAGCTCTGTGTCTCTGGGAAGAATTTAAAATTCAACTATTATTATTCAACCAGTGAGTCAGTGCGCTGGCATGATTGTACAGTCTGTGACACGGGGTCAGGGGCATTTTGCAGCCATACAATCATATTTATCTCCTGTAATAGACTGAGATGAGCCTCTGTAACGGTCAAATATAGATGGAGCTTTGGTACAGATCATACCAAGGATTACTGTATAGATGGATTCAGTGTGCGAATAGGGTATAATAGGGTCAAAGTGATGATGTTATGATGAAGAATACTTGTTACAACATTTCCAGTACTTGGCTCTTTCACTTGATTCATTTATTTGACCAACAATTCTAAGATTGTTGATTAAAATAAAAATCTTAATTCTCAGAGAGGGAAACATCAGATGTTGAAACCACTTACCAAAATAGATGAATGGGCTCATCTTTGTGGTTTTTGCATATATGCTGCTAAAGCTTTTGTTTGTATTTACGCATGTCTGTCTGTATGTTTGTATGTACGCATATAAGGTTTGTGTATTCTGATGCAGCAGGTGGGCAGTAGCATCACCATATGCACGTCTTGCGCAGATGTCACACTTTTTCTTTCCGGTAAATGAAGCACTAATAGATTGCTTGTTAACAGAACTGCATTATTGAAGCAGCATGATTTATACATTCACACAGAGTGAGGGAAGTCACAGATACGGATACTGTCATGTTGTCATTCACAGGAAGTGATACTGCTGCTCTTCAATGTGGTGAACAGGGGGCAGAAATGGCGCTACATGCTCTAACCTCCCTCTAAGTGAGTTCACAGGTTTCCTGTGGTTTTCGTCATAGTGTCTTCTGTTGCAGAGAGCAAAAAAAAGAACTACTCTCTGAAAAAGCAGAAGAAAAAAAAACATGCAAGAGAGACCAAGACTTACTCTTGCCTCTCTGAAGTCCACACAGCTGCAAGAATCAGTTGCATGTGCTGAATGAAAATGACGCTTACTGTTCCTGAAGCAACAGCTGCGGTGGGAAGATAGTGCTGTAACAGACCAGAGGGTATAACACTGACTCTATCACTTGGATTTACGTACAGCCCCACATTGAGAGTCAGAAACGGGTCAAAGTCAGAGGGGTAGTTCCTTCAAGCCCTCCCAGCAGTGTTTGTTAGCTGTCTGTGTGCCACACCTGGGGCCGGCTTCGTAACCAGCAGGTAGTGTGTGTATACACAGTCTGTGTTTATGTGTTGTGGCTCTGGCTGACCCTGCCACCTCTCCCCACTGTGTGATGGCGGAGGAGAGGATTAGCGTGGATTTGATGGCCTCGGTGGGACTTAGTGCACTGAGCGGAACTGAGTTTAGTGCCTGTTGGGAGGAACTGATTACACTTTGAGGACATAATGGACCTTTTGATTGTGGCCGCCTTGCTTTTTGTGGGGCAGAGGATCACTTTAGGTGTGTTTCTCTGTTGTTACTTTTATTTTTGATAAATGCTGATGATCCAACACCTATTTATGATAGAAATGAAGGGAGGCAGAGAAGGGCAGCAGGCAGCCTGGTTTTAAAATAATTGCTGCAATTTGGACTTCAACGGGGAGACTAGAAGCTTCTCACATTGTAAAACCATTAATGACATTCAGTGTGGGGGGGACAGAAACTCAGACACAGTGACAAAGTATAGCAGAGGTTACTTTGTTGTGAATGATATATCAGAGACTACCACTGCAACTCTCTGGGAGGCATTCAAAGCCGACCTAAGAGGTTGTGTAATTTCATTTGAAGTCTCTTTGAAAAAAGAAAATAAGACCAAACTAACAGATTTAAAAACACAAATTAAACCACTAGATAAGAAAAACGCTCAATCTCCCTCATCTGTTATGTATAATAAAATCGCAGTGTTGAAATTTGAATATAATAAAATTACATCAGCAAATATTACTAAGAAGTTTCTGTATGTCAGACAGAAATACTTTGAATTTAGTGACAAACCCCTAAAATTACTAGCTTTAGAAAAATGGAAAGTGACCAAACAATACATAGGATAGATAACCAGAACAATGCAGTCCTTACTAGGGCTAAAGATATAAATGATAGTTTATTAAATTCTATTCAAAGCTCTAAACATTAAAAAATACAGCAGACCCCACATTAATGAAAACCTTATTAGATAATTTCAACCTTCCCAAATTAAATGAAAAATGTGAAATTTTGAATTCTGAAATATATAATAATTCACTAACAATCACTTCTCCATCTGCTGATGTCTGTAAGACCAAATGGGATGAAGAACTTGGTTCTATAATCCCTGCTGACCTATGGTAGGAGAGTTTAGAGTTTATACTCACCTGTTCATAAAACGCAGGACACTGTCATGTTAAAGTCAAAATGTACAGAAGTTGCACTACTCAAAGAAAAAGCTATACTCCATATATTCAGATACATTTCCAATGTGTGGTGAATATTATGCTTCAGTAGCCAATCATCATCATACCTTTGTACTTTGTCCCAGGATTCAGGGTTTTGAGATGGATGTGTTTTGTATAATATCCAAGGTTATGAACACCAAAATAGAACCAGAGTCTCTGCTCATTATTTTTGGCTTATCTGAGTCCTTTAAGAGGCCGAGCAGGGCTCAACAGCGCTTTGTCTCATACTGTCTCATTATAGTGAAAACATTGTTATTGATGCTATGGAAGGGTGCGAGGGCCCCTACCTTTAAGATGTGGTTGGATGACTAGATTGGTATGCTCCACTTGGAAACGATAAGATATACTGTTAAAGACAAACGCTCCCAATTCAATAAGATTCAGGGTCCTCTGATATCATTATTGTGAAAACTGTGGTGGTTGTGACATTATGATGTATCTAAGAGTGAAGGATGGTCTGGGGTCAGTTTTGTTTTTCATTTTTTTGACTACTTTTTGATTTATTTCTTGTTCTTATCATTTTATATAATTGCCTTGAGTTTTGGTTCTGTAAGTGGATAATATACCTGTACAAAAATAAAATGAGACTTAACTTTATCAAACCAATGTATTTGATACTGATTTGCTCAATGAATATTAACTTTGGAAAAAAAAAGTATAGCCGAGGTTATGAAGAGTAACAACCTCCTCAGTTATTATCAAAGCTGCAGAAAACCACAGATTCAACACAAATGGGACTTGACTGAGTCATACTGTAAATACTGACAGTGACAACATGAATATTAAGTAACATGTACAGATACACTATTAGTAGATTATAAATACATCTTCTTAATGCATTTCAAAGAAAGACAGAAAGAAACAACCTCAGGCAAAGTGAACTTACCATCCATAAACTAAATATATGTACCTAAGTTCTTCTTGTCTATTCACTTACAAATCTCTGCATGGGCTGCTAACGCTGTGGATGAATAAAATAACATAATTAAGAGAAAAAGTCAGAAGAAATTCACAACCACACATGTAGATGGAGAACTACACATAGCTCTTAAACTGAATATTTTATAAGGAAGATGAATTGGACTGGAGACCATCACTTCAGAAAAATCCATATTTTTTGGCCTCAGGCTAATTTTCCAATTTTATTTCTCATGTCAAGTGTTTATCAGAGGCACGAGGTCATCAGTGGATGAAGGATTATTCAGATCACGTATGTTATTTCAGTCTTACAAATATACACCAGGGAGTTTCAGACGATCACTCCTTTATTTTATCTTTACATGAGGCCACGCTGAGGGAGCATGTAGGGAAAAGGTGCCTGTGAAGGTGCGTAATGAAAACAAGACGACGGGGGAGGGAAAAAGCAATCATGCTGCCTCTCAGCGAGATTTATTAAGGTGGACTGAATGTGGTATCATAGCAACAGATAGAAATTGCTTGAGCAGATATTCCCTTAATTCTGTATTTGTTTTTAAAAGCTCTCAGTATGGAGGCAGATGGTCGAAGGAGACACGCTATCTGCCGTCCTAAATGGGTGTTTTTAGTGGTTTTAGAAGTGTTTGCCATGCTTTCGGCCACACACGAGCACCAAGCAGAAGGCTATTGGCCTTAGACAGGGGCTTAACTTGACCAGATCTGGCCACTGCACACAAACAACATCTTGGTTATATTTACCAAGTGCCCCATATCCACTCACACATCATAGGTTTTTCTGTGTCAATATTGTCTGAGCAGATGTCGAGCAGGGCTAACATGTTTCCCTTTCTGTGTGACAGGGGTGCATTTTCCGAGGTGGTGATGGCTCGGGAAAAGGCCACGGGAAAGATGGTGGCAATCAAGTGCATCCCGAAGAAAGCGTTAAAGGGGAAGGAGACAAGCATCGAGAATGAAATCGCAGTACTAAGAAAGTAGGTATCGCGTGTTTGAACCACATGGGGAGGATGCAGATGAAGAGCTACAGTTCAGAGGGGTCATCAGCGAGCTTTTGTGTGTCTCTTTCTTTAGTAATGTTCATATTCACACAGCGGCCATTTTTCCTTGTACATCTCCCTCGGGTCTAAAACTTGACATTATAATGTCAAACTGCTGTCCTCTGGTCCATAGCAACTAATGAACAACAAAGACATGGAGTGAAATTTGGAGATATATTTTAATATATTTACGCTTTTTAAAAATGTTATATGATATCTTAGAAAAAGGTGTTAACAGACTGACTTTGTAAAACTCATTTAATAATCCATTAGCTTCTGTAAGACAACAGCAAGTGTTTGCCTTTTCCTCTTCCCTGTTAAAGGGATATTCCAGCGTAAAATTAATTTAGTGTCAAACACACCATAACACCGAGTTAGACACCCCCTCGAGAGATGAAAGCTGCTGACCGCTTGCTTCTCTAGTTATACCAACTTTGGTAAAGACCGCACGATAGCAATACACAGCGGTCCCAGGAGTCAAGCGCTCAACCAAAAAGCCACGTATATAAATGTTCTTCCTTGAGCTGCATCACCCCGCTGTAGTCCGTAATGGACTGGCCTGAGGTCTCACTACAAACAAGTGGCTGCTGGAAGAGAGTTGGTGAGTTGTGTTTGGTCTCTTTGCTAAAGAAATTAGGCAAAGTTAAAAAGATGTTTGGTGGCTAGTGCTATGGCAAGGACCCAATATGTAATGTTGATGAAGTTAGGTGCTGTTCTGAGCATTATTTGTGGCTGTAGAGTGGCGCTTTAGTTGAGGTTTGTTTATGGCTCCTCAGACCGCTGTGTATTGCTATCGTGCGGTCGTTACTAAAGTTGGTAAAACTACAGAAGCAAGCGGTCAGCAACATTCATCTCTTGAGGGGGTGTCTAACTCGGTGTTATGGTGTGTTTGACCTTAACTTAATTTTACGTCAGAATTTCCTTTTAACAATCTGCTACCTAGGAGGTTGCACATCTTCTTAAACTATTTAAGAGTTTAATGTTCAAGTAAAGTCAACTGTAAGTTGAATGATACGCCAGGATATGAGCTCATCTGCCTGAACTGTTATAAAACATATTGTTCCAAATGGAAAAGTTACATTTTCCTGTTTTTTTCTTATTGCTATTCACAAGTGAGTTTAATCTGTTCCTTCTAATAAGAGTGATATTATAGCAGCACTGACTTTAAAGGGGGAAATCTCCACAGTGTGAATATTGCCAATGGGACGAGGTTTGGATGCTTAAATAAGTCTGAGTTTATTAGACAGCCATTGTCAGTCTTAAGTGACTCCTTTGTCGGATCCCATCAATCCACCATTTTGGGTCTTAACAGCATCTGCACACTCACACACAGCTACACACATGATAGGATTGCTTTGACACCAGGTGACACTCCATACTCCTTCAGGGTCTGATGGGTAATTCCCCTGAGAAGCTCAGTTATCCGTCACTCTTGAAGTGAGCATGCCAGCTGTTGGTTGGGTGTAGTTGCCTGGTTACAGTTGCTACCTTTGACTTCCTCTTTTTTCCCCCCGCACTATCTTGATTTCTCATCCCTTTTTTCTCCTTTTTCCACCTCAATCTGTTTGTCTTAAACCCTCAGCCTGCAGTCTCATTTTTGCTGTGGACTTAGAAAAGCAAGTTTGTGAAGGTTGTTTGGTCCTCTGAGACACTTCCTCCTCTGCCACCCCCACCTTTCCTTTTCAGCCACCTGCCCTTGCGAACACACTCTGTCATCTGCATATCTCCTAGCAGTAGCTTTTTTTTTTCCCTTTAATAATAAAACCTTGATGGTTGGTTGCCTGGACACAGACTCCCTGCATCTTGATCCTTCATATATCCTTTCTTTCCCTGCTGACGGGGGTTGCCGTTTCATGACTCATTGAGTTACAGCCCCCAAGAATCCCCCCCTCTTCTCTCCATTTCTCCCTCTCTCTCACGCAAACACAAAAGGTTTTCTTCGCACTTTGCGTGGTCCGTTTTTTTGACAAGTGTGAACATACAAATGTGCACAAACACACAATCTAAATGCGGGCAATACTCAGTAACAGTAAGCAGAAAAAATCTTTGTTTTCAGTTGGCAGGGCATCATCCTAACAAAAGAAAAGGCTAATAGCTCCTCATTAGTGGGCTGTGCTGCACTGAACAGAAGCTGACAGTAAGCAAAGTGAATTTTCTGTTCCCTCTCTCTCTCAAGGATAAAACATGAGAATATCGTGGCTCTGGAGGACATCTATGAGAGCTCAAACCATCTGTACCTCATAATGCAACTGTGAGTATATAAACCCACTAGATTATTAGAAAGGCCAGGTTCTGGTCATCAAGTCATTTTGATAACATGTTGTTCTTGTAATTGCTCAAATAAGCATCTGTCCTGACCTTTGGGACATTAAGTTTCTTTATTCTAATGTCTGAGTGGGCACAGTGATGATGTAAAGCTGAAGGGGAGAAAGGTGAGCGGATGGAGCTGGAATGCAGAGGAGAGGGGTGGGTAACGTTGATCAGTGAGTCAAGACAGCGGAAATATACAGCTTTTATACCTGTTTTCCAAATCTTACATCCTGGACAGACTTTGCAGGTTAGTTCAGCTTTGTATGAAGACTGAAAATTGAGATGGATCTGCTAGCATTACTCTTAACATACACAAAAACTTAACAGTAAGTTTTATATTTGGGAAAAGAGAACCAGGAGATGACAATGTCAGGAGAAAAATAGATATTTCGAGCAATGTTGGTGGCGGCTAGAAAGGCCATCGCTGAGTAAAAACAGATGCACCAAAAATAGAGGATTGGGTAGAGGTAATTATCGATATATGTAGAGTGGAGAAGCTGACTTTTTCATCTAGACTAAAATCAGATACTTTTAAAAACTACTGGAAAAACTGGGTTAATTTTGTGTCTCAATTGAAAGCAGTCTTTGTGCTGTTAGGGATAGTGATGGGCACGGCAGTTGTTGTAGATGTACTGAATTGCTAGAATCAGTTCAATAAAAAGATTTCTTCAAAAGATTCGTTCACCGAATCACTGAATCATTCAGCGCTTGGTGGGAGGAGCCTGCAACTCCGACTTCCTACACAGCTGAACGGTTCAGGATTCAGTTCAATTCACGGCTTCTGGGACCGTTAGACATGAGTGTTGTGGCTGTGTTGTTTTGAAAAACAGGTTTGTAAAAATGAACTTGTTTATAAATCATGATGTGTTAAGTATACTGCCCAATGGTATGCTAGTTGTCTACTCGGTAAATTGGGCTCAGTGAGTGATTCATTCACTGAACATTTACCCCCACAGTCCATTCAGTGAAGAGTTTACCCTGAACATGCACAGTTCCCTCGCAAATCGCCTCAATGACAGGATCTGTCACACATTTCTCAAACTGCAGGTTTTATACACTACTTGTTACATGCTGTGTCCTACTAAATCTGTTAGAACAATGGGGTACAGTGGCCATATAAGTGTATCTCTCAAACAAAAATGATTCCAGAGAGTGAAGTTCACTGCATGATTCGTTCACTTAGTGATTCAGGCTTCGGCGCGTGCAGTCCCTCGCTCGCCGGCTGCTCACCTGAAGTGAGAAACGAGCAAATCACTTGACGAAGTGATTCAGTTCAGTATGTTCACTTAAAAGATTTGGTTCTTTTGAAAGAATCATTCGCGAACGACACAACACTAGTTAGGGCATTGTGTATTGTAGATTATTGATTCAGGCTACAAACTTGTTCATTGTTCATTTGTTTATTATGTTTAACCTCCAACAGGAGAAAAGGGACAATACAAGAGAGATGTGAAAAAAGGACATGAGGGAAAAGTGTTTAATTTTACTTCACAGTTATTCGACTTTAACTTCACTTGAAAACTTATGTCTAACCATGTCTCTGCTTCGCGATGGAGAGGTATGCAAATATTCTATACAGTTGGAAATTTGTTCAATAGATGTTAAATGTTGATGGAATATTGATATGTGAAATCAATGAAGAAGAAAATAATAATAATAATAATAATAAAAAACTTAACAGTGAAAAGGGGCTGAGGTGAATGCAGTTTCTCCCAGGAACAAGCTAGTGCCAGTACACCTCAATGGAATCGCATTGGACCTTATATTAGAATCATATATATCTGCATTTTTATTAATTTATACATTATTTTTGAGCTTTGCCCCTTTATTCAGAAAGGACAGGACAGCAGACAGAGTAGGAAACAGGGAGGGAGCGCAGGGAGTGACCTGTGAGGAGGGAGCTGCAGGTTGATGTCAGGCCCTATGACCTAACCAGCTGTTTGTCTCTGTCCCCATTTACTGAGCTAAGATTCACTTACTATATCAATCTTCCTGTCTATTCTAAGAGAGAACGGGGATGAGCTCTCACAGCTTAATCTTCAGATTACGTTGAAGCTGTCACACCTGGTAATTCCATTAATACGGCGATACTTAACAGTGACTTTCCATGAGGTATTTCGAGCTGTAAAAGCTTGCCTCAGGAAATTAATGTAGAAAAGTTCAAGTGAGATGTTCAGTCGGTGTTTGTGGTGTAGGTGCTAATGCTTTTTTTCCTGTGTGACATATGACAGCATGATTCGAGAGACCTTTCCCCTCACAGCAACATTTCACAGTGTTTGTGAACAATGCCACAGCAATTTAGGCTGCAATTACCTGCCCCCCCCTTGTACCTCTGCAAGGGGCCTTAATGTTGCCTGTAAGTCCCACTCAAATAAAATGTTGAGTGCTATTTGTCTGGAAGAGCAAGAACATGTTGATTATCCATGCCAAACTTAATATGAGCCACTTGTTCTGACTTTGACTTTTATAAAAAATGATTCAAAGCTGTTGAGAATAATTGATGGTAAATGAGCTGCTGACTGACGGTGCGAGGCTTCATCATGTGTTAACTGGTGAGCCGCAAAGTACTTCGAGTAAAATAAAATAAACACTCAACAACTGCATTTGGAAATAAAAAAAAAGTTTTCGAGTATTACAAAGTGAAGCACCAGCAGCTTCAAGGTTATTTTTTAAAGTATAATCAAACTTTTAAACAATTCAAATAAATAAAAACAAGAGAAACTTTTATGTAGCACTGTTTACAATTGGTATCATGCTTTAAAATAAATAATTAGGCTATTATTTATTTTTTCACCTTTAAAAAAACATGGGATCATTTTAATTTGGAAACATATATTTCCGCACAGAATTAAGTTAGGGTCAAACACACCGTAACACAAACTAAACACAACTTACTGTCTCTCTTCCAGCAGCCACTCGTTTGTAGCACGACCTCGGGCCAGTTCATTACGGACACTCGAGGTCTCACTACAAACAAGCGGCTGCTGGAAGAGAGTAGGTGAAGAGTGTTTAGTCTCTTTGATAAAGAAATTAGGTAAAGTTAAAAAGATGTTTGGTGGCTAGTACTATGGCTGGGACCCTATATGTACTGTTGATGAAGTTAGGTGCTGTTCTGAGCATTATTTGTGGCTATAGAATGGCGGTTTAGGTTGAGGTTTGTTTATGGCTCCTGAGACCACTTTGTATTGCTATCCTGCGGTCGTTACTAAAGTTGGTATAACTAGAGAACTTAATTTTGTGCGGAAATATCCCTTTAAATGTTTCCAAATTATATCCCTTTACGTTCTTCAAACTCAAATAAGTAAAAGGAAAAAAAATGTACATGCATGCTGTTCCTAAAATAATATTTTCTCAGGGTATCTGGAGGTGAGCTGTTCGACCGCATCGTAGAGAAAGGTTTCTACACAGAGATGGACGCCAGTCGGCTCATTCGACAGGTCCTGGATGCCGTCAACTACCTGCACACCATGGGCATAGTGCACAGAGACCTGAAGGTAATATTATATTCATAGTTCGAACATTGTTTGCCACATAGTCCTCTGACTACGTTGTTCAAAGGTTATAAAAGGTTTGCCAAAGACGCTTTGGACTTTTCGGTCTTACTGCGGGGGGAATTCCTGCCATTTAACCTGTGGGTGTGTGTGTGACATTATGTTCGTGCTTTGTGAGGTTAACCCTCAAAGGTTAGGTGTCAGAGGTTTTCCTTCCTGGTTTGACTAAAGAGTAATGAGTAAAACTGCTCTGCGTACTACATACTGTATACTGATATACATGCATCATTTTCTTGTTTTTGAGATGCATTTTGATTATTTTAACCCTGACACCATCTGCTTTCAGTTCTACATTTTTTACTCTCTGTGCCACACCTGACATTTCAGACCATCAGGACACAACAGCTTTGCAAAATCTCTGCATTTGTTTTTTGAAGTGTTGAAAGCGTTTTGCCTTGTCTTCCTAAGTGGGGGAAATCCCTGTTGTGTAAAATGTGTGGGGGGTGATCCTCAGCAAGCTGTCACGTGATAACCCTCAGAGGTTAAGTGTCAGGGATTTTCTTTTGCTGTAAAACCTTTGAAGCCTTTTTGGTGAGCTGTTAACACTCCCTGACTCAAAAGATGAATCCAGGGGATTTTGTTCCAGATTTTGTCAGAGTGAGATTTTAATCTTGAGCAAATGAAGAAAAAAAACGCGCAGACATGCTTTGTTTTTACTCTGCTTTTATTTCTAGCCGGAGAACCTGCTGTACTTCAGTCCACATGATGAATCAAAGATCATGATCAGTGACTTTGGCTTGTCAAAGATGGAGGGAACAGGTGATGTCATGGCCACCGCCTGTGGGACTCCAGGATACGTGGGTGAGGATGCCCTCTGAGATCTTTCCAGCTTTGTGGAAACTTACTCTGAGATAATTAGATTCACTAGTTGGCTAAACATGATGATCTAATCTAATCTGCTGGTAGCCACAGGATAAGTTTAGCCATCTGCTGCAGGCAAACCACCAAACATTCACATTCATCTCGAGCTATGTTTGTGAGGAACGATGACAAAAATGTTTGTATTGTATTGCTTAGTGAATCAAAGTTTTTCTGATCATTAAAATTGTGATTTTATTTTCCCAGCTCCTGAGGTTTTAGCCCAGAAGCCTTATAGTAAGGCAGTGGACTGCTGGTCCATTGGTGTCATCGCTTATATTCTGTAAGTGCTCACTTTTAATCATGAATATCATCAGTATCTGTGGAGGTTATTTTTGATTTTTGACCGTTATTTGTGTCTGTTTCTTAGAGGCCCTCATTCAGATAATAAAACACTAGGCAAAGACACAAAAAATGAAGTCCTAGATTTACTTAAAATATCATCTGAATTATAAGAGGATAAAAAATCATCAGTCTGGGGCCAACTGAAGAAGCTTTTGGAGTGTCCATTTTAGTGCTGAGATTGTGCACAGCAAAGCTCAGTTGTAGTTATACCTCTATATTTGACAATGAGTAACACAACGTGGTAATGTAGGTGTCCCAATGTGTGATTTCACACAATATCAGTGCGTTGTGGAAGCACGAGAGGGCCGACGTGTGAACAACGCACAGCACACACAGCTCTTCTCCGTTCAGCATTTACAGTGGTGATGGTTCGCCTTTGTTTTGCCTTTGTTGCCGACTTAGTGTGAGGTAAGGTGTAACAGAGGCGTATGTTTTGATATCTTGAACAGGCAATACAAGAAGAGCTCGAAATAATACATATATGTAACGATACAAGGACGAAAAATTACGTGAAAGAACAAGTCCAAGGGAAGAAATCAGGACCTCAAACACAAATTTAAAACAATTTTAACCGGCAATTGATCTGATTCCGGCAAAGATTGCGGTGTTTTGGACAAACACAGCTACAGTAAAGTCAAAAAACTTCATGATGTTGTGTAATAGATGTAGGTGTTTAACTCATTAGTAAAGAAAAAAAAATCGGTGTACAGGTGTGGGTAGTGATTTCTGAAAATAAGTGTAATCCTGCTGCTTTCTGACAGTGAAATCTGTCTCCCAGTCACTCATTATTGCTGTAGGAAATGTGGAAAAGGCTGTCTCATCTGACACCTACTCCTTCACAGTGGTTACATATATTAAAATGTACAATACTGTCAGTCTTTCAGTTGATCTTGTTTACTTTCTATCAGTCATAAAGAGGCCCCGCTCTTGATTTTTGTCTGAACCCCTCAAAAGGGCTTCAAAGCTCATTTGATCACTGTGAAACTAAGACTGTATCGACACTGATTGTTGTTTATATTTTCCTCCATATAGAATAAAAATAGGCTGTCCTATCCTCGTTTTTTACACTCTTAGCGCTCGTGTAGTTGGATAATCCCTCTGACCCATCTCCTGTTGCATGCTGTATGAAAAAATCCGACTGCCTGTGAATGAGATTAGGCCGCAGCAAATCCTTTTTAGATTTGGGTTAAAATTTCTAACAGCAGCTGGATGAGTGAGCTCACATGGATTGTTGTTGTGTAATCACCCATCCTTTGACTCCTCAGGCTGTGCGGTTATCCACCTTTCTACGACGAGAATGACTCCAAGCTCTTTGAACAGATTCTCAAGGCAGACTATGAGTTTGACGCACCGTACTGGGATGACATATCAGACTCTGGTGAGCTATGACACTTATGTTTCTTTCATTATATGGGTGTGGATAAAAGACCTTAATTTTTTTCTTATTTTCTATGAGGTGGTTGATGTGCAGAGCCACAAAACCTGACAAAGGCAGTGCAAAGTTCTGATATGGGTCAAAAATACAATAAAGAATACAAGAAGTTGGTTTCCTTTATGGTGTAAATTGGAGGTTGAATAAAATTATGGCGTTTATATATTTCCTACAGAGAACCAATAATTGTTTGTTTTACATTCAGTCAGTTTAGCAACATTATTTATATTTAAATTGGATGTTTTTTATGTCTCTCTGTATCTCCTATTGTTATTTTTGGATGTCAGTGTTTCTTGGCGCATTAAAACTTTAATTGAATCCTTCTCCCAACACAACAGTTGATATTTTACCCATCATGCTAAAAATGTTCCCTACAGATAAATTAGGAAACTGGAACACTCCTCACCATCTAGTGGATTATTTAGTGAGAAGTAATTGAATTGGAAAGTAGCCCAAGTGTCTAAAATAAGAGCTGGAATCAAGGATGATTAGCCGCTTAGCTAGCTTACCTGAAAACACCGTTAGCTTACTACACCGAGTGCCAACGTTTCTAACTATAGTTACGACCAGGTTAGCAGGAGAAGTGAGCAGAGACTGATTCAAACACATGAGGACTCTCTGCGATATCAACCCTTGATTTCTAAAAAGGTGTTTTGAAGCCAGAAGATGGCGGTAATGGCCATGGTAGAAATGATGTCTCACTGTCACTTTCGGTCAGTCTACAAACAGGAAAAGAGGTGATGCTGAGGCAGGCTTTAAGCATCCCGGAAACAGCTATAGCTGCCGGCCTGTAAGTCAGGTCAGCCACGCCCCAAGTTTTAAATGTGTACATAAGCCTCTAAATAGCCTTGACAAAATCAAACCAGCCCTGTACAATATGTACAAATAAAAAAGTGTTTTTTTCAACCAGGTGTAGAAATGTGTTTTCCTGCTGTAAGGTAACTAAGGTGGATGTTAATGGGGCTTCCTGGGCTTTTAGAGTCACCCTCAAGTGGACAGTCAAGGACCTGCAGTTCATTATTTTTTTTATTTAACTTAATTTTTATTAAATTTTTAACCACAGTTATACAGTGTATACATCTCAATACAATACATTTCTTTTCCTTTTTCCAGCTGTATGTGTATTTTTTACAAACATCCACAGATAATGTAGGATGAAATCAAAGAGGATAATCATAGTAATCATCGCAAATAAACAATGTCCACTCCAAAGTACAGATTTATAGGCACAAATTCTAGTCAGAGGCAGGATGGATAGGATATGGATAGGAACTTAAACCGTTAACATAAACTTTCATTGCATCAATAAAGGTACCACAAGTTCCCATCTTTCAATAAAGGAGGCCCTCCGATGCCTGAGTGAAAATGTGTTCTGCTCCATTTTATAAATATCCCATACTCTTTGAATCCAGATATTGTCTGAGGGAGGTTCTGGTTTCAACCATCTGATGGTTACAGACTTCAGGGCTGCAGTCAATAATATGTACAAGATGTATTTTTCTGACCTCCTGTCCAAACCTTCAGTCATTACTCCCAGTATTGCAACCTTGATGTCTTGCAGGATATTCATTTTAAAAACCTCCTTCAGGGTGTTGAAAACTTGACCTGCAGTTCTAAGCACGTCTACACTTGCTGCTTTTTTCTGCATTTATTGTCATGACATAGAGCAGGTTAATGCTAACCAAGGTAGCAAGTTTATACTGAAGAAGTATGGATGCAAAAGTACGGTGCTTATTAATGACTATACTAGAGGTAGACCTTTTTGTAGTTATTTGGCTTGGTGTACCTTTCCATGTTGTGTACCTGTTTGGGAAAACCTTTTGTTTTGACTAAAGTTTTAGCTTTTTACTGCCTTTTGTTGGTTAAAAAGGCATTTTGTACAACTTTTACCTGATCCAACATCTTGTTTAAAACTTATCACTGTGTCCTAACCCCAAATTTTCTTTTTTCACCAGATACAATACATTTATTTCAACAACTCCTTTAGAGAAAATGTTCACTTCTATAAATCATAGAAGACTTTTACTGTATTAGAGTCATAGACTGTATATAGAATGGACAGAGTCTGCCTCCTCGCTGGGTGAAGCCACTCCGACACAGCACTTACCAATCAGAGGCTAGAAACTCAAAGTCAATGTAAATGAACCTCAGAAACACATTCTGCATAATCTGCTCACCCTCACAAGCAGCTGTAGAGAAAAGAATTTAAACTTGTAAATATGTAAATATAAACCTGTCAACACTTTGTGAATAGTTCCCTGTATGAATTCTATAAACACATTTTTTTAACTGTAATAGTTAACAGAAATATCTGAATTGACTTCACTATTAAAGCTTACATACGTGTATTTGATCCTTTCCATTCCCTTCATAGCCAAAGACTTCATCAGCTGCCTCATGGAGAAAGACCCGGAGAAGAGGTTCACATGTGACCAGGCTCTTGACCACCCTTGGTGAGAAAACTTACCTTTGTTTCCCAACCAGACAATCAGAGGGAAACCACACATCTTGGTGCGATAAAACAGCAGTATGACGCAGATTGCCAGGCTTACACATTTGTCATGGAGAGCATGTCCTCCCACTGTCATCTGTCGCCATGGCTCCAAGCCGCGATCCCACCTCTGCACGGCAGCGCCAGCCCTCAGAGAGAAATCTGTTGAATAAATGGCTGCCAATTAGTGGCTGGGGTCCTGAAGGATGCTTGAAGAATGTGGGAGCTTTAATGAACAATTAGGATGTCTTCCCAGGCCTGAGCCAGAGCGAACAAGAACGAGCTGGCGTAGGCTGCTGTCTCCGGCTGAGGTGGCCAATATGAATAGGTCTGTTAGTCAGTAATGGGTCTTTTGGGTCCTCGGCAGGTGGTCGCTCTAATACAAATATGTGGGTTTGTGACACCGGTAACAGGTATCATAACTGAGAGAAATGGCCTCCATTGACAAGGTTTCAGACTCAGAAATGAAGATGAATGTGACAGAAAGTGAGGAAGCAAAAAAAAAAAAAAAAAACATATCACCCCATCAATCACAGATAAAGAAATAGATAAATAATCTGAGTGAATGAGAAAACAGCATGAGGATGACTAACAGTTCCAACACATACAAATATTTTTTCATCCAGTTGATACTGTGATTGTGTGTGTTTGAATTTGCTTCATCTAAAAGGGATCTACTTTAATTTTCAGGATTGCTGGAGACACGGCTCTCTGCAAGAACATACATGAGTCAGTCAGTCGGCAAATGCGGAAAAACTTTGCCAAAAGCAAATGGAGGGTGAGCACACGGCACTTCATCTTTCGTGGTTATCGAATCATATTTAAAACATAATATTCTTGATTTTTTTGTACTGCTAAATATACAGTACATTTCCTTCTCCAGAGATTTGTCTTTGTTGTCACATTGTTGTATCTGTTTGCACCTGCTCCTCACAGCAAGCGTTTAATGCGACGGCCGTGATCCGCCATATGAGGCGCCTGCAGCTGGGCACAAGCTTTGGCAGCAGCATTCAAAGCAACAACACCATGTCTAACCCTCAGAGCCGCAACCCATCCAAGAGCCAGTCCGTGGACTGTGCCCCGCTCTCCCTGAAGGACTGTGAGTGACCCTTCAGATGCCCTCCGCAGACAAAAACATCTTTTAACTTTCCGTCCAGTTGAGCTCTGTTTACTCTGCTGAAGCCTCTATTTTGCTAATGCTTGAAAAGCCCCTCAGGTGTTATTTTCTGTTAAACAGACTGAAGCGAGTTTGACATTGAGATGTGTTGTCATGACCTGGTGTCAAACTCTTGTGCTGTTTGATGAAACTTGAGATTGTGTTGAAATTTGAGGTCGTTTGTGACATCTCTATTTTAGTTACTAACTTCTTTCCTCAGCTCATAAATAAGTTTTATAAAGCACATGACATGGTTTCAGTAACAGATAGTAACTTACATTGTATTTCTTTACAGTCTCATATTTTTACTCCTTTTATATTTTGTTTTCTACAAATAAAAATAAAGGATAAGTCTAATTTAATGTCACTTTTACTGCAAATTCATCCCCACAAAAACATTGAGACTTACATCATTGGTCACTAAAACATGTTGAAAAGTCACTCTGTTGCACTGAGTGAAGTAGTTCTCTGATCTGTGTTTTATCAAGTAGATCTCACACACATACGACCCTGCTTCAAATACTTTATTTCTCATTGATTCACCATATTTACAAAGTGGCTGTGTTCATACTGCATCATTCTCTCTAAGATCGTCTGCTGTAATAATGTTGTCCTTTGCTGTTTCATGTTTGCTAATAATATGAAGATAAAAAATACAAAATTTGATAATCAGGAAGAAATCTGAAACATTTTTATGTTCGTTTTTTCAAGCTAGCAAATCCATTTTCCACCTCTGCTCCTCCATGCTGTTAGCTAACTCCAGTATTCAAATTCCTAGGTCAAAGAAAGTTGATAGTGTTATAAAGTACAACAGGAATAGTACAAGTGATGTTGGCTAAATATCACTTATGCTCAGGTAGTTAAAGGGATATTCCGGCGTAAAATTAATTTAGGAGAGATGAATGTTGCCGACCGCTTGCTTCTCTAGTTTTACCAACTTTAGTAACGACCGCACGATAGCAATACACAGCGGTCTGAGGAGCCATAAACAAACCTCAACCAAAACATCACTCTATAGCCACAAATAATACTGAGAACAACACCTAACTTCATCAACAGTACATATAGGGTCCTAGCCATAGTACTAGCCACCAAACATCTTTTTAACTTTGCCTAATTTCTTCAGTAAAGAGACCAAACACAACTCACCTACTCTCATCAAGCAGCCGCTTGTTTGTGGCTAGAACTCAGGCCAGTCCATTACGGACTACAGCGGGGTGACACAGCTCAAGGAAGAACATTTATGATCATTTATGATTGGTGGTTTGTTTATGGCTCCTGGGACCGCTGTGTATTGCTATCTGCGGTTGTTACTAAAGTTGGTATAACTAGAAAAGCAATCGGTCGGCAACATTCATCTCTCGAGGGGGTGTTCAACTTGGTTTACAGTGTGTTTGACCCTAAATTAATTTTACACCGGAATATCCCTTTGAATGTCTAATCTTGAAATCACGTGAAGATGGAGAATATTATTAAGGAGGTGGGTCAAAGGATGCATTATCAAGCTGTTAGACCGCCTGATAAGTTGGCCTTTTTCCTTGGGATATGTTTGATGTGGACAACCTTAACTTGTGTTTTTCTTTTTTACACAGGTCCTTCAATCCCTCCCTTGTCCTCTACTGTAAAAGTTTACAATCAGGACTCTGACACTTCCTCTCCTATAAGCGAGGAGCCATCAGTGGTGGCTGAACCACCAAGACCACGCCCCTCCACTGTCACTGTCATCCACACTGGGACTAAATGACGCCAGGTTCCGCGGGAGGTAAGCTGGGAGACCACAGAGCTTTAAGACGGGGATCAAAACCTTCCCAGGCCTTGTGACTCAAAGTTGTCGCCCAGTTTGCTCATCCCGCAACCTCCCACCTGTTTCTGCCAACCAGGGGAGGAATTTGAGGAGCGTTGGTTCAGCTCCATTTATGTTGGCTCAGCACGGCACCGTTCTGCAGCCTTCTTTGTCACAGAGACGTGGTAGTTCTGAGGAGAGGGTGCTCACCACAGGAAGTTGTTATGGAGTCGTGGTTTAGCCTGGATCTTGGATCTCTTGGAGGATAAACCTGCAGCTGGTCTTGGAAGTGCCACAGGAAGGAACTCATCGTTAAAGCTGCTATCATTTTTGACCGTGAGCGTCTTGATACATGACGCTCCGCTGTTTGCCTTGTGTAAATATCCTGCCTGGAACTGTTGAGTGGAGTCATGTTATGCAAGTGAAATTTACAGTGAGCTTCAAGCTGTGGTGAATAATTATGACATCATCTGCACTTGTTTTGACAGCTCTTGTTAATTTGCCGTGGTGTTTGCTCCAATGGTTCCACAGGGTCTTAACTCCCAGCAGTGACAGTGTGTGTTATCTCTTTGCTTTATAGTGTGTGGACATGAGAAGGACAGTGTGCTTTAATCACAGCTGTGATTGCAGAGAGAGGGGTTGGTGCATTGCACTAATGTATTGGATTATTTATTTTCTTACAATATATTACGACTTTTGTAAGAACACCACTTGCAAAAACTTGTATATGTGTTATTAGCCTGGACTGAAAAGTATCTGATGGACACAGATATGATAATCAAACTAGTTGTTTCTTTGTAATTACTGTTAAATTTGATTAATCAGTTTTGACTTGACTGTGAAGTCCTCCCTGACCAGAGGAGGGCAACCATGTGTTGTTGTGTGACCAGTTCTCAGGGATGTGCTCCAACATGAAGCTAACCAAACCTGTGATTATACAGCGCTGAAGGAGGATGGTGGAAATGTGGGAAATCCTCCGAAAACTGCATGTTACTCCACTGTGCCATTGGGAGTGTCTGACAGATGCTTTCCTCCTTAAAATCCATCATTGTCAACAGTTTGAGTGTAATATATAACGCACACTGAATGGATTATTTTCCCTTTAAAAAAAACAAGTTCTGTTGTGGATTTTAAAGGAAGTGTTTATCAGTGAAGTGTGCATATAACTCTTCAAGAGAAAAGCATATAATGATATATAAATACAATCATATTTTGGAAAACGGTTGCTCCCGTTGCAGCATCGTCAGACCAGTAGTGTGCAGTTGAGTAGTTGTAATGTTGTGCTCTGCTTCTGCTCTGGAAGTGGCTGCTCTGAGAACAGCTCACTCTGTGTTTAATCACTGTGCTTTCATACCAGCCTGTTGAATTTAGCAGGAACATCCTTTCTCTTTCTCTCTCGAAAGACTCGGACAAATAGGAGACAAGGAATCTGTCTTTGTGTTTACTTCTGTAGTTCCTCCATTTGATTTAAAATCACTCACCATAAGCTGGGGTGGAAAAGACTGCGCCGTGATATAAGTAAAAATGTCGTGGTGAATACTGACTTTGAGCCTTAGCTTCACTGTAAATACAGTCCTCAACAACACAGTAGGCTTTGGTCTTAAGTGTTTATTTTTGTCTTCCTTGTTTTTCCGCCCTCCAAAAATTCATCTGCAGAAAGCAAATGTGAAGCATTTTATGCCCCTGTGTATGCATGTATTACATATTGTTGCAGAAGTGTGCTTTGGATTTGTAGACATTCGTGTATTAAAAAAAGAGGCTTGTTTGCATGTGTTGTCGCGTCTTTGACAGGAAGTTAATAGAGCATAGTAGCCGAAACACTTTTACATTAAAATAGTTCTGATTACATATTTGTATCATGTTAAAAGATAATAGTAATGGCATCATTACATGTAAGTCAATATAGTTATTATAGTTTACTCACACTTACAGGGTTAGTGTGTTAAAAAAAGATCATTGCATCAGAAAAAAACACTAAAACAAACTTTCCTGTACTTCCATCTGTTTTATATCTGCAACACATGTTTTACAAACCCCCAGTAATCCATTATTTGTCATTTTGGTTTTGAATTAGTTTAGTTCCTTAGAGATCTCTAAAATCCTTTATGGGCCCAACGGAGCATTTATATGTGGATGAGTAACACAGTTTTATGGCCCTTTCTATGTTTTACATATTTGTAAAATGTATAAACAGTTGGTCCACTTTCCTTTATACAGGGTTAAAATGAAACACTTGTTTAAAATGATGCTATTATGTTATTGGTAAGTATTATATATTATTAATATATATCCTCAAATATCTTCTTTATACTGAAGTTTATATTGAGTAACATAAGCCACGATTAGCACAAGTGTTCAAAGTACGGCATAAATTTCCCCCCGTCACAGTCTAACAGCAACAAGGAGATTAGAGCCTTATTGTATTTTCCTTTAGCTTGGTATTTCTTTCTGTTTTTTTCAATCTCACAGCATCACCCCTGTCCCCTGGGTCTCAGGTGGAGTGTCGGTTGTACTCCTGAGGAGGATGCATCCCATCGTAGTGAAACTCCCTCCACTGCTCTGTGCTCTCCCTGGTCCTCTCGTCTTGCTCTGGGGGATTGTGGGAAGTTTAGTAATAAAAAGAAGCCAACAGGACAGATAAATGAGAACACATTTCAGGGTTTGCATACCATCATTCTCCTCTTCAGCGTAGTTCTCAAACTCGTTTCTCTTCTCCTCATGAAACTCTCTCTTTCGCTCGTCTGCAGCCAGGATCTGTCTCTGCTCGGCTGCAAAGGAGGACAAATTAGTAGACTGAAAACTAAAGAACTTCTCAACTTTGCCTCAGTCTATCTTACATGGGCCTGGGCTCAGAGGAGTTCTCTGAGTTTCTGGATCATGTTTATAACGGTTTCCTCTTCGCCTGGATTTATGGATTCAGCTTAACTCACAGACAAAGTTTTATAGAGGTGGTTTTAAGCACATACAGTGATCACTTATGCGGTCTCTCACAGTGTGGTGGACTTGGAAGTGCCCAGTCATGTTGCTGACAGTTCAACCTGTCAGTGTTTTGTTGTCCTTTTCCCAGCTTTTAAAATGTGTTACGTCAAATCATCAAATTTAGAATAAGGATGTATTTTGCGTAAAATAATGACAATTCTCAGTCTCAACTCATGACATGTTGTCTTTGCACTATTTTTTAAAATCAACATAGGATTTAAATAATTTGCAAACTAATCAGAACCTGTTTTGATCAACATCTGGAACTTCTTTGGTTTTTTGAAGTTGTACGTCAGACGACATTTGCTCTTGAACCTGTTGAGTAAATGTTCCCAGTATATTCAAGTTTTCCCATTTACATCTCAATATTTTTTACTACTCTTCTTAGATTAATGAACAATGTAAAGAATTGATTCAGTCATATTTGGTTCATGATTCTGGCTCAACTCAAATGTTTTTGCTGTACCTCACTCTTAATTTAATTAATTGAGCAAGTACCTTAAAAAAGTATTCATTAGTTTTATTTTCAGAAAAGAAAATCAAGCAATCGACTGAATCTGAGTAACAATATTTTTATTGACAGCAACACCCAAGATAGAAGCTGCTTCAAGATGTGTGGTACCGAAAACTAGGAAGTCATTTGGGCCAAATGAACTTCATTAAACTCAAGTTGAGTTCAGCTAAAAAATAGAGAAGAGTTTACAAATCTGAATGCCTGCATGTAAAAGAATGTATCTGAGATTTATAGTGGGGCTCATCTTCACACATAAAGTGAGGGTTTAACGTCACACAACTACAGTCTCAAAGAACACCATGGGACTGAATCACTGTGTCTGAGCAAAAGCTGCTTTTATCCATCATAAAGACCGCGGTATTTGAGGAAGCAGCTCACATCCATAAAGGAAAAATCAAACCATGGACACTCGAGGGATGCATAGAAGTCTAGTGAGTCACGTCCTGCTGCTTTTATTCGATCCAGAGAGATATACCTCAGTAAGAAGAAAATCAAAGGAGACGCCCGCAGTTTTACACACAACTCTTTCAAGAATGTGTGTGCACGGTTGCATTGTTTGTGATATTATGCTTTTTTTAAACATAGTCCTATTAATTGAACTACTATCCACCCTTACTGCAGAGCTTTCCCCCCAAGACTCTTTGCTGATGAGCTACAAAATAAATAAATAAACAAACACAACAACATTATTACCATTCTTTAAAGTTTAAAAATGTATAAGATGGACCCGTTTTGCATCCTCCACTTTGAGTATAATAGTTCACAATCTAGAAGGCAGTACAGGGTCACTCGAGTCATTTTAAAGTCTTATATGTGCCATGGTTACAAGACATCGGCAGTATGGGTAACATGTAATAAATGTCATCTGTGCTTGTCTGGTATTTGCTCCTCTGCGTGTTGTTTGTTTGTTTTCATGGTCTCTTCATGTGGATGGCAGCAAAATGTGTGCAGCACTGAAGTACAAGACAAATTTCCCTCAGGGGTAATGAACCCTGTTCCCTGCTGAATCGTATCAACTCTTATATTGTATTGCATCATGTTGTATGCAATCTTCCTGTACTGTGTCATATTTGATTATATTGTGTTGTATTGAATTATGGCGTATCATATTGTGGCTCATCATATTCTATTCCATCATGTCTTTTAGTGTTGTATTATATTGCATCACATCCCATTGTGTTGTATTGGACTGTGCTCTATTATATCACATCATATAGTACTATCACATTATTGTCTCTTGAAAGTACATGGGTTTAAGTTGGTACCAAGATATTTTATACAACTCAGAAAAGTCATTTTCTCGGCAACATAAAAGTAATCAGAGTTTCCATGTTTGTGTGATTAGAGGATTAGTTAGTCCGTTAAAGTTCATGCCTACAGGACTGACTGTGTGAAGCATTCCCTATAAGGAGAGGAATTCATATTTCTTTCATTAACTTAAGCAGCTTTGAATAATTCATTTTTTTGGTCCCTGTGGACGGATCATATATCTTATCTCCATGATGATCAAGCCCTATACGTGTGTGAGTCATCTTAAAGATAAATATTGGAATAATGCACTTTTAAGGAGAAAATATAAGCTCTTGTTGTTTGTATCTTCTAAATGACTTCTTTAGGTTCTAGCCATGTTGAAATAACTGGACGAAGCCATTTTTTTGGATGCTATGTTTTTGTAGGTCATAAAGAGACATTATAATTAAACTCAGACTGTCTCAAAACCGGCTACGAACTCCTCACAGTGAATTAGTTTATCCAAATATGAGCAAGATTATGTTTCCTGAGTAGCTTGTGTCTGAAAATAAACAAATTTTAAAGGTTATTTTTTCCATATAATTTAAATAATGAAAAACATTATTGAAGTTATATTTATGCCTTTAATATTTCAGAGTAGTGTAGATAAAGAGAAATGAGGCAGAGGATTTGCCCGAGCCTGCGTGTGACCTCTGGCCTGCAGCTCTTGGACAGCTCTGAACTGAACTCCTCTCAGTGACAGTCACACTAACTGACTGCAGTAAGATTAGAAAGAGATATTAGCTGAGGTGCCAACCTTTCCAAAGTGAGGTCTTGACCTCTGACCTTTAACAGGGATTGCCCGCACATGTCAGAACATGCGGCGAGGAGCTCAGTTTGGAAATACAAGTATGAACTGCTGATCAGTATTCATTACTTATACTTTAGGGAGAGGATTTTAAGGACTACTACCCACTATTTTTGTTTGTATCCTTTGAAAAGAATAAAAAGGACAGTGGGAGGAGGAATCTTCCATCAGCACAGCATGCCTGCTTCTTACGGCTCACAAACTCCTACTAACAACAAAGTCAAACAAAAGAGTCCATTTAGAGTCTGATGTCTGGAATTAATGTAGCAGCTCGTCCAACCACTGAAACAACGAATCTCAGTTATCTAACCTTGTAAATTCCATCGACCTGAGATGAAGATGTACTTTTATGTCATCATACAGCAGAGGCTCTCCAAAGTTAGCACAGTTGATTTGTCTGACGTTTTTTTACTTGGCTTTTCTCTGACCCCTCTCTGCTGTGTGTCGGCACATTCCTCATTCATCTCCCAGCCGCTCACCCACTCACTCCACCTCAGTCTTTTCTCTCTGTTTACTGCTTTGTGTTCATTTTATCCTTGCTTTAGCTGCACCAAGTGTCTAGTTGTTGATAAAAACAAAACTGCAGCCTGTTATACAACCCAGATTCGGAGCAGTCGTCTCACTGTGTGCTCTCACCTTCCTGCTGGCAGAACTGCGCGCAACAGAGCCGTTAAATCACCTGAGAATGTCAAACATGGTGCAGTATGGGAATTTTCACAATGCTTTCGAGGAGGACATGCACTGAGAAACTCTAAGGTTTGTGTGCATGTGACTGAGTGAGTGAGTGTGTGTCAGCCCCATGCTGCCCTGTGACTCCTGCTGCAGCCTCCTACAGAGGAAACACAACTGCTGTGTGAGCAGGTCTGACAAGAGGACAGTTGATACCTGCCTCCGTCGTAAAACTGTCAGGCTGTCAATAACATTTAGACTTATGTCCTTTTAAAACAAAATGAGTAAATTAATCATTCTAATGTAATTTTAATTGTAATTGTAACCTGAACATCCTTAAAACTAGCCAAGTCAAGCAGAAATTGAACTATCTGTACCAAAAACAGTATTAACACATTTTAATGCAGCACAATTAATGCTAAAATATATTAAGAAAGAATACATACAGTTAAATAGTAGTCTTTTTAGTTTTGCTTTTAACTAAATTTTAGATCATTAACTTTGTTTACGTGTTTTAGCATTTATCTACTCTAGTTTTAATCACAGGATTGTGTTTTATTGAGCAATTTTGGTGCTCTTATTTTAGTATCTTTTACTGTTGTTTTCATTTCATTTTATTTATGATTTTTTAAATTTCATTCTATGTTTCTTTGTTTTTAGATTTTAACATAAACCTCCAGTCTTTCCTTATCTTGAATTTTAAAAATGATGTTTCCTCAGTGCGTACATTCCTGTTTCCACAAAATCAAGCCCTTTTTAAGTTAATGCATTTTAACACTGTTTCCATTGCAATTAGATCGTGGGGTGGGAATGAGGGGTTGGGCTGGGGTTGATTTGGGTATTCTTTTAATCTTGGGTTGGGGTAAATTTGGGTATTCTTTGTTTCTTTTATTCCTTTTTCCGTGTGAAGCACTTTGTGCTAAATGTTACGTATTAAAAGTGCTGTATAAATAAAGACTGATTGATTGATTCAATAGTAACATAAGCTAACCCTGTATCAAACTTGTCAGACTGTTATTTCCTTTCTCCAGGAGTTTTACAGTGAGATTATTGAGATTTTTTGTGTTATTTTTATCTGTTGTGTGTAAATGAAACAGTGAACTAAAGGCAGTAAATTCTAACTCCCTCAGTACTGGCAGTGTGTGTAGTCAGACAGTGTAGATTCTGCTTTATTTTATACTGTTTGTTATGTAACTCAGATGTTAATTATTGCAATGCTGTGGCAGACCTTGATTATCTCTGAAAGCGTCTCCAATGTGCTGAATGTTAACATCACTTAATCCCAGTATTTGATGTGTTCATGTTTTTGAATGCTTCTGAAGAATCTTATTTACAGTACAAAGTGGAGCTGTAATGGTGTAATTGATGGTTTATTCTTACATATAACTTTATCATATTCAATGTGAGACCAAGAGCGTTTTTGGAGTTGATTTCAAAGTATGATTTCTTTTCCACAAAAGTACTTTTGTAATTAACATTAACAATGGTATTTCTGTTTTAGATATGACATAGTGTATTCCACGATGCAAAAGATGAGACCCAGATGCCAGTAAACAAAACAGGATTGCTCACATGACCTCAGTCCAAGTTGCCTCACACAAACCTGAAGTGAACTCACCGTTTATCTCATCCTGAGACTTGGCTCCTCGTCTGGTGCGTTTTCTGAAAAAGTTGGAGGCGTCGGCTTCTTTCATGAAGATCCTCTTCATCGGACCTGTGGTGGAGGCCGCAGAGACAGGCTGAGCTTACAATGTAAAGAGATAGAGAGACAAGATGAGGAAGAGGTGCAGCTGATGCAGCTCCTCACCTTGTGGGTCTTTGGTGCTGCCTGAGTTGTCGGGCACAGCTGCAGAGTCGGCCTCAGGGGACACTGAGGAAGAGTCCAAAAATACAGAATTTGTTAGAACGTCTACCTCTCCATTAGAATAACAAAGTACTCACACAGCTGCTGCCACTCTGTACCATTCAAAGTTAGCAAACCCTCCTGCATTACACTCACAGGAAAGTGCGAGAAGCACAGCAAGGACAGCCAGGAAGGCTGCAGACGTCCAGGTCATCTTCAGGCACTCAGTGTGTGAAGAGCTGAGAGAAAGTGAGGCAGAAGAGGGAGAAGAGAAGGAGAAATATGTGGAGGTGGGGAGAGAGCCTGGAGGAATATTGACTGATGTCAGACGGAAAGGAGGGAGTGACCACGCAGATCTGATAACAGGATGAATCCAGAAACAGGAGAGTGCTGGGACTCTTCTTAGTATTTGATGCTCCTTTGAACATTGACTGCATTTTTCTTCTGGTGCACACCTGAGTGGGCCTTTCTGGTCTCTGGCTACAGGAAGAAACCTAAATGGGACATCAATTATTTTTAGGATATATGATCTGGATTCATGCACTTTACTCTTCGTAGTACACACTGACTATCTGGACTGTTTTTAGAGTCTTATTAGTTATTTAATTATGACTCTCTCAGCTTTATTTGTCACCCAAATAGTTGATGAATTTTATGTGAGATAGTACGCTACAGGCTGGATATGCACCTTCTGTCTTGTTAATGAGACATGCACTGGGAAACATGAATGACAGACAACACAAAAAGTGTTTGCCAAGAGCTGGAGCACAGATTTCTTTCTCTCTCAGCCTCAGCTGAAGAAGGCCCCTCAACAAGGCCACATTCTCTCATGCTGCTTCTACACAAGATTCACCCAGAAAGTATGCAGTCCTCTGTTTGCTGGATTTTTTTCTCTCCACCTGAACTCTGGCTGTGTCCCAGAAAACAGTGAATGTCTAAATTGTTTTATGGGGCGATCTGAGCTGGAGGGATTGTTGCTCTTGGAGGAGCGAGGAAGGTTTCCGAATACTTCAGTGAAGGAAACATATAAAGGAAGAAGATATTCTTATTTATAATCCACTAATTATTATCTAAGATAACTTGGATATTAAAATAGACAGAGTCTAAAAGCTTAAATGTAAGAAGAAGTTGAGCATCAGTATTTTGTGTTTTGGTTAGCAGGTTGCTGTTAAAATATGGTGGGTGTAAGGCTGAGGGAGTCAAAGGAAATGGTTAATTTTGGTGTAAATCTGTTATGAAAACTAAAAACTAAAACTAAATAAATCAATATCTTGCAGTGATGACCTGCACTCAGTGTACACCATCAGAAATACAGTATATTTGTGGTTCAAGTTGCTGGAATAAACATTATTATAAGATTAATTATAAGCTGTAGAGGCCAATGTAAACTGTTTGGAAACTGATAATGAAGAATGAAAAGTAACTCGACTGTAATTTTAAACATCAAATTATTTAATGGTGCTAGTCTCTCATATATAAAGATGTGCTGCTGTCTCTTGAGAATTTATCTAAAGAATTTTAGCCTGAAGAAACATTTTTGGGAGGGGAGCTACGATGGCCCTGGGGGGCCAAAAAACAAACAAACAAACAAACAAAAAAACCCACAACACTGAAGAAGAAAGCTTGATGTAAAATATGAACACAAAGAACTATTCAATTCTAGTAGAAAAGTTTTGGTATTTGTAGGCAACATGAACAATCACTGTTCAGAGGATTGAACTGTCTGACTGTTATCTATATTATCCTGTTTTTTATTAAACTTTTTATTCATCACCAATTTTTGACACTCTTCTCCTCCTTCGAACTTTGTGCTTTTTCAACCATTCAAACTTTTTACAATTCTACTCCTTCAGGACATGATTAGTAAGGACTGCAATTTTCTAGTTTACTTTTGATGTCAAAATTATCAAGTATGTTACTTGGTAAGTGTAATTAATCAATAATTACGGTAAATAAACACTGCCTAAATGACTCACCTGTCATGTGAAGTAGGGGAGAGTGGGGTAAGATGAGCCATTTTTTATATTTCAGATCACTACACCAAGGCAATCATAGTTTTGTCTCTAGTTAGTGTATCTGCATATATTTCAAGATGTTGTGCATCCCTGCAAACCAACAGAATTAGTGTAAACAGAACTGTCTTGATAAAATGGCATGCCAAAAAAAAAGTGGTCTCCTATGGTCAACTTACCCCATGTATGGGGTGAGTTGGCCATAGGAGCGGGGCAAGTTGAGTCGTATCCCTAATACCCCTCCACTCTCTGACCAAACCCTCACCTTCTCTCTCCCTAAATAACAGTCACTTCTTCACATTCATGTGTATTGTTATTATACACTATTCAACTAGTACAATAACTCTTTTTATTATCATTGCATATCACTGCTAAACTCCTTTAACTCCTTTACTTTCTCAGTTGATCCACTGGCTCAACTTACCCCAGAACTACTATTATGACTTTGATAGACCTCTAAACTAAAATGGTGGACTTTTATGCTAAGTTTCTGACCTCATGTTGTAGCTCATAGATACCTCAATTGATGTATAAAACAAATTTTAAATGATCTTTTTTGGTCTGAATACAATTCTAATAAAACTTATGACAGACGAGAGTGAGTTTTTCAAGAGTGAAAAATGTTTGTTTTTGGAAATTAATGTCAAACGCCTTCACCCATGTGCTTCTAACCTACACAGACTCCATGAATTGATGCCTATCTCCTAGACATTTGGTCACATGATCAATTTCTTTGACCATTTCCAAGCAACAGGGGGTGGCTCAACTTACCCTCTGGCTCAACTGACCCCACTCTCCCCTATGTGGTGGAGTGTGTAGCATATCCTCCAGTAGGGGGTGCTGTGGAGCCATGCAGTGAGCCTCTCCGCGTCTTCTTTCAGCGGCCGTCAGGTGGCGCTGTTTCCCCGCTGACATTCTGATGACACGGCTGTGTGGTGTTGGTGGCAGCGTCAGCAGGCTGAGAGATCAACCAGTAATCACCATCGTCTCTCACACTGCCATGGTCTCGAACCCGACACGAACAACCACTAACAACGCTTCATATTTCCAACCCGAGAGAGAAACTTGGACGATTTTAAACAAAGCCATGTTACCGGACGTGAAAACCCCGTGGATATAAGCGACACTGGAGATCAGAAAGTAGAAACCACCACACGGAAACCACAAAGAAGAAGAAGAAGCAGTCGGTGCTTTTTGTTTTTTCTTTTTTTTTCACACACGGAGGGAAAGACGGCATCCGGCCTGAGGAGAAGCTCCGAGGTCGGGGACTCCGGTCGGAGTAACGCTCATCGTTTCTGGTGAGAGAGCTTGAAAATAAAGGGTTCACATTTTTCTGTGAAATTTCCTGGGGTAAAAAAAGCGACTGAACCCCCCCGGCTAGCAGCATTTACACCACCCTACGTTCACTCAAAATGGGTTTAACAATGCAGCTATGTTTACTTCAGAGAACCTCGGTGTGAATAGAGCCATTTGTTGTTTTAGCTTCAGTTTGACTAATACACTGGTGTTCCGCCTTCAAGAGTGACCCTGTTTTCTGGTGACTTTAAGCCGAATGCGCCAGTGGTTGTCGTAGTTACGACAGCTGTTAAAAATGACCATATTAATGCCCTTTCGTTCATCTTTTTAGATATAAAAATGTCTCTGGTGTCAATATTTTGACTTTAAGACGCATTAGTGAACCAGGGGGAACTTTTACGTGTTTTAACAGCTGTTTGTAACCACGACAAACACAGACCCATTCAGTTAAAAGTCGCCAGTTAACAGGGTCACTGTTTTAGCCGGAACACCGGTGAATGGCCGCGGATAAAGTAAAACAAACTAGACCAACTACAGCCGTCATAAATGAAAGTTTAGTGTTGTCACAGCTTTGTCATTTCTGCTCTTTATGAGTTAAACATTTGCGTCAGGTTTGTTGTTACAGTAACACAAACAGTCAGCTGGTTTCTTGTCACTTAACTATGAGGTTTGGTTGTAAAAAGGGAGGGCATAGTGCTCTGCTGTACATGTATCGTCTTGCAAGCTGCTACCAGAAAACACTCACTGACCCACATTTGAGAGATGTCCCCATACCAATTCTTCTTAAACTGGGAAAGCACAGAGCTAACTGGACAACAGGGCAGCAAAGCACAGGACAAGACAGTAGCCTAGTTTGAGATTCTTGCCGTTTTTAGGAGTTTCACCTAAGGGGAGTAAACCTGTCTGTCTGTTTGGGGTGTGTGTTTCGTGTGGGGGGCCGTGGCGCGATAGATGAGTGTGAAGTTGGCAGGATGTCCAAAAGGAAGACATCATTGTTCTGGGGAGGGGGAGGAAGGCTCATGGCAAACCGATGAGGAAGTACATTTGGTGTGAGAACACCCAACTCAGTGTGTTTACACATTTATTACCATAGTTATTGTTCTTATGTTTTTAATAGACTTTTTAAAGCCTGTTGAATGTGTCTGAATTCACACAAACTGGTTTTAAAATTAGACTAAACTCTTCATCAGTGCTTTTCAAACAGCAAGAGCTTTAAGGGTTTGTAAAGTATAGTTAAAGGGGTATTGCGGTGTAAAATTAAGTTAGGGTCAAACACACCATAACACAGAGTTAGACACCCGCTCGAGAGATTAATGTTGCCGACCGCAGGACAGCAGTACAGAGAGCCCAACCAAAACGCCACTCTTTAGCCACAAATAATGCTCAGAACAGCACCTAACTTCATCAACAGTACATATAAGGTCCCAGCCATAGTACTAGCCACCAAACATCTTTTTAGCGTTGCCTAAAAGACTAAACACAACTCACCTACTCTCTTCCAGCAGCCGTTTGTTTGTAGCGAGACCTCGGGCCGGTCCATTACAAACTGCTGCGGGTTGACGCAGCTCAAGGAAGAACATTTATGAGTATTACTTCATGAAATTGCAATCAGACCGAGACACTGATGCAGAAGAACTACCAAGTCTGCAGTGCAAAATGATTCATATGGTGATTACTACTTTAAGGAAATGATAAAGACATGATCATAAATGTTCTTCCTTGAGCTGCGTCACCCCGCAGTAGTCCGTAATGGACTGGCCTGACGTCTCGCTACAAATAAGCGGCTGCTGGAAGAGAGTAGGTGAGAGAGAAGAGTTGTGTTTAGTCTCTTTGCTAAAGAAATTAGGCAAAGCTAAAAAGATGTTTGGTGGCTAGTGCTATGGCTGGGACCCTTACTGTTGATGAAGTTAGGTGCTGTTCTGAGCATTATTTGTGGCTATAGAGTGGCGTTTTGGTTCAGGTTTGTCTAAGGCTCCTCAGACCGCTGTGTATTGCTAGCTAAAAAAGTTTATCTGGACTCTTGAATGTCTTAATTGATTGGCAAAGTGGGAGACATTACCGATCAGACTCTGCTGCCTTTCTGTAGGTGATGATACTAAGTTGTCTCCTTGCTCTGTGTTTATCCTGAAAAAAAAGAATAGAGACATTTCTACAGAGCAGACTAAGTTGTTTTGTTGTTTTTCTGAACAACCATGTGAATACATCCTCAGAACAAGATTTAGTATCTGTCAAAGCAGAATATGAGTAAGAAACAGTCATTCAGTGTTTCATGGTTGTGCAAACAGCTTGGCCGGGACCAGAAAATGCTCTGAGGTTTCATCCTCGTGTACTTTTCTCGCTGTCTCTGTTTACAGTTTGTGTTGTTCTGCGGATGCTTGGATGAAAGAGATGTCGAAGCACATTCAATCATTTCCTGTGAGAAAGTTTCAGTTTGACAGCCACAACTTGTTGGACTTCCTTGTGAGTCGCGCATCATCTGGAGCTTCAGGAGGAGCAGTGTGGGGCTGGAAATACCTTGTGTTAAGTCTGGTACCTGCGGGTCAGTCTGGAGCTGTTGTGAGGACAGTGTTGCCCGTGTGTGTTGGTTGAGGTGGGGTCGTTCCCTTGGTGAGGGCCTTGGGGATGGTGGCGACAGGGTAACCTGAGCCGCTGTGAAGCAGCTGTAGCCACGCAGAGCTGATCCCCCGAGGTCCAGTGCAGATCAGATGATGGTCCAGTATGTGTATGAGGGTATGTGTGCGTGTGTATCTGAGTGTGTGTATATATATATATATTAATGGATGTGTTTTTGAACAGCATAGTTTCTACTTTGGACAAGTGCACACTAAACTGTGTCGCACCAAACCTCATAGAGTTTTTGGTGATTTTAATCCCTTGTCCAAGTTTAATATTCAAACAGGTGTGTAAGTATTTGAGAGGATGTGTCCATATTTATGTAACGTTAATCTTCAACAATTTGACAGTTATAAAAAATGATAGCCAGTGTGGTTCTAGTTTCTTTGAGTGTGTTAGTGCGTGTGTATATGCACGTTTGACAGGTATTAAGTCTCTAATTTATAAGTGTGACACCCCAAATGTGTTCAAACCAAACTTCACAGACTTTTGGGGTACTTTTTAGTCCTTCTCTCTGAGGTTAAATGCTAATAAAAATGAGTCCGGGTGTGTGTGTGTGTCAGTGAGCTCATGTTATAGCGGCAGGCCAAGACAGCTGGCTGAAGGTTAATGTGTCACAGCTCTCTTGGGAGCAGCTGCTATGTCACAGGCACCACTCGTGTCTATAGATAGCCATGAATACAAACTCTTCCTCTTTTCTCCGCTGCATTAACACAACAGCTCTGTCCCCGGCATGCAGCTCAGGCCTCTCATATGAACTTAGTCCACAAGCCAAATGCTGCTGCTCCCAGGTTTGACCTCCTCCACTCCCAGATTCTGGATCTGGAAGAGTCTGCTGGTGGTTAAGATCTCACTGCAGCCTCTGAGCCAGCTGGCTGGGAACCTGTCTGATTACTGTAATAACTTACTCCACATATCTGGATAGTCATCTGCAGTATTAATGCCTGAAACAGGTGAGGGACTAAAACTGCTGTTTTTCCCGTCACTCTTGGCAGGATTGTCAGAAGCTGTCTTAACACTTGTCTGGTCTTTTTTAAGAAGCGCATGCACGCACACATACATATCCAAACTGACATTATGACAGCCCGACATAGTGATGCAAATTTAAGAGGTGCAGAGGTGTTCATTATGAGGCTCTCACAGGTGTAATATAAAGCGGTGTTAAATCTGTTTTTTTTTTTTTTAATTAGATGAACTCAGAAACCCGCTGAACTCACTGAACCTCAGCTCACAAGTTACTCTTTCCACGAGAAAGTAGACCAGTGTTTAATGGCAGGGTTTTTGGTGGGATTCCTAATTATTGATTCATTTAATAATTTAAAGCTTAGTAAGTTTCTCTGTAACAAAAACAGACCACAGTAGACAACAGGTCTGTTACTGAAGGATTAAAACAGAACAGCCGCAAACAATGAGTACACAAAAGACTTATTAACAGCTCTATCATTATCAATTATTCTTGCCAAAAAAAAGTAACTACTTATGCCATACAGTGCTAACAAAAGAAAGTCATTTACAAGCATGATACCACCCAGTAACCACAGCTGGTGTGCAGGCTCTTTGAAACAACTACAAAGGCTACTGAAGAGCTGTTTGTGTTTGCAGTTTGATTTGGAAACTGATATCCTGATAACCCCCTCCTGCCGTCTGCTCTCAGTTAGATATTTGAGTGGTTTGTTGTTCTCTTTAAACAGCCATGAAAGGCCGGTAGGACCTGCTGCTTTGACAGGCATGCTAATGCTTCACTCCCAAACGGACGCCAGGTGACTTGACTGTGGCTCAGATCAGATGAGTCCATGCCGGGGTGATTATCTGTGTAATGAGAAGAAAAAGAGTCTGTGATAATGGTAACGCTTTTGATTAAGAAATGTCAGGACTTTTTGTATCATGAATTCTCTGAAAAAGGACTGTGAGGCAAAGAAAAGAGTAATATTTTAGACTGACGGTAGTCGGCTGCTTGTCTGATAACATCAGAGCATATCTGTTGATCTAAGCGCCCTGCTCTGAACCCAGCTGGGTCCACAAGGCTTATCTGTCACTATTCATACAGGCCTTTCATCCCATTCATAAACAGTGTTATCATGTAAAGAGTAAGTGGTGCTTTTCTTTCAAATCCTGCATTTGATTTCAGGTTTGTGGTTTAACTTTTCCTGACATGCTTGAAAACAGAGAACCTGAGCTGAATTCCTGTTGTGTGTGAATCTTAACACCTTTTCCTTCGAAAGATAACTCTGAGTATTAGTTTACTAATTTTCTTTAAATAGAAGATAACTAGGTCTGGAGGCTAACCAGGCAGTCACTGATCACACTTTGGCAGCTCAGTCCCAGCCTTCTCCTGTACACATGCTCAGGTATAAGCCAACCTCAGTGATACCTCTACAACATGCCAGCACACTCTGAAGTTACCCACTGCGATCATTTTGCACATGTTTGCATGGAAGGGCGAATTGGCATCATAAAATTTTGGAGCATGTTACATACAGAGAGTCAGACTTCAAAAGGTCGAATCAAAGAGATTCAAATTTTATTGTCCTCAGCCCACAAGTGTTCAAGTGTGTGCTGAGCAAGCTGATGATAAGTCCCCTGTTTAACTTTGGTGGCTGATTGAGGTTGAGTGATGGTTAATTGACATACTTTAGTTTTTATGTTTTTAACCCATATATTTGTGTATTTATTGCACATACATCAATGTGCCTTGTGTTTACCAAGGCAACAAGACAAATTTATCTGCAGTGACAATAAAGTAGAACCTGCATGTAGGACTTGATACCAGTAGTAACACCTTCTCTTGCATTTCTGTGTCAAATGACAGTTTTAATCACATCATATATCAGATTGGAACAACATCAGAGCTCTTAGTGGGGCTGAAATAATGATATGACTGCAGCAATAACAGTAGAATATGTTAAGGCTGGGATGATACGCTTTTCTAATGATTCGATTCTTCTACGATTTTTTGATGCCGATTTGATTGAAATTGCGATTCTACAATATTGGCGGTTTTGTTGATTTTTAGTCTGCATTTTTAACACCAGTGAAACAGTTGAATTATTATGATTGTCTACGGACTATTCCAGGAACCATATTTTCCCCCAAAAATACACATCACATGTAAGTCAGTTTTTCAGATTTATTCTTAAATTTGAAAAGAAAAAAACAAAAATTGTAAAAAAAAAATCGCGATACTCGATTTTTTTTTCTCCCACCCCTAGAGTATATGGTATTTACTGCTAGTATAGATTTTGTCCTAAAGGGTTACATTATTTCTTATATACAGTAAGAATACATTTTCCTGTTTCATTTAAATATGCCCCAGTTTTCTGATGCTAGGGATCCCTTCTTCCTGGCAACGCATTTACCAGAATCCAGGACCCTAATCTCTAAAATTATTATTGAAATTGGTGTTTAATAGCTGCAGCCTGATGAGCCTCTGTTGATGAATGGTATGACCTGTCAAACATCCAAAGCCTTTAAAATACTTAATAAGCTGTAATGTGAGATTTAAAAAATGCTTTAAAATGCTCAAATGCACTCATTTCAGCAGCTGAGATAGTTCAGTGTCCTTAACTAGACCAGTCAGTGATAAAAAGTGTTTACCGACTGCTCATGAATTTATTCATCTCTACATTAAACCCCCTTTTCAGTCCTTAGTAATATACAAAAACATCAACAGTCTCACAGATGTATCCATAAAGAAAATATTCAGCTTCATTAAGAACTGAACTTTCACGACAAAGATCAAGTGACGGTCAAAACCCCCGGCGTGTCTTTGATGTGCAGCTACAAACCTTAAATACTGAACTTGCTCTTCCTCTGCTATCTGACTATTGTACCACATAAGGAGCTTGTAGAGGTGCAGGCCTGTCAATCAAGCTGCTGTTACCATGGCAGCAGTGTTGATCAGCTGATGTGGAATCTTTTTGCCTGTAAGATCTAAGGCTGAGCATCAGTGGTATGACCAGGTCTCCTTCTGCCGGTGGTTTTTGCTGAAGTGTCTGTTTTAGTTCAAAGACACACACACACAGATTTGCACGGTCCCGTCTATCAATTGCTTTCAGCCTTGTGGACACAGGTGACACACGTGACAAGAGAGAGAGCGGGATGAGGGAAGTATGCTCGTCAGTTTGAAGGGAATAGAGCAAATGAAAGAGGCAGAAAAGCTGATTTTTCTCCTGTGCGCCTGCCGAAAAGTGTTGAGGTTCAAACTGAATTTCACTCTCGAAGCAAAGCCTCACCTGGTGCAGAGTGCGGGGGAAGAAGCACGCCTGCCTGGTTGTTATGCTCAGCTCAGCTCTGCTCAGCACCACGCAGCACACCACAACCTCCTGCGTCGCTCGAAACAGCCAACTTTTTTCCTGTGCACAATGCAGCCTTTATACACGGCCTCCATAATGGAGCCAGCTCCTTCACTCATGTCCTCATTGTCTTGGCCAGGATGAGAAAAGGCTGCTCTTTAGGGAGAGCGAGGCTGAGCTCACCCGTGAATCATGCCAACAGTCACGCTTGTTCTCCGTCTTCTGTGAGCCAGAAAAGGGGGGATGGGGGGCAAACGTTTTCCAGGACCCCAATCCACTAGGTAGACATGTTAAGGTGGTTAACATCACCCCGTAGGGTAAGAGAGAGGTTATGACCTTGCTTTTTCCTGTGTCTGTGGGTGGCCCAGTGCAGCATTCACCCTATGGCGGTGATGGTGGAAGAATAAGTGGGACAATTGCTCTGACTCCTGCAGCGACGGTGGCTTGTTGCAGCTCTAGTCTGGTGTTGCAGGGGTCTGCAGGGGGGGGGGTGCGGTGGTTCTTCACAGCAGGAACTCTGGCCTTACCCTCTCAGCAGCCCTCTGTTCTCCATCAGGAGCGCAGTGGCTGTTTGCTCGGGGCTGCGGCAGGGAAAGGACAGAATCCATATGAAGCATACGTCTGCTGTCACCACTGCAGTATCCACGGTACTCCACCTCCCCCCTCCGCTCTGCTTCCAAACGGCGAGCTCTGTACTGCAGGAAAACAGAGGTGAAAGATGGGATTTGGCACGCAGATGCAGGTAGAAGAGTTTGTGAGCTGAGAGTGGTGTTAAGGTGGGTGTCAACGGCCGGTTAAGGAAATGAAATGCAGACGTAGTTAAGAGAAGGGGGGGCGTTGCTATAGGTTGTGAGATGGTGTGAGACGGCAAATCAGCATGCATGCACTCTACCGCCGTGCTCTGCATTTCCAGCATGGAAAAAGCAGCATGGTTGCCATGGAAACAAATCCTGAATTAGTGCAGGGCTCTCTTGGACCCCTCCACCAACCCCACGTTTCCCTCTCCCTCTTTCCCTCTCCCTCCCCCCTCCTCTCAGCAGCCCTGGTGCTCAGACCTCAGACCGGCCTACTTATGGGAGCAAGGATAAGGCTCTGTGTAGAGATCATGTCCAAAGCTCCGCACTCGATCCCAGAGCAGTAACGTGGGCCAGTGGATACCGTGTGCAGTAGACAGACTCCGGCCTCACACACACACACCCACCCACCCACCCCTTCCTCTGTAATGCTGCCATTAAATTTCCATGGAACACTCAGAAAGTGATTTGTATCTTGAGTCTGCCGTATAGTAGGTCATATCCCGGTTATTTATGAGATGTTAATGTGCCCCCTCATGTCCCCTTCATACGCTCTCGTAAATCAAGAGGGGGATTCTCAGTATTGCCATGGAAACGCAACAGAGATTGACTGCAAGAACAATCAATGTATGCTCTGGCAGTTAATCCCTAAAATACTCCTTATTTGCCAATCCTATCATATATATATCAGATTTTAGATCAAGATTACACTTAGTTGATGATAATATGAGAACAGAATAATACTTAGAGCCTGAGGTGATAGCTTTGTAAGAGATCCCACTTGGACTACTTGGAGTTTGAACCAAATAATGACATGACTTTTTTCTTTCATAAAACAGTCAAAAACCTTCGACTCTTTGGTTTTCAATGGTATAAAACAGAATAAAGCAAAACCAACAAGTACAAGCAAGTATTTCTCTAATTAGAAAAAAAACATACAATGACCTGCAACCTCAGATAGTTTAAATTCAATTTTCTCATGATTGAACTGTTGATATTGAACGCAAAAAGCATGCAGGGAACTTTTATATCAAGCGTGTAGTTTTATTCTTCAGTGGGGACACAGAGAGCTGCTGCTGCCAGTGCAGAACTCTAAATCAGGGACCATTAAATCACCAGATTTTTGATGGGTGCCTTGTCTCCCTCGGGGCACCTGTCAGCAGTAAAGATTGAACCGTTTTCCTGCAGGAGTTCTGAGTTCACTTTTCTATCCAGGGCACGTGTTGCATGATGTGTTTGAGGCTGCAGCAGGACACTGACTGACTTCCTTTTTGGCCCGCTGGAGCCGATTTGTCATGTAGCGGTCTGATGTCAAGCTGTTGTGACATCCGAGTTGATGTTCTGCCTCATCTCAGCCCCTGGAATAATTAGATTGATTGCTGCTTGACTTAGAGCGGGGAGGAAAGTCTGTGTTAACGTGGGATGGAAGATTTGCAAGAGGAGATCAGATTAGTAAAAATAGATATTCTGGCCTATTTGGATAAAAAAAAACAGCGCTGTGGAGGGGAAGAGGACTCAATCCCTCCACATATGGAGGACTTTATAAACACAGTGAGTATATAAAACTGTGTTTATCAGCTGTCATCATTTTATCAACTGCTCAATTTACAGAGATAAGGTTGTTACATTATTATACGTTACATCTAGAAAATAAGTTCAGTCATTTTCGATACCTCGCTGAATCTGTAAATATCTACAGTATAAACTGTTCTTGTGTAATGCAAGTACACATGATCCGCTGTTTAAGATTGCGTCTTTGCTCTGTCCCAGTTTGCTTTGGCCGGCGGCCCACTTTAGACAGACAGTTGCTGCTGTCCGCTGTGCAGAGGGAACTGGGCCAGCCTCGCTGCCTCTTCAAACTCTGTAGAAACTTTTTAAACCGGAGTTTGCAGATTATTAAACAGCTGCAGGCCTTATTTCTTACTCCTGAAAGTGGATCTTTTGAGAATTATTTACACTAAGTTTGCCTTTGAAAATACCAATACGCAGTTTGTTGTTCCACTTCTCTTATAAAGTCTTGTAATACAACCTCAGAGAGAGTTTTCTATTTTTACAAAAACACAGTCGAAATAAAACAGAAACAGACTCATAACAGCGCACAGAGGGGTTAAAAATTCCCCAAGGGTCCCGCCAAAGGAGCCCACCTAACACTAAAATCAAGAACCTTTAATGTCTTGATATAAATCACTGTCATATTTCTTTTACTCTACAGATGATGTAAAATGTGACTCTTATTTTCTCGTTCTGCGTTGCTGCTTTTACCTGTTCACTTGGGTGCTAAAGTTAAAAGTTGGGGGTTTTCCAGTACACACACTGCTCAGTCATGCAATGAGCAGCAGGCAAATGAAACAGGTGTTTGCCAAAATGACTTATACAGTTCTCTGAATGTGTTATAATTCCTCAGAAACCTCACGTCTCTATTTTCTGCACTTTGTATGTCTGCTTTTTGACAGAATGAGGATGACTGATTACTGCTCTAAAAATGAAGCTTTGTCTTGTTTGAGAAATAGATTCTGTGTAGTTAAAACTGTTGAGTAATATACTGCTGCAGTGACTAAGATGTTGTGTGTCTGAACAAAAATCAGGTTATGAGTGATATCTGAAAGACAAAGGCCGTCACTCGTGAAGTGTTGTTGGGCTCCGAGCCCTGAGGAGCGGCTTTACTCATGTGTTTTCATGTCTGGCTAGCTTTACTCATCATCATCATCGGCGCAGACAGACTCTTGTCCAGATCTGCAGAAGTCGTGGAGTCATGATCTCTACATTTAGGTCACAGAGAGAGGAGCTGCTTGTAATCTGACAAACATTCCCAAACATCTTCTGTCTTGATTTGACATCTCTTCCCCTCATCACGCAAACTCCCCCCCCTCTCTTTTTCTCTCTCTCTTCCACACACACACACACGAGCTGCCTCCAGCTCTCACACTCCGTGGCTCTCATGCACACAGTAAATGCGGCTGGAATGTGTGATGTGGACTCGCTGCGGCCCGGGCTAGTCCTGCTCCATTCAGCGGCAAATCCCCCTGGTTTAGGATTTGCTTTTTCAGTCCTGTGTGCCAGCGACCGTACTCTAAACTCACCGTAAGAGTCTCTCACCCGCTCGTCATGTTTTCCCAGCGGCAGGAATGTAAAGTAATGTGCCTGAATGAGCTGAGTCACAATTAACGTCTCGGTGCTGATTGGTGCATTCTTTCTTCACACAGTCAGACACCTGGTGATCCCCGAGTGTCTTTGATTCCAGTTTCCTGCTGTGGGATTGTGAAACCTGGCTGCAGGCGAATGAGTTGTACTCTTTTGAATGAAAAGCAGTTTACACTACAGACATTATCGGTGAAATGTCACGGCCTGTATCAACAAGACAGCTGACAGATAGAAGGAGTATTCAACTGGAACTAAAACAAGCTTGCTCTGTTTTTCTGTCTTACGGCTCTAATCTGTGATGTTTAATCTGTGTTCATCAGGCCTCCCCTTCCCGAGAGCTCCATGGAGAAAATGAAGAAGTTTAAACGGCGTCTCTCTCAGACCTTACGAGGCAGCCACACCATCGACGAGTCGCTGTCTGAGTTGGCTGAACAGATGACCATAGAGGAGAACGGCCTGAAGGACAGTGGTGAGTGAAAGAGGAAAGAAATGGATCACTCTGTAGTCTTTGACATTAACAACCAGGGTTTCTGTCAAACAGTGACTCATGTAAATGTTCTTTATTCATACAACCCTTTACAACAAACCTTTCAGTGAACCAAAGTGCTTTACAGTACATAGAAATTAAAAATGAATAAATAAAAACAATAAAAAGCAATAAAAAAAGAATAAGATATAATAAAATAAAGTGTCTTCATGCTACTGGGTATTAAAAGCCAGAATAAATAAATACATTTTCAATCTGGATTTAAAAGGCCCAGGTTGGAAATAAGTCTCATTTCGGTGGGGAGCTTATTCCAGAGCCTGGGACGAAAAGGCTCGGTCACCTAGTGTTTGTGTTTTGACCTGGACATCTCCAGCAGAAGTTGATTTGACAACCTCAGAGCTCTACCCGGCTCCCGAACAGTTAAAAGATCAGTTAAATAGATGGGGGTGAAGCCATTAAGAGCTTTAAAAACAAATAATAAAAGTTTAAAATCAATCCTAAAAGAGATGGGAAGACAGTGTAGGTAGATAAGGACAGGAGTGATGAGTTCACGTCTGTTAGCATTAGTTAAAAGACGGGCAGCAGCATTTTGCACAAGTTGAAGGCGACTAAGAGATGATTTGGAGATCCCAACATAAAGTGCATTACAGTAGTCTAATCTTGAACTGATTTGAGCATGGGCGGCTATCTCAAGGTCGTGACTCATGGGCTTGATCAAACACACAACCAATATGTTGAATTTCCAGCATGTTTGCCTAATAAAGTACGAGGCTGAAATGGGATTTAGTGCTTCATTTTAATGTATTTACTGAAGACTTTTATCCAAATCCAAATTTGATCAAACTCTGATCCAGAAGCTCAAGCCTAAAACTCCAAAGGATTAAATATTTTGTTCATGTTTCTGACTTCATTTATATTCATTTTCTCTCATTTGTGTGATTGTGGACACTCAGTGCTCCCAGCTCTTCCACCCTGTCCCTATGTTACGTCACCTCTTTGGATTGTCTGAAGGTTGAGGCCTTTCAGCCGTCAAAATAAAAGCAGTGTATCGCAGCAGCTTATCTCTGCTGGTATTCACAAAATCTTGTGCACCGAGCGAGGGTTCAAGTCTCGTTGTGCTACAACCCTGTTCCCATGGCGCTTCGGATCTGGAAACATTCTAGAGTTTCCATGACATCGCCACGGCAACTTGGATGACTTGGTGAAACCATTTCCTCCTGATTTTTTTTCACCGTCTAGCTCTTCTTCTCCTTCTCTTTGGCTGCCCTGACCCTTCCCAACAAGCTTCTTTCAGGCCTGTCCTCAGTTTTCCCCCTCTTGTTTTTTGTCCAAATGAGAAGCTTTTTTTTTCTTCCTCAATCAATCAGATCGTCCAAGTCCACTTCACCCCTCCCCCCTCCCAACCGCCCTCTGAGAACTAACCAGGCTTTGTAAAGAGCTTTTTGTGCAGTGATTAACACCAGGTTTGGCCAGAGTGTTCTGTGCTTGGAGTGGGGACACAGAATCATGTTGTGTTTGTGTGTTTGAGCCTGCGTGAGTGAGGGGATTTCAGCAGCCTGTGTAGCAGTAAGAAGGGTAGAGAGGAGACAGAACGGAGTAGCCACATGAGATGGGATCTGACCTCAGTGATTGGGGGGAAAGCGTTCTGGTCCTAATCTGATTATATAACACGTATAACTCCGGCCAGAGGCAGCAGCAGCAGCTGCGCAGAGATAAGGGACAAGTGACAGAAGGACTTAGATGTTACACGGGGGCTGTTTGTTATTTTGTTTTTAAAGGAAATCGAGGAAAATGAAAAACTCCTACAAAACAAATTCATTAAGGTTATGATAAATCTTTAAATACAGGGAAAAACAATCATACTTGACTATTTTTTAGACATGCTGTCAAAAGCTGAAAAGAAGGTTCACTGGTGGAGTTATCTAACTTTACAACAATGACTGAGTAATCTTAGATTGAAGTGATAGAGAAAAAAAAGTTTGAAAAATTTGAACATCTGTGCTCACATTTATTATCATTTTATAGCCTAACACCTACGTTACCCTGAATCAGCGCTGAAAAGGCTGCCTCAACCCTGCAAGTTTAATTTTGGCAATAAACACCGAAAATAGTTCGACCCTGGAACCTGGAAGCCAAATAAATCTGACAGTTATGAGAGGTGGTGTAACTGGTGGTATGGCTCGCTTCCTTTCAAAGCTCATGAATTTTGCCCTTCTGTAGGCTTTAAAGTGAAAGTATGAAGCACCACACTGTAACTACGCAGATTTTTTCCTGCCTCAGACTGATTTTGGCTGAAGATAGATTTGACAGAAAAGCTGCCGTGTTTATCCAGCCATAGAATCAGGCTGGTGGTGGATTTATCTAATTATGTGTTGGAAGGGTTGCTGTGCTCTCAATGAAAGACAGAACATACGGTGAGGTGTTACAAAACTGTGTTCAAAAACTGCAGCAAGAAAGCAGTGACTGGCTGATACACTGTATGTTGTTGTAGTATATTGAACTCTTGGAGTATATTTTTGCATGTTCAGACCCAACAACACTTCTACCACATCTTTTTGCCTCTAATGGTAAAAAACTTGTGGTGTATCGAACTTTGTAAGAGTTTTGAATTGCTGATGTGGATCCATGCAAAGTTTGATTTTAGGGCACCCCCCCCTCCTCTATCCGGATTTTACTTCACAAAAAAAAAAGCAAATATCCTTCACTTTGGGACAGTCTACAGCATTAAAAGCTTCTTAAGTTGATAAGAAGCAGACATCTGGTGTCCGTATTTGTTTTATCTACTTTCACAGCCTTTCCTCTACTTTGCTAACCGAAGACGAGAACGGCCATGGATTTGTCTTTTTTTTATGCACTGTTATCTTGTGATAATGACTTGTCTTGTTATTTCGATAAAACAAACATCATTTTCTTGTGATAACGGAAATGACGTTGAAGCTGACCTCAAATGGTAACTTTTAAAAACGCCCTCCAGAGTGGGTTTTTTCTGAAACACGGCCATCGTTGTCAACAGCAAGCCGGGGTTTTCAGTGAAAACACTGACGGCACGCTCCACTTTACACATGCGCATTACACTTTCAACATGAGAACATTTAACTGCCATATGTGAATTGGACAACAACAGTAACAACGGCGGACACATTACTAATTCAATATCAAGAGTAAACGATCTTTGTTATGTCAAGAAAATGAGATAATAAGCCGTTATCACAAGATAACCGAGCATGAAAAATAGAAATTCATGGCTGTTCTCATGCTTCATATCAAATATTTGTAATTTGATTTTATATTTTGACCAACGTTGAATACATCTGAATTCAGCTCAGTCTTATTCCAGCCTCCACACACTGACCTCTGACCTCTGCTGAACTTTTAAACCCTGTCTCCCTTTTTTTTAAACCCTCTCTAATTTTCTGTGAAGAGTATTATTTGCTTTCTAAGTGTTGCCTTTTACCTCCTCATCATCACTTTCTTATTTTACACCTTTTGTCAGTCAGTTTCTCTCTGTGTGATCTCGCTGCCTGCTTCGATAAACAGCTCCTCTGGGGCTCCATTTTCTCCACACTTTCACAGTTGGGGCTTTAGTTGGTGCTAGTCTACACATAATAAATCTTTTACCTCTGTCAGCCCGATTCTCGCCTTCGGACAAATGCTCCTCTGTTGGGCAGTTGTAGGGCCCTTTCTAAAGACATAATACACTGCTGAGACTACAAGACAATATGCGTACACACATGACTCTCTCACTTATTTACTCTGGTATTGACAGTTTTCAGTTTCAGTGTTACACCGGAGAAAGAAGCAGACCCTGGTGCAAAATAACCACACCTGTAAAAAGTAATTTAAAAAGTAATAAAGGGGATGTTAACTTAGGATCATATCTCAAACTCTTGAACTTACTGCTGTAAAACTTGTCATTTCTCAGTGATTTAACACAAACCGTCAGTTTTCTGTTAAGAGTTCAGTAACAGGAACACACACTTCATGTTGAATAGTATTTGACATACAGTCACCTGTTTTACAATGTTACTGCGGCTAACCCATATCCGTGTGAATCTATGCATCAGTTGATAAGGAGTTAAAACCTCTTATGTAACTGCGATTATTTCATGCACTCTGGTTTTATGCAATGTAACCACAGATGTATCATCTGTGCGACACAAAGCCTGAAGTCTGTTTGCCAACAGGTTCTTCAAATACTCACACCACTGAATTATGATTATAAAAACAGACTCATCGCTGACGTTATTTAGATTCATACTTATTCAATCTGAGAATAACATTTCTGTGACTCTTTGTAAAGATTGAAAGTAATACTTAAAGATTTAACAACAGAGACAAATTCGGTCATTAGAAAATAGAAGGTCTGAATGTCTTAATCCCAGAAATGATTTTAGCGGTTCTGTTGTGTTTCTGAATCTGAACACACAAATTCATCTTAAGACAAAATCGCTAGCGAAGATTTATGGATGTGGGGTTGAATTAAAGTCATAAATGTTAACATAAAGGTAAAAGTGGTGGATCCTTCTGTTCTTAACTTTGACAGTGATTATACCTCAACAAAAACTGAGACTGAAAGAAGTAAGCATATGTTTTAAACTTATAAAAGGGAGAAAAGGATCAAAAACTTCGTTGTCTTTCAACAGTATCATAATATATTGAATAAATGTTGTAGATTTTCCAGCCCATACTGTTACCATTATACACTGTTAAACTGCTGTAGACCCCAATAAGAAACTGTAGACTTGAGTTTAATAATTCATACTCTTGACACCAGTGTGTTTGTTCTTCCACAGAGCCCATAGTGAGGAATGGCCGTCCTCCGTCAGCCCACAGTGTCCACTCCTTCCTCCACCAGTACACAGGCTCCTTTAAGAAGCCGCCGCTGAGACGGCCTCAGAGCGTCATTGGAGGAGGCCTGGGCTCACTCATGGTTATGCCGCGCAACGGCAGTCGCCTCGGTGAGACACAGTGACACACACAGACGCACAACAGTGACTTTAAATCAGAGATAGGGGACAAGCAGATACTATTATTTATATTATTATGGTCTTTTAATAGGAGGATCAGGATCTTGATTATATTACCGCTCTTTTTGAAGTTGCTAACGTCAATTAGTTAAACTAATGATAATATTGTCCTTGAAGAAAATAGAATAAAGACTCTTTTAGTCAAAGTGTTATTTTGATTTCATCTCATGCATTTTAACCAACTCATACTGAATACAATGGAAACCAAAATGTTGACATAGGAATGACTACAAGTTATTGCACGATTTTTGAAATGCAGTGTTGTCATATTCAGCATAGAAAGCTAAATGCAGTGGATTCACTCAATGTGGTGGATGTCCCATTTATAAATTCCATGGTCCGTATCAGCGCCTTAGGTCTGCATTCAAGACAGCATCAGTGTGTGTCTGTGTGTGAGTACAGGACTGCACAGATTGAATCTCTGTATTTGCAGACCGTGAACACATTAAAATCTTTGATGATCTAATACGGTCCTAACATACACCCCTGATTTTAAATACAGGTGAAGTAAAGGTGATTAGGAAGTTTATATTTATCTCAAATAGGATGCACAGATATCTACACGCATCATATCTTTAAAACTACATTACATTGTTTTTATAATAAGGATGGGTCTACACACACACTGACCTGCATTATGTGTAATTATCAGTAAAAAAAATTCTGCCAGAGGCAAATATTAGTTAGACACAGGAAAATATCAGACAAAAAACAACAAGTCCAGTGTCAGACTCAGTCACACACAACCAGCCTGTTTTTCTGAATAACACTGAAAATACAGTTTTTATCATTACAGCTAACTGTAAAGCTTGATTTCCTAAACTAAATGCAGTTTATACATCTGCAGCTTTCTCGTTTTATAAAGTTGAAGCCCTGGGGGTATGGTGGAGTTCTTTATATGCACAAAAGTCTTCATAAAATTACAGTGTAATGTGTTTTTATGATGACTGGATTTGCCTCGTGAGGCCCTTTGGCAACAAAATGAGTGAGAATTATCTGCCAGTTTTTCTAAACCCTAAAAGAGTCTTGTATATAACTAATGCTTGGACACTACCAGGCGCCTGATAAGAAGAGAGAGGCTCATAAAAGTGTCAGTAACAGTGTTTCCTTTCCTGCTGAAGTCATCAGGCGTTGTCGAGCTCTGCCCCGTGTTTCCACAGACCTGCTCCATCAGTCAAACCCCTCATCCTCCTGTCCTCTCCCTGTTTTTCTTTCTGTCCGAAATCCAGATATCGTCCATGAGAACTTGAAGATGGGGTCGGACGGGGAGAGCGACCAGGCGTCTGGGACTTCCTCCGATGAGGTGCAATCGCCCACGGGTGTTTGTCTGAGGAACAGAGGGAACAGACGTATCTCTGCAGAGGTGGAATATGTTTATCTGAGCTTTTTTGAAACTTTCAGTGCTCTCTTATGTTCTTTCTTTGTAAATGGAAGAACATGTTGGAGGATGTGAGTCACTGGCTGCTGTAACAGGTTTTGACATTTGAATATGTTGCCGCTATGAATCATGAATCATTCGTTCAGTCGGAGGTTTTACCTGGCTCAGCTGTTCAGACTCCACTTAGAGGTCGTAGAGAGAATCTTTTTTAGTGGTTAACCAAAACTAAAGACAGCTGCGTGTTTGACGACAGATCCTGTTTTTATTCTACAAAGGTGGTAATTAATGTGGTGTTATGACCTTAAGTAGTGTGACATGAGCACGAAAGTCCTCAACTGCAATCTCAGTGGCACACACACACACACACACACACACACACGCTCAGAGTGACTTCACACACTGCGATGCTGAACATACTTTGGAAAGCTGTTTCACAAAGACTTCACAGTTGCCACCAGTGCCACCCACCCAACCCCCTACTTACATACTTTCTCTCTTACACACACACACACAAACACACAAACACACACACACATTAACTGAGTCAGTAAGGGGCAGATTTTGACATTCCTCTTGTGGTTACATAATGTCAACACATTATGGAAAGACTTCTCGCTGTGATTTTTTATTATTTTCTCTCGGTGTCAAAGCTGGATTTCATTTCACCCCCCCTAGCATAGTTTGAATTTAGATTCCAGGGTGTGTGATTTTGCACTCATTAAACAAGGCTTAGCACTGTTATCTCCATCTTGTTAAGTTCGACCACCAGGAAGGTTTTTTAATGATAGGGTTTGTCATCGCTTACCCCAAAAAAATGACGCCTTTAAGGAGACAGTTGAGGACACAAATGCAGATCCAGATTAAGCATGCTGCTTTAATCTGGGATATAAAGCAGCATGAAGTGAGACTCAGTCAGTCGTCTAATGATGTTTTCATCAGAGTGGATATGAGGTTTTGACATATCTGAACATTTACACAAAGACTGAAATTGTGTGAAACTTTTTCTTTCCAGCAAAGCTCAGCAAAGACTCGGTCTCTTTAATCCATCTTAATGGACACTAATGGGATTTAGGGGTTGCCCGACTGCCATGTGTCAATACAAACGACTCCCCCGGCTTCATAGTGAAAGTGAACAATGACAGTAAACTTGATGATAATCACGTTTATCTGGGTTTATATTGAGATCAGTATTACTGAACATGATCACAACTTTCAACTTTTTTAACACTTTGTAGAACAAAAATGAAGGTGAATAATTAGAATAAACTCTTATTGTTATTTATATACGTCATAGACAGCCAGCCAGAGACAGTTGAACGCATCTGTACGTCAACTAAAAGGAGCGTTGATCTGATTTTTGATGATAATACCAGCTGAATTTAACAAGACTTCTTGTAATTTTTTGCACTGTGTTGTTAAAAGTCAATGATCTTAACTTTATCTACTACTTGCATTTTCTCACAAGCTGCAGTTCTAACCTATTATCAATCCTTTTCAAGCCTTCATTATATCAAGATCTAGACTAGAGATAGACTGATCGATTAATCCGGCCAATTATTGGTGTTTTGACTTAATCAGGAAAATGCCATGTTGCCAGTACAGCCTGTTCTCCTCATCCTCAATACGAGTTGAAGTGAGAGCTGTTCTGGTTTGGTGCTCTGCTGTAAACCAGATATGACAAAACAAGCCAAATATGGCAGCAATCGTTTAATCCTGATCTTGTTTGTTGACAGTTGTCATTTATTTTCATTGCTGCTTGTTTTATAGTTGATTCACTTCTTTTGTGTCTTTAAAGACAAATTATTGTTGCAAAACTTTGAAAACGATCAAACTTAACATTTGCTCAGTTTAAGAAATCAAGGTGTTTAAAAACAAACTCAGAACTATGTACCTGAAAGAGCAGACATGTGCTTAGAAATCCTGCTGCTCTTGTGTTTCGATGTGTGGTCAGTGTTATCATGAGTGAGCTACATGTTACACAGCACCTGATGAGCTGTTAGACAAAAATACGATCTTGTGATTTAGAAACTGACTCTTCCCTCGCTCTGACCGTGTTTATTGGTTGGTTTGATTGCAGGGGGTTTAGGAGCAGACACCAGACAAACAAAACATGCAGGCCTACACACACACACACACACACACACACACACACACACACACACACACACACACACACACACACACACACACACACACACACACACACACACACAAAAAAAAAAAAAAACTCTAAACTTGTAGTTAAGCTGCTTACTTCATTCAGGTCTACCCACACAGAGACATTACACATCACCTCTTGCTGTGTACCAAGTGTGCGCATATAGAGCACCCCGCACTTCCTGTCGGTGTTTCACCAACGCAAAAGGTTCATGTGGAGAAGAGCGCACATGATGAAGTCACTAATGTGTGGGTAGGAGCAGTGTGATTGACAGCAGGGCACATCGATGAAGAAATTAAACAATGTAAACACCGTTCTTTGATTTTGAACTGAGGGAACAAGGAGGCGAGGAACATAAGAAGGAAGTACAGGAGGAAGAGTGAGGAAATCCCTCAGTCTGCGGTCAAGTAGTGGATTGTTTGTGTCTCACGGGAGAGAAGACAGTGCTGTTTTGGGATTACATCACAAGGATTACTGTAATACAGTCCAGATGGGCCCCTGTTGTTACAGATTAGGACGGGTTGATTGGAGCACAGGGAGGGAGGTGGGGGGAGGGGCAAAGGTCAGGTGATGGATGGCTTTACTTGCTCTGGAGACCAACCGCCAATCCTGACACAGCAGACAGAAACAACAGGCTGGATGTAATGGATATAATGTCATTCAAAGGTTTTTACATAATCATCCCGGCAGGTTTTTAGTATGAGTCTGCAAATATCTTCTCATTTAAAGCCATACGAGGGGAGTCAACTGGAGGGAGAAGACATTTTAAAGTTTTGTTTTTGGACCATTTATGGTTTTATTTGATTGGGTGACTTTGAAGGGAGAAACAGAAGAGTGGGTGAAGACAAACAGCAGAGATCCATGCTACAAAGACTTCTTCTTGTTATTAGTTTGGATTTTTTCCGTGTTGTGCAGCCTTGATTGATAGAGAGTCAGTGTACTGTGATTTATGGCTCCCTCGTCTTGTGAAGCACAGCCTGTTTGTTTTTCAAAGACAAGTTATTAACAAAGAAATTGAGAAACAGCCGCTATTTAATTGTCATCCAACACTTAAGGGAATATGGATTTAGGAATATTAATTAATTTGGTAGAATATACATGCTGTTTACCACCTGCAGAGCTGCTGACCTTTGACCCTGACCTTTGATGAGATAAATTTCCTAAAAATGTATAGAGATATTCAAACTCTGGCTAACTGACTAGTAGGGATGGGCGATAAATTATCGTTTCTGATATATTGTCAGAAAAATCCTCCATGATAAATATTTGCCATCTCATGATGAATATGATAAATGCAAGTTGATGACGTAAGTGTGAGCAGAATAACAAACAAACATGGCCGCAGGTAACGTAGAAGACGTTTCTGAGCAGCTCGTTACTGTTACGAAACTCCACATGAGGGATTTCCTTCAAGAGTGGGGCTTAGATGAGTGCAATCAGGTATGCCTGATATCAGATAGTGGACCTGCTGCTGTTCACTCTGTGCAATAAAAGTTTTCAACAAATGTTAAGATAAGATAAGATAAGTTAATTCTTCTTATCTTATCTTCAACAAATGTTGTGTCACATTTGAGACTTGTTTGATGTCATTAGTTTTCGCCAGAACCTACCACTCAAACTTGTGTTTAAGTATCTTATTTGACTTCTCTAACTGAGTCAAAAACATTATAATAATTATAATAATTTTTATCAGGACTTTTATCGTTATCGACAGAATGGCAAATCTTATCATGATAAATTTTTAAGCCCATATCGCCCGTCCCTACTGACTAGTTTAATGTTAAGAAAAAATTAGGAACCTTTTAAAATCAGGCTGGTTGTTTTTGACTCTTTGGTCCTCGGCAGGTTCATTTCCACATGTCTGCATGTTTTCCTCTGTAGACTAATAAACATCTACGAGCTGCCTGCAGAAAAACAAATCATCACAGTCTGCCTTGCTTCTGCTGCATCACTGTTTGTGATTGATAAGCGCCCTCATATAGACGTGTTTAACAGCAGTTAATGTACTCCTCAGCATGTGTTGTGTCCTCAAGTTTTGATAAACAGCCACCTGTAGCCTTTGAAACCATCTGTACAAGTATATCCTTGTGAATCTCCCAGCTTGTGAGCACTGCGGCTGAAGGCTGAGTCACTGTTTGGGTTTCTATGAAAGGATGAAGGGTCAGTCCGCCCCTCCACATGTCAGTCACCTCCGGTTACTGATTCATCAGCGAGCACGCTGTTGAAATGTGGAAACATTCAAAGTTGCACTTTGTTGTGTGTTTGTGTTCAGCAGAGAGGGAAGAAGTTGGTTTGTGTGTGTAAGTAAGTGTCCAGTGTTACCTCAGAGGAAGTGAGATTTAAAGAGGGGCTGGATTAACGATAATCTAACAAACAGAGGAAATGCATGATGTGGAGAATCCAGACATTGTTGGTTTTGTTTTATGTAACGCTCTCATTAGGATCATGTTTTAATCCTTTGTTGCTCTGAGAGACTTTCACCCTGAACTCTTTAAGATCTCCATCTCCAGGCTTTAGTATGTACACCCCTGAACTGTGTGCTGCTACACGTGTCGTGTGTTCATACACTCACTCATACACACATTGCCCCCTCTGTTGACCAGTGAGGCCTGAAGCTAGCTCCTTCTTACACTTTATACTTGTTTACTTTGGATTTCTGCCCATTTGTTGACAGTCTTTGGTATTTACTCAGAGTTTATGCTGTTTGCCGAGAGGTTAATTCTGATTTTAAAGGGTCTTTCACCATGTTGACTCTTTTTTTAAATGGGGTAGTCAGGTGTTTTTAACTATTTTTGTTTTTCTGTGTGCAGGACCTGAACAAGCGTCTCTCCCTGCCTGCTGACATCAGGATACCAGACGGTTACCTGGAAAAGCTGCAGTTGAGCAGCCCACCCTTCGACCAGCCGCTGAGCCGACGTTCCCGCAGAGCATCACTGGTGAGACAGAGGGAGAAGATGAGGTGGAGAACGGGTCTGTTAGATGTCAAAACAGAAACGAGGATGTAAAGATAAAACAGCGAAAAACTAAGATCACAAATCCAAAGCTTGCGAGGAATGTATCAGCGGAGGTGTTTTTTGTTTTTTTTTTTGCATTTCACTGATAACTTGAAGAGGCAGCACTGTATTTTATAAGGAATTCAACTACAGTCTCACTGAGCAATAGATGGCTATTGGACGTCTAGTTTTTTTTTTTTTTAAACCTAACTTTAACCGTCTAGATTCTGTATATTTTAAGACAAAATTTAGACGTTGCACTTTAACCCATTATTCGATAACAGCAACAAAAAGCATCTGTGAGTTGCATAACTGATCTCCAAGTACTTAACCAAAATAATTTGATAGCCATTGAGCAATATACAGTGTAGTATAGATATAGCCTAAATTTAGACTTGGTCTAAATTTAGACGTCTGAATAACGTTCATTTTTAGACCTGTGGTAGCCTGATTTTAGATCAGTCATCTAGGCTACATTTAGACGACTGTTAGACCTCTTTTAGACCAAAAAATGCTCAGACAGTGGGGTGTAAGTAGATATTTTTAAATTAACAAAAGATGACTGCATGTGGTATCCAAAAAAAGTGACCTGTAGTGACCAAACCAACGGGGTATGTCTTTGGTTCTCTGTCGATGTAAGACCTGTCTAAATGTCCTTAACTTTCCTGTCATTAATGCTGTATCCAGCAACAGCAGGCAGCTTTTTACAGTCCTCAAGCAGTAATTAACCCCCTGAACATGTGACCTGCCCAGCGGCAAAGAGCAGAAAAAAATGAATGTGCTAAATGAAAATGTAGTGAATATCGAGCTGCTTTCAGAACCAGATGTGTTTTTTTCTCAGCCAAGGCAGGGAGAAGAGTTAATATTTGCTTTGGATTAGCTTATAATGACTCCTCAAAGATTGCTGACTCAGCTATGCTTATCACCGGATAGCTAATGGTCTGTTTTGACTAACACTGGTCTCATTTGGCTTGGTACGGTACAGCACGGTACAGTACAGCGCAGTTTGGTGTGGGAAACCTTGATCTAAGTTGCGTTTCCACAACAGACCGTAACCTACTCTGGGCCGTCATGCAGGAAGCTTGTTGGCTCCAGACTCTGGCATGGTTTTTGGCAGACATGCCCACAGATTAGACCGCTCAGACCACTTGCGTGAGCAGCACATGTCACGCAATTTTTAATTATTGCATTTTTATTGAGCTTTGAATCTCAGCCCAGAGTACACAGAAAATGAATGAGCTAAGAGCTGGACTGGAAATGTAAATGTTGATAAAAGCCTCTTTAATAGACATTTTTGTGTTGTATGCTGCTGCCTCTGTTGCAACTGCCCCTGTTGACCTTGTTGGTAGATAGATGAATTCAGCTGGTTGGACTACAGTACAGTAACCAGCTCTAGGGGCTCTGCTAAACTCATTTCTTTTTGGGCCGATGAAGCAAAATGAGTTCCTGACAAATCAAGGTTCTTCATCACATCCTTGCTTATTGAGTTTTAAGATTTCCTACATCAAAAGTTATAAAAATTAAAACTTCTCATTCAAAAATAAACAAAAAATAATAAATAGATAAATATAGATTTTATTTGGCAGCATAAAGCCACATCTTTAAATTAGATCTAATAGAAGAGAAACTGAAACAGCCTAAGAGTTAAAATCTCAAAACTGGCTTATGTAAATGTCCAGCACTTGCTGCCCACATAGCGTACGCAGTTCTGATTCAAGAGTCGGGTTAAACAGGCAGAAACCAACACAGACGAGCTGTTAGGAAGAGGCTGCATAATGGAAAGAGAGCAAGAGAGAGTGATGTTTTAATTTAAAGAGAGCAAGAAACAGGAGAGAGAGAGAGAGAGAGAGAGAGAGAGAGAGAGAGAGAGAGAGAGAGAGAGAGAGAGAGAGAGAGAGAGAGAGAGAGAGAGAGAGAGAGAGAGAGAGAGAGAGAGAGAGAGAGAGAGAGAGAGAGAGAGAGAGAGAGAGAGAGAGAGAGAGAGAGAGAGAGAGAGAGAGAGAGAGAGAGCTCTCACCTTAGCCTTTGACAGTCTAATCTCTTCTCCTCAGCCTGTCATGCGTTCACTCTGTCAGCAGCCTCAATAATTGGCTTGTGGTTTTACTGTGAAAGTGCGTCTATCAAAAGTAGAACAAAGGAAAAAGTATGAGAGCACTGTGCATCTGCATACATGCTCGTCTGCAGGTTGTTTGTACAGTGCACTGTGTTTTTTTTTCTCAACATGTGCACGGACATGTTAAAAAATCTGTGAGCCGGTCAGACTCTTCAGCTCATCAGGTTCTGGCTTAGAGTCGGATTAAAGTCCGGTGAAGCTGCCTCTCACTTTGACTGCTCTGAGGCTTACTCGTAAAAGGCTGAAAAACAACACCAGGTTCTTGTTGTCAAAACTACAAATCCTGCTGCTTAATATTATGGTAGTTTCAATTGCTGTTGTAGATTATTGTTTGTATTAATTCTAATGTGATCCTTAACCCAGAGCTGTTCTTGAGTAGGTGACGGTCAAATCATCACCAGTATACTCATTATACAAACATTATACATACAGTCAGTCATACATGACAAAGAAAAGCATCAAGTTTTGACACGTCTAATTAATTCAAGTGTTTTCGAATTTTCCTTGAAGGGATTAACCTGATTTCAAAATAAAGCGCTCCTCCCCAGTAAACAAACACACGGTAAAAGCCAAAAGCCAGCGGTCCGTTGTCACAACAAATCAGCTCTGATGGTTGTCGGGGGTTTCTGACCTCTTCCACTCCCTCCTCCGCTGCCGGGCCGTCATAAGGATTTGCCGTAGTGTCCGTAAGCTTGTCAGTGCTAATAACGACGCCCACCCTCTTTAATGCTGTTTGTCCTTTTCTCTCCTCCAGTCAGAAATTGGATTTGGGAAGCTGGAAACCTACATCAAACTGGACAAACTAGGGGAGGTATGTAAGAGAGTGTGTGTGGGAGGGTACACCGTTAACCTTGACTCTCTCACAGGTGCTACTGCTCTCAGATTGAGTGATATAACACATACAGTTTACTTTTAACCCCTTGGCTGCCTGGCTGCAGCTTCTAAAATCACTCCTCTCTCTCCTCTCTCCTGCTCCTCCAGGGCACGTACGCCACCGTCTTCAAAGGGAGGAGTAAACTGACGGATAACTTGGTGGCGCTGAAGGAGATCAGACTGGAGCATGAAGAGGGAGCGCCATGCACGGCTATCAGAGAAGGTAGAAGGATGTTGCACTATAAATCCTGCACTATGAAGCGGTACAAAAACATGGTTCTCAACAGGTACAGGGAGGAAGAAGGTCTCTAACCATCGAGTGTTTTCAGAAATGATTTATGTTACTCTATTTATGTTCTATTTTTGACTGACTGTTTATTGAGTAGAGGATAAGGGGTAGGTTTAAAAAAGCATTATGCTTCATCCTACTCTTTTTCGGACATGTTGGGTTCGTATTATTATTATCCCATTGGTTTGGTTTGTTTGTTTTCAGTTTATTTTCTTGTGTTGCACGCACATGAAATAAATGAAAATAATCCAACTCAATCCATTCCACTTTATTTAAAACATTTTAAAAAAACATTTAAGTTTACCAAAGTGCTGCACAATAATCTTAAAAGAACAGAGAATGCAGAAAACATCAAGATGAAATAAATAAAAGCAGAAAGAAAACCTTTAAAATGAAATAAAAGCACAAAAGCATAAAAGAAATAAAAGTGATAAAAGGATCATAAAAGACATAAAAGGACAGAGATCACACAAAATAAACTAACAAAAATGGCCTCCATTTAGACCTGATATCTTAGATATTTTGCCACATTTTTTAAACTCTAAGCCCCGGATTTTTTATCATTAACCCTAATGAAATTTTCTGGTGCATCTCTCCCATAATCTATATATTTCACTCTAGGAAAACAGTTTTTCTTATGAGTGTACTGTCTGAAAAGAAAATGTAAACAGCTCTAAACTTAATTATTTACATAGTAATTTACTCCAGAGAGGGTATTATTAGTGTTATTAGTGCTGCTCTGAACTCATTGCGACAGGTTAGTGCCACTCAGACAAAACACAATGTGGGTAGTAAGGTGTGAGAATCGGAGAATTGTTGTTGTTGTTGTTGTTGTCATAAAATGAAATCTTGGAGGTTTTATTCGTGGATGATATCTATGAATAAACCTGAAGTTTCTCCATCAGTCAATCAGAGATGTTTTAAAGACTGAACAGTGTGGATTTCATGGTCAGAGTGTCGTGATATTCTCAGCAGCACTCACAGCTGTGTTGCCTTTCTCTCCTTAGTGTCGTTACTGAAGGACCTGAAACACGCCAACATTGTGACGCTGCACGACATCGTCCACACAGACAAGTCTCTCACACTGGTCTTTGAATACCTGGTGAGCTGAACAGACCTTCTGCCCTCATTTCCTGCGTGACTCACATTATTCTGCGCACAGAAGCTAAAATAAATATATATTCACATCATTATTATTCATGACCCTCTGCAGAGATGAAATGATAATACAGGAGCACAATAGTTCAACTGTTGCTGTTTGCGAGCCTAATTCTCTCTCCCTCTCCCTCTCTCTCTCTTGCTCTCTCTCTCTCCTGTCATCTAGGACAAAGACCTGAAGCAGTACATGGACGACTGTGGGAACATCCTGAGCATGCTGAATGTCAAGGTGAGCCTCCGCAGGCAGCCTGATGGCCCAGCCAACTTCATCTCAGTGTCACAGCTCAGTGGTCGCTGGTGTCAACACTAGAAACATTGTCAATCTGCCCCCTGGTGGTCAAACATAGACACTGTGGAGAAAACAGAACAACTGTGTCTTCCTCCTTTGTGCACAGTTTGTTGATATATGTTGATATGTCCCTTTTTCAGTGAACCTGAAATACAGTGAACCTTTATTTGCAGCTGACTGGTTTGATGATGATGATTGATGCTTACCACAATTATCTCCCCCCCCTGCAGATCTTTCTGTTCCAGATTTTGCGAGGTTTGGCGTACTGTCACAGGCGGAAAGTTCTCCACAGAGACCTGAAGCCCCAGAATCTGCTTATCAACGACAGAGGGGAACTCAAACTGGCTGACTTCGGTACCAACAAAAAAACTAATTTTACATCAATAATTCAATTGTGCATGATCAAGCTTTTTTATGATAAATCAACCATATCTTCCTAAAGTTATCCCCTTTTGAAGCTACACTCATTTACATTTTGCATGAACAGAGTGATGGAATATTGTGATATATTAGAAACAAATGAATTTTGGGTATCTTGGAATACAACCAGACGAATTTTCCTGAGTTTCCTCCAAGTGTGTTGGATCTGTTCTGATTTCACATGTTTCTTCTCTGCAGGCCTGGCGAGGGCCAAGTCTGTGCCCACCAAAACATACTCCAACGAGGTGGTGACACTCTGGTATCGGCCTCCTGACGTGCTGCTGGGCTCTTCCGAGTACTCCACGCAGATAGACATGTGGTGAGTGGGCCTCGCTCGACACGGGTGATTACAACTGTTGGCAAACACTGAGTGGACTCCTGGCTCCTCTCTTTGTTTTATCTCTGCACTGCAGTAAGCAAATAAAACTCTCCAATTGAGAGAGTCTCTGCTATGAATTCAGTATTGTTTGTTTATTCGAAGTCTGGAGCCACTGAAATGATTTGTGGAACAAGCACAGATGTTTGTTTTTAGTTTGAAGGCTGCTCTAATGAAGTAGCTGGCAGATCCAGTACAGTCAAGACCCTTTAATTGGGTAGGTTGATGCTTCATCAAACAAAACCCTACCTCTTTCTGTTGTAAAGCAAGAAATTAAATACTTACAACAAATATCCAGTAGTGCTTTTCAGTCGAGAGAAGGGTTATGATTTAACAGGAAACGTTAACCTTATTAAGAGGAAACTTTTTTTTATAGTAGAAACTTTGTGGAGAAATTCAAACACGAGACTCAAGCACAGCACAAACCTAATTCTGAGACGCTTTAACATTTTATTCCCTAAATAACTAAAAGTAGGAAGGAAAAAAACAGTATAAGATAAGATTTTCTTTGTTGTCCTCATTGAGTAAGTTTCTGTGGACATTGAACATCAACATGGAAGTTAATAAATTTAGGTTTTTGTTTCCTAATCCCAGAGACTTCTTTTTTGGCCTTTTCTCTGATTTCGTCCAAACTTTGTCCAAAGGTCTTCTCTAAAGGTATTCAGTCAATATTTCACTCCTTTGAGCTGGTTGAGGTTTGATCCCAGAGGTAAGAGTATCCCACAGTAAGAGGTCTAATAGACGTCTAAATGTAGCCTAGAAGATTGGTCTAAAATCAGGCTACCAAAATGAAAGTTTTTTAAGATCTCTAAGTTTAGACTAAATCTAAATCTGGACTGTATCTATACTACACTGTATATTGCTCAACGGCTATCATAATCATAATTATTTTGGTTAAGTACTTGGAGATCAGTTATGCAACTCACAGTTGCTTTTTGAAATAAATAGTTATCGAATAATGGGTTAAAGTGCAACGTCTAAATTCCATCTAAAAGTATAATGAATCTAGACGGTTAAAATTAGGTTAAAAAAAAAAACCTAGATGTCTAAAAGCCGTCTATTGCTCAGTGGGATTGTTAAACTTTGTATATCTATTTCATTTTCTATCCAGGAAAGCCTCATTGAGGTTTTTAAAAATTGTTTTTTTATGAGTAGTCCAGTCAAGATTGGCAGTAGCACATTTGAACAAAGTTACTGATATACTTGATAGTTTCAAAACGTGTTAGTGAATCCTCTATCATGTTACACAAAGTCATCATTTGGAGTTTGAACAGCTTGATGCCTTTCCTCTACCATGTCCAGTCTGCTTTAAAAACATCCAGAGAGATCAGCTCAGACCCAAGTCCTCTAGCCGGAGGTTCCAAGCTGCAGGAGCAGTGTACCTGAAACTGCTTTTTCTTCATTTAAGAGCAGAAAACCTGATATATGAGTGATCACACCTGTCTGTCTGTCTGTCTGTCCTGTCAGGGGTGTGGGTTGTATATTCTATGAGATGGCTGCCGGCAGACCCCTGTTCCCAGGCTCCACGGTGGAGGATGAGCTGCACCTCATCTTCAGGCTGCTAGGTCAGTGCTGCCCCCTGCTGTCAGGGATGCACACAAACTTTTTTTTTTTTTAATATGATCCTCTAATCGCATTAACCCTGGCATGTAGCCCCCCTGCTGCAGCATGAAAAAGCCCCTCCAGCTGCCCCCTGCAAAGCCCGACTGTAACAGGAGCGTTTGAATGTCCCTCTACAGGCACTCCCACCGAGGACAGCTGGCCTGGAATCTCCTCCATCGACGAGTTCAAGTCCTACAAATTCCCCAAGTACAAGGCCCAGCCTCTGATAAACCATGCACCAAGGTAAGACACACCACATCTGCTTTTTGCGATCACTTTAGATATTGATAACACACTTTGTTAGTTTCTAAACACTCCCCTCCGCTTTTTTGTTAGCCCTCAAATCATTGAAGACGGAAATGAGGGATTGTTTGAGAGCAGACACAGGTATAAAAGTAGAGCTGTGGCTGTTTATATGTAGAGCTTTTTAGGTTTTGAAGAGTCCAACTTTTGGGTTGTTTAGTTAGTGTGCAAATGTGTGCTCTTTGTCACTTCCTGTAAGGAAATCCTGTGGAATAGTTGACTGAGTTTCCTTCCTTACACTCACCAGCATCTGTGCGTCACCACCACCTCTACTGACCTCTTTCTCTCTCTCTCTCTCTCCCTCTCATTTCCCTCCAGGTTGGATACTGATGGCATCGACCTGCTGATGTCATTCCTAAAAGTGAGTGTCAGTAAATCTGCCAGGCATGACGGGGATGTTAAAAGCAGTGTGACACATTCTGCAGCTATGTTAGGACTCTGTTTTCAAAAACAAGCGGTGCATCAAGGCGCAGCGGCGGCACATCATTCACATTCAATCACAAATTGCTGACCTAATTCCTTTGTCGCCCATTAATGACTCTCTTTCTTTTACTTCCGCGAATCTCAGTACGAGTCGAAAAAGAGGACCTCTGCTGATGAAGCGATGAGACAACCGTACTTCAGGAGCCTGGGGCCACGCGTGCACACACTGCCAGAGAGTGAGTAATGAAATGGCAGCGCAGTAGCGCAGACTTGGCAGGCTGCTCTAGGTACAGCTTGAAGGATATTGCAGCGTACAGTGAGGATCAGTTTCAGCTTCATAACAAAGACTCTTTTCTCCTGGCAAGATGGGATGTCTGCTGCTCCGACTGACTCTCTCTCTCTCTCTTTCTCTCTCTCTCTCTCTCTCTCTCTGTCTGTCTTGCAGACATATCCATATTCACACTGAAGGAGGTCCAGTTGCAGAGAGATCCCGGCTACCGGAGCTCGTCGTACCCTGAGTCAGGTGAGTCAGGAAGGATGCAAGAATGTATGCTTAGATTATCTCACATATATGGAGAATAAAACCTGATAGACGCTCATTTGATTGTTTGATTGTGTTTGAAATCTGATCAAATTAGAGGTGAGCCTTTAGTTGTAGCCCACAGTGTAACCGTTTGAGGCTGAGAGAATCAAATTGTAACCTTTATCTTAGGTGTTAGTGGTCTTTAAATTGTGATTATGAATTTTTTCATGCTACTTGTGTCATTTTCAAGAGCTTTTCTTCTGCAGAGCTCCAGTAGCTCATTAGCAATTCACCTCTGAGTCATGGGCGGAGACAGCGCTACGCTGCACTGTTCTCTTCATGCTAGCTTGTAGCCTAATTTTGCCGGTGTAGTAGAAGTGGCAGGTAACATAGGAGCGATTCAGCTATTGGACACTTGTGCCTTTGGGGGCATGAGGAAAGTTAATATAACTAACTCACACACTTGTTCTGCGATCGTCCTCTCTACTTTTCGCGGTCTGGTCTGCATAGCAGGGCTCTGGGGGCGGAGCTTGGATTTGTGACATAGGAAATCTCTCTGTGTCTGTTAGAGGTTAACAGCAATTTGAATGCAGAAATAGTCAGGAATGCAATTTTGCTCTTAGTTTTCTCATGATATGTCCTCTAGCATCTATAAAAAATGCTATAAGAACATGTAGACAACAACAAAAACATGATTTTCATTAGAGTGTGTCTTTATATCTTTACGAAAACCAAAGACAGTAATTGTTTTTCTTTGTCTCCCTCAGGCAACGGGAAAAGCAGAAGACAAAGCATGCTGTTTTAAATTCTCTGGACTATATTTTTTTAATTTGGGAAGTATCTCCTCGCTGTACAGTTACCTGGGATGGATGTTGGCGCTGAGCATCATCATTTTCATCACCATCATCACTCCTCAGAAAACTACTTGGGGAAACTCGTCCACAGTGCGGCGGAACCCCCTCCTCTCCAGGTTCGGCCTGGAGCGGGCCAGAAAGAGACATTTATATACTGTACATCTATATTTATTGAGAAGAGAATTTGCTGCTAAATACAACTACTGTCTAGAATTCTAACTGGCTCAGTCACTTTAATGAGTACATGCAATGTGTATAGATTTTTAAAATTTTTTTTTGAAGTGGTGGTATTTCTAGTGATATATATTTTTTGTCATTATTTCCATTTTCATACAAACAAAACTGCACCTCAAAGCTCCTCAGTATGTGTGTGTTTGTGTGTTTAAGACACACAGAGGGATGTTTCTGTAGCGACTCAAAAAGGGTTTGATTCTCTATCACTGTTGCCACGGCGCTGTTCTCAGCTGCACCTATCATAAGCGGCCATTTTCTCTGAAGGTCTTTGAGGCCAGCCTTGAAAGGACTGATCATTTCTTCCCAACTTAGAGGCCGTTACGAAGGCTGTGCATTCTCGTCAGATGCTGGCATATCATTCCGGGATGCTGTGGTCTCATGTTGTGACCAATGAACAAATGCGAGGAGAGGAGAGGAGGGATAAGGCAATGTAGGATTATTAACAAGGGCATTACAGGATTAGTTACGCCTCCTAAATTCTTCAGAAGAGATTAAACTGCCGTGAACAACCCTCTCTTCCTTTTCCACCTGAATCTGACACCTTATCTGCTGCGGTCTGCTACGAAGACAAGGTGCAAAGTGTTTAATCTGCGAATCTGCCTTTGTGATTTAAAGATGTGTTCTCCTGATGCCATTCCCATCTCCTTTCGACTGTAAAAACAGATCATTTTTTCTTTTCCTGGATTGCCTCCTTTTATTGTGTTGCATGCCTGCTCTATTGTATGAGGAAGCACACAGCCACTAAACTCCTAATTCAGGGAGCAATAGCTATAGTCCTGCCCTTCAGTGAATATGATACTGAGTCAAAGTCTATTTAACAGTGTTACCAGAGATGTTTTGTATGATATTCTTTAACTTTATTTGTGGATAATTGTTATTGGTGTGGGATTTCGACGCAGATACCCTCCCATATTTGAGCTTTTTTCCAGAGTAAAGAAAATAAAACTAAAGTTTAAACAGAGATCACCTGGACTCTTATTGTATGTGCCATTTTATCTATATTATTGAATGGGCAGGTAGATGCTACAAAGGGACTCAGGTGAAGCAGTGATCTGGAGAACGGGAAGAGCACAAGGTTTTTACTGCTGATCTCTGACAACACTCACCTCATCACGAACATCACCATTGTGGTAAGTTGGACGTATCTGTCTTTTTTTTTTTCGTTTTATTTTTATTTAATCAATAAAGGGGAGCACAGTGGTGTATTGGTTAGCACTGTCACCTCACAGCAAGAAGGTCCTGGGTTCGAATCCAGCTCAGTATTTCTGTGTAGAGTTTGCATGTTGTCCCTGTGTCTGCGTGGGTTTACTCCAGTTTCCTCCCACATCCCAAAAACACAGAAGTGGGGTTTGGTTAATTGGCCACTTTCAAATAACCCGTAGGTGTGAATGTGAGCGTGGATGGTTGTTCGTCTCTATATGTCAGCCCTGCGAGGAACTGGCGACCTGTCCAGGGTGTCCCCTGCCTTCGCCTGAAGATGCTGGGATAGGCTCCACCCCCACTGCAAACTCGGGAACGGGAATAAGCGGTAGAAAATGGATGGATGGATGCATCAATAAATGGCAAAAATATAACTCAACAACAACCTTGGATTGGACATTGGATTATATTAGAAGCACGTCAAAAACACCTCATTCCCGCACCCAGACAGCGACCAAAATTCAGGTCAGCATAGTCACTACACTTAACCCTTTAATGCCTTTTGTATCATATTTGATACATACTTTTATATACTTCTTTAAAATCAATATGATCAACAAATCACTTAAAAAAACACCTGAATACAGTCTGATAAATGATAAAAATGTCCTCTTGTAGTTTACCAGTTTCCAAGAACATCTAATGTATTAAACGAGATCAATAAATATATAACATTTTGATTTTTTTGGTTTTTTAGTAGTAAGTGAAATAAATATTTTAGTTCCAAAAAAATTGAATTTTCTGGCCATAATTTGCTGTTTCAGGCATTACAAGGCTACTCTTATTATTTTAGCAGAATGAGTGAGTAACATGAAGATGCTACAATCGAGCATTCAATGCTTTTTTTATTGAAAATGAGACATTCTTCAAAATACAAAATTATACAGAATACAAACAGTATACCAAGTCCAGTATAAAAAAAAAGGAAAACAATACAAGAGTTACAAAGTTTTTCATTAATTTGAAATCTCGTCTTCATTAAAAGATTTTAAAGAAAAGACAAAAAAAAAAGAAAACAAGGCACAGCCGGTACTATCTGAGAAGCATAGTGCATACAAAACATACACAATACAACACAAGTGACACATCAGTTTCACATTGTGATGAACATTTATGGAGAACAAAAGTTATTTTACAAGATTTGAACCTGCTCTCCGTATAGCGGGAGCTTCTAGCGAGTCTTTTATCAGCTAGCTACACGTCACTACTGTCCGTGTTGGACAGGGTCATGTGGAAATGTGCTGTACTTTATCACAAAGAGCCGCGGACGTCTCACAGACACCGCGGTTCATCGTATGGCTTTAACCAAGTGCTTTCAACCACTGGAAACTGAAGCAACTCAAGTGCAAAAATAAAGTGAGGTCACATACTGTCTCGTAGGACTTTTCTGAAGCAACAAGTAACTAATCAGATGAAAGATTGCTTCTGCAGATGACTGTGACAGAAACGTTCACGTGACATGGATGGAGATGTTTTGTTTTTTTTTCTTTCTCAGACCGTGGATCAGGATTTGTGGGTGGTTGGGGACAGGAGAAGAGAGGAGGGTGTTCCTTCCAGGCTTGGCAGGACGGGCATGTGTCCGTTGATTAGGCTGGGGAACTGTGGAGGGAGAGAGAGGGGCTGAGAGTTAACAAGGAGGGGACTAAAAGCTGCTTTCCGCTGAGGAACTACAGCATTGTCACTGCTCTGGTTTCCTGTTTTTTTTTTTTCATTGTACTTCTTCCTATTCGTCTCTGTCCCCTGTACCTCCACCACAGAAGGAGAAGTCAACTGTGTTTGTGCACAAAGAATCCGGTTTGGTGGGGGGTGTGGTGTGTGCATGAGTGCGTGTGTGCGTGTGTGTGTTTCACAAATGAGGAGCAGCTCTCAAACCAGTCCACCCTGTTCAGACCGGCTCCCCTGGGCTCAAACAGGAAGTATTCACAGGATTTCCTCTCCCTCTCACAAGCGCTGAAACAGGACACCTCTGCTTACTAAGTCTCAACCAGTTTCACAACCTGTGCTGTCGTCTTCTCAGACTAAAAACATCTTGGGTTTTTTGCATTTTAAATTAAATTTCCGTCAAGTAAAAACCTGCATGTGATCGTGAAATCTGCACAATCAAGACTGCAGGTGGTTTCAAGTGTGGATTTAATGATAAGATAAACAAAAAACTAACCTTTTGTTGGCTTTTACTAACTGGTTAATCTGGCTTCTTTAATCTTACAATAATTGCTGGAGAGAGCGGGAATTTTGCAGCAGCTCTAAATCCACCTGCACATCTTCACAGCTTCCTCCTCCGCTCTTAAACTTCAGAAGTAAACAATCCTTTAAGCACACCCTGTGTTTGCGTGTACCGCTGACGTCTGGCCTGGTTTTCATTCCCCTTACTCATCTACACCTGTGTTTGTGTTCCTCACCTGGAAGAGGGAGCCGTGGCCCTGCAGCCGGGCGGGGCTGAGCGGAGCCACAGGACTCAGGCTGCTCCAGAAGTGGATCCCTGACAACAGCGGACTGTGAGCCAGCAGCAGACCGGAGGGAGTCTGTGAGAGGGAAAAAAAAAAAAAACACAGAGTGGGGGAGATTTCGTGTAAATAAGAGAAAAAACAGTGAAGGCAACATTTTTTGAGAGGAAAAACACTGGTTAGAAAGCGCTGCTGTGAGGGTTTGGGTAATGCGAAACATGCTGAAATGGTAAATGAACGTGTATTGGCGTTTGGAAAAACAAACTGACGGAGCAGGAAGGAAGTCTGTGGTTTCTCCCCGAGAATACAGGGGTGACGTGTGGAGGGGAGCGGGAGGTGGACAGTGGGGGATGCTGTTGATTGGGGGGCAGTTGAGGAAAAACAACATATGAAATCAATTTCTGCCTCTTTCTCCTGGTCTTCTCTCCCTCTACCCTCCCCCCTTACTTCCCCCAGTGTCACCTCAGAGAAGTGAGCCAGTGTTGCGGAGGGACCCGGCCTCACTCCCATTATTAATGGAATTATTGGAGCATATGGCATCACTTAGGGGCTCTTCCCTCCCTCTCATAGGCTGGACTTGCAGAAGATTTCTGTAAATCGCTTGTTTTCCTCTGATCTCTCTGGCTGCACACTCACAAACAGGCAGTGTGAGTGTTTGGAGTTACACCTTCATCAATGTGTGGAGAGGACTCTGATGTGGCAGAGTCATTTTCCTCTGTTAAAACTCACATGAAATCGATTATTTTATACCTGTTGATTCTTGGAGCAAAGATGAAAACAAAGCTGAACGTCATGACTGGATGAATTAGACTGAAAAAATAGTCATCCAGACGTCGGGTCATATACAGGTTGCTACTAAATATTTAGACCTTACATGAGCTAATTTTTAATACAAAAGCTCTTTTATCCTCTTATTTCTATTTTTGCATGGAAAACCCTCGACTAAGCCTTTAATTTACACCAAGTATTAGCAGAAGTTTGAGTCTCTACCTCACAGACCTCAATGAGTAATTTACAAAGTTAAAACTTATATCAGACACAAAGACTTACCCACTGCGCAATATGACATCGAAATGACATCTATTTAATGTATTTTTTCGACGATGAGGTACAACTGTGGATGTCATTTCAACGTCTAAAAGAAGTCCAATAATGACGTCTATATCTTGGATCCGTTTTGCACGTTGCATGTCTTCTGATGACGTCCAAATTCTGAACGTCAGAGCGACGTCTAAAAAAGGTCCAATTCGGACGTCGAAACTCCTAACCTATTTTGCACGTCGCACTGATGTCTAGATGTGGTCTTTGATGGACCGACCCAATACTGACTTGATCTGCAAGTCTCTTCGACGTCCGATGTTTGGTGGGAATGAACCGAAATTTGCAGATGTTAAAAAATGTCATAATTCCCGTATGACAGGGCTAGTGAATATTTAACCTGGAAAATATAAAAATGTACATTTTTATAGTATTCTTCTTGAGTTCATTTAGTCTTCGACTTCTACCTAAATAAATAAAGCTGCTGTGTTTCCAGCAGCTCATGCCAGACTGTGTCAGGTGTCTCTTTAAGGACACCGGCACCAGACTGATTCAATCCCATCATCTCCCAGTGGACTAGACAGGTCATCTAACAGAGGGCATTGAAACAGACAGTATCAAAAAACTGTTGTTCAACCCTCTCAGATCTGTTGGTGTCAAGCTCCTTAATTCAAGAAAAGGACAGGGTCTCTCATCGTCCACCTCAAAGTATGGAGAGAAACAGAAACAGAAGTGTAAAATGTGTTAAAGGGGATCTTTGGGCTGTGTAGACATGTCTCAACTAGAGAGAGACAAAGCAGGTTTTGGAGAAATTTCAATGTCAGTCTAACTTAGGTTTGAGGAGTGCTGAGAAACTACTTAACTGGGCCACAAGTCCCCCAAAGAGCTGCAGTCATTATTTACAGTCTATGAACAACAAAGCCTTTAAACATGAACACTCTACTCACAAAACTCTTTCATCGGGCATGTGCTGCTCAAAAAGAAAGACTGTTTTTTTACTGTAAGTTCACTTGAATCACCTGTGCAGTGAAGAAGGCGGGTGTTAGGGAGCCAGACGGCAGAGCGGGACTGTTGAGGGCGATGGAGCCGATGTCGCTCCCTGCCAGCAGCAGGGATGGAGCTGAGATCTCCAGAGCTTTGGGCTTTTTGCTTTTTGGTGGGAGTCCATCTCCGTGGTTACTACTACTACTAGTGGAGCTACTTCTGACACTGCTACTGCTCCTTTTTTCAGGAGGCTGCAGGGCTCGCTCCCTGTGCCCAGAGGAGAGGTTGAGGGGCTGAGCGCTCTGGTCAGAGTCCTCCTCTTCCTCCTCTTTGGCTGCTGCAGGGCTCCAGCTTCCTGTGGACTGGAATGGTTTGGTGTGAGGAGAGGATGGGGAGTGGAGTTTGGACAGCCGAGGGGAAACGTAGGACTCGGGTTTTGAAGAGGGAGGGGGGCTCCTCTCGTTGGCGTTGGTGCCAAAGCGGATGACGGAGCGCGGCTCCTCCTGGCGCTCTCGTAGGGCGCGGAGCAGCTCGGGCTGGTTCTGCAGGGAGCTGATGCTGAAGGAGGAGTAGAGACCCGAGCGGAGGTAGTCGTTCCGACACTGCTGCGCCCCCAGGGCTGCAAGAGTCCTTCTCTGGGCCTCCTCCTCCCCTTCCTCTTCCTCCTCCTCCTCCACCTCCAGCTCAGAGGCCTCTCCTTCCTGCAGGGGAAACCTTCCAGAAGCCAGACCCATCTCCACCGCCTGTGGATCCATCTTCAGGATCTCAGGGACGGACACAAACTTGTAGACAAACTTCTGGCCGATCACCTTCTTGATGATGTTCTGCAACAGAGTGGAAGAGTTTTTAGGAAAATGGTTCACGACATACTTGGATATTATGTCCAAATGGTCTCCTAATTATATTTTCATTTCTACTGGAGAACATGTATAGATAAGGGACAGATATATACATGATATTGATAACAGATTTAAAAATATCAGAAGGAAGTGGGTCAAAGTGGATCCCCACACCCAGGGACAATCACCAAAGTCTGCTTCAGAGTCCAACATCATGTCAGATCTGTACTGCGTGCTTGATCAGATAGAGGAAGTGGAAGTGTCTATCTCATTAAAGAGGACAAGAACGAGTGGTTGGAGCGCTCGGCACGCTAACCCTCACCTTGTCGTAGTAGTAGCGCAGCGCTCTGCTCAGCTTGTCGTAGTTCATGTTGGTCTTGTTCTTGCGCAGCCCCCACAGCTTTGCCACTTCCTCTGACTTCAGCAGCTTGAACTCTCCGTCTGTAGATGTCCAGCAGATCAGGTGTTTGTGACTTTGGTCCAGCAGCAGCTGCAGCAGGAACTGCCACAGAGTGATGGCACTGTCCATACCTGCAGAGAGAGAGAGAGGAGAGGAGAGGACAAAACACATGACTGTTTAAAAGTGACGCCAAAGTTTCATGATGGTTATTTTTAAAGATGTCATATGATGATGTCTGCGATCGTCTTTTCATCTTGTGGCTTTTTTTTTCTCTATGAGACAAAAGTGGAACCAACCCACTCAGAGACATCAGCTGACAGAGAAAACACCTTGACTTTGGCACATAAGATACTACAACGACAGAATAAAGCATCCTCAGGGGGAGACACAAGCCCTTTGCTTCTGAGCGAGCAGATTTCACTCCCTGAATTTTACCTTTTTCTGCTTGTTTTCTGTCTCGAACCTGCCTCTCAAAGAACTGGTTTAAAGTGTGAGGAGGGGACAGCCAGTTTGAGCTGAAACATGTGGTGTAAGGAAGAGTAGACTCCTGATGAATAGAACAGTGTTAAAGAGCGAAGTGTAATGTAGCAGCAGAAGCAGAGTAAAAAAATATATATATAAGGAGGAACAACAGCTCAAGCCAGAAATATGCTGCGGTCCAACCTGGCCCTCTCTCCACAGGAAGTATGACGGGCCCAGGGTGGGTTATTCCTTTAATAGAGGAATGTGCAGCCTCTGAGCTCCTGTCTGCCTCAGAGGAGCTCACAGATCCAGAGTGTGTAAGTGTGTGTGTGGGGGTAGTGTTCAGGGGAGCAATCGATCAGTGGAATCACAGGCAAGAAAATCACTGTGAGTTTTCTCATTACTTCAGTATTGAGTGCACTGAACAAGTAATACGAAGGGTTAAAAATAAAAACTTCAGCATCCATATTTTCTTTCCAAATTCCTTACAAATAGTGTTAACAAAAAAAAAATCCATCATAAATAACAATTGGTTGCAGCCTTAGAGATTTCTAGAAGTCTTAAACTCATGCATAAACTCAACTTATGCTGAGTTTAGTAGGCTGAATTTTCACAAACAAAAAAGATTAAAATATCTCAAAAGGTCTGAAATAAATTAAAGTAGTAAATATTTCTGTTTACGGATGTGAACTGTTTTAGTTTTGCCAGTTTTTGGCATGAGTCTATCATCAGCTGCTTGTTTTGAAACTAGGAAGTAAAGTATGCCACCAAGAAACATTTATTTGTTCCTGTAAGTGAGACACAACTAGGCACGGTTTCCGCAGACAAGCCAACATACAAACAGATCAGATTGTGTAATGTTATTGCTGAATAATAGGAGTAATTAGTGCCCAACGTTAAAATAAAAAAGATAACAAACTGGCCTTTTATCCACCACATATCTCTATCCAGGGAGGAGAGATAGGAGAAGGGCTGCACTCATTTCCGACACTCGCTCTCCCCTGAGTTTTCTATCTGCCATGTGAAACTACAAACCTGTCAAAGTCAGGACTTCCTCCTATTCTACTTCCAAGGACAAATGGAGAGGAGAGGGGATCCCACAGCAGGGGAGCATTTCCCCAGTCCTGCCATACTTCCCATCAGGATCCCAAAGAGAGAGGGGGGGGTCACAAGATCAGCTCATTGTCCCCCTTTTTCACAGCGCCACCCTGTAACCTGCTCTGAACCCTGACTTTAGTTTGCGTTTGGAACACTTTGAAGTAGGGCTGGGCGACATGGGAAAAAGTTTATCATGATTACTATTTTTCATATCAGTCAATACCGATATACATCACGGTATACAAAATTAAATTTAACAGTGCTTTTTGGTAGCATGTCTTTTGCAATACAATAAGCTACTGCATCTGTGAGGTCTCTGTGAGGCGTTGTGGTAGAGAAAATGGACTGAATGGTCGGCTGTTTTGGCTGCACAGGCGCCATGGGCTCCTTGCTCCACTTGGGGTTTGTAACTTTTTGCATTGCACATGCTCTGCCGCTGCTGCCACTGCTTCAGATAAGGTGGTAAAAAAGATTTGAGGTTTTCCCCGACTTTGCAAGAACATGTACTCGACATAGTTTGCTGTGCACTTTACTCTGCTTCATGTCTGACCTCAAGAAAACCAAAATACCTCCACACCACCAACGTTTTCTTGCCACTGTTGACAACGATGTCATCATCTGTTGAGACTTCATCTGCATTTCTGCCGGGGGTAGCACTCATTTTCTTTTTTTCTCACTGACAGTGCTGTCGCCTTCACATGTTAAAATGCTATGGTTGCATGTAGCTGCTGCCTGCTACTATGCTACTTGTTGAAAAACAAGAGGTGACCACGCTTTTGAAGTGGTGGCTCCAACACTGTGGAACAATTTACCTGCTGATATCCATTCAGCTGTTTCCATAGTCGCTTTTAAAAAGCTTTTAAACAGGCCTTTACCTCCCCTGGTTTTAACTAATGCTCTATTTATGCCATTGTTTTTTTTATTGTTCTTTGATTTTACTTGATGTTTATGATTGTATTTTGAATTTTTACTGTGAAGCACTTTGTGAATCTTTTCTATGAAAGGTGCTATACTAAATAAATTTTACTTACTTACACAGTTGTTTGCTACTTCTAATTCAGCACATGAAGCGAACCCAGAGCAACTCCCCTTTCATTGACTATTCGTATAGTCTACCAAAACATGGCAGAATGCCGACTACTGAAAAGCATATTGACCATGTTTTATATTGATTTTGAGGGAAATTAATTTTCGATATACATTATTATCGTTTTATCGTCCAGCCCTACTTTGAAGCAAAAAGTAAAGCTTCATGTGTTTAATGTTTCACTCATGTTTACAAAGTGGACTCCCAATAATTTTGTAACAAAACATAATAACATGATAATAACCTCACTACTTGTTGATTTTATGAATGCAGCAGTTATGGATCTGTCACACACACAGAGATGAAGTCCATCTTGAGTAAAACAGGTAAGGTAACACCTCCATCCAGGAACATCCCAGGACATTGTGGTGGTTTTGGTCCGGGATCAGGAGCCCCTGCTGTGGATGCTCGGTCAGAGAAGTCTCTCCGTGCTCACAAAGCCATCCAGTGTGTTGGCTGGACGGAAACTCCTAATGAGATTAGATGGAGTGTGTGTGCAGACATTACTTAGCCATGACTAAATCTGCTCTCTTCCTGTTCGCAGACGGTGGAAAATTCAACATGGGCCCAGAAGAAAAGCATCTCCGTAAACTCTGAAGCTCCTCTTACATTTCTCTCACTTCTTTTGTTTGTTGGGGAGGCTACACTTGTATCCGGGACTCAAAAAGTGTCTTCAGTGTTAACACACACAGAGGTCTGGATCACTTTTCTGCTCACTGACTCATTTTCAAGATGTTGCTCCGACCGGAAGACGGCACAATCCTGTCTAAATCTGTAACAAATTTGACTTTGAACTTTCAAATTCACTCGACTGGGCAGAGTTGACCACAAATCAAGAACTCTACCGCATAGAGAAATCATGTTGAAAGTGAAGAAAGTGTCGCTAATAACTCTCAAACATGCGCTGCTGCTTCAGTCTGAACAAGCCAACAAAGCGCCCTTCATAGAAAGATGTCATTTCTTTTACCTGCGATGTCTGCCTCGGTATTCTCCCTCCTCGAAACTTTACGGTGAAGCTTGTGGGATTCCTTGTTTTTCCATGCTTACTGCTTCTCGACACAGTTGTGCTGCTCTGAAATAGGATCCTGGGCTTTTTCTTTTTCTGAGCAGGAAGTTGGAGCAGGCAGACACAGAGCCGGCTGACTTCCTCTCCCCTACGATTCCCCAGGCAGTTTGCCGTCTGTGTAAACACACTTTCCCTCCCCTCTTCTCCTCCTCTGCCTGCCCGCTGACGGCCAGCAGTAAGCCTACTCTGTGTCGGCACACATGGAGATACAGAAACTCCTACAGCCCGTGAACTGACATCATCAGCTCGAAACCTACTGTGGTGCGTTCAGGTGCGCCTCGTTGCTCACAAAACACATCAAACGGCTTAAGTCAAGCGTTTTAAAGGGATATTCCGGCGTAAAATTGATTTCATATCATTTTTTTTATCATGTCCTTGAAGTAATAATCATCACATTAATCATTTTGCACTGCAGACGCGGTAGCTCTTCTGCCTATGCGTCTCAGTCTGATTGCATTTCCTTTGAGAAATGATCATAAATGTTATTCCTTAAGCTGCGGCAACCCACCGTAGTTCATAATGGATTGGCCCATGGTCTCGCTACAAAGAAGCGGCTGCTGGAAGAGAGTAGGTGAGTTGTGTTTAGTCTCTTTGTTGAAGAAATTAGGCAAAGATAAAAAGATGTTTGGTGGCTAGTGCTATGGCTAGGACCCTATATGTACTGTTGATGAAGTTAGGTGCTGTTCTGAGCATTATTTGTGTCTATAGAGTGGCTTTTTCATTGAGGTTTGTTTAAGGCTCCTCAAACCACTGTGTATTGCTATTGTGCGGTCGTTACTTAAGTTGGTATAACTGGAGAAGCAAGCGGTCGGCAACATTCATCTCCTGAGGGGGTGTCTACCTCTGTGTTACAGTGTGTTTGACCGTAAAATAATTTTACGCTGGAATATTCCTTTAAGTACCTCACAAGCGTGCATGCAGCTAGGCGGAGGATATGGGTTTAAATCAGCGTCAGAATACTGAATAACATCAATTTAATTCAATGATTGACTTATTACTTACAACTTTTTTCCATGGCATGTCCTACTTTTAATGTGTTCAATTGTGAAGGATTCATTAAGCCAAATATCAAATTAATACTGCTGTGTTCTCCTAAAGGGATATTCCGGTGTAAAATTAAGTTGGGGTCAAACACACCGTAACACTGAGTAAACTGTTTTTTATTTGTTTTTATTTTCATGTGCTGATCTTCTGTGCTTTAAGACTGTTTGTCAAAGCACTTTGTAAACTTCTGTTTTCAAAAGTGCTATAAAAATAAAGTTATTATTATTATCATTATTACTATTACTATTATCATTATTATTACTATTATTACGTTGGTACTAATACTACAACCGGTTATCGTGTCAAACTTTTAAGTAGCTCTTTTAAAGTTTTTGTGACAACTTCTGTTCCCACAGTCAATGGTGAAAGTGAAGAGCAGACTCCATTCACCAGGTTTTGCTACATCTAACACCTGTATTATTCTACCGTGATTGAGTCACCTGAACGCATTTTGGTCAATTGGTGCATAAATCCTTCCCTGAGATTGACCTGCAGAGGTCAGTGGTCCACAAAGGTGAACACCTCTGGGCGTGGCTGCGCTCCGGGGCGTCTGATTGGCAGCTGAATTTCGGGCGGCTGAAGGTGGTACCTTGGAGAGCGGTACGCCGCGCTCACATCTCCAGAGTCCTGCTGAAGCACAATGCCTCGTTTTACCGTCCACATCCGAGATGAATGGCTGGCGGTGCCCTGCAAGGACACCTCCAGCTCTATCCGGTGGCTTGGACAAGAAGCTCTCAAACGTTACGTGAAGAATAAACCGGACAACGGTGGCATTGGGGCTGTTAAAGACACTCGCTTTTTTGTGCGCAGGTGTCAGGGTTTGGGTTTGCTGGACGCAGAGGACACCATCGAGGATGTGCTGGAGGATAACGACTTTGTGGAGCTGGGTACGACCTTTAGCATTTAAAAATATATGAACAGATGCATCACATTTAAAACTTGACCCGTTTTGGTGATATGGCTGTGCGTAATTGTGCATGGATAGTCATGATTGGTGGTAATATTAAGACATTAAAATATTATTAAAAAAGAGTAAAGTTATATAACACGTGTTGTTGTCCTGTACTTACAGCCATTGAAGGTGACACCATGTCTCCTGACTTTATTCCATGTGAACCTGGAGTTTCTCACCTGTATCCTAAAACTTGTAATCTGTCCAGTGGTGCGCTTTTCGGTTTGAAAGTCTCCAATAAGTTAGATTTTTCACGTTGGTACATTGTTTCCACTTGACTGAGGTGTAAAAGAGTGAAATGAGAAATAGTCATGAAATAATACCAAACAAGGCAATGCTGTATTTGACAGGCTGAACTCCTTAATAACGTAAAACAGAACCGCCGCATACAAAGAACCGGAAGAAGTAAGTGCTCAACTATTCTCTGTTAAAGTTTTAAACATACTGCGCTGACTTTACATCTGTAACACCAGTCTCCATGTGCAGTATATCTGCCTGGACGGCAACAGCCTGACGTCGACAGATCTGGTCAACTTAGGCAGGGGACTCTACAAGATAAAGGTAATGATCCACAATTTGTCTCTGTTGTCACTGCTGCTTTGTGGTAATCTTTGACTTAATGTAATGATTCCCAACATTTTCAGCTAACACCAGAGGCAGAGAAAAAGGTTGTGCAATCAAGAGAGTTGTTGGACACCATTGTCAAAGAAAACAAAGGTTTGGAAACATCCATGAATACTGGCCTGAATTATTGGCTACATGAAAATAATAGCGCTTCAGGAATAAACAACCTCAAACTCTCTCTGCTCTTTCAGTCGTCTATGGAATCACGACGGGCTTTGGCAAATTTGCCCGAACGGTCATTCCTGTCAGCAAGCTCAAGTAATGTTAACCTTTAATTTGTTTTTATTGCCAAAGTTAGATCTTCTGTTGAAGAAAGACTGATTTTTTGCACCTCTTGTTCCACAGAGAGCTACAGGAGAACTTGGTGCGGTCTCACTCTGCAGGTAGTAAAACTCTGCAGAGCTTCAAAAATATCAGGATATTTTGTGCACTTGACAAAGAATTTGCTATTTGGCACATTCATTCCTGAATCATTAATTTTATTTCATGGTGTTTAGGTGTTGGAAACCCGCTGAGCCCGGAGAGGACTCGAATGCTGCTCGCTCTCAGGATCAATATTCTGGCCAAAGGGCATAGTGGAATTTCTCTGGAAACCCTTCATGCCATGATCCAAGCCTTCAATGGTAGACCAGTAGATTTCTCTCACCTGAGCTGAACCTACTTTAGCGACCAGTAAAGTAAAATCTGTCATATAATATTATTCCTTTTCCCCCTTTCAGCTTCCTGCCTCTCCTTTGTACCAGAGAAGGGAACGGTGGGTGCCAGTGGAGATCTGGCACCCCTCTCTCACCTGGCCCTGGGGCTGATGGGAGAGGGTAAAATGTGGTCGCCCAAGAGTGGATGGGCGGATGCCAAATATGTAAGATCCTGTAGACACGCCTTTCTGCATGACAATCACTTGCTTAAAGGTGCAGGAAATGTGCTTTTTGCTTGTAAGAGTTAAAGGTTGCAAGGTCCAATAGGATAACATGTTTGCTTTTTGATGACCCTTGACCTCTTCCATGTTTTTTTTCCTTTCATGTGTGGCCAGGTCCTGGAGGCCCATGGACTGAAGCCAATATCACTTAAGCCCAAAGAGGTACTGTGTAAAAACAAGCACTCTCACTCATGTTTGATTTGCCTGTACCAGAGATCCTGACCGAGGGTTCACAGGGAATGCATTGTGCCTTCTCAGGGACACAAATGAAGGGAGCAGAGGGCGTGTTTACTCTAACAATCACAATAAGATGTCATAGTAAGAGCGTTGAGATAAGGATACCTCCATCAGCTTCTCAACATTCTCCTGCAGGGTCTTGCTTTAATCAATGGGACCCAGATGATCACCTCGATGGGGGCGGAGGCTGTTGAGCGAGCTCAGGCGATCGCTCGGCAGGCAGACATCATTGCTGCTCTGACTCTAGAGGTGCTGAAGGGGACCACCAAGGCCTTTGACAGTGGTGAGCAGCTAAAGATATAGAAAAAAGTCCTCTACAATAAACTTCAACTCTTCCATCTGTTCCATCTTTCTTAATGTTTTGGTCTCCTCCCACAGACATCCACTCATTGCGTCCACACCCGGGACAGATAGAGGTGGCCCAGCGCTTCCGCTCACTCCTGGACTCAGATCACCACCCATCTCAGATTGCAGGTGAGAAGATGGACCAGATTCTAAAATAGACAATTTTTACAACTACCTGATATTATTGTTTTTTTATAGAGTTGAAACACAAATAAAAATGTCTTTTTTAGCCTTACACCCCCTCTAAAGACGTCATGCAATCCATAAAAAAATATACATATGAAAGATAAAAGATCACGTTCTATATATTCTCAATAATACAATCTCATCCTAGTTTCTCCTGAGAAAAATCAGTTATTTCTTAAGTAAGTTTGAACTTGTAGCTCCTGTGAAGGTGTTTTCGGTTTGTACCAATTTTGGCGCCCCCTGTGGACAATGATTTATTTATTTGCTGATCTTTTCTGTAGGTGTGTAAGCAGTGCTCTCTGATTTAAAAATACCATTCTGCCTCCGTTTGGCAGTCAAAGAGTCTCACATGTGCTTAGACTTATGAACAAAACAGATATCCACTCATCAATCTGTGGTTTTATTTTAGCAATATAGAGTTTTTGATAGATAGATAGATAGATAGATAGATAGATAGATAGATAGATAGATAGATCGATAGATAGATACTTTATTAATCCCAGTCAAGAAATTCAGGGGTCGCGCCAGTCACAGACTCATACACAGTACACTAACAAAGCCAACGACAACAACAACAACAACAACTAGTGCCCCTCTGCAGACCAGCCAAGTAGAGTAAAATCAGTTAAAACCAGTATAAAAAGTGCAATAAATGCAGTAGTGCTAGCAGTGCAATCTCCTGCAAATGTCCTGTCATCTTAGTTTGGTTCATTCAGAAAAACCTAACACAGACATGCTATTTGAACTTTACTTGGACATTCACAGCAAACTGTTGCCACATCATAAGAGAGTCCTTGGCATAAACCTATCCATGGCTAACAGGGCTACAATTTGAAGTTTGCGTATCACAGTTTCCTCCCACATGACATCTCACGAGGATTATTTCCTATTTAGAGCTGTATTAATGCACAGTGGCTGCCCACAGCTCATACATAGTTACAAATAGTCAAGTTCAGAGTGTGTAATTCCCCAGGGGGAATAAATAAAGTATAGCTTTTGGTACAATTATGCACCCTTAAACATGTGGTACTTAATGAGTATCATCTGGTGTTGGTTTGATTTTCCAGAGAGCCATCGGTTCTGCGACAGAGTCCAGGATGCCTACACCATGCGGTGCTGTCCTCAGGTAACCTCCACTGAAGTTTATTTATTCAGTATATCTTCATACTCTCAATCCTGACCCTCTCACATCTGCTTTAGTGATTTTGGGCTTCAGTGTTGTTGATTTATTTCTGTGTACAGGTTCATGGAGTCTGTAACGACACAATCAAATTTGTCCAGAACATCATCAATACAGAAATCAACAGTGCCACTGACAACCCTGTATCCTTCACCAAATAACAGTGCACTTGATGTTAATAGATGTGCAACCAGGTTAGATTTATCTTTCTTAACAGCCATAAAAGATGGTATTTGCTGAAAGAGGTGAGACCATTTCAGGTGGGAATTTCCACGGTGAATACCCAGCTAAGGTTTGTATATTGTCAGTCAAAAATCAGTGTCTGTTGGAGATTTTGTTCTCTCTCTCATACAAAGGTTTTCTTTTTTTAAAGGCTCTGGACTTTCTAGCAATTGCAGTCCACGAGCTGGCCTCTATCAGTGAGAGGAGGATCGAGAGGTTGTGTAACCCGTCTCTCAGTGAGCTTCCTGCCTTCCTCGTCAACGAGGGAGGACTCAACTCAGGATTCATGATCGCTCACTGCACTGCTGCTGCTTTGGGTTAGTGTGCCAAAAAATAATGTTTTGTGCAAGTCAGTTCAATACTTTCTAAACAAAATGATCTCTGGTGTTCCAATGTAAAACCACACTCCCTCATAATATTTGAGCACCAATATCTACGTTTTTCTCTATTTGTGTAGTTTCAGAGAATAAAGTTCTGTGTCATCCATCCTCTGTGGACTCATTGTCAACCAGTGCTGCCACAGAGGACCATGTGTCCATGGGGGGCTGGGCTGCTAGGAAGGCCCTGAGGGTTGTGGAGCATGTGGAACAAGGTAATTTTTCTACATTGGTCATTTATAGGAGTAAAGTTTGCAACAAAATGCGAAACACATTGATGATGTGGTTACATAAAAAAAGAAAATAATATGAAGCATTTTTGACTTTCAAATGTAGATGCTGTCTGACTTGCTTAAAATAGTTTACTCTGACATCAAACAAACTGATTAGCCAAAAGGCAAAAATGATTGGAGCTGCAACAAAACTCCTACATTGGTGTTTCTTCAAAGAAAAAGATCTGGCTATCATCTAATATTCAATAAAATTCAGAGCAACTAGAGGCAACATCTGGTTAGGGTTAGGTTTAGAGCCAGGGTTTGGTGCTAATAAAGTGCAAAGATAAGTGATGAAAACATGCCAGTGTAAACAAACTGGGGCTGAACTGCGGTAGCAAAGACTGACAACATAGTTGAGTGGTTATGCAGGAGACCATACTAATAAGTGATTCCCCCTTAAGTTAAAGACTGATCTCCCCTCTACCAGTTTTTGTTTTAAAAACACAAAATCATGACGATAGTTGCAACATGTGGTAAAATACCAAAGCGCTATAAAAGAGAGGAGAGAGCTGTGAAGCTACAGTGTCTGTTTCTTAATACTTACTACAGTGGTTGGTTATTTAATGTAGTCAAACAAGAGATGAGTGTAGTTGAGTACCACGAGTGCCACATCCAAATATAACCAAATAATGTGATGGAAACTTGTTTTTAAGCTTCATGGAAAATGCCCTTTGAATAAAAGGATTTCTTTTCTACATTTATAATCATGATAACCATTCTTAGTCTCTTCTCACCATGAGGTATGCACAACCTAGGAGACTCCCTCAAAGTGTATTTGTGGTATTATTACTTAGTATTATTCAATGTCATGTAAACCAGAGATTAAATCCAGTCCACCACATTGCGTAACCCATTTTAATGATCCCAGAATAAAACCAGGATTATCTTTTAACATGCCAGAGATGGGACATCAGAGGTTGTGTAATGATTACATTTCTGAGTAAAATATCAACATTCAGGGGAATTTCTCTAACAGAAAATGTGATCCTTTTAGAGGGCAATACTAACAAGTAACTTACTAACTCTCACTGATTTTTTTTTCTTTCTTGTGATTAGTTCTCGCTATAGAGCTGCTGGCGGCTTGTCAGGGCATCGAGTTCCTCCGCCCACTTCGTACCACCACTCCATTGGAGAAGGTCTATGAACTTGTGCGCAGTGTGGTCAAGTAAGTCAAACAGATGTGAGCAAGGTACAAAACTTTCTGTCTGCTGAAATGATGTGCAGGAAAGTTAATATTTATCCCCTGTTCCACCTCTGACTGTCTCTGAATCTTAACTGCTCTGCCATTAACAGACCCTGGATTAAAGACAGATTCATGTCTCCAGACATTGAAGCCATTCACCGTCTGATACTTGACCAAAAGGCAAGTGCAAAATGTAGAAACAAGGTTAATTCTTCCCATGTCTATACAATGTGCTCAACCACAGGAGGTGGTTCAGTGTTTTTAAAGTAACATGCTTCTGTTCTCGCTTTAGGTGTGGAATGTGGCCAAACCTTATATTGAGAAATATCAGTCCGAGTACATCCCAGAGTCTCGTCCCATCTCTCCTACAGCCTTCTCTCTGGACCCTCCAGCGTCACCTAGAAAAAGAGTTCGTCATGAGTGAAAACATTTCCATTTTTTACCCTAAGAATCTAAAATTAAACCATCCTTTTTTAAAAATCATTTAGAAATGCCTGGAAGCCAACCTGTATTTGAATGAAGATTGATTTATGGGTGCGATGTTACTTTTACCACATATGGACTGAATTAATGCTGTGATTTCTTATATCAACATTTTTAAATCTTTAAGGAATTGGAAGTGTAAGATCTCTAATAATGGTTGGTTGCTGAACTTGTGCTACACCAGTGTGCATTAGAAATGTATTTATCTAACCTTTTTTTGTCCCTTAAAATGTGCCTGATTACATTTTTATTGCCATATGACTACCTCAGCCGCTGTATCACTTGGATATCAAATGTTCCTTAATAATGTTGCACAAAGAATAACTGGCCTCAATGATGTGTCTTCAGATGTGATTTGATATGATCTGAAATGATTGAAATCAACATTACTCTGATTAGATATTGCAAAAATAAATGTTTCAAAGTGGCTTTGTTTGCTTTCTGCTCCTTATTTCTCATGTTGTACTTTTTAGGAATGTGTTAGTTGTTTAAAGAAATCAAACTTTAATACATAACAATGTTTAATCATTTGTTTTTAAGACAATCAAAAATACTCTGCTGATAGAAACTCATCTACAGTACAAAATGACAGCAAAAACCTGATAGTAGGAAAAGAATTGGGTGCTCAAGAGTTGATTTTATGAACTTCCACTGATAGTGTTAAACCAGTAGTTAAGCAGCAGGTTTATATGTCAAAACAAAAAACAGTTTGTTTATTTTGTGACTATTTATCCATTAACAACTTTTTTTTTTACTTCATCTGCTTCCATATTTGTGTTGATGCCTGAAATTATCTAAAAATACATGATATGCTTAAGTCTAATATGCTGTACAAATATCTTGAATCTGTGCCTTCATGTAGTTTTATTTTCAACAGGACTTCACTCATTCACTCTTTTATCTCAAATACACACACACAAACACGTAAACAGTGGACAAGTGGGTTCCTGTGCTGAGATATCCACTGCGTAAAAAACAATCTACCTGTCCAGGCTGAGATGCCACCCTCAGGTGCTGTTAGCAAAAACCTGAGGAAGATAAACTGGTAAATGTCACAGACAAGTAAAGAAGGCTTCAGTCAACAAATTCAAAGGTTACACAAACAACTAATGACAGATAATAGCACAGGGGGCAAAAGTCTGTTGTGTACAGAAGTAGTTCAACCTTAAAATAAAGACCAATGACACAATTGGTACCACTGGTTGATGAAACAAACGTTTCTCATTGAATGAAACGTTGAGTGTAGCATTCATTGTTGTATTACATAATTAAATATAGTATCTCAGCCAAACGTATATGATATATTTTTTGAATATTTTTAATTTTATATTATTCATTGAGACAAACCAATAACTCTACATGGGATTGTAAATTTTTGGAGAAAGACGTTTTAAATCTTTTAATGGAGACTATCAGTTGTAGTATTTCATAACTTTAAAACAAACTATTTCCATTACAAGAAACCTTAACAAAAGCGTTATAAAAATGGGCCTCTACAAGTATATACAAGCACATTGGTATCAACTAAAGATTTTTAAAATCCAAAGGCGATAATAGTATCGTTTTAAAATTGGGGGCGCTGTACGGAACAATGCCCTCGAGCTGGACTCGGGCTGAATTTTCCGGTAAACTCGATTTAAAACTTATATTTCCAAATGATGGAGGACGGCGTCTGATTGGCCCTCCGAAAGATGGCGCCCAAGACGGGATTGGTCGCGGAGAAACGATATGCGGGTTTTAAATAGTTTCCGAAAGATGGACAGACAATGGGATTGGCACCCGAAAGATGGAGGAGGTGGGGCGATTCGCCGAATTAAAATTGTTAAAAACCTAAGGGGCGTCTATAATGGCGTTCAAAAAAGGGCCCCGTTCCAAACAGGAAAAGGTGTCTCCTTCGAGCCGGATTCGAACCAGCGACCTAAGGATTTCAGCTTGATGCCACTACAGTCCTCCGCTCTACCAACTGAGCTATCGAAGGGACGTTAGCGTGAATGAGACACGTGTAAGTTTTGAATCAGTCCTACTTCCCTGTAGTATGTCGATTTTATTGTCATTACTACACTTCCTTACATCGTACACAGCTAAAACCTTAATCCTGAATCCGGGGTTTGCTAATGTCTGTAAGCTAACGCTTGCTAGTTGGCTAACTACTGCTATCTGTGTTTTACCCGGACAAAGTTAACGCTTATTAACTTGATAGCGACAAATTTTACACAAGAACACAAGGGAAACATTTAGTTGCTCTGTATAAAACAAAAAAACGATTTGCAAAACTTCCCTAGTCATGTAAACGCTGGAGTAAGAGTAGACACAGTTAGCTTGTTATAGTCCATGTAGTTTCCACGGAAAACACGCACTGCACAAGGCAACACAGATAGAGACAAATGTTCCTCTACTGGCGAATATTATATGAAATACAACTTGCTTACCTCGAACAGGGGGTTTAAAGCCATTTCACTTTATCTGTTGCTTCACTTTTGACGACAGAAGAAGGTGTTTTTACAAAGTTCCCTTGTCGAGTGATCAATACAGATGAGTTAAAAGTTATTCAATGATGCCCAGTCTGTCCTATTGTTTTACGTCCTCCTTACATTGTTTCCATCGCTGCCACTCTCCACCTGTGCGGAAACTGCTCACCTGTGTGTCTCTGGAGAGGGGGAAAATCTGTCCTCAAATTTACCTGCGAGTCCCGGGTTACAAAAAAAAACAAGTCACAAGTGTGCAGATCATTGTGGTTAAAATCTTTGCAATCAAAGCCTGTCCACTATCTTGAGTTTTATAGTTAAATTGTAAAGCGAGTAATCAATCAGAGGTTGGTTTTAAAAAGCAAGTGGGAAATGTGAGTTTGTGCAAAATAACAAACATTCCCTCTGCAAAAGTTATCTGAAACCCGAAAAATTATCTACTATATATATTAGGGGTGATTTCTGCACATTCATAAGTAATGTATCCGCAATTTCAGTAATTCTCCACAATTCAGCAAGTCTGGTTTCAACTTTAACCACTAGATGTCAGTATGTCTCTACTTAAAGAAATGCAAAACGTCTCCGAATCATAGACTGTATATACTATCTTATATACAGTCTATGCTCTGAATCAATTTGTGTCAAATTATTATTTTAACATGGAATCACGTGACAAACTGAACCAAACTCCAGATAAAAAATCCTCATCCAAAAAATCCAGACACAAGTGTTTGCCAAAATTTGCAACATGATTTGGGATTAATTTATCTTATTCTTATACATACTTTGATAATACTTCTATCAATCAATATGATCAACAAAGTATTAAAAAAACATCTTAACACAGTCTGATAAATGATAACAATGTCCTCTTGTGGTTTATCAGTTTCCAAAAACATCTGATGTATCAAACGAGATAAATAAATATATTTGTTAAATTTCAAGGGCATTTTGACTTTTTTGGTTTTCTGTATTGAGTCAAATAAAAATTTCAGCTCCAAAAAAAATAAAATTTTCTGGCCATAACTCGTGGTTTCAGGCATTATAAAGTTAAATTATACTGTATTAATCAGGATTGAATATATACGCTTAGCTTGTCTTTTGAGGTTTTTGGTGGCTAATGTAAAAATAAAAGGGATTTTTTTTACTATTTGTTATGTGTCATTAAATCTCTCAGGTTTGTAACACAATTCTCTAATGTTTTCTGTTACACTGACAACATCAACCTGCTAGAAATATGAACCCTGAAATATGACTCTCTGAGTTTTTAGACAAAAACAAGCAGCAGCTTGTTCTCCTCTCGCCCGAAACCAGGGTTTCAGTGTCACCTGCAGAACTTACTCTAAGATGAAGCCCAGTAAATTATATTTTAATTTTACAAGAAAGGGAAAGTAAAATGTGGAAATATTGTTATCAGAGAAAGGAGAACATCAGCGCTTGTCTAAATGTAATAGTTTGTCTATTCAGCTGTATTTCAGATCAACAATTTACAATATTTACGCCAGCTATTTTTTTTAACTTAAATTTTTAGATTATTTTGTGCACAAAATTCACAGTGGCATTGTTTTAATGGAACTTGATGAGCACTGTCAAAGATCAGCGTTATGAGTGTAATAAACAACCTAAAATAATCTCAAATTTTATTTGATTTTTTAAAATTTTGTGTACCCTGTTAGGGGTAATGATTGCCATATGATAGAATACACATTTAACTTCAATAAAATTAGTAACACTTATATTTTTACCATTTAGAAAGACGTTATTCTGAATCGGGGAGCGTTTTGAGCAGAAAGGTGATGACAATAATTGTTTTGGTGAGGGTTATTACAGGCTTACAGTGATAAATAGGACCTACTGTCAAGCTTCACTGTACATTCCCTCTCATCCAAAATGAGAATATTTTCAACTTGTCCTGACCTGTTGGACAGCCCTCTTATGGTTTAGCTGCCCCAAATTACAGAACATGAGGTCAGACATGGAGCTAGTAGTGGGGTCATACAATACCAGAGGACTTTGCTTTTATAAGGATGGGCGTATTGTCACGGCATGTTTCCAATAACCGTAAGTGATGATAAGGGGCCTTCTCACCCCTCTCAGGGGTTGATCCATTTTTGCTGTTTTATTTTTTTCCTCTCCCTTCTCTTTCTGTGACATTTTCCAACACTGTTTTCTCCCCCCTACTTCCCCTGCATTGATTTTGAACCCAGACCCATTTCACTCTAAGGCACTCAAAGTGTACAATGTCTGGACCAGATTATTGGCTCATTTCCTTAAATGTAAACTGCTGGTATAGTTCTTAATACTTGTGAATAGTACTGAACTATTTTTTTTTATTATTTTTCATTTAACACACAAGCATTGTACATTCAGAAGATGCATTCTATTATCTTGGTCTTTGTTCTCTTTATATGATATTATAACGAACCTTACATCTTTGTATCTCAGTATCACTGACTTTAAAAAAACCCTATAATTTCCCTATAAAGTCCACATATACTGAACGTTAATTATAAAAAGAAGAGGAGCTACGACCCTGGCCAACGGACATCCAAACATGTGTGCATGTACATGTAGAAATACAATTAAAAATTCAAAGGAAAAGTCCTATTAAACAGATTCTGCATGTATCATAGTATTAAATTATAATTTTTCTTTGCAAATTGATATTTTCATACAGTTGACAGTCTCACGATCTAGGTAAAAAGATGACATGTCTTGAATTAATAACTATTTCAGTGTTCGGATACAGAAAAGCCAGACTTACACCTGCGAGTCAATAACTGTTTACAAGAGTGTCCGCTCCCTTGTTCTTTGGTAATGTTCGTGGATGATTTTTAAACTGCTTTATCTGGCACAGGTTCACTTTGACCCTCTATGGGCTTTCTGACCCCCTCTTAAACCTAAAAATGGGACACATCCTGCCTGTCTGGCTTTTATGAAGCTTTAACTCCCACACTTTCTGTGGTCTCTCTGTCCACACTTCACTTTAAGCTTGCACTCAGTCATCTCCGTAGTCTGTCATGTGCTTCCATGGGTTTCTGTCACAGTGTTTTATAAGACCTTCCAGCATGAATTCCAGTTAAGTTACATCATGGGGAGAATTGTATATAGGTCTAATATTTACGCAACATGGACCCTGTTTCCTTGTTTTTGTCACTTGAGGTTGAACCATCTGATGAAATGTGAATGAGGGCGATGTTATGGCTACAAAGAAGCAGATAGACAACTGAGATAAACGTCATAAAATTGGAAGCAAAGCACAAGGAACCAGCCACAGAGGGTGTTTAGAGCCCAGTGTTTGATGCCTGGCCTGTGGGCACACCACTTACCCTTCTAGCCTGGAGCATGTCTGGCTTTCCGTCTGGCTTTTACAGGAGAGTAGACAGATTACTTGCAAGGGTTGAGACGGTTCAGTGAGCTAAAGGTACTAGGTGACATGGCTGCATGGGGGGAGAACCATATCCTTTTACAGTCTGGAAATAAAGCAAACCAGCAGAAGTGGAATGATCCCACATCTGTCATCTTGTTGGGTCTGTAAGATGATGAGCAGTGCTTTCTGTAGAGGGACAGTAGCGGGCTGTGACAGGAGTGTTTCATACCCCAGATATCATGTTATTAATATTCAGCTGCATTGACTGGCATTGTTTAATCATTCAAAGGTTCTGAAGTCATTTAAGTTTAAAGTCATTTAACGTTTTAATTTAAACAAGAGAGCAGTCTGTCCTCTTACTTTGGGATAATTTACTATACTTTGGGATAATTTTACCACCTGTCTTTAGGAAGAGTAACCTCAGAGTCACAGTAATGTATTTATGAAGCAATATTCAGCTGCAGGTCAGCTTAGCTGTGCTCAAAGATGAGATAGAACCAGCCTGTCTCAGTCTATCAGGGTCTCACTAAATACATAGTGCTTCCCTCAGCTCGAGGATGTAACCTATTGACAGCCTTATGCCATTAGCAAAGATTTTTGCTTCTTAAACTTCTAGTGCTGCTTCAGTGCTAACAACACTCTCCCGGAGATTTCGAATTGACTAATTTCTCTCTGTTTTTATTGTTAAACTTATCACCCTCTGTAAATCTTGGCTGTGAAAAATATAACCAAAGCCCTCTGTGCCGATAAAGCATGCTATATTTCTGACACCTAGCCCTTGGCAAAGGTTTTAGGCATGAAAAATAACCAAATTGAAACAAATATTTTTTTCTGATGATGATTTTTTTTCTTTTTCTTTTTATCTCCAAGTAGTCCATCAGTCTGAATTTCAGTCTGTTTTATAACAAACTCAAACTCCCAACAAAAGCTTTATCCAAAATCCACTTTGGTCAGGGATTTTGAATATAATCCACTTGGTCAGATCTTCTTAAACAGCTAAATTTTGTCCTTGATACACCATCAGTGCTGCTCGTGCTTGGAAAGGTCTTTGACTCTACAGGGGACACAAATAGTTGTCTCCTGAATGAATGTCATCTCACAGAGTTTTCAAAAGTGTGAACTATTGCAAACACATTTGGGGGTTATATATGAATTTGAGGTAAAACTTACAGAGTAACTGATTCTCTATATTGTTGATTTACTCTGTACTATAACTAGCTGGAAAAAAGTCAATTTCAGGGTTAGTGCGTTCACACTACGTCACCTGGTATCCGTTGTCACGCCCTGGACTGTTTTATAGCCAGGTACTGTGACCTCCTGAAGTCCTGTGACCTTAGGAAGAGGACTTGACACCTGGAAGTGTCTGTGTTTTACAAACATGTACTACTTAAAAGACATAATGTGTTAGTTTACAAGATAAAGAAGTGCTTTCAGGTGATTTTTCATTTTCATTCAGAGTCAGACCAATTTTTCTAGTCTGCTACACTTACTCGAAAAGCTGCTCCCTTTGGATTGAGATTTACTTACTCATTTATCCTCTGATCTATATCTTCTTGAGAAAGTGGCTGCGTACTTTCCAGGGTATCATATCTTTGTTTCTATGATACAGCTCAGTAGATATCAAGTTATGGTACAACAACAAACAGCTGCAGTAAAAGGGGAACAAAGGAATTTGTCCATAATGAGCATTTTCTTTCATCCAGCCAGGGGAATACACAACAGACGGGCCAAGATTAGACATCCTTCCTGGAGCATTTTTCATGGTGACTCCTGGGATTTAAGGAGCGAAAAACATCCAAGGGATGTACAAGGAAACAGCTCAAGGTGCATCGCCCCTTGGCCCCCCAGATCATCTGGAGACATCCAAAATAACCCATGCAAATCTTAAACACACAGACATGAACCTTTTCGCCTTCAAACGGAGGAGGCCATCACTGTGACGAGAGTGGCAGTATTCCAGGAATGTCCTGATCCGTCAAGGCCGGGACGCCTCAGGGAAGAGACTGAGAATGCCCCCCCCACCCCCACCCCCCAACTTTTCTTTAACATTTACACGCACATATGTGAGGATGATTCATATGACAGGCCTTATTCACAGTGAGAGATGATTACTCTTGACCTCGTGTAATCACTGGTATGATGTATATTCTCACTTACAGAATTCCCTTTTCATCTTCACTCATCATCTTGTCACGTCTTTGTCCTGTTTTTTTCTCAGGTTTGAAATCTTGTACATTTTGCCACTGGCAAAGCTACCTTTAATATCATATGTCCATTTTTTAAAATCTTGCTAGTCTCACTGAGTTGATGTCATTATTGAAGTCTTAAAAAAATGGCGTGCCTCTAGATGATTACTGGGGTTAAGGGTTGTGTGACCCCTCAGGTGCAGAGCTGTTGTCTGCCTGACAACAGGCAGGTAAAGCACAGTTAATGAGTGGCTGTTAAAAATAAGTGCTGATATGTGGCAGGAATGTAACACAATGAAACACATGGTCGGTCAGCACCTGGATGGTTTGAGGAACAATTTTAATGTCTGATTTACTGTTGTGGCTGATTTTAATCTGCTCCAAATCTCATGATAGCATTTTTTTCACGCTTTAGCTGAAATACAGAGTAGGGTGACGAAGTCCTCTTTTACCCGGACATGTCCTTTTTCGGGGGGGGTTGTGGCTTTGTCTGGGGAAAGTTATAAAATCCTTCAATGTCTGCGGTTTCGTACGTAAGTTTTGAGTTTGTCCTCATGTGGACTTGCTGAGTTAGAAGCACGTAAAAGACACTTGATCCGACCTGAAAAACTCTCAAAATTAACTTTGTGTGACTCTGTGACTCCGGCCCCGCATCAGTTAGTTTTAGGGACATACAACCAGGTATATCCATACAGTTCCATGTTTGATGATGGAGGAAAGCAAAGTAAAATTACCTTCTTTAAAAATGTTTTCAGAAAAAAAATAACTATAAAATATTGATGAATTTAGGTTATGCTTATCTAAAGATAGTATTCTCATTTTGAAAAGTCTGATTTTAGGACTCAGGGTGGGAGTGGTCTGTGTATAAACAAGAAGTGGGCGGGAGCTTAACTGTTCAAATTTCCAAGTGTCATTGAACACAACACAACAAGTTGAACTCTGAGGAACGTGGGATGAATAAAACTCCGGATAATGACTGCAGAGTTGACCGGTCTTCTGCCGACTTTCTACACCACACCGGACCAAAATGAGCTCATAGTACTGTGTGTTTTTCTTGCGTCGTGGTCGTTTTGTGAGTCGTTGTTTTATATCGAAAAGCAACAGGTTGGACTTTTCACTTCAGGATATTGTTTGATGAAACTGCTGAGGACGCGCGTCTGCGTTTGTGGACTAAACAACAGGTGACTTTATGTGAAAGAAGCGGCTCTACATCTCCTTCAGGATGAGACTGTGGACCTTACTTGTCTTTATTCCGGTGTGCGCAGCCTCTCCTGTTCCAGCCGGTGAGTTGAAAGTAGAGTTAGATGAAGAGAAAACACTCACAATCAAAATCAAAAGTTAAAGCTCCAGTGAGGAGTTTTGTATACTGGTTAAAAGATAAAGAGAAATGAACACTGATGCCTCTGAATCACATACAAAAGCAAACCAGACTACCCAGACAAAAAACATGATGTCTAAACTAGGGCTGGGCGATATGGGAAAAAGTTTATCACAATATATTTTTTTCACATCATACGATATCGATATATATCACAATGTAAAAAATAAAATTTAACAGTGCTTATTGGTAGCATGTCTTTTGCAATACAACAAGCTACTGCATCTGTGAGCGCTTTGTGTCTCTTTAATGTTTTGTCATAAGGCGTTGCGCTAGAGAAAGCGGACTAAATGTTTGGCTGTTTCGGCTGCACAGGCGCCATGCGCTCCTTGTTCTGGCACTACTTCAGTTAAGGTGGTAAAAAACATTTGAGGTATTCTCCGACTTTACTAGACATATTTTGCAGTAAACATTACTCGCTTCATGTCCGACCTCAAAAAAACGAAATACCTCCACACCACTGATGTTTTCGTGCCAGTGTTGTCGACGATGTCATCATTTGTTGAGTCTTCATCTGCATTTCTGTGTTAAAGTGCTATGGTTGCGTGTAGCTGCAGCCTGCTACTATGCAGTTGTTTGCTACTTGGTTCTAATTGAGCACATAATTTGTTCAATGTGAAGCGGACCCTGAGCAACTCCCCTTTTCATTGGCTATTCATATAGTCTACCAAAACATGGCAGAATGCCGAAAAGAATATTGACCATGTTTTATATTGATATTGAGGGAAATTAATTTTGATATATACCTTTATCGTTTTATTGCCCAGCCCTAGTCTAAATTTTAATTTAAAAAATACATATTTTTTACTTCTACCACCAGATAGAGATCAGATGACGCGCTGAAGAGCACTCTGCGGTTCCAGCATTTTTAAAATTCTTTCCAAGCCACAGGTCCACAGGGACTGTTTGACTGATAAAATACAGCAGGATGAAACTTTTCTACAAAAAAAAGTCTTAGTATGGTCAAGAAGACAATCTAAGAGATAAGAGGTGCCCAAGCTGAAACATCCTCACAGGAGCTTTAAAAAGCCGGGACATTTTCTAGATCGGTGCACACTTAAAGGAAATTAAGATTTAAGACTGCTACTAATAAGTATACACTTTTCTCACCAGAAGTGTCTAAACCCAAAAGTCCAGCTGCAGAGAGCCGCTGCCCCAGACAAGCTTGTAATCCCCGCATGGGCAACCTGGCCCAGGGAAGAGTCCTCAGCACCCTGTCAGTGTGTGGATCCAACTCCTCTGAACCCTTCTGCTTCTTCAAAGACACTTCTGCCCCCCGCAGCAGGGGGTCCTGTCAGGCAGCAAAATGCAGCCAGTGTAACTCTGCTGTCCCCAGGCAGGCGCACCCTCCCTCTACCATGAGTGACTCTCCTTTCCGAAACCCGGACACTTGGTGGCAGTCTGCTGACGGAGTGAAGGAGGAGATGCTCCAGCTTGACCTGGAGACAGAGTTCCTTTTCACCCACCTCATCATGGTGTTCCGCTCCCCACGTGCCGCTGCTATGGTGCTGGAGCGATCCAAGGACTATGGGCGTACCTGGAAGACCCTCAGGTACTTTGCCAAAGACTGTAAGGAGACATTTGGCCTGGCTGAGGGATTGCCGGGCTTGGAGAGTGGAGCTACCTGCACCTCAAAGTATTCAGGAGCTTTTCCTTGTAGCAGAGGAGAGGTGAGTGCAGGGGCGGAACTAGAAAATGTTTACATTGGGTGGCAAAGGGACAGGAAGTGAGATTGACAGGGTGGCCCAAAAACAAGATCACTACTAGAGCTGCAGGTAAAAAAAACACAATAACAACAACAACAGCCTTTATTAAATTGACTCTTTCAGACTCAGATGGCAAAAATATAAAAATAATACTCATCATCTAGCCCTTACTGTCAATGAAAACCTTTTTTATAAACACACTGATATAAAAATCTGTCATCTTTTTGGTACAAGTTGAATGCCATCATTCAGAGAAGGTTTTAATGGAGATAGAAATATTCATAGTATTTGATTATCATGTTATATCTGACATCAGAGAGTGACCACATCCAAACAAGCCACCGCTCACTATCCGCTCCACTTGTGTTGTCACAGTATTGGCATCAGAGCGCATTATAAGCTGATATCACACAACCCGCTGAACAAACAGTTGACCAGGCTTTGTAAACTGATCTCCTCTGATCGGCTGCGGGAGACCTTTTTTGTCGGGCCAGCCTTTTGAGCCACAAACTGCTTTGACATGCACAGCCAGAATATCAATGTTCACTCCTACCTCTGATGTCTGCTCAAAGCGTTTTTCTGACCTGCTGCATCATCACAGGGCAGCCTGGGCCAGATAATCAGCCATGGTTAATTCATGAGCAGACCCTTTTATTCACAAAGATATAACTGTCCATAAACTGTGTAAAAGAGGACAGTCATTGGCCCCAATAGGCTTAGACCATATTGGGAGGTTCAGGCTGAATATATGGCTTCTACTGATCTCATAATTGCAGTTTATCTGCAACAAGAATGTGTCTGTTACAGTGTGTCAACTACCTGTGTAAGCCCCTAACCCTTTATATAATTAGTGTCTCTGTTGCTCAACGTTTAAGGCAACTGAATATTGAAAGATGAGATCCTGCAACAGAACGGCATTTCAGACATTATAAGTTGTGTGCAGATAAGACCTGAAGTGTAGGATATAAACATGTATTATTACTATAAATGAGTCTGTTTCTGTTCAATTGAAGGATTAACTTGTTTTTGTGGCGTGCACTGGTTTTACAGTAAATGTTGTTAACAGCACTTCATTAGTCATATTAATGCCATTTGATACTGAACCTCAAAACATGCCTCTTATGAAACCTTTAAGTTTGTGTACAATGCAATAAAATGTGCACAAAGTGTTAAATATGTATCATAGATGATATAAATAAACCACATTAAGGCTACATTTAGGCTGATGGAGGGAAGGTAAAAACACTGAATAGTCACAGTCATGTCGTTTTTTTGAACTTAAGTAGTTCAAGTAGTAGACTACTTAAGTAGTCTTTGTTGGAAGGATTGTACTTTGCTAAATTTTAAATAGCAGTAGTCAGTTGGTCATTGGAAACAAATAGCCAGTATTGGATCTTGTTTATTTTGTTTAAATAAATGTAGAGAGAAAAATTTGCGTACTGCAATGGCAGCCACTTTTACTCATTATAGTTAACCTTTGGCATAAATGAACTATCCTCTCTGCACAGTCAGCCACAGTTAAAGTATCCAGGGCTTTACAAAGTGCAATACTGACAAAAGAATCCGCAGAAAAGTTTAGACAGAGTCTAAAAGACATTGAAACGCCAATGCTGTTGGTCAGATTACAACAACTAGTTTGGGAGGATATGCTTTTATTTTATTCTATTTGGTGACTTCATCTCTCAGTACTCTGAGTTCCCTTTAGTACAAAATGTTGTTTTTTTTCCACCCCTGGAAACCAGGACTGAAAAAATGATGGTTCAGATTATGATGTTCAATTAGCCGTCTTCATTCTCTCTATTCTAGATTTTGTTTTGCCATAAATCTCTATTTCCTCGCTTTCAACTGTGCTTCCAAGATTTCTAAAAGCATTTTCATAAACAGATCAACTGAGTGTTTCTGGAAAATAAAGCTAACTTATTGTAGGGACCATGTTTACATTGGCTCTCATTTGATTTTCTCAGAACAGCAGCTATTTGAGGAGCATGAAAGGCAAACCAGATTGATGCCTGCTCCTTATTTGGTAAACTGACATAATTTATGCTCCTTTCATGGTCTGTCAGTGTCACTAATATCCATTTTATCACTTGTCCCAACGGCTCTTAAAGGTCAACAGCATTTTAAGCAGATTATTTTGTGTGTCTACTCTGCTTAAATCTGCAGGTGATCTATCGAGCGTTGTCACCGTGGCACTCAGTGGATCCATACGGACCGGCAGCCCAGGACCAGCTCATGATCACCAACCTGAGAGTGCGTCTGCTGCAGCACCAGCCGTGTCCCTGCCAGGCCAAACACCCTGCTGCTGCCACCCTCCCCACACAACATTATGCTATCTATGATTTTATTGTAAAAGGTAGCTGCCTTTGTAATGGACACGCTGAGCACTGTGTACCAGCCAGCGGCTACAAACCCAGCCGACAGAAGACCAATAACATGGTGAGTGAGTCTGAGCTGTTGTAAATACACACAACTTTCAGGAGTACAATAATCCACATCTAATCTTGCTCAGTTTTTCTGTTTTGAAAATGTTCTTGTGTTTTAAAGTACCCTCATTATGTCTCCTGTTTTTGTTTAACGCGGTTGTTTTGGAGACGATGGTTTGGGGTTTTGTTCCCACCACTCCCTCATTACTCAGCTGTGTGAGGGAATGCGCTGCCGAAGCTGGAGTTTACAGTGAAGACTGAATATTAGGCAACAGCTTTACCTACCATTACAGGGATTTAACTATGTGGAAACCTTCATTATGCTATTCAGCGTAATGCTTCAACAATCCTCAGTCTCTGTCATGTTATTGTCTTACTGTAAATGGAGAATGGAGCCAATTGTTGAAATCCAAAGGTCACTGAGGGGGCGCAGATATGATACACAGGCAGTGCAGAATCACTGTGACTGTGCATGTAGATGGGAGTGTGTTGACTATTAAGTAGTATTATAGACATACTGGTGTGTGTGTGTGTGCGTACTTGGAGGCTGAAAACCAAAAACTTACTAAATGCGTACTATTTTACTATTTTGTGTTGTATATAGTGTATATACTTGTATATTATCTCTTTATTTTTACTTATTTTATCTCTTTATTTTTACTTATTTTATCTATTTATCTCTTTATTTTTACTTATTTTATCTATTATTTATCTCTTTATTTTTACTTATTTTAATTATTTTATCTATTATTTATCTCTTTATTTTTACTTATTTTATCTATTATTTATCTCTTTATTTTTACTTATTTTATCTATTTATCTCTTTATTTTTACTTATTTTATCTATTATTTATCTCTTTGTTTTTACTTATTTTATCTATTATTTATCTCTTTGTTTTTACTTATTTTATCTATTATTTATCTCTTTATTTTTACTTATTTTATCTATTTATCTCTTTATTTTTACTTATTTTGACCTATTTTATCTATTATTTATCTCCTCTTTATACCTTATTTGCACTGAAGTTACTGTAACAAAAAGCAATTTCCCCAAAGTATTTCTGATTCTGATTCTGATTCATTAAAACTTAAAGCTAAAACTTTTTAAAAGCAGAAAATATGTCAATCCCAGCTGAGTTTATGCAAAAATAAGTGATAAATACAGAAACAGCAAAGTTCTGAAAAATTCTCCTCTTTCCGTGTTTGTCTGGCAGGTCCACGGTAAGTGTGTTTGCAGACATAACACAGCCGGTGACCACTGCGAGCGCTGCGCACCTCTCTACAATGACCGACCCTGGCGGGCTGCCAACGGCATCACAGGGACGCCGCACGAGTGCCAGAGTGAGTGATGGGGCAGAGAGTCAAATGCAGAGTAGGACACACAGCGTGTAGACTTATCTTCAAAATGACTTTAGCCTCATAAATCTCACGTAACCTTTAGACGCTCACGCTTGATGAATCACAGAGCTGCTCCTCGTTTTTTATGTCAGCTGCTGCATGAGTTAACGCTGCGCTCTTTTAGGGCCTCTTATATGTGAGAAATTTAAAGATCGTCAAGGCCAAGAATGAACCCCTCAGTCTCTTTGTTTGTACTCTACATCCTAGAGTGCAAGTGTAACAGCCACGCCAAGAGCTGCCACTTCAGTCGTGGATTGTGGCTCGCTTCTGGGCGGCGGAGTGGAGGCGTGTGTGAGGACTGCCGCCACAACACAGAGGGCCGCCACTGCCAGAACTGTAAGAAAGGTTTCTTCAGAGACCCGAGCCGACCAAAAACTGCCCCTGACTCCTGCAAACGTAAGGCCTCTAAACCCATTTCCTGAGTTGTGTGTTTCCCTTAACCTCTTAACTCTGTGTGGATGGATGCCAGCAGGGAATTCCAATCAGGGAGGGAAACCTTTGATACAGAAATAGGGATCAGGTCTTTACCCTTAAAAGTGATCTCTTGGATAAAGGCATTTTTCCCAAGAACTTCTCTTACAGTCTCTGCCCTACTTATGATGAGACGCTTATGTGACTGCAGCTCGCTCCTCAAGGGGAATGATGGAAACTGTACTGTTTAGGAATGTGACTGTAATTGCAAACAATGGAGGAATTTCTCATGGACCACGCGAGCGCATTTTTCCCATTCTTGCCCTCTCCCCCCGCCAGGCATGCTGCAGCATTTCTAAGACTAAACATGCCGTTTTTGGAAACAGATGAAGCAAAGTCTGTAACACAAAAATCCATCTGTCATCAGAGCAGAGCATCAGGCTGCAGGTCTGACAGCGCAGAGAGAGAGAGAGTGATTTACTGTTTGTTTTTGCTGCAGCTGCTCAGAGCATGTCGAGCACACACTCCCAGCTTGTCGCTCGTTACAGGAGGATGATAAAACACGTTTTCCTTTCATATTGCCAGGGGAGTTCACTGTGGAAGATCTGAATATGTTTCCCTGTGTTTGTCCTCGGTGTACATGTGCGCTCATAACGTATGCGGTGTGCTTTACCTGAAAAGGTTACACGTCTTTTGACTTACATACAGAAATGCTAACTTTGCCCTGCTCTGCTCTTGTTCTGTCTCCTCTGCAGCCTGTTCCTGCCACCCTGTAGGCTCAGTCCTCTCAGGTGGTCGCCCTATCTGTAACCCCAGCAGCGGGGAGTGCACTTGTAAGCCTGGTGTCGGAGGCCCCCGCTGTGACAGCTGCATGCTGGGATACTGGGGGCTTCATGAATATGGCTGCCGTCCATGTGACTGCACTGGAGAGTGTGACCCTTACACTGGCGACTGCTTTTCTGAGTAAGAGCCAGGATTTTACACCATATCCATATGTATGTGTACTTAAAGTGATGCATGGTGTGGTGGCAGAGTGCATTTTGGGTGATTAACTCTGAGCCCTCTGACTGATTTTACCTCTGCGGCACAGCTCAAATGTGGAGGTCTACTACTCAGCCGCCAGCCGCATGAGACACAGCAGCAATAATAGTGAGACGGCACTCTTTAGGGTAGAGGAGCTTTTCTCTGCACTGCACCACTCTGGTGAGTCACAGGTCAGACCACATTTAACACACTGCTCTCTCACATCAACGCATTGAGATTAATGAGCAGCTATTCTGATTATAACACATCATGATGAATTGATTTGAGCAAAACTTATGAACAATGTCCCATTGTTTTTCAGAGAAATGTGAGTGTGTAGAGGTTACTCTTGGCAGCCCTAAACTCTTCTGTGCTGCAGAGTACGACTACGGTGAGTACCAGGGGAATAGATTCTGTTTTCATTAACAATCAGGACAAATCAGATCTGTTTTTTTACTTTTGTTTTTTTATAATTCACCAGCATCTTTATACACATGCACCAAAACAAAACAAAACAAAACAACACAACAGAGCCTTTCCAGTATTCTAATCTTAAAATTTATGCAGCAGCAGAAATCATATGAAAGCATCCCGCAGCTTCAACACTACAACTCGACAGCAACTTTGTCTTCAGTCTCTCGCTAACCATCTTTTCAATAACATGCTTCAAGTGTATAAAGATGGTTTTCTGTTAAAAAGTATGAGTCCTAAAGGGATAATTTAGGGTCAAACACATCGTAACACCTCTAGTTATACCAACTTTAGTAACGAGGTCTGAGGAGCCATTCCCCAACCTCAACCAAAACTCCACTCTATAGCCACAGATAATGCTCAGAACAGCACCTAACTTTATCAACAGTACATGTAGGGTCCCAGCCACCAAACATCTTTTTAACTTTGCCTAATTTCTTTAGCAAAGAGACTAAACACAACTCACCTACTCTCTTCTAGCAGCCGCTTGTTTGTAGCGAGACCTCAGACCAGTCCATTACGGACTGCTGTGGGGTGACGCAGCTCAAGGAAGAACATTTCTGATCATTTCTTCATGGAAATGCAATCAGACCGAGATGCTAAAGCAGAAGAACTACCGCGTCTGCAGTGCAAAACGATTAATATGGTGATTATTACTTCAAGGAAATGATAAAGAAATGATCATAAATGTGTTTGACCCAAAATTAATTTTACACCGGAATATCCCTTTAATAACCCGACTGATGAGGTAACTTATGGTTATTTTCCAAAGCTTGCAAACTCCTCCAGCTCCACAGAGGACATTTAGAAACACATTTTCAAAGCCTTTGTTGCTCTTCATATGCTAATTGTCTGTTTTTTCTTTACGTATTTAAAAGCTTAATAGTTTATTGAATGATTGCTTTCTACGTGTTTCTTTGGTAGTGCTGTTGGTGCGTGTGATGTCGGCCCACGATAAAGGCTCCCACGCAGAGGTGGAGGGAAATGTCAAAAAGGTTTTTTTCCAGAACCCTCGGCTGAAGATCCAGAGAGGAAGCATCACCCTTTACCCAGACTCCTGGACCACACAAGGCTGTACCTGTCCCATCCTCAACCCAGGTCAGCCTTCAATGAGAAACTTTATCGCTCACCATGCAGGAGCTTATAATTAGTCAGCTCCGGAGTGGACAAACTGCCAGCTTTGTGCTGAATAGAGGATCTTTGTCACTGCTTGCAGAGGCTTTGAATGGTTGCCAACGTCCTGGCATCACTCATTTAAAACGGACATTTACAGCTTTAGAGATTAAAGCCACCTCTCGTTTATGAGACTATTTCACATCTAACACTTTCCCAATAATCTTTTCTGGCAACGCTCATCCAAGGCAGCCAGAGCAGCGGAGTATTTAACTGGTTTGTTATTGTTATATAATGATGTGCGTTCTTTCAACAGGGATTTTCTTTCAGTTCTGTGTATTTTTGTATCATTCTCAGTAGACTTAATATTCAGCGAGCGTCTGCTCTCTTCTTCCTCCAGGATCTGAGTACCTGGTGGCTGGTCATGAGGACTGGAGAGGCAGTCGGCTTATGGTCAACACAAAGAGCCTGGTTAAACCCTGGAAGTCCAGCCTGGGACGCAAAATCCTTGACATCCTCAGAACAGACTGTGGTCGCTACTAAGAGCTGCAAAGACTGAAGGGATGAAGAGACAGAATAAACAGAATAAACAGAAGGACTGCTTGGACAAGGAACTGCTTGTATGGTAAATGTTAGCCAAATCCAACGCCTACAGCGGGGAATTCACTGTTTCTTCTGTGTCCAAAGTGGACTCCACAAGAGACGACACGACAAAGCTGTGGTTGTAGAAACAAGCAGATAACTTGTCAGCGAGAACAAGTTACAGGACTTGAACCGTGGCAAAAACTTAATCTTTCAGTAATTTCATTCCTGTGTTTCTGTCCGATGTGCCTCAGCTCATCATTCCCCCCACGTTATTTATGAAACAATCTTGAATGGGTATTAAACACTCGATTATATTTTATCTCCCAGCTGACAGAGTTGATGAGCCAAGGTACAGTCACATTTTACTGTATCTGTTTCACAGAGAGATGTTTACTCTGGCATCCTGAGACGGCACTGACTGAATCATCCTCATCGTCTCACAGATATCAGAGATAAATCACGAATGAGCCAAAGTCAGAATGTGGGCAAGTGTGTGTCTGCGTTTGGTGTGTGTGTGTGTGTGTGTGCATATGCTTGATGTCCTTGGCGGGGAGTGCGGGACTGTGCAGGTCAGAACAAGAAACTCTGGGATGAAAAAAAGGACATTAAAGGAATCAGGAGGGCTAATCTGAGCCACTCTGCTCTGCTCTGGCACACTCGCCTGCCTGCCGTCTGACAAGAGCAAAACACACTTTTCTTGGAGGGTCTGAAGAACACGTGAGCGGCTTAAACGCCCAGGATTGATCGTTCCCCTTATAGCTGGTTCAGTTACCAGAGTGGATCATTGTCGGTGTTGTCAGACTTGATTCTGTGAGGATTTTCTGCCGTCCTCATATGACCCACTTCGAGGATTCAATAGAGAAAGACTCTCTGATACTGACCCTGTGAGAGCCAGTGTGTGGGTGTGTGTGTGTGTGAAAGGAAGCGCACACACACACTCTGAACATATGTTTCTCTATTTGGCCTGTGACTCCCAATGTCCTAAAATAAATATGTATTAAAAGCCCGGGTACTCATTGACATCACGGATCAGAAACGCAGAGTCCGCAGGCCAGCTTTGAGTCAGGTCCAGTTAAGAATAGTCCGGATCTGCTGTCTCCAAGGAGAAGGACAAACTCTGAGGAGACATGATGCATTCCTCAACTGTGACATCACGAGCCATGTCCTTGTCCCAAAGACTTTACCAAAATAAGAGAAAACGGACTGGAGTTTTTTCTTGTAAAGGACAAAGCCGGGATATAGGGAGCGTGAATGTATGATGCTGTCGGTGCGATAAGTCGTGCTGTTTCTGTGTGCCCTGTATGTGCTTCCTTTCTAATCTAAACTGCTTTGACTACACTTCAGCATGCTCATTCTTACTGCTTATGGGGAGAGTCGATCACATCCTAAGCCACCATTATGCTGAGGCATGAGCCTATAAATAGCCTGATGTGTCTTACTGTAACATCTTCACTTGTAGAGACAGCTGATGTATGACCCATGCTTTAGTACCGCCCTCCTTTGGTTAAAGTGAAGAAATACACCCCAAACATCAGCCAGTTGTTGTTGTTGATGTAAATAACTTGAACACAGCAATCAAAGCAAGATTTATAACAATTTATTTCTTATAAAACTGCTTCAACTTAAAATAGAGCAAAGAAATATAGAAATATAAATATTTCAGAGCAGTTACATTTTCCCTCACAAGGTCTTAACAAGGCAGTAAAGCATAATATTGTCAGTGGAGGAATTCCCCAAAATCTTTTTTGCATGATTCTTTTGCATATTTCTTTTGCATATTTCCTAAAAGCAGCACATAAATATCCGACTAAAATGACAGCACTACGCTACTTAAAGATATGTCCTTTTGTCTATTGGCTTGATCCTGTGGGAAAAAAATAGTACTATCAAGCTACTGCCATGACACTGGTCTTTTGCTCTTGCTAAAATAATCACCTAAAGGTACAGAAGCAGTGGAAATGTAGATCAGAGAAGTATTGCATATGTTGCCATCAGTCTGCAGAGGTTTGTTGTTTCGGAGCTGTACCGCTCCTCCTGGTTTTTGCCTCCAGTTTTGGCGCATGCTTAGTAGTCGTCCCCCCGGCTCACAACCTCCTTGCAGGTGGGCCTGAGAAGGATGGTGTGCTCATATTGGGCTGTGTAGCTGCCCTTGATGTCGCAGAGAGGAGGGTAGGGGTCTATGATGCCGAGGTCACACAGATTCTTTAATGCCATCAGGTACTTGCTCTCGCCCAGGCGGTCCAGCCAGCGGCGGCAGAAAGCCAGAGTGCCAAAGTTCTCATTGATCACATTCAGCAGATGTTTAGCCCTTGGAAGTCTGCAGCACAGTGAAAACAGAGTGAGACTAACTGGAGAGATGTTCACCTGTGTGCAGGCATGGGTGTCAGCTGATCTAAATTACTTTTTGACTCTTGTTTTCAGGATCAGAAGGTGAGGTGAGGTGAAAACAGCAGGACAAACCTTATTGGAACATGTCCAACGTTGAAGTTTTTCATGTAATGTGAGCACTCCATGTCATCGTGGACCGCTCCTCTTCCTGTGCTGCCAAATGTCTCAATAGCATAAGCTTCACCTTCCTGAGAGAGGAGAATACAGACAGTTTGTTCATGTCAGCTTCTGATTAACATATATAATTAAGTCATGTAATTTGGCTGTCTTTTCACATTTATGCAAGCTTCATGGGCTTCAATGTAACTGAAAGGACAAAAACTCTCCAGGGGGACTGCAGCGCCTTGTGCGAGTTGATGGGCTGGGTTTCATTGGCTTCTTGTGTCTCTATCAGCCCGTGGCTGTTGTTGGAGTCCCTGTGGTATTAGCTGATAACACTGCGACACCCTCTCTCGCTGCACCGATAATCAGTCAAAGTGCTAGCTGCACCCGTCGCACGCCCAGCTGCCACTCCAGCCGTGCGCTCTCTGATCACAAAGAGGGTAATGGCCCTGATACACCAACACACTTCAGCTAAAAATACAACACACAAATCTGCCACCTCAGCAGCACCACCCCATCCCTCACTCAGGTAAAAGAGCTCGACACAGCAACTTGCCAATTAAAATGCTCAGTTCTATCCAAATACAGTTGTGTACTGCAGCTGCCCTGGTGCATGGATCTTTGTGTACTCTTGATTACAAGAAAGAGCAAAATCATGTTTCTCCTTGGGAAAAAAGTGGCATGTTAATGAACTCTGGATGTCCATGATTCAGTGCTTTTCTGTGAAATTAGGAGCTGAGGAGTTTGAACACGTGTTGCTCCTCTATGCGGCTGGTAATTCCATTAAAAGGTGTAATTAAAGTGCTGACGAGGGTGACTAAGATGCTGTTAGAGCGCTGAGTTGGAACACTTCTCCACACCCTGCCGTAACCCTAACCATCCGCATGTTCTTCCAATTACACTCAAGAATTAAAAAGGGTTTATTTATATGCAAGGTCGAGCAGCTAATAAAGGTTTAATTTCAGGCTGTCTGGTAAAAGGAGGCAGCAGTGTTGTTTTCTACCCCAGGATCTACCTACTTCCTCATTTAGTTTGAAAAATATTTGTAATTGCATTCATAAACCCGCACAAACCTCCATCCTCGTGGCCTCTCCACCTTTTACAATAGGGACTGTTTTCCCCGAGTGTATCCTGTACTGTCCGATGGAGTGGCCGTTTAGATTTCTGATAGGCTTCACTGCAAAGAGAGCGGCACCACACGCACACAGAGGTTTAACAAACACGTAGCAGTGCTGAGCCAGTGCACAAAGATAAGATGATGAATGACCCGGCGTCACCTTGATATGTTTTCCCATCTATCTCCACCTCATACGACTCCATAACCTCCTGGATGGTCTCGCCGATATCACACAGGCGCACATCAATCCCTGCAAACTGAAGCAGAGAAGTGTTTATGTGGTCATCAGAAAATACGGCATCACATTTCTCACACATCAACTATCTGGATTGTAAGGACATCTGTCATTTCTGCGAACACGTGGGTTTAAGTTTTAGAGTGAAGCGCACAAACTCCTGTTTATAGGACGCAGTTTCCTGCGTGTTTTAGGTTTCCTGGTTATTTATAAGAGCTAAATATCAACAAAGTTTTAAAACTTATCAATCAAACCGCTAATCAACAAATTATTCATTTTTGTGCCATTTTGGGTTTGTGTTTGTTTAGATGACAGCAATATAATTTTGTTTCTCTTGATGGCCACTGGTGTGTTCAAGAACTAGATATGCTGCTGTGAATCTTGTCCTATTCTTACATTTGCTCCTATTCTTACAATATTATCTTAACCTTTACCTCCAAATATAAACTTCCATTTATGTTCAAAAAAAGTCCCATTGATAAAAAGCCGGTGTAATGTTTTTGTGTGACATCAAGTTACATTTACCTCAGAGCCAGACAGGAGGAGGATCTAAATGGTTTTATTAATCGTATCGTATTGTATCGTATTGCATCATATTGTATGATATCGTATCGTGTGATATTGTATCGTATCGTATCATATCGTATAGTGTGATATCGTATCGTGTGATATTGTATGACATCGTATGATATCGTATTGTATGATATTGTATCATATCGTACAGTGCGATATCGTATCGCATCGTGTGATATCCTGTGATATCGTATGATATTGTATCGTATCATATTGTATCATATAGTGTGATATCGTATTGTGTGATATCGTATCATATCGTATGATATCATATCGTATCGTATGATATTGTATCGTATCATATTGTATGATATTGTGTCGTAATGCTGACTTTACTACTGAACTGGTTTGCTCATCCAACATAACCAGTGAAAGTGGTCCAAAGCATCATGTTTGGATGGTCAAAGCTGAATTACCTTAATCCCAGTGTTAGTTGCGTCTCTCACGGCCTCCAGCAGCCTGTCAAACTTTGGATTGAAAGTGACAGTGAAGGCACAGTCTATTATTCGACCTGAAAGAGCAAAAAAGTTGAGTTATGCATAGCATTTTCTGTACTCGCTCACCACTGAGGCTTTTGTATTTCCAGGGGAACATAATCTGTAGACAAAAGCCCTCTACTCCCCGTGGCTTTGTGCTTTTATCACAGTTCCTGTGAGGTGATCATTTTGGAAGAAAATTCAGCAAGAATTAATCTTAAAAAAGAGGACGTCTTAATTAACTTGCGAGATCCGTTTATTTCAGGCTGTAGGAATTATAATGCAATCATAAATTTACCTCATCTTTAGAAATGCCAAGAGTCAAATAGCACAGCAGAACTCCAAAAGTGTTTAAAAAGTTATAAGAACTCACCGTTGATGTGTGTCCCAAAGTCGATTTTGCAGATGTCGTCGTAGCGCAGCACAGTGGGGTCTCCTGCGTTGGGGGTGTAGTGGGCGGCACAGTGGTTGATGGAGCAGCCGGTGGGGAAGGCCAGGCCCGCCTTCAGCCCGTTTTCTTTGATGAGCTTCCTGGAGCAGTCCTCCAGCCTCTCACTGCCAGAAACAAAGAGCAGCACAAGGGACAAAGGATGACAGGAACAATGGGACAATTTTCAGGGCAGATTCTGCATCCAGAAGAGGATGAAACCGCAAAGCTGTTCTCCTGTTTTCTTTCATCATTTTTAACCAGCCCCTTCCCTGAAGCCATATCAGTTTCAAATTTAAATGAGCCCAGGTGGGTGTGAGCAGCCAAGTTTGAAGTCGATCAAAAGGTGCTCAAGGGCAATGTCTCACTGCATGTCTTACCAGATGTCAATCATCGTCATTCCTGGTTGGATCCAGCTCCTAACATAGGTGCGGACCTGCCGATGTGCCTCCGCTGCCTGCCTGAAATCGCTCCACATCTCCTCATTGGCCATGTCCAGCGCCCGCTTTTCTTCACTGGTGGTCCGCCACGCTGCACTGCGCCTGGTGGGAGGTAGACAAGCACACCGCAGAGAGGAGCACTCATTATTTTCTCATTATGTAAATGTTAGCTGTGAGGATATGACACACTCTTGTAGGAGCTCTGCACAGGTGAAAGTGCTGTTGATCCTTTGTAACTGCAGCCAAATCTGACAAAACTGCTTTATCTTAAGTACACACTTAAACATAAAAACTTACAACAATATAAAGAGAGACCTGAGCCAGAAACTCAGAGGAAGACAACTGCTGAGTGTGAGGGACGATGTGGAGGTCACATACCCGTCTTTCGATGGTGGATATTCACACTCCTCTCCCTTTGGAAAGTCTCCACTGGGATAGAGCTCACAAATAGGGATTGAGGGAGGGTCAGTCTGTCCCTTCACTGTGGCCCAGATAGAAGGCGAGGAGACGAAGCAGAGGAAAGAAAACACAAGTTTTACACCAGATTTCCATGACATTAATGTTTAAACTTAGCAAGAGAATACTGACTTACAGATTCAATTAACTTCAGACACCCATGAGTAAAAGAGACCCATCGAATTAAAGCATAAAGCACTTATAACATCACAGATTCAGTTAAATTACATGAAGGTAGCACAGTGTAAGCTCAGTTTACTCCCTTTCAATATATAAAATGTGTTGTGATTAAATTCCTGCTCCTTGCTCAACATAAAAAAAGGTCCTGAAGTATTTTGTCCTACATCTCTGTGTCACGGCAAGGTTATGAAACAAACATGACACTAATTAACTGAGTCAAAATGTGCTTGTGCACCTGTTGTATTAACAAGTGATTGTGATGTTCTTAAGTAAGGTTCAGAGACAAAAACAGCGCCCAAATCTAACGTGCCTCTGAGATGATAAATGTAACCGTCCATGTGAAAGAGCAGTCAGAGAGAAGTCTTTTCTAGGACTGAATCCGCATTGGCTTTGAACAGTTTTATGTCATGCAGTCCTGTGGAAATGGACACTTACGTTTTATAGCATCATCCCTCTGCATAGCTTGAATTGTTTATTGTTTATTACAGGCCTCATATGTGTAAGGAGTGAATATTATATATAATATATATGTTTGCAGCACTATCTTTGCTGTTCTTCACTTTCACTTCAGCAACTTGCAGCAACTATTAAAGCCATCACACATGCAGTTATTCTTTTCAGCTTTTTATCTTTTACAAATGTTTTTGCATAACATAGCACATATTTTGAGCTACTGATGTCTCTACTTAATTACCTACTCTACTCATATTCTCTCTCTCTTTCTCTCTCTCTCTGTGTTGCAGGGTCAGCGGAGTACTCCTGACTTTGATTTGTTTCGCTAAGGAAAAGATTGCCTTACATCCTTTCTTCTTTTTCTTTTTCTTCTTCTTTTTTCCACCTGAGTTCTCTCCCTCCTCACCATCTGTTGAAAGCATCATTAGTTTCAATACAGTTTGCAAAGTGAGAAATATTGACAAAACTAGAGGCATGGGCACAGTTCCCAGTGTGCAACTAAAAATCAGATATCATATTGCAGATATGACCGGCTCAATATTGCTGTGCGTTTTTGGATTTCTAAAAGTTCACACAGTTCCTTCTACAGATGATTAAGACGATGATAACGCCAGAGAGAAGTTACTGTACCTTCTTCTCCATCCTCTTCCTTCTCTTTGTCCTCAAGCGTTTGCTGCTCCAACTGTTTTGTCACATCGCTAACACCTCCGGCTTCTCCTCCATCCCCCTCAGCCTCATTTGTCCCTGCTGCAAAGTCACACACCCTCGTGCATGCATGTGCAGGTGAACACGCACACGCATGCACACAGAGAGACACACACACATGCACAGGCAGAGTGAGTAAATTATCTGAGGTTGAGGAAGTCATTGCAAGAAAGTGCACCATCCACTGTGGACCAAACTTGGCAGAGTGTGTGCATAATTTCTTTCTATACCTAAGGAGTCAATATGCTCAAGGGCATATGTAGCATGCAGCATTATGACATTTAGCCTTTCAAAGACACAGCTGTGTGGACCTTACTTAAACTTAAGACGTGTTCAAAAACTCTGCCTTTTTGCTGCTTTTATTTTCCAGCATTTTCAGGCACTGAGGCTTTAATACTCGTGATGTTTTTTTGCATGAGTGGCTGTCATCTTATTGCACTAAAACTGTGGATACTTCCATTACATAATTTCATGCAGCTTAGAGGGATTTATATGATGGAACATATTTAATCTGGTGTAAAACTACATTTTAATATACTCCTATCTTCATATGACAGCTTTCAATCAGTTTGAAAGTCAACTCTGTTTTTTTTAAGGAGATTGTCCCGTGTCCAGATGCGCACCCTCAGGTGCAGCAGCAGCAGCAGCAGCTGGGACAGCTGGACCCAAATATCCTCTCACAGGTAGAAAACTCTCCTGTCTCGCATATTTGACGCTCTTGCTCTGTCTTAGTGGCAGCAGAGGAGACAATTTTGCGCTATTTTTTCTTCAACGAGTCTCAGAGCAGAAAGTGATGCTTCTCACCTGGTGCGGTGGTCTTATTCCTCTTCTTCTTTCTTCTCTTCTTCTTCACTGACTCTGTCGCGTCTGCATCCTCTCTCTCTTCGTTGAAGTCGTCCCCATTAAGAAGTTGAGGCTGCACTTCGTGCTGTAGCTGTAGCTCCGCCATGATCAGCGACTGAGAGGTGAAGTGACGCATAAGCTGCTGGGAGCCTCCAGTGGTCAAAGCAGAAAAGTGTGCTGGAGGAAGCCGAGCCAATAATGAGCTATTAGAGCATCTCTGTGTAACGACTTGACCCGAGGAGAGGAAGACGATCCTGCTCTGTCCTGAGAGGCAAAAAGTTTCCTTTCTGAACAGATTTTTTTCCTCTCCATCTGAGGACAAACTGTAACAGTAGAGCAGCACAACACCACTGCTATCTCTCGGTGCTTGGTTGTGTTACCATCATGTCCTAAGACACAGCCTGATAGCTGCACTGCCTGCTGGAATCATCACTTTCTCCGAACATCCAGTCACTGAGTAAGTCTCAGGTTACCTGCTGCACACCTGTGAGTGGCTGCAGCCCCTCAGTCATAGGTCACTCCACCTGTGTGTCCAAACCAGATAGCGTTAGTGGCTGTTATTGTGAATTACATTATGGTGCATGTGTGTTGGCATTTGCAATTCATGCGTATCTGTAACGGTCCATATCGCGAGTTTGCGCACACGGTGTATAGAAATGTGTAACCTAGCAACAAGCAAGCCCAGCACATTTAGTGGACAGGCGTGTTTACACAAGTGAAAGAGGGATTTAAACCAACTAAAGTTAATCTGCATTTGTCTATAGAAGAGCTGCACTGGGATTTAGTCGAAGGAAACAATGACCTCTCCTGCTGGGATAGCTCCTGTGTATTTCTTTGACCAGGTAAGTCAAATATCAATTATGCTGAGTGGCAAGAACGAAATGAGAAGACTTAAAAACTTTTATTTCTGCTCTGCAGCCGACGAACCGAAGCAAAACGACTGGAATACGACGCGATATTCTTTATTTGGAAATGTCAAATGACACTGCGCAACTTGAGGAGAGAACACAGAGGTAATTACTTTTCTACGGAAGAGCTGAAAGGACATAAGTGAGTCCATGCAACTTATGAAGAATACACAGTTTTTCATGTTTATAGTTCTTTTTTCTTTTCTTTTTTTTTTTTACCTGGTTTTCTGAAAATCACACTGCGTTAATTGCTGAAAGCCAGCAGTAAGGATTTGAACCCTCAACCCTCTTGCTTTGAGGCATCAGTATCTCATGCCCACAACACTGTCAGCCATTAATGCTGGAACCTTCATTCTCTAGTGGTCTGTCTACTTTTCAAACTTACACTTTTATTTCAGTGTATATACACCCTGCAGTTGTACCTCACAGTGAAACGTAAGATGAATAGTACTAGGGCTGGGCGATGTGTGAAAAAGTTTATCACTATATATTGTTTTCTTATCAGTTGATATCGATATATGTCACGATATGAAAAATGAAATTTAACAGTGCTTATTGGTAGCATGTCTTTTGCAATACAATAAGCTACTGCATCTGTCTTTGTGTCTCTGACGTTTTGTCGTAAGGCATTGCGCTAGAGAAAGTAGACTGAATGGTCGGCTACTCCGGCTGCACAGGCGCCATGGGCTCTTTACTCCACTCAGGGTTTGTAACCTTTTGCATTGCACGTGCTCTGCTGCGTGGCACTGCTTCAGGTGGGGAAAAAGATTTAAGTATTTGCGACTTTGCAAGAACATGTACTCGACATAATTTGCAGTACACATTACTCTGCTTCCATTCTATACCTCCACACCACTGATGTTTTCATGCCAGTGTTATCATCTGTTGAGCCTCCATCTGCATTTCTGCCGGGGGTAGCATTCATTTTCTTTTTTTCTCACCGACAGTGCTGTCGGCTTCACGTGTTAAAGATGTAATGGTTGTGTGTAGCTGCAGTCTGCTGCTACACACTTGTTTGCTACTTGGTTTTTATTCAGCACATGATTGGTTCAGCACAAAGTGGACCCAGAGCAACTCCACTTTTTATTGGCTATTATAGTCTACCAAAACATGGCAGAATGCTGACTATTGAAAAGCATATTGATCATGTTTCATATCGATATTGAGAGAAATTAATTTTCAATATATATCGTTATCATTTTATCCCCCAGCCCTAAATGGTACATATCACCGTTTATCACAAATTTGGCGATCTCCTAGTCTTGACATCCTATCAATGTCTATGTACAGATGAGCACAGCCAAAGAAAACATACAATGCATCCTTCAAAGAGACAGTACCAACTGCTTTCTAAAATGTGTTGGGAGACCCTCATTTTACAAACAGCACATCTCCATCGTGCAATTTCAGAGCACTTACAGTCAAGTCTAGCCCACTTTCTCATCAATAGAAATGTTAAACCAATCACAGTCCATACTGTGCTTCAACCATTACTCAGAAATCCATTCTACTTTCTCATTGACAGAGAAGCCAACCCACATTACTGAAGTTTCTTTTACTGCTACTGAGGCGGGCTTTTGTTTTTTTTGTCATCTACTCTCAGCTAAGTCTTTTGTTTTGTTTTTTTATCTGTCTAATATACAGTATGTTCTAATTTTTTTACGGTAGTCCAGAAAACGTGGATAAGGACTCTATAAGTGACCACGGGCTTCCTCAACGACTGTCACCTGAAACATTTGAAGATCATAAACCTGAGACATCTTTCAAATTCAGAGACCACAATGTGATGGAGGCCTACAAGCGTGCATCTCCTCACCTGTTAAACGAATTAGCTCACCTTCTCTCACGATATAAATGGGCTGAAGAGGGACGTCTTCCCCTGGGAATTGTTAATATTTTGAATTACTCTTGGAAAGATCTGACTGCAGGCGTAGTTCACATAAAGAGCCAGGTGGAGATTGAGAAGAAAGGAAGATTCAAGGTTCCCCCTAAACTGGATGAGGCTCGATCCAGTCAGACATCTGCCAAGCACAGGGAAGAGACTGAGGGGACAAACTCCTCGGATGTGTCTATGATAAAACCACAAGTTAACTTGAATCCACACATGAAAAAGCGCAAACAAAATCCTAATACAGGTAAATGAATCTGTTTTTTTCTCAAGTTTACACCTGAAGTGCTTGAAAATACTGTAAAGCTATCAAAGAGGTATCAGAAAGAAAATATAAAGTCTAAAAAAAGGTGCATGATAGGCTACCCCTCCTTTTAAAATAGTAGGGATAGTAATACTGAGGTGTGAAATAAACAAAATAACAGTTGTACATTTACGCCAGAATATTGCCCTTATAGAGCGGCTGAAAAGGTGCTGCTTTCATGGTACACTCAGTCATGCATTCTCACTTTTCTGTAGCTCACAGCTCTACATCCCTCCGTTTCTCCTTCCCCTCTGACAGCTGCAGAGATCCAGGTAAGGCATCAAGCTCAGGCTCTGTGTTTATGGCGGCTGCTGTGTCTGCAGTTGACTGGCTCACTGCTGCATCCCCACTGCTTCAGCTCTATGTGATTTGTGTCCAGGTTGGATCATCCAGCCAAAGCAGCCCTCCTGTGATGAGCCTCAGCGGAGTTTGTGTCAGTGGGTGGTGGAGCGGCTCCAGGCGGCGAGAGATCCTGAGTGGGTTGTTAACATTTGCTGCCGCATTTAACCTTCAGCAAATGAGAGTCAAATGAGGGTTACGCCGCAAAATGTCCTCTCTGATAAGCAGTTAGGTCCAGAGATTGTAACGACTGTTGATTGGTTGGTCAAGCACTTTGCACTAGACTGAAATATTTTAACAACCATTTGATGGATTTGCAGAAAATTTTATAGAATATTAATAGCGCCCAGAGGGTAAACTCTAATCACAGTGATGGATGCTCTTTTCATTTGGTGCCACCATCCCAGTTGAAATTTCCTTCAAGTGTAAACTCTTTCATGTACTGGAAGACTCTATATTTTGCACTTACATGGCCCCATTCAGAAAAAAAGCGTAGCCCTGTTACTGCTAAAATTGTGTGTTCTTTTAACACCAATATTTCCAAACACTTTACGGCATTACAACAAGTGTATTTAGTGCATTGACTGTACCACTACAGATACATCACTCACTGGTCTTTTGACTAAATGAAAAATAAACCTCAATTAATCAGGCACCATCATGTGAACATGGTGTTTCACTTAGCTAGCCATTAGCAAGAGGGTTAGTCTGCGACACCTCCTTATTTTTTCACACTTTCATGACAATTTTTTTAAACATAAGCAAATCTGTATTGAAGAGGTAATTATCAAAGGTTATCATGCTTACACTCTCATATGCTAAGAATGGAATGAAAGGAAAATACATGAAAGCCTCAATGCTAAACTTTCGCATGTTAGCATGTTGCTGTTAGCGTGGATGTAGACTACTTTCTTGGCTTCATGGCTTTAAGTTTAAAAATGTACTTTTCTGTTGCACAGAAAACTTCGGACAGTTGAACAGGAGAATCCAACTGTACAACTCTGTTACTACGGTGATGCAAAAACTAAAGTGAAGACCACCAGAGCGAAGAAAAAAGCCCAACCTGTCGCCCAGACACCAGAAGTGAAGCAGCGGGATCACGCTCAAAAGCTTCACTTTAAAACCAGCGATGGCACCTCATTCATATAGTATCCTTTTATATCTGTTTTTAAATATTTTTCTATCTGGTGTCTTTAAAGCAAATGCAGTGGACAGCTCATGCCTTGCCCTTTGACCCTGTCCCTTCAGCTACCCCTCAGGTTGTACAGCTGTATGTCAGAGCCACTCAGGTCTGCCCTGTGGAGGCTTCTACACCAATGTGTTCAGTGACAGTGAGTGTCCTCTTATTCTGGCCACCATCACAGCATTTGGACATGGCTCGGTTACCCACCCTGTCAGGTGAGTAAAAGAGGAGGCTCTGAAGAAGTCAAAGTGTTCAGCGTTCTCTGTGATTTTGATAAAAAGCTTCGCAAAGCTTGAAAAATAACCAAGATTATCATATTAGCCTGAGAAATGAAGGCTAAGGCATGTCAAGGTTTGACTATGGACTGAAGTCGTAAGAAATTCAATTCATAATGTTACCTTAAGAGATTTAAGGTATAATGTCATAAAATTCAAGTCTCAGTAAAGTCAAAAATATAATGAGAATAAAGTCATGTTGTTACGAGAATCAAGTTGTGATGAAGAAGCAGTTTTGTCTCACTGTGAGCAGTTAGCCGACTTTACCAAAAAGAAAAATGAGGAGTGTCTTGAACTTAATGTTTTGGCACCTTAGCACCACATGGTTACAAGTAGGACTGCAAAGAGTGTGCAAAAAGTTGAGATGTGTCTGGTTTCCCCCTTTGAAACAGTTTTACGCAGTAAACTGTTAACTTAACTAAAAGTGTTTAGTATGATTTTACTACTTTACTCTAGGAAGAAAGAATATTTAATTTTCACTTTATTCTTGTAAAATGAGGATTTTTCCATGACTTTGTTCTTGTGAGAAAATGACTGAGAATTTTTTTTAATCTTTAAACAAAAGAAAATCTTTAATGGGACCTAAATGTTGCAATCTCTTATTTATTCTAATTTCATCTCTACTTCTATTCTCCTTATTTCTTCATTTATGTTAATGGAGTATGTTTAAATTGTGTTTTCTCCAGTCCTCTGACCACTCAACAGACTTTCTATCATGTTACATTTACACATTGATGGCAGAGGCTGTTATGTATAGTTCATCAGCTTTGGACTAATTCCATTCATACACCACTGAGCGCAGCCAGTGGGAGGGTTGAGTCAAGTGTGTTGCCCAAGGACACTTTGGTACATGGACAGCTTTGGGATTGAACCTCCAACCCTCCAATTGGGAGACAACTCACTCCATCAACTGAGCCATAGCCACCCAACTTCTTGTCTATAATTATGTAAATGTGACACCCTCATAATGTTTAGAATAGACCTCCTCCTTTTCTGTGTTTCCAGCTCCGCAGTTACAGCCGTGTGGGACCAGGATGGAGGGTTCATGTGTGACCAGGATGGAAACATTACTAAGGAGTGGAGCTGGCTGGAGTACCGCACACTGAGGGAGAAGATAGTAATACAGGTAAATCCACTGAAGCCCATTCTAATAACAGATGATCTGATACTAAATGTGATGCAAGGAATTAATTTGAAATCCCCAAACCAACTTGTGATTCAATGTTTAAAGACCTACACAACATTTCGTCTTTTTCATTGTCATGCTAAGTGCTTAGAATAAAGGTATACCTGCTTTCGTAACAGTTAACAATTTAGGAATGTTCTCCCTGCAGCATCAATTTGGTGCGACACTTCTTTGAAGCATTGACAGTGGGACAGTGTCCAATCATGCTTAAGCTCTGCAACATGTTGCTCAGTAACATGCCTGAGGTAACTCTCTCACAGGAAATATTTAGTGACAAGTTGAGTCAGAGTGAATAAGAATCTGGAGGCAGCTTGTCATGCTAGATAACTCTAAGATGTGCATATGGGAAATGCCACATTTAGGGGAAACAAACCAGGGCATGCAAGTTATGACGCACAGCCTGCTGATCAACATACCCCCGACTGTTCCCGACAGGACCAAGAAAGGTTTTATAACAGACATGTAGAAGATTTTATGGTCACAGAGGAAGGCACAACAACTCAGGAATGTTCAAAATGTCATGTTTAATAGCCTACCCAAAGATGTGGACCCAACATACAGACTAAAATGAATTCAATGAACAACGAGAAAAGGGCAGAGAAAAAGTACAAACAGAAAAATGCGCTATTGGAGTGAAAAACGTCCAACTACAAACACTGGGAAACCAGCAGATACCACACAAGAAAACACTGGAGGAAACACAGGTTAAGGTGCAATAAACTCAGGGAAACACAGACTGAATACACACCGGGAAATAAGCAACAGGTGAGACACAAGACACAGGTGAGACTAATGACAGTGATCGAGAGGGGGGAAAACACAGGAAGTAAAGTTCTAAAAGTGAAGTTCTACAAAACGAAACAGGAAACACTTGAAAACAAGAGTGATAACATGAACACAAACACAAGGTTACAATACACAGAAAACAAGGACAAAAATAACACAGGTACTTCTCATAACTAAAGGTACTTTTCTCTCATGGAAAATGAGCCTGTAAACATTTTCTTCTCTTTCAGGTTTCAGATCATATTTCCATCAGGCTGCTCAGTCGTGTTTCTGCCACGCTCTGCTTCAGGTGTGATGGGGAAAGTGTTCAACTTCCTCTTTCGGCTTTACATTACAGGAACCAACCTAAAGAAAAGGTGAGGTACTGTGAAATAAGCGGAGTTGTGACCAAAAATGTGGTACATAATGGAAAACGATGATGAGTGTCATCTTCTCTGCATCGGCAGCCGTGTTTGCAGACGAAAGAGAAGTTCATGTCTGATTTCGCTCAGGATCTTCTACTGGGGACAAAGACCAAAACATCTGCTGTGAACTTAGAAAGCGAGACGAACCTGACATCAACACTTGTAAGACATGAATTTCCATCCTTGGATGAGGGAACTGTGAGGGAAATAAAACCTTTTAAGATACAAATAGAGATGTTTTTGTTGGATTTCTTCAGTAGGACCAGTAAAAATCACAGACCAACAGAGTTTAGCAGGATTGAATAATTTGTGTGGAGTGTTGTACTGACAAATAGACTTATGTTTTCATATTATTTAGCTTATTAGGGATCATACAACCAATTAAACTGCATCCACAATCTTTAAGGGCAGTTAAACAGTCAAACACCTTGTTGTTTCCAAGAGCTGAAGACGGATAGCTGTGAATGAAACCTGCTTTTTCCTCATCCTTGCAGCTGTTATGATCTGGCAGCTGACACCTGTTTTTCTTTTCTTTTTTTCTTGCATATTTAAGTTTTGATGCCTTAATGTCATTTATAAAGCAGCTTAAAATACCAAATGTTGTTTAACATCATTTAATCCTCCTCGTGGTAATGTTGTAGGACATGTTTCTACATGCTCTTCTCTTCTCCAGGTGATCAGGGAGGTGGAGAAGATGGTGAAACCACCGGAACAGTGGAGAAGAGATCTGAAGAGACTCCAGCAGAGAGTGCGCATCATCACAGAGGACTGGCTGGGTTATTACTGTGATGCCATTGGTACAAAAAACTGAAGAAGACCTAATCTGACCCAACGAAGCAAAATGTTACTGTATCTCCCCATCTTGCAAACTCAACATTATTGAGCACTTCACTCAGGATCTTGTTCACGGTCACTCATGTCACTTGGTATCCGTGTGCATCCCTGAGTGACCTCCTCCTCTCCTTCAGGGATCAAGTATCCTGGTGTGGAGCGGATGCCAGATGCCCCACTGAGGACCAGGCTGAGGAGGCAGGTACAGTCAGCTGTTCTGCCCTCTCTGAACCCACCTGAGCGAGCAGATGCTAAACAAGTCGAGCCTGAGGATGACAGCAGAGAGTTACAAAAGCTGTACGGACATCTGTCAGCACAGGCAGACAGACCTCAGGACACCTGCGTCAAGCTGTCAAGGTGCACACTTTACAGTGACGAAGAGGATGTTTGACCAGAGTCCAGTGGGCCAGTCCAAACATTTCAATGTCAAATCAAATTTACCTATCATAATAAGTATCACTTAATTAGTGTAGTGTATTCAGTGGATCTGGAGGAGCTTCTGCTGTCTGTGTTGGGGTTATTTACCTTTTGGGCTTGGTGAAAGATAACCTCTAATAGATCTAGCACGTAACACACTGAAGACAAAGAGTTGGAAAAATACTTTTGTAAGCAGAGCAGTGGATCTTTTTGTAATGAAACTGGATTTGGAGCAGCAATGAATTACAGAAATACAAAAGTGATTCATATAAAACCGCAAAAATAGGCCAGCTAGGTCATCATTTTTCAGCAGAGAAGTTTACTGTACATCCACTATGAGTTCTCCCAGCACCAAACACAGATTGATTCAGCACGTTACCCCAACGTAACCCTAACCCCATAACCCTAGCCCTAACCCCCTAACCCTAACGTTACCCCAATGTCACCCCAACATTACCCTAACACTTAAATTTTTTTGACATTTTTCCATTTTTTTTTTGTACCAGTTGAATCCAAATGGTCAGAGGCGTGCTCCTAAAAAGGTCCTGGACTGTGATTTAAACCCCTATCCCATAACCCTATCCCAAATACCCCAAGTTTTTAGCAGCCAATGAACCTAAATCAGCTTAAAACGTCCCAATGTTTCTTAAATTCAGCCGGTGATCAGCAGGACAACTCCAAATGACTGATAATGCTGCTGTCTAAGTCATCTTGACTAAGATAACTTCGAGCTCAGTGACTAATATGCTGTAGTGTGGTCACAAGATTGTATGAGAAGCCCCTGAAGGACAAACTTGTTTTTAGTTTGTCTTTGTAAAAAATTATAATTTCAATGATCATCTAGAAATTGTTCAGATAACGCACACAGTTATGTGTTTCCAGCAAATCTTTTTCTCCTTAATGTGGCAGAAAAACTATTCCAAATACAGTATAAAGAAGTATTATTTGATATAATGAATTATTAATCCATACTTTAACTAAATGCATGTAGACCAAGTCCTTCTCCCGCCATTGATTTTTAAGACTGTCTGTATGTCAGTATGTCCTTAAACACAACCCTGTGATTGATTGTGTAATGGTGGCAGAAACACTCTGTTTATTGATCAGTTTCAAGAGCCTGAGTCCTGCTGCACTTACAGCAGATGTTTGATGTCATGTGTGACTTTATAAAAGACAATTTCACAGTTTTGACCTGTACACCAGGACACTAAATGAGAGAGAATCCTGATGGCAAAGACAAGACTTCCTTAAATTCAAGATAAAAATGGTATTAACTGCAGTTTTATAGAAACAGTTATTTTAAAAACATTACTTTCATATGACAGCTTCATTATCGCCCTCATCCTGCCAGGTCAGTGATTATTCCACACAGTCCAGATTTGCAGCACTGTGCTGTTCCCCAACATCCATCCCCACCATCATTCATCCCCTCCGGCGCTCTCACAGCATGCCCTGCTCAGCTGAGAGCTGCCCTGCAGGGAGAGGGGGGACGCAAGCGGTGCTGCTGCGGCACTGCACTGATGCCAGCATTGACGGACCTGGAGTATGATGCCTTCATTATGAGCCAGCCTCCTCACAGTCAACAGATCCTGGTGGTTTCTGTTACTTTACCACAACAAACTGATGTGGGGCACGACCAGATGGAGCAGCTCTACAGGAGGAGGAACAAGCACAGAATCACGCCATGTACCCAGGTGTGAACTTTGTCTGAGATGTAAACATAGAAAACAACATAATTAAGATTTACAGTCTGATAAACTGTGTGCATATTCTTGCAGTGTAGTTAAAATTAATCAGAATATACACATATATTATTTTTTATTTTAACCCTAGCGTCATAATACCGCTCTGGGCTGGCTCTAGCCAATTCAATCATTTCTAACCCGAGGCAAGATAAGAACAGGAGCCCGTCCAGCATGTGGAGCTCAAAGCGATCACCAATGCCAAGAGCTGGTCCTGCATCTTATTTACATCTTCTGTCTACGTGAAACTGCAGTGTTTCTCAACAGCACCATAGAGACCCTAAACAGAAGGCGTGTTTATTCAGGGAGGCCTATAGATGGAGTGCTGCCTGACATTTCCTGATCACATGCCAAGAAAAAGACACATTCTTCTGCCAGGCACCCATATTTCCTGTTTGCATTCAGACTGCAACCGAAGGACACATATCACACCCTCAGCCTGCAGTGAGTTTAGTCTCACATTAAAGATTTACCGAGCTGCTGTGGAGAAGTTACTCTAAAGTGATGGAGACTGTATTTCCACTTTATTCACACATACGTTCTTACATATTTAGTTTGCGTTTCTCTGATGTTGGTTATTATGTCTGTGGTATAACTTTAAATCACGACATTTACTCTAGAAGATGAAATCCACTTAGTTATACTTCCATGGACAGTAATGGTCTTGGGTCAAAATTCCAGCACCGGCCCACTCATTTAAAGCTAGTGTGACCTAGTTGCTACCACAGGGGTCTAAAAGGCTCAGTGAAAGGATCCTGGGTTCAAAACCAGTTTAGAGACACATCAAGACACTTATAATCAGGATTTTTGAGTCATCGTCACCATTCAGCGTTGTCTCCTCAAGCACGAATCAGAGGGAAATGGCCCAGTATGAGTGTTTGATAAAACTACTAATTTATAAGATCAGTCAGTTTAAACAGACTAAAAAACAAGAAATCTGTAAAAATCAAAAAGAAACTGTATATTTTCTATATCTGAAAACTCAGTAACAGGTTATTTTTTTAATCCAGAGCCAGATGGATTCATATCGCCTGCTTCGGTATGAGATGTCAACAAGGAAGCCTGACTGTAAACAAGAGAACATCCTGCTGCAGCAGAGACACAACGCTGCTCCTGGCATGGTTCTGGTCAGTAAAACCACTGCAGACTCTGAGGCAGCAGGCTCTGCTCTGTGCAGGTTTCTCTGACATCCACTGGGTGGCAGCAGAAGTACTTACCTCATGAAGGGAAAGGGTGAAATGGGAGCGAGGTGTATAAGACTTTGCAAGGTGTTGTAGAAGACATTAGTCATAAAAGCTCTGACAAGGCTGACAATCAGTGAGGAATGGTGCTTCTTAAATACAAAGAAGCCCCGAAGGTTTAAAGCACAAAGTCAGATTTGTGCAGGAAGGTGACAACCTCTGTGTCAGCCCATTAATTAAACAGAAAATACCAGAATCACAGTGACATGAAGCTCTTTGTTTGCACTTAATTTTGGACAAGGAGTTGGGTCGTGCTGCAGAAACAAATAATTAATTCCTCTATTGTGAAATCTAAAAATAACCAGCTGATGCATGTGATTAAAATCATGACAGAACACCAAACCACTTCTCTGCAGCCTACGTCAAAACACATGAGCTCATTAAATACCATTGTTAAAAATGCAGCTTTTGCACAAATGTTTGACTGTTTTTTTGTCAATGTTACAGATGTACATTAGAGCAAAGCTGCTGTTTGTGGGCTTCATATTCAGTGGTCACAGCTGCTCTGTCCGGGACCTTGAGAATCAAATCTCTAGAACCAGGGGGGACTACAGATTAGGTCTGAGCCTCCCTCCGGACTTCAGGTTCAGGTACTGCCACTTCAAACACTGTGTGGATATGATGTACTGTGAGAACCATCTGTATATTATAAAGTATGACTGTAAAAAGTATGAATATATGTATAAATATTTTCAAACCACTAGTGGTAAAGTGGTTTATCAAATACATTTATGACCAAAACATGTATTTATTGTCCTTTCCTTGCAGTGGTTCACTGGATACCTCTGCAGAAAAAGATGAACACAGCTCACAAGATTCCCCGCTAAAAGGGAGGCACGATGTTGTTCTGACTGCTGCAGTGAAAAATAAAAGGGTCAATGTGAGGTGTGTGAGATCTTACAGATTCCTGAAACATTATTTGGTGGTTGACAATAATACAGTTACATGTCCAATCTAATCCCATGTCTCTTGTCTTCTCTCATGGACAGAAAATACGATCAAGGCCTTCAAGGATCACACCACAAAACAAAAACGATCCAATCTCTTCCTCATGTTCCTGTTGTCATGCACTGATTATGCTTTAGTGACAAGTCTGCATCTGCATGACTCCATCTGTATTGATGTGAAACTCAAGTCTCCAAGCTGCATTAATTGAGTCAGTACTTAAGGTTAATGTGCAATCAAACTGCAAACGCTTCATTTACTTACTCTGCAGGTTGGCAGCACTGATTAGTCCAATCTGAAACTGTACGACTAAAAGTCTTTAATTTTTTTGGCAGAATTAAGTGTACCCTGGCAACTCTTGTGGTCTGAGAACTCATTATGAGAGATAATGAGTAACTGCTGATGTTTTAGGGCTCTGAAATTAATGGATTTATGTACATCTCTTGGAAATCTCTGTTCTTATAAAAGATGATGGACAGATTTAATAAAAACTGCAAACTGTTCTGTGCATATTTCTTTATTTTTAGATAAATGTCAATCTTGATTCTGATCTTTCCTGTTAGTTTGACAGGTTTCCTGTGACAGTGACTGATTAATCATTCAGGTGACAGAACCACATCACACCGAAAGCTGAAATATGACGATTCTGACTTCCTCAACTTCCTCAACTATGTATTGAATGTTGCTTACCAAGCATCAGCTGGCTCTCTCTCATATTTTTGGTTTCTTACTCATACCAGTGATGTTAAAATTAGAAATGTGATGATCAGGATGAGAGAGATGATGATGTATGTGGAAAAATACACGTAGGCTTATGTGTCTGTGTGTAAAAAGAAACATTTCTGTTCTGTAACCATATAACTCTTGAGTATCATGGGTCGCTGAGTAGCTTCAGCATTGCCTTTGACATCTTTGAAGGCACATTTGTTTCCCTGATCCAAAACCTGCTTTTTCCTACAGACATGTGTTCGGATGATTTTGACACAATAGTGATAAAGGGGAAAGTAGGTTTGAGTGGATTTGATAGCTGCATGCAGGGAATAAGGTCAGTAAGAGTGGTCCTGGAATTTGTATGCTATCTTTATTTAGTGCAGTGGTTATGAATAACTATCACAAAGTAGTGATTTTCAAGGGAATTCATATGGTGATAAGAAATATTTGAGTCAGCTGGTCTTTTTTACTCACTCAAAATCTGCCATATTTTGGTTCTCTCTCCTGCAGCTGTTATTGTGCCAAGAACCCTGAGTCTTCAGGGAAGACTCACATGCCCCAGGAATGAGTGGAAAAGAAACGAAGTTTACAGTTTATTTATGTATTTTGTTTTTTTTCTTAGAATTTTTTTGTTCATGAATGCATCATTTCACTTATTTTGTTGCATTTTTATAAGGTCTCCTCATGGCACTTTTCCCCCTCTCTTTGGTTAAAACAGTTAAAAATGAAAGAAAACTACTTCAATTTGTCATTTATTGACCTATTTTGATATATTTTGATGACAAGTACTTTTTCATGGGTATATTATTTCGGGTAAAAATCACCCAGCGTTAGTGATGGTGTTACTAATTTTAGCGATAGTGTTGTAGGGTTAAAAGTCAATATAACATTGTATTAACGAGGACCCCTAGCGGTGGGTTTATGTATAACCAGAGGAAGTTAATATCCTCGTATATCACTGGCAGACAGCCAGAGAGGCTCCACTCAGATTAAAGCGTGTGTGGACTGCTTCAACTAGAGCGGAGGAGACGTCGAGTTTTTGACACACTTGGAGTCTACTTCTTGAAATGTGTGAGGACAGACAGGATGAATTTTCCGTGGCTTTCGTGAACTGTAAAACACTCAAAGAAATAGAGGCGAGGGAAGAGACGCGACGATGAACTCAGGTGAGTGACAGAAAACTTCTCGTTGCTCGTTTATTTTCTCTTTTATGATATTTACCAGTTACTGCACTTTTACTGTCGACCAAAAACCACAGAAATGGGGGGATTTAGCTGAAACAATAATGTGTTCGCTCGAGTATTTTAGAGACAATGTACCACCTGAAGCGAAGCAACAGATGCATGAACTGTGATTAAATTTACAGACCAGATAAAATGACATTATATTGTCAAAGCTAACAAGTTTGTATATTTTAGCACACTGTGTTAAAATATACAAACTTGTTGGCTTGTATTTGTTTGACATGAGTTTAGAGACATGCATGTGGACTTTCTCCAGTCCTTTAACTTGTGAGACTGCACTTCTCTCACTGTTTTCCTGGTCAAACTTTATTATAGAGACTTTTTCTTTTACTCTTCTAATATCTCGAACTGTGGCAACTTCAGTCATGAAAAATGTGTGTAGATGAGGGGAAATAAAACAAAATCTCATCCCGGTAGTCCTTTTACTATTTACCCACCAGAGCAGATTTTGGCACTAGTTCAGCCAGATGTACCAGTTTGCGTGACACTATTCTTGTCCCCCTCCTCCATTTGTCTCCCACTTTTCATCTCCCATCTGCTCTTCCTCCTCCTCCTCACTGCTGCCTGTTGACTTGCACCATTAGCCGGATTACAGAGCTGTTGTGTTGAGTGGCAAAACAAATACCCTGTGATATTTGAACCCCCCCTGAAGAGGGGTTTAGCACTTTACAGCAGTTTTACACTAAGCTGTCTCTACATTAGTCTCAGTTGGTGAGTTAAAGACTGGACGCTCATCGAGTCAACATCTGCCAGACGACTGAACAAGCAACAAATGTACCATCTGGATATCCAAAATGTGCAGGCAGATTAGATCCATATTTTATTTAGTCCAAGCACAACTCTTAATATGTGCAAATCTTTTACTTGTCTCTCTGTAGGCATGATGAAACCGCCTGTGGCCCCCAAACCAAAGCTGACCCTGCCCCAGAGGCCGGGCCTGTCTCCTGCAACCCCGAGAAAAGACGGTTTCTCACTCCCATCTCCTGGTAACCAGAGGAAAGTTAAGCCAGAACTGGCCCCAAAACCCTGCCTCTCCAAACTCACCCCTGCTGTGGAGTCCAAACCGCTGGCTGCAAAGACCCCACACCAGACATCTGGGAGAGACTCCCCACAGAGGACTGAGGGTCTTCTGAACTCTCAAAATGGAATACAGCAAGAGAACAAGAAGCCAGATTGGGATTATATTATTCCTATTTGTCTGTGTAGCAGTGAGAATTGCTCGTGCATCAGAAAAACACCAGTTAACAAAATGGAGAAAGACTCGACAACGTTGCTGAAAGGTAAAATTCAGGAAAACCGGAAGCTACTCACCTCACCACCTCGAGGTTCTGTGGATAACAGAGAAGAGAAACCAAACAAGTGCCAAGTGGTAAACACAAACAGTAAACACCTTAAAGACACATTTACTTTGGAGAAAAATCTCAACACAGACGTGAACACAGTGACTCTTAGGCCATCCTTTCCTCATAGAACATGGAGCGATGAGGCAAATGGCAACTTAACACCTCAAAGTGCAGCTGGGAGAGGACCAGAGGATGATGTTCTTGGCTTGGAGCAAACACCTTGTGCGTCCCAACCCAAAGCCATCCCGGCAGCCTCTAGGAAGCCGCCCCCTGTCCCTTTACCCCGGAAACCCAGGATGGCTGTTCTGACCCGTCAGGAAAAGGTGGAGGAGGAGGAGGAGGAGAGGGAAGAGAGTCAGAGTCAGGAAGGGAGAGAAATGAAGGCGTCATCACTGTCAACTGGTGAACCTGTTGATAACGAGCAGACCGTTTTTCTGTCTGCAAGACGAGCCTACACTGCACCAGCCCCACCGCCCAGGAAAAAACCTTTTCTGTCCACACCTGAGAAAGCACCGACCTCTGCTCCTCACAAGCTCCCGCAGGATGTGGAGGAGGAAGACCTGGGTTGGGACACCAGCATCCAGGAGATGGAAGTATCTGTCGACAAGGAGGATGAGGATGTGGCAAAGGAGAAGGAGGGAATTCAGGATCAGGAGGCAGACTACGCTCATAGTTCACTCCATCAGCCAGTGCTCCGCCATTCCCCGTCCATCAGCGTTTCAGCAGAGGATGTAACGGTCAAAGTAGCTCCAAAGAAGCCCAAGAGACACAGCAGCCCGATGGCATGGATGCACAAGAAGGAATCCTCGGAGGAGAAGGAAGAGGAAAATATAGGAGAGGATGACAAAAGGCAAACATGTCCTCTACAAGACGCTGATTTGAAGGAGAGACTAACAAGGGAGCTTCCTCCAACCCCTGACAAGGAAATGACCAGAAACTTCAAATCTCAGACCATCAAACCTGCTCGGTCCAGCCTGAACAAACCAAGAGCGAAGTCTTTCTCTGCTGCTGACCTCCCCCGCTCAGACGGTCAGAAGAGGAACTCTTTCCGGAGACTGCTGGACTTGAAGCTCTCGGTAAAGAAACTGATAGTTAAAGGAGGTCCCACGCATGAAAATGAACAAAGCGTGGACAGAGAGCAAAATGGATCTCAGAGCTCCCTTGAGCATCTTAGGGTTGAGAGAAAATTCTCTTGGCCGCTGACAGGAGTGGAGCAAAGTGTGGACGGGGAAGAGTTCTCTCCTCAAGCAGAACAAGACATTTACTATGAGAACATGCCGCACTATGAGGAGATACCAGACTATGTGAATGTTGAGACCACCACAACTACAACGGCCCCTCAGGCCTCTTTCTCCGAGAGTGCAGCTGCCTGGCAGAACTCAATGTACAATGATGAGGGCATTTATGAGGAGCAGGAGCCATACATGTCCTTTGAGAAAGACACCAGACAACAACAGAGTCTGAAAACAGCAGAATATGAGAGGTACACATTGATGAATCTATTTCTGTCTTTGTCAGTGTTCTACTTGCCTCAGAATATGCCACACACACAGACGCTGCCGTTGTTTACAGAGATCTGGTTAATTACAGAGAGTGACTGAGATCACAGAGCAGCGAGTCACAGTGTGTCTTTTGTATCAGATTCCTGTCAGAGGAGTTCGACGAGTACGGTGGCTTGTGTGCTGGCGAAGTGTTTCAGGTGTAACTGAGATTAAGCCTGATTAGTTTTAAATACATACTTGGTAACTTATGCTATTTACTTATTATGTGTGTCTACACAAACAACATGCAACCTTTGGCATAGAAGGCATGAGTGTGAGGGCAGAGTTAGCGGTGCTTTAGTCAGATAGAGCAAAGAGGACACTTAGATGCTAACATGTTCTGAAACACGTTTTAATTATATCTAGTCTTTTTACGCCATTTAGAAAGCCTTTTTTTATTATTTATATTTACTCAGGTTTAAAATATATTGTGCTCAAAATTGTGTTACAGTTAAAGAAAATAATTTTGCAAAATATTCCTAGTATGTATCTTGTTTCAGTAGTGATGGGCACGGCAGTTCTTTCAGATGAACTGAATCACGAGAATCAGTTCACTAAAAAGATTTGTTCAAAAGATTTGTTCACCAAATCACCGAAGCCTGCGACTCTGAACCTCTGAACTGATACACAGCTGAACGTTTCAGGATTCAGTTCAATTCATAGCTTCTGGGACCAAGAGACGAGAGTGTTTGGCTGTGTTGCTTTGACAAACAGGTTTGTAAAAATGAACTTGTTTTTAAGTCATGATGTTTTAAGTGTACTGTCCTATGGTATACTATTTATCAGGTCTGCTCAGTAAATTGGGCTCAGTGAGTGATTCGTTCGCAAAATGTTTAGAAGAATTCACACTAAACATAAACCGTTCCCTCGCAAACCACTGCAATGATAGGATGCTGCGGGTTTAATGCACCACTTGTTACATGCTGTGTCCTATTGTATGCAAGTTGTTGTGGTGGCAATTTAGCTGTAAAAAAAAAAAAAGTAGCTTTGTCCAACAAAAATGATTCTAGAGAGTGTAGTTCAATGCGCGATTCGTTCACGAAGTGATTCAGGTGTTGTTGCATGCGGTCCCTCGTTCACTGGCTGCTCGACTGGCAATGTTGTTTCTCACTTCAGCTCAAGTGGGAAACGAACGAACCACTCGAGGAACTAATTCGGGGAAGGGAAGATTCGGTTCTTTTGAATGAATCGTTCGCGAACAACACAACACTATGTTTCAGACACCCTGTTTTCTCTTAATTACTCTGAATTAGAGTCCCTTTGAGAAATTAGCATGTCAGTAAAACTTTTTTGTTGATGCTTTGCCAAGGGAAAAATCATTATACATCGTCTTACAAAGGCCAATCAGAGCGAATCTTTGTTAATACTTAGCATTAATATCTTTCAATCCAACCCCCTTTTTCTCTGTATTTAATCTCTTTTTAAACCTCTTTAATCATGTAGCCAAACATCAGACCAATGTCCTCTCTGCAATGCCTGCTGCTCATGTAAAAAGCAGTTGAACAGATATCCAGTTTGTGATAATCTTCCAGTTCATGTCAATTTTGGCGCCCCCTGTGGACAAATCTGTCTCTGCTGATCATGACTCCTACATGCTGAAGTAGAGAAAAAAAATCTCATCATTCTGACTTTGAAAAGTAAAATGTATTTATGGTGAATATTTTACAAGGGCTGTTCCTTCAGCCTACCCCTCTGAAACAGTTTAATGCATCAAAAATTATATTAGAAAAATCACCACTCTCTCAACAAACTCATCACAGGATCCTAAAATGGGCTGAATAAGTTCCTTAGACCTGTATAGAATCAGCAGTTTGAATATAAAGCTTTAGTCACCAGAGAAATCCTCACTGTAAAGCAGTCAGGTTTTTAAAGGAAGGGGAGCTAGAAAGACTTAAAATCAGGAAAAGATAGTACTGTGTTTTTTTTCTCACATTAGCTTATAAATGATCTCAGTGTGATTTATCTTGAACCAAAACCTCATGCATTTGCAGAAGTTGGGAAAGTACTGATATGGTGTATGAACCAACCCAGTATGGAGAGAAAAATTGGTTTTGCTGCTTCATCAGCACAATTCAACTTTAACCTTTTAATCTTGGGTGTTGCACTTCTCTCTTCATGCCAAGAACTCACATTGTTATGACTTGGATGAGAAATGAGCAGAAGTTGTTTAAAAAAAAAGGGATTAGAGTTTGTGAAATGCATACTAGCACAGCTTAGTGCTTCACCCCTCTTTACTTGAAACTTCGAAGCAATCACATGTTCAAAACACGCTGAGCCGCTCACGGGGGAATATCATACCTACAACAACTATATGCGACATGCCGCAGTGTCTCAGACCCACAGACTCCAGATCACTGGGATTGTGTCTGAGTGTTGGTTGCTTTCTTGCTCTGCGGTTTTGTTCAGGGAGGTGCCGTTGTTTCACATGTCGAGCTCCCTCAGGGAATTGTGGCATTTTAGCTATGTAGTTTCGCTCTGATGCAGTCCTCTTTACACTGGTCATATCCAGAACATCTAAAACTGCAAAATAGCATCAACAAAGTGTGTGAAATGTGTTTGTTTGTGGCTTGTTTTATTTCTTGTCTCTCTGTTTTACATGTCAGCTTCTTTCTTTGACCCTGGAAATGCAGATGAACTCATTACTAGAGAGGCTAAACTTTCTCGATGATTATCATTTAATCCTTTTTTTCCGGTCCCTTTCCTGTGTGTTTTTCATTATGACCCAAACTTGATTAAATCAGTAAATATTGGATTATTCTTGTACCGATGTTTTTCTGCCATAAAGGAAATATCCAAAAGATTATAAGCTGGCAGAGGTATTGTCATTTCAGGTCTCATCTTTTTACTTACCTTTCATGAATAACATCCTCACTGCATACGCCTGAAGTTGTCTCTGTGTGTCATTAACACCTGCACAGTGAGTTCAAGCTCCTGCGTCAGCCTCCAGCTCCTCTGACCCCTAACCTCTCTTTTTTTTTAACAAAAGCTCTGTTGATGAGGATGTGCCCCCACTCGATGAAGGTCCGTCAGATGATGACATCTTGGCTAACACCTCAGATGAAGAGGACGAGGGAGACAGCAGCTCCGTCTCGAGTAAAGGAGACCCGGAGCAGCCAGGAGAGAGCGCGGTGAGCCGAGATAGTTTTAGTCCTTTTGACACCTTGTTAGCTGCACCTGGATTTCTTTATTATGATGAACAGCAGGTATCTTCTCTGTGTGCTTTTGTTGTGACCTTCACAGTGATGTATTGCAGTGCTTTGTAAATCTGTTTTTGGACTTTTGTTAGGCCCAGAGCGGACAGAAGAAGAGCAAGATTCAGCACATCGCAACTGAAATTATGAGCTCTGAGAGAGTGTAAGAGACCTCATTTGTTTCTTTTAAATGCTGATAAATGATGTGAAATATTTGTTATTTTTAGAAGTTAAATTGAACTAGTTTTGAGATGACTGAACAATATGAATGTATATATATGTTTTAATGTGTTTTTCATTTGTATCTTATCTTTTAAAGCTCTTGATTTGTAGTTGTAGTTGTAGGTTTTGTTTGCTGTGGTGTGTTTTTTATTTGGGGTGGAGTAGTACATGAGTTCAACATCAGTATCAACCCTGTTCCTCTGGTATCAGTATTTTCCCTGTTGACAGATGTTGGCCTGACCAAATAATCAGTAACAGTCCAAACGCCAGTAGCTGATATTTATTTGAAACTTAGCGTATCTGATCTTTATCTTAATCACTTCAGTTTAATGCTGGAAAGTTATGATACCAAACTGATGATTCAGAGAAGAGGTTTTATATTGTGCAGAGACGGAAACCTGTTAGACAAACTCTGATTTGTTTTCATTGTCGCATGTGACAAAAATGTCAGCAGCGTAGGAGTATGACAACACCATATTTCAAAAAGAACAGCACCATGCAGTTTGTACGATATGTTTCAGAGACATTTCAAGAGTGAAGATAATTATAAACAGTTAAAACACATTCAGTCTCATATTTCAGCTGAAAAACACAAATGTTGGTGTAAGACTCGGTGTAATTGTTTTTCCACGTAGGCATCAAAATAGACCCTGATTTTCACAATCTGTGCTTCTCTTTTTTGTATGACACATCAAGTTTCTATGAGGTTTGTGGGTCAGTTGTTCTGCTGTCAAAGGTTTATTTCCTACAGGGAAGAATAATGTAAGTTTTATCAGTCTAATCTAATCGTACATCATTCCAGACATAGGAGTCTAACACCTCTGAATACATAAAAGCAGTAAAAAGCTTTCATAGGGACTCAGCTATTCAGTTTTACATTATTACTTGTCATCATTTTTATATTTATTCACCTTTAATGTAACATATAACAAAAAAGATGTTGCTTTGTGTATGTGTTTAGTTATTTAGGGTTCCTACTTGTAGTATTAAAATGCTGACAGTGTCACAGATGACCAATAAGTCGCACAGAATGAAGCGGAGGCAAATATCTAAACACCGTGTCAAGTAAAGCCAAAGTTCTTCCATGGATTGTCAAGAAACACGTTTTGCTTTCCTGGTGCTTGTGGTACAGTAATTATTATGACTCCAGAGCTAATGCTGGATTCATATATGCGCATAACTCCTAAAAATGTCAATACAGTTTTTAAGTGGGTCGAATATGTGAATGCAAATAGTTTGCCTGCCACCGACCTGGTAAAATTTCTGGGTGAAGTGAGGGTGAGCCAATGTAAGAATGCAGCAGGAAATATTCACACGGATTAGGGGTCCGATACAAACCCAGCTGAGGGACACACAACAGAATTAATTACAGCATCTCTGAGATTGCAGAAGGAGAATCATTCAAATTATTATAGCTTCAGATGTTTCGCCAAGGTGAAAGAGACTTATCCTAAACCTGACAGCATCTTTAAACTTTATTCTTCTTGTTTTTCCAGGTTTGTTGATGTCCTGAAGTTGCTTCATGTTGTAAGTACCTCCACACATCAATGTTTTGGTCACACAAAAATGTTCTCTCTCTCTGTGTTGTCAGTGGAAAAAACAGCAGCTGTTGTTATTCTGTGTATTTTTTAATCTAGTAGTGCTGGTCTACTGACTGAGCCCACATTCTCCATATGCGTTTCATTATGCTCGAAGCAACTGCGGCACACCCCATGTAGGATAACACTGTGTGTAGACCCAACTCCCCTCAGTCTCACCCACAAAGCTCACATTCCTCACGGTTTTCCCCCAGTCTGTAAGGAGTACAGTGAAGTAAACACAAAGTGAAGTCTAATCTTCTTTTTATGTTTCTTTCAGTTTCAAAAAAAGCAAAGCTTCCAAAGTGACATCAAGTTTTTCTAGTTAAAGTTTGACACAATAGCAGAAAACACAGTTACAGATGTGTCAGTGTCTATCATCAGACCAGTGCCACTTTATTCCACTTATTATCCCCCTAACAGTCTCTGAGGTGAAAATATCCACTTCCAGGTTTTCCATAGGTGGAGCAGAAATAGTTCATGAAAAGAAACACCTTTGATTCAATCACAACTACAGACAGCTTCATGTTTGCTCAAAGTGAGTAAAACAAATGGAAAATATGGTGAAATACTGAAACCGAACACAGTGAAGCTGTAAGAGGAGCAGTTTTCACATACTGAAAGCCACAATCTGACGTAACTTCACCCTACATGACGCAAAATGAGAGATAACATTCAGTAATATACGTAATATATGACATGAAGTTTGATGACCTCCAAAGACAGAGGTGCCAACAGCTGCTCTGGAAACTAAAAAAAATCACCATCATTTAAAAAAAGAAGAGACACATCACTGTTGAAGTATCGACTTGACAGCACACACCTTCATTAGAAATAGAGGTAGAGAGCTTGAGATCGGAGAGAAGAATCTTACATCTGTCCTTTTCACACCATGTGATGCCAGTGATTTATAAGTGAAAGGGTCTCTGTGGGGATTTCGTGTGAACCAAGTTAATGTTCTTTTAGAGGAGCAGTTTTTGTGGGATGTTGCGGTGAGTTTCCAGATTACAACTAAAGAACATCTGCTTTCCTTAACTACCCTTTTGACGCCTGAAGGAGAACCTACAGCAGCTGAAAAACCTTCAAATACTATCACACACACACACAACACAACAAAAGAGACAGTGCATGTTTGTCCATTCTAGGCTGTTGTAGAAATATGGTAGATATATACTATTCTATACTCTATGACATTTCTGTTAATAACTCTGCAAATATATGCCAAACGAGCACATTTGACCTTAAAGTATTACAAAATATCTCAATCTTTATGGTCCAATAAAAAGCTTAAATGCAGTTATACACTTCCTCACTCAACATTCACTCGGCTAAGGGCTGTGTCACACACTTTTGTCCTCTTGCAGAAGCTTAAAACAATCAAAACAGGCACCAACTCATGACAAAGCTGCTCTATAGAGTAAGAGTGCTTAAAGAGGTCAAACACTTCTCCTTATCTTTCTATTACAGTCGGTCTGCTCCTGTTTTAACCCGTGTTCACAGTCCCGGTTTGTCTCTATTGTCTCAAAGATAACCTCCACATCAACTGTAATTTTCCGCTTCGTTATTTTTCTCCAAAAAAAAAAGGATAATTGTTGTCGTATGTGCGGAGTCTAGGAGAGGAAAGGTCATGAAGGAAAGATTGTAGTAGGCCTGAGTCATCAGTGACTCTTAACTGTGGAGCACAGACAGGAAGTGCTCGAGTCTCTGTAGACTTGAGAGAAATCAGGTCCAGTAACAAGAAAGTCATCCAGTTCAGAAGCATCCCAAGGTGACTTACGCTATCCTCCTCTCTCCCAGGCGCTCAGCCAACTTTTTCCTAAGTGCTGTTTGATAAAAAACAACTTGCCATTTATTATGTGGTTGAATCTGTCTTATCAGTTTGGCCATATTTTAGCTCTCTTTTGTTAAGCTGTTTATTCTTTTTTTATTCCAAATCTCAGCTGTCCAGCTGCTGAAGGATTAACCAACTTTGTCTTTCGGGTTGATTGAATTGTGTTGTCAATGTGATCATCTTTCAGAAATACAGAGTTCAGAGATCGTAAAAGAAAAAGGTTTCTACTCGTCTGAAGTGTCCAGCTCTTTGTCAGGCTTGTGTTGTTGCATAAAAACAGTTACTCAGTGTTGTATCTGAGTCAGCCGTGCGCCCGCTGTTCTCTTTTATCATGAAATATCCAAACTGTTTTTCTTTTTTTCTTTTTAAACGCTCTCCCATGTGACACTTCTCCTTCACAGTCAGCTGCTGTGGTAGGAAGAGATCACACACACAAACCACAGGAGCTCTATACACAGTGCTGAGTCTGAGCGCTTTTATTTGCCATGTGTCCCCATAAACCAACCCCCCCCCCTAAAAAAAATCCACATCATCAAAAAAGTGAAGCAGAACCAGGCTCCTTTAGCTCTTGGCTGCTGTTTTAGTCCTGATTCACAGAATACTGGAAATTAAAGAATGCCCAATGTGAGTCAGATGTGTGCGTCAGCAGTTTCCTCCTCCTTATCTTTTCTTCCCTCTTTGTTAAGCCTCCCAGCGCCTGCATCATTCATACTTTTTGAGACCATCTCACACAATTTGCATAGTTGACACTTTTAGAGGCCTGCAATTTTTGGAGTTCATCAAAATGCAATACTGGGCTTGGCTGCTGCACACGAATAAAGAACAAGTTCGACCTAATACCCTTTTTTCCTCACACTGTAAGACTTTCAGTGTTCTTGCTTTTTTCTACCTGACTTGATCCGTCTTTTTATCTGACCCACAGGACTTCCGAGACACTGTATCAAAAGCATCCCAGCAGAGTGGGAAGGCTGTGATTGAGGAACGGCTTCTCAACCAGATCCTGTATTACCTCCCACAGCTCTACGAACTCAACCAGGACCTGCTCAGAGAGCTGCAGGACAGAGTCGCCAAATGGTAGATACTTCACCAGTGTGTGTTTTGACTCAGAGAAGTTCTGCTCCTTCACTGTCAGGCCAAAGAAGTGTCAGTGTAAATTTCCTTTAATCTCATCAGCTTGTAGGAGACAGTAATAATGACCTAAGCCGTCCTTGTACTGAGTCAATAACACTTATTTTGCTCCATTAAATTATTAATTTACTTGACAGCCTGACAGCATTCAGGTCCCACTGTTTTCTCTGTCTCACCAAGGGCATTTTGGTAAAAGTAGACAAATTCAGGTGTTTGTCTGCACCCTGCGGTGTTTGTTAGCGACCTCTTCCTCCAACCGTGCCAGGGCCAAGGAAGCGTACCATGCCTGTGCACGGTACAGTGCACTGGCAGCTGGACTTTGGGGGTGAAACATGTCCGAGTATGGTACGGATTACCTAGTATGAGTGCAGCCGAAAAGAGGAGGCTTTTATAGAAGTGTGTTAACACCCACTGTTTTTGGACTTAGATGTTAAACAAACCCAGTCTGCATACTTTAGGACCTGTGCTAAGTACCTGATTACAACCGCATTCCTGTAGACATCATACCAGTCTACTCGCTGCTTAGTTGTGCAGCACAAAATGATCTGAGTTTGATAATATCGAAGGCAAAAGTTTTGAATTTTTCTGTCTTGATGTGTTGATTAAGAAAGTTTGACCTCTTTAAAAATAGGTGCACTCATGACACACAGTCCAGAGTGACAAATCTTATCACAGACACCTGACTCACTCTCAAATAATGAGGAGGATTTCTATCTACTGTGATTATTTATATGTGTATCCTCATAAAGATGTAGTTTAACAGTTTGTCTGATTCTCCTTTCTTCTTTACAGGGATGAAACTGCAAAGCTGGCTGATATTTTCCTGAAGAAAGGTCCCTATCTGAAGATGTACTCCACATACATTCGCGAGTTTGACAAGAATGTGGCTTTACTAGAAGAGCAGAGCAGGAAGAACCAAGCTTTTGGCACGGTGGTACGGGAATTCGAGGTAAAGAGGCTCGCTCAACCTGTTTCATTGTCTGAGAGAGTCAGTCAATGAGGTTGTTTATGCACCACTTGTGTTGTGTTGGTTTTGAAAATTGGGTCATTTTTTTTGTCACGTGCTTTGTTCCCAGGCCAGTCCACGCTGCGCTAACTTGGCTCTGAAGCACTACCTCCTGAAGCCTGTTCAGAGGATTCCTCAGTATCAGCTGCTGCTCACAGGTACAGAAGAAAAAAAAAAGGTTACTTAAAAAAAAATCAAATCCCAGCTTCATTTACTTCCAAAATCAGCTGGAATTAAATCTCTTAATCTCTGCTTGTTTGCTCTTACTCAGATGTTTGTTTTGAGGTGTCATGCTGCCCCCTGCTGTCTAATAAACAAAAAAAAAGCATCATTTGAAATTCCTGTCTCGCCTCCTCAATCCTCATATAATAAGATTTTTTGAAGTGCAGCCCACACTAGCTTTGGTGACATAACAGGAGCTTTAACATGAAGGAGCTTAGTGTTTCATGAGTCTAACACATCAGAGTCAATCCCTCATTACCAAACTGTGAAGAATGTTCCTGCCGTCACTCTTGTGTAATTGTATTATGTAAGCACCTGCAGACCTTGTTATCTAGGATTTTAATTTCAGATCAAGTTCCAGGAATTCACTGCATAACACTGCATAACCCAGCATACAAAGTGGTCTTCGCTTGTTTGGGTGGACTGCTGACCCCAAGTCTTACATGTTTGTCATTATGTTTCAGATTATCTGAAGAATCTGTCTGAAGACTCTGGAGACTACAAAGACACGCAAGGTATTCCCTTTTTAATAATCTATGCTGCACACTCACCTGAGGGCATCATCAGTCGGTTTTAAATGTGACGTACTTTTTTATCCACCCAGCCGCCCTTGCTATCGTGAAGGAGGTTGCCAATCATGCAAACGACATAATGAAACAAGGGGTGAGACTCAACAACAAACCAGGCGATCAATGAAATGCTCTCAACATTTTGATCAAATTCTCCATGAGAGTGTCTGATCTTTACTTTTTTTTATATGTCAGGATAACTTCCAGAAGCTGATCCAGGTGCAGTGCAGTCTGAACGGACACCATGAGATAGTTCAGCCTGGGCGGGTAAGGCTGCAGAGATCGTTCTTTAGGCTCTTGTTTTATTTTCTCACTCAAAGGGCAGATCCCTTAATATCGTAAATGTTTCCACACAAGATTAAATTACAAAAAAAAGTTACAATAGAACATTAAAGGGATATTCTGGCGTAAAATTAATTTAGGGTCAAACACACCGTAACACCAAGTTAGACACCCCCTCGAGAGATGAATGTTGTCGACCGCTTGCTTCTCTAGTTATACCAACTTTAGTAACGACCGCAGGATAGCAATACACAGCGGTCTGAGGAGCCTTGAACAAACCTCAACCAAAACGCCACTTTATAGCCACAAATAATGCTCAGAACAGCACCTAACTTCATCAACAGTACATATAGGGTCCCAGCCATAGTACTAGCCACCAAACATCTTTTTAACTTTGCCTGATTTCTTTAGAAAAGAGACTAAACACAACTCACCTACTCCCTTCCAGCAACTGCTTGTTTGTAGTGAGACCTTGGGCCAGTCCATTACGGACTCCAGCGGGGTGATGCAGCTCAAGGAAGAACATTTATGATAATTTCTTCATGGAAATGCAATCAGACTGAGACAAAATGATTAATATGATGATTATTACCTCAGGGAAATGATAAAGAAATAATCATCAACATTCATCTCTCGAGGGGATGTCTAACTCAGTGTTACGGTGTGTTTGACCCTAAATAAATTTTACACCAGAATACCCCTTTAAAGGAATAGATTGTGTTTCTTGAGGTGGGGTTCTTAATAGTCAGTGTATCACTGTGTTACTGACATAATTTTAAAGCACCAAATGTCAGGTGAACACAGTCATGGATGTAGAGTTTTGAGAATGTAGTCATATTCTGTGCACCATAGGTTGTCACATCATGTAATACAAAAAAAGGGAAAGAAAATAGCTGAACACTGACTTTAAAGAAACACTTCTGCTGCTCTGGTTTTCTGGTTTAACTGCTGAATATGGAAGACTGTCAGGGGATTCTGGTTAGTGAGTGACTCTAGCTGTTAGTTAAGACTGTGGCTATATGAGCAGATGGTGTCCTCTGATCTGAATTGAGTCCCACTGACGACAGAAAGTTCTTCTCCCTGTTTATGAGCATTGGCTTGTAACTCTCCTGCTCTCTAGTGAGCTCAGTACTTCCTCCGTTCATTCCTCCCCTCTGGCTCACAAATGTGCCCTCTTGTGTCCACAGCAGATGATGTTTCATTAGTACTGTCAGAATCACTCAATGGGCACCATTGGCTTTGTGGTGTAAATGCCCAGTGTAGCAGTCGCTGGTTAGATTCCCGACCACGACCCTTTGCTGCGTGCTACTCTCAGTTTAACCACTGATCTGCACTGGCCCCCCTAAGATGTGTGTTATTTTAAGAAATGTATAAATATATCATAGAACTGCTACTAATCTCACAAAATTAAACAACACAAGTGGAACAACACACAGTTTACTGCATTATGTTTTACGACACTTGTTTGTTGCAGATCTTCCTGAAAGAGGGCGTCCTGAAGAAACTGTCAAGGAAGGTCATGCAGCCCAGAATGTTCTTCCTGGTACTTTCCAGCCTCTCTCCTACTTCCTCACTGTCACACCTGTTCAAAAACTTTCCAACCTCTAAAGCCCAGAACATGTTCTGTGCTTTGAGTAGGATGAGATGCCATACAATACTTATACTGGCTCATTTTTTCATAATGTTTTAGCGTACTGTATCTAAGCCAAATCTTTTTGTATTGTTTTTTGAACTTACCTTCTGGTGTTGATGTTAATTATATTGTTCTTTTGTATTATTTCCCCAGTTTAACGACACACTGCTGTACACCACTCCAGTTCAGTCAGGACAGTACAAGTTCAACAACATGTTGTCTCTGGCTGGGATGAAGGTGAGACATTTTTTAGCCTTTTTGTTCTCTCTTCATCTTTTAAATATATGTTGTCACATTTTCCTTCCTACCATCACTTATTACAATGAAAATAATTACAGGTTAGCAAACCCAACCAGGAGGCCAATCAGAATGAGCTGAACATAGAAAGTGTGGAGCGCTCCTTTATCCTCTCAGCAAGGTAATGATCAGAAACAGAGACTATCTCCTGTTAGCCTGAGAATGTGTATTGTTTTAATCAAATATGAACAGTTTATGTGTCATGTGTAGGTTTGTGACTAGTGTGTAGGTGTGTTGTAACACTCTGTTTCTTTCTGCAGTTCAGCCACAGAGAGAGATGAATGGCTCGAAGCCATTTCAACAGCCATCAGTGACTACACCAGGAAGAAGATCAGTTTTATTTCTGGCAAGCCTCCAGAGGAGGTAAAATAACCTCACACATTTGCTGTTTGTAGTGTATGAGGCTCTCTTGTAGTGATAAAAACAAATCTGTTCTACAGCAAATGCTGCAACTATAAGGGGTGAATCTATTTCTTTTCCCCCTTTGATATCCAGGTGGAGTTGAGGGATTGTAATGATGGTGCTCCTTTGGGATCCAAAGCTCCCATATGGATCCCCGACCCCCGCACTACTATGTGTATGATCTGTACCTGTGAGTTCACCCTCACATGGAGGCGACACCACTGCAGAGCATGTGGAAAGGTACGGTGACTGGTTTGGTAGAAAATATCTCATTAAAAAAGATGACTTTTAAAACTGTAAAGCAAAGTAGATTAAAACCCATCGAGGGATGAAAACTGTCATATGTAAAAGAAAGAAATTCAGATTTCATTCTTTATCTTTCCACTAGGTGGTGTGCCAGTCCTGTTCCTCCAACAAACACTGTCTTGAATACCTGAAGAACCAAATAGCACGAGTGTGTGATCAGTGTTTCCTCGTTCTCCAGCAGCAGAAAAGTACGTCTTTTTGTAAGGTTTTGTGTGGCTCACAAATAAGTGTGTTTTTAACACAGACACTTTTATTTTTTGTCTTAACACTCCTGTTTTACATTGATGGTTTTCAGGTGAGCAAGCCCAAGGCGCAGCAGTGTCCCCTGGAAGCAGAGCGACCTTTGCCTTCTCCAGAAAGCACAAGAAGATTCCTGCAGCCCTCAAAGAGGTGCCTGATTTGTTGTTTTGCTCTGATCATTTGTGGATGATAATGACATTATATCTTCTATAAGACTGGGTTTAATCTTTTCAGGTGTCTGCAAGCACAGACAACTCTTCCATGAGTGGTTATCTGCAGAGGTCAAAGGGCAATAAGAAGCAGGCTAAGAGGCTGTGGTTCGTCATTAAAGACAAGGTCCTGTACACGTATGCTGCTAGTGAGGTAAGGCCCACTCTGTGCTTGAGGGCAGACCAGTCTTGCGTTGTAATTAACCAAAAAGAACGGTTATTTCATATTCTTGAAACACTTGATTTGTGTGTGTCTTCATACAGGATGTTGCAGCCTTGGAGAGTCAGCCCCTGTTAGGGTTCCTGTTGAAAGCTGATTCATCACAGAAGTTGGAGTTTAAGCTGTACCACAAAAACACGCTCTACTATATTTTTAAAGCTGATGATGTCCAAACAGCTCAGAGGTAATGTATGAAAAAAGGGTTAATTACACTTCAACACATATTCATGGATTTATAATTTAAATGACAATCTTTCTTTATCTTTTTTACAGATGGATTGACAAATTCAGAGAAGCCACCGTACTATAACAACAACCAACAGTGTGAAGCTGTTTTACACTCTATTTTTACCCTTTTCTGAAAATGTTTTACCTCAGTGCTCTGAAATCGGCACAAAGCATCAGGAGACATATATGAGTTGCACCGGATTAAAATCCGAATGTAAAATGTTGGTGCTGAAAGACATGCAGCGCTAACTTTTTACAATTTTAAAAGAGCACCCATGTAAGTTCCAGAATTACCCATGACTCTTTTGTGTATGTTTACATAAATCTTTTAAAACAAATCTTTATAACAGGGCTAAAATAATCTGTAGCTGTTTTAAGGGTTTAATTTTTCACATAAAAGCACAGACAAGTAAGTCAATGCCTGTTGTCAGGAGATATATGATTTATTTTTTTGTGACAATTGAAACAAAATTTGCATTATTTTTTTAGCGTAATAGAAATCATAGGTGTTTATTTGGGGATGATTCTTTTCATGCTTGTGAGGATGATAGAAGAACACACCATGTAAACTTATTGTGATTTTTTTTTTTAAATCAACTGTCATTGGATAAAATTCAGCCATTCTCTGAGGTGCATTATCTGTAAATATAAAGTGTAAATGCTGTGTAGTTTTATTTCCATGAATGTTAGTTTGACTGTTCAACTTCAGTCACTGAAATAAATATTTGCCATACGTTTCTGTTTTATGTGGGTTTACAAACACCAAAAGCACTTTGAGCTGTACATGAAATGAGAGGATATAAGACATAGATACTGGACTGTACTTCATAAGCTTTAAAAGCAGATCTTATAAGTAATATTTTGTATTTCTTCAACAACATGAATTTCAACCAAAGTATGTAAATGATCCATACAGTTGATAAAACAAATGGATAACCATAGGTGACCCTTGGTGAGAGGCATATTTTGAACACTTTAAGGTTCAGGCTGATGCTTTAAACAACGATGTAGTCACCAAAAATCAATTAATCAAACTTTATTTTTTAAGCACTTCATACATTGAATGTAGCCCAAAGTGCTGTTCATTTGTGCAGGGTATTAAAAAAACAATAAAAATAAATAAAAATACGAAACTCCACCCACCCTCCCAACCCCCATTCAACACATATAGCACTCACACACACAGATGCACATGCAAGGACTCTTTAACTTGCCACAGATGACTGAGGAAACGCTATCTTGAGTGAAAAAAAGATGTGGAAACACTGGATCTAGGACTAAAAAGATAACACCATGATAAAATATAATAAAGGTAATAAAAGGTTAGTTAATAAAGGTAAAACAAAATGATTAAAAAAAAAAGGTTAGTCCAAAGGGCAACTACATTAATATTATGATTAAAACTGTGCAGTAAGCCGAAAACAGCACATTGGTCCTTCCTCATCCATAAACAAAGTTTTCTTTGGAGATGCCAATGATCAGAATCAGAATGCCCTTTATTGTCATTATACTAAGGTACAACAAGATTGGAGAGCTTCTCTATTTTCAGTGCAATAGATTAAAAAAGAAAACAGAGACAATTAAAAGTAAAAAAAATAGTTGTAATAAAAAAAGAATTGGTACAGACTATATACAAGATAAAATCCTCTAGTGCAGGGCAAATAGTGCAATGAAAACTATATACACAAATAGGAAAGGGAAATAAATATAAAGAATAATGAGGTAGGATTTAACATAGCAGCAGTGGTAATATATTACACTATTTGTATTAAAGATAGCAGCAGTGTCAGTAGTAAGTAGTAGTAAGTTAACTTTTTACTTCAAGCTGTTACTGAACTGATTGTTTGACTTTTGTGAAGTAAAATTACAACTTTTAAATATTTCTGTTCATGAATAATACTGACAGTGAAGTTCAAGTGTTCCTTGATCTCCTGTTTTTGCATGCAGACTTGTTTGGAATCCATGGGTGATGTTTTCATGAAGCTCACCACTATTCTTTACCTTGTGGACAAATGTATTCTATCCCATTCAATGTTATAGAATTGCTCATGAAATGAGAAAAAAAATTAGTGATAAAGCCTAAACTGTCCTCTTGGATCGCTGCATTCATTAATTACATCAAATGATGTAGCATCGCTTCTCTGAAATTACTTGATATTATAAAATTTCAGACAGTTTTTAATCCCAGAGCTCCTTTGACATTAAAGTTTCGAATCTGAGTGGGCAACGCTATGAACCAAGGCCGCCCCACTGCGCATGTGCGACTCTTATATTTATGAAAAAAAGGTCACGAACTCTGACCCTCCCACTTACTGCACCAAACAGTTAAAATATTTATTAATTGAAGGCTATAAATCATCCGACTCTACGTTTCCCTGACAGGTAAGAAAAGCCTCATTTAGTAAATGTCGGAGAAGTTTGTGGAAGCAGCGCGGAGGGCCGGTGAGGACAGGAAGAGAGGGAGTGTTCAGCAGATCTACAGCAGGGAAGCAGCCATTAGCTACCAGCTAGTAAACAGCTAAGCTAGCTGGTTAGCACTATCGACGGGAGCTAAGCGAACCAATAAACCAATTCAGCGGGTATGTTTCAATGTTTATCCCTACACTAGACTGTAAAACTCTTCACGTGATAGACACAACACATTGAACTTAAGCAGAACACATTAAATTGTTGTGATAGTGGTATGTGCTAATTAGCCTGCCGCTTTAGCCGCGCGTTATACAGAAAGCTAATATTAGCCGCTGTGTGAGCAAGGCTAACAAGTTTCCGGAAACATCTCAGATTAAAGCCGAAATAAGACAGCAGAGTTTCTCGTGGGTGAGTGAGCAGCTGTCGTGTTAATTTCCCGCTGTAAATTGAAGATTAGGTCAGAGTTTGTGCTGAATCGGTGCAGCTCTCGGTCGCTCAGGTCCGCCGCTGAATCTGCGTCGCTGCATCCCGGGCCCTGCTGAACCCTAGCGTGCTTTAACCCTTCAATGTTGACCTTTCACCCACAGGAAAAGAAATACCTTTATCTTCCGTATCGATTTTAAATAGCTGGCTGTCAAGAGTTTGTTTTCTCCCTACCAGGAGCCCAGTTGTTGATTTGTGCAGACTTAACTCTGAACCAAAGTGTTTTTTTCAACCTTATAACAAGGCCAGAGAGAATACGGTTACGAGCTAACTCAAGCTAACGCTAGTTTGGTAGTTTGGTGTTTGCCAAGGCCACAAACCCAACATTAGACATGCACGGCTGAGACAGATGTTTGCATCGTATCCTATGAAGGGTTCACTCTTCAATCATTTGAAACATTTTCTCAGAGTGATGCAGAAATATTATGTTGGCATGTGCAGTGGTAAAGGACTGAACGTTAATGGTACGGTTATCGCTAACACAGGTGTAGTGTTTGTCAATATCGTTATGTGCTCAGTCCTCAAATATCAACCTTGATGACTGTTTTCTGACCACCTGGTAACTTAAAAACATATCTGTATGTGTAAATGTGCCATTAACTCACAAGGTATCCTGGGTATCAACAAATTCTGCTGGGTTTTCTTTCAATCCAAAATTCATCTAAGAAAGGATCACATATATATTTTCTTATGATCAATAATTTTGGTGCAGTCTTAAGCAAATTCTCGATAGTTAATATTGAGTCAATTCCACATAGGGGAGAGTGGGGTAAGTTGAGCCACCCCCTGTTGCTTGGAAATGGTAAAAGAAATTGATCATGTGACCAGATATTTAGGAGATGGGCATCAATTCATGAAGTCTGTGAAGGTTAGAAGCACATTGGTGGAGGGGTTAGACATTTATTTAAAAAAAAAACATGTTTCACTCTTGAAGGTGAATTTAGTTTTTCACAAGTTTTAATCAGAATTGTTTTCAGACCAAAAAAGATCAGTTTAAATTAGTTTTATTGTAAGGTATAATATAGGTAGTAGGGATACGGCTCAACTTACCCTGCTCCTATCTCCTATGGTCAACTTACCTCATACATGGGGTAAGTTGACCATAGGAGACAACTTTTTTTTGGCATGCTATATTATGAAGACAGTTATGTTTACACTCATTCTGTTGGTTTGCAGGGATGCACAACATCTTAAAATATATGCAGATACACTAGTTAGAGACAAAACTATGATTGTTTTGATGTTGTGATCCGAAATATGAAAAATGGCTCATCTTACCCCACTCTCCCTGACTCAGTGCAGCAACCAGCCAATAAGTGAACATCATGGGTTAGACAGGGTAGAGAAATTGGAAAGCGCTTAAGATTTTATCCATTAATAGTAAGAATCTTTTTAAAAGTAGACTCTGTATTAAACTCAGAAGTCCTCCCTCATTTTATTTTGACAAAGCGTGAAGTTACCAAGATGTTTTCTGTGCAGGTGTGCATGCCCTATGGCGCACTGATGTGAAAAGCAGTAGAAGACGGTGTGCAGTACAAGAATGGATGGACAAACTCAAAGGATACAACTCGTGTCCGCCGACAACAGCATGGCATTAGGACACAGAATCCAGGTGATGCTATAGCCAGTCCGCTGCTAGGGACTGTGCAAACTCATACACATAACATTGACATACTTGTAGCCATTAAATTAAGGATTTCATAGTAAAACAAAGCACTATCTTGTATTTTACAAATTACCTCTTTTCATACCATTAGTCCAGTCTCTTCCATCACATTTTCATTGAATACACTTCCTCACGTTCTTGTTTTCTGTCTTGAATAGATTGTAACTGACCAGCAGACTGGTCAGAAGATCCAGATTGTCACAGCACTTGAGCCATCATCACCTGGGAAACAGCAGTTTATCCTTGCAAATGCCGACTATTCCACTGGTGGAAAAGTGATCCTGGCTAAGCAGGAAGGTTCACCCAACAAGGTCATCCTTGCTACTCCAGATGGCTCTGGGGTTAACCAGCTGTTGTTTGCTTCCCCTGAACTTGCTGGGCAGCAGATTCAGGTATCACAAGAGGATGTTTGTGACTTTGTCTTTTCAGTTTTGACAAATAAGTTATTGAAAGGTCTTGTGACTGATGCATGAACACATAGTCAGTCTTTGCTTATTGCAGTGGGTTAAATAACTCCTTTTGTGTTTGGTTGTTTGTCAGTTTGTAACTGAAGGTTCAGACCAGTCTATGGTGAAGCCGGTTGTGGAGTACTGTGTTGTCTGTGGGGATAAAGCCTCAGGTAGGAATTCAGCTTTAACATCTCTTTTTTTTGACAGCAGCGCACATGAGCAAGCATTTCCTAACTTGAACTTATTTTTTCCCTTGTCTCTCCCAGGCCGTCATTACGGGGCTGTCAGTTGTGAGGGCTGTAAGGGCTTCTTCAAACGCAGCATTAGGAAGAATCTTGTGTACTCATGCAGGGGTTCTGGAGAATGTGCCATCAACAAGCTCCACCGGAACCGCTGCCAGTACTGTCGACTACAGCGCTGCATTGCTCTGGGCATGAAACAGGATTGTAAGAGACCTTGTTTATCTTTGTATGCTGTTGTGGATATTAAATGAGAACTTACAATAACAGTCTGATTCATCTGTTTTTGACTTCAGCTGTGCAGTGTGAGAGGAAGCCTGTAGAAGTGACCACCAGAGAGAAATCTGTTAACTGTGCCGCCTCCACTGAGAAGATCTACATCCGCAAGAACCTTTGTAGTCCTCTGGCTGCCACTCCCACTTTTGTATCTGATAAGGAAACGGCGAGGTAAAACCACATTATGATGTTATATTTTACCAGCCCATTAGATACACACGCACAGTCAAATACGTCAGCATTATTATACCCTCACCAGCATCTTTGCATCCAACATGTTAAAATCTCTAATGATCTATAACATCCAAATTATATTAAATTGTCTTCCCTTTCTAGAAACACATAGAGAACAAAAGCATAACCTGACTGTATATGAAATTGTGCAAACTGAAAGGTTAACCCTCTGACCCCAGGTCTACAAGTTTGCTCGAGTCAAGCATGCTGCTCAACATCCAACAACCCTTCACAAAGCTGGAAAACACCATCTTGATTCCTGCATCTCCAGACAAGGTAACGCTGATTCAGACAAATAACAGTAAATTTGAATATAGACTGACATTGAGTGATCATGTGAACAAACACTTTCAGATTTATAGCTCTTTTTCCATATGCTATATTACACTAAATGCACCTCCTAATGCATTTTACCAAAGTTGGTTCAGAGCTGATTTACATCTAGGGTCCCTCTGCAGTTCTCTGTACAAACATCACTGTAAGAAGTAGACTACAGCACAGGAGAGATAGCACAGAATGACACTGACCTGTGCGTCATCAACACACATAAACAACCACACTCTAACATACTTGTATAGAATTAAGAAAGGAATATTTGTTCATGTGACATATTGTGGAAGTAGTTAATGTCTGACCATTACTGTGGCCCATTCAGCAGGAAGACCCATCTCAAGGTGACCTCGGCACGCTGGCAAATGTAGTGACTTCCCTCGCCCACCTTAAACAAGCCAGGGAGGCGAGTGACAGCGGCAATGACCTGATGGGAGTTGAAACTCTCAGCAATGGGGACAGCTCGATAGCGGACATTCAGGGAGACGAGCAAACTTCAAGTGATATCACACGGTGAGGAATATGAGATGAAGGATTTAGGGACTGCGGTACTGACCTTTACTTATTCTGGTACATGTGCCGGGGATTTATAGGAACGCTGGACTGAAATCCGGGTCTGTTACTTAGTGTTTGTCATAAAGCTGTAATAGAATTTCAGAAGGGCCATATGGTTTCTGACTGAGCTCTTAAGGACTTTATTAGATTCTCTCTCAGTCATCAGAAATGTTTCTTATGATAAGGATGCACTGCTGTGCTTTAGGTTGTATCCTGTATTTTCTGTTTCTGTTGGAACTACAAAACTGAGACATGCAATAAATAAAATGTATACATCTTTAAATGTAACACTTTGTGCCTTTAGAGCATTTGATAACCTGGCCAAAGTCCTGCACCCTGGTGATGGCTCAGCAGGAGATTCCTTGGAGGCTACAATGCAGCTGATGTCAGGAGACCAGTCAGGTCCGGTGGTGGAGTTGGAGGGCTCTCTGCTCTCCGACAGCCATATCCCTTTCAAGGTAAAAGCACAAATGCTGACCCTCAGGACTAAATTAAAACTGAGGGTGCTGTTGATGAATTACCAAGTTACACAATTTCACACATTATCTCATTAACAAGGCCTTGATGTTTTTTCTCCCACCACTCTACAATATGAACCTCCAGCTAATGATGCCTTTGCCTGTGCCAGAATACCTCAATGTCAACTACATTTGTGAGTCAGCTTCCCGGCTACTTTTTCTCTCTATGCACTGGGCTCGCTCTATTCCTGCCTTTCAAACCCTCAGGTAAGCCTTAGTCACAAAGTTTGTATTATATCATGAATACAGCTTTTAAACAGTAGCTTTTGACTGTGTCATAACATACCAGTTATACAATGCCGGTTAATCATGTTTTACTTCATGGGCATGCACAGTTTTCTGTATGTAGTTAATTAAGTTTTAATCCCCCCCTCCTTTTTTTTAATAGTGGTCAAGACAATGACATTAACTTGATGAAAGCCTGCTGGAATGAACTGTTTGCCCTCGGTCTGGCCCAGTGCTCCAACGTAATGAATGTGGGTACCATCTTAAGTGCCATTATCAACCATCTGCAGACCAGCTTACAGGAAGGTAGGAGGGCTGTTGTTTCCTGCAAGTTGTAATGCATGAATGACACTGTTTGGTGACGTGGTATTAATCATTTCGGTTCTGCACACATTAAGATCTGTCCTGTTTATTACATTTGACATTTTATTTCAAGTTTTTTGGTTCTGATTGTGAAAATACTAATCCCTCTCAACCTTCCTGCTTTGTATTCTACAGAGAAACTGTCTGCAGAGCGAGTGAAGATCGTGATGGAACACATTTGGAGGATGCAGGAGTTCTGCAACAGCATGATCAAGCTGTCCCCGGACTCTTATGAATATGCCTACCTCAAAGCCGTTGTTCTCTTCAGCCCAGGTGTGTTATTTGCCACCTGGTCGACAGTACCTTGATTAGTTCTTGTACCCATAGAAAACTTCAGTAACACTTTATCTGCCTATCTCTACGCCTATCTCTGTAACAGATTATCAATACACGTATAATGCTAAAAATAACTATAGTTATAAACACTCATAAATGATCATAATGCTTTATAACAATAATCACAACACATTATAAAGCATTTTTTCATGACTTACAAGGTTACTTACAATTAACGTGTTATAACTGTTAACAACTCACTGACAATGCCCACATAGATAATGAATTATACATGTATTTATGATGTGTTATAATTTGCTTATAAACTTGCATAACTATTATTATAAACACTCATTAATAATCATAAGTCTTTATAACAATAAGCATAACACATTATAATACCTGACCTTGTAAGTCATGCTGAAATGCTTTATAATGTGTTATGATTATTGCTATAAAGCATTATGATCATGTATGAGTGTTTATAATTATATTTATACAGCGCTATAACATGATTATAAAGCGTTACACATAAATTTATAATGCGTTATAGAGATAGGCGTCAAGTAAAGTGTTACCAAAACTTAAAAAGCTTTACAGATGACAAAATCCGCATTGACTCATGTCTGTCTCCGCTTATGTCAGATCACCCAGGCATAGATAACACCCAGCAGATTGAGCGGTTTCAGGAGAAAGCCTACATGGAGCTGCAGGACTATGTCACCAGGACGTATCCAGAAGACTCCTATCGGTAAGTAGACTTAATTCTGTGGTATGTGCTTTATAAATAAACCTGCTGTACATTGAGCAAGACAGATTTGTAATGATGTGACTCCTCATGTTTTAAATTTGATGTCTCCTCATCGCTCCCAGGTTGTCTAAGCTGCTGCTGCGACTCCCCGCCCTCCGGCTGATAAGCGCAGCCGTCACAGAGGAGCTGTTTTTCGCAGGTCTCATTGGAAATGTGCAGATTGACAGCATCATCCCTTACATCCTCAAAATGGAATCAACTGATTATAACAGTCAGGCAGTCTCTGGGGTCTGACACTGCCATTTCTTATCCAAACATTGAACTTTGAAATGAAAATCGGAAGGCAACCAATCAGAGGACTCCTCGGAAAGATCACCAAGTGGTCATAACATACTGTATTTAAGACACAGCATCAAACAGGAACCCTGTTTTCACTCTTATCCTGCTCCTTTTGACTCCTCAGTAACCAGTCAGTAGCCGAACCACAAACGGGACAAGTAAAACCAACTCAAGTGGCAAACCGGGCAACACATGACCAGTCAGGAATGAACTCTCAAAGCCTGCATAGTAGATTGCGCTTTTTATTGTACATAGTATTTTATGCTTCATCGCCTCCAAGCCTTTCCTTTTTCTGCGGATCTCGTTTGTACTTAAAAAGAAACAGGATGGTTTGTTTTTCACTGCTTTATTACATGGTCATGCTTTTTTATTTTCTTAATATTATAAAGAAAAAAGTTTGTCATTGTGAAATGATACGTGAGATGTTGTTGATGCTAAAGGTTATGACCTTCATTTCTTATTTGTTTGCCAATCCAAAGGATCAGGCAGCATCAATTTGTTAAATATTTGTCATGAGGATCCGGAGTAATCATGTGTATAGATCTGTGTATAGAATGAACCAAGAATGCTAAAATTGGCAGCACTTGGTAATTTAAGAACTCTGTGTTTGGATGGAGTAATGTGGCTGAAAAATGATGGTCAAGTCATTTGAGAATAAAAATCTTCTCTTATTTGGGTTCCTACTTTACTCATGCAACCAAATTTCAATATGACACGAGGTCAGAAGAGCTGAAACTAATTACCATAGTGCTGTATCAAGTCTTAATTCAGGCACTGAAAATTTCTGTATCAGCGTTAAATACGATGGATATGTCTCTGAGCAGAAAGCAAACATTTTGTTCTTAATATTTGTGTTACAACGTGAGAAGCTGTGGTTTTAGTTTTTAGTACTGTGACACTTTTGAATATAAGATGACAGAAACATAAGCATTAATAGAGTGAAATGAGTGATTAAATTCAAATTAATCCTAAATTAGTTTGACTGTAAGGTTTTAAGACGCAGACCAAAATCCTGTATTTAAAACTCTGAAGGGATAAGTGAAATTACAGAACGAGTACAGAAATCAAATTAACCTTTGGCCTTTGTCCAGCAAAGCCCCCCGTCTTTGGAAAGGAGTGAGTGTGTAAAGTTTGCTGACCTGGATAGAGTAACCTGATAGGAGGGAAACAGACCCCCTTTGATGGACATTGATGATTCATGCAGCATGCAAGCATTCCTCACCGTAAGTAAAACTGAGTGCAATGTCAGCAGCACTTGAGCCTTAACTATACTGAAATGAACTTAAGAAAAGAGAAGTTCTGTCTGTACAAGCGGTCATTCTTTTATCAGGTCTCAGGAACTGCACTGGTTAGAAATTGGATGAAAGTGGGGAAATGGATGTAAAAATATCTTGGTTCTATTTAAAGTTATGTTTGCAACTGTCAGACAATAGAGTATTCAAAATGTTATGAAGGAATAAATAGCCATTCAGTAAAAGCAGACAGCTTGTCAACATTTGACCTTTGTCCTGTAAGTTACCTCACCCCCCTGTCAGAAAGAGAACCAAATCTGTAGAGTTTGTTGACCCAGTTAATCAACCTGCAGCTGCAAAACTGGCCTCAAACTCACAAATACATGATTTCAGGAAGTGTTCGGATATACTGAGTAAACTGGACAACACTTGGACACAAGAAGATAAAAATATCTTCTGTGTTTTTAAATAAACATAACTCTGTAAGCATGCAACTGTCTTCCCAGCAGATTGATACATGTTCCTTCTGAATTAATAATGCAAAATCTGTATCCTTCCCCTGTGACTTGTCGTACTATCGCTGTGTCGTGTCAGGTGACGTGAAGGTGGAAGATGTTGCAGGGCGCAGGGTAAGGGACTAGACTCGAAGTGCACGTTTTGGCTGATTAACATTTCATAAGGCTTCTGCGGATGTAGGTAAGTAGGGGACAGTGAGCATTCCCTCTCCGGAGTAACTCAGTGAATGTGTCCGGCTAATTAAAGGCACTGAAAGCAACATTAAAACTTGATGTCCATGTGAATAATATGGTCTGCTGCTGTTTTTAGAAATCCATTGTTCAGTGTATCCAGTAGCTTCTTTATGTGACTCTACATCCCCTGGCTTGCCCTATTTGAACCACAGAGGTTGGTGTACATCAATGTATGGCTCTCTCCCTCTCTCTCTTGCTGTATGGTCTGTATGAACAATAGAGGGCTCTCTTCACAGCACAAGCCTGAACAATTAGCTTTTTGTCCATAACTGTAAATGTTAAGCGTTTTGTGATGCAACACTGGCTATTGTGCTCACAGCTAGGTGGATTAGCTCATTCCAAGCTGAATGAATGAATGTGAGTGAGAGGGCCACTTGGATTGTTCCCATGGCCTCTTCTGAGCTTAGACAGCTTGGGCTAAAACCGTGAGGGTTGTGCAAAACTAAAGCGAGGATATCTTTTACAACTATAATTCCACTTACAGATTTGACTTTATACCTTTAAACATAAAAAACACCAGAAAATGACGAACACGCTAGCACAGGCCCTCAAATATTTTTTCTGTAACATCCAACATCAACTCTTCAGGAGGTAGGTCACTGTGCAAAATGTTATTTAAAGCCTATACTTGATTGAAAGTAGTGAAAAGACAACATGTCAAACTGAGAAATTTGAAAGTTTTATAAAACTAAATGCTCATTTCAAATTTGATACCAGCAACATGTTTCCATAACAACTGGTACAGGGACAACTAAACCATGAGAAAGTTTTATAACACTTTAAAAAAATCCCCTGGATAAACATCTCCCAACAAACAAGGTTAATCTGCAACACTTAAGTAACACAAAACTAAGTATAGAAAGGCACTGATCTTAAAACAGACCCAACCCTACATTTGAATTCACTGCATGAGCTCAAATCACATCTAAATACCATTGTCTGCAAACAGTTTGTTGCTGCATCTACAAATGTAGGTCAAAGATGTACCATGCGATAAGGACACATCCAGAAACGCTGTAACTTCTCTTAACCCTTGTGCATTGGGTGTGGACTGAGGCAAATTAGGATACTGTCCTGTGGTTTGACAAATTAAAACCTGACATTTGTTTTGGAAATCATGGACGTCACATCTTCACTCTAAAGAAAGGGACCACCCAGCTTTTATCAGTGCACGCAAAAACCAGCATCTGTAACTGTGTTAGGATAATACTGTATATGTACAATACATACAGGTTTTGGGGCAACACATGCTGCCATCTATAAATGCAGTTGCAGGGGACACCTTGCAAAACACAGCAAGAAGATGCAAAACCACATTCTGTGTGGATTACCATAGCAAAACCACATAGTAGATGTGAGTGCGAAACTGAACTTCCTGCAGTGTAAACTTGTCACACATTTGAACTCTTGATGGCTCATGGGGAAAAAAAGATGATAAAAGAGACATTTAACTGTTAAGCTGCTGAAATCCTTTATCACCCAAGATGGAGACATTTCTCTTTCAAAAGTCCACAACGAGGTGATGAAACACATAACGGACACACCCCTGTACTAACTGTTCAGAAAGGAGCTGCTGGCATCAAATTTAAAGCCCTGTGAGGAACTTTCCATTTGTGTACATTTTGCCATCCCTGGTAAACAAAGTGATGTCTAATACCTTTGCTTATCTTGCCCTTTTCTTTGACATAAATTACATTAATAAAAGCCATTCCTCACAAATATTTGTTATGGAGAAATTTCAAAACTATTTTTGAAATGCCTCCTGTGACACCTGCCCCACCATTACAGGGGCCGTAGAAATTGAACAATATGACAGAAATTATCAGTGATGCTTGATTTTGTGGGCCTTGCAGTGGTATTTCTCTACCAGTTAAAATATCTGCATATGAGCTTTTAACATGTCAGAATAATATAACATTTACATTATTGTAAAAATTAAATTAAAGTAAAAACGTTTTGGGGCTGCCGCTGATGTAGGCCTATGATTCTTTCTGCCGATATGTCAAAGCTCTGCTACCGTTTTGTACCTTCTGCTGTGCAATGTGCACTGAGCATCCAAAGAGCAGGTAGTTGTGGGGCAAAACAATGTCGCAAAAAAGGACATATCCTTCAGGAGCAGAGGAAAGAAAGAGGAAGAAAGAGAAAAAACAACAAGATAAAGGTATGTTTGCATGTCATGGATGTATATTAAAGAGATTTGTGAAGGTGTGTGAATGATCAACAATCAATATTATTGGCAGAAATAGAGGGCCCCATAATTAAATTTTGCTTAGGGCCCCATTCAGGCTTGGGCCGGCTCTGCCTGACACCGGGATGTTACGTTAGGAAAGAGCTTCCCCTGGGAAACACTGGAGATAAAAATAAAAGTGGTAAAAAGAAAGAGTAAAACCTGATGGACTAACACAAGAAAATAATATTAAATGAACAGATAAGTAAGAGCTCTTTACCATATAAAATGGGTAAAGGAAGTAAAAACCTATGACAGGAATTAAGAAAAAGAATAAGAACTGAGATAATTAATAAACTGACATTAAATAAACAATAAGAACTTTGATTAAAATGAACATTTGCAATAAAAGAAATGTAAAAAAGCAATTAGTGAAAAGCCTGGTTAAAAGGTGAGTCTCGAGCCTCTTCTTAAAAACAAATAAATTATAGCTAGTATAAATAAACCTACAAATGAAGTCCTACTGTATAATGAAGATATAAATCAAGATCAAACTCCTATTATGGGCCTTTTTTCTTTATTTGTCTCTGACAGGCACGTGTGTTGAAAGAGTTAACCCCTCCCTGCTCAGCAGCATGAAAGAGGCGGAGTTTGAGTTCACGCAGAGTTTTTTTGTATGTTGAAGAGAGGGCAGTCAGTGTGTGAGAGAGTGTGTGTGAGGGGCAGAACGAGAGAGAGAGGAGAGGAGAGGGAGAAAAACATGGGTACGAGGTGAGGCGTGAGTTTTGAAGTGGTCTAAGTACTGCTCTGAAGAAGTCCCAGCTCCCGACAAAGCACCATCCCGGGATTATTATGCCCAGCGCCACCGTGTCCGTGCGAAGTTTATCCGAAGTAGAGAAATACCTCGGCAGCCGGATGGTGAGTGTTCTCCTATGAGTGTGTTCCGATTGCAGCATCGTTGTGTGGTGAACGTCAGGTCCCGGACTGTACCAGCGACACATTGTTGTCTGTCCACGAACACGTCATGTGAAACCAACAGCTGCACGCGCCGCTACAAAAGCTGCATATTTCTCCTGAACAAAGAGCCTGCGAGACAAACAACAGGGCAAAATGAAGTTTTTTTTCTGGACACATTGTAGTTTTTCTATGACTTCAGAGCGTCTGATACTCTCAAGAGAGTCCTGTTTGCCAAAAATCAAATCCTAATCGGGACATAATTGGTTAGACAGGGAATCGAAACCGGCAATTATTGAGCACATACAGGAGGAGATATCGGAATGATTATTTGATCGGCTGTTCGACATTTCTGTTTGTGGCCTATCATGTCTCTAAACATCTCTTTTTAAGTTGATTTAAAGTTCCTGAGAAAATGTCAGAAAATTATCTTGTTAAATTCACCCTGAAGCCTTACTCTCAAAGTTAAAAGACAAGTACAATTTTCCCACGGGAGGATTCCGATCGGAGTATTTTGGGGGATTAGGGCTTAAAAATTAGAGCAAATAATTCTTTTGTTGTCTGACTGAGGTTTTGGCTTGAACTGAATTTAACACAGTGAAACTGTTTTGAAACTATTTATTAAAAAGTACAGGGAGTGACCTCAGAAAATACAGGTCTGAGAGAGATTATGATGGTAATATTAAAAATCAAACCCTGTATGGAGTGGTTCTCAACTGGTGAGTCCTGACCCACAAGTGGGTCGCAGACATGTTCTGGGTGGGTCACAAACAGCTGGTCAAAAGAGTAAATATTTAATGCGATATTTTGTAGATATGTGATATTTTCTGAATATGCAACTTCAGTAGTTGTCGTCCTCATGTTGTCCCCTTCATGTGCTCTGAAATGCACTTTACTCAATAAAACGAGTGGATTTATGTTTAAGATTAGAGTCTTTAAAGGTTTTTTTTCTATTAAAAAATAAATTTGTTTGTCCCAGTTCAGAACCACTGCTGTATAGGACTATAGGGCAAGTCAGTACTCCAATATCAGTGCTTGATAGTGTGTTGGATGTTCGTTAATCCATATGACATTTCTTTCCAGAGTTGTGATAACGATATCAGATTCAAAGTGTTTCATATTTTATTTCCCATCAAGGATGCGCTACAGTCCATGCTAAACAACGTACAGTCATGATGACTATACCCTACTCAATCAGTCAAGCCAGAGTCCTGCTACTTATGGTTTTACTTTGCTATTGAGGCCACTTAACCACACTAAGCAAGTCTAAAACAACCTGACCAAGACATACCTGTCCCATGTAGTGATGGTGAACAAAGTTAACCCTTGTGTCACACTTGTATAAAAGTTATACTGGATCACATCGGAAGAAGGAGGTTCTTTCCTGTAACAAAATTTTTCTCCCCCCTTTTGGGTCTTTAACCGTATCCATCACATGCTCTGTATTTCACCTCAAAGCAAACAGGAAATTAAATTGACCTAGATCAATGCTCTTTTTATCTCTCGTCGTTTTAACATCTTTACGCAGAAATGTCGCATTAAGCAAGACAACCCATCATTCAATTATATTTATCCTAAATAATACATTTGCTCAACTGTGTTTCTTTCTACTCTGCACCACATATATTCCTTTCTTGAGATGTTGACCAGGTTGAAAGAAATCAACCCCCACAAAAACCCTCCAACGCTACACTGACAGGTTTCAGGATAAACCATCCAACCATACTAATACTATGTGTGATGCTGAGAAAAAAAAAACCCTGAAGGTTGCTGTGGTGCGAGCTTAGCATGCGCTTGAGTCCAGCTGCTTTCAGCCTCGCTGACACCAAGGCGAGGAATGCTCTGTCAACTGTCAGTCTTGTGCAACCAGAAAGTCAGTTAGGTTTGGTGCAGCAGGTTGGTCCTCTTCCCTGTGTATGCACGAGCCTTCAGGCTGTCTTCCTGTGTCACCTGCAGCCTGTAAAGGTGGAGTGGGAGATTTGGATCTATTCACAAGTGGGATCCTGTTTAGCTTGTATTAAAACTCCCATTCAGGCTTGTTCGTGTTTGCAAATAATTCCGATCAAAATGAAACTCTTAAAAATGAATGCCATTGAAACATTTTCTACTAGAGTGGAACCCAAAAGGAGCATACACAGATAATTTGATTCGGCTTCTCAAGTAAGCAATTAGATTCACCTAACGTAACCACCAACACAATATAATGGAGCCACGTATTGGACGATTTGGCCAGTTTGCCACCGCTGAGCTGTGTAATTATGCTCTTCCTCTTCTCTTTGGCTGCGAAAAGCCTTCCAGTTTTGTCTCTGAAAAGCCATTGTGCAGCAGATATAGTGGGTTAGAGGCCAGGGATGATGCAACACCTCCATTTGAGCGACTCACTTCCACAGTGTCCATGTTAAGAGACGATTCTTTAGATATTTTTGTGTCATATCTTGGTGAAACATCTGCCCTCCCATGAACCTTGTCATTTACCCATGGTGGCTCTCTCTTACCCGACAAAGTCAAACACCAAACCCATCGCACCATGTTTGTTCGGTACACTCTGAACTATTTAATGTCAACTACTTCCCTTTTTCATTCTCTGCTCCTTTTCTCGACTTTCTCTTACAATGAATATAGCTGCATGCTTATCTTAAACTGCATCCCATTCAATATTCTCCCAGTCCATGGGGGCGAGCAGATGCTGGGAGTGTTAATAGGCTATTGATTTAGTCTTGGACTGGCCCATCTATGAGATAATAGCGAATAGGTCTTGAGCAATTCATTTCCCTGACCTCCTGGGGATGAGTCATTCGGGAAACTCAAGACTTCAACTCTTTCGCTATTTTTTGTTCTGCCTCTTTTACTTTGCTGTGGCACATCAGAGAAATGTTTTGCAATCAAATTTGTGACCGTAGGGCAGCTGTGCGAAGCAGATGAGAGGGAGGAGATGTTAAGTCAGCTTTCTCACTACAATCAAAGATACTCCCCCCCAGTTTTCTTCCCATTTCCCTGTGTGAGCTCTGAGTGGGAGAGTGTCTGTATCCATGAGGATCAGCTGGAGGGAATACCAATAAGCACCGCAGGCTTCTTCCCCTCTGTGGCTCTGTTCTCTGCTGAAGGGACGGTTTTGTTCCATCTCAATGAGGATGCCAGCTCGCATGTGTGTGTATGTGTGTTTATTTGGGGGTGCACAGAGGCCATGACAGAAAGACGGCTAAATAAGCACCACCCTAGGTACCCTACACACTCCCCAGCCTCTTCATTCTGGTACACTTCCTTCAGATCACTCTTAACACCTGTGCTTGTAGCTGAATGCGGCTGCATGACCTGACCCTGCATTGTGAGCCGGTGCTTTTACCCGAGATCACAGCTGCGATTGTGAGTACTTCCAAACATTACTTCCTTGTAGTGGGGACAATGCCTTCCTGTTTGCATAAGAAAATGTGTGCTGTTGCACTAATGTCCCCCTCCGGCGGGGAGTGTAGCATGTACAATCAATGAATATTAATTTCTATCTAAATAACGTGTTTTTTCTTCTCCAAGTTCTCCACCCAAACTGCAGCCTTGCTTTTTTTTCTTCTGGTGCTGCAGCGAACAGACCAGCATAAGGTCTGCCTTTGCATGAAAAATGGAATCACTAACTCGATCATTGATCCAAGAGAGAGAGAGAGAGAGAGAGCACACTGCAGTGCAAGATAAGCAGCATCTGCAGTTCCTATCTGTGCCCGCCCTCCCCCCTGAAATGTAGCTCGAAGATTTGGGATTTGGATTTCTCCTGCAGAGCGGTGCACACAGCTCTCCCTTGTTTGGTTAAGATTGAGGCTAATGCTGGGAGGGGGATCTTTATGTTGTGCTGCCTGGCAAGGTCAGGGCTTATTAAATAGGTCATGATGTTGGACAGACGCTGCCTGCTAATGTAGGACAGCGTGGGGGGACAGGGCTTAAGCAGGGCTGAGGTGTGAGGGAAGCCTTTTTGGGTGGGGAGGCATAAAAACGTCCTGTAGATCCACGATGTTTCACTGCTGTAGTGTGTTTGTGTGCTTTTTCTGTCATCATTTTATTATCTTGTCTTGGTTCTGCTGCTCTCTCTCTCTCCGTCTCTGTTTTCTGCTCCACTGACACACTAATATCATCTTTTTAATCTAAAAGCAGTGGGAGTAAGTCTGGCGCACTGATTTGTTAAGACAACATTTCCTTTTCTAATAGCAATGAAGCAGATTTTAAGCATATGAACAAACAGATGGATCTTTCAAACAGCACAGCTTTGAAATCCAATAAACACAGTTGGAAGGAGAAGGTAGGAGTTCTGCTGTGCTCCAGTTAAGAACAGCATGTCTTTGAAGGACACCTGTTATGCTGATCCCTGTTTTAATATATAATGTTTCAAAGTTGGGTGAGATATATGGATGTTGCCGTACTTCTGTCTTCTCTGGACTCCTGTTTAAGAACATAAAAAGACATGGCCAATTAAGACGATGTTGAAGGACTTATCCACCCAACAGCTCCTTCAAGGTCGTGCCCATCTGGAAGATTTTTCAAAATTTCCCTTTGCCCTGAAAGTCTTTCACCACTTGACTTTTCCTTACCTCTGCGTTTTTTTGATTCAGCATGTCTGGAAATTGTTCTGTTGATTTACATCTCAGCTGTTGTTCAAACTTGGGGCTGTTTTGTTTATAGAGACCTTCCATGAAAGCTCTTCTTTTGACCTAACTCTAAATCCGTACCCTCAAAGCTCAAGTATGGAGTTTTTTTTTTTTTTTTTTACAGGTAATGAAACAAACCGAAAGTAATACTGGTGCAAGAAAACAAATAAATAAAATGGCCAAGCTTGATTATTTACATTTAGTTAATTTTAAAGCCTGTTACCTAGAGATTTTTTAAGTGATTACAAAATATTGCCCAAACAGTAAAAAAGCCATACTGTTACACCTAGGGTGACCAAACGTTTGGTTTTCCCTGGACATGTCCTGTTTTTACGTCCTGTCCTGGCCATCCTTGTTTTTATAAAGTGATGAAAATGTCCCAGTGTTCATTATTCTTGATTGGGCCACTAAGATGAAGAAGAAAACTAAAGTGAGAGAGATTATCCTCTTGCCGGGCAGAGTCCTGGTTTTCGGTTATCAAAACATGGTCACCCTAGTTATACCAGTGTGGTCTGAAACCATGATTAAGAGCTATGGGAAAGGCTTCAAAGTGCTTATTCTGCAGAATACACAGTTCATTTTTGAAGTGTAACACTGTTGCACTTAAAGAAATGTGCAGGAGTGCAGGTTAGCCTGCATGAACACTCCCACTCATGCCTGTGTACCCATGACAGAGAAAGTAGAAGTGTATTCTTCAGCTGCTTTGAAAGAATCTTCCCTGGCATGAATAATTAAAAACTCTGAAAGTTAGGCGAACTCCCAAGTAAGAACAGTTTTTCAAAGTAACAAACTTTACCTCCACCATCTGCTGTGCTCTAGCAGCTTCCCCTCTTTTCCCCTCCTGTAACTGGGCCCTGACCCCCTCCCTGGTCACTTCCAGCCAATCCCCAAAGACCTTAAATCCTCGTCTCGTTTCACCCTCCTACCCCAACAACCCCTGGGGAATGCCTGCATAAGTGTTCGGGAGAAACCGAGTGAAAAGTAGGCCAGCTCCTCAGCAGATTTGGGAGGACATTTTCATCAGTGTGAGGCTAATTCATTTAGCGGAGCCGCTCATCCAGAGAGACCCTTGGATTGCTCCAGTAGTTAGTTAGCGTTGGTAGAAATCTTGAGCGGCGGCGGCGGCTGGGGAAGTAGGCTGATTAAATTTGAAATTTTCATTGACTTTCTTATCAGGAGTGAGTCAGATGTCACGCTCATTTTGGGGTTCAAGTGTGTGCGCAACATCTGGGTTGTGTTATTCGTGTTACGTGAGCTGCTCTCATGAATTGGGCCTCATTCTGCCAAAAGCTGTCTTGTTTTTGTAAGGAAAAGCTTCCATCCATCAGCACAGCTGCCTAGTACATTTCTGGTTTGGCGTTCACTACTCCAGGTGTGCGTGTGTGAATAATGACGAAGAATCAATACTTTTTCCAAACAACCTCCTCTCCTGTCAGGCTCTGCTTTTTCTGCAGGCATTAATAGTGATCCATCGAGTTTTTCGGGGTCACTATTTGATCACACCCTCATCCTGTATCCGTGACTTCACTGCACCTTGAGGCAATAATCCCACACCTCTGTGATCCTCAATTGGCTTCTTATGCAGCAGGAGAGGTTTTTGAACATTTCGGAGTTGAGATGTGTGGTGAGAAAGCGCCTTAGGAGCTAGCATATTTCCAGTGCAGCAGAAATAGCATGAGGCTAAGCTGTCTAGAGGAACAGGCTGTTCTTTGTGTTTGTCGTTTGAAAGCTAAAAAGTCCGGGTAACATGAGCAACCTACACACAAGCCTGCCTAACGGTTCCTTTGGGAGGAGGGAGATATTGAGCTGGTCTTTCTTATTTGTCAAACAGGTTTGTCTGTAAGTAAACAGGCGGTGTATGTGTAAATTACAGTCGTGACAAGAAATATTGTTGGAAAGAAAAAGGGTTGTGATTGGACGCAGAACTCCTCAGGCTGTACGTCAGGCCAGTGGATCCATATGAGGCAGCTTGCTCATCAGAGTCCTGCACAGAGCAGAGGTAGGACATGACAAAGTCTGCTTTTTACTCTGCAAACAAAGAGTCCTGTGTTGGATAAGGACAGATGCCAGGGAGGGGGAGACGTTGGGATGAAGACAGAGGCTGAAACACCCCAGGCATGCTTGGAGAAAGAAGCAGCGTGTTCTCTGGTTATACAGCATACATAAACAAGCATATATTACCGATCTCCAGCATAGTGATGGCCAAAATAATAGTGGGGCTACAATTTTTAAGTGTCTCCTACAACCAATACAAGGGTTCACGGTCATGTTAGCATGTTAGCATGGTTACATGCTGATGTTTAGGATGAATAAATATCTTGATTTGTGGGATGCAATTATCAAATCATCAGTGCTAAATATTGATATGTTAATTTAAAAAGCAATGCAGCCAATTTGACTCACTGTGTCACCTCTCTTTCTTTACAGGCCTTTTTTAATGTACACCTAAAGGCACTATGAGGAGTTTTAAAGTGAAACAGACAAACTGAAACTGATGTCTCTTTAGAACCGTTAAAAATAAACAAGACCAGACCAGCAAAGAGGCTGATAATTTCACCGAAGTTATTTTTAATGGTTATAACTACTGTGAGAGAGTATGTGTCAGACCAGATGACGGGAAGCAGGCCAAATAAATACATAAACTGCCCATTTAGATTTTTTTAATATCAAATGTCACAGTGATTAATGTATGAATTTGTCTTACAACACTTTCACATGTAAAGGACAGGAGATGAGCGGTAACTCTTTGTCCACAAGGGGGTGACAATATCAACACAAACTAAAAACTCCTCACAGTAACTTTAATCACATATAGTGATGCAGCATTATTATATGTTTGTCTTGCAATTGATCAGTCATCACAGAATTGTTGTGTTGTAATATGCTCGTCATTAGGGGGTCTTTAAGGTATCCAATAACAAGTATCAGGTATGAAGAGTGCTGTTGTGTCTTATATTTTCTGTGTTCAAAACTCCAGTTTGCTCTGTTTCCAGGCTGAGTTTACTTAAAGGCGTTGAAGTCAGCTGTAAACTTAGCTTGAAGTAAGTTTTTTTTCACCCCATATTACTCTGCCTGTACACTTAGCATGTAAAGAGCAGACTCACGTGATAGTTTTCCAGGAAAAGTCAGCCTCAGGACTTTACCAGGATTCACCATGAATGTCTGAAAAAAGACTATTCATTGGTTTGCAAAACTAAAAGATCTTTACCGCTATTGAGAGAGTGTTGTTATACTATATTTAGTCAGTATTATTCCATATTTGTGAGCTGGAGAAGGATTCATGAAAAATTGTTGCAATCTCTTATTTATTCTAATTTCATTCTTTCTCCTAAAGAGTAAGTGTAATGACTGAATTTCCACCTGGGATACATCAAATATTCTGACTCTGACTCTGAAGTGGGTCAGTGTGTTTGAGTCGTCCTGCCAACACAGAGAAAAAGAAACAAATTGAAAACAGGAAAAAGCAGCTGTAGCAATAGTTTACGAAAGTTTTGGACTGACAGGATGAGTTTGTCATTTCCTCCAGCTGTGTCATTAACAGACAGAAAGCAGTTTCTGTGTCGCATTTTTGGTGACTGTCTGTTTGAAATGAATGGCGACTGCTCTTGATGACTCGTGCTCAGTGTCGCCTCATAAACTAGTCTGACTGGTCCATTGGGTATGAGGTCACAGTTACAGCAGCAGTGGGGAATGCACACACATGTAACTGGATATCTCAAATCCACTTAATTTCCAGTTAGTGTTGAATGGTTTCGTTGCTGTGCCTTTGTACTTAATCGACCTATTCTTAGTCAACTCTGCCTTAAGTTTCACCTGACTAGTCATGTGTCGAGGACTTTTTTTTTCTGTGAGGTGAACTTAAATATACATTTGTGGATTGTAAAGGTGCTTGGCAAGCAGTATGTAACCGTTACGTGTTTGTGTAGAAATGCTAAGCAGGATTGCGCTTTAAGTCTGACTGAGTTGGCTGCGATGTGTTTATTTGCTCGAAACTAGCAGTGTTACATTAGTGAAGGATTAGTCCAGCTTAGTACAGCCCATAGTGCTTGTTGTACAACTCTTTGTATTATCAGCTTACACCTCCTCCTAACAGGGCGCTACTGTGATCAACTTGTGTCTCTTGTTAGATCGCTGCTACAGTGTGTTGCTGTAACACTTAGGGTGACACCTCGCTTCTAAAAATGCTGTTTGCTAACCTCTTGATGTTCTTTTCTGAGTTTCCTCTGTGTGGAGGAAACAACCGAAGATAAACTTGCTTACTTGAACCATTTTTAATTCAGCGTCACTTCCTCAAAACAGCAGCTGATAACTCAACAGTGAACTATTGACACACACAGAGTCTCTATCGTAGAGATGTAGATTGACTCTTTAAATGAAGGACAATGTGTGGAAAAGGGATTTCCTGCACCTTGTGTGACATTTTCACTGACCTACATTTGATATTCATGCTCTAGTTCTTCCTCACACATAGATAGCTCTTATCTGAATTCTGTAATCTGTGTCATTTGTGTCATCAGTGTGTTGTACTGTAAACAAACAGGATTAAATTCTGGCTGCTAGCACACAACAGACGTCCGCAATAAGAGCATTACATTCACACCCAGATGGTCTCGCTGTGGCGATAGAAGCAAAACAGCAGAGAAAAAAAGACTCATTTTGTAGAAACGGTTGGAAAATTCGCTAAAATGTGGGAAAAGCTGAAATTTAGCCTGAGAGAAGAAAACTGAGTCCAATCGAAAAAGGCTCCAAAATAAGGCTGTAGTTTGTGATGCATAAATCCAGAACTGGATGCTGTGTTTGATGCTTTCCTCATGACTTGTTTTGCTCATAAATTCCTTCAAAAAGATTCCAGGAAAAAAATGTGAAATGCGCCACATCTATCCCAGTAACATAACTGTCCTTTTTTTTCTGCTCCTTTCAGGACCGGAGTACCGAGGGGAGTTTCCTAAACCTCCCTGGGTCCATGCGTCGGGGTTCTTCAGAGAACAATCTGGAGCTGGATCTGTGCGATGGAAGTCCAAGGCCTACTTCAGGGTGTGAGATCCAGCGGAGTCGGTCTTGTCTGGACAGCCTCCAGCAAAAGATCCTGAAAGTCACGGAGCAGCTGAAGATCGAGCAGACGGCGAAGGAGGAGAACGTGGCTGAGTACCTGAAGCTGGTGAACAGCGCAGACAAGCAGCAGGTGGGCCGCATCAAGCAGGTGTTTGAGAAGAAGAACCAGAAGTCGGCTCAGAACATCGCCCAGATGCAGAAGAAGCTGGAGCAGTATCATAAAAAGATGAAGGACAGCGAAGTCCACCACAGCCCGTCCCATCATATGCCCACTGTCAAACACAGCACCATCCCCAGGGAGTCCCCCAGAGAGCTGCTGAAGGACATGACAGGCTCAGGCAGACACCCAACCATGGACAAGATCAAAACCATTGGACCAGGTGTTTCCCTCTCTCCTCCTTTCTTCTTCAGTAAACCACGAGAGTTCGCCAACATCATCAGGAACAAGTTTGGCAGTGCAGACAACATCGCCCACCTGAAGACCAGCCTGGATTCCCCACCACAGCTGCCTACAGAAGGGGCAGGAAAGGGGCTGAGCAGCAGTACCTCCATGGTGGGTAAGCCCAAGTATCCCAGTGACGATGAGTGCTCCTCCGGTAGCGCGTCCATCTCAGCGGACAGTAACGGAAATCCAGCGGGGCAGGCTCAGGGTTCAGGCCAGACTCAGGTCCAGCAGCAGCAGGCTGGAGGGGACAGCCAGAGCAGACTGGCCCTGAACCTGGAGGAAGTGAGGGAGATCAAAGAGGCCCAAAACCAGCTGGAGGAGGACATGGAGGAGCTAAAGACCCAGTTCAAGAGGGAGTTTGGACTTGTTAGCCAAGCACTGCAGGAGGAGAGATACAGGTATGTTTCTGTAACTCCGTGCAGCTCTTTTCTTTGTGTGCAGTATGTTGGAATCAGCTTTAACAGAATAACCTTTCCTGTATTTCTGGATCATCTATCAGGTATGAGCGTTTGGAGGACCAGCTGAATGACCTGACAGAGCTTCACCAACACGAGATGACTAACCTAAAGCAGGAACTGGCCAGCATTGAGGAGAGGGTGACCTACCAGGCTCATGAGAGGGCTCGGGACATACAGGTATTTCATAGTGGAGTCAAAGCCAGAGGAAACCAATGTCGTAGATGTAACCGGTGGGACTCTGCGTCGTAGTTATATGAAGACACCAGCAGGATTTTATCCCTGTTTATTCTTTAAACCAGAATGACAAGGGAAAGAAGTTCAGCCTTGCAGCCTGCCTCTGCTCCTCTCTCCCAGGGATCACGATAGAAAAGGCGGCAGAAGTAAGGAGGCAAACTCCAATATCAATGTACATCTTATAGAAACAGAAAAAAGACAACAATCATACCTGTGAAGAATGACCAGGTACACCAGAATGACAAGGGAAACCTTAAGAAGTTCAGCCTTGCAGCCTGCGTCCGCTTCTACACAGACAGAAACACAGGCTAGCTTAACTGAATGAACACAAGTGAACATTTAAATTTGAATGAACATTTAAATTGTGTTTTTTCACTTTATTTACTTCTCTTTTTTTGTAAGGCGTCTTTGAGCACCTGTAAAAGCGCGTTATAAATAAAATTCATTATCATTATTATTATAAGATGTCACGAGGCATGCTAAGCGGACAAAACACAACAAAACTAAAATTTGGGATGTTACATGAGTAAAAAGAAACTTAAAAACCGTTAAATAAACACACCATGAAAAATAAAAGTACATATAAAAAAAATCAATTATGGAGAAATCAATAATTAGCCAACGGACACCACGGTCACAATAGAAAAAGGGAGAAGTAGGGAGGCTAACTCAAATATTAAGAAGAAGAAATAACAGGAAGAGGGAGGCTGCACATAAAAATAAATTAAATCCACAAAAAGGTTCCACAGTCAAACATAAAAATACACAGGCATAATTTAGGTAAATATAAAAAATAATGTACATTTAATCCTTGTTACACAGACAATATTGACAAATTTATGATGATCAATATTATTTATTATTTTATTTAACTCTTAAAGCTGAGTTATCAAAGTCATGACATAAGTTTTCTTTGCACAGAACGGCTGATATGACTGTTTCTCCAAAAGACTTCTTCTTACCTACAGTCTACTCTGTCCACGCCTCTCTCTGATAATTACTGATTACTCGTTTTGGAGATTGTGGGTAATTGAGGGGTCAGTCGAATGCTCTTTAAATACTCAGCTGACCTCGAGACTCAAAGTTTGTCTCTCTGTCTTCGTCTTCAGGAAGCTCTGGAGTCGTGTCAGACCCGGGTGTCCAAACTGGAGCTCCAGCAGCAGCAGCAGCAGACAGTGCAGCTCGAAAGCGGCGATGCCCGCGTCCTGCTGGGGAAGACCATCAACATCATGCTGGCCATCATCACCGTCATCCTGGTGTGCGTCTCCACTGCAGCCAAGTTCGCCGCTCCCCTTATGAAGAGCCGGCACCATGTGGTCGCCACCATCCTGGGAGTTTGTTTTTTAACCATTTTCTGGAAGAATTGGGACCGTTTACAATATGCCTTAGACCGCCTGCTGGTGCCTGATTGATAGTGAACAGTGCGTGTGTAAAACATGGCTGAAACAAAGGCACTGTGAGGTGTCAGGATAGGACTATCTGAGAAGATTGGTTGTACAATCGTCAGAAAACATGATCGCCATGCATTTACAGAGGTTGATGTTTTTTAAAGTCAGACTGAAATTACTTTTGGTGATTTTTTTTCTCGTCTAGAACTTGAATGTGAGTTGCTAAAATTTTACATTTAACCTTTAAAATAATATTTATATAACAATAAATATTTTAAACCCCAACTGATTGATAGGAAATCACCTGAAGACATAAAAATTAAATGTCAGTGAAGTTAATTTTAAAGAATTGCCTTATCACTACAACGCAGCAAAATAGATTTTAATACGTGAGAAATCGGTAACTCAATCGACAGTGTCCTCTCATGTAGCTTAGTTTTACTTGATTATCTCTCATACGTTTGCATGCAAATGCACAGACGATTAAAACCTCAGGTTCGGTGTCTTATAGCCACAGCTATGACATGATAAAGGTCTAACGGTGTGATAGAAGGTGGATTTTGTTACCTTTGCACAGAAACAGACAAACTGTTTCCTCTTGTTGGTTGCATTTATGCTAAACTCAGCCAACTTCCGCCTTGCATTAAGCATTTACACAAAAAGTGGTATCAATCTTGTTTTTTTAACACCCTTGCAAAGAAATAACAAAGTCCACTAAATGTTGAACTGTTCCTTTAAACTACAAACTGCAGCACAGAGTCAGGAGGCATCCTGTTTGTTTTTTTCCATTCAAAAAAATGTTTATTGTCTTTATCTGTTCTTACCTTGTCATTCCCTGTGTGGTCAGTCATCTCTTAAGTTTTTCTGTTTACTATTCCTAAAGTTTTAAGTGCAATATGTTTGATTTTTAAAATGTTACGCTTAAGAGCCAGCCTTTGACGTCAGTGTTTTACAGCAACATGGTGTTGGTGCTGGGGAAGCAGAAGGGGGTTGGGATGGGTGAGGATGTGACAGTAATGTTGGCATGAGAGATCCATAACCACTGAAGCCACTGCTGGGCTCTGATAAGACCAGCTGTCTCCTCTCTCAAGAGCCAAAATTCATTCCTACTACATTACCTCGCGGTTAGCGCGCTAATATCGATACATGCCAGCCCTCCACTGCAGAAGGATGCATGCACACCCCCAGAACAACGAGAAAATAGTCACTTTTCATGTCTTGTTATTTTTTTTTCTACTAATAATGTGATTGAGAAGCAATGGGTTACACTGTGATACAAGGCCTTTATCCAAGGAAAAATGCTTTTCCCTTTTTTAAGGAGCAACAAACAGCCTTCATTGCTCTGATGATGAAAGAGGAGCACAACACAGGCTCTGAGTGATGAACTATGAGCCGATTTTTTGGACTGACTAATGTATTATGTCTTGTTTTGTCTTTTGGACCTTGCCTTTTTGAATCTCATGTGAAGCTACAGCCCACTTTTTAATGTCTGTTTGCCATAACACTGTGTACGTTGTCTCTCTCATGTCCTACTGACTGTATTATATGATTTTGTTCCTGTTTTTGACTCGTTGGAGGAACCTGCAGAACTAAAGATCAGGTTTACATTCTCTTTTCCTCTCTGGTGCACTATGTGATCAATCAGTTGTGTTTTCATGCATTACATGCCTTTGTCTGACAATTTCTGTTAAATTAAACAAGTCTTTTTAGTCAGCGTGTGTTTGAGTTGCTTGATACGAGTCATATGTTGACTTTTTTACTGATATAATCCTGTGTTGAAAAAAAGGGTGGATGATAGACGACATGATAGACGAAAAAATGACTACACAATGTGGCACTGGTGTAGAAGAGATGAGATGAGAGTTTAATGTTCCTGAAACTGGATCTGAAAGCTGTTGACCTCATTTAAACTGCAGATTATTTTCTCCGTTATCCTTCAGGGCATTTGGAGCCAAACAAAACAACCCTCAGAGACGCTTAATAAGCAGACAGTTTCTAATGAGTCACACTCTGTTAAAACAGCCCAGTTCCACTTTTGCAGCCACACACTTGCTCCTTTATCACCACTAGGGGACGTAGGTGCAGCACTGTTGACAAGGCAGAAACCATGATGATAGCACAATGGCAGGAAGAGCTGCGTCTTCCACTGCCTTCATAGTACAACCAGATTTCATGCATGCTGTATTAAAATAATTAACTCCACTCTGTCAAAAAGTCTCTTCTTCACATAAACATGGTGGGAACACTCTCTTGGAGTGTTTACATCAAAAAAATAGCACCCTCTGCTGTTATAATAGATGATCATTGATACTAAAATTTCTCGACACACTGCACAGCCTCACTGCTGCATATTTTTTTATATCTCTGTTATGATTTAAAATCTAGGCCACAGTGTATTCCACGCTGCGAATAGAAATGCTTTCTGTGGACTGCTGTGCCTCACATCAGTGTTTTGGCTTTGATGCCCGTGATGCTGAGGCATGGAAAAAAATTCATTTCAATCAAACTCACATCGAGTAGCTACACTTATAAATCATTAATAATCAAAAGAATATGTGAAATTATACTCGCGAATAACAGACAACATACAAAATGTCACATCATGAACACAACAGCATCTATGTTACTGCAGCATATCAGCATCCAGATACACACAGAGTGAAGCTCATGCTCGGTTAAACACACACACTTCAACATGGGTCACCTGGCACAGCGGTGAGCATGGTTTAGTCTGCGTGACTGGAGCCCGCCTGCATGCAAAACAGAAGCAGTGGCACAGAGAGAGGAACAGAAACAGGACCAGGGATGATAGACGGATAGTTTAAGTGGGGATCTCTGGTGTTCCTGTACTTTCTGAGTGATTAACCTTTTCAAAGTGGAATCGCGAGGTTGTGTCTGCATATGTCTGCATGTGTGTTTGCGTGTGTGTGTGGGAAGACTAACTGTGTTTCACGGGTTTGTGGAGCAACTCAAGCCTTTGGGGGAGCAAAAACAGTCAGATTGGTGTGACGTGGAGATGATGACTGGCACACACATGCACCCAGCCACCCACCCACACAGGCCTAAAATCGGGGATTATGGGCTATATTTGTAGGTGTGAATGGAGGGCAGTATTTCCCTCTCTCTGCTGTATTATGGGATCTAAAAACTGAGCGCTTCTCTTTGATGTGCGCACAGATCCTGTGTTTTTTCCATCCCGCTCTCCCTCGTGGCTCCTCCAGCTTGTTGGTCCATTCACTGGGCTCCATAATGAGCTGCTAATTATCCCAGGACCACATCGAGTCTCTTTGGGCCCTGCAGATAAGCCTCCTCATTGCATAGGTTGGCATGGTGACCACAGGAGATGGGACCAACATCAAGGAGGCCACCAAAAAGACTGCAACGGCTTTATTCCTGCTTTCTTTTATTGAGAGAGAGAGAGAGCGAGAGACTCTGATTTTCATTTCCAGGAGGATAAAGGAGAGAGCATTGATTTTCATGCTGGGTGTGTTTCATTGTTTTTTCAATAAAAACATAATTGTGTGTTGTCGTCACTCCGTGTGCATAAGACCATATTATGGGAAAGTCCTGACCTCTTCAGCAACTTCCATGCTGATTTAGACTCCTGTGGCAGCTTTGGACCCTTCCCATTTCCTGTTTATGGTGTCATGGAAACAGGCAATGTTCCCCTCCTCTGCTTTTAGCACTATAACATTAAAATGTACCCTGCATTCAGAAAAGAGTCCTAGTACATTTCCTCAGCAGGGAAAAGAGCTGCAGCTCCGCAGCTACTGAGTCTGTGACCAGAATGAGAACCTGTTAACGCTGACGTACTCATAGAAAGGGCCGGGAGAAGGTATCAGATTTATGGACACATTTATCATCAAGGTCTTCATATAAATCACCTCTTAAAAATTCTCTAATTCAAAGGCACCTCCAATTTCCTTTAGTTGCTAAGCAACCGCAGAGCGCCACAGTGATGCTGGGAGTTAAAGGCTGGCAGCCCGGTGGTGTAAAGTGAATTGTGGGGTGAATCATTGTGTTTTATAGCTTTGAGGTTCCATTACATGGCCAGCTGACGGTGACAATGATTCTCTGTCTCTGGAGAGTAATTACACAGCCTGTTTATCCCACTCTCCAGTATCCACGAGCAAATGATATCAGCTGAATGGTTGTCGTGAAGCCTGTGCTCTTTGACCAGTGACGCCGGACAACAATTAACTGTCATAACCAATTTATCTGAATGGAGCGATTTCACAACGAACGGCTCTTTGCCTGAATGTGGAAATAATCATCGTTGGATGTTCGTGTTGTTTTTCCCATCAGTGAAAGTCTTCTTAAATTTACATTCTGATGTCTCATTCCTGTCTATATTCATGAGCGATATAAGGCATCTCATCTAAGAAAGTAGTCTCCTACACAAGGCTAGATTAAACCACCGTGACGCCACGGTGCAAAATGAGCTTTTGGAGCCCTTTTGACCATCTGTTCCTCCTGTGTGCACGTGATCTGTCTCTATCAGATTTTCAATCAAAAGCATGCTGAAAACAACACAACACTATTAATCACATACAAACAAAACAAGAAGTTATTTATCCTTGTTCTCTTGCTTTTGGATTTAAGACTCTACAGAAAAAGATCTTGCACAGCCACATAGACGCTCAGGGTGCCTCTGCTGGATGAGTTGGCTGAGCTTTCGTGACTGTCAAGCTGTTTTGGGGGTTTTGTTAAACCTGCAATTTTATAGATATGGATTCAGTCTTCCCACTTTTGTCAGCCTTTTTTTTTTTAAAATACAACAGCTTGGATAAACTCACAGTAGGTTTCCTGCTCAGGATTGAACAACAGACAGTCCGTGTACACAACCGCCTGGGGAACATAGTTGAGTGTTTTTAGGGTCAGAGAACCGGATATTGGTGGAGACCATAACAGAGCCAAAAAAAGAGTAAATATTGAACTTATAGACTGAAGCAACAATTATGACTCTTATTGAATCCTTGTGCTGCCCTGAGTCTTCTCGACATGACACACCCAAGCTCACTGCCAACAACTTCGTACGTATGTAATGCTATGTGGCTTTAACTAGTCGATAAAGTTCAGCACACTTCACTTCTGTTCTTTAGCAGAAATGAATGTCTGTTTGTACAGTTAATAAAGATATTGTGAGGGATGTGAGAGAGAGTTTAGAAATAATGACATTTACCGAAAACATATGTGAGAGAAGCTTGAAGGGCTACCAGGGACAAGATGTAACGCTGTTGCTTGCTGTTTTTTCATGCAGCATTTATGTTCTTCAAATGCTTATTTTAACATGTTTATAGTGGCTTTTCAGTACTTCATCAAGCAACAGTTGAGGCTACTGAGATTGTCATTAGATTTGATATCAGCTGTAAAGCAAAGACCAAAACAAGTTCTAAGTCACAAAGTTCTTCATCTTTATTGAGCTTCAGCATTTTTAAATGCTATTGAATCACTACATTAACATTATTTATAGTCCAGAGAGCCCAACAGATCCTTTACAAAAATCTTGTTGAAAGGTTTTCTTATCTGGATCAAAGTAGTGGCTCTCCAGTGGACTGACATTTTTTATCCGTAGATCCATGGGAAAAAATTCAGACATTCCCTGAATTCCACTCGTACTTTATATTAATGAGCCACATTTTTGTATAAATCCTTTTCAAACACTTCCATTCAGTCGACATCATTCCAAACGGGGTTAGATAAAATGAAAAATGTCAAAAATGGTGACAGCGAAACCACAGAAACCCAGCACTAATACCTAAAGAAACTGTTGGCTCTTTGTGTGTTTGTATATGTCTATGTGTGTCACATGTCAATTACAGGCTGACATTCCTGAGGTCTGAACTGTAGCTGGGAGCTCTGACAAAAACAAAAGACCACAGTTTGAGTGGTTAAATTTTTTGCATATGACCTCACACTCAGTGGGACAGCTCGCTCTAACAGAACAAAGTGCTCATCAGCTTAACAACAGCTCACAACACACTCCTACGACAAGACGATCTGACTCTCGTCTCACAGTTGGACTGTTCCTTTTTGGAAATTTGTGAAGATACGTTTTTAAATGATCAGACAGCAAGCATTCAACTCAATTTTGATGTTTTTTTAGCACTCTATTTATCAACATGGCAGCCATTTTCCTATGAGAGGCTCAAACGCTGTCATATTGTTGCGCTGCTAGGAGGTGAATTAAGTTATCTAATGTGCAGTTTAACCCTCACATGCTCAACTTGCTGATCAATTGATAATAGTTGGTCAGATCTATGCATTCATTTGGTTTGCAAATTTGGTCCTAGCAGTGAATCTCAAACCGCCAACTCTGAGCATGATGCCAGATAAAAATCTCCACAGCCTTCAGTCAATGTTCGATCTCTCAGGGCAGTTGTATTCTTTGCATCTGGTTCAGCGTTTAGTTAAATACACACACTGAGAATTACGCTAATGTTTGACCGTGGTTTGATGGTATCTGGCTGCATTCCTTCTGTAGATGTTCTGCTCTGCAACCCTGCTGCCACACTGGAGTGACTCAGGTGGATTGAAGCCAGACACTGTCAGCTCATTATCAGCACCTTGTCAGCCAACTTTCTCCACTCCACAGACTCTCTATTCTTGTGTGCGTGTGTTACTGTGGGTATGTGGGGGGTAGTAATCATAGAGTAAAAAAAAAAAAAAAACAGATGCCTCCATGTTCAGTGACTGTGGGGAAAAGAGCAGCATGAGAAAAGCTGCAAAGTGAAGGAAGTGATCATGAGCAATGGTCAGGCCTTAAAGGTAGAGCAGGTAGGATCTGAGGAGGTGCCAGTTCTTGGGAGAAATCTTGAATGTAAACACGACCCCTCCCAACCAGTTTGCCCCGCCCACAAACAGACGCTCCTGCTCGCTCGTATCGTTCCAATTAAATTCAGATATATACTTCAGACAATGACAAATGGGACCCAGTCAACGTGAAAGTAAGAAGCATTGGTGCTACTGTAGATGACAACAGACTAGCAGCAAACACAATGTTTGCAGGACTTCTACAACTAGGATAAAGTTTAAACTCCAGGACCCGTGGAAAACAGTTTAGTGGCGCTACAACACGCAGCAGGTCTCGTTTGACAAGAAACACTTCTGTTACACTTGGCTTACTTTGTTAAAGCGGTTTTTACTGTCCAGCAGAAAGATTACAGGGTCCGGAAGATCCCGAAGCATCCCCCATCGTTTATGCTGACCTGGTTTCTTAGCTCTAGTCCGGTCTACCTCCGTTTTAAGCGCCCGTTACTCCGCCAGAGCCTCTGGTATTAAGTACGTTTGATTGCTGTTTGTGTTCCGTACTTTCTGGTTGGTTTCTACTGTCCGACATTGTAGCACGCTAACTTAGTTTGGGCTCATGAACGACACGGGGGAGCGGCGTCCCTCTCACAACCAATCAGGTTGGGGGAGGCGGAGAATGGCTTTGTTTACTGTCAGAAAGAGCGGGCCGCTCAAAAAATAAAAATGTTGACCACACAGACATAATAAAACACAGCGATATGGTTATATTACCAAATGTCTTCAATATATAAAAGCTACTGACTGATATAAAAAGCTTTTTTGTTTATACACCACAAAAAAAGACGCTTCTTTAACGAAATCCTGCCTACCCCACCTTTAAGTCTTGAACTTTTTGTCCGTTTCTGCTCGTTGTCTTTGTGATAAATCACCTGCACTTCATCACAGGAACAGAAAAGTACATGTGGAGGCTCAGGCTTGACTCTTATTTCCGGTCGACAAACTTCTGCTTTCTTTTTTAACATTTCCTCTCTCAGATTTGAGCAGCTTCCATATGAGAACATGAGTGTGTGTGTTTGTGTGTGTATGTCTGCAAAGCACTTCCTGCTTTCTGACAGTGCTGTGATAGGAATATCCTCCTTCTAGGCCAGCAGACCGGTAAGCCTGGCCCTCCTTCTTCCTCTCTGTACACTGACATATTTTCAGCCTGTTTCACGGCACACCTCACATTTCTGGGTCTTTGAGTAATGCTCACGAGGTGCCAGATGTGATAGTTGCTGAAACTGAGAGAAAGAGCTGAGTGATAAGGAGAGGCAGAGATGTGTGAGTGAGGGAGAGAGAGCGGCGGGGGCTCGGTTGTGAAGCTGATTAAGAGCCTCGGTTCGTTAGCAGTAAATACAGAGAAACAGAAAGAAAGAGAGTGAGCAAGAGGAGGAGAGGAAATGAACAATGGAGGGGAAATGATCAGTAATCTTCAGTGGTGACTGTCAACATCCACTGAAACAGCCTGTCTGGATCTCATTATAGGTAAATTCAATGTGCTCGGGGGCCCCTTACTGAACATGTACTCGTGTTTGAGGAGGAATGTGCGTCCGTGTGTTTGTGCGTGTGCAGGATATTAAAGATGTAAGCTGAACCCTGTAAGGAAAGATGTAGTTGGCTTGTGTTTTGGAAATCTGTTTGCTGCTGTCTTATTTTCATGTTTGCACTCACCATGACTTATATTTTATTCATCAACTCTGTTTATTAGGGAGCTGAACCAGCCAGAGCATGGAATCTGAAAAATAAATAATAATTAAAAAATCATTATTTGGCTGCTCAGCGCGTCGCCACCAGAGATCTACTATTTTGCCAACTCTTTCACACTTGCGGATTCAGCTCAGGAAATAAAATAAGGTCCAGCAGGATATCAAAGCCAAACACAGATTTGAAAACCAGATTTTGATTCTTGTTTTTGGTGGTGGATGTGTGCTGTTTATGTTTGTGCCCATTAATGGATGGCTTGCTCTTCTTCTGTAACTGGGGTAGGTATATTCAAAAGTGGTGGAGAAAGAGGAAGAGGAGGCACTCAAAAGAGGGAAGAAGTTAAAGAAGAGTGCAAAAATAGTTACCGGAGAGTAAACCAGGCAAAAGAGGGGGCAAGAGTGTGAGTCTGTGTGTGTGTGTAAGAGAAAAGGAGAGAGAGAGAGAGAAAGAGAGAGAGAGAGAGCGGGAGGTCTGTGTGTGGAGCTTGCCGTCTGGAAAACAGCATCTTTCCCTCCACTCTGCTCCTCCCCTCTTCCCTCTCGGCATCTCTCCCACGCTCTGGAGCTCAGCCTTCAGCTCCCCGGATCCTCCCAAATTCTCCTGAGGTACAGCTTGTTTGTGTGTGCGTTAATGTGCATTTGAAGCCTGAGTGTGTGAGTACTTGACGCCGCGCTGAGTACTTTGGTGTGTCTCTCTCTTTCTCTCTCTATCCCCCCCTTTCTCCCTGCAGCTGAGGTAGGCGTGTGGAGCCTCTGACCCTCTCTCGCCCACTCTCTTCCTCTTGTCTCTCCCTCTTTGCTGCAGCTTCAGGGGGGCTATGGATGGACTGCGTTTACCTCCACTCATCGAGGAGGCTTTGGACTCTACAGGTCTGTGCAGCTGTGTGTTCGTCGTCGCTGTGTGTTTATGTGCAGTTGGATGCAGTGAGGCTATTTTTAGCTCCTGCACTACAGATCAGATGTGATCAGGCAAAAAAAAAAAAAAGGTAGAGGAGGGTCGATGTTTGTCTCTGCTAAGACAGAGTGTTTACTCATAGCATGAGGGGTGGGATGGTGAACTGGGTGGGCGGAGGAGATAAGAGAGAAGTGGTCAGGTGGTAGGAAGGTGGGGAGATTATTGTGGAAGCCTGTCTTTATTAGGAGCTGTGGTCGAGCTGACAGACTGGCTGACTGAGTGGGCATTACTGTCAGCTATGGCATCTGTGGACGTTTGATGGAGGCTACGAGCTGCCAGGTAATGGATGTCTGGCAGCTAAAGGCAGGAAATAATATAGTCATTAGTGCAGGCTGTGTTAGATCTGTTGCATATGTTATTTAATTGATGCAATGAGGAGTCATGCACTGTTGGATTTTCTTTGTGCTTAAGCTCTTAAATCTTTAATGCTTAGATTGTTTTTAGCTCACAAATTAATTCGTGTTGTGTGCACAGGCCGGCGGTTGTGTCGAACAGCTGTTGTTGAGCTTGTTTAGTAACCTCATCTCTCTTTATCATACAGGATCTGTACTGTTTGACTCGGTGCAACAGTTGCAAGAATGTGAGGAATGTTTTTTTGTGTCTGTCGCTGAAGAGGAGTGTGTTTTGAGCGTGTTTTGAACGGGCATGCAAGACAGAGCTGCTCTTGTGTAGGGCTCTGCTTTGAGGAAGTTGATTGGTGCTCAGGGGCTCAGAGAGATACAAAGGTCAAAGGCCTTTTGACGAGTGGCCATGCTGTGAGAATCTGGCTTCCTTTTCCTGTTCAGCACCGTCTGAAAACTGAACTTTAATAACATGCGTTTGGAGGATTAAATTGTAATTCCCTCCTGATGGGCAGAGTTAGCTGCAGACTTATTAAACCACTTTGATCAGCGAGTAATTCCCTTTATTACGTTTATTATGCTGAAGCCTGTGTATTGACCAACATGGATGCCGTCTCAGGAGAGGTTCCTCCTCCCTAACAAGCTTGTTCCTGTTGTCTTAACACTAGGGACCTCTTTCCTTTCATCACAGCCTGAGGCATGCTTTTAAAGCCGGAAATTCAACGTCAAGCGATGGCGAGTGTCTGGTTTAATGTAGCATGAATCCTGACTGATTGACCATAACAAGGACTGACACAGAGAAAAAAGAGAAGTGGATGGAGCGATGGCTGGTATTAACTCTTACCGTTTTGAATTACACAAACTCTGGGATCTAAATGGATTAAAGTGCATTTATGCTCTCCTAGCTGAGGTCAATTCTCGCCGGACATCAGTCTAGCTTCTTCAGACTGAACCGCCCTTTGTTCTGCAACACAAACAGCGGCTTTGTTCTGAGTAGTGGTTATTTCAAGGCTTTTATTTTCAACCCTGAAGCACCATAAGAGATGCTGCTAAAATCAGTCGCTAAATCTACCACATACAGATGCTTAAACACAAACACGTGACCCGAAAAGCAGCATCAGAGGCTGATCTGACATTTTAAAGCCGTCTGTATTTCTCACAGCCATCGGCGCACCATATTGTTCCTCCCACTAGCACGAGTCACAGACCATATTTCCCTCTGTCCTTAGCTCTGCTTTCCCACTCAATATTTCTTCGCCCTCTCTCAACCGCAAATTCACTGCTCTCTTCAGCGCCCACACACTCTCCAACACACACACCCGCGTGCGTGCACATGCGTGCGCCTGCATTGACACATGAACCTTTGCACCTGCCAGTGCCTCGGCCCACACAGAGTTTCTTTCCTCTGTCCTCTCCTGCTTTCCCTCCACTTTCCTCTCCAGTGTTTTGCCCTCACGATGTGAAGCTCACATCAGGAGTAATACTTCCCCATGAAGGCACACACTGGACTCTTCTTGGCTCTCTGTAACAAATAAACAGCAAAGTTGCTGCCTCAGACAAACTTTGTAGACATTGGCGCTGCACGGATCTGTGAGAAAAACAAGAATGTGAGATTCTCACATCAGTGTTTAACATGGCTCGTCATGGGGCTGAGTGAAAACAAATTCTGCATGCTTTTCCACGCTCAGACATTCCAGCTCCCTCTCCAGAGCTCCAAAACTCTTCAAATGTGACTTGTACTTGTCCACCGCCCTTTCCCCATTTCCCCCATCAGACTTTTAGTGCTTCAATTTAAAAACAGGCTGTCAAGGGACTCAGAAAAGTGCCTGACAGACTGTGTCTCGTGTTTTTTACTCTCATCTGGTTGCTTCATGGAAAATTCCTCAAACTTTTGTGCGTATGTGAACTCATGGGGATCCCTCTCGCAGCTTATTCTATGGATCTCTTTAAACTTTCCCTCTCCCTTGCACAAATGCTTGGCATTGTCAACCTATCATTAGCGCTCTCTCTCTCTCTTTCTCTCTCTCCCTCTGGGTCTTTATCCCTTTTTGAACTTGGCAGCTGCACACTGAGCTGTGGTATCCCCTTCCTCTGTTGTGATTTTAGTGATGTCAAACTTTCTGGAGAGACATGCTTCCAGGTGGAAACCACTGATTTGTGATCAAATTGATTATTACTGCATCACCTGTTTTCATGCTTATTTGCTGCTATTCTTAATGGAATAGCTTCACGACAAACAAACACATGCACACATTCAAAAATGCATCACAAGAGCACATTCAGAGCGTTTTCTCTGAATCAATCACCTACACTACACTGGAACTGACATGTTTTGAATGCATGCTCATTTCACAAGGCCAGATTATAGCGCAAGATTCTAAATTGCATCTCTATAGCGCTGACCCACTTTCCTGTATTTCCCTTTGAAAATGCAAACATAGATACTCCATTTAAATAACAGAGCGCCCAATTAAATCAGCCGAACTCTTTAGTGCCTGTGGTTCCTGTTTCTTTTCTTGCTTCTTCTCCTGTTACTGTTTTTTTTTTTTTTTGAGGCTCTCTCTGGAGTTTCCAAGCTCAAAAGTACAAAGAGGAAAACAAGCCAGACTCACTTCAACCTCATGAGACATTCCCCCTGTAGCTCACCCCTTCATCTGAAGCTGGAGTTTGAAGTCAGCAAATCTCAAATCTGGGTGACCTCACTGTGAGGAGATAACATCACTTTAACATATCTTCTCAGTGGGGGCAAAGCAAACGGTTTCCATGGTAAGCAAAACTGTGGACAGAAACACAGCTTAATCACCACAGTGACTTTCCATGTGGTGTGCACTGTGCAGGGGTCACCATGGAGATGAAGCTGTGTGCAGCCTCACCTGACTCCTGCCAGTTTCATGAAAGGAGCAGCTTGAGATGCCCCAGGCTATATCCCTGTCTCCTTCCTCGCATCTCTTTTATTGTCTTGTCTCTCCGCCTATTTTTTTACTGCCCCCTCCTTCCCTTTTCTGTGTTATGTGATGCTGAATAAGTGTGCCAGTGCAGGGGTACAGCAAGAGCGCTGGGTTGGCATCAAAGCTGGGGTAGGAGGGGGTGGTGTGCATTATGCATGGCCTCCTACACAGCTGCAGTGATCCTCTGCAAACATACTGAGACGTTAATGTGTGCAGCTTTAACATGGCAGACCGGCGTGATTAGATACGAGTACACAGGCTCACAAGAAGTGGTGCTAAAGGGTCAGATGACACACGGATACTAAACGCTGCATGTCCACTCACTGTTTATATAAACAGGTGAATGTCAAGAGCACACAGAGGTGTTCACATCTAAAATCCACTCATTAACCTTCCTTCTGTGTTAGCTTTCTCTACGCATCCACTATGTTAACGGGTCAGTAAATCAGCTGTGAATTGCACTAAAAACAACTCAATATCATCCGATTTGGTTCTCATCTCTAGGTTACTGTTTTAGGCTTCATTATCCATGAAAACATTGCTTGTAATATTTTTTGTTGAGGGCCTCTTGACCTTTCTTTGTCAGTATGCCCCTCATACAGACATCCATACTGAATTGATCTCACATGTCTGGACATGCCCGATGTTGTTTTTTGTGCAGAGAAAAACACGGAAAAATGAGAATTTCCTAAATCTTACATGATTGGAAGAGTATCTGACTGTCAGTGCACTTGTGATTTTAGTTTTTGCACTTATTATTAGATATTAATCTAAGCGGGTCAACAGCGACTCTAACACCATAAGTGCCATATTTTATAATTTAGTTAATAAAATTTTTTTGTTTTTATTTAGTTGAAATAGAGGTTGCCAATAAAGTCAAAAAGTCTTGATGCAAAAAAGCTAATTTAAGTGGTTCTATTAAGCATTTAAAAACAAAAACGAGTCAGGGCAGACCCTAACACAGGAGGAGGGTTAAAACAAACGAATGCTTCTCCATGAGCATCACCAGCAACTCCACCTGTCCTCTTAATCCATGTTTCAAGCTTGAGTCGGCACATGCATCCATCACACCACACCTGTAGACAGCCTCCAGCTCCTGCTTCAGTGGGCTGTCATTTCTTTTCACAGCTGATGCAACTCCAGATGTTCCCCTCAAAAGTAGAAATGTGACTAACGTGCAGAGGGAGAGAATGGAGAAGAAACATTTACAAGAGAAAGAAGTTCTCTTTGTACAATGATTCAAATCCTGGCACCTGCGAAAATGGAGATCAAGATTGTAAAATGTGCTGATGTAAAAGGATCTTCTGATGAGTTTCTTCTATCTACTCTATCTCACTGAGAGATTTAATTTGAGTTTCTCCTGCATATTTAAGATACAGAACTGCAGAATCACACTGATTGTTTCATGGAGAAGCACTTTCCTGCGGTGCCGGCTGAAAAAGCTCTGTGTCCCACATCTCAGCGTGCCTCTGTTTGCAAAAATCTGCACTCCATACCTCAATTTTACAACGTGCAAATTTCATTACTCTCCCCCCTCCACCACTGAGCAGCAAAATTTGGTGCAAAACAAAGGGTTATGTGTTTCCACATTAATGTTTAAATTCAATCTCAGACAGCTTTTCCAGAGAACACTCAGCCTGCTTGTTGTCTTGTTGCTAAAGTGGCACATTGTTCACAGTGACATACTCAATGTGTTTTGCTGCTATGTGATTAGTAGGGAATGTGCTGCGGTTAGATAAAGCAGCTCTTTCCTTGAAACTCCTGAGATGAGTCTCCTGTCCGTCCCTGCTCTTGTATGCATGCAGCGCCCATGTCTAATGCAATCCCTGCTTGACTAAAGACCAGCACCGTGCCAAGTATGCAGAGGAGTGATCACAGGTGTGTCACTGCAGCCCATTCTGCTGCACAACGTGTTTGACATTCACTAGCAAGGTGAGGGGATGGAGCTTCTTTGCGGAGTGAAACAGTGAACAAGCTGTTGAGAAATACTAAGCAGGCAAACCTCTGGGCACACAGGGAGGAAAACACTAAGGATGTGAAGACAAATATGTTAGTGTAACAAGATTTGGGTTAATCCCATTGCAGTTGATGCCGTCCAAAGAGATTGTGGACAGTTGATAAGTGTTTGATTCCCCACAAGGTCTGTCCAAAACTATTTATAATACACAGCAACAGTTCAGAGGACGGATTAAAAGGTACTATCAGACATCAATCCAATACAGACTTAAATTCCTGGACTAGTGTATAAATGTTTGACTTTGTATCACACCACAAGGAATACAGCAAATCATTTAATATCAGATTTGTTTTCTGTGATGACTGCTACTCAAAGTCCAGTGGTCTGTACTTGGAGAGAAAAGTCTTTTTACTGTCTGTACTACATTTTTCACATGTTGCAGGGGGATTTCCACGATGGAGTATTGGGGCTACGTTGAGAAAAAAAAAAGAAGACTTAAGAGATTTAAAGTAATTAATTTAAGAGAACGAAGTCATCACTAACGAGAATAAAGTTGTCATAAAGTAATCACTTCCGAGAGTAAAGTCAGAATAAAGTCCTTATATTCTAATCTGTTGTTTAAGATGTTGTTGAAATGAGAGCCGTGGAGCATTTCGTGAAAATGTACTCCAATACAGGTTTCTCAAACAAGGAGATACTTAAAGGGATATTCAGGTGTAAAATTAATTTAGGGTCAAACACACCGTAACACCGGGTTTGACAACCCCTCGAGAGATGAATGTTGCCGACCGCTTGCTTCTCTAGTTATACCAACTTTAGTAACGACCACACGATAGCAATACACAGCGGTCTGAGGAGCCATAGACAAACCTTAACCAAAACGCCACTCTATAGCCACAAATAATGCTCAGAACAGTACCTAACTTCATCAACAGTACTAGCCACCAAAAATCTTTTTAACTTTGCCTGATTTCTTTAGCAACAAGACTTAACACAACTCACCTACTCTCTTCCAGCAGCTGCTTGTTTGTAGCGAGACCTCAGGCCAGTCCATTACAGACTGTTGCTGGGTGACGCAGCTCAAGGAAGACCATTTATGATAATTTCTTCATAGAAATACAATCAGACTGAGACACTAAGGCAGAAGAACTACTAAGTCTGCAGTGCAAAATGATTAATATGATGATTATTACTTCGAGGAAATGACAAAGAAATGATCATAAATGTTCTTCATTGAGTTGCATCAATAAATGACTTTATTCTTGTAAATTAATGACTTTAATCAGGAAGTTTTAATTTATTTTTCTTAATGCGACCCTAACACTCCAGACTCCACTGTTACATTTTATCTCTGGCCTTCTGAGGACAGCCTAGGTGCTCCATGTACAAAACTAAAACAAGCCTTCTGGAGTTATTACACTCCAGGCCCGACTACCCGAGGATTTGAATGTGAGTGATATTTAGTGGGAAGTCTTTTGTCTCTTGATGGCCTTGTGCTGCCGCCGGCTATGCAAGCAGCCCATGCTCTTTCCCTGCCACGCAGCACTATCTCTCTTCTTTATGACTTTCTCATTACAGCGGCATCAAAGTTTAATGACAAAATAGCCTGCATGAAACCTCTCACTTTCCTCTCAGGGGCTGCATTGTTCACATTTACATTATTACTAGACAAGAAGCATTAAGAATGCTAATGTCACGCGGATTGCATAAAAAAAATATGTCGCGTGTGCTTGGCTGTGATGGAAACAGTCGCTTCTGGTAAGGGGAACAACAAGGCTGAGAAATAATTACCACAAGAAAAGGAAGCATCCCCTGAGCTAAGATTACACTGGTGAGCATCACTCTTAATTAGGTAGATCTTTAGTTAATGCTTCGCTCCGTCCCCTGCTGCACCTCTCTTTCTCTGTCACACCACTGAAGTTTCTGTCTCTCAGCAAACACTATTCCCCCATCTCTTCTTTCCACACTGCTTTCTGAGGCTCAGGCAGAAATCTCCAGACACAACATGAACGTGTGATGCAACATATCAATTTATTTCTGAGATGGACGTGACCCCGGAGAGCATGATTTTTTGACAAATAGGGGAGAAATGATGGCAGGCTGGAGTAAGAGATGTCAGCGGAAATTTTTTGGATGAGACAGTAACTGGGGCATGAGGGATCTTCAACCCAGAAACAATCCAACTCTTTGATTATATCTTCATTTTAACCCATTTTTACTTCCTGATAACAAATACAATCTGATCGAAATGAGAGGACTTGTGTAATACTCTGTAAATAATGCTCTCTCTGCACATTTCTGACCCTGCTGTGTTCGTCTTTGCAGCTTGTAACAATGTCAAATCAAGTTTATTAACACGGCTCGACACTGATGCGACTACAGCCGCTTCGAAAAACCAAAACAAACCCACGTAGTGTAAAAACGACAGGGCGTGTGTTTGTCCCATCTGTCTTACTATGAGTGGTAGCTTGTGTTTTTGTGAACTTGAAGGTGCATTGCTGAGTGGTGAGTCATTGTGATGGCTTCAGCATACAGACCCACCTCCTCCTGCTCTCTCCAAGGATTGTGTCGGCTTACTGACTCCATCTACTGGTTAAAAATGTAAAAATCCACTCTGCGCAGACAGGGACGCTCACAAAAGAGAGCATTCTTCCTCTCAAACAGTCATCAGCCATCACAAACAAGTGTTACTCATTCATTATGTCTCACTTGACAACTATCAAAAACTTAAACACAGCAGACAGTTTGACAGTTTGAGGGAAATAATCTGATGGCACTCCGACCCCGAGAGAATTGGTTTCTTGTTTTCTCTAGATTAAAATCTCTGATCGCATAAAAGGGTTTGTCAGTAATTTTGTGCTTTTAAATTAGTGTCAAATTGGAGTAAATAAGCAGAATAAAGGCTGGCGTGAAAAAAGACTCAGAGCCTCTTTAATCACAAGATGGTGCTGTTGATTCAAAAGAAAACACCATCTGCGCTGTGACTCTCACAGATGACAGAGGTTTTTTTTTCTTCCCGTCTTTCTCTTTTCCCTGTCAGACATCCCTTTTTAACAAAATGACTGTCATCTCTCCATCAGATGACCCTTGCGATTTGAAAGCAGAGTGCAGCCCCACCATGGACAACGAGATCACAGCCAAGGAGAGAGGAGTCCTGGAAGAGAACAACGAGAAGGAGGAGATGGACCAGGAGGGAGCTCAGGAGGAGGAAGGGGAGGAGAAGAAGCTAAAAGAGGAGGAGGGCGAAGGGGAGGAGAAGAGGAGGAAGGATGAACCGCTGACAGAGGAGCAGGAACTGGAGGAGCTGAGGGCCCAGGTACTGCAGCTGCTGCTGGAGCTGGACGATGCCAGAGAGACCTCCAACAAGCACCAGGAGGCATTTCATGAGTTGCAAGGTGAGACCTGCAGCCGTAGATGACACTGTCACCACTGCCACTATTATTCATTATTTAATGTGTTTAATCATTAATACATCACAATCTTTTATTCATTATTTACTCGCAGCTACCTGACCTGAAATCAAGATTTATGTGGTTGAAGGTGAACTCCATCCAAACACAGTGAAATCTGACATCATGAACCAAGTTTATTTATAGGCAAATACAGAGTCCCGGTGATAAGGGCAAGTAGGAGAAGGTGCACTCTTCTCTCAAACCTTATGAGAAATCAACACAAATGCTCTCTTCAACTGTATTTGTAGCCTGATTATGTATAAACCCCTGGAAAATCCCTGTAGCTCTTTGGGGGGAACTGCACATTAGCCGTAACTGGAATCTGCTTTGATTGCACAGAGGCAGTCAGGGAATTTCATTACCATCTGCACAGTATGCGGCTTGTTATTTTACTGCACTCTAAAGTAAATCACAAGGATGCAGACATATGCAGACCATAATCTTAGCTTTACTACAACTGCTTTTGTAAAATAAAACAAGAAAAATGGAAAGGGAGCCAAAGAACACCTCCATATGTAAGAGAACTGGTCTGTATGCATGAAAATGGTAGGTATGGAGGGGCCTGTTTTATTACCTCCGCCAAGGAGGTTATGTTTTCGGTAGCGTTGGTTTGTTTGTTTTTTTGTCCGTTAGCAACTTTATGGAGAAAGTAACAGACGGATTGACCTGAAATTTTCACCAGAGGTGCGTCTCAGCCCCAGGAGGATCTCATTAAATTTTGGATACTGTGATCCAGAACACACAAAAATAAGGGTGTCGTTGGAATTTTCAATGCTGAAAGATAACCAATGGGCGGCACAGTGGTGTAGATAGGCAGCACAGTGGTGTAGATAGGCAGCACAGTGGTGTAGTGGTTGGCACTGTTGCCTCACAACCAGAAGGTCCTGGGTTTGAATCCTGGTCAGGGTATCTCTTGTTTTAGGAACATTATGAACAGTGAACATAACAGTTTAAACACAAATAAAAGTTAATAAAAGACACGTAACAGTAAAAGTTTTGGTGTGAATCACAATATAAGGGGGGACATGAGCTGCTTGACGGAGGTCTGCGCTCTCCGAGTGTTTTTCTAGTTTGAAAAGCGATAGTTGAAATTTGGTACAAAAGAGTCCTTTTTATAAATCAGCACTACAGCTGTAATCTCCTAAAAAGATGGAGCGGGGGAAAACCTGAAACCTGATTAATAGATGTCCTCCTCTGGGTGGAGAGCCTCAAATTCTGTTGTAATGATGCACTGATTTGATTAAGTTTGTGATTTGTAATAAAGTGGGCTCAGTTTACAATCATTTCACCATTTCTCAGCCAATCAAAAACTAAAAAATCATTAGAGCCTTAGATCTAAAGAGATCAGACCAAACTCCAAGGTCAAACATCCAATTTGATCACGAGCAAAAGTTTGATTGACCTTTTCGCTGCTTACTAAGTTAGCCAGAATTCAAGCCTTTGCCATTAAATTATTATAGAGCAACATTAGCGAATTTCAAAAGATTATATGAGCAGTTATTTGATTTCTAAAATGTATTAAGGCCAGCTGCTTTACAATTTTCTCTGTTTGTGCCTTTCCAGTTGTAGGTCTAGCTGGAAATCTGGAAGCAATTCAACAACAATGATTTGTCACAGAACTCTGTGTCTAAAATGGCTGCTGTATGAATACAGTGTAGTTAAGGCCAACAAAACATCGAGGACACAATGTGGAAACAATTCCAAAATGACAAATAGAGGGGAAAACTAAAAATGGCTGAATATGTCCAAATAAATCTCAACTCTCTCATGAATTTTCTGTCATTTTTAGTCCCTCTCCATGAATCAGTTTGATTTAAACAGTACGATGACATGTTTTTAGTGAACTTTTCAGGAGATCTCCACCTACACTATGACAAGTCAAAGGTAAAAGCATTAAAAACTTCGCTCCTCTGTGCTGGCCAACATTTCCATCGGCTTTAAACACATCCACAAGATAAACTCCCCCTATCCTCAACCTAGACTGCCTAACTTTTCGCCTGAGACACCCCCGTCTATCACAATCGAGTTGAACATGTAGAAGCATAAATGTTTATGTGCAGTCACTGACACGGTCAGGTCCTCATAGCTGCTAAATGGAGCATCACATCATACCTTAGAAATGATGAGCTTAACGTTCAGGGACAGTGGCAATGAGTAAGACCTTGGGTATGTGGCTTCAGTGAGCTCATTGTGTGTGTGTGTGTGTGTGAGTGCGTGAGTATTTATGAGTGTGTGTATAACAGAGTGTCATACTCGAAGACTCGGTGGGGTGAGCTCAGTTGTTTGTCTGGCAGTGGCAGGGGCATTCCTCAGACTGCTGCACACATGCTGGGGGAAGCTTCTAGAGCGAGTGTCCTATAGACAACTAGAAATCACGACTGGTAAACCTCCCATTGGGATGAGTCAGCTGTTCACGCTGCTGACAGCTGTTAGGGGGTGGAGGGGGCGGGGGTCCTGTGAGTACATGGACAGGAGGTGATGTAATATCAGTTGAAAGTAAAAATAAAGGGTATCTATGACACCAGGATGTACTTTTGCAATATGTTGGGGAGTGTGACTAAAACTTATAAAGCAGCAGAACATTTCTGAGAAGGGGAAATGAAAAATACCGGGATGGATATGTTATGAACCGGGTGGCCGATAAGATGTTAGATCCAGGCAAACTACTATGAAGCAATATTTTCTGATAGTAGCTTCTATAGTTGTATCTTCTCAGATTGATACTGTAGTTTGCCACAACATTTCTGCTCATGAACTGATGTGATTAAAGTAAATGGACATTTGGTTTAGGGAAAGCACCGATAAACTGTATATTCAGATATTAAAAAGTGACATTTTCTCCCTCTTTCTGGTCTTTCTCCATTAAAATAGTTAATAGGATCTTAAAGGTCATTTAATCAAGACTAAGAGTATAAAATCAGGCTTTAGACTTTTTGGGACCTCTCTACCCGCTGACCTTTTTTTGGTCTAAAAGAGGTCTAATAGACGTCTAAATGTAGCCTAGACGACTGGTCTGAAATCAGGCCACCACAGGTCTAAAAATGAAAATTTTTTAGACGTCTAGATTTAGACCAAGTCTAAATCTGGGCTGTATCTATACTACACTGTATCTTGCTCAACAGCTATCATAACTCAAAGTTGCTTTTTGAAATAAATAGTTATCAAATATTGGGTTAAAGTGCAACGTCTAAATTCTGTCTAAAAATATAGAGAATCTAGACGGCTGACGGTTAGGTCTAAAATAAAAACTAGATGTCTAATAGTCGTCTATTGCTCAGTGGGTAGAGCTAAAAGCTGGAGTGAGAGAGTTTGCATGTTCAAACGGGGTCACCTTGAATTTCACTAAACTATAAACTATCTTCAGGCGTTGACTGTTTTATCGAGCTTGTGTTTTTTAAAGGTTAAAAATAGCAGGATATTTACTAGGGTGTGATTTCAATACATAAGGCCTGGAGACTTATTTAGAAATTATTAGACTTATTAGAAATATGAACAAGGGATCCAACAATCTGTGAAAACCCTTGCAGAGGTTGTATTGTATTGTACAGGAAGAGAATAACAAGCACGATGCTAACATTGGACAGTGCAGGTAAATTCTCTACATTGTTCTTTGTAAGATTGAACACAAAATACAGCTCAGGCTAAGGTTCATGTTTGTATTTTTATCAGGTGCTGGGTCATAGAGTATTGACTATTTACAGCCTTGACCTTATGGTGGCACTAGAAGAATAAATGTTTGTTCATAACATTTCAAAACACTTTCTTCAAATAGCAGCTATTCCATCTCTGGAGGAAATCTGCTTTTTTGTTGTAGTTAAATCACATGCAAATATTGACTGAGACAAACCTGCAGATTCTCAAATGAAAGCAGAAGGAAATAGCCGACAATCAAACACAATGATGAAGCAAACAAAATCATACGCTCCCTCCCTTCAAATGCACTAAAAAGTTATTTCAATAAAGGAGAGACTAAATGATGGCTTATAAATGAAAACCTAAGAGATGCAGCGCTGACAAATCTTCAACTAATCCTGTCTCTTTTCACTCGGTCATGTCTCAAGGTTGAACAGCTTATCATGTTGTCATCTTTTCAACAGCCTGCTGAAGTGACATTTTCGCTCTTATCTCTCTACCCATTCCCCCTGTCCTCGCTCTCCCTCACCTCTGCCCTCCATCAGGTCTGTTGGAGGACGAGCGTCTGGCCAGTGCACATCAGGCTGAAGCCTTCACACGCCAGATTCAGAATCTACAAGGTATTGGCGTTAGGAAACACTAAAAAACAAACAAACTAGAAATCAGTAAAGAATAGTTAATTAAAAACAAATACTGCATATTACAGTTTGTTTGTTTCTCAATGTGATTTCACTGTGTAAGCTGACAGTGAGGAGAACTTTATGAACATATAGAACAACAAAGTATTATTGTATGTCAGTGTAAGGATTTCTATTGTTCCATTTTTATTTCTCTTTAAGAGTTTAAGGGATGAAATTAGCTGAAATATTTTTGAGTGTATACAATCATTTGGCTTATTGATTTTAAGGCATTATCTTTTTGGTGATAAACTTTTTGTTATATGTAACAGAAACTCAACAGCTACCATCCAGATATGGGGTTAATTATAGGGGGTGAATTAAACCTGAAACCTGAAAATCTGTATATAAGGGTAAAAGAAATTAAAGTAAAAGATTTACAAAGAAAAAAAGGTAACACTTTATTTGACGCCTATCTCTATAACACATTATGAATGTATGTATAATGCGTTATAATCACATTATAGCTCTGTATAACTATAGTTAACACTCATAAATGATCATAATGCTTTATAGCAATAATCATAACATATTATAAAGCATTTCATCATGACTTACAAGGTCAGGTATTATAATGTGTTATAACTGTTAACAACAGTTGTATTGCATTATCTATGTGGGCATTATCAATGAGTTGTTAACAGTTGTAACACATTATAATACCTGACCTTGTAAGACATGATGAAATGATTTATAATGTGTTATGATTGTTGCTATAAAGCATTATGATCATTTATGAGTGTTTATAACTATAGTCATACAGTGCTTTAAACGTGATTATAACACATTATACATTTACTTATAATGCATTATAGAGATAGGCATCAAGTAAAGTGTTACCGAAAAAAAAAAAAAAGCAAAAAGAAAGACCTGTAGTCCATGTGAGACGTTTAAGTATTTTTAGGGATATAAAATATTTCCCCATCTGTGCGAGGCTGAAGTCTGACAAGGTTTTATTTCCTCGAATCCTGAATTAACTAAGCTAATAATCTGAATGTGACCCTGAAAAAAGTCTGTTACAATCGGTTTCATCAGCTCCACTTTAAACAGTTCCTACACATACACACACCCACTCACATGCACATATATGCAAACACATGCACGTGCAAGAACACAGCCACACACACATAAAGAACACACCCACACACATAAACAAAAGGATTCCCATGTGATACTACCTGTGGCTCAACCTCAGGTAATATCATTTACACACAAACACAAGCATGTAAAAGTATATACACCCAGGCTGATGCTGTAGACTAGCCCACACATACCTTTAACCTCCTCCTCCTTTCCCACAGCCCAGCTTCGCTCAGTGCAGGAGGAGATGGACAGCCTTGAGGAGGAGAAGGAGAGCGAGCTGGCGGAGGCTCAGGAGGAGCTGCGTGTTGCCCAGGAGGAGGTGCTCCTGCTCCAACAAGCTGCGGAGGAGGCGGCCGCAGAAAGGGAGAACGACATCGCCTCGCTGCAGGAGGAGCTCTGTCGCCGGCGGGCCGAGCTGCAGCGCCTGAGCGAGGAGACACAGGAGTACGAGTTGGAGATTACCACTCTGAGGGCAGAAATCAGCATGAAGAGTCAGAGGAGGGAGGCCGAGAGGAGAGAGGGTGAGGAGCTTGGAGAGGAGAGATAAATGTGGTAATTAAGGAAAAAAAACACAAAAGGGACAGATATATATAAACACCAGAGAAGAATGAAAGAAAGAACAAGTGTGTGGGTGTTTTACAAGCTCTACTTAAAGTACAGAAAAGTTAAAATACAATAAGTCATGGTTTTACGCCTCATCTTCACACACTCGTAAACACAGAAAGAAAAATACCTATAATCCTTGTTTTCACTGTGAAAGTAACACAACTTACTAGTTGCACAAACGGGCCAGGATCAGTATCCATGGCTGATGTTGTGAAAACACAGCATGGTGTTCTGATTATCCCATGCTCACATCAGGTTAGCGTCACGCAGTCAAGTACACAAATCATTTGTTGGGGTTTAATAAATATTGCAGATTACAAATGAGCTCGCTGAGCACCACAAGGGAAAGGGTGTGTGTTTCAGCGTATGTAAGTGTGTTTGTGCGTGTGCATTGAGGATACCAGGCAGATGAAGTCATGAGGAGGAGGGACACACATGATGTCACCACTGGCCTCTGCAGCTGAGTCTGGGGTGGGACTGAGGAAAGAGAGGCCGTATTATCTCAGTGTGGTGCTCTTTCCTGAAAAACATCATCCAAAATCGAATTTGAATAGAAATGCAGTTGATGCATTTAGCTTGAGTGTAGACGTTAATGTGACACTTTGAGAAACAAGCTAACAGCTCGTGTGGTGTCTCTTGAACACAAACCAATTCAGATATTGGATCATGTCACTCTCAAATAAGAACATAAAAACTAGAGCTGGAAGAAACACAAAACAATAAAAGTTAATGGATGAGGATTTTAATAAAGCACAATGCAGAGCTCTACTGAAATGATATTACTGTCGTTTCCCTCGACATAAAGTAACTAAAAAGGAAGAGAGATGGGGGAAAAAAACAAACAAACAAACAAACAAACAAACAAACAAACAAGTAAATAAAATCAAAAGCTTGATTTTTTTTGTTGATAAACAAGATGATATCTTTAGAGCCCAGAGTTAATTTCTATTAGCTATATTTTTAATAGTTAGCCTAGACCTGTCACTTTTCAAAAATCCAGCAACGATAAGCACAGCTAACGTCGTTCGAGTTACCTCGGAAGTCAGAATTCCGAGCTGAAAATGACGTCACGCCTGAGTTCCCAGCATTTCGGTTACCAAGTTGGACTGAATACAGTCCGATAACTGATAAAAAAGTCCTCTTATGGTTTATCAGTTTCCAAAAACATCTAATGTATCAAACAAGATAAATAAATATATTTGTTATATTTTAAGGACATTTTGATTTTTTTGGTTTTCAGTAGTAAGTGAAATAAACACTTCGGCTCCAAAAAAATTTGAATTTTCTGGCCATAATTTGTGGTTTCAGGCCTTAAAGGGATATGTCATACTTATACTTACTGTGTGAATTGGTTGCCCATGCATTGAAGCTGTATGACAAATCTGAACTGCAGTAACTTATTACCTTATTTGTTTGCTCAGGTGACGTGGACCTGCTGAAGGAGGAGTGTCGTATGCTGAAGGAGGAGTGCCAGACCCTGAAGGAGGAAAACCAACGCATCTCTGAAAGGCTGCAGCTGCTGCAGAGACAGAGGACATGGTGAGAGGTCAATGACAACTCACTCATCAGCTGGGCTTACCGGATCAGCTGAGGGGACACCCTCAGGAATACTCCCCGTCGTCAGAGCCATCCACATCATGTCTCATTACCAACAGTCTGACCACCTGTTCAGTCTCGGCAGTCAAATTGTGATATCATACGAGGGGATTATGTTTAAGTGCTGCAATTATAAGCTTCCTGATTGATCAGCACATTGACGGAAAAATTAATCAACGACAATTCTTAGATTTATATTTCAATCCTTGATTTAAAAACAATCCATCCTCAAGAGCTGCCGAGGAGCTGGTCTGTGCATCACACATGCTCCTCCTCAGCAGATGGATATCTGGACATCCTCCATCTGTGGACGAGAGTTTTGGGGATCAAAAGAAAACAAATGTTATTTATAGCAGTGCTCAAATAGAAGTTACACAGCACTTTATGGGAAGAATAAAAGAACGGCTAAAATTACCACCCTCTTGACCTGTCAATTCACAGTTTACATTTCACAACTGTTTTCCACAGAATGATTTTGTAACATAAACCAGGGAGGGGGACCCCAAGGGGAGAGGCCACAGTTACAGTGTCGTTGGTGACAAGGATTTAAATAAACAAATGATTTAGTTAGGCTGACCTTTAATCCTTTGCGTAAAACAACCTGAATGATTAAAAATTTTGTTCTTCTCGACATTTGTGTAAAACATAACATAAACCCCTGCGACATAGCCTTGTGTTTCTTTGAGAGATTGCAGTCACCTTTGAACTTCAAGCTTATAAATCTCATAAATTCTCCTCCTTGAGTCTGAGTGACTTCCTTCCACCATATCTGAATATGTTCCCTTGTGTTGAAGAGACGTTTTCATGGAGGGAGGCATTAAAATGGAAATAGAAGAGACGGAGGAGATAATAAATTCAGGAAATTAATCCATAAATACAGAGTCATAAATCAAGAAAAGACCACAGAAAAAAAAAATGACAGTGCTTATTAAAGATGTGAACTGGTTTGGCCTGTTTTAAGACAGTTTCAGGGATGAGAAGGAAAACCATTATAAGTACAAACTTGGCATCTTATGAATACTGTTATGAGGTTCATTTGAGTTTGAACTTGTGGTCGGGGAAAACTGGAAAAAAAAAAAGTATTATACACAAAACAGGTCATGAACCCAAGAGATAACATGGTGTTTAATCACTTCTCAGACTTTGTTCTGGGCGTTATTAAATCTTATTTTATTTAAATCTACTCCGAGCAAAAGAAATGGCCGCTCTTGTTATCATATAAAACAGCGAGAATACATATTTTTAGCCTTTTCCTACAAAAATGACAATCCTATTCAAAGCCAATTTTGGAGCTTTTAGTGGATATTTCAGGTGAAGCTGACAGAGTGTTATATTCTCCATTGTTGCTCTTTTCGGCCAGCTCTAGTGTGTACCTGTCACTGAAGGAGGAGGATGCAGGGGAGGGTACAGAGACCGGCTCCGATGAGGTCATGACGGAGAGCTACATGACCATGGCCCAGTCTGAGAACTGTCGCCTGGTGGACGCCTCCATCCAGAAAAATATTTCATTCGACGGAAAGCCTGTGACACCGACTGGCTGGAACGGAGGCATCGGGGAGATCTTTTCCCTGAGGGACCAGCTTAAGCAGGCGGAAGAGAAGGCTTCACAGGTCCAGAGAGAGGTATGATGCATTTGTGAGGAAATTTGAGCAAAACAGACAGATTTGGGGCAACTATTCTGAGCATGATGATTTCTATAAAAAGAAAAATAAAACACTGCATAAAACCTTAAATTTTGCCCTGTGTCCTAAAGTGTGATGGTCTGAAGATGGAGCTGCAGGAGCTGCAGGTTCTTTATGACACCAGCCAGAAGGAGAGAGCAGAGCTGGAGGAGGAACTGCAGCGCTGCAAGGCAGAGCTGCAGAAGCTGTCAGAGGGGGGGCAGGTAAGGAGAGGACCAAGAAAAAACCTTATTAAAGACAGCACAAATCATATGAAACAAAATTAAATAATGATAAACAAAATGTAAAGAATAATTAAGTTTCAAGGTAAGCATTGTTTTCTTTTTATCCTATTTACTTATGAACATATCCTAAGAGTATGTCTTTATTTCCAGCCAGGTTTTCAACATGATGAAAAAAATACGATGCTTTTTCTCTGAAACCACACTGTCAACTAACACATAACACACGTCACTCACATCACACCTACTGTACCCTGTGTGTGTTGAGCCCTCTATTTATGTGTCTCATGCTGTAGCGGTGTATGTTTGGATATGAGCTGACCTGGCCTGTCAGTCCATATCAGTATTTATGGTGTTCTTTAGGCTGGGGAACCCCCCTCCCCCCACTGTGTCTGTGTTCTTACACTTCTGTGACAGCCCTGCTTTACTGCTGTCAGTGGACCAAATCCTAAAAACCTAAAAGCCTTTAGAAAGTATGTTTATTTTATTCCCAAATCCTATGCAGGTGTCTGATATTGTTTAAGAAAAAAAAGATTATAATGTGCTTGAAGGCGGGGTAGGCAGGATTTCGTGAAAGAAGCGTCTTTTTTGTGGTGTATATACAAAAAAGCTTTTAATATCAGTCAATAGCTAAAAGTTATTGATGACATTTAGGGATATCACGATATCGCTTTGGTTTGTTATGTCTGTGTAGTCGACATTTTAAATTTTTTGAGCGGCCTGCTCTTTCTGACTGTAAACAAAGACATTCTGCGCCTCCCCAAACCTGATTGGTTGTGAGGCAGATGCTGCTCCCCCATGTCGTTCACGAGCCCAAACAAAGTTAGTGTTCTACGATATCAGACAGTAGAAACCAACCAGAAAGTACAGAAAATTGGCTGAATCCTCCTTTGGCCACGACTGCCAACACAAGCAAGAAAAGGAAGTAAATATCGGAGACTCTGGCAGAACAAGGGGTGCTTAAGATGGAGGTAGACCGGACAAGAGCTAAGAAGCTGGGTCAACATCAGCATAAATGATGGGGGACACTTCGGGGTCTTACTGTCCCTGTAATCTTTCTGCTGGACAACAAAGTAAGCCAAGTGTCTGTAACAGAAGTTTTTCTTGTCAAACGGGACCTGCTGCATGTTGTAGTGCCACTAATCTGTTTACCTCGGGTCCTGGAGTATGTCACTTTATCCTAGTTGTAGAAGTCCTGCAAACATTGTGTTTGCTGGTAGTCTGTTGTCATCTACAGTAGCACCAGTGCTTTTTATTTTCACGTTGACTGGGCCCCATTTGTAATCATCTGAAGTATTTATTTGCATTATATCTAAATTGTATTGGAACTCATCTGTTTGTGGGCGGGGCTTGCTAGAGCAGAGAGGGTGGGAAGAGGAGGAGCTGAGGGGAAAAAATGGTTGGAGGGGTAGAGTTTACATTCAAGATTTCTCCCAAAAACTGGCACTTCCTCAGATCCTGCCTACCCCACCTTTAAGTTTTGACTATTTCTCTATATGTTAAAGATGGTATCAGGATTAGTTTTAAGAAATTCCCTCTGTAAAGTAAACTGCATCGAAGTTCAGCTGCAGCGACAGCACCAAAGTCATTCTCTTCTTTCCGATGACTCTAAGTGCCTCTTGGTAGTCCGTCAGGTGTTTGAGTGTAACAGCGTGGCACTTCAATGAACGCAGCATAAGACATCTGTGATTTCAAATCGAGCTCTGTCGGGATGATGTACTTCTGTTGAGCATCAGGAAGTTAGCCTCATGCCGTTTCCCTCAATAAAAAGCCAATGTGGCTCGTAAAAGTTTATGACACCTGCACAATTTGTTCGGCAAGATAATCTTCACAAATGAACACGAGTTCTATGATTCTTGAACTGTTGATGTAATCACCACAAGTGTAATATTAACATAAGGCTATAAATGTAATCAACCTAGCTTGCTGGAAAAATATGACACTATCTGAAATGCAAGAAGAGCTTATTCTCTCCAACTCAATAATTTTCAAGGCTCTATTAATCATTTTTTGTAAGGAATGGATGCCAATGTCTCACTTTCAAATCCAAACTTTCTTAAATCGTATGAAAGCCCAACACAGCACTATATGTTTCCTTGTTTGATGTAGTTTAACCTCTGTGTTTGTTCGGTTATAGCCATAACAAGCTGTCTCTGCGTTGTGTCAAACTGTCTGCCCGTGCCTGTCTCTTGATGCTGTCCTTGTTCTCTGAATGTCCATGACCTCTCAGCCTGTACGATGACAAATTTAGAGAAATATTCAAATAAGTGGACAACAAAGTGAGGATAGAGAGACAAGCATACCGCCATATGCTTGTCGCAACATTCATGCTGTACGTCTTTCTTTATTTGTCGCCACAACATTGCACGCAGGCAGTAAATGCCTCACAGGACCGCTCACACATACTCACATTGAGTTGATGTGGATGTCACCATAAAGTTATGCATTCTTTGTTTGATAGGAGGTATAAATCTCTCCATCGTGACCCCACCCTTTTACTTCACAGCCATGTCCTACTGTTATTTAGCATGTTGTATCGGTGGTCCATTTGTGATGTCGTCACGCCATTGTTTATCTCTGTCTTTATTATTTGGATACCCCAGTCCATCCATTCATTCATTCCCTTCCTCCCCATTGTCCTTGTGTTTGTTTTTTTATTTCCTCCTCAGAGATTCATCCATTCGTCTGAGCACCCTGTTCTCTCCATCCCCTTCATAGGAATGATTGTAATAGTGGCTGTGGTCTGGTGCTGGTTGTCGGAGCTGGCGTCCCAGAGGGCAAGGTATGAGAGGAACTTATCTCTATCTGATGTGTGATGCTGAATATGGTTCTTACACACAGATCGAAGAGTTGATTTACCCAAATAGCACAAGAAGACCATAGTGTACAATCTCACATTTATGTCATGCTATGCAGAGGCTTTATGCTTTAAGTGTTAAGATTTTAGTGAAGAATGCTGTAATACTTCAGTTTAACAGGGGATTAATGTTTGGCCCTGTCTGCTTTGGATAATGCAAAAAGACTATTGAATGCGTTCATCAAGATTTGGTCAGCATAGTCCTATTTTTTTTTATTCTGGGGATTTTCCAGATTAATCAGGGCATGTGGATGATGAGTACATTTTAAACTTATTTTTCATCAGAGCATTGGCAGAGATATACAAGAAGCTGGGTATTTCAACTGCATGGCATGATAAATAAGCAAGTAAGAGTTATTGTAAAAATATACAGTTATTTGGGTGAACTGACCGTTTAATAATAATAATAATAATAATAATAATAATAAAACAATGCTCAAGAATTCTTAAGCATGAAGCTGTTATGGGAGGCTTTATAAAAGAAATGCAAAGTTTTCCTGGAAAAATCTCCAGTGAAAGAAGTTAAACAACAATGTCAAACATTCATGAAAGGTGGACGTCGGGCGGGTGGGCAGTTTGGCAAATTACAGCTAAATATTTAATGAAATGGCACTGAATAAATCATTCATAGAATAGTTGAACATTTTGAGCCACTTACTGTATGGCTTTCTTGCCTTGAGTTTAATAAGAAGACTAATATCAACCTTGTGTTTTTACATCAGCTATAAAGTTAAAGCTGGGACACAGCTAACTAAGCAAGTTCAGAAGAAATACTGCAGATGTAAACAGTTAGAATTTGCTCTGTTTGAAATAAAACATAATCCCCAGACTATTTAAGGGTCAGCTTTTAACATTCAAGTAGTTAATCACGTTTAGAGACAATATTAATAAACTGAAAAGTAGTGGACTCATGGTGAGCGCAGACAAGCTAACTTTTAGCTTGGTTCTGTCACTTATTGTTTGATGTCACCATGAGCAGCAGAGACAGTAACTAAGAGCTGGATGGGCAAATTAATAGCTGTTTAATAAGAAGTGTTGACAATATATAGAAACCCTCATTGTTCTATGCTTTCACTGATAAAAGACGGTATATCATGCTAATTAGAGAATTTAGGGGTTCTAACAGGAGTGAATGTGTTTCTGAATTCTGTACCAGGCTAGGCTAGCTGGTAATCCTCACTTAAGTTTTATTGCAGGCTTTTTCAAAAGCTCCTGGCTTTAGGGTCCGTGTATTATCCGCCCATTTAATTATTCCATTCAGTCTAGAGACGGAAAACTAAAAACGAGTCAATATTTTGTTTTGTTTTTTTATTTAACCAAAAAAAAAAAGATTAGTGTTTGTTTCATATTTTCAGTTCAAAACAGAATATATTATAGAGATGGAAACGAAAACAAAATAATAAATCTACTTTTCGTTTTTGGGTTATTGATGTCCCCATTTCCCACGGTGCCTTTCTACTGTTCCCGCATGTGCATGGTGCAACAAAGTAGCCATCAACGTGTACCAAAAACTCAAGACCAGAGCAGTAAAGAAAGGCTAACCTGCTGTCATGGCGATGGACGCATCCTACGTATTATTCAAAGTCGCCAGGAGGGTCACGCTGAAGGAGGAAGATATGACTGTAGAAAAAATTACAACCAGAGTTCTGTTACAACGTAAGATTTTGGCACTCAAACCGCTCTGTCGCATCTTTCGCCATGGTAACTGTCGCTGAGGATCGTGGGAAGGCCAATGTAGTCTCCATGCACGTATGCTTAAAACAGGCGCACTCGAAATCAATAATTGTAAATAAGACTTATTTTGTTTTTGTTTCCTTCTCTATTATATATTCTGTTTGGAGCTGAAAATACACAAACACTAATTTTTTTATTTGTTGGTTATACAGAAAAACAAGTAAACAAAATATTGACTCATTTTCTCATTTACTAGATTGAAAGGAATAATTGAATAGACGGATAATACATGGACCCTTTAGTAGCATACTCTCATTTATAACAAATTTCCTTATTTCCTTATTCCCCAGTCCTAGATATAACAAAATAAAAAGCTGTTTCTCTCTGGCTGCTGCTTGGCCTCCACTGGTCCTTAACACTAATGTTTTCCTGTCTTCCTTCAGGGGAGTGAGGTAGGTTGGAACTCCATTTTGACTATCACTGCAGCCACAGCGGTGCTGCTGATGATGACTAGCTTGTTGAGAGCCTTCATCAGATGTTGATTGGATGGGCAACAACTGCACAGGGACAGACGTCTGCTTCAGGCCAGCTCTTGTTGTCACCGGCCATGTCTATAGACTGAACTGGGATACTCTAAATGTAAATGAGCTGACTGACAACTGCATAGGAAATGTATGGAAAATTTTGTCCTGAATGAGAAGGTACTACATGCATGCACAGACTGAGAATGATGTGCTCTGTAGGATTTAAGATTGAGGACTGCTGTGATGATGAGTCGACCTGCAGAGAGCCCACATGAGGACTGATCTTACTTCACTAAATGTATGCTAGTGCCGCATCATTCCTCCTCTGTGTCTGTGAATATTGTTTTTTTTTCCTTTAGCTATAAATATGATAAAAGGAGGGTTGGATTATTAATGTGTGCCAGATGGTTTTCCATTAATTTATACATTATTTATTTATTTGTTTGTTAAAATATCTTCACAGTTGTCTTTGATGAAATCGGCAACGTGTAGTAGCTATGGCCTTTGATGAACTGAAATCCCTGTGGTGTACAAGTACCCCTAAAATATTAACAGAGAAGACAGCTTGATTCTTTTTTGAGTCTGCATCCAAGTTCTTTGTTGTATTCCCAGTGAATGCAAGATTCAAGATGTCTAAACTGAATCAAATGCAGAACTTTTGAAAACAAAAATAAAAAATCTAAGGAGGGGATCTTGACACTATGGAAGATAAGAACAGCCATGGATTTACCGTTCTTTTATGTGCTGATATCTCATGATAACGACTTATTATCTCGTTATCTCAAAAGAACAATGTTCGGATTTAATTTTTTTCATTATCCTGATATAACAAAGATTGTTTTCTCATGATAACAGAAATGGCGTTTTGGTCGACCTAAAACGGAACATAAAAAAAAAAAAAAAAAAACGCCCTTCAGATTGGGATATTTCTGAATCGTCGCAGCCGACGTCGTCAATAGCAAGCTGGGGTATTCAGTGAAAACGCTGACAGCACGCTCCACTTTGCGCATTACACTTTTAATGTGGGAACATTTAACCGCCATGTGCAAATCTGACAAACACAGTAACAATGGCGGACACATTATGAATAAATTTGTCATCATGAGAAAATGATCTTTGTCAGGTCGATATTACAAGATATTAAGTCATTATAAAAAAAAAAGAAAAAACCATGGCCGTTCTCGTGTTCCGTACTACACAGCTAATTGATGTCTATCTGATTTCTCTCCTTTTTAACAAACAATGACATACTTTACAAGGGGAGCAGGAAAGGCGAACTATCTCCTGTCAGTCTAAGCTCGGTTTATTAAACTGATGTTTAACCCGACGTCACCCTTAAAGGCTTGAGCAGCTCTTCTTCATAGTGTTTTCTTTGGTTTCTACACTCTGCTCCAGGCTCTGCCACTTCCATTTTTGTCTTTTGTCCAACTCTGGGTAAAGACAACTCCCACCGTCCCTTTTAATCATCATTTAAATCAAGATGCGACTGAGCCACTTCATTGTTTCTGGTTCATCTTACATGCTTGCAGCTCAGTTTGAAAACCCCTCAATTACACTGGTACACTCAGAGTAGTTTCTGTAGTTTCATATGTAACAGTAAATACATCACAGAAACTTTGGGAGCAAAGCTAAGCTACTCTGTTTTCTATTAGTTCCATTTAAAGTGGATTTTATTGCAAAGAAATATATTTTCCCTCTCCAGCAGGATTGACATGTCTTGGTTTTATGTTAATTTGTCAATCAGAGGCCAGTTGATCTACTGACACACCTAGATTAAACCACGAACTGGAGAGAAAATCAAGCTTAGTCTGTTATGTGGGCATTTAGAAATATATGGATCTAAAATATGTAAATAAGAGTGTCAGAAAATTGTAGTTTGTTTACGCATCAATTATAAAAAAACATATATGTACATGTGGTAGGACTCTAATTATTGTTTACATTTGTGCACTGTTTTATTATTTTTCGTCAGAATTCTCTAAAACTGAAAACAGCATGCTAAGGAACACATAGAAGCACAAAAGATATGTTGATTCTGTTACTTTGTATTTCATGTAAATAGATGTGACATACAGTACTATGGGAGAGATATTTCTGAAATCCATTTGTACTAGCTTTGTAGAAAGTTTATTCTATTTTGAAAGAGCATCGTATATTTGATAGCCAAATGATATCACGTGTTCATGTTAATTTATGGTGACGTTACTTAGAGGAACTGCTCGCATTGCTGATCATTTTATGTAGCTCTTTGTTTGAAAGCTGAGAAATCATTGCATGCGTTTTGATTGCATTCGACTTTAGTTGCCTGAGTGAGCAATACGACTAGTTTTTTTCTTTTTCCCAGACTGTTTAATTAAAAAATGTACTGAAATCTTTTCTGAAACGTTTGTCATTAAAAATATGTTGATAAGCAATGTTATTTCTGAATATGTTCACACACTAAGGAAGTGATGAGCCACAGGACTGCAAATGTTGTCACAGTCTCTTCAAAAATGATGAGTTTGCAATAAAAAATGAAATTCCCATTGACTGCAATGGTTCATATGTGAATGTTGTCTGAACAAAACATGATTTTTTCCTTATTTCTGAGCCTATTTTGTCAGTATTAACTTTACTTTCTCAAACTTCTGTATCGCAGTGTTCCTCTGCTTGTTGCTTTGCATATTAATAGCGATGTTGTTTTCGATATAGTTGTGGCTATTTTGTTACCTGAAGGTCTATTTTGTACTGTAAATGACTTGAGAAAATAAATATACTCACACCGCATGATGTCTGAGAGCCTTCTTTTCTTGGTGTGTGACCTCACTGGCAATTGGGGTCTCAGGGTTTGGGGTGTTATGAAGTCCCATTCATGAAATCCTCAGCAGTCGACTTGAGTGAGAACCATCTCCCTGCAGGCGTCACATTACACGGGTTGTATGGATATTAATAACCTCACTCCAGAGACGTGACATAAGTTCGCAGACATGTATCTTTTACAGGAACTGGTGTGTCAGTGTTGTAAATGAGGGTCTCTTCAAACTGCGCTGGTTACCATGACTCAAGCTTTCTAAGCTTAAACCTGTGTAATTATTTAAAAGTAACATGGATATGAAGACCTCTTCTCTGGGTACAGCCAGCGTAAAATCTCAGTGAAATACCTTCTGTCAAATGAGGTTTTAAGGTAAATTAGATTCCCAGGACTAAAAATACTCCTCACAATGTCTGGATCAGCGTTTTGTCTCTTTCAGTGTGAGTTATTATGAAAATGAAATGAAAAGCGTATTAACGGTCATGCTGTCAGATCCAGATCACCAGTGAGCCTTAATCAGCTCGGCCTTGGCCTCAGGCCCATCTGTCCAACAACTTCACCCCAAATCCCTTCTTAAATATTTAATCTATTCAACTGACAGACTAACAGGAGGAAGCTAATTAATCCAGGTGCAAATCTGACTGTGAGAGCAGCTGTGGACAAACTCAGGGGGTTTTCAAGTCAAGTGAATGGTGTTCGAGTTAACAGCTATAGCTCATTTGATTTTTTTTTATGTTTGTTTTCACTTACTTGCTTTGTTACCTACTTTGTTTCAATGAAAAATATTTGTATCACAAAGATTTTTTTAATGTAATTTTTAAGACACCACATGAAAGGGATTTAAATTTCCTTAACATTTAGTCACACACAGTGACGTATTTATTCTTTCTAAAGATTCTTGCACTTTTTGTTTTTTTCTGTTATGTTTTATTACCATCTAATATTTCTATTCTGCCTCTTTTTTGCTTGTTCACTATTTGCGACATGCATTTCATTGTTTTGACTGCACACAGTACACAGTAGTGTTGATATTAGTGCCCCTGTGGGCAGAGAGAGAGCGTCAGTACATCACACATGTCTATCAGATGTTGTTAAAAATCTGTAACTTAAAGTATAAAAGCTTAAATAAAGGGCTTTTTGAAATCTTTTTTTTTTTCAAATTAAGTTCATTTTTAACAAATGTCACTTAGATGTAATGCTCAAGTAACTTGTATTGTTTACCTTGAGATATTTCTACTTTCACTTTTGTAGAAGATATGAATGCTTGTGTTATCTACATCATGTAAAGACAGCATGATTTGGGTGTAGTGGCATTATCTCCCTATTTTTGTTGACATCAGGTAACATTCTGACTTGTGCTTTCACTGAAAAAGGGGTCATTAAGCTGTAGTTTATCTTCTTTGAAAGCCCTTAAGTAAAGAAAATGTGTTGTATAAATACACCTTAAATTATTTATATTAGTTTCAATATTTTTGCCGAGAATATAGCAAGAATCTTATCTCCCCCAGACAGACTAAAACACCTAAATGAACAAACACATTTTGAACTCCTGTAACATCATGGCAGATGAACACTGGGACCCCCTGCTCTAGACTGAGTATCCCAAGAATGCCTGCTGCATGTGTCACAGTTATTCTTACCTCCCACCACTTCATCAGGGAGGGTGCTAGCATCTGGTGTCACTGCCATGTCACTGACTGCTGAGTCACAACACCTCTATGGACCCTGAACCTGCAGCAGACACAATATTTCTTAGAAGTGATTTATTTTGTTTATAGTAAGATGATTGATTCTGCTGCACACACACTGACAACTGCCTCAGTGTATTTCTACACACAGCCTCATCTCCAATCAATGGCTGCTGTCATGTTGTCACTGAACAGAGTTAGATGTGACACTAGCTTGTTTTTAGTCGACTCAAGGAGTAATTTTATTCTTTCTAGAAGAGCCTTTTGGACCATTTTAAAAGAGTGAATTAGGTTTTTACATTGTGAATTTTAGCAAGTTTAATGGCCCTCTGACATAATAACTGAACAGAGAATTATGTTTTGATATGACGTTGCAGAAATATGGATAACACTTTATAATAACCATAATTTATAAATGGTGAATAGATAGTTTATTAAAGTTTAATCATCATTTAAAAACAGCATATAGACCAATTATAAATGGCAAATAGTTTATTTATGTAAGTTAATAGTTACTTTACCATTAACAAGCAATGAAATTATGATTAATAATTTTCATTAATTATGAATGGACTATTAATTAAAGGTTTATACAGGGTTTAAATATTGGTTGTAAAACATCTAGATTAAAATGTGTGTCAGTAGCACTTTGTTAATGGTTAATATTTGTTTTTAAACCATCTATAAACATTACTTAGATGGTTATTGTAAAGTTGCAACTGACGTTTGTAATACTTTGTAAATGATTAAGAAGTGGTTTATAAACCACCTATAAACATTACTTAGATGGTTAATGTAAAGGTAGGGTTAGGTTTTTAAAATTGTTGATTTACAATTTATTAATGGTCTATATGCTATTTATAAATGATGATTAAACATTAATAAACTATCTGCTAACCATTTATAAATGGTCTATTTACCATTGATAGGTTATGGTTATTGTAAAGTGTTACTGAAATATGGCATCCTGTTAATCAAAATAAAAAATAATAAACACTTTTCCCTTAAACCCACTCTCCTCCCCTAGCCTCCTGGACCTGATATTGACCCCTGCTGCACTGCATAGAATATCATTTCACCCATGGGTGGCAGATAGCTGCGAAACACACGTAATGCAGTTGCTTCATCTTGCTCAGGGTGACCTCATCTCTTTATATGTTCCTCTCCAAAGCCCCTGTGACGCGGCATTTTGTGCTAAAAAGACTACTTTATGGCAATATTTCAGTGAAAAGACAACTTTATCGAGAAAGAGAGGCTCAGCACACGTCTCACCTTCTTTTCTTAGCTCAATTGTTCAGCCACTTGAGACCCTGAGCGTGACACACATTCTCAACAATTGCTCAGCCCCTAGACTCCCAAATAGGAGTGCCTAAAAATAAGGATCATACGCTGCCCTGAGTCTGTCCAATCACTGCCCCCTCCTCCGCGTAAACCGACCCCGACTCCCGTTGTCCCCGTGGATGAGCAAATAGACTATGATCACAGAGGCTGAGTGACGCGGGCCTGAGTCCTTTATAAACCAAACTCCCTCCACTCTCACCGGTCAATTTACACACGCTTAGAGTCAAGTCTAACACTGCTGCTCCAGCTCCAAACTCCATTTCTCAAAAACTCATCTCCAGGCCACTGAAGAAGGGGACGACTTACCAAGAGGGTGCCAATTAAAAAAAAAGCGGACGACCAGCTTCCCTGCTCATTGTAAATCGGATAATTCAATCCATCACTGTCTTGTCACAAGTGGTCTCTTCACAAGTACATCCGAGAAATCTTCGGGCTGCTTCGAAAAACTCCGAGGAGTCTGAACTTCCCTCCACGAGCGCGCGCTTGCCACCGACCTGCTAAAAGTTTTCCTGCGTTACCGAGAGAGTGTCACTGAGGTATAAAAGTGGACGGGGAAAAGGCCATCATGATGAGCAATAACTACGGTGAGGACCAGCTGCCTCCGCAGTACTACCAGGGCACAGAGTTTGGGGAAGAGGAGGAAGACGACATGCCAGCCACAGAGAAGGACCTGGCCGAGGACGCGCCATGGAAGAAGATCCAGCAGAACACCTTCACCCGCTGGTGCAACGAGCACCTAAAGTGCGTCAATAAGACCATCACCGACCTGCAGAAGGAGTTCAGTGATGGGCTGAAGCTGATTTCACTCTTGGAGGTTTTGAGCCAGAAGAAAATGTACAGAAAGCACCATGTCAGACCCAACTTTCGTCAGATGAAACTGGAAAATGTCTCTGTGGCCCTGGAGTTTCTGGACAGAGAGCACATCAAACTGGTCTCCATAGGTGAGTGACACTTGGGCTCCAATCACAAAAGAGTTTTAAATGTTACAGAGAAAATGGAATAATGAGCTGTCAAATCCACACAAACACATCCACATAGTGCAACTGTGCTGTTATAAACTAGCAGTGCCTGTCAGACATCTCAGGCCTCGTGAAATCTACATTGAGCAGAGGTCAACAGCTTATTGGAAAGTTACAGCAGAGGTGCCACTGAGGTCATTAGTTGGTGTCAGGGCCGAGGCCTGGGCGCTTAAACTTCTGCTGCTGAAGCGGGGGGCCGGAAATTCACTAGGTCTGTGCTAATGAGAATGAAGCAATTCATAAATGTGGACAGCATTGTAGCACACACACACAAACGCAAGGAGGCAGGCACAAGACGCACACACGCACGCTCCTGCACTCAAGGTCAGAGGTCAGAACAACTCACTGGGGCTCTGTGTTGACAGCCTATTGCTGTCTGCACAGAGCCAGCAGCAGCAGCAGCAGCAGCAGCGGCTCCTGCGAGGTGAGGATTAAGTCTGCTGGGATTTTTGGGGGGATCAGGCTGTGGAACAGAGAGCTGAAGTTACAATAAATTGTTGTGGATATCTGTCACATTCACACAGTCACCAGAGGCAGGCTCTACTCAACCAGAATGCCACCCCTCAGATATATTCAAGGAGAAACAACAAACCTATTCTGGGAGGCACAGATTTAGTACGATGAAGAGTAATGACTTAATTATACACCCGTAGGCAAAGCCACAATTCATACAGGAGAAAGTTATTAACATTTTGACAGAGTATTTTCTGTTTTGGTGACTAATGATCGTGCCACACACTTGAGTGAAATTCCCAGTGTGGCTGCAGCTTTGGCCGCTGGACTGTGAAGGCCTCAGTGTGTCCACCTTGATTCATACTTAGTGGGTTTAAGAGTGAGTGTGTGAGGATAGGTTCAGATCTCGAGATGATCTCCGAAGGGTAAAGGTCCAAACAGCAGATATCTCTATAAAGTGTGATTCCAGGAGAGGGTGTCTTGGATTTAATATGTCAGTGTGTGTCTGGAACAGTTGTCCCAGATGTAAAGACACTAGGTCAGACTGTTTTGACAGAAACAGGGCGTGATAATAGAAGTGCTGGTGTTTTATTTCCTAACACCCTTTCTCTCCATGCAGCTGAAGTGGGTCAATGCAGCCCTCTTAAGATAATGTCCTATCACTGTGACCCAGAGACACTAAATAAAATCACCACAGGCTTAACTGCACATGCACCACAGGATCAAAACCACACTGTGCCACATAATGCCACCTGCCTGTGCCAATCAAACTGCGGCACATCAGACATTATGCTCCGATAGGAGGCCCTGATCTATGAAAAGAGAGTCAGGCTCAGTAAGATAGTCATGTGATAAACAACTGGCACCAAAGGCCCTCTGTTATTAAAGTCTTACTGAATTAACTGGGGTGTATCGCACTAGATTAGTCAATGAACATTAAAGTCCAGCACTCCTCTGAGGTTCTTTGGCTTAAATGGCTAAAATGTCTAAATGAGAGCGGATCTAAAATGGCTTATTCCACAACTTTTCCTTTGAGAAAGTCAGGAAATGAGCTGCATGCATGCTGTCAAAGGATCTAATCTGCCTCTGTGTGATTTATCACACTCTAGCGCTACAAGTTTAGGAGGTAATTGAAATCCGAGTGGTATTTATGCAGAGAGGGATCCACTTCCACATATCCTCAGCTGTCACTGTCTGCAGAGTCGCATTGTGACTGGATGACAGATTGTCAGGGGTCCTCAGCCAGACAGCTGTCTGAGAGAAAAGGGGGCTCGGGGGAAGCAGCGAGGAGCATTAGATTCTTGTCTTCTCAGCAGTCAATCATCATTGTTTATATTTCCACTCAGAATAGCCCGGCCATCTCTGCAGAACATTAAAAGAAGAGTACTTCATGTGTTCATATGTTGTCCACTTAATGCTCTTTGGTTTTAATTTCTTGATCAGTGGTTCCTAAGGTCCAGTAACAATGACAGTATATCTGCAAGGTGCCGTCAAATAGTGAACAAATAAATACTGAGGGGTGTGGTTTATTATGTGAACTTTTTGGAAGTTATAAATCCTCATATTTCCCTTTTTCTCGACTGTCCAAATACAGATAGCAAAGCCATTGTGGATGGGAATCTAAAGCTGATTCTGGGTCTTATCTGGACCCTCATTCTCCACTACTCTATCTCCATGCCCATGTGGGATGACGATGACGATGAAGAGACTAAGAAGCTGACCCCCAAACAGCGCTTGCTGGGCTGGATACAGAACAAGGTGCCCCAGCTGCCCATCAACAACTTCAACCGTGACTGGCGGGATGGCAAAGCCCTGGGAGCTCTGGTGGACAACTGTGCCCCTGGTAAGATGTGTGTGCAGGGATGGGCTGAGCTCACAGGCGAGGCAGAGTGAATGCTGAGTCAGAATGCATATGATGAATGTCAAAAGGCTTCTTGTGTGCTGTGGTTTTCCTTGGTTGCTATAGAGGCTGAGGTCAGGCATGTGTCAGTCAGTATGTCAGAAACTCTATCACCTCCCTAGGACAATTTGTCTCCTTTGCTCCTCATTTAGACATAAGTTTGGAGTAAACACACATGCAAACACAGCCCGATTCAGATTCAGACGTCAGCCACAGTAATCTTTCTCTGGGGACCAGGTAGTGTTGGTGGGTTGCAGTGGGGTTGCTGATGGCCTGAGGACGTCCCTGCCAGCTGTCCCACAATGACTGAAGCTTTCACTCTCACTTTTTCAAGCCCTAAGGCCCAAGCCTGGCTTTAGTGTTTATAGCCTTACCGCTAAACAACACCCCCAAATTTGGGCACCAATCCCCCTGTTCTGTCGAGGGGTAGGCTTGGCTTCACATCAAAATGCAGAGTGATCCGTCATAGGGAGGTGCCTAAGCCACAGATCCAAGGACCACAAGGCCACAGCTTGAGTCAATGCCAGTTGAGCACCAGGCTGTGTTTTCCAGGCCGGGCTTTAAAGGGGGAGAGGTGGAGGAGTAGTAAGAGGAGAGATGAACGCGTGTTCAAGTGTTTTTATAAGAGCCATTGATCTGTGCAGACACATCTTTCAAACACGGTGCTGCAACACTGACCATACAAGGTTCTGCTGTTTCATCAGCTAACACCAAACAGCAAGATGACTGACGAAACAAGCTTGGTGCTGAAAAACAGAAACATACAAGGAGCTTTTGATAAAAAAGTTAACTGGCCTTAAACAAGGATCCATCTAAGGTTTTATTTGGAAACCAGCTATGTGAAATCTGCCTGTATTTATCAATTATATAATTTTGATTAGGACAAGTTTTTTTTGATAAACATGAGCATTAATGGCTCTTCTGTATGTTGCTATGAACCACGTCTGTGTTTATACTCCCCATATTAAAACAGTAGAAGTCCTATCCTGCTGCCTGTAAAACGAGAGCTTTCTTCAGTCTTTTCTGTAATATTTCCGTATACTGAGATGTGCATAATGCCTCCCTGTTAGTGCTTTTGTTCCGAGTCTCCATTAATCAGATAATGGTATTCAGTGGTTTGCCTGTATGGGCCTTTTAAGCGAATGCCGACTTCATGGCCAGCACTAATCCAATTTAGGTATTAGCTGCACACAGCAGGTTAGCGTCAGTGAAAGTGTACGAGTGTCTGGAGGTTGTCTCTTTTAAATAGTCGAGAGACGTTCATTTTCTTCATTCACAGGAGCAAAGCAGTGTGGGTAAGGTCATGCAGTGATGTAGTCGGAGGTGTTGAAAAGTATTGACGGCCCATGTGGCCTTGTTATAGCGAGTGCAGTGTAACACCTACTGCATTCATATGTGCAGAATTATAACCCTGCCTGTGTTCTGTTAGGTCTGTGTCCTGATTGGGCAGAGTGGGACCCAAACAAGCCTGTGCAGAATGCCAGAGAGGCCATGCAGCAGGCTGACGACTGGTTGGGCGTGCCTCAGGTAAGATGCATGACAGACGATGGTTAAAAAGTGCCTTTGAGTTTGCATAAGCTCAGCTGGAGCAAACTTGAATAGACTACCAATATCTGAAAACAGCAGGTGCCTGTTTTTCTATGGGTAAACTAGCACATTATTTTCAGTTTTCAACTGTTAAAAACAAGTTTCAAGATGCATTTCCAAATGCAAATATGCCTCACCACATGTACATACTCCTGCAAGGCAGTGCTGAACTAAAAACAGGCAGTTCTGTGCATGATATGGAGCCCAGTGTTTTTCAGAGAAATCCTGCTTGAGGGGTGTCATGAATTATTTATTTCTCTTCTCACGTCTAATATTTCCATTTACTGTAGTGTAGCCCTTAGTAAGTGAGCTTGCAGAATTTTATTTAGTAGATTTGAGAATCTGTGGATGTGAGAGATTTCTTAACACCTTCAGAGCCAGCCAATGAAACAGAGGTGTAAATATGCACATGCTGCTCAGAATAACAATGTGGACAGAGCCAGAGTGTGATATTTCCAGTCCCTTTTGTGTGACTCTGAGTCTTCTTCATGTAATGTGCACTATGCTGCTTGTTTATTTGTTTGTCTAAGACACAGGGCTAGCTATTCTCCATGTGGCTTAGCATTGGTGGGATAGCCGTGGGGCGTATGTCATGGCTTTGCAGGGCTGGGGTGGGGGGCTAGATTCCAGTGTGGCAGTGTTAAGAAGATGTGGGAGAGGTCTGGCTCAGGATAAATCCCCCCTCCCTCCCCCCCTTGGCTTATTGAAGGCAACAATCCTTAACTCTTCTGTCCTGGGGTTAAATATAACTAGCATGGAGCGTGGCTTTGTGCCACTGTGTGATAGGCAGACAAACAAGTGCTAAAAGGGAGAGAGGAGTCAGAGGTTCAGGGAATAACTAAGTTTAATCCCTGCTTAATCCCATTGCACTTTACTCAATAAAGGAAATTGGTATTAAGAGCCAACTATCCCCTTGTAACAAATGAAAATGCAGTTATTACAAACATTTATCAGGCTATGGTGGGTTTTTGTGATCATGGTTTTTGCATAAAAACTCAGCTTGACCCTCAATATTGATTATACTTTTCAATTTATTTCCATATTTAACCCGTCATATTGGTCATCTTTTGCGCTTTAGGTGATTGCCCCTGAGGAGATTGTGGACCCAGATGTGGATGAGCACTCAGTGATGACCTACCTGTCCCAGTTTCCCAAGGCAAAGCTGAAGCCTGGAGCTCCTCTCAAAGCCAAACAGCTTTTCCCAGACAAAGCGAAAGCTTATGGGCCTGGTGGGTAGCCTTGAAGACCTGCAGAGTTCACAACCCATTAGTTTGCCACAGAATCACATAAAAACCTCAGCATGTATCATAAGCATTTTACTTTTATGATTCTTTTGGAAGACGTTATGTTGATGTGTCACCGTGTGTCTCCAGGTATTGAACCACATGGCAACAAGGTTCTGAAACCAGCTGTATTTACCGTGGAAACTCTGGAGGCTGGCAGTGGTGAGGTCTTGGTCTATGTGGAGGATCCTGAGGGACACAAAGAGGAGGCATGTTACACTTGAAAGACCAAGGGGTCATGGGGTGCTCGCCAGCTCGGAGAATTCAGCGTCTTAGTTTACCATCAACTCTAACTTTGTCTTCTCATCCTCTAGGCTAAAGTTAAACCCAACAATGACAAAAAGAGAACTTACACCGTCACCTATGTTCCAAAGGTTGAAGGTGTTCACAAGGTGAGATCAACCTGTTTTTTTTGACTGATGTACATTCAATTGATGCTTAACATGATACATGAAAATGAGGTCTAAACTTGTCTTACTTTCCCCATTTTAGGTTAAAGTGCTGTTTGCTGGTCAGGACATTGACAAGAGTCCATACACAGTGAATGTAGCTAAAGACATAGGTGACCCCAACAAAGTTCATGCGAGGGGACCAGGCCTGGATCCAACAGGCAATGTGGCAAACAAGCCCACCTATTTTGACATCTACACAGCTGGTTAGTATTGAGTATTCAACCACATTAAGTGAATAAAGCCACTAAGTTTCTCATCACTTGTGATTAAGTTGTCTGTTCTCCCTTTCAGGTGCGGGTAATGGTGACGTCAGTGTGGTCATTGTTGACCCTCAGGGCAAAAAGGACACAGTGGAGCTCATCCTGGAGAACAAGGGCGATAGTGTTTTCCGTTGTACTTATCGTCCCGTGATGGAGGGACCTCACAAGATCCATGTCCTATTTGCAGGCCAGGAGATCCCCAAGAGCCCCTTTACCGTCAACATCGCAGAGGGTGAGCCATCTGTCTGTGCTGTAAATTACTGTCATACAAATCAGATTTCCTAGCGTGCAGTTAGTGTCAGGGCGAACTATCCGTCACAATCTACAGTCATTTTGTTGTCCCTGGGAACAGCCTCCAAGTTTAGACCATAATTCTTCCTATCTGTCATTTCTAGCTCCACCAATTGCTCCTTCTGTGGGGGCTCCACTGCAGATAGTACCACAGTCAGTGCTCACCCCTCCTGGAGCAAAGGGTGGGAGGGGGGCACCCCCCACAAAACCTGGTCGTCCAAGTTAGTATGGCCTGCTGGGAGAAGCCTGTGCCCAATGCTCAGCCAGATTCCCTCAAACTTATTTTTGAAGTTGCAGATACAAATCTGCACGGCTCTGTGAGACTAGGGTGCCGCGGCTGCGTGCCGTGCTTGGACGCCTGCTCCTTCTTCTTGCATCTTGCGGCTTGATGACTTAGTTGTGTTCAGAGGGCAGCGAGATTCAATGTTGTTCGAAATATTGTCCCACTCTGCATTTCTGTTGACTATGTTCTGTTCTGTTAAATATCTTTGCTTGTGCTGTTGACATGTTTGTTTTATCTCATCTAAATTTGCATCAGCCAGCATTGAGTTTAAGCCTGCAGTCAACATTTCAGAGTGACTGAAATGTTGTCAGAAGCTCCCCCGGTGCACTCAGCTATATCAATATCCCTTTACTCTCTGCACTTTGTGCTGTTTGTGCAGCAAAGAGCACCATTCTCATTTACAGGTTCTGTCAGTCTGCCTTTAAGGAATCCCACATGAATTGTATACGTTCCTATCTTTGCCACTAACATCGCTGTCTACTGCTGGCTACTCTCGGCTTTCTTTTGCTGTGCTAAATATTTCTCTGTGGTCTCACACTTGTTGTCATTCTTTTCAGCCATCAACCCAAACGCCTGCAGAGCAACAGGCAGAGGCCTTCAGCCTAAAGGTGTGAGAGTAAAAGAGGTTGCAGACTTCAAAGTTTTCACCAAGGGAGCTGGAAGCGGAGTGTTGAATGTCTCAGTCAAAGGACCAAGTGAGTCCGACAGCTGGATCCCTCCTCCTACTTTTATAGACATATTTCCTCTTTGAGTTTTTATTTAAAGAAAGCCTTTGCATAGGCATGTGATAGAGGGCTAAGCATAATGCATAAAATGTTGCTTTGACTTGAAAGAAATCCATATTGTCTGTATTATTCATGCTCAGCTGGAGCAGAGGAGAAAGTGAAAGTACGAGACGCAGGAAACGGTGTGTATGAGTGCGAATATTTGCCCCTAAAGCCTGGCAAATACACAGTCAGCATCACCTGGGGAGGCCAGCCCATCCCACGCAGGTACAGTTCTCCGGCTGCCTTTAGCTAATCATCGACTAAGAAAATTCACTTTAACGCATGATAACATTGTGCATTCTTGTATGCCACAGCCCCTTTGAGGTGGAGGTGGGACCAGAAGCAGGTTTCCAGAAAGTAAGGGCCTGGGGTCCAGGTCTGAAGACTGGCATGGTTGGAAAATCAGCTGACTTTGTGGTAGAGGCCATTGGCACTGAAGTTGGAACATTAGGTGAGCCATGCAGACGTGATACAAACTCTTCTGAGGGCAAAATTGTATGCATCCTAAATGAAAAAAAATAATACAATGTTAATTATTTTGGAAATGTTCAGGCTTCTCCATTGAAGGGCCATCACAGGCTAAAATTGAGTGTGACGATAAGGGTGATGGCTCCTGTGATGTGCGCTATTGGCCCACTGAGGCTGGTGACTACGCTGTCCACGTCATCTGTGACGATGAGGACATTAAGGACAGCCCCTTCATGGCTCACATCCTCCCTGCAGACAACGAAGTCTTCCCTGAGAAGGTAACTTCTACTCAATGGATTCTGTCGTATTTCCTTGAGCATAAAGCAGGTAACCTCGGCGCCTTGTCCAAAATAATCCAATAAACGATGAAATGTTGCAGGTTAAAGCCTTCGGTCCAGGTCTTAAGCCAACTGGCGTCATTGTGAACAAACCAACTGAATTCACCATTGATGCCCGCATGGCTGGGAAGGGTCACCTCAAGATCTATGCACAGGTACAGAGACTGTGATTGTTTATTTATAGGATGGCATCATTTATATTGCATGTGGGCATACGCATGAGAGCTGACATGTTTTTGTATCCCTTAAGGACGCCGAAGGCTGTGCCATCAACATCAAAATCACTGACAAGGGAGATGGCACCTTTCTGTGTGTGTACACTCCTGTCAAACCCATCAAACACACCATCATCATCACCTGGGGGGAGGTCAACGTGCCCAACAGTCCCTTCAGAGTAAGACACATGACAGCAGTCACACACACACACACACACACACAACAAACACATAAATGTGCTGCACTTTAAATTGAGTGAACTTAATATAATGATACTTGAGGAAATAAGAGGGCTGCAGTGGTTCTACTTCAACAGATTGCTTTTGCCTCAAGTATGCTGTGATTTCATTAGGTGCTGGTTGGAGAAGGTTCTCATCCAGACAAAGTCAAAGTCTATGGGCCTGGAGTGGAGAAGACGGGGCTCAAGGCTAACGAGCCAACATACTTCACTGTTGACTGCGGCGAGGCCGGTCAAGGTGAGCATTTGTGGATTAAGTTGAACTTTTAATGAAATTAGAGCTGTGTGACATAAGTGCTGAAAAATATAAGCATAGAGTTAATCCATGTCTGCAGCTCAGCCAACTAAGTGCAGAAAAGTTTTTTGAAATGTACTTGAGATAAAGCTCCAGGCATTGGAGTGACAGCTTCTATTTATTCTGATCATCTGCTTCTGTCTGACCTCTCTGAACTGTGCTCATTTCTATGCACCATTAGGGGACATCAGTATTGGAATCAAGTGTGCCCCTGGGGTGGTTGGCCCTGCTGAGGCAGACATCGACTTTGACATCATCAAGAATGACAATGACACCTTCACTGTCAAGTACACTCCCCCTGCTGCGGGCAAATATACCATCATGGTGCTGTTTGCTGACCAGGTAAAATAACTGTTTCTACATTTGTTTTTAGAGAGTTTTTTTAACTGTTTTATTTTTAATAAATGCGTCATTATTTTCTGCTGTTTTTAGGAAATTCCCATCAGTCCATTCAAAGTCAAAGTGGATCCTTCCCATGATGCGGGCAAAGTAAGAGCAGAAGGTCCTGGACTCAACAAGACAGGTGAGATCCAGTGACTGAGAACATAAACACCACTCATACTACATTCATGGAGATTTGCATCTGAAACAAACACCTACTACCATACATTGATGTCATACTAACTCTTTGGTCTGACTAAGAATGGTAGCACTAACAAAACATGTGCATGTTTCAGGTGTGGAGGTGGGCACTCCAACCCACTTCACCATCTACACAAAGGGAGCTGGCAAGGCCAAGCCTGAGGTGCATTTCGCACCATCAGGCCCGGGAGAGGCAGTTCGTGACTTTGAGATCATCGATAACCATGATTACTCCTACACGGTCAAGTACACAGCTCTTCAACAGGTACAGTAGGCCTGTGTTTGAAGTCCATTAACATCATAGCAGGATAGAGAAATTACTCATGCCAACGCCTCCTATTTATTCTTTCTCATGCTTTTTCAGGGTAATATGGCAATTTCAGTCACTCATGGAGGGGATCCCGTTCCCAAGAGCCCCTTCCACATCACTGTGGCTCCACCTCTGGATATTGGAAAGGTTAAAGTGGAGGGACTAGACAACAGTACGTTACATACATCTACTGGTAGTACATTTATGTTTTTATCACATAGAGTTTTTAAGTGTTTAAATGCTGCTTTTCTCTGCAGAAGTGGAGGTCGGAAAGGATCAGGAGTTCACAGTTAACACAAAGGGCGCTGGTGGGCAGGGCAATGTAGGTGTGAAGATGACTTCACCCTCTGGCCGACCAATCCCATGCAAGCTGGAATCAGACAAAGCCAAAGGCACTCACAGTGTCAAGTATATCCCCCCAGAGGAGGGGCAGTACAAGGTTGATGTCAGCTATGATGGCAACCCAGTGATGGGAAGTCCCTTTGGGGTTGAAGCAGTCATGCCTGCCGATCCCTCAAAGGTAAGAGTTCATGAAGGCTCAGAGTACTTCTTCACTTTGAAACTAGTGCACACAACATGTAAACTTTAAGATTTTTCAATATAAGCTGATGATTGGACAAGTAAAAACCTGACATGGTTTTTGCGTCACAGGTGCGAGCCTATGGCCCAGGCCTGAAGGGAGGCATTGTGGGTAAACCAGCTCCATTCACTATTGACACAAAGGGAGCTGGTGCAGGTGGGCTTGGCCTGACCGTGGAAGGTCCCTGTGAGGCAAAGATTGAGTGCCAGGACAATGGTGACGGCACATGCTCAGTGAACTATCTCCCCACTGAGGCAGGGGAGTACGCCATTAACATCCTGTTTGCCGAGAAGCACATCCCTGGATCTCCCTTCAAAGCTCCAGTACGCCCAGCTCTCGACCCCAGCAAGGTAACAGCCAGTGGGCCTGGTCTTGAGAAGGCCAAGGCAGGAGAACCAGCAACCTTCACTGTGGATTGCACCCACGCAGGAGATGCTGAGCTCACCATTGAGATTGTGTCAGAGACAGGAGTTAAAGCTGAAGTGCACATCCAGAAAACTGCAGAAGGAACCTTCTCTGTCACATACATCCCCCCCTTCCATGGCAGACACACCATCACCATTAAATATGGCGGTCAAATGATCCCCCAGTTTCCCAAGGTCCTTCAAGTTGAGCCCTCTGTCGACACCAGTGGGGTGCATGTTTATGGCCCAGGAGTGGAGCCCAGAGGTAACCAGATCAAGAGGCCTGGCTTCAAATATGAATTAAAATAAGAAGTGTTAGAAATAACCAGTTAAATGATTAATTGACAGAAAAGTAACGTTTTCTTTAACAGCTTCCCAGATATGTAACTTAAGTCTGTTTTAAATAAACGTTTTTAGTATTTTATTGATGGCTAGTGAGCTAAGACAATTCATTAGTCAAACTAAATACTTGGCTTTTAATGGATGATAAAAAATAGTACTGTTATAGTCAAAACTATTTTTACTGTTTGAATAGCAGCTCCTCGATCTGTTACAGAAATGTGACGTTTCAGGTTTTATGATACCTTTGTGAACAAATCACCTAGGGAGCTTTTTTTTGTTTCTAGGGGTCCTCAGAGAAGTTACAACCCACTTCATCGTTGACGCGCGCGCCCTCAACAAGGTTGGGGGAAATCATGTTAAGGTTCACGTTATCAACCCCTCAGGCTCCAACACAGACACCTACGTCACTGACAAGGGAGATGGCACCTACAGAGTGGAGTACACAGCATTTGAAGATGGTAAGAGAAGAGTATTTTTACCATTATTACCAAAAAGTAGTACTATTTACTTACTTACAGGATCATGCAGTGTCAAGGGAATAATTCGTGTAAGATCTATGAAACAGATGTAACTGAAAACAAACATAATGTGAACGTAAAGAAGAAGGAATTTGCATCTAGCTGCTTGAAAATGAGAAGGGGGAAAACTGCTAACAGGTGCTGCTGTCGGGTGCCATTTGGGAATATAACAGGGGAGAGGGAAAAGAAAGAACAAGAGAGGGGTATAAATACAGAATGATGCATTGGCGCAATGATGTGAGGGGCAAAGAGCAGGGAGGCAGACTGGCTCTGTTTTATAAATAGGGCGCTCTGGAACAGAAGCTCTTAACCAGGCAGGTATCTGTGCTAAAGGCTGCCTGTACACAGCTATACAGCAGGGGAGTGACAGGGGATATTAATAGAGACCCATAACACAAAGCAAAGAGATCACAGAGCACTTCTCCACCACCAGACATGCTCTAATATCACAGCAGTGCGGGCTGGGAATCTGGCATATAGGCCCACTGAGAGAGCTCTGTTAGAAGGATGTTGTAACAGAATAAGGAATAAGAAACAGATGTAACGACTTGTATGTTCACCAGAGCGTTTGTGCTCTGGATGGCGCTTTTTATGAATAAACAAACAAATGTTTATTTTTCTCAAAAGAGATTTTTTTGGCCTGGAATTAAAATAAGTAGAAAAAAAGAGATAAAATATTTGCTTGCTTTGAGATGTATGACATCAGATCATGTACTTACGCAACTATCTGCATGCAGGGATGCATCTGATTGAGGTGCTTTATGACGATGCTCCTGCACCCAAGAGTCCCTTCAGGGTGAGTGTGGTGGAGGGATGTGATCCAACCCGGGTCCGTGCTTTTGGGCCAGGTCTGGAGGGAGGAATTACCAACAAGCCAAACTGCTTTACAGTGGAGACCAGGTACTGTTTGATCAGATTTTAAGGAGAAAGCTTACTTGTATGAACTGAGCTAAAATGTGTATAATAATGGAACTGGCTTCTCTCTTAGGGGTGCTGGTACGGGAGGCCTGGGCTTAACCATTGAGGGAGCATCAGAGTCAAAAATATCCTGCAAAGACAACAAAGATGGCAGCTGCAGTGTGGAGTACATCCCCTTCACTCCTGGGGAGTACGATGTCAACATCAACTATGGAGGTCAGCCGATCCCTGGCAGTCCATTCCGTGTACCTGTCAAGGACCCTGTGGATCCTAGTAAAGTGAAGTGCTCAGGTCCAGGTCTTGGTGCTGGAGTGAGAGCCCACGTTCCTCAGACTTTCACAGTGGACTGTAAACAGGCTGGACAGGCCCCACTGGATGTCAAACTCTATGGCCCATCAGGTAAATGCACGCTGATAACAATGACGTTAACACCTGGCTTTCTTTAGCCGTTAATTATGCATAATAATCTCCATACTGTCTATTTTTTAGGTACAGTGGAGCCAGTTGGTGTGAAGAACAATGGTGACGGCACCCACACAGTGCACTACACCCCAGCTCAGGATGGCCCTTATACTGTAGATGTCAAGTACGCAGATCAAGAAGTCCCACACAGGTACTGTGTGAATTAAAACTCGGCAGTACTTGAGGATGTGTCTTAATTAAAGTTCTACTCTCTCTGAGTGCATTTAAAAGGAAATGTGCAGTTCAGCAATTTTACTGCTCCCACTTCTCTCTTTTGTGAGACTGAGTTTAGTAATTACTCATGACACTCTCTTCTTCTTCTTCAACAGTCCTTTCAAGGTATTGTCTCAGCCCGGGCATGATGCCAGTAAGGTGCGTGCTAGTGGCCCCGGACTGGACAAAAAAGGTGTGCCTGCAAGCCTTCCAGTCGAGTTCACCATAGATGCGCGGGATGCTGGAGAGGGACTGCTCACTGTGCAGATTCTGGTGGGTTTTAAAAAATGTGCATAATCATTTCTGAATCAGAAGACACCATCTAACATAAGTGGTTGTTTTATATTGAAAGGACCCAGAGGGAAAGCCAAAGAATGCAACAATCCAGGACAACAGGGATGGCACCTACACTGTCTCCTATGTGCCTGACTCCACGGGCCCCTACACCATTACCATTAAATATGGAGGAGATGAGATCCCTTATTCCCCGTACAACATCCAGTCTCTTCCTACAGGGGATGCCAGCAAATGTCGTGTCACAGGTAAGAAGGCCAGTACGGATCTATTCATTGTCGAGTAAACAAATAACTTGATTTCATTTGTAATAAAACTTCTGTATCCTTCCAGTTTCAATTGGAGGGCACAGCGTATGTGAGTAACCAAGACCATGCTTTCACTTGTGCAAAATTTCTATAAGATATTTAAAATCAGTACATTTCTCACCCTTTTTTCCTATTGCTCCTCTGTCCCAAACAGCAAGTCTTCAAAAGCTGCAGGCCTCAGAGGATACAGTTATCACTGTGGATGCAAAGGCTGCCGGGAAAGGCAAGGTGACCTGTAAGGTGCTCACCCCACAGGGGATGGAGGTAGACATGGATGTGGTGGAGAATCATGATGGGACCTTTGACATTTACTACACCGCCCCTGAACCTGGGAAATATGTTATTACCATCCGCTTTGGGGGGCAGAACATCCCTAAGAGCCCCTTTCATGTGGTGGTGAGTAAAAGAGAACTTAAGCGGCTAATAGTTAGTCCTGGATGCACACTGGTTCTGACATTTACTCAGATGAAACCAACAATTTCTCTTCTCTGTGTATTGACAGGCCACAAATGAGCCAGTCGTCCCCCGGGATACCGTGGATCCTCTCTTCCGTCCTGTTAACTTCCTCGTCCCCTTCATGCCACAGCACGGAGAAATCACAGGTGTGACTAACTCCACTCAGACAGAAAAATGTCTTGTTAAGTTCACTGGTGTTAAACTAAACTGACGTCTTTTCAGGGGAGGTGCGGATGCCTTCAGGCAAGACTTCTCGCCCTCATATCACTGACAATAAGGACGGCACCATCACGATCAAGTACCAGCCCACAGAGAGGGGTTTGCACGAGATGGACATCAAATATGAAGGCAATCACATTCCAGGTTAGAAAAAAATACATGGAGGAGTATATTTCTCTAAAAATAAACTGCATTTATTATGGATTTTTTGGTTTTTATTTACACAAGTTCTGCGTCTGTACTTCATTTTCCACAGGAAGCCCACTGCAGTTCTATGTGGATGCTGTAAACAGCGGGGTAGTAACTGCATATGGTCCAGGTCTGAGCTACGGCACAGTCAACAAAGCTGCCACTTTTACCGTAGTCACCAAGAATGCCGGAGAAGGTATCAAGCTGCACATTTATAGCAATATTTGCCGCCTCAAAGTGGGATGTAATAATGATGTTACACAAAAAAAGTGCAGAGAAGTGAAATTCTGTGCACGCTTTCTCCCTCCCAGGTGGTCTGTCCCTGGCAGTGGAAGGCCCCTCTAAGGCTGAGATCACCTGTAAGGACAATAAAGACGGCACCTGCACTGTGTCCTACCTGCCCACAGCTCCTGGAGACTACAACATCATTGTCAAGTTTGACAACAAACACATTTCTGGCAGTCCCTTTACTGCGAAGATCACAGGTGGGGAAATAAAACCTTCTGCACTATTTTATACTGCTAGGGTAGATTTATAGGGGATGTCTTTTCATAAATTAGGTTTTAGGGGTTGACAAACATCTAAATTGCCTTTTTTATGTATAGGGGATGACTCCATAACTAGAACATCCCAGCTGAACGTTGGCACAGCAGCCGACGTGTCCCTGAAGATTGCAGAGACAGATCTGAGCTCTCTATCAGCCAGTATCCGAGCTCCATCAGGCAATGAGGAGCCCTGCCTGCTCAAGAGACTACCCAACAGACACCTCGGTGAGAAATTCACTTCCTAGATACAGGAAAAAAGGAGAGCAGAGCAGATAAGACACTGCTGGATGCAATATAGTTCCCTTTTTCTGTCCTTATTTTTTTTTCCTCTCTACCTTCTTTAAATTGCCAGGCATTTCTTTCACCCCGAAGGAGGTTGGCGAGCACGAAGTAAGCGTGAGAAAGAATGGCGTGCACGTAGCTAACAGCCCTTTCAAAATCATGGTGGGTCAGTCAGAGATTGGTGAGGCCAGCAGAGTGAAAGCTTTCGGGAAAGGCCTGGTGGAGGCACACACTTTTGAAATGGCTGAGTTTTTCGTGGATACAAGGAATGCGGGTGAGCGTCACAGACCCTATGTTTCAGTGCTGTATCAGCAAAAACAAAGAGGGGCTAATCCTTTATATATCTACCTGCTTTGCTTCTTTTAGGTTATGGCGGTCTAGCATTGTCGATTGAGGGCCCAAGTAAAGTGGATATTAACTGTGAAGATGTGGAGGATGGGACATGCAGAGTGACCTACTGTCCAACAGAACCTGGGAGTTACATCGTCAATATCAAGTTTGCTGAGAAGCACATCCCAGGTTAGTTTTTCTTCTTTGAAAATGTACTAATAAAAAATTTAAGATGAGTAGTTATAGTCTGAAAAACTAATTTCTTCCTCACAAAATGAATGTTTGTGCACTCCAGGAAGTCCCTTCACAGTGAAGGTAACCGGAGAAGGAAGAATGAAGGAGAGTATTACTAGAAAGAGACAGGCGTCTTCTATTGCTTCAGTGGGCAGCACATGTGGCCTTAACCTCAAGATCCCAGGTAAGCACATAAGCCGGGCTGAAGTGGTTAAAGGGCAGTGGTCAACCATCCTCAAAGAATAAACCCACTGAAAACTCACATTTGTATTCTTGCCGATTCCTCTTCCCTGTAGGAAACTGGTTCCAGATGGTTTCAGCTCAGGAGAGGCTGACCAGAACGTTCACCCGCAGCAGCCACACCTACACCCGCACTGAGCGCACAGAGATTAGCAAAATACGCGGGGGAGAGACCAAGAGGGAGGTACGAGTGGAAGAGAGCACCCAGGTGGGTGGAGGAGGAAGCCCCTTCAGAGATGTGTTCGGAGATTTTCTCGGTAGAGAGAGTCTCAGTAGCTTCGCCGGCATCACTGCCAGACCTGAGGGTGAGAGAACATCTCATTTTTGGAAACATTAGTCAATGCTGTAGGTCTTGATTGTATCTAAATAACTCTGCAATGCCTCTTTGTTATATCTAGTTGAAAGTGGCTCTCAGGCTATGACGGCTCAGGTCACCAGCCCCGGCGGCAAAACAGTGGATGCTGACATCGTGGATGGAGGGAGCAGCACCTACAGCGTGCGCTTCATCCCGCAGGAAATTGGACCCCACACTGTAAATGTCAAGTACAGAGGTCAACACGTCCCTGGTAGCCCCTTCCAGTTTACTGTGGGACCCATGGGAGAGGGCGGAGCACACAAAGTTCGTGCGGGAGGACCTGGTTTAGAAAGAGGCGTGGCCGGGGCACCCTGTGAGTTCACTGTGTTGGCATGAGCTATATGACAGCAACCATAAATGAAAGGATCCCTCATCTAATCGAGCTGTATTTCATCCTTTGCAGCTGAGTTCAGTATCTGGACCAGAGAGGCAGGTGCTGGTGGTCTGTCCATCGCAGTAGAGGGTCCCAGCAAGGCGGAAATCTCCTTTGAAGACAGGAAGGATGGTTCTTGCGGCGTCTCGTACATCGTTAAAGAACCAGGTAAAACTTTTACCACCTTGAAGTGTTAAATACGATTGTACTCACTGAACTTCTAAACTTTGATGTCATTTCTACATTACTTCCTCCACTTTATGCTACGGTGAAAGTAAATAACCTGTCTGCTTCTCAGGTGACTATGAGGTGTCAATCAAGTTCAACAATGAGCACATCCCTGACAGCCCATTCATCGTTCCAATTGCTACACTGTCAGACGAGGCCCGCAGGCTCACTGTCACAAGCCTTCAGGTAACATCACACACACACACACACACACACACACACACACACAGCTGACAAATTCTCATTAATTTGCGGCTCAAAACTATCAAAGACACAACACATGCACGCACTATATTGGGGAGGATAACAGATTGCATTCGGCACAATGTATGAGTGATGGTGGATATTTCTGCCCAATAGCACTTTGCCCTTGAAGTGTAATTGAATGCCAGAGTTGGAGCAGTATCCATGACTATAATACTGTGATTCTGGCCGGTGATGAAGGGCTGGATTAACTGTCCCGCTCTTATGTGGGGCAACACAAGCTGTGCTATGTGTGGGCAGTCAGATTGTGTTTCTGTCTGAGAGGAAGAAAAGAAGAAAGGAGTGAGCTGGAGTTGAGAACTCTTTTAACCAAACCTGTGACAGCTCCCAATATTGGGTCCTCTTACTTCATGGAGGCTTGATTTATTTGCTTTCACAGTTTCCATTACAGCTGCCAACAATGCTAAAAACATGTATTTTTAGCTTACTGAAATGCCACTTCAGAGTGCTTTTCCCAGCACGAGAAGCCAGGTGAAGTGCAATATCAGACAAACGTTTAAAATGTCACGCTAGCTCTTGTGTCTGGTAGGACCGCTCGTCTGCCTGTAGGGCAAAAACACTAAACGCCTCGCTGTAACCTCTGACCTCCCTGCCTCTCACACCCGAGCGCCTGATCTATTCTCGTTCAGGCATGAATCACACACTTGTCAGACACACAGTGTCCCTCAGGGTGCGGGCACACACACATCCACAGATATATTCTAAACACTTTCTAACCTGTCTCTTTGTAGGAGAAGGACTTGAAGGTAAACCAAGAGGCGTCCTTCATGGTGCAGCGAAATGGGGCTCGAGGTGTGGTCGATGCCAAAGTCCACACCCCCTCTGGCTCTTCTGAAGAATGCTACGTCACAGAACTTGACAGCGGTACACACAAACCTTTCTTAGTAATAAAAAGCTGCCCTAGAGACGAGAGAATTTGGCTTTTTCCAGGAATATGTAATTAACATGCATGAGTAGTAAATCAATAACATCCCTGATTGTGTTGTGTTCAGACAAGAATGCAATCCGCTTCATTCCACGGGAGAACGGCATTCACTCCATAGATGTCAAGTTCAATGGTTGCCACATTCCTGGGAGTCCCTTCAATGTGCGAGTGGGAGATCCTGGGCTGATTGCAGACCCAGGCATGGTGACAGCACATGGTCCTGGACTGCTGGGAGGAACAACAGGTACATATCCCTATCACTGCCACCTTTGATGGCCAATTTGCATAATTTTCTTACATACATATCATGTGCAGCCTTTTTAAAATCTATCTCTGCATCACCCTGTTCCCCTCAGGTGTAGCCTCAGAGTTTGTGGTGAACACCTGCAATGCAGGCTCTGGCACCCTATCTGTCAACATTGACGGGCCGTCAAAGGTCAAGATGGACTGTCGGGAGTGTCCTGAAGGATACAAGATCAACTACACACCCATGGCACCCGGGAACTATCTTATCACGATTAAATACGGAGGGCCACAGCACATCGTGGGCAGCCCTTTCAAAGCTAAAATCACAGGTCTGCTACGCAGTTATTTTCCCATCTGATCTGTCATTTCTCAGACGACAAGTGTCTTGATTATGAAACAAGTGCTACTCTGAAAACAGGGTGGAAGTCAGGGAAATGTTATGTCATCATTGTTCATACTGCTCCGAGTACATCTTACATAAAAGCTCTGTGTCTCTGGCACCACACGAAAATAGTCCTGTCACTACTTAGTGCATTTAAGTGCATTTTTTAAGTAAATGTGACATAGTAGATACTGGGAAGAAAAAAAGTCCTGGAAGTTAACTTTATTTTAGAGTGGTGTGAGCTGTGTCCTTCTTTAAATTCAGGCAGTAGTCTACTCCCTTGAATTTTCTGCGAAGGGGAACACTCCCCACAAGCAGCAGCATGATTGCTTCCCTCACATCTGTGTCGATTTTAAGTGCGTTACATAAAATCTGCTCTGGGTCATGATGACAGTAGATAACCTCTTGCTCTTTCTGTCTCTGTTTCTTTCTGTTGAACAGGCGCCCGGCTATCAGGGGGACACAGCCTCCATGAAACCTCCTCTGTTTTGGTTGAAACAGTTACTAAGACCTCCAAAGTTGGCGGAGCCTACAGCTCATCGTCTTCCACCATCTCAGCAAAACTGGCATCTGATGCCAGCAAGGTGGTCTGTCGTGGAGCAGGGCTGTCCAAGGCTTTGGTTGGACAGAAAAACAACTTTACAGTTGACTGCAGCAAAGCAGGTGAGACTATTAACAGCATGAAGACACAAATATCAAATTTGCATAAAATGCTCCTTATGAAATTTATATTGATTTTTGGCCACTAGCAGGCGTCTGAGCAAGCTGCAAACACTGGCACATTATCACCTTATAAAGCTGATGCGTTAAAAACTTTAACAAGCATTTCATTTGAAGTCACATCTCTGGCTGATTGGCCAAGACCAGAATTCACTCTCTTTTTAGTTCTCGTTGGTCTTTGCCAAACCCTGAGGGAAATATCTGACTTTTGTAGAAGGCAGTTGCTAAGTTTGTCACTGACGTTTGGTGCCAGGCAGCTGCATAAATCTTATCAAAGCTGTTTTACTGAAAAGAGCTGCCTGCTGATGCTGAAAACAAAGTCAACAACAGAGAGTAAACCAAAGTTGAAAGACACTAAAACAAAGAGGTAGAGCTTAGTGAACTGCAGAATTGGGCGAGAATTCTCTGTGGGCTTGTCTCTTTGAGCGATGTGTCTTGTAGTACAATCATTTATTCTATTGGCTGTGTAAATCGTTGTGATTGGTGCAGGATTAAGCCAACACAACCACATACACACACTTGAGAAAATGCTGTATAATTCAATTATTAAATACCTCTGTTGCTGCTCTTTCCAGGTACCAACATGTTGATGGTGGGCGTGCACGGACCTCATGCTCCCTGCGAGGATGTGTATGTCAAACACATGGGCAACAAGCTCTACAACGTCACCTACACTGTCAAGGACAAGGGCAGCTACACCGTCATTGTCAAATGGGGCGACGACAACATCCCCGGGAGCCCTTACAAAGTTGCTGCTCCTTAAAATAAACTGGACCAATGTGCCAGCCCTTCTCCTCCACTGACCTGCCACCCTTGTCTCATCTTGTCAATCCAATTGTCCACTACTTGTCTTCTGGCGCTGCTCTTCAGCTCATTACAATATACTCAAATCACGCACTAAAACCTACAAGGACATCTGCTTACAGTTTTCTAGATGACAGAATAATACCTGATGTGCCAAAGTTTGGTATTAACTCCAAGAATTACATTTTATCTGATTCCATCCACAGTCAGAGTGATGTGAAGGCAAAAGTATGGTTTATGAGTCTTGTTGGTTTAATGTTTTGCTCGGTCCACAAAATTTCCCAAATCTGTTCTTGTGTTGTAAAGGGACGGCATAAAATATGAATGTTTTCAGATGCTGGAGCTATCAGCAGTGTTAAAGCGTGATACGAAATGGTTTTGTATGGTTGAAGAACAAGGATTTAACTTTTTTTTGTTATATTAACCTATTTTTGGTAAGTCTTTGCAGCCCTAATAAAGATTTAATTGCTAACTTTTCAGAGAAAACTGACTGAATTTCTTTAATTCTCCACTGTGTTTTCAGACCCTCCTCTAAATCAGCAGGAAGCATTTCCTATTTTTTGATTTCATGGTTTCATCATGCAGTTATTTTCAGACTGCTGCTGGTTCCTAGTCTGAGCTACTGTCAGGATATTTTCCATCAGGCTCTCAATTGGGCATCTGACCATCACATCACGGATCATTATATTACATTACATGGCGTTAATAATTCAATCAAAGGGAACTTTTGATAGCTTTGATAATGAATCCACTAAAGTTCTTTCTATCAACTTAACTGATTAGCACTGCTCTGACAAAGCAGTCGAGGTAATTCCTCTGATTTGCAATGCACTTGTCCAGATGCAATCACAAGATGGCAGCATAGTCAAGCTGCAATGTAGATACAACTTAACCAAACACACCAGAACAAAATCTCCATTGTTCGCAGTGAAGATTAACTACACATCCTTTACACAAGGGAGCCTGTGGAGCAAAGAAACCAGAGGCATCAGCTTCCATTGTGTGTGTAATTAATCCTGTTGGATCAGCGATGGAACACAAGTGGTTTCTGTTGTGGCATCTTCCAAGGCGGGGGAGGGGGCAGACCCCGCTGAGGCACAAATCATCCAAAAAGAAAGGAGTTACAACCTTCTACTGATGTCTCTTCCTCTGCATATGTGAGCGTAACCACTTGTGTCGCCTCCATGGCCTGTGTGTGTTCTTTATGTCCTCTGCGTAGTCTGCAGGCCCAGGTCCCCACAGTGAGTCAACCACCCAGCCTCCACAAGCTGACACACACCACCAGCACCATCCTTCACAGAGAGGAGCCTATAATTAGGTGCTAATTTTCTCTGGTTCCACTGTGACATGATGCTGGGGGCCATGGTGAGGAAAGACAGAGCGAGCGGGTGTGTTTGATGAACAGTGGCGAGAGCTCGACTCCGGGACCATCTGGCCAAGTGGCTGGCGCTGGCCGCTGCTGCCCGTGATGACGTTGGGACCAGGGCCGGGGCCCACCCACGTCAGTCTGTCCTCCCCCGTCCTGCTCCTCCGGACCGGGACCCAGGCGTCTGTCCACCACAACATGTTTATCTGGAGCGGCTGCCAAGTGAATCACAACCGCGTGGAAGATGCAGCTCCTCGCTTTGCAGACAGCAGCGATAAAGCAGGAAAACAGGGAGGGAGAGAGAGAGTGAGAGAGAGTGGGGATAAAAAAGAGGGAGGAGGACAGGGCAGAGAGGATAGGAGAGTGTGGGAGGAAGATGGATTAGAGGAAGAGAATAGGATTAAAGAATACAGATGGATGAATGGGAGGCAGACGGGCACACAGGCACTCACAAAAAACACAGAAACAAACAAGCAAAAGTGCATTTGAGATAAGCAAATAGAAAAAAAAGGAAGTAGAAAAGACACACTGCAAATTGGTCAATTGGTGCTCCAGATTAGTTTCCAACATGCTAACACCATGTCTAGCTTAACCTTCAAAGTAACCAGACATGTTGGACTTAGTGAAATGAGTGATGGCTTATTAATACTCCTCTAAGGCAGGATCAATGGGGAGAGGGTGTGACAGGGAGATCTTCTGTCTCTTCTACATCTTATTCACACACACACACACACACACACACACACACACACACACACACACACACACACACACACACACACACACACACACACACACACTCTCTCAGAAATCTGGATTATGTTAAGAGTAAAATTGTGTAAAGGCATGCCCCCAAAAGCTTTTGAAGTTGGTGCTCTAGGGGCAAAAATCTCATTCTCTGTCTGGCCCCTATCATGCTTACTCTTGCTCTCATCTCTCTCTCTCTCTCTCTCTGTCTACTCTCATCCAGCCTCCCCCTCCCTTACTTTCCCCCCAATTTAATTTTTTCCTCCCTCTCTCTAAATTCCAATCAATCTAAGCCTCTGCAGATCCACTGCTTTATTTCTCGTCTCACTTCTTCTGTCACAACAAGCCTTGTCCCCAGGCCTCCTTCTTCTACCTTTGACCTTTTATTTATAAATGCGGGCCATCTCTTGGAGTCTGATGGAAATCCCAATAGACTGGGTCATGAGACCCTGGTTTGTCTTGAAGCAGTTAAAAAAAACCTCCCATGGCCAAGCGAACAGGCAAACAAACAGCTAAACGAATGTTTGCGCAGACAAATGGCAGCCCGACTGGATTAATGAATGGACATGGAGAGAGATAGAAGCAAGGGATCGTTGTAGGAATTCATCCATTTGGTTTCCATCCGAGCCCCAAGGCCCTGCGATGTAATTGCTTCATGCATAGTTGATACACTGCATAATCAACCAAATACACTAGATTTTTCTGTGTTTACGGGGGAACGCGGCAATTGCATTTGCAGGCCATTGGTGAATTTTGGATTTAGTGGGGGGCGTCTTCTAATGGAAAAGCTCATTCATATCTGAGTGCTCATCTCTCTCCTGTAGAATGGACTGATATACACAGGAGCGGTGAAAGGTATGGTTCAATCAGGACCATGTTGTGTTTTATTCATACGGACCAAAGATGAAATATTCATACCAGAATGTTGTTGCTATGCTTCATTCTGTGTCTCCTTCCTCTTATGTACACAAATCCTGATTAAAACGTGGACCAACTATGGCCACATATTGGATCCTTTTTGCATAGCGGCATAAAAACAATGCAAATGAATGGAAGGCATTCCTGTTGGGCGTCAGCAGATTGTGTTCATGCAGCATGCAAATGCATGGAGCATGAAGCTGGCCCAACCTATATAACCTAGTAGAGGCAAGCTAAACATGCCGCACTTTAGAGAGGGATGGATTTTCTGTTGATGGAAGCTTTGGACGAGAGGCGCATGCTAAAGACAACTCCAAGCCCACATACACAAGATCACACAAGTTTCCTTCCTTGGATGCATTAACTCACACAGGCTTGACCAACCGCTTATACCAACAGGCTCACACACCAAGGCGGCACCACACAGAAAAGAAACAGCATGATGCAAACTGGTTTGGCTTCATGAGGAGAATGAACAGCAACAGCCTGAGGCAGGAGATATGACAGAAAGAAAAGCTTCTCTCTATACGAGAAAGGTGTGCTCGCACTTCTTTGTGGAGCAGCAGGGACATGTCAGGGGCAAAGTCCCCATGTCTCCATCTCTAATTGGAGCGTATCCCTCTGCCCTGTCCCTATCACACTATGGTGGAAGCAGAATGCTGTTCTAATGGATAGCCCCCCTGTGGAGTGCTTGTCCTTGATGTGCTGGGTCTACGGTAGCCCATGCTGAGGGCAGACTGCAGATTAGAGGGAAATCACAAGATTTGTTTGTCCTCTTCAAGCAGGGCGGGACATTCAAGGGGAGAGAGCAGCCAGGTCTGTGATCGAGTGGGTTAGACTAGTGCGACAGATGTGTGTTAGTGTGACTGATGTGTTCTGGGTGAGCGGGCTGTACTGGGTCAACAGCACCTGGAGAACCAACATAAGCCTGTCCAAGAAATGCTTGGGCAAACCGATAACATGTTTGCTTCCATCAATGTCCAAAAAGCAAATGACTGAGCCAGAGGTAACTTTTGGTGATAACACCTTCGGTGAAGATTTAGGAGAAGATAACGATGTTGTAATTACCTGCTCTAAATTGGAACTGTGGGTGCTCAATGAGCTATAAACAAGGTTACTCTGGTCCCCTTGGGGTAATTGTTTCAAAAGCCTGCAACAGTCTGGTCCAGTGATGGCGAAATTGGAAGGGGTGGTATCCTGTAATTTCTCAGATCAATGAAGCATGTCCTGTGTGTGGGCCGAAACTCTGGCTGATTTGAAATAGAGGCATAACTTTTTGCTCCCTCTTACTGTAAGAGTCAAAGTCATTGGTCTCAATCAGCTTTTAACCCAGGGATGATAGAGGCCTGTGGGTCATTGGGCACCACCTGCACTGCTTTTCACATTTCAGTGAGTATGCCAATTCCTGTAACCGAATATTTCCTCAGTCATGGCTACGGTACTTCGAGGAAAATCATCTTGTATTAGAATATGTGCACAGGTGGTTAAATCTATGTTCCACGGGGTAGAAAAAGCTTGAGTGAACAGAAATACATCCTATCTGATGCTCCTTGCAGATGGCTGCCTGTTAATATTAGCATAATGGAATTCAAAGCACACTTGCAGAAATTCACTAATTCATCACAGCATCAGGCCAAGCTAAATAATACTGTGGCCCTTTGAGCTTTGAAAGAGGGACGTGTTTCCAAATATTAGAGCAGACTGGCTGTTTACAGCCTAAACAAGTGCTGGACTTAATTGTTGAATTTTAATACACGCAGGCAGTGCTGCATGCTGGGATGTTGTGTCTGTCATGCAGTTTGACCATAAGAAAGCTGTAGTCAGGCGGGCTATCTTTCTGATCTTCCTCGTTTATCCTCAACCCACAGCACAAGATGTTCTAGTAAAATCCACAGCCACAGTCTTGCTGCTGTGATCTCCCTCTGATTTCCAATTCCTCTCTGCATTTTCTCCTTTGTGTCCAAGTGACTCGCAGGGCTCACTTTAATGTATGCTGGAGCCGGAGCTAGTTTTATCAAAGTTTGATTATTATACAGTCACTTCTATTGGAATGTAACCACCGAGTGCTGGGCTGTCTGTGGGATTGAAAAAATAGATGAATTACAATAAATGTGCTGCAGCCAAGTGATGCTGGGAATGCAATTCTTGACAGCCATAGAAGAAAATATAATAAAATGCATCAATTCTGTGTTGCAAAGTGTATACAGATTAAAATTCCCACACAAATGGACATATGCACATACACACTTGCGCACATCACCAGGATTGCTCCAGAGTGCATGTGTTGCAGGCACTCCGCCCTCCAGATGCTATAAGCCATGATTAATAATGTGTTGCTTACATTATTTAGAATCTTTAAACTAGATG